CTAGTCATTTATAATAAAAAGATGTAACTAAAACTTTTAAAATGTTACAACTTATTACTTTTGGATAGAAATCGATATATAAAAATGATATAATTTCAGATGTTTTACAAATTTTAATATATATAATAAGAATACTTACCGTCTTGGCAATTAGTTTATGCAAGAACAACGGAGTTGAAGATTTCAAAGCACAATGACAAATTAAATAGATGATCCATTGAGAAAGTTGGAGATGGTTTGTTACAGGTATATATATACATACATATTGATAAAAGAGATAATTTGTATATTAATAAAGAAAATTATAATTATATATCTAACCTAAATAAAATGACCCATGTCTCTTTGCTTCTCTTCCATTAACATCAACAAAACTTTCTCAAACCTTTTCTAAAGTTGCATGCAGTGACTAGATTTTTTCATCATAATAAGGATAAATATTAAATATTTTTTAAAGATGAATAACAATATTAAATATTTTCTATGCTTTTAAAATTTTGTTTCATACATATTTTTTTGGAAAATGATTATATTTCAGATTTTCTGTTATTATTTTTATTTTCAGAAAACCATCTAGATAATCTACATTTATGAAAAATCATTATAGTAAAAAAATAAAAATTAAACATAAATGAATTTTTAATATTGTTTTGAGTAGTATCAATAATTTTAAAATGATACAAATTACAGTTGTGATGAAAAAATACAATAATTTATAATGAAAAAACACAACTATTCATAATGAAAAGGCGCTACTCACAACGGATGAAAAAACACAAATATTTATAAGAAAAAGACGCAACCACAAATTTTGAAACGACACAATTTGTGAAAATGTAAATGGCATTTTTTTGGATTATTATACATTAAAACAAATAAAAATGATATGGTTACTATAAGGTAGTTTATTAATTTTTATAATATCGTAAAATAAATGAAAGCTATAATACCGTAAGATATAAAATATTTACTAATGAATTGATATTCGCATTTGGGATGGAGATATGAAATTAAACGTACCACACTTGAAATCCTTCTTGGCTTCCCTCACCAATAATTCCAGTTTGAGTCACCTGCTGCATCAATGAAGAAAAATCAATCAAATAAAGCCAACCATGAACTAAGTTATACATATTGGATGTGACACAAGACTGCTCAACGAAAATCTTGTTCATGGTTATGTGTATGCTTAATAGATGATTCTGACACCATACGGTAAAAGAAAAAGGTAGCTTTGCTTTTTTAGATGTATTGTTTATGCTACTTATCTACTCCCTTCTGGTTTCAGCTTGTCCTGGAAGGCTTTCATGTATGTTAGATTCGTCTCCTATTTACTTTGATGTGGATCCGTATTGATTTTCTTCTTAGACAAGATCTTCCGGTTGAATTGTAGCTTCGGCGGTGAGGGATGCAAATTTTTCTGTTTGGTGTTTTTATTGGTATCATAAATTTAAATAATAAAAATTAGAATCAGACAAAAATGTATTTTTATGTAATTTTAAGCAATATAAATAAATTTAAAAAAATACAAATTTTAGTTGTGCTGAAAAAAATACAACTATTTATAATAAAAAAATGCAACTATTTATAATAAAAAGTGACAACCATAATTTTTTTAAAAATACTATCTTTTAAATCTTTTGTTTCTGTGTCTTCATTAAATCCTATAAGACACCAATTCTCTTCATTCGCTTCAACAGGAGCCATGACTGTCTTATAATCATTTCTCGGGAAGCCATTTTATCATTGTAATAATTCCAAAATGCATTCTATAATGTTAATGGTTCTGTAACTTCATTATGATATACTAATTTGACAAACAATTTACACAATTGATTTGGTGTAGCAGTAAATGATGCTTCTTTCATAGCCACATATCATTCATCATCATTGCTAATTAGTTTATTTGTCACACATGCATCTGTCCAAGTTTTAAGACCTTTGTCCCATACATATTTTTTGGTTAATTGATTGTATGATAGATTTTTCGTTACTTTATCTTCTTTATTTATGGCAAACCAGTGAGAGAACATGATTCTATTTTACGGAAATGTATAACGAATAGTTTTTTTTTAATGTTATCAAGCAATATAAATAGATTTTAGAAGACACACGTACTCTCCCTCTCTCTCTAGTGGTGATTGTACGGAAATTGACACAACTGCCAGATTTTCACACTTTACTCTTCTTTTTCTGTTCTTAATTTAGTTGAAACCATGTTTCCTCTTTCTCTTTTAAGAGAATGTTTTATGTGCGATTCTCGCATTTGCTTTCTCTTCCTCCGGAAGAGCATTGTCCGATGGTTATTTCATGATCTTTCTGGGTTAATTCTGTCGGTGTTAGTCCGTTTGAGTAAAATATCAAACGATTGGTTGAAATTATCCTTTTTGGATGAATTCAAAATCTTTAAACCGCCTTGGGATCTCATTTTTCTGTGTGTTTCCCAGAATTATTCCTTTAGTTTTTGTCTGCGATCCTTATCTACTAGAAGTGATACAATACAACATCACTTCCAAGTCACTAATCTGGGGGCAAACGATGTAATGAGTATTTTTCAAATTGATTGTGTCTTCACTACTGATCCAGGTTTTTTCTCGCTGAACTCTTTATGTGATATATGTTTCTGGAGAAATCTCAGTTTTCACAAGAAGGATAATATATTCATTATTATCTCAACGGAGAACAACCGCATGAAGTCATCAACAACTTGTCTGGACAACAAAGTGAATGAGATGAATCTTGTTCATTATTGGGCACGAACTTTGGATGGGTCAAAGTCACAGTTTTCTCCATTGACATTGATACGAAATGTTTGGTATCAATTTGTCTATTTTTCAGAACTATCAACAAAAGCAGTGAGTTTATTAATGCGATGTGCAAGTAGAAGTCTCGATGAAGAAAGGAAGACTACGCACAACATCCGCATAAGAAGATCGATTATCAATAAGGAACTTAACAGATTTAATCATCTGTTTGCGAGTAAGACCTCAGTAAAAAACATCGTCAATTCACTTATTTCTTTTAATCATCTTCAGCATATATCTGATGTAATATTTTGCTTTTGAAATTACTGTAACGACTTTGTAATGTTTTGCTATTAATGAATGAGTTTTGACAAAAAAAAATAGAAGACACACGTACTTAAAATACGCGATTGTTAGTGAAAAGAGAGTAATTGAACGTTGCAACTTTTAAAGATGTTTAAAATTTCTAATTTATATTTATTGGTTTTGTATAACATATTTTCTACTTTAAGAGTAAAATCAAGATGGTTTCAGAGAACGAAGAAGATTCAGAAATAATTTTTTTTATTTCCAAACTATTTGAAATTATACATACTTTTAATTTTGAAGAAATTCCTTTAGTTAAAAGATTTTTGGAAAGTAAAAAATTGAAAAATCATAAAAACAAAACAAAGAGAATATACGTGTTTGGTAATGATGTTGCTGTGAAAGTGTTCATCATCTTTGAACAACGTATTCGATCTTTACGATTAATCCAAAGACTAACCAAGCTCAAACCCCTTCCCTCTCTTGTTCCTATTTGTCTCTAAGCAACCCTAATTTTGGTCTCGTATTGTTTTTCTTTTCTTCTCTAGTACTCATATTTTATATTTGTAGCTAGGTCCTCACTAAAAAAACAGAAAATTGTAAAAAAAGGATACTTTTAGAATTACCCTCAATAATAAAAATAGAAAATTCAAAGAAATATACATATTGCTGCCTTCTAATGAAAAAAAAATTCTCAGGGATTTTAAAATGGATCTGGTGATACTTAAGAGATTTCGTTAGGTTGTGTAATATGTATAATATAATGTTTAAAGACAACACAATCTTCAGTCGATGGGGAAAGTTATAGTCCGCTATGATATTTACTCATTTCACGACACAACAATCATAGAACAAGAACCATTCTGATTTCGGTTTATAGATCATCGATCTATATATCTTTGAGAGATTTGATGGTATCAATTTTGTGAAAGCTAATATCATAAACAAACTGTATAATTGTTTTGCTTTTTTATTGCCACATAACATTTTTTATAATTATTAACTAATTTTTTTGATGTAGATATATCTTCAAAACTACTCTGAATTTTATATTTTTTTGCAAAACAAACATAAACCATTACAGTAAGAAAGTAAATATCAGATCCAAATGATTTTAGTTTTTGGTTCTGAGCAATATAAATAATTTTGAAAAGATACAATGAAAAGTTGCAACTATTTAAAATAAAAAGATGCAACCATTTATAATGAAAAGATGCAACCATTTATAATGAAAAGATGCAACCATTTATAATGAAAAGATGCAATCACCAATTTTGAAATGACACAACTTTTCAAGGTTCAATTGGCATTTATTCAGATTATTATTATATATAGATTTATCAAATGATTATAGCTACAGTAATGCTCTATTATCACAAAAACGTACCATGAATGTAGTAATTGAGAGAGGGTACACAACAAGAAGAGAAAATCAGAAAATATAATGAGTACAAAACACGTGTCAAGTTTCGTCCCGCGGTGTACGGTTTGCACAAGCGTGCTTATAATTGGCCCGGTCGTTGCTGTACAGTCCCAGGCTTCACCTGCCCTTTCTCTCCTCGCCAACTCTTTCCAACCATTTCTTCTTCACTTTATTATTTATTATTTACTTTTTGTATTACTTTATTCAACTTGTCCCCTAATAATAATTCTATTTATCGATTCTTCTTCATATATAAAAAAAAATTCTTTCTCCCGGAATTGGACTTATTCACCTAATGCTTCTTAGTCATGAAATTTTCCACGACCAAACTATAAAGAAATATGATATATCCACTGGTTTTCAATAATTCAACCAATTATAGAGTCTCTCTATGCCTCTTTATAAAATCCTCAACAAATTATTCCATTCGTGATTAGACAAGTCAGAGTGATTATCCACTTTACTAAAACCTTCATTTGCCCTCCCGGAAACTTTGAGAGCAAGAGATCATTTTAGAAAGAAAAAAAATGGCTTCGTTTGTTTCCGAGAATGTTGCTGCTGAGAAAGTTGATGCCATGAAGAGGTTCGAGAGAAGGAAACAGTTTTGGAAGTTTCCTCCTGCCGTTGAAGCTCTCGCCGTCGTGTTACTTTTACTCTCTTGGTTTACGCCGCCTCTCTCCACCGGTGAGTATCTACGGCGGGTTACTTCCGGTGGTTTGACCGGTGGAATATTCATATTCGGAGTCGTCAACGTTCTCATCGCCCTGATATTTTCTTTATCTAACCGCCAGAAGCTAAACGAGCCTGATCTGTATTTTCAATACGTTTCCTCCTCGGCCACTGCTCCTGTCCGCGGTTTCTCCTCCGTCGTCACTCCTGTCGACGGTTGCTCTTCCGCCGCCGTAGTCTCAAAACCTCCGGCGTCTGACAACGAAGGAAAGACTTCATGGGGAAAGACAGAGACGGACTCAGCTTTGTCTGTTACACTGGAAAATAAAGATCCTACTCTAACCACCGAAGAGGCTCGACCGGTGAGGCGAGAGATGGTCCGGGCGGTCAGTTCCGTGGCGGAGACAGCACATGCTATAAGGAGGAAGCGTGAAATGACGTTTCTCCCCCCAGCTACAACTGGTGATCATGTTTACAGGAGGTCGAGATCAGAGAAGCTTGGCCTACGGGGAGATATTCGCCGGAGCATGAGACGGTTGTGCGACATGGATGATCTGAGCAACGATGAGTTTAGATCAACGGTGGAGACGTTTATCGCAGGGAAGAAGAAGATGTTGTTGAAGGAATGGATGAAGCCGTGAAATATTATTATAGGATCATTAATATTATATAGTCTTATTATTACCCTCTTTTTTGTGTGTGAAGAAGTAGTCTTATTAGCCTTTTAACCTTCTGTTTGGATTGTGATCATTTCTTAACATTTACGTCAATCATATATTCCTACAAAAACCAGAAATGAAAACTTTCTTGTACGTTCGGCAATCTCTTATCGTAATCACTTCCTTAATCAGAACTTAAGATAGATGTAATCGAAATATATTATCCTTTATGATGTTAAAGAAAAAGTTGGACCCTTTGTAAAAGCGGTGAGAGAATAGGAATCGAGAGAAAGGGCCAATGGGGCTACTGGAGAAAGGCTTTTGCGATTTTTATATATTTTAATCAATTGAGATCGTTCATGGGCTTTTCAAAATGACATTGCTTTGTTATTTGAAGGAAGGTATTGACCCAAAAGAAAAAGGAAGGTCCTACCGGGAGTCGAACCCAGGTCGCTGGATTCAAAGTCCAGAGTGCTAACCACTACACCATAGAACCAAGCTTTGTTAACTATGAAAGGTATATGAACCTGTTTAAGATCGTTATAATAAGGCACCATCGCTATAACTAGACGTATCCATGTTAGAATCTCTACGTATTAATCTGATGTTGTGTTTACGTGTTAGGATCATATAAGATCAGCTCGACTAACGTGGCGTCATTTCAAAAGACGAAAACATCAAGCAAACAAGTACAAGTTCTTACAAGATAAGTATTATGTGCACATATCTAACATATAGTATAAACGATAATAGCAGCAGGTGAAAATACTCCATTGCTCTGGATTTATTATTTAACTTGATAAATATTGATCTCTTATAGTAATACAAATTCGAGCCTGATATTTTCTAGAAAACCTGACATTTTCCTCGTTTAGAAAAGATCGAGTTTCCACATGTTCTTTTCTACGACTCATGCATATATATATTTACTTTGTCTATCTTCGTTTTATGGAAATTAAAAAAACACACTCTCTCTCTTTTCAACAAAAAAAATCTAGATACCGACGGAATACGCTGTAAAGTGTATAACTCTCTTTTCTTGGATTCGTGTAACTCATGCCTCTTTGTTTTATATTTTTTAAGTTTGTTAAAATATAATCGAGTTAATTATGAACTTTTTTTTAATTAAGAGCACACGAGAAGAAAATTAAATATCTAGGCTTTTTAGATCATATAACTAGAGTCGGTGACTTATTTTTTTCCTTCTGGTCACGAGAGTCGGTGACTTACTAACATATATAAATTTGCTTTTCTTCTCATCATACACATTTGTCGAAAGTAGCTTTTCATAAAATCATTATTACAAGTGAAAGTAAACTCACATTATTATATAATGGTGCTTGGCGAAATTTTTCCAAGAGCTTCTATAACATATGCACTACTTGGTTATTAATCACTGCTTTCTTTTAGTCATTATACGTACAGCGTTGACTAATGATATATATTGGCATAACAAGAGATGAACAAAACAATGCAAAGTTATTTGATATCTAATTTAGCCTCCTCAGTCCTCAAGATTTATCATGTAAGTAAATAACATATTTTCAAGTCTCATTACCAATAAAAAAATGGATCAAAGCTGGTCTATCCTGGAATTACTTCTTCTTTTTAATCAGGACGACCAACTTTGCTCCACTATCAAAACCGAAACTTACAAATTAAACCGAAACCAAAAGAGATTAAAGAACTAATTCTCCACCTTCAACATTAGTTTTTTTGTTTCCTTTTCTCTAATTCCAAATCCGGTAAATATACGCAACAGTTCTACGGTTTGTTAAGTCCACGGTTAAGTTCCGCCACCAAAACCAGGTGGCGTTGGCCAGAAGCCACTACCAACACCGCCTCCTCCATCACCAACATCTCCGGTAACATAAGTCATGCATGATAATGGCACGAGACATAGCCCACGGCTTCTTAGATCCCTCGTCTCTTCCTCATCCCCTTCTTGTGGTAATGAGCCCTATAATTAATTAACAAATAAGTAACTTTCTGGACTATATAGTATAATCGGATGGAATTTTTCATGTAAACTAGTAATGTATTAAAGGTTCTCTTAAGTATACCAGTGGGGAGACTTTTCCTGGTCGGTTCCTAGATGCTCTCATGTAGGGGACGCTTAGAGTCTGCCCATTAAAAAACAAAGTTTATCATTTGATGAGTTATCACAACTTTACTACTTTTTTCTATATATATATATATATATATATCTTTAAGATTATAAGATGATGACCACGAACATCAGCTTACATTTTTCCAATTATCCATTATAATTAAAAGAAACGGAGAAAGGTACTTACTACGTAGTGCGCCAAAGATATGATAAGATAAAGACCAACTCTCTAACTAATCTCTTGCTTTAAAGGCAAGTTAAAAGCTTATGGAACTAATTAATTAGTTTTCGGATATAATTGTGTGGGTTAGCCCATACTCCCTACTCTTATAATTAAAGTTTGATAATTTCAGTTTGTGTTCATTTTTTATTAGATTATAATCTAAAGTAATTGATATATAAAGTTGAAATAATTGACAAAACGGGGCGAGGATCAAGAAGAATGTCTGGAAGTAATTAACATGGAACTATATATTAATTTAGCTATTTTCCGACGGTGCCATATAAATGTACACCACTCAAAACTTCATTCCTTGAATAGTGTGTATTTATACATTCGTATATACGCAAGTAATAAGTATATATATGATCATATGTACAGATATACGTATACGTACGGATGTATGGATGTGTAAGACATATTGACATGCATGCATTGAAGTTACCTCAATCTGGTTCTGTAGGAATTTGATGTATCCAATTGCCTCCATTAGTACAGATGCTGTATCTGTCTGCAGTTGAGCATTTTAATCAGCTCAGCTAATTACTCATTTAATCGACATATGAGTATGAAAATAACTTTATCTACTTTGGATCATTCTTGAAAATCAATACTATCTTTATGGTAGTTATGTTAACTTTTTACAACGTAATAAAATTGAATTTCCATCCTATTATATATGATTATACTTCCTTTATCTTTATATTATTGATGATGGTCTCACACAGAAAAATGGTTAGATCAAAAAATTTCAGGCTACTAAATACTGCAATGAAAAAACTAATTAATACTACTTGAAAACTTAAGGATTCTATGTGTTGTCTTGACAGATTTTCAAATTTGACAATGTTTTCATTGTTTCTCTTCTTTTTAGGGGTGCTATAAATGATTATAGCTGTTTAGATCAAATATAATAACCTAAAGGAATGAATAAATTAAAGTGTGGAATAAGTTTGGGGGAAATTAATTGTTGCTAATTTACCTTCCCAAAGGGTGAAACCAACTGCTGCAGAGCTGCTATTCTGTCTCCTAACTTCTCTTTCCTCACCTGTTTTTCAATTTCCCAACATATGATCGTTAAAATGAACAATCAAACTGAATCTTGACTTAATTTTTCGTTTAAATTGTTTTATCGACGTTCTAGTAAACGGATTATCTCAAATTTTGAATAATAGTAAAAATGTTTACATTTTATTATAAATGTTCTCCATCAGACACTTTCTCTTCCACATATTTCAGTGTACAGTACTACCTAGCTACGAATATTTTTCAGGCTTTCTTTTGTTTCTTCAAGAAAAATAAAAGACAACTAATTAAGTTGAAAGTACTTAAAGAAAGAAACAAAAGTAGTAGTAGTAGTAGTAGTAACCTTGAAGGGTGGGCAAGAGGAGCGTGATTCCACGCGGGGTTTCTTGGAAGCATTTTCGCCTGCCTTTGTTGCCATCAAGAAGTTATGTCTCTTCCCTTCGCTTCCTTGAGCTTCATTGCTGAACATTTCCATCTTCAACACAAATCAGAAAACCCATTAGACTAGTTACGCATGCATGATTGCATATATATATATATGTATATATAATTAGATACCGTCGTTCATAATTATTATTATTCGATATAAAGAAGAATAATAGCAAGTAATAATAGCCCCGACAATGAGAGAAAAAATGTTAAGTAAAGAGATTCATAAAAAGACAATAAAACAAAGTAAGGAATAAAGAGAAAGAAAAAGAAAAGAGAGAACAAAGGTTGATGTTTCAGCTTAAAGAGAGAGAGCTGCTTACGAATTATGTTAAAAGGTTTAATAGCTCAAACTTTGGCCCTCCAACCAAGAACCACAAACATCAAAGGGAAAGATGAATAAAAAGAAGACTAAAAGTTTTTACGTATATATATTATTATTATTCTATCCTCTTTTTTTTTTCCCTATTCATCATAACTTTGTTACAAAGCTCCAATATTGTACAAAGGTCTCGCACTTTACACTAATCTGATTAATCTACTCTACTTCATGACAATATATAGTATTTCAGTCTTGTTTTTGCTATTTTTCTCATTTCAGTTTATGTTTCTGTTCTTTCTGAATTGCAACAAATTAATTTATATGATATCAAGTGTGCAAAAAAGTTCTGCGAATAATAAAGCAATCTATATTCCGTTTATGTATAAAGAAAAATGAATACTTATACAGAAACTAATTAATATAAGCTTTAGACTCTCTTTTATGACTGACATAAAATTATGAGAATAAAGCTGAAAGGTTACCATGCCGTAGTTGTATGATACTAAATAATATTTGACTACATTCAAAATTCAGAAATGATAGAATTAGAGCCCTAAACGTAATGCTTTCAGATGCACTCACTTCACGAGATTCACTGTCAGACCAATCCTTCGAACCCATCATTTATAATTATAAAAACAAAAAAAATGAAAAGAAGAAAAGATAAAAGAAATATAAAGTAACAATTCAAAATAAACTTACTTGATGAGTAGGGGAAGAAGAAGGGTGAAGTGTTTGCTGCAGATGATGATGAAAAGGGAGGCCAAAAGGAGGAAAGCTTCCTCTACTCATCCCAAGATTACTAATCTCTTGAGAATTTAAAGGAGGAACTAAGACATTCCCTTCAAACAATCTCCCATCCAAAACTTGCATGTTCATATCGAATGGTCTTGGGATGTTGGTCATGTCCATGCTCATCCTCCGAGACTCGCTCAAGCTAGATATGTTCACGCTTGGGTATATCTGACTGAAGCTGCCTCTATGAGACTGAGATGAAGGTGAAGAAGAAGAAGAAGATGATGATGGAAGGCTGCTGGTATAATCTCCATTGATGGGGAACCTAGAAGATATAGTATTGAGAAGAAGCTTTTCAGTGTAGTCCTTGTGTTCATTGATCTTCGAGTAGTTTGTGATCACTGGACTGTTTAACATGTCTGTGAACTTGGGCATGCCTTGTTGGTGGTCTGGGGTAGTTGATGAGGAAAACTCTTCTTTGATCTTGTGATTTCCTTCATGATGATGATAGGAAGATTGGTCGTGAGGCCATTGTAAAGGAAAGTCTTGCTGTTGGAGCAACGAGTGATTGTGGATGTTAGAGAGACTCATACATTCACTTGTGTTGTTGTTGTGATCTGTTGTGTTTAACATCTCACTGTTATAGTTTTGACTCAAGCTCACACCATTCCTGTCACAAAACCACACAATTTTTTCTTTATTTTGAACCAATACAAATCTATGTATAGAGAGAGTAGAAGAATAATAGAAAATTAATATTTTATCAGCCACTAAAATTCTATCTTGTTGTATTTCTAAAACCAGAAAAGAAAAGAGAAAAAAAAAGAAGAAGAAAGATTCGAAATTCTTCATGACATGTTGATACCAGGAATATTCAAAACACCCAACTAACTGCAGAAACTTATTAACATACACGTGTTAAATATCTATATGGGGTCACGTATGAGTGTATCTATATATACATATATATGATGTTATAGAGAGGACAGAGAGTGTGTAAGTGGGAGACTTACAAAGAAATACCTCCTGGGCTCCATTGATGGGTAGAAGAAGCTCCATAGCAAGAAGGTTCAGAGTTATTGTCTAAGGAAGAAGAAGAAGAAGAAGACCCTACAAGTTGTAATTGATCTTGATGAAGCTGATGCAGATTAGCAGAGTCCATTTGTATGAGAGATGATGATATATATACTTAATATATCTGTTCTCTGTATCTGTGTATATGTATATATATGTTTGTGTGTAAAGAAAGATGAAAAAGAAAGATGATTTTTGAAGAGTTTCTCTTGAAAATCCCAAGAGATTTATAATAAGATGAAGTAATTAATTAAACTTGTTGCTGTATATATGTGCCCTCTCATATCTCTCTATTCCTCTCAAAAGCACATCACATAACATTACCTTAGCTTTTTTGAAGCTTAGACACATCTCTCTCTCTCTCTCTCTCTCTCTCTCTCTCTCTCTCTCTCTCTCTCTCTCTCTCTCTCTCTCTCTCTCTCTCTCTCTCTCTCTCTCTCTCTCTCTCTCTCTCTCTCTCTCTCTCTCTCCTATTTCAAGTACCTATATTCTGAAAAGCAATAAAACCTTCAAAAGAAAGGAGGGGAAAAACCATTCAATAATGCAGGAACAAAAACTTATATTTATAATATTCACATATATGTATATCTAGATGTGTATACATATATATATATATATATATTCTTCTCTCTCATGGGCTCTCTTTCTAGAGTATATGCCCTACTTTTCTATATATAAGTATTTGCATGTATATAAATTTGTATAATTTCGAATGTAGCTTTTTGGCCTCTCTCTCTGCAATTAGAGGGAGATGATTATAATTCCTGAAAGCCATGATTAGTGTCCCAAGCTCCTGCCTTCGATCCCAAGGCTTTGCAACAGTTGTCTCAGACGAGAAATGATGGCATCCATCCATTTCTGTCTACTGTATTTCAATTCTCTCTTTATCTCTCTCTCTCTCTCTCTCACTAATATCTATATTAGTAACTATGAATTTAAATTACGAAAAGCAGTATGAATATACATATTGCCATTTGTAATTTAAACTCATGTGTGAGATGAGTACATATGTGCCAGTACATTTGTATATGTTACAGCAATATGTATATACTGCATACATTGTAATATAATAGTAAAGAAAATTGTTTTGCGATGATTAGTACATGTGTATGATAACTGAAATCATGTGGATCAAGTCCAAAGTATCTTGAGCCCAAACGGCCAAACCCACTCCTTGATTAGAAGTTATCGTTCTGACTTAACAGTGTGCATGTCACGCTTTATACGTACCAATGTAACATCCAACTATCATTAACATCAATTTATATACAAACCTCAGTAAAGCCAAGCCTACGATGTAAAAATGGTTGACGGTGTGGAAGCACGGGGATGTACTAGTAATTTGAACAGAACATATCTGAGAATGTTTTTGGATTTGTTATTTTCGTATTAAAATACCATAAACAATATACACATAAGAAAGTCCATTGATTATTACCGAATAATGAATATTACGTTTATTTATAATCATTGAATCAGTGAATACAAAAAAAAATATACGACACATAATTTACTTTTTTGAAACGTTTTAGAAAAAAAGAAAGAACTAGATTTTGAGAGAAAAAAAAGCTTTCTAAAACTTATAATTACTAGATCAACTCTTTAACCCATGAACCTCAACAATCAATTTGTAATAAAATCAGAACAACCACGTATAATTAAAAATAACATACACACATACTCACATATATAAATTTTAATTGACAACACAAAATGATAGACGACATTTTGTGATGGTAATAAATAGTAATAAAATCATTTAAAAAAACAGCAATGGATTTTCGACGGATTAACGAAATTTTAACCTGTACTTTACTTAGACTAAATTAACTTCACCACAAATTTTAAATATAGTTTAGTAGTAAATACAGTACAAGTTAAAATTTTCATTCATACTTATGAGAAAATAAACGATTTATGTTTATTATGTATGGGGGATCAGAGTAACAATGTTTATGTATTGACTATTGAGGTTGCAACTCAGTTAGAAAGCCAACAACGAAACTCATTTAGTCATTTTGTGCTACTAGCTAGAGATGGAAATGATGATCTCGAAGGCTTTTTCTACCTTTTTTTCAAGTGGAATAATTGTAGTAGCAGGAACCACCACTACGGTACCCTAGTTACAAATATAAAACATATAAAATAAAAATCCAAATTAATCTACAGAGGACTAAATAGCATGAAACCAGTCATCATTCACTGTCATGGTGACGTCAAGTCCTCCGAAGGCATGCTGAAGCTACGATATACTATTATAGAATTATATTCATATATTTTTTTTAATGTTTCTTCTGGTAGTTTTTGATTGGTAAACTCATTTTCTCCCATGTGTTTTTAGTGAAATTGGCAAATAATTCGTTCTTTCTAACTTTTCAGAAGATTTAGATGCAAATGGAGCAAAATGAACAACAATAATATATGGAATTTTTGAATAATGTTACAAGGAAGGAGTAAGGAACCAACCTTATGAGACGAGCACTTATTTAAGTTTAATCTCATCAAGTTTATTATATATGCATGATCATGCATTTTCAATTGTTTCTTTGTTATCCAAATAACTTTTTTTTTTTAATTCAAAATAGCATAACAGTTGTAATTAAGGACTCGATGAATAACTAAAAGAATTTAAAAACGCTTGATTTAATAAAACAACTCAAAACAAAAACACAAATAAATGTTTAAAAACTGATAAAAAATGCAACACGTCAGTTAAAATGAATTGTGTCATGCAATGTGTTTTTATTATGATTGGTTCCAAGATGAAGGTGTGACTTTGTGATCGATTCTCCCATCTTTTGGATCAGGTGGAGGTTCTCAAAAGAGAAACGAACTCTATATGTATGTGAGTTAAGAGAACTGATTTTGGCTGCAAAAGGATAGGGAGGAGAGAATTGCCAATCTGAAGGGAACATAGAAGATATTTCGTGTTTTGATAATTAACCTAATCGGCATGTATGTACATTTCAATAACTTACAATCAATAATCATTTCCATTTAGGGTAGAGAGACATATATGCACGAGATGACTTGACAAAGTGATTGTCGATTATTTTTAGCGTACAAGAGGCGCCAAACTTTTATTAGGTGTTACAAAAAAATTATGTGTCATGCAACGTAATTTGCTGTGATTGGATATGAAAGATGATGTGTCATATTCTGATGTTATGACTGGCAGATTTTTTTTTTACGCAGAAATGAACGCTTTCAAAAGAGAAATGTTAAAGCTTGGATATATCTGCTATGTGATCCGACGAATGTCCAACACGTATTGATTAAAGATATTTCGGATGTTTTTTGTGTGTGTTGAACATTAATATTTCGGATGTTATAGACATACAGTACGTTTGTGTTTATTTAGAGTTTATGTTCTCTAACTACATCATTGTCCCCATTTCCTTATTGTGATTGAGCGAGATAGTAGAAAATAAAAAAAGAAAACTTGTAAAACTCTCAAAAGCCTATTATGTAGTGAAATTAAATCCGGCAAAAAGTAGACGTAACTTTCACGTTGAAAATAAACCATTATAAATCAAGTATTTTTTTTGTTTCTTTTATTGTTTTTATGAGGATTAGATTCTGGATCCAAGTATTAACAATAACAACTCGTTCATACATAAATTGTTTCTTATATAGTGACTCAAAAGTGAAATAAGTTAAGATAATGATCAGTCTACTGTTGATAAAGCTGTCACCAATTCGATCGCATCTAAAAGGAATGTTTAATTAATAAACTAACTAATCGTGTGGAAAACCACTAATTTATAATCGATCAATCACTTAGTTTATTAACTTTCCCTTATAAAAAATAAAATGAAAAATAGATAAAAACAGATAGAAAAAGAGAGCAACAAGACTCGCATCAGAAGAAAGGGACGTTGGAGAATGTGATGAGATCAGAAAGGAGTATGGGGAAACTTTGTTTTCACTTTTTTGTGTTTCTTTATCCTCTCTATTTTTAACTTCTGCTTGCACGCTCACAAATCTCTATTTGTTTTCTTTTTCTTCTTCTTTCTAATGTTTAAGCAATTATGCTATTCCAATGCATGTCTACTTGCGTCAACAAAAAGTTATTGTGATGTCAATTTGTATACTAATGGTCCTTGGAGTCATTGTCGTCGAGCCTTAGTACTAATTAATTGAGACGATTTTGCAAATTATAGATAATTAGGTTTTAAACTCAATCTTATACTTGCGTTGAAAGTCTATGGACTTGCTTGCAAACAATATAAAAGATAAGGAAATAAAATCATGGAGGCATTTTGTTTTTGGTCAGAGACACTCACCATGAGACCATATATGGTCTCATGTTTAATCTACTAGCTTATGAGTGATGACGTGGACTGGACATATAGGATGGACTGATAGTAACCAACTAACCACTTGATTTTGTCTTACAAAGATTAAAATCCGAAAACTAGTTTTTCGTACTAAATAATTATTTCATTGCAAGATAAAATGATTAGTGATGGTTTTAAGGTTTAAAGATCATCCTACCATAGGTCAAAATAAACTTTCAAATGCACAACAAGATCAATCTGTGTTGCCGTCTCTAGTTCTGCGGGCATCTGAGAAAAGCAAATAAAGGTAGGTAGAAGCAAATCTGTAGATACATCAACGCGAGACCACATAAAAATGGAACAAGATGCCATAAAGCAATAGCAAACAACATCCACAAGTGGATATATAGAAGATGATTGTTCTATAGAAACTGTTTGTGTCCTCAATATCAGCAGATCCTGCTTCAGCGGGAAGAGCAATGCACAAGTGATATGGACTATCGTCTGGAAGACAATCCAGACAACCCCAACTCTGCGACAAAAGGAACTGAAGATTCAACGACCTACCAGACAAGTTGATGAATATACCAATTATCATTTGATCACTTATATTCATATTTATAAGTACATATGTATGAACATTTCCACTAGGAGGAGTCTAAAAATAGCATTAACTTAGATACACCATATGTAAAAGGAGTTTAAGAAATGATATAGGCTCCCTCCATCCATTATCGAACTTGACCTTAGATCTTGAAAAGTTATCCTGTGTTAATCTTTTATATTGGGTGCCTTTTTAAAAGTTTTGTTAGAAATATATGTATTAATAATATCAAAAGTATAGTATTAGGTGTAGGAGCTAAATTTGTTTTACATCAGTTACCAATCAAGGCTCCATCATCGCCATCACAACACATCACTTTAGAAATGATACTCGTTTTAATTAGTCATAAACTGGTCAACACTCGCAAAGATCATTATCATAAATGGGTCACACAGTGTGATGGGGATATAGTATATATACCAACATTATTAAGTTAAAGTTGCATGGGTTATAATATAATCAAATCATATATTGTTAACATCTTGCATATCGCGATATGTTTTGATAGATATAAAATGTTTTTATATATTAAAAAAAAGAATGTTATATGCACAAAAGGTTTGTAATGATTTTCAAAATTTGCTTAGCCAACTAAGAATCTACCTTTGCCCATACATGATAGATACTTAAACAGAGAAAAAAAATAGGATCGAGTGAGCCAAGATTTTTATCTATACATACAAAGATATTGATACGTACGCCTAATATTAACAATAATGATGTGATTACATCTATTACATGAATCTCTTCAAAACATGTAATTCATCATGTCAATTGCAGATTTGCAGTTTACTATTACTGGTTGACACAAAACAATTCATGTGCAGATATCATGTTTCTATATATACCAAAATATATTACGATACTTTTTTAGTAGAAATTAATAAAGAAAGTCTAGACCTCTAGCTAGGTGCCATGTTTCTCAACATTTGAAGCTTTTGATTTTATATACAGTACACTCTTTCTGAATGTTTAAGATTTCGAAGTTTTACAATATAACTTTACAATCTTCGTCGTATACGATATTCCTTGTTCTTTACAACTCACTAATTAGCATCTTCCAACAATGAATGATGTGGGTTTCGAATTAAAATGGCAAAACATAATAAAACGCTAATATAACGACTTTCACGAATAATAGAGGTATCTATATAAACGGAACGTAGTACAAGGCAATGCACTGACGATAGTTCATGATTAGATAGATTTCAAAGGAAATTAAAGATGGTCGTGGCTGGTCAAATATATGAATTATTATGTTACGAACAAAAAAAAAAAGATAACCTCTTTTTTTCGGGGGTTCAAAATGAAAAAAAAGCAGAGAACAAAGTCCTTAAAAGGAGGGTCCTTAAAAAGTATGGTAAAGCAATTTTATTTATTTTAAAGTTGTCTAAGAAGAGGACAAAGGCTTTAGAGCAGGGGAATATATGCTTTCTCAAATTTAGGGCATCACAGTCCAACAGACTTTCCCCATCCCTTCTCTTCATCATCTTTATATTTTCCTACATTTTTTTACAACTACAAATATCATATTTTTAATACTCACTTTGATTATCTAATTTTCAGTTTCATATATACAGAAACGCAACCATACACGCGCATGGGTTGTCTTTGAGTTATTACCATTACATGGAACAGGACATCATAACGGTGTCCAAGTATATAGACTATATATAGTCCATCTTTTATTCCTTTTACAATTATTTTTGGGTTTGCCAACCAAAACTAAAGTTTCTCGTCTTATTTTAATCTAATCATCTAGATCGAATGCATTTTTTTCTGTCGTCTAATCTATAATGAATGTTTAGAGTTTGAGTTGATAAGTTGCTCAACTTTTTGGTGTAATATGGCTAAAACTCAGTATGTATTATATATAGATGAACTTACAAGAGCTTATAATTTAAGAATTATGCATTTGGCTAAGACACCTCTTGAATTAATAAAGCTTCGTATGGGTTTATTACTAATATATAGTCCACCACCCTAAAGGAGACGGCAAAGAATTTATCCACGTGGGGCAATCTATATGTCTACTAATCTACATAATTGAGATTATTCATGTGACAAAATTCAGTAGACAATATGTTGTGTTACTGTGAATACAGTAAATGAAAAGTAAGAATAAACAAAGACATTCGTTTATTTGATACTTAAAAAAGTAATATGTATCCCGTAAAAGTACATGACAGTGTCGAGGGCGGGGAGATCGGGGCTTGGTGGTGTGGTGGTACGTTGGAGGTGACGGTAATGATAATTGTGTGAAGAACTACTGAATTATATAGTTGATATATTAACCTTGATTTTCTTGAATTAAGTATTATATCTTTGTGAAATTTTTAGACGTGCGACAAAAGTATATGATAGTTTTTCACGTGTAATAAATAAGCGTTCATCAGTTTTGCAATATTGATTTTATTCTTTAAAATTAAGCTAGATGGAATCAGCTTCTCACTAGAAACTGACATTCGACTACACAAGTTGTTAAAAGGGCCCTGCATGCAAAGGCTTTGTCAAAAGATGGTTAAGTTCTTAGCAAAAAAAAAAAGATGGTTAAGTTAATTACTACTTGAAACGTGAATGGTCTTGAGGATTCATTCTTAAGCTTATATTTTAACTGTGAGAGTGTGAGACAATCAGATATTTCATATGCTGCCTTCTCCTAGAAATCAGGATTAGATGCAATGTGAATAGTTTGTATTCAATATTTGAAGAAGCCAAACATAGAGTAATAGAGATACAATTGGTTAGAAAAGTTGGGTCATTAATCTTGGAGATCATCTCTCCACTAGATCAAGTTAATGCAACGCCGCATGTGTCTTCTCTACCTGAAACTAGAGATCACATCTCGTCTTCCTCCATTGCGCTCTCTCGAGGTCAATATGGCACTTAGCTCTTTACCGGCCAAGAAATACGTGGAATCAGCTTCTCACTTGGCTTTAACTTGGGACCAAACTCAGGCCCGATCATTAAAAAAAAGTTGAAGAACTATCAACACTTTTAAAAGGAAACTAAACTCTTTTAACCCAACAAGAAGATAGTACAAGGTTCTAAGGAACAATGGTGATGGTGAGGATCAATAACAAGGGGACGAGGCAACAACGTTTTTCTCCTAATCAAAACTACAAGAAAGTAACCCCAACATTTTTATAATCTAAAAGGAGTTGATTCCAAGGACTTCAAGTTCCCAAATTAGAACAACCAAATGAAAATTCCATTACCAGATTTCACCGATTTCAGAAACAATCAGCAAACGCAGACCACAGAAGCCACATTGCAGCAGTTATGATATTGAGTAACAACCCTTTTTTATGCTCCTCCTTCTTCCTTCTCCTCCCGTTCTCTGTTCCATTGCTCAATCCTTGCCCTCCTCTCCTCACTTCCTTCTCTTCCACCGCCAGGGCTCCCTCCCCGTTTAGGGCTTCCCTGTCTCCTTCTTGAACTCTCTCTGTCTCCTCTCTCCGACCTCTCACTGCTCCTTTTCCCACTTCCATGACGGTAAAACTCGCGATCTCTGTCCCGGTGGCTGAATTCCCTGTGAGGAGGATCACGCCGGTCATGATCTCTCTTGTGCCTGGGGCTTATACTCCTGCTCCTGCTCCTGCTTCTGCTTCGGCTTCCCCTGCGGTACGACCGGCGATACCTCCCAAAGAGTTTTCTCCTTAGCTCCCTCGAAACAAGCTTCACGTGCATGAAGTTACAGTACCCACCACGGTTACAGTTGTTCTCTTCGTACTGCCTACAGGTGGCTTCGCGGAAATCCGTCACGGGAGAGAAATCCGCAATGATGGGACGCCCCGAATAGAACCTGCCTTGCAGAGCCTGCAGAGCGGCTGCAGCCTGATCCTCTTCCTTGAACTGAACATATACGTTGCCAATCATGTGGTCAGCGAGGTTGTCACAAATGTTGAGGCTTTCTATCTCGCCGAACTTTCCAAGCTCCTCAAAGAGATCCTCGAAGAAATCCTCAAAGTGCTCTTGGATCTTGCGCGGGTCGAGAGGCTGGCCCTGAGCATCGACGCCTGGGGTTATCATGTCAGGCCTCTGGTACATGTTGGAGAGGAGGAGTGTTGGGGAGATGGTGGGACGGTTGTGGAGACGAGAGCACCGGTCACCATGACGGCAAGCGCCAATCTTGAAGTAGAACGGGCAGTTCACTCTGTCCTTCTCGGTACCAAAGATTGAAGCTAAATGCTCCGCCATGGCAGAACTCCTACCCTGATTTACCAAAAATCAACAAGCACGAAAGAATATTTAAGGCTCCGCAAGAAAAAACGCTTAAACTTTCAATGGGAATAGATTGAAAAAGATTAGTATCAATCCGAAACCTTGACTAATTGTAAAGCCATAGATTTCTCTACAAGAGTATGAATTAAAGTTACGAGAGCGAAGAAATAAAGAAGAGGTCGACGAACAATTGAAGATAAAAATTGCATAGATCTTAGTCAGCTATTGAATTCAGTGGAAACAAGAGAGATAGAACCACGAATCACATGAAGCTAATTAATCAGATACATGAGCTGATATAGAGAAGCCTAATCGAAAGAGACGAAGCAGAGCACCAGAATAGAGCTGAGATGCACAGAGACAATGGTAGAGAGAGAGCCGAATTAGATCACCAAAAGCGAAGAAAGAGAGAGAAGGCGTACAAACTGTTACAGAGTTGGATGAGATTGAGAGATCTGTGAATGAGTAGCCGCCGCCGGTTGAAGGAATTGCCGACGAGGAGCTGCCGTCTCCGTCCGATTGATGATCTAGGGTTTGCTTTGTTCGCGAGTTAAGGGGGGAGAGAGAGAGGATCTCCGGACCTGATATGAGGATTTATATTTAATTGAATTAAAGATTAAAAAAAAAATGGAAAGTAAACAATGTGGTTTGGTTTTGAACTTTTGATTATAAACGTATTGACCCGGTTTACACGATTGGTATTAAAAATATCAAAATGTGAGAATAAATTATAAAATTCGCTAACTACAAATTACATCTTCTAAGAGGTTTGTTTAAACCTTCTAGATCAAAATATGGAGAAGCTAAACACGATATGATTATATTTCAGTTACTCGATTTTTTCATATACAACAAAATTTTGGGCATCTATATGGTTCTTACCGTTTAGGCTGCTAAAATGTAAAAAGTTGAAATGATCATGGTATTTGTTGCGGTTAAGACATGATCCATGCAAAGTTCCTTCACATTATTTATGTATCTTACGAGTAAATTTTTTGTTGTTTGTTCATAAAGTAATTTGTGGTTGGTTTACTATTATTGTTTTTGTTTGAGTTTTTTTCTTTTATGAAATAGGTTTTGTTTGGGTTTTCTTTAATTTTATTTATTTTTGTAAGGAAAAAGAAAACGTTGATTAGTCGGAAACTTTTGACGAGTTGAAGAAAATAAATTATTGTCTATTTACTTTTTTCTATTTTTATTTTGATTTGACTATTAATAAACCCTTTGTTGATTTTCTAATGAAATATATTGTACTCAAACTTCGTTTATATTTATGTGGAACGTCAAATTATCACTGTCTGAATGGTTAATAAGTGCCGTAATAATATTTTATCAAATCAAACTCAAAACAAAAATCAGTCGAATCGATTGTGAAGTAATAATATCCGATTTGAATTTCGGTTACAAAAGAAAAATAGGGAAAAAGTCAAAAAGCTATAGTATTCGTTTTTTCTCAATCAAATATTCAATACTACTATTTGTATTTGTAATTCAGGAGAAATGAAAAACAATGCCGGGAAAACGAGGAAGAGCGGTAAGAGGGACACTTAAAACCCAAATTCTCAATTCCTCAATTTTCGATGGGTTCCCGATTCATGTCTCCGCAACCCCTCCCCGAGACCCATTTCCGCCACCGCCGCCGATGAAAGTGCCGCAGCCATCGCCGCCAAGGCAAGTGCCGCCGGTCTCCCGGAAAGTTGCGCCCTCTTCCTCTCGATCGAAGCCCAAAGCACATATACAGCGGCAGCCTCCGGATCACTCGCAGGAAACTCCAGTACCATCTCCTCTTCATTGTTCACCAATCTCCCCTTCCGGATCTGCGAACCCTCGAATCTATCCCAACCTGCTGGGTTTTCCTCTTCTGCTTCGTCCTTCTATCGACTCCGCAAAGCTTCTCTCACATCTGACGAGAAATCGAAACCGGAATGCCAATCCGACGCCGTCAATCATGCTCCGGAGTTCCCTCAGGTAGTAATCGCTCCTCCGAAACCCGTTAGGAGAAAGCCTCCTAATCTCATCACAGATTCTGTACCTTCTCCGCCGGTGAAAGCTCCGATGGTGTTTCGTAGTGGCGGCGAGGGCAATTTCGTGAAATTGAACTTAAATGGCAAGAGAGGGAAGAAGTTCCCCAGCAAATACAAGGGCCCCTCTAAAAGAAGCAAGTTCGCATACATATGGAAGAGATACAAAAAGTCGGAAGGGGATGGTGAAGAAGGCGAATCCTTGTTGGAGGAAGATTCTGATCTGCAGAAACAGAGAGAAGAAGAAGCTAATGGTTTTATCAGCTCGGTAGAGGATGCGGTTCTTTCAGTGAAGACTGAGGCTTCCGATGAGAATCTGACGAAGCTGTTGAATTTAGTGTATGGTTATGATTCTTTTCGAGATGGGCAGTTGCAGGCGATCAAGATGGTCCTTGCCGGGAGCTCAACGATGCTGGTGTTGCCCACCGGTTCCGGTAAGTCTCTCTGCTACCAGATTCCGGCAATGATTCTTCCCGGAATCACACTTGTAGTGAGTCCTTTGGTGTCGCTGATGATCGATCAGTTGAAGCATTTGCCTTCAATTATCAAGGGTGGTCTCTTGAGCAGTAGCCAGGTGTGTGCCACAGAATGTTGTTTGTTGCCTATTCTTTATCTTTGGGTCATTTTATTGTCTTTAAAAGTTTTTAATGGAGTCTGCTTTGGAAATTTGTGCCATTAGAGACCTGAGGAAGCAACAGAAACACCGCGGAAACTTAAAGAAGGCTTAATAAAGGTGTGTTGTTGTAGAATAAAGTTTTGGACGGCTTACTTTCGATAAGGCTGCTTGATAAAGTCTAAGGAAATCAGCCAGGGGACAACCTTGTGAAAGTATCTGATAGCGAATTGTGTTTTATAATTTCAGGTTCTCTTTGTATCGCCTGAGAGACTTCTGAATGTAGAGTTTTTGTCAATGTTTCGCATGTCTTATCTGCGTCACTTGTCGTTGTGGATGAGGCACACTGCGTATCAGAATGGTGAGCTTCTTGGCATTTGGTAGATCATTATTAGCCTTTCCTTGTTCTATTTTTCTTGCTTCTTAAGAGCTATTCTAAACAGGTCTCATAAATTCCGCCCTTCATACATGAGACTCAAGACTCAAGGCATCAAGCTTTTGATGGTCAGAACATTGTTACGCTATATGTGCAGTCTTCTCCAAACACTCTGGCTGCACGAAATATTATAGTTGCAGCAATTCTGAAGAAGTAAATGTCTATCCCCTGTCTATAGGTTTTCAGATCAAGCGATTCTGAAGAAGTATTATAGCTGTAGCAATGCTTGAAACATTCTCTGCTTTTTTCAGGACTCACGTGAAGCAAGGGTTACATGTCTTCGATATACCAGCGGTTGCCTCTAGCATAGGTGTTGCAACAACAGATGTCTTGACTAAGATTCAAACTCTGAAGGTTGACACACTTTTCTAGCCAATATGAATCTGTGGCTTAGTATCAGATTTCTCAAGTCTCATCTCATCTTCATTAGCATATTTAATTAACTCGGGAATAATGATTAATTAGCATGCATTAAAAATGAAGAAGAAACTTAAGTCCACAGAAGAGAAGAACATATGAATAAACAAAACTGTTGGACACATGAATTATCTTCACAAAAATGACTCTAGGGTGATGTAGAAGAGATACTTAGTATTGTTTTGAGATAAAGTTTGATTCTATCTCTGTGGATTATTGATGTAGGCTTTACTGAGAAAATTGAATACAACTCTACTGGTGGAAAAGTATATAAGGCTGGATCATGTTTCATTTGTTTGTTCAATTGCTTGTGTCTGTTAAGAATTCTTTCGTGTAAATTCCACGAACTCATAACGTCAATTGATCTTCCTGTTGACGATGTTGTGTGTAAAATTATATACTTTTCAAGATCTTGTTCGTTGATATGTCCTTAAAACGATTGTAGATGAAGGGGGAAGTAACATACGAGATGAAGGACCCAGCCTTTTGTTACACAATCTTAGATTCTCCAAGGGAAACATGTTCGTTGTCCAGTCATCTTACAAAGTGGCTCGCAGAGGTTGAAACTTGCAAAGTAAGTTCTTCAGCTTCATCAACTGCAGCTAACAGTTCCTCGCCTCTTCATGGTCTATCTATGTATAAGTTCCGACACTTGTGCTTTATATGTAGCTATAATGTTGCGTTTGATATAGGTGAGAAAACTAGATATTATGTCTAGTGCAGCCGTGGCTGCGATAAATTTCTCAAATACTTCAGAAGTTAGTTCTGGTGCCAAGCAAACTCAGAGCCTGCAAAGCAGAATTTTGGATTACTTCAATGGAGACGACAAGTGTGACATGCCGAGCAAGACGACTCAAAACTGGTACTAACACATTGTTTCGCTTGTTTTCATAGATTCCAAATATAAATAAGAAATTGGCGCTGTTAAATTTCTTCCCCTACTTTTCTTTGTTCGTCAAAGTTGTCTTTCCATAAAATTTAAAATTGATCAACACTTATTATATTGTGGATGCAGCTCCTTTCTACGAGCAGATATAAAGGTGAAGATCCAAGAAGCCACACTGTTCACTTTTTAATTATATTTTGCTATATACATCCAAAGAATGGTGAGTTAATAATGTTTGTGGGGTGCAAAAACAGGTGTTTTTGCAGAGTAATCGCCAGGCCAAATTCACGCCGAGAGCCATAGCGTGAATAATGCACGGAGTTGGAAGTCCAGCTTTTCCGAATTCAATATGGTCGAAGACTCATTTCTGGTATAATGATCATCACCATTTAATCCAAGCCATGCATACGATTTGATTCAATAACCATGATACATGTGATTTTATTGATATATGGTTTTGCAGGGGAAGGTATATGAGCGTAGACTTCCGAGTGATAATGGAAGCGGCACAAACGGAGCTACTCAGTTTTGTTGACAGAAATGCAGCTTTAGCTACATAGAGTGTGGGCATGAACACACCTACTTGATGAACAAGTATGGCGAGTCTAAATGGATCACACTTGATCACTGTCGCTGAGGTAACGTTTCCTGCTTACTTCAAAATGATAGAGATACCAATTCCAATGCGAATACGAGGATTTGAGTAGATTTTGTTTTCTTTTCCTTTTTAAGTGTGCATGTTCTTACAGTCTAAACTCCATTCATTGTTATACAACAGTAGTAAAATAAATAAATCTGAATCTCGTTTTGTGGTTACAGTATCCATCTTGGCAATGTCAACTTCTTATGAGCTTCTGTTTCCTTTTATGTTGTCAGCTAATAGAATGTTGCAGTCATATTTAGAGTTGTGTGCATTGTCTCTGAGGTTATGAGTTACTAGAAAGGTGGTGTTGCACATTGTACTCGAAAACAGAAGATGAAAGTTAATATTTTCATTGAAAGGAAAGATTTGACAATAACAAAAATATACATATACTTGCATAAACGTAGAGAAGAACAGTGTTTCCTTAGTAGTCAAGTCAGTGAGTCTATTGAGATTGATCACACATAGTTTGGTGATCTCCATGTGACCGGCACAACAAAGCAGCCACCACCGTAAGACGGGTAAGGAGCGAACATGACAGGTCTCGGTGGCTGTATCGGTACATAACACTTTCGCATACGTCTCTTCATCATAAGCTCGTGTTCCACTTCCTTGACAGCAATGTAGCCACGCTTCATCATAAGCTCGTGTTCCACTTCCTTGACAGCGAGGTAGCCACGCTCCATCATCAGCTCGTGTTCCACTTCCTTGACGGCGAGGTAGCCACGCTCTCGATCCAGTTGAAACTGGTCGCGCTTTCTCTTTTGGTCCCGAGCTATTCTGGTAGACATGATGGTGAACACTCGAGCTGTGAGGTCACTGTCGGAACCAGCGTGATGTGCTTCTCCGGCACGCTTGATCTGAAGCTCGTCGGCTATTCTCTGCAGCCCGAAACGGCTATTCAGTCCTTCGCACAGTCCAGCCATCTGCTTCACATCGTAAGTTTGCCCAAGAAGTCTCTGAACCGTTTGGTCGAAATCTTTACGAGTCTCCGGCATAGGTTTTCCTCCGGTCAGGCCTTGAAGTAGATAAGCCAAGTCGTATGAGCCGTCGAAGGTGACCCAAGCCACGCGCTTATCCTCCTCTTTCAGAATCTGAGTAAATTCTCCGAAGAAGTCACTGATCGCGATTCCTTCCTCTCTGATTCTCTTCAAATCAAGACCGTTCCGCCTAAGAAAGTCGAGCGATTTCTCGTTCTTCGCGTCTTTTGTTCCGTCGAAGTCCGAGAAATTGACTTCCCAGGTACCGCGGGTTCTTCCGACCTTGTCGAATAGCGTGAAACCCAACTGAATTGGTTTGGTTCCGTCGACGTTAAACCTCATGTTTCCATACCGCGTTTCATCGCTCGCCCCCATCGCCGTCTCTATCAGACATCCCGGAAATTCAGTATCGATCGCTACGAAACTCGAAGATTTTATGGTTTTTCTTATTTTAACCATCTCCTGCGTTTTGTTGTAAGAGAATATCTGATTGAAATTTTTCATCATTTTTTTTGTTCTGAGAAACAACAAAGCATAGGAAACATGTTATATAGACGTTAGTTTAGGGTTTTCCATTTTTCAAATAACAAAAGTTTCCTTTTTTTTCTTTTTTTCGATACATAGTTTCCAATTTTTTTTTAGACAAAGTTTCCATTTTTATTTCCTTTTTCCTGAACAGAATACAAAATTATATTTAAACCAATATTTCCCGATTAGTCGATTGATTTACAATCATTAATCTTGGTTGATTGTAATTTAATTTTAGAAACCGAACCAATGTAGATATGAAAAAGAAAAAATGAAATAAAATAAATATTAGAGTCTGAAGCTAAAATATGAGTATATATTTTAACTTATTTAAATTGACATTAAAAGCAAAATTTTAAAATAAATTAAATATTATATATATGATTTTGGGGTAATTTATGCATAATTATACATGTAAAAAGTAAAGATATATATAGAAAAATATTTTTTATTTCTAATTTTCCCAATATTTTTCTATTAAAAGCCATATAAATAATTAGATATCAACTGAATTAGAAACTGAGTTACAAATAAAAATGAGATAAATATAAATGAGAAAAGCTCTTCTATCACTTTATTTTTTACTAAAAATTTTTTTACATTTTTCATCTCACCAACTCCATACAAACCTTCCTCCTCGATACAATTCGGCACAACATCGTCTCCTACATTCACAATGGCATCGCCCACCTACTGGTTGGAAGAAATGCAATTTTGATGGTTGTTTCACCATTAGAGGAACAACCGCAGGCTGGATAGTACGAGACAGTGATGGCTTCTATAAAGGTTCGATACAAGCCAAAGGAATGACTCTATCAAATGCCCGCGAAAGTGAATATCAAGCATCGATAATGGCAATGCAACATTGCTGGAGCCAAAGATTCCGGAAAGTAATCTTTGAGGGTGATTGTAAACAGATTATAGACCAAATTAGTGGAAAGGTTCTTCACTTCGGTGATTACAACTGGCTCAGAGAAGTTCGACACTGGAGTACAAAATTTGATGAGGTATACAATTCGGATGGACAAATCGATCAAACAATGCAGTAGCTCATGTGCTCGCCAAACTACATTTTCAAGAAAATGTTAACTTCTGCTACCATTACTATGTCCCAAGATCAATTTCATATGTATTAAACAATGACTATGTAAACTACTTAATATAATGCAATGTGATGTTAAAAAAAAAAAGAGATGTTAGTCGATTAGGTAAGATCTTCAACAACAAAAAAAAATTAACAAATCTAGAAAAGCTGTTAACATTGTACTCAGTAGCAAATCTAGAATGTAAGTTTGTATGAGGCACAAATTGTTAAACAAAAGAATTAACCAATTAAACTACTATTTTTGTTAATTTTTGGTAACAATTTTAAAAAAAAATGAATATGTATGGAGTTTCTCTTATCACTCATCTCCTCCCTCTTATTAGAAGAAAATACTTTGCAGAATATCATGATTTGTTTGTGAGAAAAATAGAATTCGTCTGTGACTTGTGAGTAAAACAACACTGACAGCTATGTATATATAGATCATTGACAATGTAACTATTTTCATTTTCTTTTTCTTTTTGTCTTTATCTAACCAGTTAAACATTAACTTTAGTTTAGTCTAATTTTTAACATCAGCTATTTGCTAGTGATACATTACATTAATTATTATAACTATAACAAACATTACCGAGACAAACTTTAATATCATTTTTCATAACTGGCATATACTAACTTCTATTATAATAATTGATGCAAATATTTACATAATTTTTCCTTAAAAAGCTGATAGCAAAATATTTGCATCACTATTTTCAAAATCACTTTTTTAAGTGGTGAAAATATTTTTTACATCAATTATAACTAATGTTGATATACAAAATAAGTGATTCAATACATTTTTTTCTGTAGTGTGTTAAGCAAGAATTCTGCTAATACAATATAAAAATGGAAAATGTTAAAAATTCTGAAATATTAATATAAATGAATATTTTTTTAATTAGAAGTGATAAAAATCATTACAAATCAAATGAAATAGAAATTGAGTAACAACTAACAAGTAAAACTCACACACAAATAAACTGAAAAAAGTGTAAAAGAGAAAAAACAATAAAATTTTAGAAAGAATATGTATTTTTTGTGAAAAAAAAATTAAATAATTAAAATAAGAGTTGTATCTTATATAAATAGGTTTTTAGAATACCATTTTTTTAATCATCTCCTGCTCTTGTGAATGAGAACAGCAAAATGATTATATAAATAGGTCCGCGCGGCTGTATGGATATGGAAATACCATTATAGACAAAAATGGCCACAATTCTGCTCACTCATAGACGACGACGTCACCGAGTTGCCATTTTGAATGAAATAGAGGAAGCTATCGACGCTAAAAAACAGAGAGGTTTGAGTCAAGCAGTAGATATAGTATTATGGAGAAACAAGATGATACCTTCAAACCCAAATTCAGCTCCAAACAGACTTGGCAACTTATACGAGTTGCATCACCAACAAGAGAATGGTATAAAAAGGTGTGGTTCACACATGCTACTCCAAAATACTCATTCAAGACATGGTTGGCTGTACTCAATAGGCTCTCTACCGGTGATAGAATGCTAAGCTGGAACACAACCGCGAGTTCTTCATGTATATTCTGCACTGAGCCGATTGAAACTCGCAACCATCTTTTCTTCGATTGCTAATGGACAACACAGATCTGGCAAGCGCTTACGTGCAAGATGCTAGGACCGAAATACACAGCTCAATGGGAGCTCGTTCTTCAGCTGATCTTGGACGAGTCACAGGGGCAGATCAAATCTTTCATTCTTTGATATGTCTTTCAAACCACCATCCACACGATATGGTGCGAGAGAAATGGACGAAAACACGGAGAGACTGCTCTCTCCTCGGAACAGATGATTCAGTTTATCGATAAACAGATGCGGAATCGATTCAGTACAATAAGGAGGCTCAAGGATGAAAGATACAAAAAAGGTCTCGAAACTTGATTCTTGTATGGATAATGAAGAGGATTAGATAAACGTTGTTCTTTTCCTTTTAAAACAGTTCAAACCTTAGCCACAATTCTGTACAGCTATTTTTTTTGGTTTGAATAAATTTTACATTCATTCAAAAAAAAAATGATTATTTCAGATTTTTGTAAAACAATCAAGAAACTCTATCATCTCCTCACTTTTGTTAGAACCTAAAATTCTGCTGTACATCATCTTTGATTTGTTTGGTTTGTGAGAGAATAGTGACATATATGAGTATCCATTACATATATATAGAGAATTCAATTTTCCTATTCCTTTTCTTTTTTTTTTCATTTTTCTTTCTCTAACTAGTCAAACATTGACGTTTTAAACGAAGATTTTATTGTTTTCTTTGATTACGTTATGCTTTAATTTTTTTTTTTTTTTTTTTAAAATGGCCTTCATATTTAAAATGCAAGAAAGAAAAATAATGCATGCCAACCTTTGGCTAGTGTTTTACGGGCCTAGCCCAGTACATATATATAATAAGTGATCATACTTTGAATCAAATGAAGGGGATTTAAGCCCAAATTGTGCAGTAATGATTGGTAGCCCATAGCAGTAACTTGCGTCTTCCTTACGAGAGAGAGACAATGGAGAGATATCCCTGCAAGTAAATCGACGGGACCAAATCGTGGCTAGTTAATCAGACCGAATTGAAGAAAGTTAATCTCCGTTTTGAAGGTAGGAGTAGACGAATCTGTGATAGATTGAAACAAATTGTCTCAGTCGGATCTAAGCAGAAGTGGCAAGCCATATTTGCATCAGATTAGAAGCACTTGTTTGATTTTTCTCTCTGAGACTGGAGATCCGATTTCGCACTAGATGGTCGATCAAGCCTGTGATTGAGTCAACAGTTCTGAAAGTATTACGGTGGAGCCTGCCATTTCGTTCAGACCAGATGAAGTAAATAACGGCCTGCCAACTTAGGAGCAAAAGTCTCTTTCTCAAATTCCCACCTGAGAAATTTTGCAATTGCTCAACAGTAGCATCCCAGTGCCGATGAGGAGGAGAAGGCATGGATCGGGCAGCAACTCGAAGCCATAAAGACCAACTGAAACTACACTCAAAATACAGATGATTTCTACTTTCCGGTAAATTATTGCACAGTAAGCAAATTGGATCTGTAGATAAACCCCAGTTGATGATTCTGTCTTTTGTTGGACAGCGATTGAGAACAAAAAGCCATGTGAGGAATTTGTGTTTCGAGATGCCTCCTTTAATCCAGACTATTTTTTTCCATGGTACAACAGGTTTGTCTCCTCTCAATCTTGTGTAGACATCACCCGTTGAGAATTTATTAGATCCCACACCATCCAATTCCCATTCATAATGATCTTCTTCCTCTATTAAATGCAGCGTTGTCAAGAAGCTTTGCAGTAAAACTTGCTCCTCCGACCTTGCTGGTGGCAATACCCAATTTCCTTGGACGGAAAGAGAAGCTAGAGATGCATTCAGCGGAATTCCAAGACGAGAAGCTCGATCCCTAACCAAGAGGGTAGTAAGACTTCCAAGGGGTGACCAGTTATCCGACCAGAACCTGCAGGACTTACCATTGCCTACTATTAACTTTATCGAAGAAAAGACTAAGTCCCTGAGCTTCAGAAGTTTGTTTGCAAGCCATGAGTTTTTTGAATGTGGTTTCTTTATATACGTTATGCTTTAGTTACGATATAAATGTTCTGATTGATAATATATTAAAATTGTGAAATAATAAAAAAACAAAAGCTGCCAAATGACTGAGCTATTTTAGGCATTTCGTTATCTCTATTTAAATTTATAGTTAACACCAAAACGATGCCGTTTCTTTACATAGAAAACCTCTAAATCAAAAATTAAATCCCTAATCTTATTCTCAAATCCTTTTTTCTCTTTTTGCTTCTCCTTTCTCGATTCTCAATTTTCAATTTAAAAATAAGATTAAGGGTGCAAATGGTTTTATATTTAGAAGAACAAAATCTGGAGGAATTGCAGATTCTTCTAAATTTTACCATTTGAATTAAAAAGAGTTCAAAAATATTTCAACTCACTCCACCGAAAAAGTTGGAAAATGAACTAATTATAAAGAAAATATGTTCAACTCATTCATCTACTGTTTTGGAGAGGAACTCATTCATCTAAAATTCAACTCATTTTTTCTTCTACTACAACCAGTTGCACCCTAAGGATTTGATTTTTGATTTTTGATTATGTGTATGGAGACGTCGTTTTGGTGTTAATGAATTTAGACGGAATTTAAGCCTGTTTAATAGAACACTTAACAAAGATAATTGGATGCCTAAAATTCATTATTTGTAGCCTGGAATTTAAGCCTCATTCAACAAAAGTTTAAAAGTATAGTCGACATGCACCCGTGAAAGACTGCTTTAAATAGCCGATTTAAATAACCAAACCATATTATCTTGAGTCTCTTCACTCTTGTCTGAAGTACCTGTTATGATTTTGAACGTACATTTATAATCCAAAAGGGGCTAAAAGCTCTTACATCCAGCTCATATCAGCACCTCATCAAACCAAACTACTTGGCAAATGAGGAATTTTTTTTGAAGAAACCCAAATATATAGATTCAAAATATACAATGATATGAAAGTCCAATAGTATTAGAATAAGTGAGTGGACACTTGTATAACCAACAACTCTACATAATCTCTATGTAACAGAACAAAGAAGAAGAATCTTGAGAGAATCGCTTTGGTGAAGATGGCCACACCTGAGAGGCTTAAACATAACCAAAAAAACACTTCACTCAGGTTGCTATATGCCTCTGAAACTCCACAGAATCTCTTTTTTAGTTTATCAACCAAACTCAGACAACAAGAGAGATTACATCTTCAGGCTGCTGAAAAAACAATGGATCACCAGATGCCAGGCTGTCTATAGGACTGCAAAGGGTAGCTGTGAAACGGATAGCCTCTAGCCATATGGACCGGCTTCATGGCTGCAGGTATTGCCCAAGCTACCTCTCTTCTTGGAGGCGGCATCGTCCTCCTCCTGTCCTCTTCTATCAGCATGCACATTTCCTGGATCACCTCTGTAACCATTCATGAGAAACAAACACCCCGTTATTTTAACAACACGTAGAATCATATAAATGATGCATCTCACTATGGGACTGATCAAACCATTGGCAGTAATAACAGACAAATAAATAAATACTGAGTGTTTCAAGGACAAACCTTTTAAAAGCTTAGTTGTTACTCCAAACTCCAACCACCAATCTCTCCTGCTTCCTACTTTCGCGTTCTGAAACGTGGCAGCTAGGTGCACAGTGGCAGTTGCAATAACATGGGGTTTGTACTGCAAGCAGAGTGTCGTTCGAAGCCTACACACAATGCATTATAAGATGATTGTTCAAAACTCGATGTGGGGACAAAAAGCACAGATACTATTATTAACAAGGGCCTTTACCAATCATGCACAAAGTTCCATGAAGCTGTTGCAAGGTCAGGCCAAGCGTTGAGCCTGTTCAACGCCGCAGCCAGAGGTTTGTAGGGAAGTTCAATGTCTAGATGATGGAAAGCGCTTGTGTCCAGCAGAAGCCTCTCCCCGGCCAAAATAAATTCTTTAAATTCATGGTAATATTCCTACAGACAGAGTAACGAGTAGTAATAAGTTAGCACAACGCACAGTACGAAATTACCAATAGATAGATTTTAAAAGACTTACAGTTTGATGGATTCTAATCGAGGCAGCAGGATCCCACTCATAAATTATTTCGTAAGAAGCAACAACAACGCTGGACAGTTGACACGGCTCATCTTCTGCTTTGCAAGCGAGGAAGAGACTGGCCGTTGCTATCGTCTGCGAATTGAATTGGAAGAGGAAACTATTTAGCATATAAATCATATAAACTTCTAATTTATCAGGAAAGACTGAACAACTTCACAATAATCACTTTTTAATTGTTTTCATCAACACTTCACAATAAGCACTTTTTAATATTTTCATCAACATTATGTTGCTCATTACCCAAATTCTGATTCAAATGAGGAACCATATGAATACTAAAATATTCTTACCTGCCAGTCATTTTTTGCATGAGATTGACGCATGTAAAACCGGTGGCACATCACCGTTGCACATCCTATTGTAACCTGGGACCTGAAGAAATGAGATTGTCAAAACCTTCAATAGCACCAAAACATCATATCACCAACAAGTCAATATCATAGGATATCCTCAGCAACTAAAAGCTAGACATCGCTTTCACCGGAAACCAGCATTTTATAACATGAAGCTCTTCCGGACACACGTGATTAATGCAAAAGACGGAAAACACAAGTACCTATGATAGATGATTCAAAAATAGTAGGCCGAGGGAGAGACGTGCACTTGCTCAGAAAACTAAGAACATCAGGGTAGGAACAGCTGAGGGTTTTGATAACCCAGCAGAGAATTTTACAAACACACGGACTTATATCAGAAGGGTACATGTATAAACAGGTGAACAGCTCCAAAGCAATTTCATGAACAGATATCAAGCCTCCCACTGCCGATGAGAAGTGAGCCAATATATGATCGATGCATGGACACCAAATATTTGACTACTATTACATGATTCTCCATTTTCATGAGCTAAATATGTAGACACAAAAAAACGGAGAATTTAATAGTTCGAGAACCTCCAGACCACCTCCCACAGTGGCACTACGACAAAATTCAACAGTTAGGCTATCCATTGTCATGCATTAGGCACCCTCTTTAGCTAGAAAAAGTACCAAGAAATATCATATCAGAAGAAAGAAAGATGAAGTATTTAGTCATATTCTATGAAGCAAACAACCAGAGAACAAGCACTACTTCCCAAGACATGAAATTAACAAAAGAGAAACAAAGCAAAGAATACTAATGTGAGCTTACACATGAAGCTTCATGCCAAGTCTTTGAAGGAAGGTGCAATACGAAGACCGTAAAAACGACTCCTTCACGAGGTCAATCCCATCCTTTCTAGACGGAGAGAAACGCTCAATCTCTTCCCTGCTGAAATACCACTTAGAGGTTTCGCATTGAGGGGAAGATATCTGTCTCGCCTCTGCTTCAAAATGTTGTCTAGATCGCTTTCTCGGATGCTCCTCTCCCATTGTCAATCTTCTTCCCGCAGAAACAGAAAACAATCCAGAAAGCTTCAATCTTTCAAACTAACAAGGCAAGCTCGCATACGCAGAGCTATCTAGCTGCAGATTTTGCTGTCGAATATCTGCAAATAGCGAGCACCATCATTAATAAGAAATCGACAAAGTAATGGCAACGACAAATCCGTACATCTTCCTATTTTTGTTTTGTCAAAACAGTTTTGGAACATAATACGACACAAATCTGCTGACAGCTTTACATATTATTTTGACTCGTATCGAAGCATCAACAGAATATTTCAACAGACTCGATTCAATCACACACAAAAAAACAGAGGAGCCGAAATATAAAATTCACGGATGAAGAAAATAAAAGCCAAATCTGGAAACAGATCGAATAATTACGAAACGTGACGGGTGAAGCTAAGGATGAGAAGGAGAAAGTTTCGACGATTGGTTCAAGAGATGAGATCAAAGGAAAACGAAATAGATTTTAACAAACGGAGGATAAACGAAATTGCATAGCAAGATTTTAGATTTCACTAACCAATGTTTTGCTTCGTGGGGAGAAAAGCTCTTTGAAACTTGAAATTTCGCTGCTGCTTTTCTTTTTTTTTTTTCTTTTTCCTGAACTCCGGAAAATATCTTATTCGGTGAAGCGATTCGATACCTAAAAATACAAATATCGCTCTAAATCAAATGGGCCAAATTTTCCCGATGGAATCATGGATATGGGCTTCGACTTTACGATACAAGCAATTCAAACTAGAATAGTTCATTTGCAATTATTCAAAATCTAAATTTCAGTTTATGCTTTCGCGCAATTTCTTTGTTGAATTTTCATAGTTTGGATTCAAAATTTGTTAAATTAATCTTCTTGAACATTCACTCAAAGTTGTAAGCTTTTCATTTTGTAAATTTTTATCCACGAAAATATAATTTTTCGGATGACTTGTAAACAACGTTGGTTATATGTTTTGAAATAAATTTAACATAGAAAATTACCTTCTTTTTTACTATTCGAACCTATGTGTATATGTCATAGCTGATTATTATAATAAAAAAAGTCTAAAGATAATCCTTGAGCCATAAAATTTGCTTCGGGTCAATTTTTTAAAAAAACTAAGTATATAACTTGCGCTATGCTGTATTAATATTTTAGTTTATTTTTTGAGTTATTATATCTTTAAAATTATTAAAAATTATAGAAATTTATAGAAATTTTCATTTATATAAGATAATTTCATATATAATGTGTAATTTATTCTATTTTAATATAAAAGTTTAAAAAACTTTTAGGTAAAATAATAACAATGACACCTATCAAATTATCCAACTTTGACGTACATATACATTTGACTTAGAGAAATATTATTTTGCTAAGATTTTGGTATTATTTTATGTTTTCCATAAAATTTCTATAGTTCTTTTTTTTGAAGGTTTATGTGTTTAAATATTTAGTTTTTTTATTGAAAGTCTTATTGATGTTGTGTACCATTGTATATAGAATCCATGATTCATGTTGATTCACATTTAATTTTGTTAGGAAGCTGTAATGATCATGCAAAACCATTTTTTCCTTCTTTATCATGTCTTCCAAGAGTTTTATGTTATATTTTTATTTTGTTTTCATTATTTTAATTGTTAAATCAAGTTGTTGTAGATTTTTTTTAAATTGATAATTGATAATGGTTACTTTTTTATACATATATTGTTAATTATTAATTTTTTATTTAAATTTTAAATTTTTAAACCATATTAACATTTTCTGATTTAATAAATATGTTGATTTGAATTAATCAGATTGAATTTACTTTTTTGTTAGACATAATTTGTTAAATTAACTTGTAATATTTTACTTATACTTAATAATTTTTGGTTTGATTTAAAAGCTGATGTGGACCAGTTAAATCAAGTTTTTCCGTCCTAATCATACTTAATATTTTTTTATTTAATGAATATGCTGATGTAGACCAATCAGATCGAGTTTTTTAATCCTATGTAGACGTCATCAATGCATTATGCCATCAACTTTAATATATTATACTAGGTATATAACTCGCGCTACGCGCGAGTCTGTATTAATATTTTGGTTTATTTTTTTAGTTATTATCTTTAAAATTATTAAAAATTATATATTTATAGAATTTTTTTATTTATATAAGAGAATTTACTATATAATATGTAATTTATCTATTTTTATTTATAAATTTTAAAAAACTATTAGGTAAAATAATAACAATGACACCTATCAAATTATCCAACTTTGACGTACATATATATTTGATTTAGAGAAATATAATCTTGCTAAGATTTTGGTATTATTTTCTATTTTCAATAGAATTTCTATAGTTCTTTTTTTCTCGAAGGTTTATATGTTCAAATATTTAGTCTTTTATTAAAAGTTTTATTGATGTTGTGTACCACTGTATATATAATCTATGATTCATGTTGATTCATATTTAATTTTGTTAGGAAGCTGTAATGATCATGCAAAACCATTTTTTCCTTCTCCATCATGTCTTCCAAAAAATTTTATGTTATATTTTTATTCAGTTTTCATTGTTTTAATTGTTAAATCGAATTGTTGTAGATTTTTTTTAAACTGATAATGGTTACTTTTTTTATACATGTATTGTTAATTGTTAATTTTTTTATTTATTTTTTAAAATTTTAAACCATATTAAAAATTTTTGATTTAATAAATATGTTGATTTAGATCAATCAGATTGAATTTTTTTTTTTTGTTTGACATAATTTATTAAATTAACTTTTAACGTTTTAATTATACTTAATAATTTTTGATTTGATTTAAAAGCTGATGTAGACGAATTAAATCAAGTTTTTTCCATCCTAGTCATACTTAACATTTTTTTATTTAATGAATATGCTGATGTAGACCAATCAGATCGAGTTTTTTAATCTCATGTGGACACCCTCAATGCACTATCCCTTCAACTTTTATATATTATATGATGATTCAACACAAATATATAATTAATCAAATATAGACGGTTTTGTTATATATGATGCAATATAGAAGACTGAATATACATTTTTGTTAATCAAGCCACAAAATATATAGATACAGGAAAACTATAGAATAGTTCAGTATTCAGAATACTTTTTTGGAGTATGGAACAAATAGAAGAAAGGGTTTAAGATATAATGAAATGTATTTTAAAGTTACTTCATTGTCTGTGGATTTAAAATTAGAGATGCAGCATATATGGTCTACAATCAATTTAAGCATTACTAGTTGCTGTAATACTTTTATTAGCATTATACGTATATGTACTAACATAGATGATGAATGGTCTCATCTTCTATATATACATTATGAGGTTATATAGAGAGTAGCTCTTCCAATGGAAAAAGAAACTTAATTTACTCGTACATGGACACATGAGCGACATTTTTTGTAATCGAATCTACTTAAATTTTTTCACTCGTTGTAGCAGATAGATCACTGAAATTAATAAAGAAAAACTTCATTATGCAACAGAATTGTCTTCTTCGTTATCTTTTCCGTCTAAACACTTAACCATGTAATACTCTAGCCTCTTCACAATATCCTCCGGTAACGACACCTGAACCCTAATAGCATCACAGTTTCCGGCAACCGGTAAAAACAAACAGTAGATATCACTCGTCAAAGGACCCATATACATTGGCTTTCCTCCTCCAAAGTCCAACTCCTCTAATCCCAATTTCGCCCATTGTGAAATAACCAAACTGCATGAAACGTCCGTTTTCACTGTTTTATCCTCCAGTAAATCTATTGTTGACCTTACATATCCGTCGGTGATTCTCGCTTTCGCCTCTTGTATTAATTTTACCGCGTGGTAAATATTACCATTGACTAGGTCTTGCACCTTGCTCTCGGCGCAAGCTAGAACGAACCCGTTACCATAATACCCTTGAGGAAGTTCTGGAATCAGCGTTTTCCTCATATTGACAGAGAATAAAAGTTTGACCAGCATGGTCAACGGCAAGTCAAGAGATCGAGCCCACGAGCACCACGTGTGAGCCGCAAGTGCCTCGAACGTTGTGCATTTTAGCGAGGGAGTGCATGTTTTCTTCAAGCGTAGGATAAGAGATGGGGTGAAGGTTAAGGTGGCGGGAACCAGTGGTTTGGATTGTAAATACTTGCAAATGTCGGAGGTGGTGGTGGTGGTTCGGGTGAACCCAGGATGTGAGTGTGTGACACGTGGAGGACTTCGTGGATCTAACACGTGGCGAGAGTGGAATGGTTGGATGGGAAGACGAGCACTAGTGTTGGCATGGGCCCATGCGTGTAGGAACTGCGATGTGCCGATGCCGTCACAAAGGCAATGATTGATCGCGGTGCAGAGGATCATACCCCCGCAACGGAGATGCGTCACCTGAGTCATTATTATTCAGCAACTTCGTAAGGAGTTCATGTGTTTAACTTTTTAGCATTTAAACTCAATATAGCGTTAATACTCAACACATGCCGATACCGAACTTTACAATTTTATAGAAACGAATTTTAAACGAGAGATATGGCCTGAGTTGAACAAAAATATACATGTAGATTAATAAACTAACTCAAGGCAAGAAAAAAAAAATCTTTTGTTTTTTTTTTCTTGTTTAACCAAGAAAAGTGAGAGAGTAATTTGGAACCATGATACAGACAAGTTTATTCTCTATGTGCCCTTCTTTTCCGCCATCAAATCTCTTTTATTTTTCATGACAATAATCAAATCTCTTTAATAAAGTTCGCGTATTTTAAGAAGAAATGTGGTAGGAAAACGACTTTATATCATTCATACATCAAATGCATTATATGCACGACCTACAAAAGTATGCTTTTCTTATTTGAAAAGAATAAAAGTGGCCGAATCAATTTAGGAGTCAGGAAAAAATAACCAATCTTAACGGAACAGTCGATCCAACTAACTTTATGACATTTAAAATATTCGAGCTATGTTTATCCCCCTCAAAAAGATTTAAAAATCATGCATTAATTATTTTCTTTACAAACTATCGGCTAATATATGTGTATGGAAACAATCTGAGCCATGCATGGTTTTGATATTGAAACCATATATAAGTTTCTAAGCAAGAAGAGGTAAATAATTGAAACACGAAGATATATAAAAGGAGAAAAAGGAACCTGTATGACAAGAGGAGGAATATCCAAGAAACTCGGAGCTTGAACCTTAAACAAGAGCTTCCTCCACGACTTGTTTGGTTTTGGTGAAAGCTCAAGAAACGCCTGACAAGTTATATCCATGAAAGCTTCTGCGAAAACCGCGCCTTCTCCATTACAATCAACCTCGAGCTTGGTACGATCATCGGAGGCTTTGATCCGGCCGGCGAAAGGGTAGTAATCTACTAGAACCCTAGAGAGAGAATCTTTGAGGGTTAGAGAGGAGAGAGGTTCTTGGAAAAGGTAAAGGTACTTAATAGAGAATCTGAGAAAATGATGGTCGTCGAGGTTTGAAAGATGGAGAGAGTGATTTGGTGTGGGAGATGAAGGAGTGATTAGGGTTGGTTGTTTTCCCTCGTACACGCAATCCGGTAGTTCTTGCATCTTCGAGTTCTGTTTTCTTGGTTCTGTTTGTTTTTTTTTTGTCTTAGAGAGAAAGAGAGAGAGAGAAGAGAGATGGTGGAAAGGGAAAGTAGGAAGCAAGAGATCTGAATGGGAGAGGTAAGGTGATCCGCTTAAACAGGGTCATATCTTGGACCCATACAAAATTAAAATACGGTGTGCTATTTTAAAACTAAAGAGCATTTAAATTTTTACTATATTATAGTGATGACCTATAGTGATGACTACTGAGATTTGCTTATATGTTACCAAAGTTTAAACAAGGAAGTTAATGAAGAGAAAACTTCATAAGGGTTACATAGAGTGAGAGCAAAATAGAAAACTTAAAGATTAGATAAAGAAAACAAGATGGAAAAAAAAATAAACTTTACAACCTATGATTGCAAAGACTGAGAGCAAAAATGCAAAATACGTATAGAGCTTAAGGTTTTAAAAGGAGACGAGATGAAATCAAACTTGACAATCTAACTACAATAAATAGAGTTGAAATATTTGAAGTCTAAGACTTAAATATTTTGGCCGGAGGGCTAACTTAATCAGCACATATTTCTCGTTTAATAATAATCTACCGGAGAAGAAAATGGATTCTAGCCATTTCGAAATCTATTAGGCGCGAAATATCAAAATAATGTAAATATGGTTTATTGGTGATTGGAGCAACGTTGATGACTTGCATGCTATGAAATTTACATCCTTCTACAAAAATTATCCATTTTTATATCAGATGAGAAACTCTTACAACATGCAGAATTTTCTTCCATTTGTAACCAATATGCTGATAAACTCATATATATATATATTGGAAACTTCATATGTCTTTTCATTATTATTTACCATAATTGTGACCAACATCTTTGATTAGCCCGACTTTGATAGACTCCATATTTTGGTAGGTCTTGATTATTTGTTGTGTGAATATTTGCAAATTTCGTGAAAGTTTAGTAATCATTTTTAATTCACAAAACGTAAAATCTTTATTACCCGTTACCATAATACCCTCGAGACTTTGAGATAAAACATTTTTTTTTTAGTTTTCTATTTACCATACTGTTTCCACTATTTGTTTTCGAATTCTCTCTCACACAGTTAATACGACTTAGCTAAATAAAAAATACTAGAAAACACAATTAATTGTTTAACAGAGTGTCCCCGTCCCGCTCCGAGCCATAATCTGTCCAGTGTCCACGTGTCCCACGAACCCGCGTAGTTTCAGAATTTTTATTCTTTTTTTTGTTTAACAATAATTTGGGCCTCTCTCTCTCTCTCTCTCCCCCGCAACTTTCCCTCCAGCCCTCTTTCAGATCTCGGCGGCGACAGATCCAAATCGGCGAGTTAGAGTAGAACTCGAGACCTCACTTATTCAGAAATTGAGCTTGAAATCCTGCGATTTGGTGCTTTTCTGTTGCTCCTCTCTGCGAAATTTCTGTTCATCTCTTTCAATGTTTGATTTGGAGCACTGAGGTGTAACACAATCTGATGGCTTCAATCCGGCGAACTCTCTCGCCGGTGTATCATGATCGACCATACGAGATTGGCGGTGCACCATTCTCTCCCTCGTCTATATCATCCTCTCCTCATAAGGGTAGCAGTAAACACAGTTCTTCGCAAATTCTCTCATATCTCACCAAGCTTTCCGGAGCGACGTCTGATCCTAAAATCTCGCGCAGAGGTGGATGGCGGCGACCGTTTTTCCAATTCCTCGCTTTCTTTCTTCTTGGGTTTCTGCTAGGTATGACACCATACGGACACATGGAAGACGTGAACGGCGCCGATCGGTTCTCCTTCGAGATCAAACCGCCGAACTTTGAGCAACGGCTGGAAAACGGGAAACGGGAAGAGGTTTCGGTAGATGGAGTAAGTTTCGTGGCGGAAGCCGAACTTGGGAAGAAGGAGATGGTGAAGGAGGATTTGGATATTGTGCCGAGGAAGCTCATAATTGTTGTCACACCAACGTACAATCGAGCGATGCAGGCGTATTACTTGAACAGGGTTGCTCAGACGCTGAGGCTAGTGGAGCCGCCTGTACTGTGGATAGTGGTGGAAGGCAATGCAGCGTCGTTTGAGACCTCGGAGATCCTGAGAAAGTCGGGAGTGATGTACAGACACTTGGTTTGCAAGAGGAACATGACGAGTATCAAGGACAGAGGCGTTCACCAGAGAAACACTGCATTGGAACATATCGAGTTGCACAAGCTCGATGGAATTGTCTACTTCGCTGATGATGACAATATCTACTCGCTTGAGCTGTTTCAAAGCTTAAGAACAATCAGGTGAGTCAAGCCAAGCCAAGAGTTTTCTTTTTATACTTTTGCTTGTGGTAGTGGATGGAATGTATGATATCTTCTACCTGGTAATTTTTGAGATATGGAGTTTTAGATCGTTGGTTTGATAATGAGTTGTTAGTTTAGCAGAACTCTATCGTCTTCACTTGTTATGCAGTCTCAGTGATTCTAGTGTTGTTAGTGCTATGTTTCGACACGAAAGGAGAGGCCTGTTAGTTTGATGTTGACAGTAATGAGATTTTCAAGTTTTCTGTACACATACTGGATTTTTTTGTCTGCCTGCGTCTGTTCTTACTATCCCTGCTCTTCAATGTAGAGAACACTTCAATTCTTGTTATTGGAAGGGTTTCATTGAGCTTCCCAGTGTACCTGGTCTCGGTTTTGTTTTGTGACGGCTCAATATCAAAGGCTTAACTTGTTCTGAAGTATTTGTCCCATATTTTGTTTGTTTTGTTATGCTTATCTATTTCATTTGTGTAGCCGATTTGGAACTTGGCCTGTTGCGATGCTCGCGCCAAGCAAAAACAAGGCCATTCTTGAAGGTCCAGTTTGCAACGGAAGTCAAGTAATCGGATGGCACACTAACGAAAAGAGTAAAAGACTACGGAGATTCCATGTCGATATGTCAGGATTCGCTTTCAACAGCACTATACTCTGGGACCCTAAAAGGTGGCGACGTCCCTTTCCACATCCAACCCGCCAACTAGACACTGTGAAGGAAGGTTTCCAAGTATGAGTTTGAGTTTTCAATTCTCTGTTGTGGGATCTCTCTCGTGCAACCGTCTTTATAATCTCATACATGACTTTGACATTGACATGGTGTGTTTCCAAGCAGGAGACAACATTTATAGAGCAGGTGGTGGCAGATGAAAGCGAGATGGAAGGTGTTCCACCGTTTTGCTCGAGGATACTGAACTGGCATCTTCACTTGGATGCCCGGGATGTCCCTTACCCACAAGGGTGGCTGATCCCGAACAATCTCGAAGCTCTCATGACTGTGAATTAGTTTGAAGATACAACTTTTGACTGGTAAAAGATTTATAGGGTTCTGAACCTTTGGATTCAGGTGTTCAGGGACTATTAAGCAAAACGTGTACTCAAGACCATCAAAATTTTGTATGTTATGGATCTGGTGTTTTAGTATGAGATGGAATTGTATTACCTTTGGGACGTTGATGATTCCACATCATTTTCATTTTCTCTGTGGAATTGATATGTTCAAAAAATATCTGATATGTTCTGCCATACAATGGACAAGTAGCGAATGGATTACAATCGCTGCATCAATTTGCACTGTTTATGCCTTTATGGGTAGACTTTCTTTTGTACTGGGAAAGTTTACAATTGTTTCAGTAAAAAAAAATTTTACTACTGTAAATAATTTGGTACGGTCTCGACTCTCGAATTATCATGTGCTCATACACACCAACCTCGGATCCATGTGAACTCCATGGATAAATTGAAATAATATGGTCTTTTGAATATTATCCTAAACTTCTAAAAACTCTTTATCTTCTCTCTATAGGAGGAAACAACGTTGATGCGATTGTACATCCATTACATGTGAACCAATTCTCACGGCCACGGTGAAGTTCTTATAAAAAATATACACAAAATAAGGAAAGAAAAATATGAATATGACCATACACGCTGGCCTACCATACTGGTCTTGCTACTAATCGCAAACACATGTAGTTAGTAGTCAGATATACGTGTGGTAGCCAGTCTCAAGACATTGCCTCAAGATTTGAGTATCTTTGCTTTGTCTCTCCTCCAAACACTTCAACGTGTCGATCTTCTTCTAGAGAGTGTCACGTTAAGGCTGCCCCATGAATAGAAGAAGTTGCATCTGACGGGTGCATTTGTGGACGCGAATCTTTCCCATTGTCAAGCCCAAGAACTGAAAGAGCTGAACTGGTAAAACATGTATCCAAGATTCAGTATCCTACATGTAGGTTTTACTTGCAATGAAGATTAGATAACAGAGTGTCTGGTTTTGATTAAGAGGACATACTTTGGTAGAGAAGCTCTGATAGTTGGCTGATTCGCATAAGCAGTAAGGGAAGGTCTTAGATCAGGAAACTTCTTCATGATACTTTCTAGTTGAGGCATTGGTAACTGCAAAACAAATACCGAAAGAGTTATTTGGATTCTTCTGTGTGAGTACACTAAACTCATATTCTTCTGTCACGTTTCTTGTACCTCCAACAAAACAGGAAAAGAATGTGGCTGTGTCTGAGACACACATTTCAAGAAGCCAGGCCACAATTTTGGCAGTCTCCATATCTGCATCCAAAAGACATTCCATCATCATAAGCACACCAGATGGAAAATAATCTCAAAGCTGATCCTTTTGTTTGATCTGAGAATTACTCACCTGTTTACTCACCAACTTGGAGAGTATTTCCATGACAAAGTCAACCTGGACCAAAAAAAACTCAAAAAATTCTTTAGTCTGACCAAACGAATCCAGAGTTTTGTAGGGCTAGGCCGAGGGAAAGAACGCTAATCTCTTGGGTGTTTCTAAACTCTATATCCGTTACTTTGATTCAGTATTAACAACTCTACCAGTACGACACTTACCAGTTTTGGAAAAGCATCGATTGCCTGAATTACTGTTCTCATGAAGAGTAAAGGCAGAGGTGTTCGATCTACCTGAAATCAAAAAGTATCACTGAAGTAAATATCAAAATCAGTAATTCTCTTCTATGATATGTTCGCTTTTGACATACCATCTGACCAAGGGCCTTTGCCAAGACTTGCTGCGTGAAAACAGTGCGTTGTTCAAAGCAAGCTGAACATGCATCTGTTATCTGAAAACAAAACACACCCAAATGAGACACTGCTAACAAGAGAGAACAGCTAGCAAACTATCAAAATTCCATAAAGGTTCCATGGGCAAACAGATTAATCAAGTGTATCGCAAACAAGTGCAGTAAAAAGTAGTTTCAAACAAGAAGGAAAATACCTTTTTCAGTGGTGGCCCATCCTTCTCAGGAACAACATCGTGGATAGCAATCAGTACCTCGGCAGGTGTTAGGGCAGGGCCGGTGTGAGCAGAACCCTATCACAGATATAACAAAAAGGATCTGACAAGTTGTTACAGCGGAAGAAACTACATATACCGTCAGAGAGAGCACCACTTCTCAGATGGAAATATCACCGTAAAATGTCAAATAAGAAGCAAATGCAACCACGCATGAAATTAACCATATGCACCATTGTTCTAACATATCTAACATAACAATTAAAGGATGGACCGTGAGAGTATGCAGGTACCTGTAATATATGAGCAAGCGCAAGTTGGAACTTATCAGGTGGAAGATTAAGAAGGGGAGGAAAGATGGGCAAAACCTGTTACATTGAGAAAGAATGTCTGTCATAAAAAAGTAAGGAATTTCTACCATTGCTGAGCAATTACAAAAATCTTTTTTTGCATCCACCAGTAATGGACAAGACTATTATCAGAATTCTTACATAGTTGCAAAATAAGGATGTCAAAGAAATTTTTTTAACAAGCCTGAGAAAAGTAGTGGAAAATGGAAAGAGCAGAATCTATGGAAAGAATGTAGAAAATAACCTCGTCTTTAGTGAGTGAAGAAAGCAATGGAATAAGAATTGAAACATCCTGCAGAACATAACTTTGTTTGTAAGGCTTTGCAATTTTGATTTTCATAAACATTATACACAAAGAAAAATATATGAGAGAGCTCTTCATAACAAATCAAACCTTTAGCTTCGTTTCATATAGATGCTTTACAGTAGCAATCAAATCAGACGAAGGTGCCAATTCTTGTGTCAATATTTGCAACACCTTGACATAAAAAATAAATAACGAGCATGATCCAGAATTAGAAAATACATTTGAGGCCAAGGTGAATTTACTACAGGGAAACACAGAAGTCACTTACCAATGTCAATAAATTTTCACTTCCCTTAGGAGGATCAGATATTATTTGGAGCAGTTCCACATAAGATGAACCTAATTCTCGTATCAGGATAGGCATATGTCGATGAAAAGCCTGAGCCATTTTACAAAGTTACGAAAATAAATCAATTTGTGTTTGTGAATATCTTTTACTCCCATTACAACTCCGAGATTTTTTCGCACATGAGTGGCGTGAGTGTTTGTTAGGGAGGGAGATTAACTAACCTGGATTACTGTTTTTGGAGCTCTCCCGTAAACTTCAAAAACAAGTCGTAGGAGACTAGGTTTCTGGAAGAATTTACAGTATTCATCAGAAAATCGGGAATATATAAGGAAAGAGAAATATTTCTAAGCATTAGGAGCAAACCTTTTTACATAAAGCGAAGAACAGAGAAATTAGTCTTTGAGCTTCTGAAAATGATAAAACAGAAACATCACGAGAAGTTTGTACATCCTGCTGAGATTGAATGTCGGAGGTTCCAGACCATGTAGAGTCACTTGTCGAAGTTATCTGACTTTTGGCCTGAAAATAAACGTCAGCTAATCAACCAACAAGAAGTTAATACAATATACAGAGAACTAAGCTAAACGCCCTCAAGAGAATTGTTAATTGCTTTTGAAGCTCTACTGCCTTTTCAAAAATGATACTCACTCAACTACCAGACTAGACTATATGCTATTACCTCTGCTTTTATTCCTTCTGCAGTAAATCCACTCTGTGAGAGATCTGTCTCAGAGTTCACAGCAGACAGTAACATATCGGTCGCAAATTGCTCAACCTGCTCTGATATGTCTGTTAGGTGATATAATTTGTTTGTGACCTGTGCATGCATTTGAGAAATATAATTAGAATTACTGTACCAGCAGTAGATAAGAACCATAAATCTATCTGAGGGTAATATCCTTACAAGTCGGATGGCTTTTGCACGGATGTCTTCTTCAGAATGAACAGAACACTGCCATAACAGGATTAAAAAATGCGTGAGTAATATGGAGAGATGGATAGGACCATCTGACCATGAATTTAAGTATGAAGATAAAAAGAAAAACTTTCTAGCACAGCATTCTTTTAATCTAGAAGCTCATACATTCCTTTCTGAGGCTTAAAGATCAGAACACAATGTTTATGTAATTGCAATTTTCTGTACATTCCTTAATCAACCAAAATCCATACTTTTCTCGTCATAGCTAATCCCAAATCCCAATATCAAAGTTTCACAACTTATAATGTAATCTGTATACAGGGTAAATTTCATCCTATGCCCTGATGAAAAGAAACTTAACAACAAGCCACTGGAGGTCTTCTAAGTGGTAACATAAGATAAATAGAGCTGGAAAGTCTTCTCGCTGTGAACAGCTTAACTTGACCAAATTCTAGCACCAGAATTAATATTCTGCAACTGTTTCGTGAGACTAGGTAACAGGTGGCTTCAATTGGGAATTTCAAAGGCAATATGAAGGGATTTAAGTTCTGTGGAAGGAACTATCTAGCCATTTTAAAACTTACATTATTTACAGTTCCCAAATTCTCCATCACTAAGGCTATATAATAAAGTTTGGCTACCGATTCTTACCTTTAATGCTATAGCTAAACATGCTTTTCGCTCATTTGAACGCACTAAAATTAAGCTCCAAACAGCACCAAGCCCTTGAGTTACACGCTCACTATCACAGTTTTCTCTTTCAATAGGGTCATGACGAGTGGAGCAGAGTTCATCCAGTAGCTTTATGGCAGAATCTGGTAGATGTGGAGCTTCTCCAAAAAGTCTGCTGAAAGACTTGTCGGAAGCAGGAAGAGCATCCAGAAATGATCTCGCCTACAGCAAGTATCTTAATGAGCGAGATTCAGAAACAAGAGATGGAAAAAAATTTAAATAAATGCTCACCACTGCTATGAGAAAATTTTCATAAACAGTAGCATAGGCAGATGATTCATCTGTGTCCAGATTCGCCATTGCATGCAGATGGTACAGAACATGTACAACAAGTTCATGCCCCTAGAAACAAAGAAACAAACAGATTAGGGGTTCTTCTAGACATATAGGTAGACTCTCGATTACTGGGAGTTGGAGAGGAAAATTACGCAGACACATAAACTCGCACGTTAACAGTGCACTCTTAGGATTCTACAATATCTATGACAACCAATACACTCGACATGTGGGGAAATATATTTAAAATCCAAACTCCAGTTAATGAGTGACGGCTGAGTTTGAGGATGACTGCAGCCAAATACTAGTAATACAAGTACCTTGAATTCTCGATGGTCCACACTAATATGCTCTCTTAGTATGGCTGCAACATCATTGCCAGCATCGATCTGGAAAGATAGTACCATAAATAATATTTACGCTTGTAAACGATAGAATTAAAGGAGATCTTGAAAATAGGATTCCATATGCATAAAGCCAAAAGATGGAAATGGTAGCTAGAGTTGACAGCAAAATCACAAGCAACAAGTATCAAAGAGGCATTCACCTTGGCAATCAATCGGGCAATCAATGCCATGCGAATCTTGTTACAATCAAACCCACATACATGTCTATTTGATTCAATTATCCGTTCAATAGCCAACTTTCCTACAGTTTTGCTTTGCTCTGTGGTAAGTTCAACATACGATGGAACAGATGCCAACTCTCGGTAGCTTTCCTCTGCTGCAGTAATGTTTGACGCTGCAGGCGGGTGTAGATCAAAATCTGGGACTGATGCTGAAGGCGAATGTTGATCAAAATCTGGGAAAGATACCAGATCCAAATCGCACTGTGTTTCAGAACCTGAAAACTTTGTTTCTCTCATGCCTTCATCATCCCTGCAAGGAGATAATGGAACATCTAAAGATGATTTGCCCTTTGAGGGGTAACCACTCTCGTTGGTAATATTCAACAAGTCCTCTCTGTAATCAGGCTGATCAACTATTCTAATTACTGAACTTCCCATCACCTTGTCTTGGCTACGCTCTACTGTTGTTGGGTGAACTGAACCACTAGCCCCTGCCGTGACAGCAGGAACCGAAAGCGGCTTGCTCGGTAACGTAGAGATGTCCGTTGGTACTGGGACTGGTTCTTTACCCTCGGTTACCGGCAGTGATGTTGGTCCCACAGATGAATTTAAACGCCTTGGATCCATGCGACGCGGGTCCTGCATAGCTATGTGTAAGTTATCTAGGAGAAAAAAACATTCAATAAAGAATCAAGTAGCAATGGAAGTTTGTACCCTTCTTGGGTCGCGTCTAGGGTCGGCAACCGTGCTATTAAAGCTAGGCACATCAGAAAATGATGATCCAGCAGGAAGGGTTGGATCCAAAGAAAGTTGTGGCTGAGGAGTCGGGGAACGCATGGAATTTATCGAAGAAGATACCACAATATCTGCTGGAGTAGCCACTGAAGTTGTCAATGTAGGAGGGCTACTAGGCAAATGTTTCATGCTTGTTATTACAATATCAGCAAGCATATCTGGATGAAGCTTTGAAATGAGAATTTCAAGTGATGCAGCTCCTCTGTCTCCTTCAGCAAGCAAAGCACCAATCATTGAAACCATTTGTTCCACTGGAGTCAACTCACTGTCTGGAGGATGGTTCCCAGAGGATATGCCATTGATCGCGACAGTTCCATGTGGAGAATCACTTGTTTGAAGCGGGGTCAAATGCATGTTAGTATTATGGCGTAAGCGCTTAGGAGCAACCTCTCCATTGATTGTATCATCTTCACCCTGGGGCATTATTCGTTTCTTTGACAAATCCCAAGAATTTTGATGGTTAATTGCCTGGTTATTCTGAAAAGTAGGTTCATCATGAGGCGTTATTGGTCACAATGATCTAAGCTGATGTCGAGGTATAGAAGAGTAAAAAAGAAAAAAAAGAAAGAAAAAGATTTTTTTTTTACCTTGGCTGACCAATTTTCGCGTGCAGCACGCTCATTATTTCTGACCATTTTATCAACTTGACGGAGAACTTGATCAGCAACATCTGCAGCATTCATTGCTCGAAATGCTCTAAGAAGCTTGTCTCTTGACTAAAAATGCACCAAAATAAAACTATCTCAGCAGCAAAACAAATATAAGCAAACAAAAAATCACATGATACTGAATAACATGTCTTTTTTATTGTAGTCAATTATAGGTAGACAAACACTATAACAAAATAAAAGGTTGACAATTTGCCAGAAAAGCTGAAACAACTAAGCAGTTTCTACCTCTATCATAGGTGAGGAAGTACATCTAAGAAATCCCAGCAAGGCAGTTCTAATGGAATACTGAACGCTTGGAGCATGGCACCCCTTAACCGTCTCAAGATTTGGGTGAAAATCCAGCAGAACAGAAAGGACGGTGTTGTAGTGGACAGGCCTCTTCCTTGCTACCACCGCAAGACTGAAAAAAAAGTTATTGTCAGTTAAGAGACCAGTGCTTACATAGTAGATATTCAAAATTGTAAATGTTTCAGGTATGCTTCTACAAGCATGTCCCTAATGGATCACTGCACATCTTAGCAAACAAAAGAACGACACTGGCGTCAGAGAATCTGCCCTCCTATGCAAGAAGCTGCATTCAAAATATGCAGTTATCCTGTGAGAAACATTCCTCATGACTCTGCAGCATACAACACCACTAATAAGCTCCTTAACAGGATAAAACTTTGCTCAAACATTTTTTTAAAAATATCCCATTATCAGAGTTTGAGCAGTCAGAAGCTGTCCTGGAAACATATCAACCTAAAATTATCTCTGCATATCCTAAAGATTTTCTCCAGATACAAAATAACTGCCAACATAATACAAAAAGATGAATTATCACCTTCACAATAAGATGATCTATTTCACATTTTTCTTACTTTAAGACAACTCCATCCATAAAACTTACATAAAACAGAAAGAAAAATCAAAAACATCTCTCTGGACAATATCTTTCCTCACAGGGTTTAACGTTGATCTTTCTAGAAAGATAAATGGTCCTGGAAATTAAGGGTTAATATATCAGTTCAAACAAAAACAATCATCTGCTAGGTAATTACTGTTTTTGAAGATTCTGTCAAAATGACAAATTAGTTTGCTAAGCAAAGATGATTTCCCAAGTTAAGCTGAAGGTGCTCCCAAACAGTTAAAGCAATCTTGTTAGTTCAAAGTGACTAGAGATATGCCACCTACTAGAAATAACAATTATAAGATAACTTCTGCCTCCATCTTAAGAGCAAGACATAATTAAGATCAAGCAGCAAAAATGTTCACTCATCATTCTCCATATTAAATATCCACCTAATCCTATATATTATATCTGGAGAAGAAACATTCATCATAGCAGAAGGTAAACCAAAATGCAAGTAAATGTTAGGCTAGAACTCAGCGTAAAGAAATCTCTGATTGCCAAATTATACTGTGTGTAAACCGTTATACTGTAGTGTATACATTTTTAATATCTCAAAATAACAGTCATAAGTATTATATACATCCAGTTCCAGTAACCAAATAAAACTTTCCTCTACCATGTTTCTGCATTTCTAACTACTAGAGCTGACCATTCTATCCGTTGTTTGAGGCCCTTATCACTTGTATATTGGAGCTCCAAGGTACCCAAAATATGTGGGTGCCATATACCCATCCCAGGTAACTGTCAATATCTGATAACTGATGCAGCTTCAAACGAGCCATTTCACCCCGGAGTATGATTCAGTTAGCTGCAATTATATCAAAGGGATTGAACCGGTGCTATAACCTGTCTCCATGCGTTATCTCTCTCAGCCAAAAGTTTAGTAGACACATAAAAATGGAAAACAGCAGTTTATTTCCCATGATATTATTCGTCTTACAAAGCTTATTTGGTTAAGACACACTGAAAGTGCAAGCAAGTAAGACGGCCAAGCCTGACCACGAAACTACTTTAAAGTGGAAGATCATCTGCTTATTGTTGTATCTCACAAACATAAGGCCCACATAAAGCTTATGCAAAAGAATACAACTAATAACACCCCATCATTCAAACACACATCAGAGTAGCAAGACACATTCTGTATGGTTCGTTTATCACCAACATGCATATGAGAATGAGTGTTTCACATTATGTACTACACAATGCAAGGAAAAACAAAAATAGAAACACCAACAACAAAAACACTCAAGCAAGGCCCTACTAAGGGAGTAGATATCTCTCACGCTAAATTCACTCTTTGTTAGGTTCATGAGTGTTGTTAGAAATAGAGAAGTCTGAACAATGAATCCACAAATCAGCAATTTGAGGGATTAAATAGCTAACATAATTTCAACTAACCATGTGGGATAGCAAAAACTGTAACAGGTTACCAAGCACATCTAACATCATGAAGTCTACAAAGAAAAGTAATTACACAGAATAGTGAGATGCATCCAGAAACATACCAACCAACAACAGCTATGGTCACTGCACCCGGTAAACGACCAGCCGACAGTATGAAATCTAGTAAGTTTCCAAATGTCCTATTTGCTTCAGACATGAGCGATGCTGAATTTAGAATGGGGTGACCACCAGCAAGCCAGGATATGTTGAACATTTGTCTACTTCCTGTAATAGTATAGAAAAAGTTGACATGCCAGAAACAAAATGAACAAATCATGTATTGTGTTATATTCAGATTCATGTTATCTAATCAAGAAAAAAGACAAAAATAACTGAACACAATACCTTCGTTGGAAAGTTTCTCAGGATCAGATGCATCAGGAGTAAAAAGCAAAACAAATATCTCCATAAACTTTAGAGCCAAAACTTTCACCCCTATACAACCAGGCTATCATGAAAGAAACAGCAAACTATCATGTTAGAAAACCTTAAATTGACAGAGAAGCAGAACCAATACTCCAGTAAAGAGCATATATCACAAGAGGAACAGAGAGACAAAAATAAGAGGCTATACACAGCCAGCATACCTCCAATGCAGAAGAAAAGACAGCATCTTTGAACTTAACCATCCATGTCCATAGTTCCCCAAACCAACGATCAACTTTACCACAATGATGAAACTGTAGAGATCATCACGAATAACACATATCAGAGAGAGATAAAAAAAAAGGGAATTTCAATGCTAAAAATCATGTTCATTGCTGTGGTGTGAATATACAGGAACACCCACAAAGATCTTAAAGTTCTACTAACATATAAAACTAACTAATAAACACCAATTCAGCATAAAGGTAAAAACGGATAAGAAATCTAACAAAAACTTAAACAGAAAATTAACAAGCTTGCACTGCTTTATAGTCTTCACTGTTTCATATTACCCTAAGAGGCTAACCGCAAATTGTCAAATACGTAGCGCCAACATAAAAACAACCGAACTTTTGCAAATGAAAAGAAGAGGACTGATTCCATTCCATGGGTTATATTCCAGTCTCAACGGAAGCTACGAGTACGTAAAATATTTTTGCTGGTACTTACTAACTACAAGTCTACAAATGTATTTTTTTGCGAAGAGTTTCAAAATATTAAACTTGAGAAACAGTATGGACCTGCATTGCCATCTCCTCCAAGATGCTGCAATAGAAAGTTGTGCCAGCAGAAATAGCTTTCTTTGCAACAAGTTGATCCTCGTCCCTTGATAAGACTAGTAAGACAGTCACTAGAACATAGGAATGACCCAGCATCCTCAAACCAACCTCTTCGATGATCCTGACACCCAAAAGAATTTGTTAACCACACTCTTACCTTGTCAGACAAATTGATCACCATACATTGCTACAGAAGTAAGTTGGGCACCCCAAAATAAAGTAAGCTAAGTTCCTAATCTAATAGACACCTGTGAAACCTATACGTAGGGATTACAAAAGTATGTGTTGGCACTAGAACAGGGATCGACGACTAAAGTCCACCATATTGCTGTGGTAGTTTCAAAATTTGTCCCCTCAAAGACAAAAAAAAATCAAGCAGAGTAGCCGAATTACTTGCAATACTTCTATCAAAGCCGATGGAATTGGAAAAATCAAACATTTTTTTCCAGATTAGGGAGAATTTAAAAAACTATCCCAACAATACAGAAGAACCCTAAACACGCCACAAAACTGAAAATCTACTACGAGTTCGTGCACAGCAAGGGGGAAAATGCAGCAGCGAAGAAAGAAGAGTGTAAAATGCGGTAAAAAAAGCGTAGAATTTGGTGAAGGGCTCACTCGATAAGGGATTTGCGAACTAGAATTTCAGGCGACAAGTGGAGTTCTGCGAGATAGGGGAAAAACTCAGCGGAGAGAGACGGCTCCAACGACAGCAATATCTCCTTCACCTGTCTGAGAGATGAGAGCTTCACAGCCAAATCGCCGTGGTTGTTGGCGGCGGCGAGGAGAGAGAGCGCCTGGGCCCTGGCTGTCGCCGCAGCCGCCATTACTGGATTCGAGATTCGGCAGGCGGAATTGCCAAAGGGGGTAAATACGGTGGTAGTGGCAGTGGCTTATCTTTTAGGGTTTTTCAAGGTTGAAGAAGGAGAAGAATCTCGGCGACAGAGAAGCAGCACACAGAGAAATTAAGCAATTAGTCACATAAAATTTGCTGCAAAACAGAAAAGCCGGGATGGGATGGCTTCCATTAATTTCTAAAAGTTTTTTTCTTCTAGGTCCACCAGACGCAAAAACAAACACCCTGTCGTTTTACCTTCTGAGAGTTGCAAAGAGCGCCGTTTGAGCTACGTAACCAATCTATTTTAAACCGTTTAAATAGAGTGTATTGATTACAAATCCCTTGGCTCTAGTACTGGAACACCATCATCACTCAAGCAACTTTTCGTTATCATTTTCTTTCCTATACAAAACACACTTCTCTAGTTCTCTGTCGATAAATTGGTCTTGTATATCACATATTCACATGCATTTACGATCAATAAATGGAGTTTTTGACGCGTACGCAAGTGCTTATACAAACGAAAGTAGAGAGTTTTATTTACGGACTTACAACGACTTACGTGAATGGAGCGCCACCAACTTCATTGAAGACACAAAAGATCAATGACCTCATTTTTGCACACACCAACAATATAATCACAACTAAATCAGCCTAATTAACATCGTAGGATTGCGATTTTTTTTTCATATCGTAGGAGCATGTATGTTTCACTACACACAGAACGGTACCAAATAATGCATACTCATGACAACATAAATTATATTTCAACATTAGAACATGCAAACAATTAAAATTTTTAAAATATATATGTAAAGTGTTGCAAATGAAGATCCAAAAAGACTGCAGAAAATGGCTTGCAAGTTGCAATCAAACCCAAAACTTTCAAAATATGCTGACCAAATAAATTAGATTGTAAGGTTTAACCGGTACTAAACCAAATCGCTTAAACCAACACGGTTTGATTGTTTCGGTTACATATCTTCTTTATCGTCCCATGTTTGACAATAGGCTAAAGAGGAATCAGAGTCCCTTGGCATCAGGTTCCCGATCGACAAACAACAAACATATAATAATAGGGTTGTTATCGTCGAATCCACGCCCAAATCGGTGAGAGAGAGAGAAAATGGAAGGATGGGATCCGAACACGAAGTCGACGCTAACGCGGATTCCGCTTCTGACGACAAAGGCGGGGCCAAGAGACGGCGATGCATGGAAGCAGAGGCTGAAAGAGGAGTACAAGTCCCTGATTGCTTATACCCAGATGAACAAGTCCAACGACAACGACTGGTTCCGTATCTCCGCCTCCAATCCCGAAGGTACGCGTTGGACTGGCAAGTGCTGGTATGTTCACAACCTCCTCAAGTACGAATTCGATCTTCAATTCGATATCCCAATCACCTACCCTGCAACTGCTCCCGAGCTCGAGCTGCCTGAGATTGACGGCAAAACCCAGAAGGTTAGGGCTTTCTTTCTCCCCGATCGGCAATGTTTTCTGCTCAATTGGCTTTTGTTTTTTTATTGATCTCTCTCTCTCTCTTATTTGTTTTCTGTAGATGTATCGCGGTGGGAAGATTTGCCTGACTGTGCATTTCAAGCCGCTCTGGGCTAAAAACTGGTAATTTTATTATCATTCTCGTTGTTAAAGAAGCATGCAATGTTTTAGACTAATTCCCAATGATTTTTAGAGGGAAGATTATGAAAGAATTCGCAGCCCTGAGATGTTAATTAGATTGGTTTGTTGTCTGTGTTGATTAAATTAATACGGGAACCTCTAGCATTAAGCTGTTTTTGAGGTCTAAATGAAATTTATTGTCCAGAACTTTGACATCTGATTCAACCGAGCTTAAGTTTATGCAAATCGATTTCTATCACGAATATGAGAGCACATTGCTCGTTTTGTCTTAGCATTGATGAATGACTTTTTTGTTTATGCAGTCCTCGGTTTGGTATAGCACATGCACTTTGTTTGGGGCTCGCTCCATGGCTTGCTGCAGAGATTCCAATCCTTGTGGACTCCGGCATGATTAAGCACAAAGACGACGCAGCCTCATCTGCGGAATCTTAGTCTGTATTTCAATCTCAGTGTTGAGGTGTTTATCGGTTATAGCTGAACTCAGAAATGATTGAGGTGGATGCGTCTACCCTTTAAAACGCTTACATGAAACCCAATAAAGATTTAAGCTTTACCAATGCGTCTTCTTGTAATACTTTCACAACTTGAGAGAATATATGATGTTCGTTCCTACTTTGGAACTAGTAGTTCGTGCAAGGTGTGGATATTCTATTACGAACCTTTTTATGCGATTTTATTTCTTTTGAGCAAAAACCATTGACTGGTTTTGGAAGTGGTATGCTAACTTGGAACCGGCTGGTTGATAAAGGAAGGTGGCATATATGAGTCGTAGAAGCATATAGTCTAGAGACAGTATAATCGTCTTAAGGTTGATCTTCCCATGGTAAATAAAAATCCATGCCAAGATCTGATAAATACTTGTGAATGATACAACAGCATAATGCAACAACTGTATATTTTCTGTCCACCAGAACTTGTCCTTCGATGTTACTTTACAATTTTCTATTCATAAGCCTCGTCTTTTTCCTTTACTGAAACTCAAAACCATGTATTCTGTTGTAAGGCAAAAGCTGTAACTTATAAGGGCTTCCACAAGCCGCAGAATCCAACCTCGCTGCAGGATCTTTGTCTACAAGTAGTGGCGTCAACTCCACATTCTTTGTTACTCCAACACCTATGACCCATTTTCTCGTCAGGAACATGACAAGCACTCTCTCTATGTTGCTCAGGGCGTTTAGAGTTGAGAGCAATTGATGGACAGACTTGCATTGACAATGCGCTTGCTCCACTTTCCCATGCTCCACACTACAGTAAAATTCTAGTTAAGCAGAAGCAGAGAAAGGACTAATAATGCATTAAGACTCAGATTTGAATTGTTTAAAGCGTGCCCTTCTGTATATCAACTGAATAGGCAGTGCAAACTATGCACACAAGTCTTATTTCTTCCAAAATGACCAGAGCTGGAACAAGAGCCAGACCTTTGAAGCCGTCCAGTTGCCTGAGAAATAACTTTCTGGTAGTCTCTCATGCCAGGAGCTCATAACCGGTATAGGATGGCCCTCGGTTGTAAATATATAATTCCCTTTGGCCACAAATGAATCATCGAAGAGGAGATATAAGTACTTGCACCTGCGAATGTGAGATATCAACCAATGTTATGTTCTGAGTTCTGAAGTTTGTATATAGGTAAGAAAAGAATTACACGCAAGGAAGTGAACGGTAATCTCACGTCTCAGCGAGAAAGAAACTGTGCTGATGATCTTCCAGTTGCATGGTCGTCACATCTCTAACACTTGCAAATCCCCCTGCCACCTTCGTGTACAGATTAAGAGATTTTACCATTGTTTCACCAACTTCTAGGTACCATGGATCTGTAAAAAGAAGGAACAAAGAGTGAAACAGAGATCTACTGTCTACGGAGGTTGCCTAAAACCTGGTGCTTCACATAATAAACATTAAGGGTGAGACAATTACAAAAACGGAAAAAGCAAAAACCTTTTGTAGCTTGGTATAGGTAAAACGTGGATTCTGCTAATTCGGGACGCAGTGGATAGTACTTCTCAGTAGGATGTATCATTTGATGATCCAGTAGATACCTGAAAAAAGATTTGTTCAGTGTCCTTTAGCCAAAACAACAAACTTGAAATTGAATGAGAACTCAAGATCCAAATAGGAAGCTAACAAAGAAAAGACAACTTGTTGCACACCTCTCAGGTAAAACACCAAACTTCTCCCATACATGGAAAAACTCGCGGTGCGATGAATTTGCAGCTGCGACATCCCCAACAAGAACCTAGTAGTAAGAACTTGAGAATGACAACCACAATATCCGCTTTTCATCTGTTCTTTCTACGACGTTTAATTAATCCATTCATTCATTGTACCTGTAGACCAGGCCAAAACGCCTGAAGACTTGTGAGCTGCCAATAAGTTGGTTTCCCACTCCACATATTAGCTTCGTGGTACCTAAACCAGTTAGATAAAACTTCATTACTACATCCGGCAATTTCAGTTTTGTCATACAGAAACTGTCATAAAGGATATTGGGGAGGGCTTTCTTTAGATTAGCATATTACCAAGGCCCATGTCTGAAGTACTTCTGAGATGCCAGATAAGCAGTATGAAACATTCGCCAGTAGTCTTCTTTTCCAAAAAGAATATAAGCCTTCAAGAGGTATTCATAGTAAGAGTCAACCCCTTTAAAAGACGAGAAATGAAATTACACATCAGACAGCATCAAGTTAATTCCACACATATAAGTTGTAGCTATCTCTTGGAGAAAAAGAATTGCCACTAGAATTCCTCTGAAAATGAACAACATACCAGCTCCAATGCTGGAGGAGTACTCTAGCCATTCCCCACTTACTACATCCAATGTCGTACCAAGCAGATCTAGCGAACTGCGCATCCTCCATAGCTGACGAAGCGCACGTAATGCGGCTGCTTCAAATCTAGGGTCACCAGTGAGCCGTGACAGTGCCCCCATTTCAAGAATGAGAGAACCTAAAGAGTAAAATAATTATCAATAATTCCATTAACACATTCGGAAAACTATTTTCATCAAAGAAAACTATTGGTGTTTTTTTTGCCACTAGAATGTAAAAAAAAAAAAAACAAGGGAAAACAAAATACATACCACATCCTGAAGTGCTTGTTTCAGTTGTCTCATTCGCCATCACTCCATTCTGCCCAAAGATATTATTTGGGGTAAAAATCCCTTCTTTAATAGAAAACTAGAAAAGCGAGCTCAGACTTTAGCAGATAAGAGTGCAGAAACCATTAAGTAAGAATTCAATTAAAAGCATCAAAGTGACTGTTCCTTTTTGCATTAGATAGCCAGGATCTCAGATGCATTGAAGTAAAAATATTGTAGGCGCATTCCATAAGTGACGTTGCAGTACCTTCAAATTAATCCATGCATACGGTAATCCCGTGGGTGTTTCAAACGCTGGTAAAAAGCGTTTTCCAAGGTCTTCAGATAACCGAAGAAGCTGATTGTTGTAGGACCCCTGAATCAACCTATTAGCTGGATCAATTGCAAGAAGATGAGCAGAGATAAGTCCCCCAAGAAGTCTTATATTGCACTACAGAACAGAAGCAAAAAGACCACCAGTTAGAAGTATCGAGTGTGAGTAAACTCATTTATGGAATTCGAAAACACATCCTACTCTTGAAGACTTTATATAAAAGCAGTTATAAAAAAAACAGGTTTGGCCATTTACTGAACTGAAACTCCTACAAAAGAGCAACTAAACTAAGCTTCGCATGAAGTCCCTGGGCGACTACTCACCTCAAAAAGGTTGACTCGTGCATCGATATCGAATGTTAGATTTTTTGAGAGCCAGAGGATCCCTTTTTCAAATTCTGTCTTGTTTCCCAATATAGCAAGGCTGGGGACAAAGGAGAATCATGTCAATCTGGTACTGAAGAACCACTAACGAAATGCTTTCACTTTTACATAACATACCTGGACAAGGATTCCACAAGTGTCACAGCTGATCCGTTATAATCTGTTGGCAGGTGTTCAAGCTGGAAATCAGAAATCTTGGAGTCAAGCTTCTGCAACAAATCGTTTATGGTGCTCTAATGAGCTAGTAAGTTACCTTGAGATTTCCAAGCTCACTGAGGGAGTCTGTGAAACTTTTTGTAAGAGGCTTTAGCTCATCATGCTGCTCGAATTCAGAATGTAATGGGATTCAAAAACGCAGTAGCCAGAAGAATGCATCAGCTCAAAATGATAAAGTTGAAGTAGTTCACTAACCGGAAATGCGTAAGCCATGTAGTTATCATACGCATGATAGAACCTGTAAAACGAGACAACTAAGTAAGTATGAAACTATAGACTAAACATTCAGTGGGACTAGGATCTGGCATCAACCGTTCATATAGATCCTTTAACATTCGATTTAGTACGAGGGAACAAATTGGGTTTTGTATACCTAATAATCACATACACAAATTCGTGGAGCAGCAGCAAGAGAGAAATGGAATAATCAACTATATTGAAACATATCAAATAATGGGTTGATGAACCAAACCACGCTACTTACATCTCGCGGACTTTCTCTCGCATTTGTTGCTTCCTGACGTCGTCGAGATGCTGCGAGGAGGGGTCGAAGAAGAAAGCGGAAGAAATAAGGACGCAGAGAAATACATGCTTGTGATGGAGAGGACGAAACATGATCAAGATGCGGAAGACGAAGCCAATCAAATCAAACGACGGAGGACATGTGCATTCATCGTCTCCACGGGGCTGCTTGCCTCTGATCACGAATCGGACAGCTAGATGACAGACCAACGCCAGTTTTCTCTAATTTTGGGTTCCTTTGCCTTCACACCATTTTGCAGATAAGTGGGAGATTGGGATCGCAAAACTGTAAAAATGTTATTCAACTAAAATATATTACCATATGGTAAAAACTGGCAAATACAAAACCATCTAACTCTACATTCATCTTTCCCTATCCACACACGTCGTGAGCTGTCGTATCAGGCAAAGCCTCTCCAGTTCGGTAAGAGATTTCCGGCGAAGCACACAACCAACACCTTGAACGTCCACACATGACGACAACTCATCCATGCGTTATCGGTCAAAGAATCTCCGTTCCTCAATTCCACCTCCTCTTCAATACAAAATCTCCAAATCAGGAGCTCTCGAACAATAAACGGTCGAATTTCTGCGTATCCATCGGTCTACCTCGATCCTTCGCTTCTTCTGTATCAAACCGGAACCCTAAAAACCCATCACTGAGTTGTCTGCGCAATTGCGCCGCCGTTGATGGCCCTGAGACCAGTTCGTCTGATGATAAGTGGGATTGGGGTCGCTGGAACCGACACTTTTCCGAGATTGAAGAAATCGACAGCGTAGTTTCTCTTCTCAAGGTTCTATCCATCTAAACTCGGTCCTTTGGTGATGTTTTTCACTCGCTAATATATGTTCCTTTGTAATAACAAATTTCTAATTTTGGAGTCTTCTAGCTTGTGTAACAGTTTCAGCTTGAAGAGGCAATCGAAAAAGAAGACTTTGCAGAAGCAGCAAAGTTGAAAAAAGCTATTGGAGAAGCAACTGTGAATGATGCTGTCGCTGAGATCATGTGCCAGTTACAGGTCAAGATATGTGTTGTATGGATTTTGTTTGGTGACATTAAACTCTTTGTGTTATCTTCTGTACTGATACAATGATCACTTCTTTGCAGACTGCAATACGAGAAGAACGTTACCATGATGCTTCCAGTTTAAGCAGACAGACAGGAAGTGGACTGGTAATTTCAAAATTACCGGCTTTATATATCTTGTTTCATACTTGTTAGGCTTGTAAGATAGTCCTTAATTACATCTACACACGCAAATCTTACATATAAAGAAGTATAAGAATTCACAAACATTTTAAAGTGTTGCAAGGACGGACTTCTTTTTAACTCCTTAAACGTCTTAATGCAAATGTAATAAGTGTTTCGGCGCATTATGACACCTACACACCTAAGTCAAGAAAAAATGGCGAAAAGTAGAAGAGTTCTCTTAAGCTTTGTAACCGATGCAGAAAATGTTTCATATCTGGAAACTATTAAGGTAGTTAAGTTTAGTTGAAGGAATATATGTTTCGTGACATAAGTGATGGTTTCAGCTGCTCGATTTGCTAGTTCATATTATTCCCCGAATCTCTGTAGTCGAGGATCTATCTGCTTTTATCTGGAGTTGGAATGTTTTAGAACTTCATAGCATCATCACGTTTCTGATGTCTATGTAGGTGGGTTGGTGGGTTTGTTATCCTCAAGATTCTGAGGAACCATTTGGCAGAATTGTACGCATAACTCCAGGTGTTGGTAGGTTTGTTGGCAAGAGTTACAGTCCAAGGTGAGAAGCATGTTTTGCTGAGGATTCTTGTCTTTTATTCAATTGCTAGAGGTAATTGAATCTCATAACTGCTTCGTACAGAGAGCTGGTGACCGAAGCAGCTGGAACACCTCTGTTTGAGATTTTTGTTGTTAAAGACACTGACGGAGGATACGCGATGCAGGTAATTTAAGTACATCACATATGTATATGCAGATACTTTGTCCTTTTTTTCCCTTTTTAAAAGCACCAAGTAACCCCGTTGAGCTGTTGTGTACATATGTGCATTGTGTATAGGTGGTGTATTTGCAACATGTCAAGCAAAAACCATCGCTTTCCGAGAATCCCTCTCCAAGTGCAAAGCAATCATCGAATACCTCAATGGAGAGCCCATCCATTCTAGATGTACGAGGAAGTGAAGTGAAAGTGGATAAAAAAGAAGATAAACTACTAAATGCTGAGGAACCAAATGAAGAAGGGATTCAAAATGTGTTTAAATTTCTAAAAGACAAGATCCCAGGGCTAAAACTGAGAGTCCCCGATAAAGAGATCTTAGGCAGTGGTGATGCTGCTGAAGAGCTGGTCGGAGAAGGCATTGAGGAAACTAGTTCTGCTGATGAAGAAGAAGACGATGACGGTATTGAAGAAATTGCATCTATGGATAGTGCAGATAGTGGAAAGCAATTGAACCCTAAGGTTTTCATCGGAGGGGTTCTACACAACACAGAGGATTCCTCTATAGAGGACGAGCTTGTCCGTGTTTCGGCAAATATAGCGGATACTGAAAGAGATTCCTTTGTGTTGCATGTCCCTGGGAGACGTAAGAGTGATGCTGATACAAGAAAAAATACATTGTCCAAGGAACAAGTAACAGCTCTTGCAGCTCAAGGAATTTCGGATCTGATGCCAGCAGAGGTTGCCAAGGCGTTCTGGGGTCCAGAGAGACCTGCTTTGAAAGTAATTTTCTTGAATTCATACTGCTCTTTATAAAGCTGAACTCTTACAATAAATCTCTTTATGATGTCGCTCAAATGTGTTTACAAGCCGTTTGACATAAGTAGCATTCTCTGATGTCATGCATATGTTTGCTTGCCATGGATGGGTTTTGTTTTTAGAGTCACACTAGAGTTTTTAAATACATATAATATGGAGTTTCTAGCGTAAACAGTTTCTTGACTCGTTAAGATATAAAGATGGTTCGATCATTGTTCTAGGTATCAAGAAATCTCCGTGAGATTGCCAAGCTTGCTATAAACCAGGCACAAAAAGGAAATCGGCTCTCGGAGTATACAACATTTAATAGAATCATCACTCCTGAAAGCGACCTAGACCCTTTTGATGGTAATCATGTTTTGCATTAGTATTGTTCTCTTTCTTTTGATATAGGTTTCAGAATGTATTTGTGTAACTCAACTCGGGATATGTTGTGAATTTGAAGTGCAGGCCTGTATGTCGGTGCATTCGGACCTTATGGCACCGAGATAGTACAACTTAAACGTAAGTATGGCCACTGGAATGATGAAGAGGAAAGTAACTCCTCAGATATTGAGTTCTTTGAATATGTTGAGGCTGTGAAGTTGACAGGGGATCCAAATGTACCGGCTGGCCAGGTTTTTCATCTTCGTAACGTTTTTTATTGTTTTATCTTCAAATTATAACATATGAGATAAAGAGTCTAAGATAAGGGTAACAAATTTCTGGTAGGTGACGTTTCGTGCAAGGATTGGGAAGGGGAGTCGCATGAGGGATCGTGGATTGTATCCAGAGGAAATGGGAGTGGTAATGACACTTTCCTCATCTCCTGAGCTTTTCGTTTGATGAGAAGTACAATAAAAGAGTGCTCAGAGACATGTTTATGCTAAACACATTACTGAAACAAGAGTTAAAAATCAATCTTTTTGATTTCCTATTGAAACAATAGCTTTAAGACATTTTCATGGGTTCAACCATGTTGACAGTTGAATCGAAAGCTTATCGAGAGAGATGTTTTACGTATATGCAGCTTTCGAGTTACATGGGACAAGGGAGAATCGCAGACTTTGGGTTTAAAAACCCAAAATGGGTCGATGGGCAGCTTCTAAAACTCAATGGAAAGGTATCTGAATGTACAATAGAAAAGCAATAGAGGCAACCATCATGTCTTGGTCTTGCGGGTTAATGGTTTGGGTTTTGTGTGATCAGGGAATGGGACCATATGTGACGAGTGGGGATCTTGGATTTCTATATATTGGCCCTGAGAAGAGTTTCTTGGTCGTTTTCAACCGTCTGAGACTGCCTGAGTGACTAATACCTCGTCTTTTCATTGTAAAATATATTTTCTTCTTTGACTTTGTTCCATACACTTATCAGTGGTTCTGGGAGACAATCAATAAGTGATTGCAAAAAGCATAGACAGAATGCGTCTTGTGCCTGGGTCACTCTGTTCTAACTCTCACTCTCTGTAGCTCCCAAGAGAGCTGAGGAAGTAAATTTCTTCTTAGACGGTTTACTAGGCATATTACTTAACAAGTAAAAAGATCCATTATACTTTGGCGAGACGGATGATTTTTGAACTTTGGTGATGAAGAACTTGTATCCCAGTTTGCAATACATATTGATCCTTTGGTCATTCTCAGTTTGTGTTATTTATAGAACAACAAAGGGTGGTGAAGAAACAAGTCTTTATTTACTTAAGTCCCCTTAAACTGTCCTGATCTTTCCCCTTTCTTCTCTGCGAATTCATTACAAGGAAGCTTAGAATAGGACCTTATAACTCCGACGTATCTTGAACCGGACGGGGAAATTAGCATCACGATCATTGCAGTGAACGGTACGCCTTAGGCTGTATACGGCCTGCGTCACTGTCCGAGACGGAGTCCGGAGGAGTCGACGCTTAATCCTCCCCACCTAACCCATTTGGATCCAATAGGTCTCGAAAAATCGATATTCAGCTTCACTGTTTCCCTCCAAATTTTACCTTTCGGTTAAGATTAACTGAGCGCGAGATCTGTACCGACGGTAGAAACAGACAGGACCACCATCTCTTTTTATTTCTACTTGGTAAAAGGTGTCTTTGAGGTTGTTTATCTAATCTCTTAAAAATCTTCTTTTAACTACATCAAGTCTTAGCCTTTTTTTGTTTCTCTGTTGTTATCCCGCCTAAAGTTTTAGCCTGCTAGTTTTTTTTGTTTCTAGCCCTCCTCAGATCTAGGCCGAGAATTGAAAGGTATTACATCCTTTTTTTTTTGTTCTCTGTTATAACTCACAGATAATCTTATAACTCCATTCGGTCGCCTAAAGTTTTGGTTTGTCCATTGTAATAGATCAAAGTTAAGGCCTTGTTAACTCATTTTTTTAATAAAAAAAATCTAGATTTGTTCCAATGTAATTTACCCCGCCACACGCCTTTGTTTAACCATTTTATTTCTCTCCACTAAAGCTGAAACGACTATATATGTCTTCAGATCTGATCTGGACCAGTCAATCAAAGGTACACCATAATCTTATATAGCAATGTCATTCCTCTATAAAAATGTTTATTTATTATCATGGGTAAAAGTGTGCGGTTTTGATATATTGGGATGCTATATGGGTTGTCTTCTGAGAGCAGGATAAACATTGGAGGGTAGCTAATTAGCTATATGAACCTTTTGAGGTTTTGGGTCCTGATTGCACTAGGAAAGAATTAATGGGAAGAGTTAGCAATATAATAAATAAATATTTTTACAGAAAAGTAACATTGCTACATAAAAAGGAGGAAGAGTTAGCAATGACAAACCATTAAGCCATCTTTCCACACCACTAGAATGTACAAGGGTTGTACAACGGCATAAAAGCTTGGTCTCTGTTCTCAAATAGTATTGCTAACTCTTCCTTAGTAAGCCATCTTTCCACAAAGACCACTAGAATGTTGTCAATCTCTGTTAAACCACAAAACTTTGTATTTAATTGTATAACATAAAAAAACTTACATTCAATTCAACTCTAGAACTTATTCTCTCGATATTTGTTTTCTTCTTACTCGATTTACTTAGATCCCTATCTCAAAAGGTTGGATTCAATAGCAAGGTAGACATTCTATCTCATCTAGTCGAGAATGCAGGTGCGTATTTGATTCCTCCTTATTTGATTTACTTAGATCTCTGCCTCAAAAGGTCGGATTCAAAAGCAATCTAGATGTTTAATCACATCTATTCAAACTAACCAAAAACGTATGCGAATACCAGTTTCTAACCTTGGATGCCGAAAACCAGATGCTGAAGATTGAAAGGTACGTAATTTGCCATATCGATTTGCCTTTAGAGAAAAATCTCAGGATTCGCCTTCAGAGTGAAGTATATAAACAACCTCAAAGAAATGCAATTTATTGATTCAAATAACTTTGATTTTCATTTCCAAACCTAAAGGTGTATTGCAAACATTCTAAATATATCACAAACTTTAATGAAAACCAATAGCCCACTTACAAAGTATTTCATATCATAAAGCCAAAACAATAATGTAGATTTTTTCTTTGGTAAAAGGAAAGCGTTAGTATAAATCTGACCCATTAATCTCTTTTTGGTTTAAACTAAAATGTCACTCCTACATATATGATGGATGTGAGTGAACAAACTATAAATTGGTCTGAAAACACAATCTACGTTGTACAACCGTTGTTCGTTAGGATTTATTGTCATTGCATTATCCGCAGCTTTTCTGCAGTTAACCACCTATTCACAGAGACCATGAGTACATTATCAATCTCTGTATCATTTTATTTGTTTCTCTGTTGTAATCCAGCCTCCTCATATCCATGCCGAGAACTAATCGTCTAACTACATCCGCCTAAAGTTTTAGTTTTTTTTATTTCTCGCCTCTTACTCAGATCCACGCTGAGAGTTAAAATGTATTACATTTTAAACTCAATATATATTTTTGTTATGCTTTAATAGGTTTTCCGCTTTGATTGATCCATGTAGTTAATCCTTTTGTTTGTTTCTCTGTTGTTATCCTGCCCTCTTCCTCAAATCCATGCCGATAGATAATCTTCTAACTCCATCCGCCTAAAGTTTTAGCTAGGGATCGTTTCTTGCAAATCAAACTTGCTGCTCAATCATCATCGTCATTTCACTTTTATTTATAAGCTACGATAACTAAGGATCTGATCGTTTTTTTCTTGTTTGTTTGTTTTTTGCATTGTCAATGATCAGTTTCAATATTATTTGTCAAATTCAAGATTTAGGCTTTTTCAAATTTCTATACCCTACTTTTTTTAGTTGCTTTTGTGGCTTGTTCAATTGCAAAGCAAAGTTTCGATATTATTTGTCAAATTCTGTAATTTCGCTTAGTGAAACTGAACGAGAGATTTTTTTTAATAGTTCGTGCAAATCGATTGAAAGAGAAAAATAATTACACTAAGAAAGTGGTATTGGATTGTTGAATTAGATAGAATGTACAAAAATTCAAAAATAATTGATTCTTAAGTATTTCAAAGTGTTTTGTTGGAATTTAAACCAATTTTATCAAAATCAGAGTAAAAATAGTAGAAATTGGTTCTTTACAATTTTTATGTAAGATTCTATTAAATTCCTTCTAAATGATAATAGAATCAAAGCTATTACAAAATTGAATAATACAGATATTTAATAGAATTAGAGAATTAGTATATTGAATAACAATGATATTTTGAAAGAATGAATAGAAATCATTAATCCAATAACACAAATATTTAAAAGAATTGATAATATATATAATTGAATAACAATAGTATTTAATGGATATTTCAATTACCTACAATTTCATCTAATTTCTGAATCCAATACCCCACCTAAGTATTAGTAATCTTAATTTCACATGTTCTGTATTTTTTTTGTTTCTTCTTCTCAAAGTCAGTTTCTCCAAATTTAGCTGAGTTGGTGGTTTGATATTTGAAGTAAAATACCCATTTAAATGCAGTTTTTGGGTGTACCCGTGAGAAGGAGATGACAGCGCAATAAAGGACCATGGAGAGAGAGAGAAGAAGAAGAAAAGCCTTTTTCTCTCTCTTCCCGCTCCTCCTCCCTCTTTGACATTCCACCGAAAAAAGTTGAAATTTCAACTCTTTCACCCTCCCTCGACCCATTTCTGGACGGACTTATCGTTTCTACAATTACCCTTCTCCCAGATTTCTCCCTCTTTTGTTTTTTTCTTGTCTCCTTCCGAGGAATCCGATTCCGACACAAACCAAAGAGGTTAGAAATTTGTTGGTATGTTTCCCCTCTCTGTCCCCTTTTGGTTTCCTTTTTGCTATTTTTTTTTCAATATAATCTCTGTTTATAGCCTCCTGTTTGTCTTACAATGGCTGGCTATTGTGTCGAAATGAAAGTCTGAAAGATTGTATGAACGAGCGATTTTACTTATTTAGGATATGATAATGGCTTTAATGGGTTCCTTTACCACATGTGTTCTTCAGGAATCAGATTCTGGTTTTATTCTTTGTGATTTTCCAAATTCCAGAGCCTCAAATTCTTAATTGTTTCGAAAAAAGACTTCCTTTTTTTGAAAATTCCCATCCGAATATCCGATTTGAGCTCCGTGAATGATGTTTGCTTATGGTTGTGTCTCTTTTCGTGTGCAGGCAAGTGTTTCATTAGGAGGTGGTAATAATGGAAGGAGGGTCTGTTAACGAATTAAATGGTGATTCCACACACCGTTTCAAGGAACATTCCAATGCGGATCAAGCGTTTGACACAACGATAGAAGAGCTCTGTAAGAATCTCTGCGAGTTGCAGAGTTCTAACCAGTCTCCATCAAGGCAGAGCTTTGGATCATATGGTGATGAGTCAAAGATTGATTCTGATCTACAACATCTCGCTCTGGGAGAGATGCGAGACATAGACATAACCGACGATGAAGGAGAGGAGGACGAAGTGGCAAAGCCACAGGAGTTTGATTTCGTGAGACCAGCAAGTGCTACTACTAAGTCAAACTCTTCAAAGGTTGATTTGGAGGTCATGCCTAAGGATATGGAGAAACAAGCTGGCAAGAAGAATGCCAACAAATCCAACTTAGGAAATGGTGGCACGAGGAAGAAGAAAGCCGGAGCCAAGTCGCAAAACGGAAATGAAGAACCGTCATCCGAAAACGTGGAGCTGGCACGTTTTCTACTGAACCAAGCGAGAAACTTGGTTAGTTCTGGTGATAGCATCCACAAAGCTCTCGAGTTATCTCTTCGAGCTGCTAAGTTGTTTGAGGCTTCTGCAAATAACAGGAAACCGTGCTTAGAATGGATCATGTGTTTGCATGTCACAGCAGCAATCCAATGCAAGTTGAAGGAGTACAATGAAGCGATCCCGGTTCTGCAGCGCTCCGTTGAGATTCCAGTTGTCGAAGAAGGTGAAGAGCATGCACTAGCCAAATTTGCAGGTCTGATGCAGTTAGGTGACACTTACGCTATGGTGGGGCAGCTAGAGAACTCAGTATCTTGTTATACCGAAGGGTTGAAAATCCAGAAGAAGGTTTTGGGAGAAAATGATCCAAGAGTTGGTGAAACATGCAGATACCTAGCCGAGGCTCTTGTACAAGCATTACGTTTTGACGAGGCTCAACAGGTTTGCGAGACGGCTCTCTCTATACATAGAGAAAACGGTTTACCAGCTTCAGTCGCAGAGGCGGCGGATAGAAGACTCATGGGTCTTATATGTGAGACTAAAGGAGATCACGAGAACGCCCTGGAGCATTTGGTGTTAGCCAGTATGGCCATGGCTGCAAATGGACAGGACTCCGAGGTTGCTTTTGTTGATACCAGCATTGGTGACTCCTACTTGTCTTTGTCTAGGTTTGATGAAGCCATCTGCGCATACCAGAAATCTCTCACAGCGCTGAAAACAGCAAAGGGGGAGAACCATCCTGCTGTTGGTTCGGTTTATATCCGTTTAGCTGATCTATATAACCGAACAGGGAAAGTGCGAGAAGCAAAGTCTTATTGTGACAACGCGCTTCGGATATACGAGTCACATAACCTTGAGATCTCTCCTGAAGAGATTGCTAGTGGTCTTACAGATATCTCAGTGATTTGTGAGTCTATGAACGAGGTGGAACAAGCTATAACCTTGCTGCAGAAGGCCCTGAAGATATACGCAGATTCTCCCGGTCAGAAAATCATGATTGCAGGGATTGAAGCTCAAATGGGAGTGTTGTACTATATGATGGGGAAGTACACTGAGTCATACAACACGTTCAAGAGCGCTGTCTCGAAGCTACGGGCGACTGGGAAGAAACAGTCGACGTTTTTCGGGGTTGCGCTTAACCAAATGGGCTTAGCTTGCATTCAGCTTGACGCTATAGAAGAAGCTGTTGAGTTGTTTGAAGAAGCCAAGTGCATTTTAGAGCAAGAATGTGGTCCGTATCACCCGGAAACACTTGGAGTGTACAACAACCTCGCAGGAGCGTATGATGCAGTTGGCAGGTACTTGTGTTAATTTCTGTTTCTTTCATGTAACATGTTCCTGTTGACCTCAGACAAACCGTGTGTTTCGGTTGTGGTTGTAGGTTGGATGATGCAATCGTTCTGCTAGGACACGTGGTTGGGGCTCGGGAGGAAAAGCTCGGGACAGCGAATCCAGGAACAGAAGAGGAGAAGAGAAGGTTGGTCCAACTCTTGAAAGAAGCAGGTAAGGTTACAGGAAGGAAAGCTAAGTCCCTCCAGACTCTTATTGATTCCGATCACATGGCTTCCTCTGCTCTTCGTTAACACATTAATATGTTACTTTTTTCTTCTATATATAGAAATGTGCATACATTGTTTTTTGTTGTCTTTGTGATTATGTTTGTGGAAGCGTTTTTCCTTTCATTGTCTTAATCATGTGTACTTTTGGATAACAGTCTCACATAATTTGTTTTAATTGTTGAATGAGAAGATCATTACCACTTTAGCCAACATTTAAACTCATGCTCATCTCTTCCATTTCTCTTGTCAGCTTTTTCTTTTACTTTTGTGTCTACAAATATACAACTAAAAATGGTTATAGACATTAGCGTTGGCAAATCCAGAATTAATAATGGAGATCTGCTTCACGATCTCTTCAAGTGCGATCTCATCTTTAAGTATAGTAGTATGGGAGACTCCAGCAAGCTCTACGGTTTTTAAGCTCTCAACTTTGTGAATCAACTCCAAAGCTGCCAAGCTCGCCAAGTTAACCGTGCCGTCTCCATCTCCGTACTTAATCTCTGGCTGCACATCGAATCCTCCTTCTCCATACACCAAAACCTCCGGCGTATCAACACCTTTCCCATAGATGCTAGTGACCGGAACTCCCGGAGTCACTATATCCTCTGTCAAAGGCAACACTCTCGTCTTGTAAGGGACAACTCCTTGAGAGAACCCAATGTCTGCAAGAAACCGGTCCATCTCATGAGCCGTGTAGTTAAATCGTGGAGTAACAACAAGCGGTTTAGTTCTGTCGTGAAACACTTTGGGAGATGGAAGTAGCCATTGGTTACTCTCGGAGCACCTCTGTTGCGGCCTGACCAGCAAAGGGTTAACAAAAGGTACACCGAGTGTGTTTCCCGAAGCAAACGTCTTCATCTGCTCGACGGTCCCACCCCACGGCGCAGCGAGTGCAACAAAGTGTTTGATGTACTTGCGGCGCCATGAAGGAGAGCTACGGTTGAGGAAATAGAGGACGAAAAGGCCTCCAAGGCTATGGGAGAGGAGTATCACTGGCTTTCCTTTGTTCTCTCTGCTTGTTTTCTCAACCAAATGTTTGAGGTCTTGTAGGAACTGTGAGGCTACACGGGTCGGGTGGCCCGACCCAGCCAGGCCGTACCTGAAATCATATGGAGCTCCAAGGATGGTTTGGTCGTTAACATACCCACAGCCTTCCTCTAGAGCTTTCACCAAATGTCCCATGTAAGATGTTGCATCTCTGCAAATGACACCTTATTATATCAAAGCTATATTAACATATTGATCTTTACTCGTAAGTACCATAAAATTGTGTTCTTCTTCACATTCTTGCAACATTATCAATCTACAAAACTTCATTTAGAATTGGACTATCTGTTTTTTTTCGGCCTAACATTCACCAGAAATGCGCATTTGATTTCATTAATAATGTCCCAAAACGAAGCTAGTAACAAATAATGTTGGAAGAATATAGACTATACCGGAGACTAGGGTCGAGGTAGAGAAGGGATTTGGTAGAACCGAAATGAGAAACCCGGGTCTGGACACCAGGGGCATTTTGATAATCATCCAAATCGGCGTCATAGCACAACATCATCCGTTCGTTGAAGCACTTAGTGAAGGGAGACAAGAGCACTGTTGGATCGAACCATAGCCTGAACCATCCACCACTCTTCTTGCGGATCGGGTATAACCAGCTGCTACACCAGACGCTATCTGGCTTGTAGTCTCGGTCCAGTCTTGCCTCTAGCTGGTTACCGCCGTTTCCTGGAACCAGAATCAGAGGGTGGACGTTGCTCGTAGCTTGAGACATGGAGATCATTGTCAACATTAAGACCATCTCTATGACTACCAAATAGTGTGAAGATGGTTTGTTCATTTTCTTTACAAGAAACAGTGTCTCGTGGATTTATGCAGAGCTGGAGATTTGGAGGAAAAGAGTAATGCAGAGAACAGAGTTGTGTCTAAAAACATTTGACTTTTTAGATAAGTAGTTTATGGTGATATTGGAACCCGCTTGCTTACCTGGAGACTCTAAAGATATTTCTTTCCCCAACTACATTATTTATTTCCTTTTTATTTTCTTTTATTTGCGTCTCTAAAAAAACTTTCTTGTACACTGCGAATTCGAAACAAAATACTATACTAGAAATTGAAAATTTATTTTTTTGAATTTGGAAAAGAATAATGCAGAGAACAGAGTGGTATCTAAAACGTATGCTTTAAGATAAGTAGTATATGGCGATATGGAACCGGCTTGCTTTTCGAGTACTGCTGGAGTGTGTCTGGTGAGTGCTATTGTTAGTCTGCTTTTCGAGTACACGGTTTGTCGGTGGCTTCCGGGTTGTGGTCTTTTAGCCTCTATCCTTCAGTCCTCTTCAGCGCAAAATGTTCGTATAGTCCGGTGGCTGCTTTCTCTCAGGTTTAGTCTTACAGCAAGCAGGTGAGCTTGTGTTTCTTCTCTTATCCGTTTGTTTTTGCTTCCTTTTGGTTGGTTCTTTGTTTCGAATGCTATGTTGTGGTTACTAGTGTGTATCACTCATCTGTATTCTACCAAAGTATCCCATCTTGTATCGGTTTCTTCTTTCAATATTAACTTCAGTGAAAAAACAAAAAAGGAACCGGCTTGCTTATCTGAGACTCTAAATTTATGGAAGTGGGTAATTGCAGTTAACATCATTAATTACTAATTTGTGCAATTGATATAGTGATTAAAAGTAGATTTATTTACGGGATATTTTTGACTGATTAACTAATGAGTGCAAAAGCGGACATATTATTATCAGAAAATATAAAATTAATTTTATATAATTAAACAATATCAAAAATATATTATTATAAGAAAATATAAATTAATAAGAAATATTATATAAAAAATTATTTCAGAAAATGTTCAATTTATTTATATACTTATTTTTTTTGTTTTTTTGTTTTTAATTTTTAGTATTTAATTTTTTAATCGCAATGAAAAAGAAAACTTTTGATTTTGAAAAAAAAAGCAGACTGAAAGGTTTTACATTTTATTTTTTTTAAACGTATATAGCTTGGATCCAACTTCATGCCCGAAGTCTCTATTCGGGTCAACCCGACCGGTTTTAAACAGTCGCTCCTAACTAAACCCTAGAAAAACCTATACGCCGCTATTTAACTTCCTCTTTTCTCAGAGAGGATACGGCTACGGATACTGCGCCTCCTCCGTCGCCACCATGTTTGAGTTCCACTGCAGCTCCATCGATTGGAAGCCATCTCCAGTTGTAGCCCTTTCTACCAGCCCCGACGGCTCTCAGGCCGCCGCAGCTCGTGAAGACGGTTCTCTTGAGGTCTGGCTCGTCTCTCCCGGCGCGATCTCCTGGCACTGTCAACTCGTACGTGCTCTTATTCTTCTCTTCCGATTACCACATTTTCGATTCGATAAGATTCTTGAACTATCTCTAGTTTTTGACTTCCCTTTGTTTATCTTTCTCAATTGAGTTTATAGATTATCCATGGAGATCCAAAATCGAGAATTTCGTGCCTTGCCTGGCTCGGTGCTGGCTCCAAAGGGTCCTCTAGGTTGTTTTCTTCGAGCATCGATGGCACAATTTCAGAGTGGGATCTTTTCAACCTGAAGCAGAAGGTGAATATCACTGAATTAAAAAAAAATTCTATTTTAATATTCTAGCTTCTTGTTTTAATGTATTATTTCTCTTATCAATCGATTTGTCCAGGTCGTCCTTGAGTCGATTGGAGTATCAATCTGGCAAATGGCTTTAGCACCTCCCTCCACTGAAGCAGGAGGTAGAAAAGCTGAGCTGATTCAGAATGGAGACTTGAGTGAGAACTCAGATGACGAGGAAGAAAGTGGAATGGAAGATGGTTCAGAGTTGGACGAGCTTGAGGAGAAATCGAAGGCCTGTGATAGGCATCTTGCAGCTGCCTGTGATGATGGCTGCGTGAGGATATATTATATCTCCGAATCAGACGATTTAACGTACTATAGATCTTTGCCTAGGGTCAGTGGTGAGACATCTTTACTCACTCTTAGCATCGTTTTGATCCTTCATTATTGTATCTCATAGAGCTTGATGGAACGTTATTTTCATAGGCCGTGCTTTAAGCGTGACGTGGAGTTTGGACGCACAGCGAATCTATTCGGGCAGTAGTGATGGGTAAGGATATCTAATTTACTTCGTATATGAGCTGCGTAATTTCTTATTTCGTAACATTTGCATATTTGGTTGGAAAGAAAACCTGTGAATGTTTCTTTGATTTGTCTAAGTAAATTTTTCCAACTATTGTTTGTAGGCTGATAAGATGCTGGGATGCTAATCTCTGCCATGAGGTATATAGAATTACAGTTGGACTTGGAGGACTTGGAAATGGGTCTGAGCTCTGCATTTGGTCACTTCTTTCACTGAGGTAAATTGTTATTCGTGCTCTTATGTTAGTTTTGTGTCTTTCGTTTCCTTTTGCTGATATGATGATCTGCATCTTCTACTTTTAGATGTGGAGTTCTTGTCAGTGGAGATAGTACAGGAAGTGTCCACTTTTGGGATAGCCAGCATGGAACCCTTTTGCAGGCGCATTCTAATCACAAGGGTGATGTCAATGCACTTGCAGCAGCCCCAAGTCATAACCGTGTGTTTTCTGCTGGTGCCGATGGACAGGTAAATGATATTACTGGTGTGTTGTTCTCTCATGTGAATCCCAGTTGAAAGTTGATGTATCATAAAGACTAGTTTCCCTTTGACGAGACATGGGACTTGAATAAAGTAGAAACAAAAATTCTTTGGCGAATTATAAGGTTTCGGGTGTAACGTTGTTAACTGACTGATTCTCTGTTCATCCTATTGTAGGTTATTCTATATAAGCTCGCTGGTGGTACATTTAATTCACGAGATCTGAAACCTTCTTCCAGTCAGAAGTGGGATTTTATCGGTTGTGTAAGGGCTCATACGCATGACATCAGAGCTCTCACTGTGGCAGTGCCAATAAGTACGGAAGGTCAGTGGTTCTTGAGTTAAACTTATATAGTCATTTTCTTAGTTTGAATGTGTTTTCCTGTTTCTAGACGCGGTGTAGTCTTTTGTTGTTTTGTAGTTCCTAAGCTGCTACCTTTTGCAGGTTCCCTTTCGGACAGTAATGCAAAAGGACCAAATCCTAAACAGCGCAGGAAGGAGAAGCCAGTTGGTTTCAGTTACCATAAATGGGCACACTTGGGGGTTCCCATGCTCATTTCAGGTGGTGATGATGCAAAGCTTTTTGCATACTCGGTTCAAGAGTTCACTAAGTTCTCTCCACATGATATATGTCCTGCGCCTCAGAGAGTACCTATGCAGATGGTTCATAATACAGTGTTCAATCAGACTTCTCTTCTCTTGGTTCAGGATTCTTCTTCTTTAGGTATTCTTAGTATTCACATAAGCAGTGATTCTAGTGGGCGTGTCTCCACCAAACCACTGGTTCGTGTTATAAGTAAAGATGCCCGGAAGATCATATGCAGTGCAATGTCTAACACAGGATCACTTTTTGCTTATTCTGACCAACTTCGCCCAAGTCTTTTTGAGTTGAAGAAAGATAAACTTGGAAAAAATCCATGGAGTGCCAATAGAAAGCGACTTCCCAAACTTCCATTTGCTCATTCCATGGTCTTCAGCAGTGACTGCTCTCGGCTGATAATAGCTGGGCATGATAGAAGGATATATGTATGTGCCAACTATTTGCTAGTATCAATCATTATTTTGCTTGCTTGGCCTTATCAAACATCTGATGTTTATTTTGTTGGCAGACTGTTGACATTGATAGCATGACGTTATTACATACTTTTACTCCACGTCAGGAGGGGATGGAGGGTGAATCTCCTTCTCGCGAGCCTCCGGTTACAAAACTGTATACTAGCTCAGATGATCAATGGCTAGCTGCTATTAATTGCTTTGGGGACATGTATGTGTTCAACCTGGAAACACAGAGGTGAACAATCCTGGCCCCTTCGTGCTTACAGTTATTTGTTAAGACTTGTTCATAGTACCATATCTGTAGAGATAACATGAGTAGGGGCTTTGCATATATCCAAGCAGCTGCTTGTGTATACCTTTTGTCATTCAGGCTTTGACTTTTGTTTACAGACAGCATTGGTTCATGTCAAGGCTTGATGGTGCATCTGTTGCAGCCGCTGGGTTTCATCCGAGGGACAACAATGTGCTTGTGATCTCAACCTCTTCAAACCAGGTCTTTGCATTGGACGTGGAGGCTAGACAGTTGGGCAAGTGGTCATTGCTGCACTCTTTTTGTTTGCCAAAGAGATTCCAAGAGTTTCCTGGTGAAGTCGTAGGACTCTCATTCTCTCCATCACCAAATTCATCATCTGTGATCATTTACAGCTCCAGGTACTTCGAGATTTTTTCACTAGAGAGATTATTTGCTCTACAAAGCCCTCTTTCTAATCGTGTGACACTTGGGGTTTTTGTTGCAAAGCAGAGCAAAGTGTTTGATTGAATTTGGGAAGCCGACAGAACAAGACCAAGAGATGGACGACATTCCATACGGTAAGATTGCAAGCATTGGTATGGAGAAGAAACTGGGGAATGGAACCAGGAAACGTAGGTTTGAGGAGTACCAAAAAAAGAGCAAGAGTAGCAATGAGAGAGAGAACTTTGAAATGGTAACTTCGAAGCATCCGGTTCTATATTTAAGACATCTATCCAAGAATGCAATCTTGGTGGTGGAGAAACCATGGATGGAAGTTATCAAGAGTCTCGATACACAACCAGTTCACAGACATATATTTGGAACATAAGGGAGGAGATGGAGAGCTCAAGAAAATTTTCCTTTTTATCGGTTTATGTATTTTCCAAGCAAAATCAGTCATCTGTTACTACTGGATCATAGATTTTAAAATCTTTATCAAAATTTTGGTTCTATAATTTTAAAATTCTAATTAAAATCTTATATTATCGGTTATAACTGATATGATTTTGTAATTTCTACCTTAAATTAGGAGGGTGTATTCAATCTAATATTAAAAGTGATTTGTATTGTAATGACATATTCTATGTTATTGTTCAAACATAAAATTCAAAATAATTGTTTAGAATCCAATGTTATTTGAACTACTAATTTGAAAAATTTAACTTCAAATCTGTTGTTATTACTATACTAAGCTATAATAATTCGATTAGATAATGTTGAATAGTAAAAATGTTTGTAAAGCATGTATTCTTCTTCTTGAGATGTACGTGTTTCATGCTTACCTATACATTTAACGCTTACATTACGCCAATCGATTCATTTTGTGTGGTTTTCCTCATTTAGAATCTAATGGTTGGATCTTTTTTTAGGTTAACAAATCTCGCATTCTATCTAAAATAAGAATCTTTTAAACATGGACCGTTAGACTCCGCATGCAAAACGTAATTTGTTATAACGATTCCAACTCTTTGTTCTTTTTTCCTGAATTTCAAAAGGAGAGAAAGTAAAGAGATAGCAAAACCACGGAAACGGAAATACAGTATGTGTCGCCCAAATAGAGGATGTTAAACGGCAAAGGCAGGAATTTTAAGCAAGAAAAAAGGCATGACGAAACCAAGACACGTACGAGAAAACAAACCCCAGACGTCAACTAAAAAGGCTCCACGTGCCTTTGCTTCTCTCCCACCGTTGCATGGAGCAGACAGACGCTGCAACTGCCTCGTGTTACTCCCCAAACCACCAATCACTTACGCACACGTCCGTAAACATATATCTCGAAGAACCAAAGACGCCAATAACGCCTAACACTAGAAATAAATAATTTCAAAGTTTTAAAACATTTCACATTGTTTTACAAACACTGCATGTAGTTAAAAAAACTGTAGAAAGTAAACAGAAATTAAGTTAGATAAATAAAAAAAAAAAAAAAAAAAGGGGATAGGTGTAGGCACGCATGACGCCCAGCACCAACACGCGTTGCGGTGACATCCTCTGTGATTGGTGAACCGAACCACATCTCCCCAATACCTCATTGTAAAAAACGGCACATTAACTCATTCTCTCACACGTGTCCCTATCCCCAACCCTCTCTAACACGTACCCATCCTTCTCTCTCCAAATGTCTTTCTTCCTTAATATTCGCCTCTCTCTTATTGGCTCTTCACTCTCCTTATTATAACTTCACCACTCTCTCTTTGATCTCTCAACATCCATCTTCTTCTTTCTTCTCCTCTTCTTCTTCTTCTTGTTTGAGGGTTTTCTTTTGTTGTAACACCATGATAAAATTACTTAACCCTCATCACTCGCACCATTCACACTCAACCACCGCAACTCTTAAAACAGCTGAGATCTTGTCCAAATATAGACCCATTGCACCTAAGCCCGGGACGTCCCAAGCAAACGATAATGACACTTCTTCCTCTATGTCTCACAAGATCAGCCAATCTCCTTACCTCCGCAACCTCTGGCCTCAGCTTCAAGCTCGGCCTACACGAACCCGCAAGCGAGGCCGAGGTGGTATGGGTCCAGCGTCTCCTCTCGCCTTGAAGAGACCCAAGTCATCTGTTTCTCCCACTACTACTACTACACAACGTGTGTTTGGCCCTATTAAAACACTCTCGTTTCAGGCTTTTCCTCATGGCTTACCTAACCTCGCACAAGTCGGCTACACCTTGGAGAATGGTGGCGGCTCTTCTGCTTTGGTGACTCTGCCTCTTCTTCAGTGCTCTCCTCCTCCCTCCAAATGCATGGAACCGGAGATCAAAGGAAAGGGTGTCATTGATCTGAACAAGACCGCAGAAGTAATACAAGAGAGAGATTTCTTGAAGCAACTACAAGGACCCATCACCACAAGTACAACCACAACCACAAGCAGAGTCATAGCGCCGCAGGCCATAAGGCCCCTTTGTTCAAGGATCAACGTGGCATGCATAAACCCTCCTACCTTCCCATCTCCACCATCTCATCAAATCAGCATGAAATCACCGCAAGAGGTCGAAGAAGAATTCGAATCCGACGACTTACCCGCTATAATATCCGATTCCAACAACAGGGTAAGGCTCGTGAACTCAGCTTACAAGGAGATGATGGGGCAGCCCGAGTGCTCGTGGCTAGATTCGATGGTGAGAGGGAAGAGGATTTGTGGGGATGTGATGATCCATCTATGTGAATCCAAGATTCCGGAGGATAATATTGGGTTTTCTTGCTGGGTGAGGATAGAGTGGGGAAGAGACGGTAAGGAGGAGTTCGTGCACGCGTTCTGCGATGTGATGAGACTTGCGTGCGATTCCAAAGATTACGTCTTTACGTGGAGGTTTCACAAAACCGCCGACTACAGAGAGACTTGTCAGTCAAGCTGCAGCGCTTAATTAGGTTTTGGAGTATGTGTGTTACTCTCTGTAGTGCTTTAGCGTAATGATATATATATATATATATCTATAGCCAGTATGTAAATCTCGGTTAATTATTATCTTCTGTCGTTTAGATATACTATGAAGAACAACAAGTTACTCCTTATTTTAGAATGGTTGCGTTCATTTCTCGCGAAACAAGACTTTCCGATTTTCGTTGGTAACTATTTAAGTTCTATAAGTGTATACAGGCGCATATACGGGTGTATTGACCGTATTTAGTATTAATATCAACGGAAAACAAAATTCGACTTGATGTTGTCTACATGACGTGTGCTGGAAGCGACACACAACAAGAGGCGTTTAAACACTCAATGTATAAAGAGAGCTTAAACTACGCAAAGTTTCAAAAGCTTACTCTCAAGGAGGAAGATTATAAGAAACTAAAAAGTCATATACTTTTTTTAATATGTATATACTGATAACAATCCGATTAAATGTAGAAGTGGATAATTAAATTCGCTGGAGACAAACCAAATTATATCAAACGTCCGAGACGAAATCCAAAATCAATGACCATCAAACTGAGTGGGTTGGCCGTTTATTGTCGTCTCTTTTTAAAAAAATTGTTTGCGTTATCTTTTAAAATGAGTAACGTAGAGGCTTCGAGCAATCGAGATATAGGAGTACTGTAACCATAACTGTTTAGTGATATTAATTGTTGTATATTTTCTTTTGCTAACAACATTCATTATGAGGATGCGAATTTGAAAATCTGAATAATAATAACGTACGAATGCCTGTGACATCGGTGAGTAATTATGATATTTTTTATGTAAGGAAGTGCCTGCAACATTGACTGTGGTTTAGATTGTGATATAGCCCTTCAAAACCAATGTGGCTCATAGATTTATATAGCTGCTTTTTCACAACCATCCAACAAACTAAAACTTGAAACTTTATTTATCAAAAACGTTATCGTCACGAATCAATCTACCACTCTGCAACTTTGTTTCGACGCTGGAGAAGACTTTGTTTACCTGATTTGAGGTTTCACTTTGGTTGCATGAGTAACTTCATCCTAGAAACCTTTGCTAAGTTAAATGAAACTCTGTACCGGAGCCGACAGCTCCAGTTCATACGCAGCTTGGTAAAACTCTGCAGCTTGCTGTGACAAGCCTTGCATTTTGGCAACATGCCCTAGCTTCATCCACGCGTCGTGATTTCTCGGGTCTAATCTTAAGGCGTTCATCAGAAAACTTTTAGCGGTTGGAAGTGATTCACCTCCGGATTTCATCATAACCTCTGCTATAGAAACAATGCTTGGCACGTGATCTGGTTCGATCGATAGCGACATAAAGAAGGATATTAAAGCCTCTTCGTGAAGTGATTTCGCTTCTAGACACAAACCTATCCAAACCACATAAACAAATGTATAGAGCTTGTTATCAACACGGGAGAGATTATGAATGTGGAAAACTTTGTGAGATCGTTTAGGACTGGTAATGTATTTTCTCCATACCTGTTTCCATCCAGCCTCGGGGAGAATAATAGCGAATGGATCTTGCCTTCTCCAAACATGTTTCAGCATCTGACCATGAACCTAGCTTTCCATAGACAGAGGCTAGATCTTGCCAAGCTTCCGTTTCAAATTTCTGTAGCAGAGTCTGCGAATATAGAATAAGGAGTAGTCAGAGAGATCATAAACATCAGAGTATAAGTCCCTTTCATATTAATAACACCCAAGCTAAGTACCTCGGATCTTTCAGATTTCTCCTGCGCCCGGATTAGGGCCAGCAAACTGCTGCATGTTTTCATTGCCTGCTTAGGTTGTTCTTGAGCCATCTGAAGCACAGCTTTCAACTTCATGAGCTCTAACTTCTCAATATCACCAGCCTCTTCCATGGTAAAGTCCAGAATAGACTCAGCATCCTTTAGCCGTTTCTCTGCTGAAAGGACAATAGCTAAATGTTTCCATCCTCTAGTTGAAACTCCTCCCACCAAACTAGAATACTCAACCGCGCCATCCAAAGCCGCCTGAAGTTTTCTTTGAACTGCGTTCTCAACGCTTAGGTTAAATATAACATCTGGTTCCGGATCATCCTTGGACCTCTTTGCTGCTTTATTTAGAGAGAGAAGAGATTTCTTCTGAAGTAAAACCCGTTCAGAATCTAACTTGGAACTTCTTGCAGCGTTTCCATAGCATACACCAAGGAACCTGTGCGCTTGGCTCAAAATATGTTCACTCTGACTGTTTGCCAAATCAATCAGCCTGTGAGCAAAATTTATGCCGTCCCTTGAGTGTGTTGGATCTTCAGAGCATAGCTTTGCTCCAAACAATAACCAAGGAGTATGTGGTATCTGTCTTGATTCAGAAGGACCAGAGGCCATCTTCAATAGATTGATGGCCGCTTTATCAATCCCTGCAGCACTGTAACAAAGGGAGAGAAGGTACCATCTCTCCCCTCGAGTGTAAACACCCGGAAGAGTCTGCTCCAGATAGTTTGCTAACAGCTCAAACTGACCAGTCATCGAAAGGGCGTAAGTGAGATGATCCATGAGTTCTGAATCCCACTCTATTTCCCCAATCACCATCTTCTTCACAAGTAACATTAGTAACACAATTGCTCCCTCCATGTTCTCTTTTGGGCATGCCTCAACACTTCCGTAAAGTAAAACCAAAGCTAAGGATTTCTGCGTAATAGCTAACCTCTGGGGATCCAAGTTCCATGGTCTGGATAAAGCACGGCGATATGCAGCAATAGCCTCATGAAAATTCCCTGCTTTTTTCCATAGTAAAGGAAGCAACTCGAGGGCCTTCTGAAAAATTTCCTGCAGTTTACCGAAACCGCTGATTCCGTTAGGCATGCCACTTGGTAGTGAAGATTCAACCATGTCCAGGATTAATTTGCATTCCTCTGCAGCCTCTGGTAAAACAACACACAGCAGAACAAATGTGACCATATTTCCAAATGCAAAAAGCATCACAGGTTATATATTTTATAAAAATACCTTTGCAAGACCCGAGTTCCTCCATTGATCTAGCTTTAAGCAAGATTGCTTCAAGTAGTAAACTGACTGAATGCATTGACATTGAGCTTGGAGACGCAATAACAGCTCTGGAGCGTGATGGTTTGCATGGACGAGTTCTCTCTACAATGGCCTTGACTATCCTCGGAGTTAAGACCTTAATGTCAATCCCCTTAAACACTTGAAGCGCTGCATCGAAATTTCCTCTCTGATATTCAAGTCTCCCCAGCAAAGCCCTAGCTTCCTAACACACGATCAAAAAAGAGAAAAAGCTAAACGTGAGGCTAAGAATAGATGATTTCAGTTTACCAAACAAATTTGATGAAGCAGTAGCTAAAACCCACCTCATAGTTGAGTGAGAGAGCCTCCTTTAAAGTCGATTCAGCTTCATCGACTTGAATATCTTCCAGTTTTGAATCCCAATCGACTCCTCCAGTTCTGGAAGACGAAAGTCCACTAGCTGAGAAATCTCTTGTAGCTAGAGATTCCGGTGACCCAGGCTGCTCCTCGAACCGGAATTGTTCGCCTGAACAAGCACACAACATCTCTTCCTCCTCCTCTTCACAACAAGCAGAAATGCGATGAATGGATTTCACAGATCTATGCAGCTTCACTACGAAAAAACACACAACAGATTTTTCAGAATTTCACCCTCAAATCCTTAACCTGTTAAGGTTTTTAGCAGCCTTTAACCTCTATAATAATAATGCTGCTTTCACAATGTTTAGGATCATAGCGTCGTCCCAAAAGACAAAACAAGCTGAGGAAAAGGAAACAAAAGCGAAGAAGAAGAAAAATGGCGAAATGATATGAAGCTTACAAGAAGACGGCAGCGAGCAAACGCAATCAGCGAAATCGATAAACGCGAATGGCGGCCATGGAAACAGCTTTGATAGGAAGCTTTCCCTAAACTCGAGCTTGCTCAAGCAAAATTAAAAGCGGAAAACGAAAACCCAGGAATTTGTTTAATCGATTAAACAAAGCGAAGATCCGAAATCGAGGAAGGATACTTTGTCATTTTGCTCTGTGTTGTTCATGTCACTCTAGTGTAAGCTGCAGCCAGCGTCCACCACGCTGTGTTTTTCTTTTTCATTATTTTTTTTTTAATGTAATTTGAAAATTTCTGGTGGGCCCAACTCGAAATTGTAAGTGTAGTAGTTCTTTTCATCAACGTTATGCATATGAACATAAATAAATTGAGATTAGCAAAGCAAATCACACAACTTAGTTTCATATAATTGTTACCCTTTGCTGAAGTTTCCAGTTACAACTTTGATCCCATACATAAAAACCCATAAGATCTTATTATTAATCGGGTCTTCTTTTTTTTTTGTAAGATGAAAAACAATCAGAACTCCAATCGAACCATGGCATACAAATGCCATTTCTCTTAGTCTGAGCCAATTATGATATAAGTTGCAAACAACAAGGATTCAAATCCCAAGGAAAACGTCTCAACGATACATGAAAAATAATACTAGCATCAAACACTTGATCCCCCACAATAAACCCCTTTCCCCTCTAGGGGTTTAGCTTGTTTAAGCAGCCGAGCTTACAAGAATAAATAGAGGCGTCTCTCCTAGTCTCTCCCTTCCCTTAAGCTCTGGTAACTCAATCACGCAAGCACACTCCACAATCTTCACTCCTACTCGCTCTGCAAAACACACAACCAAAATTGGCGAGGAGAGATTGAGATAGTCAAGCATATGCTGCTGCATTGATCAAAAGGATGAATCGACAATCTGAAAACTCAAATCGAGAGATCTTGCACTTTACCAAGAAGTCGGATTGCAGCAGCGAGAGTCCCACCCGTGGCAATGAGGTCGTCGATGATAATGGCACGCTCGCCAGGCTCCACTGCACCTACATGCATCTCGATCTTATCGGTTCCATACTCCAGCGAATACTCCTCAGAGATAACCTTCCCTGTTAGAGAAACCAAAAGAAATGTTATATTTATGTTTGTGCTGCTCAATAATGACTCAACACCTTTCTCGTAACTTGTCAAGATAAACAACTTGGTCCATCGATATATAACAGCAAACAACAACCACTTAGGCTGCTGCAAGAAGTTCCACAAATAAATATGAACTACCAAATGAGTAGAAGACATCTTGCTCAAGTCCGAGATAACGATAACTATAAGCTTAAGAGCAACTTTTGATGACACTCAATATCAAGATCGCAAGGCACTTAAGAGGAAATGAAACTCTACCAGGTAGCTTCTTGGGCTTCCTCATGGGAACGAATTTGGCACCAATAGCCAATGCAATAGGAGGGCCAAAAATGAAACCCCTTGCTTCAACACCTGCATTTTTATTCAAGGATTATAAAAAAATATCATCCACCATTTCAGTAACATACAACTTTATAGCTTAAAAAGTAACACACACTCAATCTCAGTATCTAATCAAACGCTAACTGAGTATCATTCGAAACAGACCTACAAGTTATAGCTATGCGAGAAGTTACCTGCAACAACTGATATGTCTTTCCCTTTGTATCTTTCAACAAACATATCGATGGTGTCCCTAAAGGCCTCAGTGTCGAGAAGAAGCGTGGTTATGTCCTGGAACATGATCCCTGCCAAGTGTCCAAATCCAGAGATGCAAAAAAAAAAAACTTTAAGATCGCAACATAGATCAAGACTCAGCTAGTGGAAAGAGACGACATCGCTATAAGTGAAGTTTGAAAAAAAAACGAGAAACATTCACAAAAGTGAGAGCTCTAGAATCAAAAGGGTGACCTGGTTTAGGGAAGTCGGGGATGACTCTAATGGAAGAGGCGATCTTGGGGATTCTGGGATCTTGCACATCATTAGTTGTTGCCGCCATTTCACTGTCCCGACTCGCTGCTGCTGAAACACAAAGAATCGGAGAACAACGAAAGGCGTCGTCAGATTCAGCAACACACACAGACCTAAAAAAGACGATTCTCGGAAGAGAAGGAACGAAAATGAAAATGACCAATTTATCCAAATGAATTTCACGATTTGACGGAATTGCCCCATCCCCGCAAAAATATACTCAAATCATTTTTTTGTTTTTATAGAAGGAAAAATAGGGAAGTGGTGGGTGGGGTCTACCGCAGGAGAAGAAGAGGCGGAGGGAGGTGGTGGAACGGTGGCTTGGGAGGCGGATTGAATGAGGACGGTGGCTGAGAAGACGGTGGCGAGGGATAGGAGGAGGAGCAAGACAGATTCGATGAGAAACTAATGGAGCAATTATTGATTGCATTTTCTATGGACTGAGAGATCTTATAAAAGTAGTACTACTTTTGACACAGAGTAGTTGACAAACGCCGTGATCAACGCTTTTTTACAAGCCATCCCTTTCCCTTGGTGGCTAGTTTTTTTATTCTTTCAACTTGTCAAAAAAACACATGTCCTAAAGAATCATTTTTCATTTCGATTTTACACACTGGGCAACACCAAGTTAATAAAATATTATTTTTACTAGACGAACACTACACAATAGTAGTAAATTCAAACAAACCACGATCGATGGTTATCTTCTTTCAGAGTCTCCACAGACCAATAGGAAAATGTGAATCTCCGCAACAAATTCACCAACCAAGAATATAGTGGAATTTTATTTATTTTTCTTTCTCATAGCCAACTGATTATCTATGTGTTGTCACTCTAGTAATCTTCTATACTATAACTTAATTTTGGAGAATGGGAAAGTTATGACCCGAATTGAGAATAAACAGATACGGTATGTGACTATGTATCCAGACAACATGTTATAAGACATGTCGAGGAACATCATCCAACCGTTGTTATCAAACGTCGGCGAAGTGCGACCTCCACAGACTCTGGTGAAATTACATGGTTTCCTCATGGAAACCCGATTAAGTCTGAATCCTTTGAATTTCGAGCAAATTACCAGCTCCGTGTCACTGTTTCATCATCCCATCGTTTTTTATCTAATAAACTCTTACCGGCGATGAAATTAGCAGCGTGTTTTCCTGGACTGCTTCAACATTTTCGTCCCAAATAACAAGAGATATATAAAAAGTAGGTCAGATTTTGCCCTTTCCTAATCCTAAATGGAATGTAGACGTAGAGAGACTTTCGTTGCCGTGCAGGGCAAGTTTTGATCCTTCAAACACACTAGTGTATATCTAATATTATTATTTTTGGCATCCGAATATATCTATCTTGTTTTGGTTTTGAGTGTTGGTTATATTGTTTTCTTTTTAACGATAAACACCATATTTTCCTTCCCTAATTGCATAGGTTCTACTCTCTCTTATAAATAAAGTCGTTGCTTGATTTGTGAGCATCACGATTTATTACTGACTTATATTATTATCAAACAAGCTTCTGCTTTCTCTTTCTCTTTCACAAGAGTGAAACTACGATGGAGCACATGGAGGTCGAGAAATCCGCCGCCGAGAACCATCACCAGCGGTTCACTAAACGGCAAGGATCTCCGAGAAACCGTCGTCAGTATACTGAAGCAGCGTTTGTTCTACATCCCTTCTTTCAAGATCTATTGTAGCCCCGCAGGGTTTTACGATTACGGCCCTCCTGGATTTGCCGTTGAATCCAATATTATTGATTTTTGGCGTCAGGTAAGGGTCCTAGTTTAAAATATTAGGGATCCTAATATTTTAAATCTCTTGTGTTGCTTGTTCCTTATACAAGTGAATTGATTCGTTTCTATTTCCAGCATTTCGTTGAAGAGGAGGACATGTCGGAAATGAAATGTTCATGTGTGACACCAGAGGCTGTTCTCAAGGCATCAGGTCACGTGGACAAATTCATTGATCTTATGGTCAAGGATGAGAAAACCGGAACGTGTTACCGTGCGGACCACTTGCTCAAGGATTACTGCAACGAGAAGCTGGAGAAAGATGTCTCTGCCGAGAAAGCTGCTGAACTTAAGGATGTTCGTGCAGTCATGGAAGATTTTTTCCAGTGAAGATCTTGGTGCGAAGATCAAAGAGTTCGGGATCACTGCTCCAGGCACGAAGAACCCACTCTCTGATCGATCCTTACCCTTTCAACTTGATGTTTAAAACTTCCATTGGACCTTACCTGCGCCCTGAAACAGCACAAGGCCTTTTTGTCAACTTTAAGGACTTGTATGCTTACAATGGGGAAAAACTTCCTTTTGCCGCCGCTCAAGTTGGTCCAGCATTTAGGAATGAGGTGATTATTATCCTTGGATTTTCTACGTACTGCTTTGCTTGATTCATTGGATGTGTTTATCACAATCTGCGTATTACTTCTCTCGTAGATATCTCCCCGTCAAGCTGCATAGTGGGAGGTCAAGGAAAAGATACACTCTCCCAATGAAGTATCCTAGAGTTTCAATCTTAGCATCACTCGAACATGCTGAGATTGAATGTTCGTATGGTTGGATCGAGTGTGTTGGGATTGCAGATAGGTCTGCATATGACTTACGTGCTCACTCGGAAAAAAGTGGCGTTAAACTAGTGGCGGAAGAGATATATGCAGAGCCTAAGGAAGTAGAGGAACTTGTTATTACTCCCGCGAAGAAGGAACATTCAAAGAAAATCAAAAGAATGTGACTGAAGCTTTGGTGGTGATGAATGAGCAAGAAGCTATGGAGATGAAAGCAACATTGGAATCCAAAGGGGAAGTGGAATTCTACGTGTGTACCCTCGGGAAAAGCGTGAGCATCAAGAAGAGCATGGTGTCAATCTCAAAGGAGATGAAGATAGAGCACCGGCGGGTTTTCACTCCGTCAGTGATTGAACCATCGTTAGGAATTGGTCGGATCATGTACTGTTTGTATGAGCATTGTTTCAGCACAAGGCCAAGCAAAGTAGGGGACGAACAGTTGAACGTGTTTCGTTTCCCTCCGCTTGTAGCTCCCTTTAAGTGCACCCTTGTCCCGCTTGTTCAGAAGCAACAACTCGAGGAAGCAACCACACACTTATCTAAGGAACTCAAATCTGCTCGCATCAAACATAAGATTGACATCACTGGTACAGCGATAGGGAAAAAATACGCGAGAAGCGATGAGCTTGGAGTGCCATTTGCAATAACAGTGGACTCAGAGACATCGGTGACGATCAGAGAAAGAGACTGCAAAGAACAAGTCCGAGTCAGCTTGGAGAAGGCAGCCTCTGTCGTGAGCGCCCTCGCCGAGGGGAAGATGACGTGGGATGACGTCCGGAAAGCTTCCAGTGATTTTCCTCTGTCATCATCTTTAGATTTATGATTAAGTTGTACCTTGACCTAAGGGTCTGATCATTTATACTATTATTATGTTAAGAGAGACAAGATTAAAAGAAAACTTTGCCTAATTCTCTCTCTCGTTTCTAGCTTTAGCAACGATTCGATCACTGCAGATGAATTGCTAGCTAAAAACATGAATTGTAAGCAATCAGCTAAGCTTGTGACGGATATGATTATATATACTTTTCATCTAAAGAATCAAATAGTTGAAAAACCAATGTGTGACGACAAAAAAAAAAAATCAATGGGTTATCTATTGGGCCAGTGAACGTAAGCGAGGCCCAATGGACATTAAGTATAATGGTAAGCGCCTTGTGACTTCGTTGAGTTGATGGGGGAAAGTACATCACAAGCAAAAAAAAATTCTACATATCTGTGACTTGAAGCTATTTCCCCTATCTTTCGTTTTCATTCTTCTTCTCTGTTTCATTTTCAAAATTCGCTTCTTCCTTTCTTATTAAAAAAAACCCTAAAACCTAATCCCGAAGTAAACTCGGCAACCACTCTGCGCCCATGACCTCTCAACGATACTCTTTCCTTAAATGCCTTCTCTTCCTTCTCCTCTCTGGGATCCAACCCTTCCCACACATCTCCCTCCGATATGACGAATCGCTCTTCCCTCTCCGCCATTCTTCTCTTCCTCTTCCTCTCTGCTTCCTCCGCTGAGCTCAATGTTCGAACCGAGCGGATTTCAGGTAATTTACAGTTCAATTGAGTAATTTATTTTGCGATTTAGCTTTGAGAGGTTCGTAATTTCTCAAGAAATTAGTGTGTAACAGTACCCATTTCGCTCAAATTATTTGAAATCTGAGGTTATTGAGTGTATTTAGCTTCCTTCTTCATACTGGTTCATATATATAATTTGGGTGGCTTGACAAGTTCAGTGAAAGAGCTCACAAAGGTTGTGAAATCCCTGAAATAAATGCAGGAAGTGCTGGTGATGTGTTGGAGGATAATCCAGTGGGGAGGCTTAAGGTTTATGTATACGAGCTCCCAAGCAAGTACAACAAGAAATTACTCCAAAAGGACCCTCGATGTCTCACACACATGTTTGCTGCTGAGATTTTCATGCACAGGTTCCTCTTATCTAGTCCCGTCCGAACGCGTAATCCCGACGAGGCTGACTGGTTTTACACTCCGATTTACCCAACTTGCGATCTCACGCCGACGGGCTTGCCATTGCCTTTTAAGTCGCCGCGTATGATGAGAAGCGCCATACAACTAATCTCATCGAACTGGCCTTACTGGAATCGGACAGAAGGAGCTGATCACTTCTTTGTTGTGCCCCATGACTTTGGAGCTTGCTTCCATTATCAGGTGGAAATTTAGATATTGGTACAGCTTTTAAATTAGCTCTTGGATCATCACATTAGTACCTGGTTTACATAGAAACTGAGCATATTGCATAAGACTGTAGAAGAGTTTGATGAATTGGGTGGAAATTGAGAATTTTGATTTGACATTAAAACAGGAGGAAAAAGCCATTGAAAGAGGGATTCTTCCGCTACTCCAGCGTGCCACTTTGGTTCAGACATTTGGTCAGAGGAACCACGTGTGTTTGGACGAAGGCTCGATCACAATTCCCCCTTTTGCACCTCCACAGAAGATGCAGGCCCATCTTATTCCTCAAGATGTTCCACGCTCTATCTTTGTCTACTTCCGCGGCTTGTTCTATGATGTTAACAACGACCCAGAAGGGGGATATTATGCAAGGTACATAGACTTGTAAAGTGATGAGGTTTCGCTAGAATTTGAACCGTTTAAACTCAATAATATCATTCAATGAAAAAAGCACATGTACATCAAGATCTAACTTATAACTTATAAGATCACACAGTTCATCATTCCTCATTTGGAAGCTATGGTTATATATATATGGTAAGCTAAGAATTGTTTTCTAGAATCTGCTGAATGGAACTTCTCTCTTTGTTACAGAGGCGCAAGAGCGGCGGTGTGGGAGAATTTCAAGAACAACCCTCTATTCGACATCTCAACAGATCACCCGACAACATACTACGAAGACATGCAGAGATCCATCTTCTGTCTATGTCCTCTAGGATGGGCTCCATGGAGCCCGAGGCTAGTTGAAGCGGTTGTGTTTGGGTGCATTCCAGTTATCATAGCGGACGACATAGTACTGCCTTTCGCAGACGCCATCCCCTGGGAAGAAATAGGAGTCTTTGTCGGTGAGAAAGACGTACCTGAACTAGACACGATCCTTACCTCAATACCAACAGAAGTGATCCTGAGGAAACAGAGACTCCTCGCGAATCCTTCGATGAAACGAGCCATGCTTTTCCCTCAGCCGGCGCAACCAGGAGACGCATTCCATCAGATACTCAACGGGTTAGCTCGGAAGTTACCACACGACAGAAGCATATACTTGAAAGCAGGTGAGAAGGTACTGAACTGGACTGCTGGTCCGGTTGGTGACCTTAAACCTTGGTAAATCGAGAAAGACGTTTATATGTCTTGTTGTAACCTTCAGAGTTATTTTTGAGAGAAGGGCATATGTCGTTTCGTTTTTCAGCACTTGAAAAACCAGTAGTATTTCTTCTCCGGTGGATTATTTTTGTAGATAACATTACTCGAGAAGTCGAAATATATGGACAACTTTGAATGTACACATTCTCAATGGCCGATCATACTACATTCTTTTTGCCTTCACAAAGTTCACGATACACGTCAATCTTGCAAGTTTCAATGTTTATTAACCTGAAAAGTCAACTTAACAAACCTTGACCACTAACAATATATGTGACTGATATAATTTACGGGTTTAGTTGAGATGGGCCTAGTCTACAAGGAAATGGGCTGATCGGAGGTGAGCTTAAAACTAATCAAAGACCGCGACTCTTTTGGTTGTCACTTGCGGAGAGAAGGAGAAAGAGAGGCGGCCATGGGAGGAGGAATGGGTGCGTTTTGGGGAACTCGGGTGATGGAAATAGTGAAGAAGCACGATTCCGGTGGTCTTCTTTGGAAGCGAATCAAGCTTACCCCTACTCGTAAAGCCAATGCCAAAACCCGCCTCCGTCGCGTTTGGCAGGTACTCTCTCTCCTTTCCCCCACCCTTTAGGGTTTATGGGTTTGACCCATTCATTTCCCGGTTTCATTTTTCGGGCTTGATCGATTTTATGTACTCGAACCTCCAATTTTGAGGCCAGGGATTGATTAGGACGGCGTTTATTAATTTCTCGTGTTGGAAATTGTTGATAGATTCATTTCAATTATGTGATTTTCATTGCAAAATAGTTTATATAGGTATTGTTCAGTTTATGTGATGTGGTCTACTAATCTTTGATTAGTTCTAATGCTTGTGATCACTTATGCTGCTCAAGCCCTTAGGCTTCTAAATGCATCTCTCTGTCAAACTAAGAAAAGAGTATATCAGCTTTAGTGATTACAAACATTAGAACTAAAGCTGTATGAACATATGTCCAATATCCACGGATTTTTATTATATAAAAAAACAGATCTCTTATATCTTGGTCGTACACAAGTAGCTCTAATAGTTTTGAGGGTCTCTTGCAGAATGAGGCTGTTCTAAGGGCGTGTGCTGAAGCAGATGCATCAAACTCACCTGGAGTTAGCAACACAGAAAGCTGTACCAGTGCGGGGAAAAACGAGTGAGGCGGAAGAGAAGCTACAAAGGTGGTCGTAGTAATTTTATAAGGAATGGGTAGATTAAGTGTCTCTGTCTTGACCTGGTTTAACAACAATAATATTTGAACTTTGTGTTGTTGGGTTATTGGTTTTACATGTTGAATCTGCGACGGGCTTTTACAAAACCGGAGGCATCTCCCATACCAAAGCAAAACATTGTGATTTGAGTATCGCTGCTCTTTTGTTCTTGTTGTCATCAAGAAATTGTTCTTTAGCTACTTAAAACTTAGTCTTGGCAACACCCATAATCCTTAAGTCAATGGTTACAGTTATATAACTATTGGTTAAACATTTCTTTTTAGTGTTTGACAATGGATGCGTTAATTATTAAACCGAAATCATTAAACTTGAAATAATATATATGCAATTTCTATAAATAAGTAAAACAAAAATCATATTATAACTTCCTTTTTTTAATAATAGAGACTAAAATGAAAAGAAAATCAATAGATAAACTCTATGTATTGCAAAAAGAATTATGCGATAAACTCTATGTATTAAGATTAAGTTTTGAATTAGTTATAACTTCAAATTTTGCATTAAGAGGTTTAACAATGATAATTGTTTAGGAAGAAAAAGAAAAAAACCTGGGGTTGACAAAAAAGTTAAAAAAAAGAAACGAGCAAACTCGGATCGGTTACACCTTAGCCTTTCCTTTCTCGCCCTTTCACTCACTCTTGTTTTCGCTCTCTCTCTCTCTCGATCTCGACGCGAAAGTTTTCTCTTCCAAAGGCAAATCGAAAACCAGCAATAAGCTCTCCGCCAAATCTTTCCCTAAACCCCGTCCCCGCTACTTTTCTTCTTCTAGTTCTTTAATTCAGCCATCTTCTTCTTTCACGTTTTCTCGAAGTCGGTTGCTTCAATCCTGCAATGGCCGAAGGAAGGAAGCTCGATCTGCCTGACGATCTGATCTTGTCGAAATCGTCTGATCAGTTGAAAGGTACTTCCCTCATCCTCTTCCCTCTTCATCCTCGAGTTGTGTTGTTTGAATTTCTTCCCTCCTCGACCAATTTGAATGTCGAGAAACAGATGTAATCGTTTCGTTTCCGGATCTGAATTCCGTAGGATGCGGCAGGCGTTTATCGCTTGAAATTTGACCTAATTTCTGCTAATTAGGGTTCTACTATATCAATCTATCTATATCAACTTGGTTATGTTTCGTCCCCCCGCGTCCAGATGCATTAGCGACTTCATGTTTAGGTTATTGAGCGTCTTTTACTGCCAATTCCTTAGTTTGGATCTGGAATTAAGAACCGATGAATTGTTCGTGTTCGGCTTTTAGTGGTTTTCTGACTTTGTATCTATCTCGTTTCTCTGATTACTTCACCTATTGACTTCCTTCATTTTGTTTATTCTGCAGAATTGGTGTCAGATAACAGCATTCCCTTGTCTCCACAGTGGCTTTACACGAAATCAAGCGAGAGCAAGATGGTAATCAATGGCTTTACACTTTTCTTGTCTTTATTTTTTCACCTTATTATTTTGGAAGATGATGCCACCTATAATAACATTTATAACTTCATATCCACAAAGTAACAAGTTTTTAGATGAGTTTTGCTGCTTCTATGTGATATATACTCGTTGTGGTCAATTCCTCTGATGTTCTTGCTATGGTGTAGGATGTTCGATCTCCTACTCCAGTTCCCATGGGAAATCCAAGTGACCCAAATCTGAAGGATGCATGGCGCTTGGATGCACCGGAAGACAAAAAGGACTGGAGGAAAATTGTGCCTGAGAATGAAACAAGTCGCAGATGGCGTGAGGAGGAAAGAGAAACTGGTTTACTCGGTGTTAGGAAAGTGGACCGAAGGAAAACAGAACGTCGCATTGACAATGTCTCAAGCAGAGAAACCGGCGACGTCAAAAATATTGCCTCTTCTGATAGGTGGCATGATGTTAACTCTCGTGCTGCTGTACATGAGCCTCGGCGCGACAACAAATGGTCATCTCGCTGGGGCCCTGATGACAAAGAGAAAGAAACACGTTCTGAGAAGTTAGATAATAACAAGGACAAGGAAGAGCCTCAGACTGAGAGTCAATCTGCTGTTGGCAGCGTCCGTGCGACTTCTGAACGGGACTCTGACCCTCGTGACAAATGGAGGCCACGTCACAGGATGGAATCCCAGTCTGGTGGGCCGAATTCTTACCGTGCTGCACCTGGTTTTGGACTCGATAAAGGACGAACCGAGGGCCCAAAAGTAGGGTTCACCGTGGGACGTGGAAGGGCATCCGTGACTGGGAGGGGTTCTTCAACTACCTCTATTGGTGCTGGTGCGTTCTTAAGAAATGAAAGCATCCCTGGTAAACAAAGCCCTTCTGCCTCTATGTTTCGGTATCCAAGGGGTAAGGTTCTTGACCTGTATAGAAATCAGAAGCCTGATCCTAGGATGCCCACTGAGATGGAGGAAGTTGCCTCAATAACTCAAGTGGCTTTGATCGAACCTCTTGCTTTCATCACACCTGATGCTGAAGAAGAGGTATGGTCCCCCACTGAGAACTTGCTTCCATTCCCCTTTTGCACAGGTGTATCATTAATGTTTCTGTTTCTCATGAGTTTTTTGGTGTGTATTTTCTTATCTATTAGACAAGCCTTACCGGTATATTGAAGGGAAGGATCACTAGTAGCGAAGTGCACATATCATCTGGGGAAGAATCCTTAGGTGAAAACAGCCTGGGTATGCTATCTTTTCTTTAGTTATCTTTCCACCTAGCATAATCTATCGAATGCTTCCGTGACCTTGATGTTACTGCAGTGGAATTCCGCCTACCTGACTCAGGTGAGACAAAAGTGGATGGTGCTTCACTAGGGCTTGCGAATGGTGACAAAGGTTCCATGCATAATAGTGATTCCGGTATGTGCATATTACGTGTTAACCGGGTCTTCAATATCATGTATTTTTTACTTAAGGTCCATTCTTATGAGTTTGCTGGCATTTTTTGAAGTCCTATAGATTCTGAACCAACGCCAAACACTTATGTTTTAGGATTACTTGGTAGTCATGACGGAGGTCCGTGGGGTGCTTCAAGTGTCTCAAAACTGAATTCTGTGGCTTCTGACAGTTATCAAGTTCGTCATGGAAGTCCTGAAGCGGATAGATCTGCTTTTGATAAATCCTCTGTGTTGGATAGAAGCGAACCCCTTGTTGCTTCTTTTGAGCAAGAATACTTTGGAAATCTGCAGCAATCAGATGTGGAAGTGAATCACTCAGAAGGGGCTATGCCACCTGACGAGTTTATGTTCATGTATATTGATCCTCAAGGAGTAATCCAGGGACCCTTCGTTGGTTCTGACATTATTTCATGGTTTGAACAAGGGTTTTTTGGGACAGACCTACAGGTGCGCTTAGCAAATGCTCCAGAAGGAACTCCTTTTCAAGATCTAGGCAGTGTCATGTCATATCTAAAGACAGAAAGTGATCGAAAAAGTGAGCTTGGAGGGACTAGTTTAAAAGTAAATTCGGAGAGTGGTATATTAATTGCACCTGTCGCAGAATCTAGTGGTTCATATTCTACGCATAACGACCCCTCAGCTCACGATAATTTTCATAGAAAGTCAGAGTCTGAAGCTTATGCGAAACCACCTCATGCCGATGAACGAAGTTTCTTGGACTTTTCTGCTCAAGATGAAGGTTTGTTATGCTGCTAACCTTTTCTCGTTAGTATATAGATGTCTGGGCAAACACATTTCGTTTCTTTCATAAACATTTTTCGTTTGTTTTTTAGTCATAATAACTAAATATGTATTTTTTTTCGTTAAATCAGAAATCGTATTCCCAGGAAGAGCTGGAGTTTCTGGTTATGCATCGGTAAAATCCTCTACAAGTATGCATGATGCTTTAATGGAATTTCCTGGCCACTCTGCTATTCCGGTTGAATCAACTAAGGCTGCTACTGGAAATCAGAATGAGAACAAGCTGCACCCATTTGGTGTGTTGTGGTCTGAGCTAGAGAGCGGTAGTACACCAGTTAATCTGTTACCTAGCAAGTCTTATGGTGCAATGGGGGAGCCTACTGGTTCAATAGACAATTGGCCCATTGATTCCCGAAGAACTACACATATTGATCCAAACATGTCCCTGGATTCTCGGGCTGCTAACAGGATGTCGCAATTTGATCATGAATCCAATCGCTTTAACCTTGGGGATCAGTTTCCATCTAATCAACATCGTCAACAGCAATTCCAAAATCAGGATATGCTGTCACATTCACATATGGGTGATCAAGCTCAGGATCTGGAGCATTTCATAACTCTCCAGTTGCAACAGCAGCAGAAGATTCAGTTGCAACAGCAGCAGAAGATTCAGCTGCAACAGCAGCAGAAGTTTCAGCTGCAACAGCAGCGGGAGATTCAGTTGCAACAGCTGCAGAAGTTTCAGTTGCAACAACAGCGGGAGATTCAGTTGCAACAAGAGCATAAATTACATCAACAGCTCTTACAGGAGCAACAGCAGTCCCATGCTCGACAATTTCATTTGCAACAGATTCTACAAGGACAGGCCCCTGATTCAAGTTTTGGGCAGTCGCATGACTTTCCTCGATCCAAAAGTGTTGATCAGATTTTGTTAGAGCAGCAGCTAATGAATGAATTGCAGAAGAGTTCTGGCTATCCGTCACATAATTTTGCACCATACATGGAGCACCTTGCCGCAGAAAATTTTGGGCAGTTGCCGCATGAAGGCCATCAGAAGGAGCTACTTGACCAGCTACTGCAATCTCAATATGGACAATTGCAATCTCAATACGGACAAATGCAATCTCAACATGGACAACTGCAATCTGAATCAATCCGCTCTTTGGAGCACCAGCTACTACAGCAAGAGCAGCTTTTGCAGTTGGCGAATGGAGCGAGGCACAATTCACTATTGGAGGAACAGAGACATTTTGACCCTCTGTGGCCATCTGACCATAATGATCAGCTTCTGAGAAGTCATCCTGGGATCCACCGTTCACGCTCCTCTGCGGGAATTAGACCACTAGACTTTCATCAACAGCAGCAGAGGCCACCCTTTGAGGATCACTTTGGTCAACTTGAGCGGAACCTTTCATATCAGCAACAACTTCGGCAAGAATTATTCGAGCAGGGTCTTCCATTTGAGCGATCAGGGTCTTCCGAGATTAATCTGGAGGAAGCATTAAAAGAGATTGGACTCTCTAATGGACCATTTGCTAAACCGCTTTATGGACAATTGGAGCCAACGAGAGAACGCTGGCCTGGAGCAGATACACAGCTAGCTGGTGACTGGGCTGAATCTCAATTTCATAGATCAAATATTGATGCTGAACATAATAAAATGAGGAGACTGGGCGAGGATTCCAACTCATGGATGGTAGATGGATCTACAGACGACAAGTCAAAGCAGCTTTTTATGGAGTTGCTCCACCAGAGACCAGGCCAACAATCTGCTGAGTCAGCAAGCATGAACCGTGGGGAACTCTATGACAGGATGGCTCCCTCAGGCCGCGGCCTTGCAGACCATGATGGTAGACTAAACGCTTCATCTACTTTTGGGTCGCGTGCGTTTTCTGATGAACAGATAAACAGATTACCAAGGGACGGGAACTATATGGGATCGTTGCATCGTAATAGTTCCTTGCGTTCTGGAAGTATCGATGATGGGCGGTCAACTCAGAATGAAACTCAAGCCTTCGGTAATATGTTTGCTATGAACAAAGAGGCGAATGACATCAAAAATTGGAATAATGTGCCGCCTAAAAATGAGGGAATGATGTCATTTGAAACCCAAGAAAGAATGGGGAAGCAATTAGACTTCTTGGTTCAAGGGGAGCTTCCTGTTGCTACTCCTGCCCAACAGTGTTCATTCAATATTTCTGGTATGTTGTATCTTTCACAATAGTTCCTCCTTCTGGGAGGTTGATTTTTAGCTAATCCCGATATTGTCTTGCTGCAGAGCCATACAGTGACAACTTGGTTGGAGAAGAAAGAAGAAAGGATAGGTAAATTTGTAGATTAGATTAGATTAGATTAGTAACGCACTACGTGAATCTTGTATACTGTATATAAACTATGCCTGCTGATTGAAAATGTGTATATATATATTGTAGGATGGTAGTTCCATCACACGGGCAGGAATCAGTATTGTTAAAAAGGCCTCAGTCGTCGCATTCTTCATCATCGCATGAGGGATTGCTCGAGCATTTGTCCGATGCAGCCAACAGGACTGCTGCTACTTCTTACAGTGGAATTGAAGGTATCTCATGGATCCACTTTTTTTTTTTGGTATGCATCTGTAATGTATTGATGGAAAATGAGAGACTCAAAAGTCTGTAACATATTATCATCAGGAGGAGGAGGGAGACGGGAAGCAGGCGGAGCAGCGGGGGTAAACAGAGGAGAGGCGTCCTTCAGCGAGATGTTGAAGAAGAGCAGTAGCAGCAGCATGAAGAAAGTGGCGGCGGAGTCATCTGATGCGACAACCACCGATGGAGGCAAAGGAGGCGGCGGTGGGAAGAAGAAAGGGAAGAAAGGGAGGCAGCTTGATCCTGCTCTTCTCGGCTTCAAAGTCGCCAGCAATCGCATCCTTATGGGCGAGATTCACCGCGCTGATGATTTTTAGGGACCTTTCTTCTTCCTTTGTACAGAATCTCTTACCTGTAAAGATTAATGATGCGAACTTCTTAGGCGTATAGATAGATAAATCTTTTTCGGACGCATTTCTTCCATCAAAGTAGACAGAACACAGGAAATAATAATGCTTTTTCAGAGAAACTGATTTGAGAAAATTTTCTTTTACTCAAAAATCTTTATATGTAAAAATTAAGGTTGGTTGACGGCCAGAAAACAGACAGCTTAGCGCAAATGCAAACATTAAACAGTAATAATATATTTCTCAAACATAAAGTGATGCGAAGCAACCGTGAAAAACATATTTACACAGGATTAGTAGTATACACACACAACAAATATAGGATCATTGACAAAGTTGAGGAATTGGTGTCATTTTGGTCAAGTACACAAGTGAGATACTTTGCAAAAGAATTGGAGTTAAAAAGGGGAGATCAGAAGTTGATGAGAACGCTGGTCAAGTGAGAAGCAGATGGTTTAATCTGATCACACACTCTCCACTTGGACCCTCTCTCTTTATCAAGGTCATACATTAAGGTCTCATGTCCACAAACCCGTGAGAATAGCAGAACCTTATTGTTCCATTCCCCAAGTCTGAACCAGAAACCTCCCTCTCGCGGAGGCACAAACACCGAGCTCCATGTATTCTCCTCCGGATCATACACTCCCAGACGTCCCGGCATGTTCCTGTCCATGAAATACACTTTGTTCCTCACAACAGTGTAAGAATAGACCGACACTGATTGCTCCGAGTTTAAGTCTTGCCATGTCTGTGTTTTTGGGTCATAAATGTCGATGGATCTCGATCCATTACCTGAAAAAAAAAAGATCATCAATTACGCAAAATATTTTTTTTTTTAGTTTAACCAGTTTCCATTACCGGCATTTTCTTATTCTCACCTACAGCGTAGAGTTTGGAATTGAAAAAGAATGCAAAGCCACGCCAGACCGGTCGGTTTGGACAATCCATAAGGATCCATTGGTTAGTCTCGGGGTTGTATACTTCCGAGTTTGAAAGGCTATAAGCATCTGTGGAATAGCCTCGAATCACATACAATAGGCCGTCCACTTGAGCAAACGCAAAGTTGTAACGTGGTATGTTCATTCCCGCCAGTTTTCTCCATCTGTTTGATATAATTCCGACAAGACATCAAAAAAGAGAATCATCACATTCTGTTTCTTTAGGAAATGTAACATATTGATCAGATTCTATAGATGGGAATTAGGGAAAGGGAGATTGAGGGATTACAGTGACCTGTTAGTAGAAGGATCGAACTCGTAAACATCTGCAGAGGCAGAGACAGTGGTGCTATTGATCCCGGAGCCTTCGACCTCCGTATATCCTCCCATGAAGACGATCTTCCCGCCATCGAGCACCGCGACACCGAAACCGCGCTTCAAAGGCCCAGGGACGGGAGGGATCTGTCCCAATTTGTTCCCGAAGTCATCGAAAACTTCCCAGTACACGTCTCTTCCACACTCGCTTTCCATCAGAACGCACATGAACTCCTCCACCGTTCCGGTCAACTCTCGAACTGCCGCGAAATGCTCGCTCCTGAGGAACGTCCTCCATCGCCGGCAGACTTGGGAAATGACCCGAAAGCTAGAGCGCGGGATTCGCGAGAGGCAGAGCTCCGCTGCGTCCTCCGTCAAGCCGGGTATGATCGACGACAACTCCACCATCATTTTCAGTTCCCTTCACCATTATTGCATCATTTATAATCTTCTTCACTTAAGATAACATTGACCAACTATTTTCGAATTTATAATAAGGACCTTAATTTAAAACGTACGATACCGTTTACTTTCAAAAGATAAGAGACTTTTTGAACAAGTAAATTAATCATCATGATAAATTAAGGTCTTTTATTATTTTATTGGTTTTTAATCAAACTAATTTTTACTTTATTTCAAAAATTTGAATTGGTTGATGAAAAAAGCGAAGCAAAGCAGTGTGCGAACGAAACAAAACCCAATCATCATTATGTCTTTAAAAATTGGCTCCTTGTCTTTATAGAAAGAAAAGCGAACAAAATGTATCAAGCGTTGTAACACAGGTGAACACAAAACTACTGTCTATAGGCTCAAGACGATGTTCCTTTCTTTGACTTTGCTGCCAACTGAGACTCCGGCTGCAATTTATTTACACCGAAAATGGTATGAGAATCAATGATGACGGTAAAAATCAGGATTACATAAGTACATTGAGATTAGAAAAAAAAAACAAGAAAATTACCTCTTTCTTGACAGGCTCTTCCTTCTCTGACAAAATCAGCTCAATGTGGCATGGGTTTGACATGTAAGCTGCGAAAAAGAAACAATTGGATTAGAAGGTGCACGAAGAAACAATGGTTGAGAAAACGAGTATTGAAAAGAAAAGAAAAGAAAAACATACGATTGATTCTTCCATGAGCACGGTATGTTCTCCTCCTCTGTTTTGCTGCTTGGTTCACTTGAATGTGTGAAATGTAAAGAGCATCAACATCCAAACCTTTGACCTGATTATATCAATTTGTTACTTAGTAACACAACAGAAGCGTCCAATTGAACTTGAAAAAAAAAACAGAAAGAGTTCAAAAATTCACCTCAGCGTTGCTCTCAGCATTCTTGAGAAGATCAAGAACGAATTGAGCAGATTTCGCAGGCCAACGACCTTGTCCGTTTGAATGCCTGTTCTTGGCCTGAGCAGTACGTCCAACACCACGACAGAAACGTGTGAAGGGGATAGCTTGCTTGTGAGCTATCACATCTTCCAAGTACCTTTTGGCCTTGTTCAGTTGCAGCTTCCTTATGGCGTGCGCTGTCTCCCTAGTGTTCTGTTCACACAAATCGAATACAAACAAAGAAAAAAAAACAGTATAAGAATCACCAAAATCAACAGCCTTGAGATTACTAAAGATATTGTACAAGAAGGAATCAAAACAACTACAACGGCAGCTATTTCATGCAGGTTTCAAATGATCAAACCACATCACTGGCTAATACAGTCATGACCTAATCAACATTACTAGAGGATTGAAAGCCAGCCCAAAATGTACCATCATGTACTGAACCATCAGCTATAAGAAGAAACGTAGGTTCACCCAATCACGATGACCAATTCGATGTCCCTGATATTTACGTGAGGTCTGTTATGTACAACAGAGCCCTGCTTTTTGTTAATCAGGTTTGGTTCTATCTACAAGAATATCTCCTAGAAACGCTAATCTGATTCATTTTCGAGATTTAATATTCGCAAAAGACATTTTACCTTGAAGTGGACCCTGAGATCGGCTCCTCTTGCCTTGCAAGCTGCAAAACAAATCACAATCGAAACCATTTAAATTGATAATCATCCATCACTCCAAAAACACCAATAACAGTGAGCCAGATATAAGAACTAAGAAAGAAATCTCTTACATTTGGTGGAGTTGTCGGGTTCTTGGGAGTACTTCACCTGAAAAAAAAGGACAATAAGAAGAAGCAGAACATAAGCATAGAAGCACAGATAATAAGCCAAAATTTTGGTAACGAGTGTGTAAAGCACTTACCATGGCGGCCAAACAGAGGTACTCAGGGAGAAGAGAGAGTGGAGATCTTTTTGATTGAAGATAGTTTTTTATATAGGGAGACACATGAAACCCTAAACAGCGGATACATTAGGTGATGTTGGGCCACTATAAAGTGCATTTAACTCTCTGGGCCTATTTGGGCCACTTTTTATAACTTTACAAATGCGCTATTTTAAAAAGGCCCATAAAGAAAGTTAACAGTAAAGCCCAATCATGTGTAAACAAACATCCACGACTTGTAGGCTAAAACCCTCGGATGAATAATAATTCAGGACAGACGAACTTGTTTGGCTTCGAAAAGTCTTGCTAAATTTCTCCAGTAACAGAAGCAACGAACCCTAGATTTAATTCCCCCTGCATCTCACGATGGAATTCTCTCCCGCCGACTTGGAAAGGCTTCTGATGTTCGAGCATGCTCGCAAAGCTTGTGAGACTCAGTATGGTAAAGATCCTCTCGATTCCGAGGTTTGTACTACTCTAGTCTCCTCTTGATTATATGATTGGATATATCGTTTTTACAATCGTTCCGGATGTTGTATGGAGATGGCTTACATGATTGTCTTCATTGTGTTTGTGTGTGTGTGTGTGTGTGTGATACTCTGTACTGATACTAGTCACTATGTATACTTTGGGTCTTGAAATTCACTGAAATGACTCGTAGGAATTTGAAAACAGCTTCAAGTTCTGAATCATTCGGTTATGATAATGGAATCATTAGATTTGGGGATAAGATTGCTATAGGTTTCTCTGATTTCTTTTTGATGTTTTCTTGTCTGCAGAATTTATTGAAGTGGGGTGGAGCATTGCTTGAACTTTCTCAGTTCCAAAACGTTCCTGATGCGAAACTGATGTTAAATGGTATGAGTTTCTTCGTAAAGTTTTCTTTAGTCTTTTGCTCACATCCCATTTTTTTTGCCCAAAGTATAACAAAACGTTGGTCATGTAGATGCTATTTCCAAGTTGGAACAGTCGTTGACAATAAATCCAGGGAAGCATCAGGCTCTTTGGTGTCTTGGGAACGCCTACACTTCTCAAGCGTTTCTGATTCCAGATGCCGTTGAAGCCAGAGTTCACTTTGACAAAGCCGCTGAGTTTTTCCAAAAGGCCGAAAATGAGGTAACATCTCTTCACATTTTAATGCTTTTGAATTAAAACTTTTGTATTGTTTGCGAGTGTAGTGAGACCAACTTCTTGTATTTTTTGGTTTTGTTTTTTAGGATCCAGGTAATGATTTATATCTCAAGGCCTTGGAGGTTGCAGCAAAGGTACTATTTTCAGCTTTTCATTTTCAGAGTGTACACAGATAATGATGGAGAGAATCAATGTTGTAAAAAAAACTAAACCCAGGAGAGAACCATTTGACATTGTGGACAATTTATTTATTGAGATCGAGTTTAGGAAGCCTAAGACCTTTGTGGCAACGTGAATAGGCCCCGGAATTGCATTCGGAGTTTCATAAGCATGCAGGACAGCAGATACTAGGTGGAGGTGCTTCAGCTTCATCGAATGCTAACGTAAGTCATCACGAGTGTTTCGTCGGTTATTTAGTGTTTATATACAAGTTTCGTCTTGTTCTATACAAGTTATTCTCTAGTAAAGCAGAAAGTGAGTGAAGAATTGGCTTTGTTTTTTTTTGCAGAGCGGGAAGAAGAAGAAGAAGAAGAACAATGACTTCACTTACGATGTATGCGGTTGGATAATTCTCGGTCTTGGGATTGTTGCTTGGGTTAACATGGCAAAATCCCTTGGCCCTCCACCTCCTGCTAGATAGAGCAGCTTTCTACTTGCACTTCTCCCCAACACAGAGCGGTTCTAGGTTGTAAGAGAGTCACGTTTCTGGCTATGGTTTTGTATAAACCTAGCAGCAGATCTTGTACAACCCTCCTCCATCGAAGTGTTTTGTTACTTAATTAGTAGGATGATTGTTTCTTTCATATCGTTCCTCGTATTAACGGGGGTAAGAGAAGTTCTTTTGCCACTAATATGAGCTTTATGCTTTTGGTTTTGTGGCACCAACATAAAAGGTGATACATATGAGCTTCTTATTTACAGAGTTAATGGGCAATTATGGGTTCTTAATAGATGAAAAGTATGTGATTAACAACAGTAAAACTTAAAAATGAATATTTGCAACTCTCTTCGGGAAGCTCACAAATTCAATAAAAGCCTAAGGGCGGGCATAAATAACCCAAACGCAGCGTTAAGCATTTCGACTCCATCATCTCCAAGAAGTGAAGAAGCTTTGATAAAAAAAAAATGGCCTGCAAAACGATACTGCGTTCCGTTTTCCTATCGGAATCACGCCGGACTTCCGGCGCAAGTAGGTGCTTCTTTTTCCCTCCTTCTCCCGCGTCTGTTCCGGTCCATGGCTTGTTGCCGGCGCCAAAGAGTCTGAGCTTCCGTGGTTTTGCCGCTGTTCCCGAACGGGTCCCTCGGCTCAATTGCACCCATAACGATCAATCCGAGCAAGCCCCGCCTCAAGAAGCTGTTCTAAAGGCGATTTCAGGTGTGTTGCCTCGTTAATTTTCTTCCCAGTTACTCGATATGAGTGATTTTGTATTGTTTGGCCGAAATTGATTTGATTATCGGATGCGATATGCTCGGATCTGTGAGGAAGTAAAAAACGAATTCGTTCTCGATAATCCGGGACTCAGAAACTGTAGTAGTTTCGATTAACTAATCCTACACTAGTGTTGGTTCTCTAGGAATTAGAATTTTAGTGTTTACAATCAAAGTGAAAATAAACAGATAATGTTAAGTCACGATTACTAAGTTTATTGATGATACTTTGTTTCCCTGTTTCATGCTTCTTTTTTTTTGACTGATGGGATGCAGAAGTGTCAAAGACTGATGGGAGGGTTGGTAAAACCACTAATATGATCATCGGAGGCACTGTGGCTGATGACTCTACTAAAGAGTGGCTCGAGCTTGACCAAAAGGTATTCTAACCAGAAAATTCTTGTTCCTGCTTTGGTCAGTTTCTACTAGAGTTTCAAAGTACTATGTGGTGGTGTTCATGAAGGCCGTGTAGGTTCGATAAGGCAATTCCAGTAGAATTTAATAAAAGAGATGGATATTGCCTGACTCGAGGCTGGCGTTTTACTTTCCAGGTCAATACTTACCCAACAGACAGAGGTTTTACTGCAATCGGGACTGGTGGCGATGACTTTGTCCATGCTATGGTCGTTGCTGTTGAATCTGTTATCGAACGAGAAATTCCAGAGGTAACTTTTTTTCCTCAGATAGTACTCTATCTAGAGCCATGGTGATAGTATTTACATTGTATATTGCTTATAGAGCACACATCAGAACTCGTACACTAATCCTTTGTTTAGTGCTCACTTCTTTAGCAAATAAAACGCATCAGGCTTTGATATGTTAACTCAATAATATTGGACTGTTGAGGATGGGATTACTTTGTTGGTTTGTACAACTATTTATTTCTGTTTAATAACTACTATTCTCACTACCTCGGGATGACTTAGAGTACTAGATTAAACCAGATTCGATAGATTAAGTATCAGAAGCAGAGATGCAATTGCTGTGGTTAGTGAATCCTAACTTACTAATTATCAGAAGCAGAGATGCTACATATTACCTTGTGTGGTGAACTTATATTTTATTTAGTTTGGCTTCAACTATTGCTCTATTTACGGTCACAAGAATCTCTGCTAGTGTCTTCTATACAAAATTTTGGAATGCATGGACTTGATTATTACAACCATAACGTGTTAACGTGTATACAAGTGAAAAGTGTATTCACTATGACCATGCTTTGCTTACTTTTGTTCTCTTGCATTATGATTGCCTTGTGCAGTAGCTTACCTGCTAACTGTTTATTCCTTCATCTTGTTATGTTTCGATGTGAACTATTATTTCATTCTATAGGATCATCTTTTATGTAATGTCTTTCAAGCAATATTCTAATACTGAGAACACGAGAATCCTTCTAATCATGTATATCTGTTTTTTTTCCCCCGTCAAAGGATTGTGTAAAGCAGACATTATCAAGCAAAGGCAAATATGTGTCGGTGAATATTGGCCCTATCCGAGTTATCTCTAGCGAACAGGTTTTTCCCATTTCCCTCTCTTTCTCTCTCACACACATACACATCCACAAATACAAAGCAATATGGGTGTAGTAAAAACTTGTTTTGTCTTTCATAGAGAACCAAACCCTATTTACACACAGGAAGAGGGAAAGATCGGTATGATTAAAAACATGTGTTAATTGGTTTGACAGGTTCAAGCTGTGTATAATGCAATGAGGAGAGACGAAAGAATGAAATACTTCTTATAGGTTTAAGGTGTGTGTAGAATCACGGGTTCTTACCTCTTTTCTCATTTCCATTGCGACTTATGCAGTGTAAGGCCATTTCATTTATTTTATATTTGCTTTATCTACATCAAACTAAGTATTGCCGTCTTCTGTTATGTTACAATTAGGGGACATACAGCAATTAATTAAAACATAATATATATTTGTTTTAGGTGGGAGAATTCCTTTTTATATCTCTGAAATAGAGTTGGAGTTGGTTCTAAGATTAATGCCCAGAAAGTTGTGGCTTCTATTACAAGAGAGGGCCCAGTGTCAAGAAAAAGAAATGCCTAATGACTGATAAACTCTTGGTCTATAGTTTAATATTGTTTAGATACAGAAGCAATTTAAATAGCATTTGCACACTAAAAAAAGAATTTAAAGTTCAATAGTATGAGGCTATGAGCTGATGAATCAGAAGCTATTTTTTAATGAATAACCTGAAATTCTTAGGCAGAGATGCTACCTCTTCCCCCTCTAAGTCTAAGGTGTCAATTCGGTTTGATCTGACCGGGTGAGTCATAGGTTTACCGGTTTGCAGGCTTGGTCAGCCCGGTTTTTTATTTTCACGGATTGAAAAAGGGTTAATCCTAAAAAGCATGTATGAGGTAATCATGATACTGTAGAGTGTAGACGTAACTGTCTCTCTCAGCCTGGTGGAAAGGAGTTTTAAGAGAGCTTATTTAGTCTATTTATGGTATTGATTAAAATACGAAGATTGAGATTATTGGGTAATTAGATAAAGTGGAAGGTGGAGGAGGGGGTTATCCTGAGTCTTTAATCTTTGAAATTAGGTTAAGTGGCACTGTTGGCCAACTAAAAGCATCCCCAAGTATACTCAATAATGACACTCTCTCCCTCTGTTATATTTCTTTTAATTGGGTTAGGAAATTACAAAATTCTTCAATGACTTAATGATTCTAACTTGCTAACAAAGCCATAAAGACGCACGAGTTTTTACAATAAAAACCCTACCATAATCCCCACTTTTTCCATCATTTCGTACACTCACACACGCTAATATTAGCAGATTACACATCTTATACCATACAGTAAAGTAAGTAGCACAACATTTCGAAGGATAGCAAGAAGCATCAAGGAAAAGAGATGAAAGATCGGATGGAGCGATGTGTGGTATTGCCGTTTTCGTTGGGTTGCTCAACGCAATCTAGCGTCGCCGTCGCTCCAACTCATCAACACAAGAAACCAAACCAACTCATCAAAAGTGTGTTCCGCCATATATTATACTTCGTCCTTTTTCTTTCATTTCTTCTTCTTTTTGGCTTTCTGAATTTTTGTTGTCGTTTTTTTGGTTTTCCAAGGAAGAGAAGAAAGTGAAAGTGATGGAAATGGCTTGTTTCAAAAAGAAGACACAAAGATAGATAACAACGGTGCTAATATCACAGATGGCATCTACAAAATCATTCGAAGCTTCAAGAGTTTTTCTCACTTTTTCATTCGTATGTCCTTTTTCTACTCTCTTTTTTTCTTAAATATAATTTCTTATTGGAAGCACAAACATTTCGTAATAAGTAAAAAATTGTATTATACCTTTTTATATAAAAAAAAAGGTAATAGGAAATTCATATTATTTTCAAAAGAAGAAAACAACTTTTTTCCCAAGATTTGCTAGTTTGTTTTCCCTTACCCCCCTTTGTTTTTGAAACAAATGAAACAAAATAGTGTTTACGAAAACATAAATATAACTCCTTGTCCATGTAAAAAATATCTACTGTCACAGAATTTGCATTAGACAATCATATTTATTGATTAAGCTTATGCAGGTGTCTCAACACTAATATGGATTTTGACTAACCTATGGTTTTATATGGGTTTTCAACCTCGTTTTTCATACATCCTTAGTTTAATTACAAATAAGTTTAAACTGGAAGGAAGAGATCCTCCTGTCTCGTTTTATTCAGTTAACACGACAAGTACACTTTTGTGTTAGTATAATTTGTGGGTTTGTACTTTGTACTAAACAATAGTCGTATTTTTATTTTTCCATTGAACATAAATAATGAATGTATTGATGACACTATATATGAGCAGGCTACGAAGAGGAGAGGGAAGAGAGAGAGGCAGAGATGGAGATAGGGTTTCCGACGGACGTGAAGCACTTGAGCCACATCGGCGTAGATGGAACCATGACCACTTTTGACGTCCGCTCCACCGCCTCCTCTTCTTTTCCATTCGCCGGTTTCCATCTCACCGCCGTCTGATTTAATTTTCATATTCAGATATTCTACATTTCTTTTTAATATGCAATAGTTTCATAGTCGTAACAGCTTATATTTGGTTGCATGTAAATACCTCAAAGTCCATTCAATAATCACTCTCTCAATATATGGCCTACTATTCTTTGCCGATTTTATCTGTCACCATCATTACTAGCTCATCCATTTTATTTTATTTATAAAAAAAATCATATCTGGTAAGCTTTATAATTTGAGAAACATCAATTTTGAAAAGTGTAAACAAAGAACGCTTCAACTGATGCTCTTTGCGGAGAAAAACAAAAGGTACAAGTACTAAGTAACATGGATGGATCTTATGAAACTCGTTACCATTTATAAAAGTGACATAGATCATTGTTAGATATTTTTCTCTTCATTCTTGTCGTTTTTCTCGATTATGTTGCTCTAGATATGTTAATAAAGGTTTTCTAAAACTGATATGTTTTTTAAATTATTATTATAAGTTTCTATTAGAAAACAAATTTTATACTGCAAATATATACAACAATATTTCATTACCTTATAGAACTTTTGTACTGAAATCTACCATATTCGTCAACAGCACCATCACCCCCTCAATTGCACAGCTTACCAAATCGTTAAGAAACATGATTACATCTCTCCACAGCTACGGTGCAATTATCAGTTACGCCTTCAAATCGCCGATGAATGGGAATTCTACGTTGATCTTTCTTGCTAACTGTGGATATGCAAGATTTGCGTATATGATTTGGGTTCGATTTATTTAAATTGGTGTTAAGCTTTTGTCATAGCACTGAATCAAAATCATAGGACCGATTCGACCGAAGGTAATAAAGAAAACAAAAAAGTGCATGCATGTGTGTTCGCACTTCATACTCTTGAAGAATACAACAATGAGAGCAAGATTACTATGTGTATTTGCAGTATGATGTTCATACTTCATTCTTCATAATTCACATTCCATTTTGTTGTTTTTATAATTGTGAAATGTATACGCCTAAATGGATTGTGATCGAGAAAACTTTCGCCTCGAAAATAAATGCATCATTTCTAATAATGTGAATGAAGTTGTGTTATTCATTCTTCATATAACCAATAAAACTTTCTACTACTAAAAAAGTTTACAAGAAATTTGAGATGATAACATTTTTTTTGGAAGTTTGATTTGGGCACGACATACTCATTCATATATGCAAAGTTGCAAACACATTTCTTCCATCTAATAATATATACCTCTTTTTTACAAGAAAAACAGAAATAAGAGATCAATATTATTATATACGAAAGGGAAAAAAAAAAAAGAAATTAAAAAAAGCAGAGCAAAACAGTAACAAAAAGGTAAAGAATAATGAAGAAGAAAAGAAAAGGGTACTAAAAGAAGACTGTGAGGATGAAGTTATCCGGAGTATAGCTTCCTGAGGCGATTATGGCGTCTCGTCTTCTTCACTAACGATTCTTCTCCGATCGGTGACCTCCCTCCGGCGATATCTTCGGCTGTCTCTCCTTTGTTTCCTATTTCAGGTTTTCTTCTCTTACTCCCCCAAATTCTAGGGAAAAACTTTTCCTCCTGAGATTTGGGCTTCCTCTCGTTATTTTTTCTTAGAATTTAGCTTTATGCTTCTAGTCCAAGAACAGAGATCGATTCTGAGTTGAATTCATGAAATTGTCTCATGTTGAAATGGTCTACGTATAGAGAATTTGTTAAAATGGCGAATCGTCGTTTCCTCACTGTGTACATTTCTTAGCGTTTTTGCTCAGTGTTTGTATTTCCTTAAGACGACTATGTAATCACTAGGCTAATTGGCATTGTAGCATCGATAACTTTTTTGTCCTTCCGTCGTTAGTTAGACCAATTTATTGGTTTTGGGGACCATTTGCTTTCATGGTAAACCCTAGCTGTGGGGGACCGTGATTGGGATCGAAACCTAACTTAATGTCACATTTGATTAGTTCAATCTTTATTGCTGCATATAGATCCCCTCGTGGCTCAGCTTGGTGCCGTGTTCTTTTACGTTGTTAATTCAATGTGTGAATTTGTATACCCTATGACATAGCTTTTAGCCTTTGGTTTAGTTAGGAACTTTCTGGAAGTACAAAGGAGGAATGGGCTTTGGAAAGGTTTGCGATTACGATGGCTATAGGATTCCTTTTACATTGTGTTTCTTGACAAGTTGCTGATATTCTGGGCAATCTGATTTGAGGAATGTGGGGTCAGTTGAATAAATGCCACTTGGTTTTTGTGTGATGGAGAGTAGAAGAGAGAGCTAAGAAAAGGAATACACTTTCTTTCGCCCTTTTTGTTGGTCTGGGTGAAACATAGAAAGGTTTCTCTTACTGAATTTAATGATAAATAAGTGTGACTAAAAATAACGTTGATGAGCATTGTGTGGTGCTTGATTGATATTCACAAGGTCTTTTGTTCTTTCTTAGTTGAAGGGCGTTGTCTATAAGGTAGCTGAAAATTCAGACTGTCTTAGTCTTCTTTTATTTGATTTTCGCTTTTCATTTACTCTGCAAACTTGTGTGGTTGTTTGCAGGATTTTGCTCTGGCTTTGGTGTTAGGTCTATGAAATCAACCCACACCTTGAATGGACTGCAACATGGTGTCTCCGTTGTGGGAGTGGGACAGTTTTGTCATGTCCAATCCCTCAAAGACGGAAAATGACAAAAAGCAGGCATCTACTGTGTGGGAATTTGAGAAAGGTGAAGGAATTGAATCTATATTTCCCTGTTTCGGGAGAGTCAGTAGTGGCTCTACCACCAGTTTATGGCACACTGCTGTTTCGAAAAGCTCACAGTCGACCTCTACAAACTCATCATCTCCCACAGTCAAACAAACTAAGCTTGCATCAGAAAGTTCCCCTGGAGATTCTTGCAGCAACATAGATTTTGTCCAGGTGAAGGCATCCACTGCTCTCGAGGTATCTGCTGCCTCTGCTGAATCAGACCTTTGTTTAAAGCTAGGAAAGCAGACGTACTCTGAAGAACTGTGGGGTAGAAACAATAATGACATTTCAGCCGTTTCTATGAATCTGTTGACTCCATCTGTTGTTACTCGGAAGAAATCCAAATCGAGTGGTCAGAGCATGCAAGTCCCGCGTTGCCAAATTGATGGCTGTGAACTTGATCTCTCATCTGCTAAGGATTACCATCGCAAGCACAGAGTCTGCGAAAGCCATTCAAAGTGCCCAAAAGTTTTTGTGGGTGGCCTGGAACGTCGATTCTGCCAACAGTGTAGCAGGTAAGACCATGATTATGATTCTAGCTGGTGGTTATATTCATGGCCTTACTTGATTCGTAAGCTCAATTTTTTCTTTACTGTAAAATGCTAAATCAGTTTAGCTGTCCAGAGTTAGCTGCCGAACGTCTAATTCTCAGGTTGTATGCCATCTCTGAATTTGATGATTTAATTTCGGATTTTCAGGTTGCATGCCGTCTCTGAGTTTGATGAGAAGAAACGTAGCTGCCGTAAACGTCTTTCTCATCATAATGCGAGGCGTCGCAAGCCACAAGGACTATTCCCATCAAATCCAGAGAGGGTGTACGGTAAAAGCCCCAACTTGATCTATTTTATCTGTGTCTCTATCACACACAGACACATACACAACTTGAATTCAGGAAATCTAATGTGAAGTGTTTACTCCTGTAGATCGAAGACAGCATACAAATATATTGTGGAATGGGTTGTCCCTTAACACGAGCTCTGAAGAAAAATATGCATGGGGTAACACTTATGATACAAAGCCTACACAGACGGAAAGCGGCTTTACTCTGAGCTTCCAGAGAGGTAATGGCTCTGAGGAGCAGTTGTATGCAAATGCAAGTAGTAGCCGCTCTTTCTCTGCGTATCAAACATCTGGTGGGTTCTCAGCAGAGAAGTCCAACTCTCAACTTCCTCGCCAAGGTTGATATATATTTCACTTGTTTACTGGCCATATTGTAATTGGAGAGATGTGATGTTGAAAGTAATTTATATGGTTTTGGCAGGTGTAGGAGAATACTCAGGAGGCCTCCATGAATCGCAAGATTTCTACGGTGCTCTCTCTCTTCTGTCAACGTCTTCGGACACACATGGGACCAAACACAACCCCATGGTCGATCAACATGGCACTTTCCCTACCCATTTCATATGAAAGAGTAAGGAATGCGAAGTCGCTCCATTATAAAGTCAGGTTGCATCCGATGAATTTTTTCCCCGAATAAAATCATTTGTGTAACGTTCATTGCTCATGCTAAACCAGTTACACGGTTAGCTCTAAATTTCCTCTACTTTTCCAATCCTATTGTCAAGTCTTCTTGGATAATTTTGTATGTCAACTTCTTCTTGGATAATGTGTGTCAATCAACTTCATCACTATCTCAGACATACTGTTTCAAAAACAAATATCCGCTGTTTTCAATATGCACTTGACAGTTGAGGTTTCTAAGGGGAAGTGGGAGGAGCTGATGCTTGATAGTGCATGTTGATTTACATTTTTACTTGCGGTAGAATTTAGATCAGATGCTCGATACATGTTACAATTCTAAAAGCAGAGTGGAAGTATAGGGAAAGATATGCCTACTTAACAAAGGATGAAACTTGGGCATTCAATTTAAGGATGTCCACGGATTTGGATGTGATAAAAGACAATGATGATACTTAGCAAAGTACTGCCTGTATATATATTCACTGCTTAGCGTTTCGTTGACAAATGAGTCTGTTATTACTTATTAGTAACGAAACAAGGATAATTATAAGAAAGCAACCCAAGAAGGCATACAAATAGAGCAATGATGAAGCTGTTTGGCATAATTTTCACCAACCGAATCTAACCGGTTTTACAAATTTGACATTACTTACACGTCTATTTTGATACACACCATCATATGAAAAAAGAAGGCTGCGCATGTGGATCGGAAGAAGTTGACAGAAGAGAGAGAGCACGGTGGAAATCTTGAGATTCATGGAACACTCCTGAGTTTTCTCCCACACCTGGCAAAATATTTCAAAGGACTAGAGATTATAAAACGAACAGAGATATAATTACTCGATCCCGGACCAGTGAACAAGTGCAAATACTAACCTTGGCCATGAAGTTGAAACTTAGTCTTCCCTGCAGAGAAAGAGTGGTTGCTACTAGCATACAACTGCTCCTCAGAGCCATTTCCTCTCTGGAAGCTCACAGTAAAGCCGCTTTCCGTCTGTGTAGGCTTTGTGTCATAAGTGTTACCCCATGCATACTTTTCTTCACATCTCGTGTTAAGGGACAACCCATTCCACAACATATTTGTATGCTGTCTTCGATCTGCACGAGTAACATTTCACTTCAGATCTCCCTGAATTCAAGTTGTTTGTGTGTGAATTGTGATAGAGACAGACAGATGGAAAGATCCTGAGGAAACATTGGTTTTTTGTCAAAGTTGTGGTGTAGAAGATTCTTACCGTACACCCTCTCTGGATTTGATGGGAATAGTCCTTGTGGCTTGCGACGCCTCGCATTATGGTGAGAAAGACGTTTGCGACAGCTTCGTTTCTTCTCATCAAATTCAGAGACAGCATGAAACCTGTAAATCATAAAAGATACGAATTCTCAACCGTAAGGGGGCATGTAAAGTTGTTTCTGGACAACGAGAATGCAACTTAAGGATTAAATGAGGCCAGAACATAAACACTGGTCTGAACCATAATCATGGTTTTACCTGCTACACTGTTGACAGAATCGTCGTTCCAGGCCACTCACGGTAACTTTTGGGCACTTGGAATGGCTTTCGCAGACTCTATGCTTGCGATGATAATCCTTAGCAGATGAGAGATCAAGCTCACAGCCATCGATTTGGCAACGCGGGACTTGCATGCTCTGACCACACGTTTTGGATTTCTTTCGAGCAACAACAGATGGAGTCAATAGCTTCATAGACACGGTTGAAATGCCATTATTGTTTCTACCCCAAAGTTCTTCAGAGTATGTCCGCTTCCCTAGTTTTAAACAAAGATCTGATTCAGCAGATACCTCGAGTGCTGTGGATGCCTTCACTTGGACAAAATCTATGTTGCTGCTAGAATCTCCAGGGGAACTTTCTGATGCAAGCTTGGTTTGTTTGACTTCGGGAGATGATGAGTTGATAGATGTCGACTGTGAGCTTTTCGAAACAGCAGTGTGCCACAAACTGGTGGAAGAGCCAGTGCAGACTCTCTCAAGGCTCGACAAATACGGAACAATAGATTCAATTCCTTCACCTTTCTCAATCTCCCACTCCGTAGACAGCTGTTTTCTGTCACATTCAGTCTTTGACGCATTGGAGGACATGATCAAACTCTCCAACTCCCACAGAAACGGAGATCTCATGTTGCAGTCCATTCAAGATGTGGCTGAATTTCATAGACCTATCACCAAAGCCAGACTGACAAATCCTGCAACAACCACAAGAAAATATATATCAAATCAGAAAAGACTAGACAATCTTGTGAATATAAATAAATAACTCTGGCTAGCCAAACAGCTGCCTTATCAATACCATAAGAAAGAAGACAAAAACTAGTGAAAATCAAGCACCACACACAGCTCAACAGCAAAAAAATTAAAAACTCACTCTTTGGAACAACACAGCAAGAGAAAGCTTTTCTATGTTTCACCCAGACCAGCAAAAAGAGCCAAAAGAAAGGGGTATTACTTTTCTTGGCTCCCTCTTGAGCTCTCCATCACACAAAAACTAAGTGGCATTAATTCAACTGGGCCCAGAATATAAGCAACTTGCCAAGAAACACCATGTAAACGGAATCCTATAGCCATCTTAGTTGAAAACTTGTCCCTACCCATTGTACTTCCAGAAGCTTCCTAACTAATTTCCTCAAAACCAAAGCTTACCCATAGGGCTCTACAAAATTTACACAACTATGTCAAAGAAAACGGCAACGAGATGAGCCATGAGGAGAGATCTATCTGCAGCAATAAAGATTGAGCTAAATCAAATGTGTGACATTAAGTTAGGTTTCGATCCCAATCACGGTCCCCATCATTTAGGGTTTTTCAATGAAAGAAAGTGGTCCCCAAAACCCAATAAATTCATCTAGCTATAACGTAGGGGGAGATTAATTAAGTACACAGTTATTGCTGTTGCAGTCAAATTCGCCTAGTAAAACCACCACCACATTCGTCTTTCTTCTCGTATGGAGATGGAAACGAAGAAGCAACAAAATTTGCTAAACAAGATGACAAAAGGCGAAACGACACAACAAAAATGTGAGAAAACGATTCGGCCATTAAAAACAATTTGCTATAACTAGACTATTCATCCTTAAAACAATTCCACTGATTCGTCGATCTCTCTATCTCATAACAGAAGCATAGAGCTAAATTCTAAAAAAAAGAAAACAAATCTCAGGAGAACAAAAAAGTTTTCCCAGAAAATATGGGAGAGTAAGAGAAGAGACCTCAAGTAGAAAACAGAGAAGAGACGGGCCGAAGTTATTATCTCCGGAGGTCGCCGATCGGAGTTTGACTAAGAGGGAGAGTGAGAGAGAGAGACGACAGACCACAATCGCCTTAGGGAAATGGAATAATCTGCTCAGGAGTCCCTTTCTTTTTCTTCTTCCTTGTTTATTTTTCACATTTTCCTTACTGTTTTGCTTTGCTTTGCTTTTTTAATGGCTTTTTTTTTTTTTTTAATTTCTTTGCTTTTCGTTTCTTATTTCATTTTAATTTTGGTGTCTCTGGTAAAACAAAATCCTGCCACGCAAACACATATTTTTCGTGCTTTTTGATAAACATGGATTTTAGCTGTTTTGGAATTTATTATTATATCATGCTAAGACCGAAAATGATACTGAAATTTAGCCATGGTAACTTTGAAACTTTTATAGTTTAAAGTGGAGTTAGATTTTTATTTGATTCAATCAAATGAAAGACATATGATGAAAGTGAATTGTGAGAAACATGTCGTTAATGACTTCAAAGAAATTGTAATTGGTCTAAATGGGTCTCTTGTTTAATTACTAAAGATGGTTTATTTTTTTATTTTATTTTTTGTTCAAAGATGGTTTATTGTAATATGCAATAAGCTCTTTTGCTACTTTTAAGTTGTGAGAATGTTGATTTTGAAAAATGCTACTATTCACTATTTTGAATTGAGTAAATAAATCTCGACTGTTTGTAAGATAGTTTCGCTTTTACATTCTCATCTTGTGCTATACCGTCCAACAATCCAATTCGGGTTTTTCACATTTTAACCAGATTCTGTACTCGTTAGTAAGCAAACTGAACCTATTACCAAGAAAATTCACCTTTTGTGGCTTGTGGGGGATCCATAAACTTCTACAGTCATTTTTATTGTTATACATTTTGCTTTGACTCTCTTACAAAACCAAGTAGGAGTATATTTTATCATTAAACAAATTCTAAAGAATCTTGAAGTTCGAGATTTCTCTGCCGGTCTACCTAAAAACATTTACAACAAGATATTCAATAATCAATCAAAAATCATGCATTCCCAAAGTTTTTAGTAGAATATTACAAAAAAAACAAAATCTGAAATGGGTTGTTTGGAAACAAGAATTGACACCAAAAAGAGTTGGTGCTTTGACTTTTAAACACGTCCGCGAGATTTTCAGAATATGACATGACACGTCTGATATTTGTCCAATGAGTCCTCGACTCTCGAGCTTTCTCATGCTTTTAAAATCCCAAATTATAATCCAATTACCGACGTCCACGTATAACTCATACGTCTCTCTACCCAATCATAAATGGGCCGTGACGACGTAAGCTGTGAGAATAGCAATGCTGATCCCTTTTAAGGTGGTGAAACGCAGAGTTCAAATCGGATATTGAAACGAGGAAGACAAAGTTGGGAAAGAAAAGAAAAAACAAGGCTAAAGGGGGTTTTTCTGCTCGCGATCGTCAATTCAATTCCTTGAAGCGTTTCTCCTCCGGCGTAACAATGGTATAGCTGCGATTTCGATCTTTACCGTTCTTATGATTTGCTTTGTCGATCGGGTCGTGGGGGCATTGTTTAATTTCTCGAAATTCATGTCTTATTTGGCTAAAACTATGCTTTTTCACCTCCGATCTGATTCAGCATGTGTGGTATTATTTGAGGATTGAATCGTCGCATGAGCTATATACATATCGAGGATTTACTCTGTGTTAAAAAAAACAAATCATAGCAAACGTGGATCTGTTTTTCAAATTTGAGTCGGATTAGCTTGAGTTATTGTCTGCATTATGTGTGCAGTGTTTCTTGATTTAGATGTATGGCCAAATCTCACCTGGCCTTGCCCAATCGTGGACTTTTTGTTGGCAATGACATAATGGGCGATAATAATTGACTTATGGGTTGGTTTGATAATTGCAGACAACTTCAAAGAGACTAGCAGACAGGAAGATAGAGAAGTTCGACAAGAACATTACAAAAAGAGGTTTCGTTCCTGAGACCACCACCAAGAAGGGCAAGGACTACCCTGTCGGTCCCATCCTGCTCGGCTTCTTTGTGTTCGTCGTCATCGGATCATGTGAGTACCTCTTCCAATTCAAAATCTCTTTAACTTTATTTGGTATTAATATTTGTTGAGGGCACCAAATAGCTTCTTTTAGTTAGGCTTCGTGCTCTTTGATTATATTGGAAGCATCCTAGTACTGACTTTGGTTTTGGTAGATATGCGTATCTTTTAATACATCACAAGTAACGAACCATGATCTGGAATCTGAATCATTTGATTATACTATGTCTATGTGTTTGTTTTATATATTTATATTGACCTTGTATATGCTTTGTTACAGCTCTCTTCCAAATCATCAGGACTGCAACTAGCGGAGGCATGGCATAAACCGAATCGCATTCAATCTAGAAGAAGCAGTTTTCAAATGAATATGTCTTTCTTCTCACTTGTCTCTTTTTCTCTCCTTCATACTGTACTGTAGAATGCGTCTGTTTACTACGTCTTAATGTTATATTAAGAATATTTTGTTGAAGTTTAATACCCTTGTCGTTGTGCTTTATCTGATTTGATAAGCCACAAGTAGTCGATACTAATACAGAAACAGTATAAAACAGATTGTCATTTAAAAGAGAAGATTCCTCACAGGTTTTAACAAGTTTTGAGTAGTTATCACACAAGTTCTTTATTACAACACTGAGTGTTTTGTAGTATATTACAGTCCCGAAGATTAAAAAAACCAAAATCAAACAACAGAAACAAACCAACCGCGTGTGAACCGTTTGATTCCAAAAGGAGCCAACCTCAAAAGATAGTCAAAAGGGAAAATGAACCAAGAGAAAAGGGATTGATGATCAAGCCCTAGCTGTAGGGGAAGGATGGAACGCAGTTCCGCAAGCGATCCAAAGTCTCTTCCTCCCGCGAGGAACGGTACAGCCAGGGACCTTGGCCCACTCCCCAGTAACAGCATTGTAGGTTATCAGACGGTTCATCTGTCTGGACCTCAAGGACAACAATATCAGACAACCTTTGTTGCCCAGACAATTCATCCTAACGTGCTTTCCGTAAAACTCCAAGCACCATATGTTTGGCATTCTGTCAACCTCCTTCCACAGCAGTGTCATCTTCTGCAGCTCCCATATGCAAACGCACGTGGCAGCGTTCTTGCTCAGAAGACCCACCAGCATCAACCGCTCTCCGCACTCAGCTAGCGTGTGGTCGCTCAGGTGCGGCGGGCCCGGTATGGTGTACTGCTTCCACTTCCCGGTGACCATGTCGTACGACAGGATCCCTTCAGGGTCTGTTAACATGAAGTAAAGCGTGCTGTGGATAGCCACTGGCTGCGACTTAAAGTTGAGCAATACAGGGAGCTTTATGTTGGAAGGGATGGTCCCTCTTTTGGTCCACACGTTTCTCAGGGAATCATACACTTCGTACTCTCCTTCACATCCAACCCACAGGACCTTATACCCATCACTGGTCGAGTTCCCATTCAGAGTCATCCCCACCGCGACACGTGACCAGACTTTAAACGACCTAGCGGGCAACTCTCTGAAAGACTTGGTCAGCGGGTTGCTCACGTAGAAGTTCCGATGACCGATGTCGAGGAAGCACACTAGACCTCCCGCGGAAGCCATTGGCAGAACGATACTCTTCTTTGGTAGCGCAGGGATGATGGGATGGTGCCATTTCTTGGAGGAAGGGTTGTACACTTGCCCCGAGTTGACATTCTCGTGGGTTATGGTGTAGAACCATGGGATGGTTTGAGGAAGCTCGGTGCAGCATCGTGAGAAGCTATCTGAATCAACGAGAGCGTTCCATTTACGGCAAACCGCGCGGAACTGGAAAAACGTAGCGATCGGTAGCCTGGAAACAACGGCCTCGAAGAGATCTTGCGGAAACTCTTGCCAGATTTCTTGATCCATGTTTCCGTTGATCTCGTCTCCTTCCGTGCATGACTTTCCTTGATTCCGTTCTTTGCGAGATCGCTTGACAGGTTTCTTGACGGTCTCTAACATCTTGAAGATCCCAGGCCTCTTTCCAGCAGCCATTACGATATCACAACAATCATCAGCAGAAGTTTCCTCAATAAAGGGTAAAGACCATCTGCCATAACGAGAAAAAATAATAAACATCAGAATATATATATTTGTCAGGAAAAAGACCCACCCATCATCCTCCTCTTTACTAAATATGAAATCATTACATTGGACGCAAAGACTTGTCCTGAAACCAACTACACATACGTACACCAAGAGATAAAGGGAGCAGTAAAGCAGCAAATAAAGAACAATCCTATCTCCACGGTTCAAGCATTGGAAACACTATACACGTATCTACTTATCTATAACAAAAGTGGCAAATAAACACATACAATTAAGTAGAAGTGAAGGGAAGGCCTCAAGTGAATCATCAGCAAGAGTATTTTCAAAGTAAGGAAAGCCTTAAGCAGATACACTTTGCTATGATAAACCCAATGATTGACCACTGTAAATAATCAGCACTATATTCGATGAAAGTGGAGGCTTCGAGGGGATTGAATGATATGACTTGCAGCTTTCAGTGAATGGGAGTTTTTTTTATAAGCACAATGGCAAAAATATGCCCTCTATGACCAATCCGGAATCAATTTCCTCGTTCAGCTTATTGAAAAGGAAATACAAAGGAAAAATCACAGAGAGTGAGATCGCATGATTCTAAGGAACGAGTGAGAATTTACCATAATCCCTAGAAGATGAGAGCAGCACATTACAAAGGTTTCAAAATTTCCCCAATTTGCAAAACAGAATCGAAAGCAACACACATAGATCTAGCCAGAGAGAGAGGGAGAGATGCTCACCGATTCTGATACTGAGGGTTGTGGAGAACTAAAAATGAGGGAGAAGAAGAAGAGGGAGGCGAAGGAGGAGGAGAGCCGTTGTGCAAGAGCTCTTGAAGCTGGCCGATGAGCTGTCTGAGCATGGCAAGCTCTTCTTCCATGCCCCGACAGAGAGACAAAAAAAAAAAAAGAGAGAGAGAGAGACTTGAAAAGACAAATCAATGACAGTCAGGCATTAACACCGATTTGGGGAAGGCAAGAAAACGAGAAACAGAGCAAAAAGGAAGAAGAAGGGATATTTGGGGGGGCTGCTTAAAAGCTTAACCTCCCACCATCTCCGCCTCTCTCTCTCTTAAAACCATCTTCTTCTTCTTCTTCTGCCTTGAATTGTCTTTTTCTCTCTCTCTTGCTTCATCTTTTTCCATGTCAGTTGGCCCCATATGATTATTTCTTCGCAATTATTCCTGCTTCTCCACTCTTAATTCCTTTTTTGCCCCTCCTTTTTTTTATTTCCCCTTCTTCTACTTCACTTTATTCTTCTGTACGTTATATTTTTTTATTACGACAAAATTTTCCCCGACATAAACTGGTTCGTTTTGTTATAACCGTGGCACCAAATGTTTCTGCCAATAACCATAATAAATTATACTAGTATTCATTTAATGCTTTAAAAGAAGAGTTCGCTATGCCAAAGAATGTATCGGAGAAGAATGATGTTTAGTGAAAATCATGAGAACAAAAAAATGATGTTTTAGAGAAGACTGCAAATAACTTGATTCCAACCAAAAGTTGGTTTATTTTGTTGTAAGAAAGTTATTGAATGTGCAAGTGAAAAGGGAAGAAGAAAAATGTGCATCGAATGTACTTAATTACATGTGCATAATTTGCCTGGTTATCTTTTTCTTTTGGGGTAATAATTAAGTTTTCAAAATCATTCCACAGAGAATGTAAAGTAGTCGTAAAGCGTGGGGGTTCATTTTTGTCATCCCATCAATATGCTTTGATCAATCATGTCACTTCCATTTAACATTAGCCATTACCAATATTTATTAAAGAAAAATGATGATATATATAACTCATCATAACCTCTCAGTGTTTCCTTTTCTCCAACTATTTTTACATTTCTACGGTCCAATTATTTATTAGTAAAATAAATAGTAGTGAAAAATGATACTATGATAAAAAGTTGGCGCTTCATTCAGAAATTGGATTGGTAAGAGATAAAAGGTAGTAGTATTTGAAACTAAACCTATTATCAAAACTATTTAGAATTTGTTGTTTTTGTTAAGCCTGAAAGAATTTTGTTAAACATGGGGTAAAAATATTCAGGGAGATTATTCATTCATAAAGGAACAAGTTTGCATATCAGCCACAGAGTAAAAGGAATGAAGACTTAACCTTCCATCCAACGACCATTCAAACTCACGGATCAAAGAGACTATTACCTTAATTGTTTTATGTCTCTCAATAATTTGACTCATGCCCATCATTTGTTTCATTTACCTTTTGAATATTGATTGATTTGAATAAGAAATCTCGTTTTAAAAGGATTCTTGCTTCTCTTGACTATTGGGACTAAGAGTTGTTCAAGACAACTTTTTTGTTGAGTGGATTCAAAAACTTGTTCGTGTGAAGACCGCTGAATCGCGCGGTTCAACCACCAACCGTGTGGTGTCCCTACCAATCCATCCCGTTGATCAACCTTGACATTTTGGTTTAACCGTATGTGTATTTAGTATTGCACATGGCGAACCAAGTTGATAGTCTTGAGACAAGTCGACAAGAACATAAAAGCATAACAAGAATGGCAACTTACTTCAAAGAGAAAATTAAAGATTGGATAATTTTAGAAAAGAGTCTCAAAATTCTTCATCACATGTAGTAAACAGAAAGTTGATGCATTCTACAGTTACAGTATTAAGGAGAGAAGAAGATATATTCAATTTGAAAACTGCTTCTTCTAGCTTGAATGCGATTCGGTTTATGCCATGCCTCCGCTAGTTGCAGTTCTGATGATCTGGAAGAGAGCTGTAACAAAGCACATACGAGGTTAATATAAATATATAAACAAACACATAGACATAGTATAATCAAATGATTCAGATTCCAGATCATGGTTTGTTACTTTTTAAAAGATACACATATCTACCAAAACCAAAGTGAGCACTAGGATGCTTCCAATATAATCAAAGAGCACGAAGCCTAACTAAAAGAAGCTATTTGGTGCCCTCAACAAATATTAATACCAAATAAAGTTAAAGAGATTTTGAATTGGAAGAGGTACTCACATGATCCGATGACGACGAACACAAAGAAGCCGAGCAGGATGGGACCGACAGGGTAGTCCTTGCCCTTCTTGGTGGTGGTCTCAGGAACGAAACCTCTTTTTGTAATGTTCTTGTCGAACTTCTCTATCTTCCTGTCTGCTAGTCTCTTTGAAGTTGTCTGCAATTATTCAAATCAACCCATAAGTCAATTATTATGTCTGGAAATATAGATAGTAATGCTTCTTTGTGGATCAAACATCAGATTCGAAAACCGGATTCTCTTTTAGACTCAACAAAAACATCCAATTTGGGTACCGATTCTTGTTTATATGCAGCAAAACAAAAGAAAAAGTGGGCAATGACAGGTAAGATTGTAAATCAAGCAACAATACACACATAATGCAGATAAGACCTCAGCTAAACCGACTCAAATTTAGGAAACGATTAGTAGGTTAAGAGATCAATTTTGGCATGATGCGAAATTTACCAATGATTCATATTTGAAAGACAGAGTAAATTCTTAACATTTAGCTCAGGAAAGGATCAAATCATATCATACAAGACGTACTGAATCAGATCGGAGGTAAAACGTATAGAGAGAATAAAAACATGAATCGCCCCATAATTCGGTTTGCAGGGGGAAAAAAAACATAAGAAAGGGGAATGGGAAAAGATAGAGATCGCGGGATATACCATAATTACGCCGGAGAAGAAAAGCTTGATGAAAACTGGGAATCAAATTGACGATAGCGAGCTGAAGAAATTACCTCTCCGCGTTTTCTTTTTCTTTTTTTTTCCAACTTTTGTCTTCTTTGTTTCAAAATCCGTTTCTCCTGTTTTTAAAAGGGATTGGTAATGCAACTCACCGCGTACGTCGGCTCGTCACAGCCTTTCTGTGATTGGATATCAAGACGTGTGAAGTCCACGTGGCCGTCAATGATTGGATTTCTCTAATATTGGGCTTTGAAAATATTTGAGAAAGCCTCATTTGGACTAATATCCGACGCAAGTCAATCTGAAGTTCTGAACATCTCGCGGTCGTGTTTAAAAAGTCAAAGTCCAGATTAAGAACTAGTTTATTAGTGGTAATCAGATGAAGAATGATCAAAGACTCATTGAATTGAATGAGCAAAAGCCCGTAGTCTTTTAACTATCCCACGTGTATATTCGTTAACATAAAACCAACAAAAATCGAATAGTTAGTGTAAGAACCATTGAATGGCATTCGCAGGGCAGTGTAAAGAAGAAAGACAAAGAAGTAAGCTATCTTCAACTTTATATCACAAGCAGTATGTATAAGTAATGTCCACTCCCTATCTTGGACGACGATAATTGAAGTAGCTGCACTGTTCTAATATGAAGAATCCTACTTCATTCACACACAACATACACACATACTATTGGCTCTCCTCCCTGTCCAAAGCAACTCAGAATAGATTCCCTGCTGCTACTCATCTACAAACCACGAGTTTTGGTGTCTCAATCAGAGAAGAGAAAAGAAATCTTTACAGTGGAAACTGGTCTAAGTTCTTGGCCTGGTCACAATATGGTCACACAGGCCTTTCTATATACACTCTTTTTGCAATCGTCAATCTATTTTTCCTACAAGAAAGTTCCAAAATGAAAAAGGCTTTACTGGCTGCCGAGAAAGCGTGGCTATTTCAGATGAGCAAGAGATATATATATATATATATATATATATATATATATATATATTTGTAAGGGCTTACTACTCAAAGATGCAGAGGAGACACGAGTTGTTGTGTCCCTTCACCGTTTTTTCTTCCCAGCCCATCCACTCTTTATGATTCTGTATCTGAAGGCGAATTGAAAAAGCGAGAAACTTCTCTGTACAGCTGCTCTGCTTCAAAGGGTTTTGATACATACCCATCCATTCCCCACTTTAGACATTCCTCATGCGTCGCTTGAATCACGTCTGCCGTCATTGCTAATACCGGAAGATGCCAACTTGATTTGTTCTTAACGTCCTCTACCGTCAAAGCCTCCCCACTCTTCATTCTCTTGTTCATCTCCTCTTCCATATCCCGTATTTTCCTCGTAGCCTCAAATCTGCAGAGAAACGGGTAAAGTTTATGTCAAGTTTTTTTTTATTGCATATGTCAAACACATCACAAACTGGCAATAACAATCAGATATACCCATCCATTTCTGGCATCTGAATGTCCATGAAGCAAGCATCAAACTCGTGGGGTGGCTTAAGCAATGAGATTGCCTTTATCCCGCTCTCAGCGCACACCACGTCAGCTCCATACTTTTTCAGAGCTCCCGCTGCCACTCTGAGGTTTACGTTGTTATCATCCACGATTAAAATTTTTCTGCCAAGGAGAAGGTTCCTGAGAATCAAAGCAGGAGGTCCCTTGTGCTGAGGAGTTTCCCTGTTCCCAATACCCAATCCTCTCTGCAAAGTTGCTGCTAGCATACTCGCCCTTAGTGGTTTCATGATCACCACTGGAGGATCTATACTGGTGCTTAAAGTATCTGACGTTGAGGAGTCTATTGAATTTGCTAACAAAACCAATTTCGGCAAATGCAGAAGAGGGTCCTTCTGTAACTTCTTAATGAACACATCTGCTTCCCTATTCCATATTTCTTGCTCTATAAGTATCATATTCACAGTGCTACTGCAAGTCTTCATAAAACGCAGAGCCTGGTCAACACGTGGAACTACTTCAACTTGAATCCCCAGGCGCTGGAAATGGTACCACGAGACCTGCGCCCTAGCAGGCCTATGGTCCACAACCACAGCTTTCATCCCCTGAAACTCCGAGAATATGGGCTGGTTGTTGTTCTGCGGTTCGCTCTGTCTTTCAGTTGAATGCATGCCATTGGCAAAAACTGCAGTAAATGTGAATGTGGACCCGACCTTGGGAGTACTCGAGAATCCAATTTCTCCCTTCATCAGTCCAACTAGACATTTGCTTATGCTAAGCCCAATTCCTGTGCCTCCATGCGTCCTGGAGATGGAAGGTCCAACTTGCATGAAAGGAGTAAATATACGGGACTGCGCTTCTACAGGGATCCCTACGCCAGTATCTTCAACTGAGACGATTAGGCTGATTTCAGGAGGAGATAGTGCAGAGCACCGATGCCCATTGGAGCTGAAGGCTTTAAAGTTTTCCCAGCTTCTCCGCCGGTCTGCAACTGAAAGCCCGCTCAGGGTACTTTCAGCAGAGGATGTTGTCTCTACATCGATAGAGTCTAATAGCTCCTCCACCAAATGAACAGTTACAAAGATGTGTCCTTTCTCAGTGAACTGCCAGGATATTTGCAAACGATCAGCTACTTTTAACAGTCAACTGGGATGCAAGGAATGATCAGCAGAGTATCTACAATTTACCTTAATGGAATTACCCATAAGATTTGTGAGTATTTGGCGAAACCTCCCAGGATCCCCAAGTAACATTTCTGGAACACGGTCAGATATGTATACTGCCAACTGCGTGCATCAGAAACACTCGATAAATCAATAAGAAAGATTTGATACAAGTTACAAACCTTGCTTTGCAAATTTTAAAGATCATTAGTGAGTTACCTCTACCCCTTTTTCTTGGGACTTGCCAGAGAAGAGAGACAGGACATCATCTAATATTCCCCTCAAATCAAACCGCACCTCCTCAAGCTCAAGCTTTCCAGATTCAATCTTTGCTTGGTCCAAAACCTCGTTTATTAGCGAGACTAAAGCTTTTCCACTTGCCTGTGCGGTCCTAACATAATCCTGTTGCGTAACATCTAACTCTGTGTCCATAAGCATATGCAGCATTCCTACAACCCAAATCAAAGTCAACAATGAGATCAAAAGTTCAAGATATTTAGTTGAAAATATTTATGGTGAGATATAGTGCCATTTTGATACTCACCAAGAACACCATTCATTGGAGTTCTGATTTCATGTGACACAGTGGCAAGGAACTGCGTAGAAAACAAAGTTAGTTCACATCCCTTCCCTCTAACATAGAAAACTTTATATGCTGTGGAATACTATCGACCGAGGATGATGTATGTACCTGTGACTTTGCAACATCTGCTGCTTCAGCCTTTTTCTTAAGCTGCTCCATTTTATGACAATCTTCTTCAACTTTGTTTATCCGACTCACGGTTGCATGGAATATATGTGCAACAAGTAAATCAATCACGAGGATACCAAAAGATGTCACCATTGATAGCACTGGCCATGGTGGTTTCTGCTTAAATCTACAAAGAAGCAAGCTCACAAAAGAATGTTAGCACCTGGATTTTTGCAACAACACAAAAAAGAAGAAACAGCAGATATGCTGAATTGGCCCAAGTACCTGCAACGCATTTCATGCTTCCTAAATGGATCGCCAAAGTTTAGTGGACTAACAAGTTCCAACCCATCAGCAGACACATTTGACCCATACATGCTAATCGGTTGAGAGTGATTGGTGGTATCATACACATTGACAAGAATCGTTTGCTTGCTAGCCAGCTGGTGAAGCAAATTTTCCACCAGTGACTCAATGTCAAACACTCCACCGAGATACCTTCAGGGGCATCAAAAGAGATCAATGAGCAAAAAATGATATCTATAAGTCTTGTGCGTGATTGCACGAAATATCTATTTGTTTAGACGCCTATGCTACACACCCATTAGTAGCTTCGATTCTCTCTTTCGGCGTTGCATTGGAGGGGAGATCTCTCTTGTAGACTGCAAATGTCAAGATCACCCCAAGTCTATTTGTCTTTATCAATGGGAAAGGAGCTGTCAAAACCCCTTTACCTGAACTCCTGGCCCGTAACACGTTTTCACGATCTTCCTGTCAATAAGATTTCAGTGAGATTGGCTCAATTCTTACTGCTCCAAACTATAACTGTATAACGATCATAACAGCTTTAAAACCAAATAAGCAAAGATTGAAAATATGAAAGAGCTTACTTTCCCAGACAGCATATCGAGAGAAACCACGTGGGAAACCGTGTCCTGAGCAAAGATGACTGGAGCATACTCCTCCTGAACAGGGGATGGTTCCAAAGCTTCCGGGTCGTAATCATCCTTGTGAACTGGTTTTTGTTCATGAGAATCCATCCTCCTAATAGTCCAACCTTGTTGCCTCTCAAATTCTTCCCTCTCTGAATGTAGCACTCTCACAGCATATGCGACCCCGCTTGTGAGAGGCCTCTCAAAGGAAGTTCTATCAGTGTACTCTGAGAATGTCCTCTACACAAAGCTTCTTGATGTTAGTATATTGTTCACTAGTACTCGAAAAAAGATAAGAAATCAAGCTACCCTAGTGTTACTAGTCTTAGAATCATCTCAAGGATCGATCACATACTACACCGTAGTAACAACTTTTGTTGAACAAGCAAGACTAGATCTCTCAGACATGAATCAGAATTCCAGCAAATTCAAAAAGATACCTGATCGATAGCAGAAGGAATCTTGCCATGGTGAAAAGTGGAGATCAAGATAGACATGGCTTGAACATGATTCATGCTAACGTTGAACTGGTCCTGCAGCATACGAGCCCTCTCGTCGCACATACTAGCGAGCGTCTCTTTCCTCTTCTCCATAGCCTGAGAGCTAAAGTACCAAAAGGTCCAGAAGGAGACCAAAACCCAGAAGACGACCCAAGCCGCCACCAGCTTCCTCCACCACGTCTTGCCGAACCTAACGGAGCCAAGAAACTGATGAGAGAAACTCGGGATCTTGAGCCCGCTGCCGGAGATCTTGTTCCAGAACCACATCTTGTTCTTCTTCTTCATCGTAGTCATCTTCGTCCTCTCAGGATCACCGACAGAGCCAACAGGGAGACCAGACTTGTCCTCGATCCCACCATCAACGAACCAGGAAACGAACCAGCAGCATAGCATCCAGAAGAGCTGCCCAATCTTCACCCCAAACCCTAGCACATGGAACAGACTCATCCACCACTTGAAAAGCCACGATCAAGCCCCCACAAGAAACAGAGTGATTGCAACCAGCTCAATTCAACAGCAAAGGGGTCAGAATCAAGAGACTCAGAGCCAAACTAAACTCTGTACCAAAGGGGGAAGAATCAGAGAATCACAATTATCCGAGGCAAGAGCTTTTTTTGGGTGTTTATCCTTGCAGCCATCCACAAACAAGAGAAGAAGAAAAAGAAACTAAGACACAGGAACGTGTCAGATTAGACTACCCAAAGGCTCAAATTTGAGAGATCAAAGCGTAACTTAATCAAAGATGACGACAGATATGAGATACAACCAAAAAAAAAAAGGCAGAAACTTGAACAGGAACTTAAAGTTCGAAAGCGAGATTCCTCCAAATCCAAAACAGGAAACAAAAATTCTATAGCGTGTCGAGTTCGGTCCAATACAACAGAAAATTCAGTGTGATATGATGACGACGATGATGATGATGATGATGAGAGAAAGAAGGAGAGAGCCAATAAAGCAGCGAGAAGGTGAGAAAGTGAAAAAGGAGCTGAAAGGGTTCAGTGGATATCTAATGGAGGAACTAAGAATTAGGGAGGAGGAGAAGGAGAAGAATCTATCATCGGAAAAGATGAGAAGAATATGGTGGAAGACAAATGTCTGCTTCCTCTCTCTCTCTCTCTATTATCTGATTATCTTTCTATTTCTTTTTCATACTTCCAACAAAAATATTACTATACTATACTCTTAAGCATATGTACTGAAATACAGATAATTCAAACAAATACTTCTAAATTGAATCCTGACATTCTGTGATGCTGTTAAAAACTCGATTCCAGTGCAAATAATTGAAGTTGGGGTTGTGTTTAGATCATGCTTTTTTTGTAAGAACAATGTTTTAGAGTCTGTTCTGTTTTTCTTTTAAAATATTTCATCATGAATAATTTTAATACACACATCAAATGATTGGTAAAATAACTTACTACCTTATATAAAAAAAAAGTAAACAGCTGCATAATAAAAAAAAGAGAGAAAAAAGGGATAGGGGCCCACGTGGAGGGGGAACAAAGGCATATATGGTCTCACTTCTCACCCTCCAATAATAAAAATGAAAATAAATAAAGGCGTGTTAGAATTTATTATGAGATGGGGTGCAGTAGTTGGTAAAGTGACAAAAATGTTTGGCCTATATCAAAACTAAAATACACAAAAAAAAAAAAGTAAGAAATAAACCAAGCTCAAGAAGCTCTTTAGTCAAATGACTTATATAATAAACCCAGGTTTTTCCCAATTTCAATATACACTTCCTTTTCCAAAAAAATAAATACCAACAAATAGCCAAAACAAAATAGAGGAATCATTCTTTTCTAGTTTTTCCTGATACGTCACCTGTTTGACATGTGTCAATATCTGAAGGTATGAACTTATTTTTTGGTTTTCTAATTGTTATTTATTTGTTTAACTCAAATTATATTAAAAAAATTGACGGTTCTCCATGACAAAGTTCTTAATGCCACTGTTACTGAAAACCAACTATGTCGTAATACGCAGTTATAATTATTTCGTGCAGTTTGTCAAAATACCCTTCAATCCAATGATATTCTTCGAACGCATACATCAGTAATTATAAAGCGTTGGTCTTTATTGATCACCACTATCATCGGTAAACATCAAACGCACGAGATATATCAGAGACAAAAACGACCTAGAGATGAGAGTGAAAGGAGATGGTGAAATTCATACTAATTTTAATCTATAAAATGACAATAACATTCCAAATAAAAACAAAAGCTTAGCTGGTTCAATCAATAAAGTGGAGTCACAGGTTCACGACGGTTTTCATCCAGCTTTTACCGGTCGTTATTGGGTTTTAGCATTCGACCTAGAGGACCGGATCATGGGTTTACTACATAATTAACGGGCCCTAAATATTAGAAGGTTAAAGAAGGCCCATTTTAATAGTACCATCAAGAGCCCTTATCAGTACTTGTTTGTCTTGGTCGATTGGTATTTTTCAGTTCTATCTCAACCCTCTCGGCTTCTCTCTCTACTCTTGGAAGCACGACGCAAGAGAGAGAAGGACGGATCAAAGGAAGACGACGACAGAGATGGATCCAGACGCAGTCTCCAAGGCTTTCGTTGAGCACTACTACTCCACCTTCGACGCAAATCGTGCGGGGTTGGTTTCTCTGTACCAGGAAGGATCCATGTTGACCTTCGAAGGCCAGAAGATCCAGGGCTCTCAGAACATCGTCGCCAAGCTCACCAGCCTCCCCTTCCAGCAGTGCAAGCACAACATCACCACCGTCGATTGCCAGCCCTCTGGTCCCGCCGGCGGCATGGTCGTCTTCGTCTCCGGAAATCTGCAGCTCGCTGGCGAACAGCACGCTCTCAAGTTCAGCCAGGTTTTCCCAAATCTCATCCCCTCGATTTATACAACTTTCGATTTCATTGTTTCCCCGTATTCCTGGTTCCCCGATCATATACGATAGGGTCTTAGGGTTTTTCTCCAGCTTTGTTATAGATCGATATGCTATTAGGTCAATAGAAAGCTTGAACGATCTGGAATTTTCTCGAAATTTCAGACCCTCTCTGATGCATTTAGTGATAGATCCGTGAATAGGTTTGAGTTAAAGAGGTTTTTACACCCAATGACTGCGTACATATAATCTCGTGTCATCTGTTTCTGACTTTTTCCTTCTCCTTCGTGATTGAGCCATCGATTTGCTAGGAAATTTGGTATTTCCATGATTCTTTTAGGTTTTGTTAACTATGCTTCGATTTGATGTGGTGTGTGTGTGTACCATCTGCTGTTAGTCTTTGTTGAAGGCTCTTTACTATAGGAACCCTAAGAAAAAGTTTGCATTAGAGTCTTAGTGCTTCAATTCATTCTACTGTTTGTGTCTTTGCTATCGTTTTCGTGTGAACATCATCAATCTAGTGGAATGTAAACTGTAGATATGCAATGAGTCAAAGTGGGATTAATTCACATCAACTTGAGCAAGCTACATATGCATCTCTCATCTCATGTTGTGGATCACGCACTGGATATTATTTCCTTGTCTATACCAAAGAACATAAAACTTTTGGCTCTTCATGGTCTGTTTGGATTATGCCTTCGTTGATAAAAAAAATCTTCTGACATAGCTGTCTTTTGTGTGTGTGTACCCCAGATGTTTCACTTGATGCCGACTGCACAAGGAAGCTATTATGTGTTCAATGACATATTCAGGTTGAACTATGCCTGAGGGAACGTGGTGGCTGGGATATAATGAACCATTGTAACAAGCCAAAAGACAATGATGGGACTTTGGGAGTTTGGGGATTAATTCATGCTGGTTTTAGATTTGAAACTGAAGCTTGTTTCAAGTGTTTATTTTCTTTTCGATGTCTGTTTTCATTTTTAAAATCAATGGAGCACTTTGTTACTTTGGTTGAAATGACTTCGTTTGTTTTCGGGCGTTTGATCCATGATTCAGTAAGTGCTTATTATATATTATGGATGAAACAAAAAGGTTTATCTGAAATATTGTGTTCTCCTTTGAAACCCTTTTTCATATGGAAAAGTTTGTTTAAACAACTATTGTTTTCAATTTTGAATTCTGTAGTCCCCAGTTTCCGGATTGCAATTGTATATTATATAAACCGTCACAAAAAGAAGGCTATCATTCATCATCGTCATCAAAACCGAAATCTCGCAACAGTTCGGGCATTTGGATGTGAACTCCAGTGTTTGTTCCATTCCCATGGATATGGTCGTTGTGCTGCTCTTTGGAACTGGAAGTCGTCCCAGTAAGTTTGTGCTTGATTGGATGAATCTTACCTTTGAATATCCCAGAGAACATACCTCCGATGGATCTGATTGGGTGGCATAATCTATCTTTCATCATGTAAATCATTGAGTACTCAGAGAGCTGCCAAGTCAATGTGAGGATGATCAAAGCCGAGAGCAGTATATGGGTCACTTTGTTCTGCCTCTTCACCTCCTTGATGTCTTTGGCTATTTCTTCTATATTCTCTTCCAAATGTCTCTGCGCCTCGCTTTTGGCTTTGGATGGTGCCGATTCTTCTTCTTCTTCTTCTCCTTCTTCATCTTTGGTTGTCACATCTGTTTTTTGGAACGGATTTGGTGATTCCAACTGAGTTATATAAAGAATATTAGCATTATCCCTGGAAAATTGGTCCATATGCAATACAGAGAATGTTCTGGCCATCAGCAAAAGCAGCAAGTTGTCAAAAATACAAACGTTACTTTGATGTGAATGCCTTTTTTCTGTTTACCACAATAATATGAAAAGACAAGCTGAGTGTTACATCCCAAGACCCAAGTTGTTCAACTACGAATAAGGAGACACTGACAAAAGAAATCCTGTTCATCTACTTTTTGTAAAGATCCAACCACAACGAATTGGAGCTTTAGTTGTAATAATTGACACGCTAAAACAAACCACAAACAGCTCAAATTCATTTGTTCGATTCATGAATCATGAGCAGATCAGGCCAATCGTATTTCACCAAATCAAAGCACTCATCAGTCATCACAGCGGAACAATTTACACAGACTCGTTCGCTTTTTTTTTTCTTTCGTAAAGTCAATGATTCAAACATCATATTTCATTCTTGTTCCCCAGAAAAGTTGATTGGGGGCGGCAACATCAGATTAAACCAAAATACAAGGATGGGGAAGAAATATACCTGAGAGATAAGTCTAGAGAGCAAAAGCTGATCGTCGTCGTCCTCGATGAAGGTGTCACCGGCAGCTTCTCTCTTCCTCTTCTCATCAAGAAGTTTCTCGATGGCTCTGCTCAGAACCTCCACATCCTCACTCGACTCCATTTCACAAACCCTTCTTCTCTAGCCTCTCTCCGCCGCTCTCTCTCTCTCTCTCTTTCTCTCTCTCGCCACTCGAAAGATGTTTGTTGCTTATACTTCTCTTTTTTTTTTTTTAAGTAGTCTTTGATTGTATTGAACGTAAGTAAGTCCCGTCTGGACACGTAACATCTATTGACCGCTTCTCGAATAACTCACGGCACCTCTTACCATTTTTCTTGCTTTCTTCTATCTGAGAATCTCAGATATAGAAATTGAGATGGGTAAATTCGATTTCTTCCCCCATTTGGTTTGTTTGTGTGTGTTTAGATTACCTTTGGTTTGGTTTTGTTAATTCGATTCTAAACAAAGCTATAATTACATTTTAACCGGAATCATTTCTTTCGGTTTGAGCTTCTCATGCTGCTGAACACTTCCATACCATATGTGCATTGCAAGGAATATATACCTGGAAAATATTTATGTGCTTATGAAGGAAAAATCAAATAGGCTTCTCTATTTCTAACAGTAAAATAGAAATCTTTTTTTTTCTTAAGTAAAAAAAAATAAAACTCCCAATATCCACATGACTTTTTTTATCCCAAACCCCCCAAAATACAGATAGAGTCTATATAGAAAAACTCTATTGGATTGTGTTTATAATTAATCCATCTTTTTGTCCTCTCCTCGCTCTGTTTCCGGATGATAAGAGCTTTTAAGGCTGTTGTTGTTTGTCCCTTCACAAAAGCTTCCATTCTGAGGATAATGTCAAAGACAAATGTTGTGAGTTTGTAAAAAGTTTATTACAAAGGAGTCGGAACCAATAAACATGAGAGAATCTGCTACGAAAACAAAGGCTTTAACTTCAAAAGAAGAAAAGTCAACCACAAAGAAATGAAAAGTAATGTGAATGAATGTAAAGCAAGAAGACTCATCCATGATTTTGCTTTGTTGCTTTTCAATAAAAGCCTTCACGTTTACGTAAAATCTGAAAGCTACACAAGCCCTAATTTTCGAACCTCCATTTCTAACAAGATCTCGAAATAAACCAAACCCGAAGGAACTAAAATGATCGGATAAGGAAGTATCTAGATTTTGACAAATTTAGCGTAAATGAAAATTTACCAGAGATCCCCTTTCCGGAGGAAGGAGGAGGCGTCAAGACGTAACAGAGGATTGACCTCCCAGCCATGGAGATGGCGGATACGATTCCGGCGACGTAGAAAACCATGATGAGAGCCAGGACCCAAGGCATCAAGAGGAAGCCGATGAAGAAAGTCACAGATCCGCAGAGCATAAGAGCTACAGATATGCCGAGAAGCAGAGAAGCGAAGCCCGACGGAGTTATATGCGTCATCGCGTTCGACGACGAAAACCGACGCGACGGAGGTCGAATTCTAACCGGGGAATCCGGAAACTGATCGGGGAGAGAAATCGGCATAGGCGGAGAACGAAGGAGGCTCAAAACCAGAGCCGATAGATCGTAGAAAACCCTGGAATCTTGATCACGCTGCCTTCTCATCATCACAAACAACAAAGATCCCAGCAAAATTATCCAATAATTGTTTATCTCCTTGAGGGAAGATGATAAACTAACTCGCAAAAAAACAGAGGTGAGTGGGAACAAGAATCCGCCGATTGATTGGAGAAGAAAGGTTTTAATGGCGATTTGCAAAAACCGAGGAGGAGTAATGGAGACGATAAATCCCTTACAGACAAAACAAGCACACAGACGCGGAATTGAAACTTCCTCTCTGCGCAAAGACTTTCTCTTTTGTTTATATAAAAAAGAAAAAAAAAATCTAATAAAAATCAAGAAAAGCAGAATCGTGTTTTGGATAACGAGAAAAAGTAACCAAAAGGAAGGAGCGTGTGAACACGCGACGGTGCGGCGAGTGATGAAATAATGGCAGAATGGAGGTGGACGACAATTTGGGGGGTGTGTGGGTCCCTTGATGACGCGTAGGGGCCTTATCTTCTACCACATTCTTATCTTAACCCTTTTTCCTCTCTCTCTTTATTAAATTTGTTACAATCATATAACCAGAGAAGTCGTTTTCTTCTGTACTTTTTTGGTTATTTTAACTTCTATGGGTTATTTGTTAAAATCAAACAAGTTACTTGTGGCTTTTAGGAAAATTGTTGCACTTTAGTCTATTCAATCCAGCTTTCCATGGGTTGGAGAAGAACTAAAAACATTTGTGAAAGGGTAAAAGTGAAAATTAGGTGAATTGAATTATGGAGTTGTATTTATAAGACATTTATATTGTAGATGAGTAACAGACTAACCATAATGTGTTTCTTGTCAACATTATCGCATGTTTATATCGTGGAAATGAAAGGTCTACATTAGTCTTATAAGGGACACAAACAAGTTGTTGAAACTAATAACTGACCACATTTATTGTTTAATGTCATAAGGTTAAAGATGTTTTAAACGCATTTCAGTTTATCTATTTTTTTTTTGTTCACCAACAAACTTAACAGTGAAAATTCGCATATTCTGCATGTGCCTCTCGTATACACACATATGCTGGTAAATTCACTGAAGAGTTTTCTTTTCTTTATTGATTTTGGTTTAACTGAGGTCGGTTTGGTGAAATTTTGATAAGTTCATAAAGTATGAGCCTGCCATATATAGGCCCCTATATAAGTATAGAGGTAACCCAAAAGGATACAAGGAGTGGGCCTATAGCCAATATGTAAATAACCAGTGGGTTTTTCTTTAATACCCAACAGATTAATAACAACTTCTTCTTCTCTCTTGGTTTGCATCAAAACAAGAGCCTCTAGATAGCTAGTGTGCGAGTGTCCAGCTGCAAGCATATTACTTTGGAAAGATTTTTGTGTGATGACCAAATTATATGGTTAAGTAAAATTTGTTGAATTTTTTTTTATTGAATTATATATAAGGGCATAATAAACATTACACACACACATGCACACAAGACAGAAATTTCAAATATGAGAGAGAGAGAGGTAATCATCATGTAGCCTAAGAGGGATCAGGAGGAAGTTTTAAAATGTCAAAAAGACAAAACCAAAAATTAAGAAAGTTTCAAATAGAGTTGGTGTCATAAGGTAACCAACCCAACATGTAATTGTTGACACTTGGTCCTGCTCCCATTCCATGATCTTGCTGCCCCTGATACCTGCTCCATCGTTAAACAAATGAACTTTCACTAGTTAAGATCATATATGCTAAGAAAATCTTAAACAGCACAAATTAAAAGAGATCAAAATTGGTTATAGTTATATAAAGGTTTGGCTATACCCGATTTGAAGAATGGGTTCGCATTCCAAAGGCTGGAAGAAAGCTTGAGAGTGTTGTTGTTGTTGTTGTTGTTGATGACGACCATAGTCCATCTCTTCTTGGTTCGGGTTGAGCTGGAGTGGCATCTGATACCCATCAGCTAACTGCCACGTAAACACTTGTTAGTGGATTATCACTTAACCAGACCAATGCGTTACTGTGCTTGAAAGTATATTAATTACCCTTAGCCTTAGAGTTTTGTTTGTCTCAGTCAGCATGCGTTCCTAATCCAATTTTTTATACGAGAGTAAAGTATTAGTAGATGTGTGTAAATGTGTCATTTGCTTCATCACTCAATTTATATATCTTTACCTTACTCTGAAGATCGTTGAGCTGGTCGAGCATGAACTGTGTCTGCATACAAAACCCAATTTTGATTTAGCATAATTGATATGGATTCCACTCACATTAGCGTGTATAGAAATGATAAATTGGTGTACAATTCGTACCCTGAGGGCTCTGATCTGCTTTAAGGAAGAATCAAGCTGTCTCTCAAGTGATTCAAGCTCCTTTGTGCTAAGAGGTCCAAGATCTTCTCCCAATAGATTCCTAATTCAAGAAGAACAAAAAAAAAAATCATCTTTATATATATCTGCAAAAAAAAGGTACTCTCTAGCTAAAGGATTTAGTAATAATTTTACCTTTGGGTTCTCTGTAAGGCGTCGTAACGCTCCTTAAGCTTGAGATACTCCTGCTGGCTACTAAGTTCCTGCGTGCCAAATTTACCATTGTTAGATTCGAATCAATCAAATCAAAGATTATATAAATTAAGCAGAGAAAGTAATCATTAAGGTTAGAAGAAAGACAACTGCTAAGGCCTCTCTTGAAGGCACATTGGGTTCTGGTGCTCCATAGTTACACTTTTGGTACCTGTCCAGTGTCCGAATCATGCTGCACCATTGACAAAAACAAAATAAAAAAATCAATTTCTTTCAATAGCTGGAAGATGATGACATTTGTTGGTCATCACTTATCAATTAGTCGATTTTACAATAGAACTCTTTGCAATCTGTAAAATCAAGTTCAAGTCAAGTAGACAATTAGGGGGTTTTTCTTAAATGTTTCTAGGGTTTACCACAAAATCTGAGAGTTTTTTCAGAGAAGATCTTAGAGAAATCACAAGTAAAATATTCAATGGATATTAGATGAGTTTGACATTTGGCATCAAAATCAAAACCAAAATTGGAAGCCCTAAGGGGTTACTAAAGTGAGTAGCCATGGAAACAATAAGTAAGTCGTCCTAGTTAAATCAAGCCCAAGAACTTCTCAAATCTGACAGCAAAATTGAGTGAATTGATCGAATTAGACGACCACGCAGATCAAAAGCTGGAAACTACTAATTCATTCAAGAGAAACCCTAATCAACTAATTTCACTAGCAGAGAACAGTCAGGATAACTTAAATAACCCTAATTTCCATATCAGATCGATCGATTGGCTCTTCTTAGAAACATGTGACTGATGAGAAATCTAAATTCTATAGGATATATGGAAATTGAATCATCAGAAACTCAAAAAACTTTGATGTAAAGAAAAAAAATGATAGAAGTGAAACAGAAGCAACACCAAAAACATCAAAAGAAAAAAAAAAGCTATTAAACTTTTAAAATGATCAGAAATGGTTATTCCCCCAAACATTTCCTCTTTGCTTTGTTATAAAGGATGATAAAACAGGTACGACACAACACATCAGAGAGACCCATACAAACTCATAAAATCAAATCAATGCGTAGATATAAAAGGAATAAATAGAGATAAATAAAAGAAAAAAATACCTCGAACTACTGCAAAACTCGTACAGCTTTCCTCTATTTGAGAAGATGATGAGAGCAACCTCTGCATCACAAAGAACGGAAAGCTCGTATGCTTTCTTCAAAAGACCATTCCTTCTCTTTGCAAACGTCACTTGCCTATTGATCTTGTTCTCTATCCTCTTCAACTCTACTCTCCCTCTTCCCATTTTTCTTCTTTCTCTTAATCTCCTCTCTCTCTCTCTCTCCCTTTGCAATTCTCTCTCTATATATATGAATATGATGAGCCTCTCTCTCTCTCTCTCTCTCTCTCTCTTCTTCTTCTTATATTATTTCTCTTTCTATTTTTTCTCTTATTTTCTAAACTTTTTTAATGTGTACATGTATACACATTTGTACAATATATATCTCACAACACTTCTCACAAGTACATTAACATGTCATGTCAGCTTCATTACTTGAATCTTTCATAAATATTCTCTTTCAATATACTCTCAGCTTCAACTAATATACCCACCAATTATTGTGTACTACTTACAACTTACAAACTCCTCTTAGGATTTATGCAAATATTGCAAAAACAGAAAAAAAATGTTAATTGCTCTATCGATGCTTAGATATTTTCAAACCTAGAAAAACGGGACTGTTTTTGTTTATACATAATTGGTAAAAAGATAGAAAGCGAATTCCATATTACTCTCACCAACACTAGCAGTGGTTTCGGTTTCAATCTTTTACTTTACAGAAATGTAATTTTGGCCTAGTTAAAGAAATTTGGATTTTTTTTTTTTTAAAACTTTGATCACGAGTTATACGGTGGATTAATTAAAATTCCTTCATAAAAACCCTAACATTTAAAACCATTACACAAGAGTTTTTATTACGGGTTTAATCAATCTGTTGAGAGAGACAGAGATATTTTAATTGGATGCTTTTGTTAGAGTGATGTTGAAAATGAGAGACTAATCGACGGTGGAGAAGCGATGATGTGAGGAGAGATAGCGCGTGGGATGAAGAGTGATGGCAACCCTAAACTGAAAAGAGTAGGGCAATGAATGAGTTTAGACACGTGTCGATATCTGGATGGTAGGGTCTGATAAATCCACCTGATTTTATTTATTTATTTTCCAACTATTTAATTTTTTAATCGAGTTCAGGGAATCATGTGACCTAACCTTAACTAGGTGAAGCCCTTGTACGATTTTATCAACTTACGGAACTACCCTTGTGATTGGTGTAAAATGTAAAGTGAAACGCACCCTTTTTGTGTACATTTTTATGTTGTGAAATTATCTAAAATTCTTACTGCTAGATTTGTTTCTTTTTCCAATTTTATATATCTGCTAGATAATTTTGTTAGTCAAACAATAAAACTCTAATAGAAGAAGTCTCAAAGTAAAAAATATATAAACAACTCTTGTTCTTGTCTAGTTTATAAAACACTACCATATGTTGATACCTTAATTAGTTTGGTATCATGAGAGGCACACAAGAAAAATATGTTGAAAACAAAAATGGATAAAATAAACAGAGTATTGAATATAAGCTATAGTTTATTTTGGTTATCTTAGGGCTCGTCCGATGTTAGAGATCGTGTCAGACCAAAACTCTTAGTGCTTTTTGGTTGCAGACGTAATTGCTTTATTTTGACCGGTAAGTAGGTGATGGGCACAAAGGTATGATTCAATTAGAAAAACTAAACATAGCATTATTATTCTGTTTGGTTATATAAGCTCATTGTCTTTGGTTTGCAAGTTGAATCTCTAATATTGATCTTATAAGCATTTCAAGCAAATTTGCATGTGTTCATCCCTAGGTATGGGACTCGAGATTAAGATGTTTTGATTTGCCCTTAATTTAGGTAAAAAAATAAGAAATTACCGGTTAACATCAAAATTAGTTAAAAGAGGGTACGAGAAGACAAGTAAGCCAAGTACAAATTCAATTCTTATCAGATCTGGTCATATTCAATGTAAGATGACGACAATTGATAAAGATGTTGTGCATTAAACCAAAAGAGAAACTAAAAGTACATTCAACTATTTATTTATATATTGATGTCATCCCAATGATATCTTGTATATATATATTTCCTTCTCTTGTTGTATTACTACTATTTATCCTTCGTTTTTCTTTTAGAATACCCCCAAAAATCTCAGTTCCAGCTCATTAGTAATACACTAATACTTAATATATATGTGGTTGATCTACAAGGTATGCGATCAAACAACGGTACTATATTTAATTTGTAAACATTTGAAGAAAGCAAAGACATTCTTGATGAAGTCGTCTTCTAAGGCTGTTATCCAATGAAACAAAAAAAAAATCTCTGTAAGGCATACAACATACTATATTTTAATGATAAGACTTGAGATCTTGTAAGATATATGTAATTCGTAAAAGTGGCTATCGCCGAATAAATATCTACGTCTTCTAAAGCATATAAAAGAAAGAAAGAAAGAAGCACTTGGGAAATACTCTTTTTCGCTTTGGGATCTAATGCCCTGGAGCACACACAGGACCCACTAAGGATGTATAGATCCATCGATGGAGATCCAACGGTCATAATGAGTTCTCAACATCAAAAAAAAATGCTATTACACGTAGGAAAGAAAGAAGAATCTCGATGCTAAAGAAACGGTGATGATCAGTGGAGACCACAAATCAACTTGCAATTTGCGCTACAAACTAGAACAAATAAATGCCACGTGAAATCCTACACGACAGCTAAGTTGCGAAGTACTGGTGTTGATGTGGTCCATTAGCGCGAGATTGAATCGGACGGCTCTAAACCGGTGTCGTGGAGGGCTGAAGAAGGAATAAGAATCGTTGGATGAAGCTGCTAAAAATAGACGGACAGGGTCCACGTCAAGACGTAATGGGAAGGGGACCCCGTTGCCAAAAATAGAAAGATGGGTTTTATATTCAAAGAAGTCACGTCTGGGTTTTATTGAGTGGGGTTAAGTTTTGGGGACCAGCCTCTGCATTTTTCACCATCCTGCAATATATATAGTAAGTTACTGTAGTCTTAGACTCATAGTCATTATGCATTAAAAGGTTTCCGCCTCCAAGATATATTAGTTTCTTACTTTTGTAATTTTTATTTTTTTTTAACAATATTTCAAACATATTTTTAATTACAAACGCATGCATATAGAGTTTTCTCTTAATTGTTCAGTTACTTACATAGTTACATATCCATTATCAAATTTCAGAAACAGGAACTATTAAAACATGTTGGCACTCAATTATATAGGGATCGATCTAAGACATGGAAGATATAATGGAAGAGATGAAAATGATAATTTTGATTTGACTTGTCGAAAGACCTTATTTTAAAATGAAAAATGTCGCTGACAGTTAATATAGAGTTACAATGGAAGAGATGAAAACAAAAAGCATGAGAGATTGTGGTTATAGTTTCATTGGAGGGACCGCTTTTGAAAATTTGAAGGAGCAGTGTTTTCATAGTTTGACACGTAAAAACTAAAAAAAAAACAAAAAGGTAATATAAACTTAATTTGAAACAGCGATTGCAAGAAAGAAAAAAAAAAAAGCCCAAGATAAAGTTTCAAATGCAAATGGTAACAAGAAATAATAATGCAAAGAGGAGGGATTCGCGGCTGAAACATGGATCATCAAAGCCCAACGTACATGAGAGGAAGCGTAAAGAGAAACATTCCAAGGAAGAAAGCACGTTGTGCCCAATACGGAACCACCATAGTGCTTGATTTGGTCCGTCCAATAGGACCGGACATTAAAACCACAGCCGCAACAAGGAACTGCAAAACGCAAAACATTGCCCAAACACGGAGCCAGAGTTTGCCGTTACCGCCCAATAACTCCACAGTAAGCTTACCCGGTAAACCGCAAGCAATACCGTAGTAAAGAACCATCATTGGCTGCTCTCTACTTGCGAAATGATCAGTTATCAAGAACCACACGGCGAAGATCATATAGAGCGCGGCCAACATCTGCGCCCAAAACAGATGCCGGCAACACCACATGATGATAAAGTCTGGGTTCTCTACCGGCGAAAGGTGTTTTAGCAACCAGGATTCATCACCTATTCCCTCGTAACGCCTGCAGAATTTTAAGGTAGATTCCATCCTACTCCTCTCTTGCGAGAAGACGTAAGCCAGAATGTTGAAGGCACTTATGACGAACCAAACCTTGATTTCTTTGACCATACGGGCGTTTCCTCTATCTTCTGATTCGCTTTTGAATCTCCCACCCATCTCTAGCTTGGATTTCTCGTGATTCTCTGAAGATTCTTTGACAGCAGATGCATTAATCTGCAGACCATAGCCAGTGTTGTCACTACACAAACCAAACTATGGCCAACACAGAGACTGAAAAAATCATTCTGAAAAGTCATACTACTTCCTTCTCAATGACATCATCAGCACCATTTGTATTAAAAAAAAAAACAGAGCAATGCAAAGTTAATGACTTTGGTGGCTAGTACAGGTTGAAATTTGGTGTATTCACAATCAGAGCAACAAAGAGTCAAAGACTCAAGCTTTAAGACTATTCAACTGTACCAAAGTAGACTCGATCGAGTGAAGCTAGCTTATAGATCCCAAACAGTGTAACACATTAAAAAAATGAAACAACCCATAACAGAGGACGATTACAAAAGAGAGAGAAAAACGAGCGTGATAGAGTTTGTGAATCGATCGAACCAGATTGGCAAAAGCCGGGTCAGAGGTAGAAGATGAAGTTGAGGCTTCGTACTTCTTCACTATCTTCTTCTTCTTTGCGCCGTCCATAGCTTCTACATTTACGCCTTTCATCAGTTCTTTAACTCTATGAATAACTATTTATAGGTTTTGGAGTCTATCCCCCTCTAGGTCATTCTACAAACAACAAATATCAGCAAAAAATCATCGTAACCTGATTCGGATATGAACAGAAGATCCTCGAAATAAACAAAATCTAATTAAAAAAAACAGAAGATCCTCGAGTCTGTTTCGCCTAAAGAAGAAAACGTAAACTCCAAGTTTGTGATCGGGTATAAATTAACCGAATTGGGTATTGTTTGTAATCGCAATTAGACCGAATATGACCGGAATAACCGGTTTGGTTTTAGTTTGGCTCGACATTATAGTAGCACGTCGGGTCTCTCTCTCTCTCTGCCTCACTTCGTCGTCGCCAAGAGCGCCTCTGTCTCGCCGGTAAATTCCTGCTACTCTCTCTTTTATACCAATTTCCTCTGTCATCTTTTCATATCGCTTCCATTGCAGTCCTTCGCCGTATAAGCTCGTCTCTAGCCATGGCTATGGTTCTTCCGTTCGGGAAACTGACCATCCTCATCGGTGCAGGTTCGTTGATTTACTGGGTATTTCCAGTTTTTCGTGACTAATATTGTCAGTGCTCGAATTCGTAGGATGGCTAATCGCGATAAGAGAATGATAAATTAGGGCTTTTGATAAACCCTTTGATTCCTGTAGAAAATATCAGTGTGTCCTTGACTGACTCTCAATCACATCGACTCGACTTTTTGATCTGTGGCGTATTGGATTCGGATTATTAGCTTCGCCTGAATACATTGGGTTCTCTGACAATTATTTACTAGGGAGGACAAGTTTATGTATAATTTCTCAGTGAATGTGAGCTTGCTGTATCGATTCATTTAGCGTAGGTGCGTACTGTTCGTCCGAATTACTGCCTTTTACATAGATTGTGTGTGTTTCCAAATGTTACTTTAGGACTTGTTGGGTCAGTGTTTGCTAAAGAAGGGAGCTTACCAGATGTCTCGAGCTTGGTCTCGGGTGCTTTTAAGGTATTCAAAAAATTCTCAATGTTCTGCAACAGCTTGATGAGTCCATGTGTGTATGATGATGCTGTCTAGAAGAAATTTTGAGGCTGACGGTTTCGTCTCTCTGTACAGATGGTATTTAGGCAACTGAAACAAGAAGAACCTGCTCAATCAGCCAGCAAGCCTCGCAATGATATACTTGTAGCCCAGGTTTGTTTGACATGAATCTTTTGATCGGCGAGGATAGAGCCTGGGTAATAGAGACTTGTTCAGGACTTGGATTGGTTGTGAATCAATAGGCTTTTCTGTGAACTCTCTTTTTCTTCTTCTTCGTAGGTTAACAGTCTTAGGAATGAATTGCAGCTTCTCGCGTCAAACAGACCTATGACTATTGTTACGACGGCAGGGCCAGGTCCTGTGGAGTTTTCAGTTTACATATTGGAGTTTTGTATTTCTCTCCTGCATTTTATAATGAAAAAGACTGGTTCAGTATGAAACTTGGAGATGGGTTTTGACCATTCTTGTTTTTTCTGGCCATGGTTTTAAAAAAATCCTATTTCAGGCTTTTTTTCTCCTTTGCTACTTTTCTTTTCATCAAACCTGATCGATGACTAGCATTATCATCTTATTTCATTAGAGTAACATCATTATTTTCTTACTGTTTATCGAAACTTGGAAGAAAACATTTAACAATTTCCTTCTATTCACAGGTAGAAAGTATGGTCTCATCATTATCGTTGGGGTGATAGGCTACGGATATGTGCGGTGGAAGGTAATGCTTCTCGAATCACCATACTGGAGCTACTTAAAATAATTCCTCATTTGAATTAATGTTGGCTAAGATTTTTGTATTTTGGGAACAAAATTTACTTTCGGTTCTCCTTGCCAATTCTGTTCATCCACCCTCTGAAATTACTTTTTTTTTGTGAGTTTTCTTACATCTTACTGGGCACTGATATCTTCTGGAACATTCTCAGGGATGGAAACTTCCAGATTTTATGTTTGCTACAAGGCGCAGTTTATCAGATGCATGTAATAATGTTGGCAGCCAGATTGATGGCTTTTACTCATCGCTTTCGGCAAGTTCCCACTGTTCTTTTACTATTTTTCGTGTTCTGATTACTGAACTCTATTCTTTATCAGTTGTGATGGTTTTTTTCGTGTTCTGATTACTGAACTCTACATTGTTGGTTAACTCAGTTGCCGAACATCAATATTTGACTCACTTTGACATTTCATGACAGGGTACAAAACGGGAGTTAAGTTCAAAAATTGACGGGATGGATCTTATAGTGGATGAAAATTCAGTAATTATTAAAGAAACAGGACGACAGGTATGCTAGATTGATTGTACACAAAAACTACTGTGTTGTTAATGCTTTCTGATGATTCTACCTTTTTTCTTGATAAATTTATCAAAATGTTTAGGTAGATGAACTACGGGATGGTACAGCAAATATTAAGGGTGACGTCAGGTCTGTTTTTGATGCCGTTGAAACTCTGGTGAGAAAATTTAGTAATTGCATACATGTGTTCACCAATTCGTTCTCCATGAAAAAAATAAAATGAAAGAGGTAACCTTGTGATCTTCATAATTGCCAGGCAGACAAAGTCTTTCGCATTGAGAAAAATCAGGTATAACATTTTTCACAGATGTAGTTGGAGAATTTTTTTGTTCACCAGGCATTGTGTTGATTGAATTCTAAATTATTTGCCATACATATAGGATACCACGCTTAGAGGAGTTGGAGCTCTGCATGCTCAGTGTCGGGAGAACAAAATGATTCAAGAGTCCAATAAGGCATGAAGCCTTCTTTGTTGTGCAGTTCGTTTTATGGAAATGGCTACGTAGTCTACATTTTCATCTAATTTACCCAGACTTGGTTTATGTATAGGCTTTGCCATCAACATCAACGATGCTAGCCATTGAGGCAGCTCCTGCGACACCAGCTTCCAGGGTAAATAACTAAAACTTTTATCTGGTCTCACAAGGAATTTCAACTGTGTCATCGCCTTATTGCTCTCTGGTGTTTTGACGTTAGGATACTCTGTGTTCGCCCCCTGCTTCTCCCCGTGAGTCCCAGTCGCCGTCGTCAATCCCTAATGGAGCTCAAAAGGTTTGTTCTATCTCAAACCAGATTTGCCGATTAAATACTAAAAAATCGTTGTACTAAGCAACGGCTTTTCATATGGACAGTCACATGGTCCACTCCAGCACACCCAGTCCATGTCTGGTTTGAAGGTAAAGAGTCTTTACCCTGTCCCTCAAGTTCTGAGCATCACTATGCCACTATGCGTCAAACTTAACTAAAACAATTTTGTAAAAACTTGGGTCTTAGGACATAAGTGAAAGCTCTAGCAGTCGCGAGACTTTTTCAAATGGAGTGGATACAGTAGGGAAAGCCACGGGAAATGGTGCATCAGGCGGGTCGAGTGCGGGTCTGCTTGGTGGGTTCTCATTGACAAGAATTGTGAGGACTCTTAGTGCGGTCAACACAGTGCCTACTAACTGAAGACAAGAGTTTGTTCATTCATATATTAGGGTTAGCAAAGAGTAAGTGGCCAATTGTATCTAGTAGATGATTTTGATAGATTTTGCTGTTTTTGCATGTGCATCGAGACAATGTGTGCATAACGTTTGTTAGGATACATCTTATATTTATCTAGGTTATATTTTACAGTTTATCATTTCGTTGCTTTTCTTGTTTTCGTCGTAATTCAGCAGGGTCGGTTATAAGCGAATACATGTGTTAAACAGAAACTGTCAATAGTAGACGGCCAGACAAAACCATCGTCGACCTCTTATATATAACTGAATGGCAAAAGATTAAAGCTGTGACATATATATTCCAATTATAATATAAGCTGCATCACTACAAAATTTATGCACCATTTATGACATTTCCCCACCAGGCAAGGGGGCCGAGCATAGTCACAGCAAAAATGTATTCGAATCCTCTACTAGCACTTATAACTTGTTTCTGGTTTATTGATCATGACATTACACTAGTCCAATGTTCAAACTCTTTCTTCAGTATTGTCAAGCCACTACTGGGGTCCAGTAGAGTTCGCAGGCACTGCGTTGACCGCACTACGAGTCCTCCCTAGTCTTGGTAATGAGAACATACTAAACAGTCCCGAACTTGTGTTTCCCATGTCTTCTCCAGAATGTGTTCCGTTGGAGGAAGTCTCGCGGCTGCTAGATCCTTCCCTGATCTCCTTCAAGCCCGACATAGACTGAGTGTGCTGAAGTGGACCATGCGACTGTCCAAATGACAAACAAGTCAGTACACTGAATTTTAGTTTCCAATCGACGACGACTCTGGTTTGCGATAGAACATACCTGTTGAGCTCCATTAGGGGTTGACGGCAACTGGGATTCACGGGGAGAAGGAGGAGGCAAAGACAGAGTCTGCTAACATCAAAACACCAGAGAGAAGTAAGTAATCGAACAGAACAACATCGGTAACAATCTCAATAACGTGATCAACGGTTGAAATTCATTGTGAGACCAGATAAAAGATTTAGTCATTTACCCTTGACGATGGTGTCACAGGAGCTGCGTCAATGGCTTGCACTGATGAAGTTGATGGCAAAGCCTAAACATACAAGAAATCAGGGTTAATAAGAGGAAAAAAAAAATGTAACCATCTCTCTAAAATGCACTGCACAATGGTAAAGGCTCATGCCTTATTGGACTCTTGAATCATTTTGTTCTCCCGACACTGAGCATGCAGAGCTCCAACTCCTCTAAGCGTGGTATCCTATATGTATGGCAAAGAAATTCAAATTCAATCAATACAATGCCTGGTGAACAAAAATTTTCTCCAACTACAACTGTGACAGATGTTACCTGATTTTTCTCAATGCGAAAGACTTTGCTTGCCTGGCAATTATGAAGATCACAAGGTTACCTCTTTCATTTCATTTTTTTCAGGGAGAACAAATTGGTGAACACATGTATGCAATTACAAAATTTTTCTCACCAGAGTTTCAACGGCATCAAAAACAGACCTGACGTCACCCTTAATATTTGCTGTACCATCCCGTAGTTCATCCACCTAAACATTTTGATAAATTTATCAAGAAAAGAGGTCGAATCATCAGAATGCATTAACAACACAGTGAAACAGAAGCTTCTGAATCTAGCATACCTGTCGTCCTGTTTCTTTAATAATAACTATATTTTCATCCACCTTAAGATCCATCCCGTCAATTTTGGAACTTAACTCCCGTTTTGTACCCTGTCACGAAATGCCACAAAAGGAACCATCATAATAAGAATAGAGTTCAGTGGTCAAATGAAGAAAAACAGTCTTTCAGAGCGCTTAAGAAGATATGGGAAGAAAGAACTTGCCGAAAGCGATGAGTAAAAGCCATCAATTTGGCTGCCAACATTATTACATGCATCTGATAAGCTGCGCCTTGTTGCAAACATAAAATCTGGAAGTTTCCATCCCTGAGAATGTTGCAGAATAAATATGGGCACAGTCAGTTTTCTAGTAAAGAAAAAAACTACAAACAAATGAGCCAGGTCAAAGCAATTCAGGAGGAGAACCAAATGTACTAATTTTTAAGTAGCTCAACTATAGTGACGTATTATTACCTTCCACCATACATATCCGTAGCCTATCACCCCAATAATAATGATCAAACCATACTTCCTACCACCTGGGAATTAAAAGAAATTGTTAAGTATTTGCTTTAAAGCTAGAATTAACAGTAAACAAAAAATTATGCCACATTAATGAAAGAAGTTGTTAATGCTAGGGAGAAAATGCCATTCATCAGAACATAACTCTGCTTTCTTTGAAGCGTAAGTCTCAAAGTAGATCTAAATTACCATGGCCAGAGAAATAAAATCAAATGTAAGAGGTTGAGCAAGGTTCTAATAACTTATTTCATTTCAACATAATAGCCAAACCATTTTGCTCATTTTTCACTGATGTCGTTCAATGCAGAGGATTAGAACAGAAAGAAATACAAAACTTCAACATAAAAACTCTAGAGGACCTGATCCTGCTGTCGTAACGATAGTAATAGGTCTGTTTGACGCCAGCAACTGCAACTCACGCCTGAGACTGCTAACCTACAAGAAATTTAGAGATCATACCAGTAAATCAAAGCCCTCCCGAAGTCTTTCTTATCCAGCTCTGTTTAATAACCTATCTTCGCCAATAAGTAGAATAATCTCAAACTAACCTGGGCCACAAGTATATCATCGCGGGGCTTGCTGGTTGATTTGGTAGATTCTTCTTGTTTTAGTTGCCTAAATACCATCTGTCAATAGAAAATAATATATCACCCCATTAATCCAAACAGCATCATACACATATAAGAGTCGACAAGTTCTGCACTCCCCCACATTTCGATGTATAAAGGAAAGGAGAAAACTTTTTAAGTCAGAAGTTGGGTGAGAGAAAGAATAGTATGCAGTGTAAGATGGAAACTTCAATACCTTAAAAGCACCGGAGACCAAATTCGAAACATCTGGTAAGCCCCCTTCTTTAGCAAGCACTGACCCAACAAGACCTAAAGCAAAAGGCAAGTTAGATGAGCAAAATTTGAACAATGCGTCATAAATTAATCGATACAGAAAGGATATCAATAGGTAATTAATGATTGTAAGTGCAATCGAGAAGAAACTGAACATAAACATGTCCTCTAGCAAGGCTACATGACACTCAAAACTATTCCTGAAGTATCAAAATTCCGGGAAATACGGCAGATATGAAATTCATCCCAGTGAGGACACTAAAAGATCAAAAGCCTTAAAATTTATGCTGAAGAAGATTCGATGATTGATACCCATCGAAGAACAGTGATCATTCTACAGGAATCATAGGGTTTATCAAAACCCCTAATTTCTCATCCTCTAATTGCGATGCCCCAATCGACGACCGCGCAAATTAAAATCCGATAAGAATTCACGCACCGTGAAATTATTCGGTAGTACAAGAGAAACCCCATTAATGGAACGGACCTGCACCGATGAGGATGGTAAGCTTCCCGAGCGGAAGAGCCATATGCTTAGAGACGAAAACTCTACACTGCGAGCTTGAACGGCGAAGGATTAAGATGGCAGAGGAAGCCGCATCAGAAGATCGAAGATAGAATTGTTGGAAGAAAACTTCCGGGAGGTAAACCGGCGAATCAGATTCGACGACGGAGCGAGGCGGAGAGAGGAAGAGGAAGAGGAAGAGAGACAAAATTCGAGGCGACAGTGTTTGCTCGAGTGACTTGAGAAACAATATTTTCTTTCTTTTGTGGGCCGAAAAAATCAAAACGGGGATGAAAAGGCCTTCGAATATGCCATAAGAAGATGCCCACGATGTTATTATTTAGATTTAAAGACTTCGATAATTTGATTACTAAAATCATTCGTCATCAAACTCGAAACTCCAGTGGTCTATGGAGGGAAATATGTATTGGATTGCTGAAACGAAGACTAAGGCGGAGATCTTCATCCAAAAACTTCGATGTCTCTATGGAAACATTGAAGCCCATTTATGTCTTGGACTAAATATTTGTACAATGTGGCTTTGTGCGCCTGTTGTAGAGTTTTCCTAGTAATAATGAGTTATGGTCCTATGGACCAAACTGAAAAAGCTCTGCAAAATTTAAAGGCTCGTGTGAATAAGATTTTAGCATTTGTTGAATAAGACCTGTGAAGGTTTCCGAATCAACAAATTGCTAAGGCTATTTTTTTAAATGTTTGTTTTTTGGATGTAACTTTCTCTCTCCATTGTTAAGAGGTCTTAGAAGCAAGAGAACAGAATACACATAACCATCGTTGAACCAGGTGGGGAGAAAGAAGTGCAATGGACCATCCCTGCCCAAATCTTCAAAATTGGGTACGCACTCACAAAGGTTAAATCGCTTAAGACAAGTCGATGACAATCATGAGATCAAGCAGAGGGAGAAGATGAAGAAGATCGAGATTGATTAATTTTTCTTGTCGATTAAAGAAGTATTCATAGATCGATCATCATAAAGATAAAAGACAAAGATTACTCTGATTGCATTACAATTAGTCAAGAAGTGTACAAAGCTAAACGTAGGGGTGGGCACTTCGGTTTTTGGTTTGGTTTCGGTTCGGTTTCTTCGGTTTTACGGTTTATCGGTTTTACAAAAATTCAAACTATATAAAAGTCATATATATTTTGGTTCAGTATGGTTTGGTTTTTTACGGTTCGGTTTGATATGGTTTGGTTTCGGTTTTTTTGGAATTATACTATTACGAAAATTTTTGATTCAAACTATTGAAAATAATAATAATAAATATGAATGAAATAAGTTCAAAAAATAGAATCTAAATCATAAAAAAATTATCAATAAAGACAGATTTCAAAATAGAAAAATAAACAAATTATCAAAACTTTCATAATCAATAATTATAAAATAATAAACAAATCTAGATTAAAATTTAATACCTATAACCTTGGAACTAGAACTATAAGACTTGAATGTGAAAAAAGAGTTAATCACGTTTTTATTGAAAAATTAAGGTTTACTTTATTATTTATATATAGATATTTTTTATAAATATTATATTTTAAATTTATGAATTAAGTTAGTAAATTATAAAGATAACTAAGCCCAATAATAAAATATGTACCTAAACAGAAATTAAGATTCTAGGAAAATATAAATTATTTAAAATTTAGTTTAAAAACCGAAAAAATCTTTTGGTCTGATGGTTTTTAACCAAACCAAACCTAAACCAAATTTATAAAAAAAAATAATGGCCAAATGGATTTTTAGGTTTAACCATAACCAAACTATATTACTTTTTTTGGTTCGGTATGGTTTGGTTTTTTCGGTTATAGTTTTTGTGTCCACCCCTAGCTAAACGCTAAAAGGCTACCGAGAGAAAGAAAAAAAATATGCAAACTTTATGGTCTTGACCTAAAACAGGACTGTATATGGTAATGCAAAAATTTCGACTTGAGGCAAAAACTGAGCTCTGGGGAAAAAGACAAGAACCGAATCTGATGATGATATCTGCAATTTCATGTCTTCAATGTCATTCTTGATAGCAGCAGCCTTCTTTTGCTGATCAACGGTACCAAAAAGCCAGTCATCATCAGACATCAACGTAACGTACGGATCAGATTCTTTGCTTGGCGGATCATTAAGCTTAGTTCTCTTGTTTGATTCACAAGTCGTATCAGCTTCCCTTGTCCTCTTCCGACTGTTCTGATCAGACAGGTAGTCATCTTCTCCTTCTTCTGTCAAACAACTCTTCTCAAGTTCGACCGATTCATCTGAGACTTGCTTGCTTGCCAAGTATTCCCTTTTATCAACGGATTTCTCATCCTCCTTCTTCTTCTCTTCCAGTTTCGCCTTTCCTGAAGAAGCGACTTCGAATTGTCTTTCCATCTTCGGCTTCTGAACTAATCAAATCGAAACTAGGTTTCTTTCAGATCGCGCCTATGACAACTCTATGTGGTTTCCAAGTCGAAGCGAAAGACGGTGAAGAAACCCTAAAAATCTCGACGATCGTACTGCTACGCAAACTGAGAGAGAGAGAACGTGGAAAATATCAAAATTGCGCTTGTGGAAATAAAGGTGAGAGAGACTGAGGGCTATGGTCTTATTTATAGACACACACTACTGAGAGTTATCTGCCGACTTACGTTTGGAGGAAAATCCGATATTCGGCAATCGGAAGCTTTGTTTACAGATAAATATTTCAGCTATTAATGGGCCTACTCGTAAGGCCCATACTCTAAGAGAGTTCGATGGCGGTGTATTTTGGTTTTTGCTTTTTTTTTTCTCTCTAAAATAAGCTTTTCACAAAGTAAAATGAATTCCTCAAAAGCATACACTAGATATAATGGTAACTTTATGAATAAAACTATACTGTAACTAAAACTTCTATGCAAAGGATAAAACCTAGCATTTAAACTTATATATTTATATATTTTAACATCTTGACAAGAACCAACTATAAATAGTTGATGAGTCTTTATAGTTAGGTGTAGTAGAATCTAAATCTCAAAACTGAACTTGTTTCAGTCATGATATGTGTTTAATGTGTGTGATTAAACAATGTTTTTTTGAAGAAACATGTTGTAAAAATATTTTAACTCTTTAGAAACATTGTCATGTGTCATCTGTTCTCAAGTTCCATCTCGACTCTCGAGTTGCTTAATCAAAGTCTTGAATCTTTTTTTTTCTTCTTTTTAAGGTATGATCTCTGATCTATATGTATCCAAAAGAAACCGCCAATTGATATGGCTGATGACTTACCACACACTGTTTTTTTTTTTTATATAATTCAAGACTTTGATTAAGCAACTCGAGATGGAACTTGAGAACAGATGACACATTACAATGTTTCTAAAGAGTTAAAGTATTTTTACAATGTGACTGTGCCTGTTATAGAGTTTTCCTAGTAGTAATGAGTTATGGTCCTATGGACCAAAATGAAAAGCTCTGCAAAATTTAAAGGCTCGTATAAGTAACGTTTTAGCATTTGTTAAATAAGATTGGGAATGTTTCCGAATCGATTTCATTCATTTATTCAGTACAATTTCTGACTTGCAATCTCTATAACAGAACAGGCGGCCTGAATTTATTGTAATCCGCAAAACTTGGATAGACAAATAAAGAAACAGTATCGTAAAATCAACTTCGAGTAAAGTAGTAACATGATCGGAAAAGGGTTTCCCAATACGTATATGAAAGGCAAATATACAATCAAGAAACAAACTAACAACTAAAACTGTGATATGAATAAGCAAGAAAGTAAACTATACATTAGTTGCTAAAAATATCTATACGAGTCAGTCTCTCTTTGAGAACTGCTTAATCAAAACAAAGACAGATTTGTTGGCCCACCTGATGAAACTATGTACCTACCTAATCCCTATAACTTTGTTCCTAAGCAAGAAATAAGATTGAAAATTTCTAAAAATGTTGTTATCACTTAAAGCCTATAGAGTGAGGGTGTGTTACGACCACTTACCACCAACCCAAAATGGTGAAAACAAAATTACGCAGAGCCAGAAGAAGATAACACAGTTTCGAAGCTAACCAAAATTAAAGATAAACTCAACAAGAACAGTAATGGAAAATTTGCCTGCATTTTCTTCAACATAAAGTATACAAAGATAACAAGGTAAGTTATCAATATGCATATATAAAAAATATAAAGCATTTAAGCTTGTTTTAGAGCTCCAAAAACAGCATTTTATAAAGAAGATCAAAAAGAGCTTTTTGATCGAGATGCCTTATTACGCGTTCGGATTCCAAAGGCTCCAAAAACGCGAATTGAATAAACCCAACACGTCCGGTAACACCTTCCTCGCCAAGCCCTTGTGTCCAGACGCCGCCGCCACCGGCAGCCTCCTGGTTTCCGTCGGCTTTTCCATTTCATCGGCCAATATTTCCGGTGATTTATCAGGCGTGACCTCATCGGGAACCACCACGGGCTCCACCGGTTCAGTGGTTTTAGCAATCGGTTCTTCGGGTCGACCCGAGGGTTCCACGACCCGGCGACGACCTGATTTCTCCTTCTTCTTTCCTTTGCTGTTTGATTTCTGGGAAGCTGAGTTCTCGCCTTTGGTCAAATGATCTTCGAAGGCTTCGATGATCTGGTGGATGAGCTCACGGTTGGGGGAAGAATCCCATCTAAACCAGTAACTAGTGTAGCAATCGAAACACTCACAATCGGAAATGGGAGGTTTATGGGTTCTCTTCTTCCTGCTAGGTTTCTTCGAATCAGAAGGGCTTCTTCCTCCAGCGGATACGGCGGTGGCGGTGGTGGTGGTTGTGGTTTTGAGTGACCTGGTGATTAAGTAAGCAAGGACTTCACGATCTTCGGTGGAGAGAGCCGAGACGAGAACGAGAATCACAGCGGGGAGAAGCTTTAAAACAGAGAGGCGGTCGTCTCCATCGGAAGAGGAAAATGATGGAAGAGGAGGAGATGGGTGCACTTTGCCTTTGCCCTTAATTTTCATGACTGATCTTGTGAGCGACTTTGGTAGATTAGAGAAGAGGAAGCAGAGGGGAGAGAGAGAGAGAAGTTTTCTTTGCGGCGTTTAATGGGTTTCGCAGATAAAATTAAGAAGAAAGAGAGAGAGAAGATAGCGTATTAAATATTTTTTCATGTTTATATATTCTTATACTTATACGGCCCGGCCCAACTCTAGTGCGTATTCCTCACGTCCCTCATTTTATTGAAATGCAACATACAGTATTATATCGATTGAAACGGTTTCGTACGACATGAAGACTTTTCGTCACTCGCTTAGCGGAGCAAAGAAAAGATTTTCCAACTCTCAACTGGTCGAAGAATCTAGGATATGTAAAATGGAAAATGGAAAATGAAAAATGGGTTGGTTTGGGACCGAGTCAAAATGTTCTTAAAACGAGTAATAAGTTAAGTGGGACATATATATGTCTATGATTGTTTGATTCGTGTGTAATGAGAAAGGAGTTTTCTATAAAAGTTTCTCTAAAATGGGTTCGTAGACTAATAAGGATACTGGCTTCCCGGTTTGTGGCACGTCAGTGTTTGAAAGTTGACTGCAAAGTGCTTTTGGTGGATGTAACATGATGATGTGGATAGCTCTAATTTGGTCGGGAAGCTTTACTAATTACTGCAGTCATGTGTACTTATTTGATATGCTAGAGAGGCAGGTTATGATGACTTTTTCATGCGATAACATTAAATGTTAGTCGGCGTTTTGGTTGGACTTGGACCCGTGTCTAATTATACATTCACGCTTTAGCGGATACGCAAAACATTCTCAATTGTTACCATTCATATAAAGTGTTAATTATTTATTTATCTACCAATCTATCACCTCATGCATCTTAGTTCTTCAATTATGTTATTGGGATATAAACCTCTAGATATATATATATATACCAGTTACACCTGATATCAAGATTCATGAAACAATATTAACATCCTTTTTATTACATTCATCAAAGTAAGTAAATTTCAAAATGATCCAGGCAAATTGATGTATCATCGACTAATCACTAGGTTTAATGGATATAATAGTTGCAGCATATACTTAAAACAAAGAGAAAGCAAAGTCCACTTGTGATTTCGTTGAATTGAATAATCAAATTATCTGCAATGTAGCCTTTCGCTTAACCATACCAACAAAAAGAAACACAGATTTGGCGAAAGGCTTAACCTTTGGGAGGCGTCAAAAGGCTCGAAATTTCGACATTTGCCCTCAAACTCTCTCCTCCTTCATATCTCATTAGCGCCATTGTCAGATTTGCATCAAAAACCCATCTTTTCATTCTCACCTAATTTTGAGCCTTAATCGAAATTTCGACGATGCCATCGTTTTCTTCGTCCCTCTCCCGCCCATCCTATTGCTCCCGCACCTCGTCTCCATTCTTGTCGAATCACTCTTCGCTCATCAATGGTGACCCACGACGGTCACTCTCATTCCTCCCCGCTTCTCCTCAGGGTTTAAATCTAGATGAGCTCTGTGTTAGATCGCAGAGGAAGTCCGTTCAGAGCTCCGTCGCCGCGCGAGATGGTAAGCTTGATTGGATCCTATGTGCCACCTTAAGTTTTCCTCGATTGGGTTTTTCTTCTTTGTGCCTTTTATTTGCGGATATAACTTGAAGCCTGGATCTTTAGGATTTGACTTTCTGTACCATTCTCCGAACTTTAGACAAAACGTTGCAGCTAATGCGATTACAATTGGGTTTTAGGCGCATCAGCTACGAAGTCAATTCCGGCTGATGAACTGATAGGAGGACTTTTATCGATTCCTTCACAAGAAGCAGCCAAGGTTGCAACAGAGCCTCATGGCGGCGGAGACAAGTCAACGGTTAGTATCACGGTGGTTGGAGCCTCTGGTGATCTCGCCAAGAAGAAAATCTTCCCAGCTCTTTTCGCACTTTACTATGAAGGCTGTCTCCCTGAGGTAAAAAAAAAAAACTCTTCCTTTCTTTCTCTGATTCTGATGAATTGTTATATTGATTGATTGATGTGTTAATCTGTTTTTTTTTTCATCGCAGCATTTTACAATATACGGCTATGCGAGGAGTAAGATGACAGATGGTGAACTTAGAGACATGGTCAGCAAAACACTGACTTGTAGAATCGATAAGAGGTGAACATATTCTAGCTTTGTATAAGACTTTTCGGAATTTTCCTGATGATAAAACCACCAAGACTGGTACTTTTGTCAGTCATGGTTTGTTTATTGTATGCATTCTTTCATCTGTTATCTCAGGGCAAACTGCGGTGAAAAGATGGAAGAGTTTCTCAAGAGATGTTTTTACCATACGGGTCAGTATGATTCTCAGGAACACTTTGTTGCATTGGACAAGAAGCTCAAGGAGCATGAGGTATTTGATTTTATACTCTTGCTAGTTGCTTTCTTCTTGATTTGCTTGCAACCAGATTGCATCATTGCCTCATTTTTCTGAAGACTAGGCAGGTTGTGTATTACCTTAGATTTAGCACCTAGACACAGAAGTGGGTAAACTTATTATTGTTTCTGTGGAATTTGTAAAAACTAGGAGAGTTTTGTCTTGGAACTTGTATTTTTGTAGGCGTACTTATCCATGACATGACTATTTACAGGGTGGAAGATGCTCGAATCGCCTCTTTTATCTTTCAATCCCTCCAAATATCTTTGTGGACGCGGTGAAATGTGCAAGCTCATCTGCTTCATCTGTCAATGGATGGACTAGGGTCATTGTCGAGAAACCTTTTGGCCGAGATTCCAAAACCTCGGCTGCTTTAACAAAGTCCCTTAAGCAGTACCTGAAGGAAGACCAAATATTTAGGTGGAGATATTGTGCTTATGTTATTGTAACTTTGTAATGATGCTGGTTTTGGATACTTATCTGATATGCAAAGTTGATTTTTACAGGATAGACCATTACTTAGGAAAGGAGCTCGTTGAGAACCTGTCCGTACTTCGGTTCTCAAATCTTATATTTGAACCGCTATGGTCGAGGCAATATATACAGAACGTGCAATTTATATTTTCTGAGAATTTCGGCACTGAAGGACGTGGAGGGTAATTGTTTTTTGTCCTCTGTCTGACTTTTTATTCTGTGTTGAAGCTTAGATTTTTACACCCTCTTCTTTTTCTGCAAATTCAGGTACTTCGACCATTACGGAATAATACGAGATATAATGCAGAATCATCTGCTTCAGATATTAGCTCTTTTCGCCATGGAGACACCTGTTAGTTTGGATGCAGAGGATATCAGAAATGAAAAGGTATCCTTTTTGTTCCCTTCCTTATAACTTGGTTGACTTCAAGACGGTAATTCTGAGATCTTGGCATCAATTCAGGTAAAGGTTCTACGTTCAATGAGGCCAATAGAACTTGAGGATGTGGTGGTAGGACAGTACAAGAGCACCACGAAAGGAGGAGTCACATATCCAGGCTATACCGATGATAAAACCGTGCCAAAAGATAGCCTGACCCCGACATTTGCAGCTGCTGCACTCTTCATCGACAACGCAAGATGGGACGGCGTACCGTTTCTAATGAAAGCTGGGAAGGCACTACACACCCGGAGGTAACCAAACTTTGGAATTTTAGTTGCAATTTCGCTGATTATTGTCTTTTCCTGAAGTAACATATTGATGTTTATTGATGCAGTGCGGAGATAAGGGTGCAGTTCAGGCATGTGCCTGGGAATTTATACAACCGTAGCTCTGGTACGAATCATGACCGGACCACAAATGAGCTTGTGATCCGCGTCCAACCAGATGAAGGCATCTATTTGAAAATCAACAACAAGGTCCCTGGTCTAGGAATGAGATTAGATCAGAGTAACTTGAATCTTCTTTACTCAGCAAGGTGAGTTGAGATTTTGAGAAAGTAAAAAGGAATCTGGTGGTGTTGGCTGATTTGTGATTCTTAGCTCTGTCAAAACCTGAGTTCTTTTTGCCTATTCCATTTAGTTTCATTTACCTCTTTATTTTGGTGTTAAAGGTATTCAAAGGAGATTCCAGATGCATATGAGAGGCTTCTGCTGGATGCAATCGAAGGCGAACGCAGGTTGTTCATAAGAAGTGACGAACTTGACGCTGCTTGGGCGCTTTTCACTCCATTGCTTAAAGAGATAGAAGAAAAGAAGACAATCCCAGAGTCCTATCCTTACGGAAGTCGTGGTCCTGTCGGTGCCCACTATCTAGCCGCAAGACACAATGTCCAGTGGGGAGACCTAAGTGACCAGTGAAAGACTTGAAAAAACCGGTCAACCTTTGTCGTTCATAGATCCACGTCTGAGATTTCTCATTCATAGACCATGGAAGCTTTATTAATTTGGGTTTTCTTTCGTTTACGGGTTAGATAGAAGTGGGTTATGTAACTTTGAATAATAAGGAAAGGTTTCTCTTTCTACCTTCTTGTTCCCACCAGTTTCGAATTTACACAATGAGTTTGAAGTAGCAAATGAAGGAAACAAAACAAAAAACCACAGAAAAAAAGAAAGCCTCTTCTAAAGATTTGAGCAACATGATTCTCTCTGCATCACAGTCAAAAAAGAAAAGAAAATAAATAAAGAATACAGTATATAAGTTAAAGCCTCTGCTCTTGATCTTGGATATCACCTGAAGCACCTTCTGGCCATTCGAGGAACTTATAATTTAGAAGAGACGAAGGCAGATATGTCTGAGCAGCCGCAGAAGAAGGGTCATTAGGAGGATAAATATACTCTTTCCCATAGCCAAGTTCCTTCATCAGCTTAGTCGGAGCGTTCCTCAGGTGAAGAGGCACCCCTTCGTTCTGTCCAACCGAGTCCTTCACGACCTTCCTTGCGGTTTCTATCGCTCGGTAAACAGCAATGGACTTAGGAGCCAGTGCTAAGTAAGCGGTGCACTGTGCAAGAACCACATTGCATTCAGGCATACCCAAGAAATGCGAAGCCTGATAGCACGCAACCGCCTGTGTAAGAGCAGAAGGGTCTGCAAGTCCAACGTCCTCGCTCGCAAACCTTATAAGCCTCCTCGCGATGTAAAGCGGCTCTTCACCACCTTCGAGCATCCTAGCGAGCCAGTAGATCGCAGCATTAGCATCTCCTCCTCGCATAGACTTGTGAAGCGCGCTTATAAGGTTGTAATGCTGCTCCCCTGCCTTGTCATAGGCCAAATGTTTGCTCTGAAGAGCCTCCTTCGCATCATCAAGAGACACAACAACAACAACAACACCAGATCCGGCTCGAGCGGTAGCCATGGTGGCTGAGATTTCCAAGGCGTTCAACGCCACGCGTGCGTCACCGTCACAGTTGTTAGCCAAGAACTCAAGGACGGAATCGTTAACCTCAACGCTATTGGAGAGTCCTCTATCGGAATCATCAACAGCTCGTCTAAGAAGGGTCTCAACATGATTAGGTTTCAATGGGTTGAGAGTAAGAACTCTACAGCGAGAGAGCAGAGGAGTGATCAAGTGAAAAGATGGGTTCTCTGTGGTGGCTCCGATGAAGAGGATACTGCCATCTTCAATGACGGGCAAGAAGGAATCTTGCTGTGACTTGTTGAACCGATGAACTTCATCCATAAACAACACAGTCCTCTTTTTACCTTCTAGGTTAAGCTTCTTGGCACTTTCGACTGCATCTCTAACATCCTTCACGCCGCTAGTAACTGCAGACAAGGAGACGAAGCGATACTGAGAAGGGTCCTTGCAGGAATTGATGAGAGATTTGGCGATTGAGGTCTTGCCGGTGCCAGGCGGACCCCAGAAGATGATGGAAGGGAGGCGATTGCACTCGACGGCGGAGCGGAGGAGAGAAGCAGGAGAGAGGAGATGGTCTTGACCTACGACGTCGTCGAGAGTGCGAGGACGCATACGCTCCGATAGCGGCTGGTGTTGGCGGTGGCTGGATGATGACAGCTTGACGCGCTTGTTGGGATCATCACCGACGATGGGATTTAGGGTTTTGGAATTGGGGCGGAGGAAGCGGTCGAGTTTGGGCTGCGACGTGGCGGCGGTGCTTTGGTGGGGAGAGCGGTGGGAGAGAATCCAATCGGTGGCTTTCTGGATGGAATCTCCGCCGGTGGCCGTTAAAGCTTCGGCGGCCAAATCGCTGGGGAAACCCATGCTCACTAGCTGCTCCATCTTCCACTTCTACTGTGGGGAAACAGCAAAAGCTGCTGTGTTAGTATAATTAGCAGTTTAACTTTAACTTAACTTAAAAAAGAAGAAGACCAAAGCCAGACTTAATTTTATTATAAAATGTAACATTGATTTTGAAAATTCATGGAAAAGGAGTTTTCAGTCAAATTCTGTCAAACCAATTTTGTTTTCTTTGTCTCTGATTTCGGAGTACATTTCCATTTAGACATTGATATACACATCAGGTGGAATTTAAGTGATGGAACGATAATGTCACCTTTCGGAATATTGCAACACATTATCGATTATGTTCACACATTTCAATTTTTGTGGTAGATTAAACTGCTATAGGTCAAGATTTTGTTTTGCGATTTCTACATGAAAGCTGGGAAGGCACTAGTAATCACAGAGGACTTTAAATAAGTTTAATGGACAAAACGTATAAGAGATACACTAAGCTCTTGGTTTTAGATTGAGACAACAACGATCATTATCTATGAAAACAGAAACGAGACGAGATTCGATGGATTTAAGATTATTGTTACAGTTGTTACCTTGATAAGCAAGGAGGATCTGCGAGAAACCAACATTTTCTATTCTTCTTCCTCCATCATGCGGAACCTTCCGGTCTCATAGACATGATACATCCACACAGGTTGAAGCAATTCTCTTGCGGCCTCGAGCTTCTTCACTTCGTCTTCATCTCTTTCTTCACCAATCTCTCGCTCTATTATCGGGTAAATTCTCGGAAGTGAGACCAACATCGTGTCAAGCTCTTTCCACTCTCTATCTTCTCTACTATTCAGCTTCACACATAGGAAATGCAACAGTCCTAGAGCTGTACTGTAATCCTTCTTCTCTACACACACTGCTGAACATATCAAAAGAACATAACCAATGCCATCTACCACCTTGGAGTTACCTTTCACTAATGAAACTATGGTGTTTCTCAGTCTTTCGAATGCTGGGAGTTGAAGATGAGAATCCGAGGTCTCATCGATTTCATGTAGCTCCATCTTCGCACATGTAATAAGCCAGGACGGGAAGCGGACAGTGATGTGGTTGAATGAGCTGGTGTACGAACTTTCTTCTTCCAAGTTGTTGTTTATGAAACAAGGTCCTAGTGCAAGAACCAAATCTGGTATCCAAGGGTTTAAAGCTGTCACAAGCCTTGATGCATAAGCTGAGCCTAAAGATATTTCGACCGTTGTAAATAGATCAAGCAGGTCATTTGCAAGGTCAAAAGCTTCAAACAAGGAGCATGAAGCTTCGGTCGTGTGTGTCATCATCACTAGGTTTATGAGCTTTCCGGCATAACTGGTCGAGCTCTTTGTACACAGAATCATGTCCTTGATATCTGTATCCTCCAATTCTAACTTACCTGTTGAATGGTTGTTGAAAATGGAGATAGCATACTTTAGATATGCGGATGTGAACTTCAACATCCTCGCGTGCAAGTTGGAAGCTAGACCCATCTCTGTAGACTCAACAATAAACTTGAGAATCGCGGTTAGCATCTTGACCTTGTTCAGTACACCTCCTTCCTTTGATCCCTCAGAAGCTTCACGAAACATTAAACGATGTCAGAAACTTTGTATTCTTCATCAGGAACTGTTTCTTAACCGAAGCGAAGCAGAGAGCTACAAAAGAAGATTTCGTAATATTGGGATAACATGTGTAATAAAACTCAAACTCTCCACTTACCATCATCTGAAAATCTCGTTTTGGGTTTCTTTCTAAGGTTAGCCTCTAGAGATATGGTCCCTGGCGTTCCACTGTCACGTGCCTCAAATAATTCATCTGTGCAGCCTAGAATGTGATCCATTGTTTGATCCAGAATATCCTGCTAGAAAAATGGAGAATCCTGATAATTAGTAATCTGATGGTGTGAAAAGAAAAGGAGTCAAGAGGGAAAGCAAAAAATTTCTTACCTCAGCAATTCTCGTATCATTCTTCTGAGCATTTGTTGTACTACTATTCTGAAGAGTCATATGGAAAGCAAGAGAAGTATATGCCAATACAGGGTACACGTCCATGTATTCACAACAAGATGCTTGTAGAACGCTAGTCTGGGAGACAACTTTCAAGGCAAGGAATAACTCCTCAATATCAGACTCCAGTATAGCTTTACGAGCATCTTCAATACTAAGTAGATCCTTTATTTGCCATGCTATTCCTACAGCAACCGAGTAATCTTCCTCGAAACTGATTGCATTTTCTCCGCTAACATGTTTCCACTTTGCCGAAGATTTTCCAGATGACTTTGATTTCTTCCTCGACATGGAACACACCTTCTTTCTTTCCACTTCGTAGCCGAAATTGATCTGACAACGGTAGGCTATCTTCTGCAGGATACTGGTACAAGTTCCAATGAGGTCGGAAACTGCATTAGAAGACACAAGTAACTTGTGTACAGACCTCATCTCGGTCTGTCGTCCCGCATCCTCGGGCAAACCACCACAGTTGACAACTAAATTCATGCAATCTCCTAGAACGTCAGAGACGATGTCAGGGGAGACCATAGCAAGAATATCAAAGACAGCTGACTGTGCTTGTGCAGTGGGTGCAGAAACTAGCAAGCTTTTCAATTTCTCTCCAGGTAATAGCTCTTTAAGGGAGGCCATACACCCAGAATCAGCAACCAGGTCTTTACAGAGATAACACGCAGCAAGAAGCAAGCCTTCAATCTGGTTTTCCTCTATCTTATCACCTGACAAAACTGAATTCAAGAAGAACTCTACAAGCTGCAGGACAGATTGAATGGTTGCTCCTAAAGCTGCTAAAAATCCGCAAAACCGTGCACCAGCCGTTGGGTTTCTGTTTATGAGTGTCCTACATCGGTTGCACGCCTCCTCAGCTCTCTTTCTTGATGGAAAATACGATGGCATTAAAAGCTTCGCGATTCCCTTAGCAACATGAGTTTGATCAGTAGCAAGCACAGATAATAACACATCCAAGCTCACTACCTGCATATAATAAAGAAACTATTTAACTAGTGACAAAAGGATACTTCACATCTGAAAACAGAAATGGAAGGCCTCCTACCGTATTAAACTGGAAACTCCGAACATCTCTTAACAAAAGGAGCAGATCAACCATGGCAACACGTACTGAAGTAACGTTATCTAGCATCAAATGTCCCAGTCTTGGCAGAAGCACTTTAAGAATTGCATGAGACTGTGGGTTTGAGAGAAGATAAGTTATACCATTAACGGTCGAGAGTCTAACCTCACTGCACGATTCATGTGACATATCATCGAAAAGTTTTGTGATGATCTTGGTAATTGTCGGTGATGGGATCACTTCCCAGAAAAGATAGAAAACTCGACAGAGACCTTCAACAGCGACAGACCTCACATCTGGACATTCATCACTCATCAATTTTTCCAACAAGTAGAACTGTTTGTCAAGCAGCGTATCTTTTTCTTCTTTTGTTGCATCCGGATCCTCCATCGGGAAAAGATCCAGAAGTAAATATAAAGCATTCAAACGAACATTCGAATTTGCCACCTGAAAGATTACAAGAGCAGCGAAAATCAGTTCATATCGAATGCGACTTTGATATATAGTTTGATTAATCTAGGTGAAAATTAGTTGAGCAACAAACTGAATAAATCGTCAATCCGCAAGCATACGTGGTTACAGTCATGACTATACTAAATCAGATAAGGTATTACCGTCTTAACACGCCGTGAATAAAATATGTTGTCAAAATGTAAGCTTTTGATGTGTTTTCAAATCAGAAGCACATAATGTATCGCAAATGGAGCTCTAAAACGGCTAAGAGACAACTTCTAGAGTCTCATATTCTTATTTCAAACAATGTCAGGCTAAAATACACAAGAAAGATGGCTAAGTTGCATAAGCTATAGTTCATCTAGCCAAGCCAAAGAAGTTAGAGAAACAAACCTGCAATGAGCGAAAGATCATGGGCTCGGCGAGGCCAAAGAGGAGCTTCTCAACTCCTTGAGTTGTCCTCTGAGTGATAAAACCTCCCAAAACCCTCCTTAGAGAGGCAGCAAAGGCGCAAGACGCGGCGTGAATAGCACTATCAATAATCCCCTGCAAAAACCCATCTTCAATCTCACCTCTCAAATCTCCATCTACTTCTTTCCAAGCCCTAAAGAGAATCCCACCAAACCCTTCAAGCACCGACTTCCTCCCAAAAGGAATCTGAGCTTTGACAACAGCAAGACCGGACTTCATCAACTGTCGGCTAAGCCCAAAGGCGAAAGAGATGAATCTCTGGCCGTCTTCTGTTTTCACATACAGAGGCGAAACCACACACCGCATCAGCAGCATCCTCAGATCCTCAATGCTCTCGTCTTCGAAATCAAACAGTGTGAATGCTTCCCTCAGCATATAGACTCGATGCACGTCTACTTTCTTCTTCAGCGTCAATGACCTCGATAGCAGAAACGGCAACGACTGAGAAATCAAAGTTTCTCTCTCGAGAAGACCTTCCTTCCACCACGACTCGCAAATTCCGGCAATCTCAAGGCACAGAGCCGGTTCCGACTCGAACAGTATAAGATTGTTATGCAAAGCTTGAGCAGCGAGGAGTAGCTCGGAAGTAGGAAAGGCTTTTTTGGGAGATGAAATGCAAAGATGGAGTACATGAGAGAGGACATGGAGAGAAGCAAGGATCTTCTGCCTCCGCTTATCCAAATCCGAATCGGGTAAGGATCCGTTACCACGTTGGCGCTTCGATGGAGGAGAATTAGAGGGAGAAGGGGGAGATGGATTACCATCTCCGGCGAGTTTCTGGAAGGATTCTGTGTGGTGGAGTATGGACTGGTGAAGAGCAAGTGGGAGAGAAGATGAGAGGTCCGATGAGGGTTTCACGGCGTTGATGATGGTTTTCAGCGACGGTTTAGAGGTTTTCAGGGATGATTTGACGGCGGATAAGAGGAATTCCTCGGCGGATGTCTTGAGAGATGACCGGAGCCTCTTCTCCATTGCAAATTCGTTTTCTTAGTAAAAATGCCTTTGTGGGTCGATTAAGCGGTTCTGTTCGTTTCCTTCACTTTTCGAAAAGTTTGGGTTCTGAAAATACAATCGAGTTTAACCAAATAAATTTCGGTTCGGTTCTGTTTTTTAGTTTTGTTACCGAATTGAATCGAAATTTCTCGTCTTTTTCTTGAAAACTCGGTTCATTCGATAATTTTCGGTTTATTTAATTATTCGGTTGGGAATTGTAAATATATAGAAACTCGCAAGACAATGTCCAGTGGACCAGCGTAAGCTGCATTTGCCATAAAAGTTGTCTTTTTTTCTGACCGTTAACCAACCTTAATCTTTACATATAAAGATATTGAGTAATAGAAAACTTTCTCAAATATTTCTCTAAAAAGCATTATTATTTCCTGTGTTCTGTCTAATTTGATGGAAGAAAATGCGACTGAACAAGATCTATCTATCTATACGCCTAAGAAGTTTGAGAAGCATCATTAATCTTTACAGGTAAGAGATTCTGTACAAAGGAAGAAGAAAGGTCCCTAAAAATCATCAGCGCGGTGAATCTCGCCCATAAGGATGCGATTGCTGGCGACTTTGAAGCCGAGAAGAGCAGGATCAAGCTGCCTCCCTTTCTTCCCTTTCTTCTTCCCACCACCGCCTCCTTTGCCTCCTTCGGTGGTTGCTGCATCAGATGACTCTGCCGCCACTTTCTTCATGCTGCTGCTACTGCTCTTCTTCAACATCTCGCTGAAGGACGCCTCTCCTTTGTTTCCTCCCCCTGCTCCTCCTGCTTCCCGTCTCCCTCCTCCTCCTGATGATAATATGTTACAGACTTTTGAGTCTCTCATTTTCCATTAAACAGACAGATGCATACAAAAAAGTGGATCCTTTGAGATACCTTCAATTCCACTGTAAGAAGTAGCAGCAGTCCTGTTGGCTGCATCGGACAAATGCTCGAGCAATCCCTCATGCGATGATGAAGAATGCGACGACTGAGGCCTTTTTAACAATACTGATTCCTGCCCGTGTGATGGAACTACCATCCTACAATATATATATACACATTTTCAATCAGCAGGCATATGAAGAGATTCACGTGGAGCGTTACTAATCTAATCTACTGCTGCTAAACGTCAGAATACTAAATTTACCTATCCTTCCTTCTTTCTTCTCCAACCAAGTTGTCACTGTAAGGCTCTGCAGCAAGAGAATATCGGGATTAGCCCTCACAATCAATATCAACCTCCCAAACACAAGGAATTCAAGATACAACATACCAGAGATATTGAAAGAAGTCTGTTGGGCAGGCGTAACAACAGGAAGCTCCCCTTGAACCAAGGAGTCTAGTTGCCTGTTCATTCTGTCCTGGCCTTCAAATGGCATCCTTCCCATTCCCTCAATTTTGGGCGCCATACTGTTCCAATTTTTTATCTCATTCGCGTCTTTGTTCATAGCAAACATATTACCCAAGGCTTCTTGAGTTTCATTCTGAGTTGACCGCCCATCATCGATACTTCCAGACCGCAAGGAACTATTACGATGCAATGGTCCCATATAGTTCCCGTCTCTTGGTAATCTGTTTATCTGTTCATCAGAAAACGCATGCGACCCAAAAGTAGATGAAGCGTTTAGTCTACCATCATGGATCCTGTCAAAGGATTCCCCGCGGTTCATGCTTGCTGACTCTGCAGATTGATGGCCTGGTCTCTGGTGGAGCAACTCCATAAAAAGCTGCTTTGACTTGTCCTCTGAAGATCCATCAACCATCCATGAGTTGGAATCCTCACCCAGCCTCCTCATTTTATTATGTTCAGCATCAATATTTGATCTATGAAATTGAGATTCGGCCCAGTCACCTGCTAGCTGTGTATCTGCTCCAGGCCAGCGTTCTCTCGTTTGTTCCAATTGTGCAAAATGCGGTTCACCTAATTGCATGCGGAGATTCTGCTGATTGAAACCCGGAGTAGAATTTCCCAATCTGCCAGAAGATTGCATGTGAACAGTGGCATCCCGCAACTCCAGACCCTGAGAGAGTCCAAGACCATTTAATGCATCCACCAGATTCAGCCCCGATGCACTTGCAGGTAAAGATGCTGATCGCTCAAATGGAAGACCCTGCTCGAATAATTCTTGTCGAAGTTGTTGCTGATATGAGAGGTTCCGCTCATGTTGACCAAACTGATCCTCAAAAGGTGGCCTCTGCTGCTGTTGATGAAAGTCTAGTGGTCTAATTCCCGCAGAAGAGCGGGAACGGTGGATCCCAGGATGACTTCTTAGAAGCTGATCATTATGGTCAGATGGCCACAGAGGGTCAATATGTCTCTGTTCCTCCAATAGTGAATTGTGCCTCACTCCATTTGCCAATTGCATGAGCTGCTCTTGCTGCAGTAGTTGGTGCTCCAACGACCGGATTGGATCAGATTGCAGTTGTCCATATTGAGATTGCATTTGTCCGTATTGGGATTGCATTTGTCCATACTGAGATTGCGTTTGTGTTGAAAGTAGCTGTTCAAGTAGCTCTTTTTGATGGCCTTCATGTGGCAACTGCCCAAAATTTCCAGCGGCAAGTTGCTCTATGTATGGTGCGAAATTTCGTGACGGATGGCCAGAACTTCTCTGCAATTCACTAATTAGCTGCTGCTCTAACAACATTTGTTGAGCGAAGTCATGTGACTGATGGCCAGAGCTTTTCTGCAATTCATTCAATAGCTGCTCTACCGACATCTGATCAACACTGATGGATCGATGGAAGTCATGTGACTGCCCAAACCTTGAATCAGGAGTCTGTCCTTGTAGAATCTGTTGAAACTGTAACTGTCGAGCATGGGACTGTTGTTGCTCCTGTAAGAGCTTCTGATGTAATTGATACTCTTGTTCCAGCTGACGCTGTTGCAACTGAATCTTCTGCTGCTGCTGCTGCTGCAACTGAATCTTCTGCTGCTGTTGCAACTGAATCTTCTGCTGCTGTTGCAACTGGATCTTCTGCTGCTCCCGCAACTGGAGAGCTATAAAATTATCCAAATCTTGAGCTTTCTCAGGATACTTCAGGCCATGTCCTGAATGCGACATCATATCCCAGTTTTGGAATTGCTGTTGGTTATGTTGATTTGATGGAAGTTGATCCCCAATGTTAAAGCGGTTGGGGACATGTTCAAACTGCGACAGCCGGTTAGCAGTCAGAGCATCGAGGGACATGTTGGTGTCATTTTGTGTATTTTTTCGGGAATCAATGGGCCAGCTGTCTATTGAATCAGTAGGCTCCCCCATTGGATCATAAGACCTGTTTGGTAACAGGTTAACTGGTGTATTACTGCTCTCTAGCTCAGACCACAATACACCAAACGGGTGCAGCTTATTCTCATTCTGATTTTGAGTAGCAGCCTCAGTCGATTCACCAAGATTAGCAGAGTGGCGAGAATGCTCCATTGAAGCATCATGCATACTTGTAGAGGATTTTAGCGACGCATAACCAGAAACTCCAGCTCTTCCTGGGAATGAAAAAAAAAGAGAGAAAAAACTTTGTTTAGCTATGATGAACATATTATTATGAGCATGAAAGAAAAAAATATGTTCGCCTGCACAAGCATATGAAATCCGAAGAAAGATATGTGTTCGCCCACACAAATGCACACAAATGAGAAAAGGCTAGAAGCATAACAAACCTTCATGTTGAGCAGAAAAGTCCAAGAAACTTCGGTCCTCGGCATGTGGTGGTTTCACATAAATTTCTGACTCAGTCTTTCTCTGAAAATTATCCTGAGCTGAGGTGTTGTTATTCACAGAAAATGAGAGACCGGTACTAGATATTGCGGATGAACCATTAGATTCCGCTACAGGTGCAATCGATAAACCAGTCTCTGAGTTTGCTTTTAAACTAGTCTGTTCTAGCTCACTCTTCTCATCACTGATATGGGCATGAACATCTTCCATCTTTAAATATGACATGACCCTGCCTAGATCTTGAAAAGGAGTTCCTTCTGGAGCATTTGCTAAGCGAACCTGTAAGTCTGCCCCAAAAAACCCTTGTTCAAACCAGGAAATAATGTCAGATCCAATGAACGGTCCCTGAATTACTCCCTGAGGATCAATATACAAGAACATAAACTCCTCAGGTGGCATAGCCCCTTCGAAGTGGTTCACTTCAATATCTGGTTGCTGCAGTTTGCCCATGTAATCTTGCTCAAAAGATGCAACAAGGGGTCTGCTCGCATCCAACACAGATCTAGCTGCTTCAGGACTTCCATGAGAAACTTGATAACCAACTCCAACAGATCCATGACTTTCAGAAGCCATGGAACCTTTGTCACCAATCACAACCCCTAGTGAAGCACCATCCACTTTTGTCTCACCTGAGCCAGGTACGCGGAATTCCACTGCAGTAACATCCAAAAACCCAAAGTCACAGAAGCATTCGATAGATTATGCTAGGTGGAAAGAAAACTAAAGAAAAGATAGCATACCCAGGCTGTTTTCACCTAAGGATTCTTCCCCAGATGATATGTGCGCTTCGCTACTAGTGATCCTTCCCTTCAATATACCGGTAAGGCTTGCCTAATAGATAAGAAGATACCCACCAAAAAACTCATGAGAAACAGAAACATTAATGATACACCTGTGGAAAAGAGAATTGGAAGCAAGTTCTCAGTGGGGGACCATACCTCTTCTTCAGCATCAGGTGTGATGAAAGCAAGAGGTTCGATCAAAGCCCCTTGAGTTATGGAGGCAACTTCCTCCATCTCAGTGGGTACCCTACCGAGGGAAGGATCAGGCTTCTGTTTTCTATACAGGTCAAGAACCTTACCCCTTGGATACCGAAACATAGAGGCAGAAGGGCTTTGTTTACCAGGGATGCTTTCATTTCTTAAGAACGCACCAGCACCAATAGAGGTAGTTGAAGAACCCCTCCCAGTCACGGATGCCCTTCCACGTCCCACGGTGAACCCTACTTTTGGGCCCTCGGTTCGTCCTTTATCGAGTCCAAAACCAGGTGCAGCACGGTAAGGATTCGGCCCACCAGACTGGGATTCCATCCTGTGACGTGGCCTCCATTTGTCACGAGGGTCAGAGTCCCGTTCAGAAGTCGCACGGACGCTGCCAACAGCAGATTGACTCTCAGTCTGAGGCTCTTCCTTGTCCTTGTTATTATCTAACTTCTCAGAACGTGTTTCTTTCTCTTTGTCATCAGGGCCCCAGCGAGATGACCATTTGTTGTCGCGCCGAGGTTCATGTACAGCAGCACGAGAGTTAACATCATGCCACCTATCAGAAGAGGCAATATTTTTAACGTCGCCGGTTTCTCGGCTTGAGACATTGTCATTGCGACGTTCTGTTTTCCTTCGATCCACTTTCCTAACACCGAGTAAACCAGTTTCTCTTTCCTCTTCACGCCATCTGCGACTTGTTTCATTCTCAGGCACAACTTTCCTCCAGTCCTTTTTTTCCTCCGGTGCATCCAAGCGCCATGCATCCTTCAGATTTGGGTCACTTGGATTTCTGGACACCGGAGTAGGAGATCGAACATCCTACACCATCGCAAGAACATCAGAGGAATGGACCATGACGAAATAAAAAGAGTACAAATATCAGAGAGAAACAGTAAAACAGAAAAGTGTAAAGCCATTGATTACCATCTTGCTATCGCTTGATTTCGTGTAAAGCCACTGCGGAGACAAGGGAATACTGTTATCTGACGCCAATTCTGCAGAAAAACGAAAATGAAAGAAGTCAATAGGTGAAGGAAACAGAGAAACTAGACAGATACAAAGTCAGAAAAACCACTGGTGCCCGAACAAATCATTGGTTCTTATTCCCAGATCCCAAACTGTATAATTGGCAGTAAAATACGCTCACTAATCCAAATATGAAGTTGCTAATGCATCTAGTCGCGGGGGCTCGAAAGTTATTAAAAATACAATAGATTGATATCGTAGAACCCTAATTAGCACATATTAGGTCAAATTTTTAAGCTATAGAAGCCTGCCGCATCCTATTGAATTCAGATCCGGAAACCAAACGATGACATTTGTTTCTCGACATTCAAATCGATCGAGAAGGGAAGAAATTCAAACATCAGGAACCTCAAAAGGAAATCGAGTTTGAACTAAAAAAAAAGGAGAAGAGCTTCGAGGAAGAAGATGTGGGAGATACCTTTCAACTGATCAGACGATTTCGACAAGATGAGATCGTTCGGCAGATCTATCTTCCCTTCTGACATGGCAGGATTGAAACAAGCGAGTTCGAGATTACGTAGAAGAAGGAGATGACCAAACGAACGATAGAGCGCACTGGAAGAAGAAAGTAGAGGCGAGAGGGTTTTGGAGAGATTTGGCGGAGATAACTTTTTGCTGGTTTTCGATTTGCCTTTGGAAGAGAAAGCTTTCGCGTCGAGATCGAGAGAGAGAGAGAGAGAGAAGACAAGAAGTGAGTTAAAGGGCGAGAAAGGAAAGGCTAAGGAGGCCTTGCGTGGTCAGAACACCGATCCGACTTCGCCCAGGTTTACTTTTTTCTTAAATTATCATTGTTTTTTTCTAAAAATAATTAATGGTATATTTTTATGAAACTAGAAAGTTAAAAAAATCAACATTAATATTCATTTATGAGAACATTATTTTTCATGTTATATTTTTATCAATTTAATACTTTTAATTGATATTATATATTTAGATTTTCTGTATATATATTCATAAATCGTCATTAATTTTATAATTTAAAAATATTATAAATTATATTTTAAACAATTTTAATACATCTTGTTCAATTGTTTCATTATTATGATTTATTTTCTTAGTAGGTGGTTGGCCCGCACATATGTGCAGACATAAAAATTTTATCAAAAATTAACTAATAATAATATATATTATTTATAATAAATAAACAATTGGCGTATTTAGTATTATATTTGAAAGAAAATTTTAGTTTGTGAAAAAAATGTTTTAATAATTTGAGGAATTGTATATAGTAAAAAATAAAACATATACAAAACTTAAAAATTTTTTTTAAAAACCATAAAATAAAATAAAATGTTTTTTTGTTATTCTTTGTATACTACCTTTTATTTATATTTTTCATCTTTCTGTAGTTTTTTGTATCTTATTTCATCATTTTTCGTCATATTTCTGGTTCGTAATTCTCACTATATAATTCAAATATATTTACATATAATATAAATTTTTGATCTTTATTTATAGTGAGACGAAATAAGATAATAATAAAAGCGAAGAAGTTCTGTTTCTAAAAATCTGATCCCGTAAATTTCACACAAACATTGAATTTGTAAATATTTCGCTAAAATTTTATTTAAAATAAGATTTCAAAATTTTTCATCAAAAAACCGATTTCACAATATTGTGCCAAAAATATGAATAAATAACTTTTGCACCCAAAAATATTACATCAAAAATATGATCCAAAAACATATTATCAAAATTTTGAATTTGTGAATTTTGCCAAAAAGTGAATCCATAAAAAATAATTCCCCAAAAATTTTACATTAAAAATGTGATTCCAAAAACTACCAGTCAAAAATTTGATTTCATGAATTTCCAGCTAAATAAGTGAAACCATAAATCTTTCACCAAAAAACTTATTTAAAAATATAGTTACAAAAAACTTATGTGAAAATCCTATTTCAGAAATTTTCCGCTAAAAATATGAATTTGTATCTTTCCCACCAAAACATTTATTTAGAGTATTTTAATTTGATTTCGTCAGTTTTTGCCAAATATTGTGAATCCATAAATTTTATGTCAAAAAAATTCCAGCTAAATAAGTTGTCATAAAAGTTTTGCTAAATACTTGAAATCTGTAAATTTCTTTGGGCAAAATTTTTGTGTGGAAATGTGATTTCAAATCTATTTGTCAAAAATTTGAATACTTCAATTTTGTATCAAAATTTTAATATATAATTTTATTTATAGACAAAATAATGTCATGTCACAAGTCATGTGTACTAAAAACTGACACGTCACAATTACATCATCATTACACATCATCATTTCCATGTCACATTAAAATTGTTCAAACTAATTATATTAACCAATCAAATTAAAACAAATCAACATTTTTCATTAAACTACATTATCAATTAATAAGTAGAAGATATAAAAAAATGTTAGATATGTGACAATTGAACAACATCATAAAATCGTTCACAAATAAACTAATGAAATATTCGATTTCTTCAAAAAAAACTCTAGATAAACACAGAGATATGTTTAAGCTAAACATATTACTCTATTGCGGTAAAAATAGAATTCTAAGTAAATATGAAAGTATTTAAAAATTAAATGACCAAATTACAAATATGAAAGTAAATCTCTATTATAGAGAAAAAAAATAGAATTCTTCTAAATATTAAGAAAAAAATAGCATATTTATTTTCGGATATTGACAAACTCATACATCCCAAACATATCACACAGAAATTGTTGTATGCGCCCATGCTTAAGGAGATTATCACAAACATCAATAGTTTGTTGGAAAAAAACAAAATCATACGGTATGTTAGATTTTAAAAAAAAAGTCATATGCTCTAGTTTTTATGCAGATTTAAGTATGATATTTATTTTAAAAAATAATAAATTGATGGCAGGTTATAAAGCAAAAAATCTGTAAAATGAAGCTAAAATATAATTGGTATATAGGTGATGATATAAACAAAATCATTAAATGTTAAAATAAAATAAATAATTATTCAATAAATACATGTATTTAAAAATAAGGTTTTTTCTGGAAAGATAGGAGTTATTTGAAAGGTGAAAATACCTTTTCAATTTAAATAAATCAACAAAGCAACAAATTATTACTTATGATAATATATATAGAAATTGAGATACACGCTCTTGAAAATTTGGGCTGCAAAATCTTTCAAATAAAATTTCTTTATAGGCGAATTCCGAGATTTCTCTCTACTTCACTCTGAAGGCGAATCCCGAGATTTCTTTCTAAAGACAAATCGATATAGTAGGTTACATACATTTCAATCTTCATGATCTGGTTTTTGGCATCGAAGGTTAGAGATTGGTATTCGCATACGTTAAACATAAACTCTTCTTTCTCTTTACATTTACACTTACTCTTCTACCACCTCTTCTTGTTCAGTTATGCTTCAGCATCTTGGACAAACAAGTAGTGTGCTACGGGAGTTCTTTTTCTACGATCTTCTGCAGTTTCTCCTTGAAGCCTAATTGTCTACATGTGCAGCCTCGCCATATCGATTCACACTATCTTTTTAATTTTCAGCACAGCAATTGAACAAGCGAAAAAAGCAATTGAACAAACCACAAGAGTAATTAAAAAACAGAATAAAAGTTTGAAAAAGCCCAAATTTAATAACGAAACTAATCATTGACAATGCAAAAAATAAATAAACAAGAAAAAAATGATCAAATCCTTAATTATCGTAACTTATAAATAAAAATGAAATGACGATGATCATTGACTTGCAAGAAACGATCCTAAGGTACAAGGGCTGTACAGGGTAGATTGGATTTTCATGCTTTACACAACCTTGTAGAGCTCAAACATTAAGATTTATACTTTGCTCACTCACTTCCATCATATATGTTGGAATGACATTTTAGTTTAAACCAAAAAGAGATTAATGGGTTAGATTTATACTAATGCTTTACTTTCACCAAAGAAAAAATCTACATTATTGTTTTGGCTTTCCCATATGAACTACTTTGTAAACGGGCTATTGGTTTTTATTAAAGTGTGTGATATATGAACTACTTTGTAAACAGGCTATTGGTTTTCATTAAATAATAATCAATATGTTTCAGCAGAATATATACGATGATGATAGATAAAGATTCTACGATGCATTTCTTCTCGGAATATACTTTTACATACGGACTTACAATGGATAGTTTTACCGGCACCATTTACGATAAATACATTTTTCCGTAACGCAAGAGATTATAACATACAGTTTGTTACTGTACAACATTTTGAAATTTCCGATAAATTGTAAACTATCTGCAGAAATGCATAACTATTTGAAACTTTTGGTCAGTGGGCGATCATTAATTTTATTTAATGATGGAAGTTCATAAAATAGATAGGCTAAATTGAGTTAGTTGGTGATATATTTGGCTTTCGACAAAAGGCAACAAAGTTGCCAAAACCCTTTGAAAAAAAAAAAGGAAAGAAAAAAATTGAACAAAAAACCCTAAAGCTGATGACTCACGGAAGCCTAAGGCCGGGAATTTCGTCGAACACTTGAGCTGCGTTTTTAGATTTCTCCGAATGGCGCCTTTTGCCTAAAACCTTCACCTTCTCTCTCTCCCTCACCACAGAGATCTAACCTCTCTATTCCCAATGTTTGGCACTCCCTCTTCCTCGCCGGCGTTCGGCACTCCATCGTCCACACCGGCGTTCGGAGCGTCTTCAACGCCCGCCTTTGGTACTCCATCGCCTTCCCCGGCGTTCGGTACACCTTCAGCCACGCCGGCGTTCGGTACACCTTCAGCCACGCCGGCGTTCGGAACGCCTTCGGTACCTTCCTTCTCCTCTGGCGGATTTGGCTCCTCACTCTTCTCTTCTCCGTTCTCATCCCAACAGCCACAGCAGCAGCAGCAGCAGCAACAGCCGACCTCGCTGTTCCAGCAACCGCCATCTTCTGGTTTTGGTTATCAGTCACCATTCAATACGCCACAGCAGCAGACACCTTTCCCAAATGCGCAATTGACTACTCAGATGGCTCCCGTCGCTCCCATTACTTTCTCTCTCGCCGATCGTGATGTCCAGGTTTGCTATTTCTTCCCACAATCAAACCCTCTCGACTCTAGCAAGTCCAGATCCGAAACTCCTTACCTAGTCTTTTGCTCTAATTGAATAGCCTTGTTTCTTTTACTCGCTTTTGATGTAGGCCATCATTGAAGCGTATAAGGAAGATCCAACGAATCCCAAGTATGCTTTTAAGGTTAGTTTTGGTGGAGAATTTTCTGAATTCCTATAGTTTTTTGGAGATGTTTCTGCTTGTGTTAACTGTAGTTTCAATTTTGCCTGCAGCATCTTTTGTTCAGTGTGACTGAACAACAGTACCGAGTGAAGCCTGCAGCTGTATCAGATGTGAGGATCTTGCAGCTTTCTTGTGTGAAATGAAGCTTTTTAATCATTTTCGTGGCTTCCAAATGAATTTCTCTGAGGTCTCTCTGAAGGATTGCTTGTTTTTGTGGTAGATAATGTGGGCAGAGGCCATGAGCAAACTTGAAGGCATGGATTCAACAGAGAGAGAGCGCCTGTGGCCTCAGCTTGTGCAAGGCTTTAAAGATCTTTCTCAGCGCCTGAAGGTAGATTTCATCAGCTGCCAAGTTTCTATGCTTTTTGTTTGGTGGGTTTAGTGCCTTGTCCATATGTGAGGAATTGGGTTAATGGGGTACTGGAGCGAACACTGTTTTGTTTCTGAAGATTAGACGTCAAATGATATGTGAAGAAATCATTCATTCAGCACATTTGATAGATGAAACTTGACACTCATTTTATTGGTTTACCTACAGCTTCAAGATGAAGTTCTCGTCTCAGATAGGGAAAGAATTAAAACGACTCAAAGCAACGTTAAAATGGTGACTTATCCGTTTCTCCACTCTCTTTTTCTCATACTTTTTACTGGATATTCCCACAAGAAATTGTTTGATTTTGTTTTTACAGCTTCAGAGACATTTGCAAGCACATACTTTTCCATCTATCGAAAGGATGAGACAGAAGGAGCAGAATCTTCAAAGACGCATGTTGAGGGTGAGAGAGAAATCGCCACATTGAATGATCTTACCTCGTTATGTGAGTCAAAAGTTATATTAACTTGTGTTCTGGCATGTGTGCTTGAAGGTGATGAGAATAATAGAAGGCTTAGAGGGGAAGGGTTTCCGGTTACCCTTGACAAAAGGAGAGGCCGAGCTATCTGAGAAGTTAACTGGAATAACAAGACAGGTCTGTTTCAATTTTATTCGAATTCTTACTTTGAGAGGTTTACAGAGTCTGACGCAGAGAAAGGACGTGGATATTCTCAGGTGAAAGGTCCTGGAGCAGAGCTTTCTAGGAGGGTGCAAAATCTGCAGACAATATCTCGCGCTCAAGTAAATTCCTTTGCTGGTGGTAGTTCCATTTATCTCCCGGGATCAACTAAAATAGACGAGCAGAGCCTGATCGATATGCAGGAGGTATGAGATGCTTGACATGTTTGGTCTTGACTTGTTTTTACCAATTCATTGTAAAAACTATGAACTGTTTGGGGCTTTGTTAACAGGTATTGCAACACGAGACAGAAGCCATAGGAAGGCTTGGGAACGTATTGAAGCGAGACATGAGGGATATGGAGATCATGGTGTCTGAAGATACTGAAATGACTCAAGACACATAGATGCGGATCTACAATTTCTCCAGCTTCTAATGTCTCATTTCTTTACTATTGGGGGATGTGCTCATTGTTATGCTCAGACACGACAAGGCTAGCTTTGGACTTTTTTAACATGTACCTAGTATCTGAGCTATAAAATATTGATGTATTGTGTGATTTTGTTTTTCATTATAGTCTTTTGGAAGAGATTTTCTTATTTTTGTTCACAAACACGTGTGGTAAGATTTTGAAGTCCAAAGTTACAAATAATCAAAAAGGTTACTAAAAGAGAGGATACTCTTCAGACATGATCAAGAGGATAAGCGCAGACCAGCCGGTGAAGACACGTGCACCTTCTCCAGTTCCTTTTGTTTGATCGTAGTGTTCCCAGATATATCCAGTCTCATTATAGTTTTTAACCACGTTCCTACATCAACAACACAATATTTGTAAGGCCACATATACTCAAGAGACACAATCTTCAACTTCGACTGTACGTTACACAATTATGCGTTACCTTATCAGGTTGCTCTTTAGTTCCTCGTAAATGCTTCTTGCCTTGTCGCTGAAAGGTCCATCAACTGCAGAAATTTTTGATTAATTACAAGGAAGTTTTTTTTTGTTGTTGTCGTGAAGTGAGGGGATAAGAAATGTACCTATGGAGTAATGGTGGAGGGAAGAAAGAATCATGTAGTTCATGTTCATCCATATTGCACCTCTCCAATATGGTGCTTCGTGCTCAGTGTTATACTTCATGTACAAAGAACTGAAACGTAAGACAAAACGAGTGATTAAGTAGTCACGGAAGAAGAATGAAATTTCTTAGGTATAATATGTTTGTTCTTGCAGGCTCACCTAGTTTTGCCAAGTGAAAGTAGTCCATAGTCACTCCATACGATGCTCCTGTTTGAAATGAGATCGAGCTGTTTCTCTAGGATTGAAGAATCCTTTCATCAAACAGCAACAAACAAAATGTCAAGTTTTTAGTTTTTAGTTGTTCACGAGAGTCTCAACAATCATGGATAATGATGGAGTAATGCAAAATATAATATAACTCACAGGTGGGATGATTCTAAACATGAAGGGAAAGAAGCTGACGTAACCAATGTGAGGAACCAATCTTAGCTCTGGCTTCCCAAATGTCTCCCTTACAAGCTCTCGAGATACGCTTCCATCTTCTCTAGTTACCTCTTTCCAGATTAACCGAACCTGGTGAATCAAATTCAAAAAGAAACCACGTCTTTTCTCTAATATGAAAGTTGATTGATATTCAGGCTTATCTGTGAGTTAATTCATTCAAATTTTCCTTACGTCTTCTGTATGATTACCAAAGTCGAGGTAAGCCCCATGATCATGGTCATAGTGCATCTGCCAAAAGGAATTAGACGTGAAGAAGAAAGGAGAATGAGAACAAAGAGATAATGCGATTCTTGTCTGAGAGAGATCCAATCTTTGATAACTAAAGAAAGTGATAGAAGTGTAGCCTTGTAGGCATTTTATAAGAATATAATTAACCTGATTCAGCTGATTGAAATCTGAAAGCAGCTTGACAATTGAGCTGTAGTCCACCTCCTGCATGATTTCAGTTTCAAAAACAAATGATGAAAAACACATTTAGAGAATGTAAGTGTATTTTCTCATTGTCATGTTTCTTCTAACCGTCACAAGTCTGCCTTTTTCCCCAAGAAAATCTGTGATGGAGTTCATGCAATCTGCGGCGAGATACATCCAACATCTGAGGTCGACATGCCTCTCATCTTCAGTTGGGTGTGAAGCCCGTGGATAATCATCCAAACCCGATGAAAGAGACTGCATGAATTTGCGAAACCTTAAGGCATCAGGTATCTCTGAAGTCTCTTGATTTATTTTGTAACATTTATATAAAGAATCAAGAAACAGTAGTACCTGAGGGTTTAGTTGCTGATTTGTTAAACTGTCTCTACCATGCCAAAAGTAACTTCCCTTCTCCTTCCCTAGTGTTTTAATCAGTTCATGCAAAAACTCACCATATATGAAATAATGAAACACAGAGCAGTTGAAGAGTAAAAGCATCCTGAAACTCTGATGTTGTTACCTTTCTGGGAAGTATTGAACCATTGAAACCATGCATCTAGCCGTACAAAAGCTCGATCAAGGAATGACAAGATTTCATCTCTTTCTTGCTTGTTAAATTTCTCTGCCCGTATCCCATTTATCAGATCTGAAAGTAACAACATAGAGTTAATTTGATTTTGAAAAAAAACATTGTTCTCATTTTCTCAATCTGACTGCATGTAGCAATATCAATTTTGACGACAAAATCTAGTGTGTGTGTGGGGATATTAGGAACATAATGAATAGTGAACACAACCAGACAAAAACAAAGCTGGTACTAAACTTGTTTTGGGACATGGAAGAAACTTGTCCCTCAAACAAAGCAAGAAGCATAATGAAAAGACATATATAAGAGAAGATTCTCACCGCGTATCACCAAAAGAAGTGTAGGTGGATTGCCATTACTTGGGATCTGAACAACGTACTCCTTTGGAATCTTACTGCAGCAAGAAAAATTAGTGTTTAACAACAAACAATAATGATTTGAGTATTGAGGTCATAGTAGGAGTATATTATATATAACAACCTCAGAGCTTCATCGCCTAAAATTTGCTCACGAGGAATCCATCCATCTATGTTCATCAGGTCTAACCAGTTTCCAACTATTTCCAAAGTTATACGAAAATCCCAGCGCCTGAATCATTTCAAAAATCTTGTAACTTTGTATAACAACACTCAAAAGAAACATATATCAAGAAATGTTTCAGTCTCTTGTATGATCCGATAAGAACGAACCAGATCAACAGTTGATGGAAACCTTCGTCCCACAAAAAGCCCCTGGGAAACACAGGCCGGCTTGGAACCGCTGTGTACAGCTCGGCTGGCCAATACAGCAAGAAATCATCCTCTCCTTTTGGCTGCACCTGAGAAAATATTCACACTATGAATCTGTTCTTTATAAGAGGTTAAAAAAGCAAGAGAAATGAAACACACCTGAGAGTTTCTAGGAATCTGAATTTTGGATTGACCATAGAAGTAACCAATGCCACCAAGCATGTTCCCAATTGCAGCTTTACCAACCACCAAAGTCTCAGGATCAAGCTGGAACAGAGGAAGTGACATCCATATATCATTTTATCTCTGCTATGTACACCGAATCAGATACACAATAATCTAAACTTTATCGGAAAGTTGCTGAGCTTTTATCAGAAAGCTTCAGAATAACGTATAAGACGGCACATTTTGATGTGCTAAAGATGAGCTATTACATTGGCATTTAAAGTTTCAAATTAAGAAACAGAGAAGAATCACACCTTTTCAGAAAGGTGGAAGCATTCCTTGAACTTTGCATCAAAAGCTATATGTTTCTCTTCAAGTAGACTAGACAGTGGCAAACCTACACGGTTTAAAGATAGAAAGATAGCTCAAGGGCGTACAAGTACAGTAAGATATAAAATCGTTTAGTAAAAGAGGCTTTATAAACCTGTAAGACTCAGTATACGCTTTTCCACGTCAGAAGTTTCTTCTCTTATCCCAGTGACGAACGCGATATCTATAGTAGATTGAGTCGTCGTTGAAATCTGCATGAGAGGGATCAGGGATGAAGAAACATTTAAATCATAGAAAATTCATATGAGTAAATCAGGAATGATGGTTTTTGCTAATAAATCTGTATTCGGTTATATCTTGATCAAAAGACTGTTTACCTGAAAAACATAAATGCTTGAAGAATCCTCTGATGTGTCAGAGAGCTGAAGTTGTCCACACTTCCTTTCCTGATAATGTACAAGACGAGACATCTATTCACTGTGGTCTTTATAAAAGTAAACACTACAGTTAAGAAACTTGCAAAGTTGAGATTTAACCTGTACAACGAGATCTTGCTGAACATTATTAGACAGACTGACAATGTCAGGCTTCTTGAAACCGCAGTAATGTGTCTCAAGATGATCCTGCAAACAAAGAACACCGGTTATATCCAGAAAACACAGTAACTAATATCCTATGATCTTATAAAAAGCACTGGAAATCAAAAGTTACCTGTGATTTTAAGTGCATCTGCCAGTTTCCAACATCAGCACGTGAACCGGAAGCAAGAATAGAACTATCTTTAAGACTTAATACATCTTTGCCTAAACTCACTACATCACCACCTTCATCAGCTACATAGAAGAAGAGATGCACTCTTTTCTTTACATCATCATTCATCCTATTTTTCAACCAACAAAAAAAAAACATTGAAATATGGGTGTCATTTTGAGAAACAATCATGAAAGCATAACCACAGTTATTATATATCAGTAATTACCTTTTATTTTTGACGTTGATTCGAACTGACCAATCTCCTCCATAGCCAAGGCTTCCTTCTTTGGACTTGACAAAACTTGTCTCCAATATCATATCTTGTTGAAGAAGCTCTTGCCTCCCAAAATCTATCCCATTGTGTTCTCTCCACCCAAAAGACTTGAGATCATCAGAGTTTTCACAGAAGTGCCTCAACAAATGCTTCCCATCATCTTTCGCACCGAGCCACATCAGGCCAGCGACGAGGGACTGAGGAGTTCTGCATTTTTCGTCATCTTTCAACTTAGCAACTCGGACAAATAGATCCGTTTGGTGTGCAACAAGGAAGTTTCTCAGTGAATACCTGGCTCGAACTCCAAAATACACCTGAGGACGATAAGTTCCCCAATACAAGCTCTCCTTATGATCACCTTGAAACTTGAAACAAGAAGCTCCATAAATTAAATGTTCTTTCCATTAGCAAAAACTAGGAAGAAAAGTGAAGCAAATTATGATTTGTGAAGAGTACTATAGGTAAATCGGTGAGTTTAGGAGACGGAAAAGGAGTGATGACACGAGGTCTCTGGGATACATCATCGAGCAGATCGCCGTCGATCGGTGATTTGATTCCACCTGCAGGTGCGCTCTCGTGGCTTTCTCCGGTCATCATCACTCACCTGAGTATATGTAGATTGAGCAATATTGAGAGGAGAAAATGGACCGAAGAGTGCAGAGCAATGTTCTGCTCTGTGAATGATCGATGATGAAGCTGAGAAATGACAAAGTGAAGAGTTTGACAGGTGGACTTTTAACCAAGGCTCTTCTTGTTCTTCCGGTTTGACTTTTTTTTTTTTTTGTTCTTCTCAAGACTTTCAAGTCTTTTTCTAATATTTTATTTTTTGTTTTCTATTGAAACAGGTCCTGTCGTGATGTTGACGACATAATAATAACGCAGGTCTAGGCGACTTCAAATATCCTGCTCTGTTAGTGTCGTAACGTTTAATGATATACTAATAGCTTATGGATATAAATCGACATCAACTTGGTGAAAAGAAAGTATATTTTAATTAAATACCGTTGTTGATTAATGACATTCGTGTCGTATGTGTCTAGTAGATTAGCCTTATCAACCTGCAAAGTAGATGTAGTGGGCAAACGTGGTGAGATTTACTGGGATCACTCCTCTCGACCACTGAGTCTGAAAACTCTCTTTCGAGCCTCACCCAATAGCTGTAGTCAAGCAACTCTAGTCTCCTGGCCCCCATCACATTAAAACGGTTGCCATTGTAATGGTCGCCGACTCTAGCCAAATACCCTTTGCCCTTGGCTAATGTGATCCCATACCTTTCTATCAAAGCACCAAATGCAGTCAACTCACACCCTATAAATATTAAAATTATAATTTTTAAGGTAAATATGTAACTTCAAAGTAACTCAATTGGTAGATTTTCTTAACATTGAATCCTTAAACCCAAATTCGAAGCTCTTTAGTGACACCACCTATCTAATTTTTAAAACTTTTGATCATATTTCTGAACTCGCTATTAATTCACTGTGATAATATTTACCACCAGTAACAGTTTGTTGTCCTCCAAAAGTAAACTCAAATTTTCACAAGTTAACCATCTAACTTCAGACACTGTCAATACTGCGTCTATCGCTGTATTAAAAAAAAAACAACATTATATACATCATTAGTCGGTATAAGTGTCAATGGAATATCCGAATCATGTGAGTTTATTTGAAATTAAAAGCTTAGAAGATTCAACATCTATAACCTGTGAATTATTTGAAATTAAAAGCTTAGAAAATAAAGGTACAGCATCTATAACCATGCCTAATGTTTGAGCTAAATCTGATGATAATTCATTATCAAGCTTGATCAATCCTCAATCATGAGATTTTACGAGAAAAAGTATATATATAAATATATATATAAATATATATATATATATATATATATCTTTTTCCCTTTGTACAATTTAGATAAGGCCACAAAACTTTTACTCCACTTGATTATCAATAAGCCAATCTCTATGTTTTATGGCTTTATCTAAAACTATTTAAATAAAAGAGCTATCAAATTATGCAATGTTGTTTCTAAAAAGTAATTAGTTTTAAACTTTTAAATAAAAGAATATATTAACTTAAGTGTTTTGCGTTAAATATTATGTAAGCCGCTGCCAACACTTAGCAAGTTCATCCACACATTGTTATCCAGACAATTATTATCGAAGAACAAATACAAACTCTGGACAGTCTTTTGGTGGACAGCCTTTACGTTTTTCTTTATTATACAACTTGAGTTAATTGCTATTGTCGATGAGTCCTTATTGCAACATCTCAGAACCCTAAGCCCACCCCAAAATACGTTTCCATGATGAAAGATATGGAATCATTCCAAAGAAGTGACTTAAGAGACATCAAAAATCAAAACAGGCAAGGCAAATAGAACAAGTAAAGAGAATAAAAATTTCAAAGATAAATCAAATCCTTCGTACCACATAATTCTTCATCAATTTTTGCCAGTCATTTGGTTCTTTATGGAAAGCAGTTTTAATGAACTATAATTAACCTTTAGTACATCTTTGCCTAAATCCACAACATTACCAACTTTATCAACTACATAGAAGAAGAGATGTACTCTTTTCTTTTCATCATCATACATCCTATTTTTCAACCAACAAAAAAAAACATTGAAATATGGGTGTCAATGTGAGAAACAATCATGAAAGCATAACCACAGTTATTATATATTAGTAATTACCTTTTATTTTTGAGATTGATTCGAACTGACCAATCTCCTCCATAGCCAAGGCTTCCTTCTTTGGACTTGACAAAACTTGTCTCCAATATCATATCTTGTTCAAGAAGCTCTTGCCTCCCAAAGTCTATCCCATTGTGTTCTCTCCACAAAAAGACTTATAAGATCTTCAGAGTTTTGACAGAAGTGCCTCAACACATGCTTCCCATCATCTTTCGAGCCACAAGGGAGTTTCTCAGTGAATACCTGGCTCGAACTCCAAAATACACCTGAGGGAGTACAATCTCTCCTTATGACCACCTTTAAACTTGATACAGTAAATACTAATAGCTTATGGATATAAATCGACATCAACTTGGTGAAAAGAAAGTATATTAATCAAATGCCGTTGTTCATTAATGACATTCGTGTCGTATGTCTTCTTCACTAATCACTACCACTCGAATTTTCCTAATCACTACTTTGTCGGTTTTGTTTTGTTGTCGTCGTTGTTGCGAGTTTTCTCACACGTGTGTCATTTTCTTGTTCCAGCTTTTATCTTGCTTTTTTTTTGGGTCTTGTCGTTGTAGTTGCAAATTTTCGTGTCTCGTTCGCGTTTCAATTCTGATCATAGATTTTGCGGGTTTTGTGGAGCTGACACTTCCTTCTCATCACCCTCTTTCTTCGCCTCTCTCTCTCTCTCTCTACCGTTATGCTCCATTACTTTCCTCTTTTCTATTTTCTTCCGCTTCTTCTTTCTTTCTGGGTTCACAAGACTCTTAGAGAGCCAAGGTAATTTTCCTGATTCGATTCTCTTATGATTCGTTAATTCCTCAGAATTTGGAACCAAAAAGGGCTATAGACTTTGCGTCGTATGTCCTTGATATTTGTCGTTACTGACTCCTCCATGTTTGCGGGAACAAAAAAAAATTGTTTTTTTCAGGTTTGTATTAAGCTGTGGCTTAAGAGTTTCCAGGTGAGGTTGGATCATGGATGTAACCGAGCTCGAGGAGAATTTGTTCGCTGCTAGCGATGCCAAGGTATGTATATATGCTCTCAGAAATTACATGTTTGAATCACCACTCTCTATCTTAAAGATTCTTGTCGGTAGTTTGTTGGAATCAAATGCAGAAAAGGGGGACTTTTGCCTCGAATGTTATCTCTTTATCTATTATTGTTGGATTGGTTTTGCTTTTGACGTTGTAGAAATGTGAGACTCTCAAATCCAATTTTGAAAATTTGCATCTTTTCTTTTCCATTGCCTTGTTTAATTGTAAGCAAATCTTGGATTGAGAGAGAGAGAGAGAGAGAGTAATTGTGGGAACCTTGAAGATGGTTGAATCTGTCATCTGAGCTGAAAACATTAGCGGATTTTATAAAAAAATTTGTTCTTGTCTGATTTATTTTGGCGGTCTTGTTCTCTATGCTTTGTTTAAGTTGTGTGTTATGTGGCCATTGCTAAAATGCAGTTACATGGAGATATGTGCAAGGAACTATCTGCAGTTTATTGCAAAGTATTGTCGATCTTCCCGTCGTTGGAAGAAGCAAGACCTCGGAGTAAATCAGGGATTCAAGCCCTGTGCTCCTTACACATTGCACTTGAGAAGGCAAAGAACATTCTTCAACACTGTTCCGAGTGTAGCAAACTTTACTTGGTGAGTTTCTCTTTATCTCTCTTTGTGTGGATACGATACATTATTCTCTCCTGTGTTTTGGTCTCTTGAATTCCTCCATCCTTTTTTTTTGTTTGGTCCTTTTAAACAGGCCATAACTGGGGATGCTGTACTGTTAAAATTTGAAAAAGCAAAATCTGCACTTATCGATAGTCTTAGACGCGTGGAGGACATTGTTCCTAGCTCAATTGGGTCTCAGGTAATGTCTAATCAAGAACTGTCCAGGGCTTATGTATCCTTTGCTCTTTTTGGTTTGATAGTTGTACCCTCCAGGGTTGTCTGATTTCTCATGTTTATTTGCTTGTTGGAATTTACTAAGCTCTGATTGATAAAATGGTCTCTGCTAGTTCCTAATTGCGACATCTAACTTTTGATATCAGATTTTGGACATTGTTGGTGAACTAGAGCACACTAAGTTCTCGCTTGATCCATCAGAGAAGGAAGTTGGTGATAGGATAATTGCTCTATTGCAACAAGGCAAGAAATTTGACAACGGCAGTGACAACGCCGAACTTGAAATCTTTCACCAGGCAGCTACTAGACTCAGTATAACCTCTTCTAGATCAGCTCTAGCTGAGCGGCGTGCTCTGAAGAAACTCATTGACAGGGCACGTGTGGAAGAAGACAAGCGGAAAGAGTCAATTGTGGCTTACCTCTTGCATCTTATGAGAAAATACTCCAAGCTTTTCAGAAGCGAAATCGTTGATGAGAACGACTCTCAGGGCTCGGCACCATGTTCCCCCACCGGTCAAGGCCCTAACGAAGACCGTGTTCCTGCGTTTGGGCGTCAACTATCGAAGTTTGGCTCTATAAACTACAAGCCTATGAACAGTAGGAAGTCAGGACAGACGCCCACTCCACCAGAGGAACTTAGGTGTCCGATATCTTTGCAGCTTATGTGTGATCCTGTCATTATTGCGTCTGGACAGACTTATGAACGGGTCTGTATCGAGAAATGGTTCAGTGATGGACATAACTCTTGCCCCAAGACTCAGCAGCAGCTCCCACATCTTTCTCTGACTCCCAATTACTGTGTTAAAGGTCTGATTGCGAGCTGGTGTGAGCAGAATGGGATCACAGTCCCTACTGGACCACCAGAATCTCTCGACCTCAACTACTGGAGACTAGCCCTGTCTAACTCTGAATCCGCTAATGCGAACTCAGTTGATAGTATAGGATCGTGCACACCGAAGGGTGTTAAAATCGTTCCTTTGGAGGAGAGTAATACTAATGTATCCGAACCACAGCACAAAGAAGTAGAAGTCAATGCGCCTGATGTCAATAATGAAGAGGAGATCTCTGATATCAATGTTCTAGAGAGGTATCAGGATATATTGGCAATCTTGGACAAAGAGGAAGACTTGGCTAAAAAGTGTAAAGTAGTAGAAAATGTCAGGCTACTGCTAAAGGATGATGAAGAAGCCAGGATCCTCATGGGAGCCAATGGGTTTGTTGAAGCGTTTTTGCGGTTTCTAGGATCAGCTGTTGATGAAAACAATGCAGACGCGCAGGAAACCGGAGCTATGGCTCTATTTAACTTAGCAGTCAACAATAACAAGAACAAAGAGTTGATGCTGGCTTCTGGAGTCATCCCGCTGCTGGAGAAAATGATCACTTGTTCCCACTCCCAAGGACCAGCAACTGCGTTATACCTAAACCTCTCCTGCCTCGAGAAAGCCAAGCCTGTAATTGGCTCAAGCCAAGCAGTTCACTTTTTCGTCAGTCTTCTTCTTCAGGGAGAGAACACCGAAACCCAATGCAGGCTGGACGCACTTCACGCACTCTACAACCTTTCCACCTACTCTCCCAACATTCCCACTCTCCTTTCATCTAACATAATTAAAAGCCTCCAAGTCCTTGCATCAACAGGTGACCACTTGTGGACAGAGAAGTCATTAGCAGTATTACTAAATCTAGCCTCTAGCCAGGAAGGGAAAGAAGAGATGATATCATCGCAAGGCATGATCAGCACTCTCGCAACGGTGCTAGACACAGGTGACACGGTCGAACAAGAGCAAGCGGTTTCTTGCCTTGTGATCCTTTGCACGGGAAGCGAGCCGTGTATCCAGATGGTTCTACAAGAAGGAGTGATTCCGTCTCTGGTTTCCATCTCAGTGAACGGAAGTCCCCGAGGAAGAGACAAGTCGCAGAAGCTTCTGATGCTGTTCAGGGAGCAAAGGCAACGAGAACAGCCGTCGCCAAACAGAGACGAAGCTCCTAGGAAAACCGTATCGGCACCATTACCAATGTCTGTACCTGCTCCAGCTTCAGGTCCAGAGTCGGAAGTAAAACCTTTGACTAAATCAATCTCCAGAAGGAAGACGATGACAAGACCGTTTAGCTTCTTCTGGAAGAAAAGCTACTCGATCCACCATTGAGAAGAAAAGATAGATTGGAGTGTGTCACATTTACACACTTCTAAGTAAAGTCACTCTTCATTATCGTCATTTACCTCTTACAAAAGTCATCTGCGTAGAGAAGAAAGATATGTACAGGCCACTTTGTGTGATCACGCCATTTTTGCTCACTTATTCCTCTCTCAAGAGAGGTATCATCGTAGATAGCTTACTCTGATGTATATTTTTATATGAAACCTCATTATCGTTACAAAACAGAAGCACTTTTGACAAAATTTAGAGTCAGTCTTGTAGCAGAACTCCATTTTTAGTTTTTGTATCAAAAAGAAATTACGGAAAGGTAGAAAGAATTGTTATGGAAACTATGGATCCACGTATGAACCGTATTATGAGAATACTTTATTCCTTTATTAAAAACAAAGGATCATAAAGAGTCGGCCCCACCAACATCTCCGCCACCACCACCTGCGCGGCGTCTCCGTCGTCTCTGTCACAGCATCTCCGTCGTCTCTGGTCGTAGCAGCTCCGTCGTCTCTGGTCGCAGCATCTCCGTCGTCTCTGGTCGCAGCATCCCCGTCATCACAGTCCCCACCGCATCATCACCTATGTCTCCGTCAGAACCTACGATATGATCTGTCGTTTCTTAAACTGTAATTAAAGGTCGTAAGATTTCTGGAGTTGCTGTGTACTCTTTCATGATCTAGATTCCCAAGAATCTGAGAGTCTTCTTCTTCTCAATTTGTGTTTCAGGAGCTGAATTCAGATTTTCCCCCCTCCAGCGATTTTCAAGCTTCAGCTTTTAGCTTCTAGAGTATGGCATTTCTAGGGCTGATCAAGAGGGTTACACGAATAAGCAGAAACAATTCGAGGGTCAGAGTGTACCCAGCGAGGTACTTCCAAAGAAGGGAGCTTTCAAACATAAATTCCTTTCATGGCGAAGATGCTAAGCTTCCTGTTCTGATCGTCGGCGCTGGACCGGTAGGCCTTGTTTTGTCCATCCTTCTCACCAAATTAGGTACTCCAAGTTTCCGAATACGTTTTGAGCATTTTACCTTGTTGAGCTGGGTTCACGTCTTTAATCGAATTGAACTCTCACCTTAATGTTAGGGGTGAAATGTGCTGTTGTGGACAAAGCCACAAGCTTCTCGAAACACCCACAAGCACATTTTATCAACAACCGATCTATGGAGGTTGGATGGTTTTTGTTTGTTCCCTGTGGTTGAATTTTGTTATTGATGGTCCTGGATATTTTTAATCTTAGTCTCTCAGTTTTCATATACGTAGATCTTCCGTAAATTGGATGGATTAGCTGAGGAGATTGAAAGATCACAGCCTCCTGTAGATTTGTGGAGAAAGTTTATATACTGTACGTCCCTCTCCGGTTCAACTCTCGGCACAGTCGACCACATGCAGCCTCAAGGTGTGTTCTTCTCTACATTTTTCTTGTGCAAATAGATTTTGAGAAAGTTGCAGACCTTTCACAGAAGTGGTTGTGGTGTTATGAATAGATTTTGAGAAAGTTGTCAGCCCAGCTTCCGTTGCTCACTTCTCCCAGTACAAATTGACAAGTTTAATGCTTAAGCGGTTGAAAGACCTCGGCTTTATTGTTCGAAGTTCCAAAGAGCCGGATAGTCTTGAGCTTGACTCTGTTGTTGCGGGGAAAATCTTTATGGGTCACGAGTGTGTGGCGATTGATGCTAACAAGGAAAGTGTGACTGCGACTGTTTCTGTTCTCGAAGGGGGAAAGTATACGAAAAGAGATATTCAATGTAGTATACTTGTTGGTGCTGATGGCGCTGGGAGTGCTGTAAGAAGGCTCACAAATATAGAGATGCGAGGGGAAAGAGATCTACAAAAGCTTATTAGTGTCCATTTCATGAGCAGAGACCTCGGTGAGTACTTAATCAATAACAGACCAGGGATGTTATTTTTCATTTTCAACACCGGAGGTATAGGAGTTCTCGTTGCCCATGATCTTCTACAAGGAGAATTTGTTTTGCAGGTACCTATAGCCCCGATGCAGAGAACCGGGATACTTTATCTCAATTTATCTACTTAACTAGTGATATGTACCGTAGCTTGGCGTGTAATCAGTTCTTTTTACTGTAGATTCCATACTACCCGCCTCAGCAGAGTCTATCTGATTTTAGTCCCGAGGTAATTTACTTTCATTACTTAGAGATGACTGAATTCTCAACTCAGTTTCAGATGTGACTTTTGTAAGCCATGTGTGTTCCTGAGCGATTAATTTCTTGTAGATGTGCAAGATGCTGATATTCAATTTGGTGGGACATGAGCTTTCAGACTTGGATGTAGCTGATATTAAGCCATGGGTCATGCATGCTGAAGTCGCCGAGAAATTCATGTGCTATGAGAACAGAGTGATACTTGCTGGTGATGCTGCTCACCGGTTCCCGCCTGCTGGAGGTTTTGGTAAGTGTTCCAATTCTTTTCAAAAGATGAACCATATACGATGGCTATAACTTTGGAAGGAAAACAATCTCTCCATTGTCGTAGTATTATGATTGAAGGTATGATTGGCTGAGATAGTGTGATATCAATGAATGCCGCAGACTTGAGAGTTTACCTTAAAGGATCCTTGTTGTCAGTTTCTTTTTCCAAGTTATAAGAACTGACGATGACAAATTTCAGGAATTGGTTTGATTTTTATGTACGTTCAATCAGCAGTCTTGGAAAATATTCTGATAGCAAATTACATGAGTTTTGCAGGAATGAACACTGGAATTCAGGATGCTCATAATCTTGCATGGAAAATAGCAGCTCTTGTTCAGGGTTCTGCAGAATCTTCGATTCTTAATACCTATGAAATAGAACGTAGACCGGTATTGTGTTTATCTTTTCTAATTATTCTTTCCATCATTTCTTCTTGAACTTTGATTCATTTACAAGTCTCCTGTTGATACTGCTAGATTGCCCTTTTCAATACTTCACTCAGTATTCAGAACTTCAGAGCAGCTATGTCGGTTCCTTCAGCGCTTGGCCTTGACCCAACACTTGCAAACTCAGGTAAACTAAAAACTAGCTTGTCTTCTTGCTCAGTTCATCGTTCTGTGATCAGCTTTACAGCAATTCTATCTCTATATGGTGTTGTAGTTCATAGGTTTATAGACAAAACAGTCGGTTCCATCATTCCAACTGGGCTGCAAAAGGCAATCTTGGATAATGTATTTGCCCTAGGTCGTGCACAGCTTTCAGAATCCCTGTTGAATGAGAGCAATCCGCTGGGATATCAGAGACTTACCAGACTAAAGCGTATCTTTGAAGGAGGAAAAAGCCTTCAACTACAGTTTCCTGCAGAGGATCTTGGTTTCAGGTATAATCATCACATTTGGAACTGTAGAATTCTCACCTTTAAAACTAGGGCTGGCTGCTTTTGTAAACTGATATCAGCGGTTTCATGACACTGATCTTGAATGTTCGAATCATTTTTTTCTGACACTATACAATTCAAAAAAAGATATGTAAATACAGAAGCTACCTTGATTACTGTTTAGGTATCTAGAAGGAGCCATTGTTCCTGATAACGAGTCTGAAGCTGGTGATCCTGAAGTACCGAGTGGACGTAGAAGAGACTATGTACCTTGTGCTGAACCAGGTTCAAGACTGCCTCATATGTATGTGAGAAAACTGTCAGATCCCACAAGAGAGGCTGTTGTTTCTACACTGGATCTTGTTTCGACAGAGAAAGTGGAGTTTCTACTAATAATATCACCATTACAAGAGTCCTATGAGCTAGCTCGTGCTACATTCAAAGCGGCAAAAGAGTTAATGGCTAATGTAAAGGTATGCGTAGTATGGCCTAGTAGCGATGATGATGGTGGTGGAAGGGATAGCAAATCAGCATTAGCTCCGTGGGAAAATTACGTCGATGTTATGGAAGTTAAAAGACAAAGTGGTGAAGAAGAAGCTTCTTGGTGGAGCATTTGTAAAATGTCGGAGAGAGGATCTATCTTAGTCCGTCCCGACCAACACATTGCTTGGCGTGTGAAGTCTGGTGTTATTTTGGATCCTACTCTGCACATGAGAGATGTCTTCTCCATTATACTTGGTAAACAATGAACAACAGCAAACAACCCACGTGTATTCTTTTTGTATAAACTATTTAATTTCCAAATAAAATTACGGTATCTTTTTTAAGATGTTTCAAGTTTTCTTTACATAGTGTGTAATCAAATCTATAAGGGCAGGCTTTAAATAAGAATTAATAGTGAATCAATCTTGGCTTGGTTCTGTCCAGTGGCTTTCAATAGGCAATGAAGTAGAAGAGTTGTGTTCGTTAACATTAGCTAGTAGCAACCCTGGTAAACAAGTATCCAGTTACTGCTGTAACACTTCCAAGCATTCCACCAGCAATCACCTGATCTCAACATATAATAAAACCGAATCTGATAAGCACACAAAACTTGATTCTTCCCAAAGCACAGTTACAACTCAAAGAATAGCTCAGATGTTAATCAAAGCAAAAACATAAACTAAGCTTCGTTCTAGAGTTGCCTCAACTTGTAATCTATGAGGATGCTCAGCAAGGTGAGATTTGTGTGTGGTATCATGTGATCTTATAGCTAGCTGTTGAATCAACTGTAGTACAAACCTGGGGAGGGGTATGACCAAGAAGTTCACGCAATGGTCTGCTTTCAGCCAGCGGATGTTCTGCAGGAAGTTCGTATACAATCTGATTGAGAACCTGGGAAACGAATCAGACGCCAAGAGGTGAGTATAACCAAAGCTCAAGTGCATCATGACAAAATCAGTAAAGTAGAGAGATGAAACAAAGAAAAAGTTGGAGCAGCAATCAAAAACCTCAGCTTGGCGACCCGCATGTAATCTTACACCAGTAGCATCATACATCACCTACCAATTCAAATCACATTGCGCAAAATCGTAAATGTCCCACGAGAAAGTGTGCCACAAGATAAAGGAGGGGAGCAACTACTTACAACTGATGCCAAGATCAAAGCAATTGCAAAATGTGATCCACCAAAGCCTTCTTGTAAACCGATTGCTACAGCGAGAGCCGTGACGGTTGATGAATGTGATGAAGGCATTCCTCCGGACCCAACAAGCTGTTTGAGATCCCATCTCCTTTCCCTGTACCTGCAGAATCCAGGAAACATGTAAAGATCCTCCTTTTTTTCTCCTTGAGGATTTCAAAGGACACCCAAGATCTATATGATCCTCTGAAGAGAATTTCATACACCAAAGTCAACGGTTCCTTGAATTTATCTACGTTACCTCGAAACAGAGTTTGACGAACCTTCGTTCTTAAGATCTCAATTCAACAATCAGGAAAAATTCTGAATCAAGCAAGACCACTCCTCATACTATGAATTCGAAACAGGGCTGAGAACATCCATCTCCCACCATAGATGTAAATATATGAAAAGGCAGAAAATGCGCCATGTATAGAGACGGGAAGAGAGAACGTACCACGAGGTGAAGAGTTTGATGAATTGAGCGATGGTGAAAGCGGTGAGGGCGGAGATGAGAGGGTAATTCGTGAAAATGGAGAAATAATGAGTCGAAGACGTAGCCGTAGCCGTAGATTCCTCCATGGCCGATGATGATGGATCTCGTTAGGCTTCACTCGCTACGATCAGCTAGAGAAAGAAGAAGAAGAAGAAGAAGAAGAAGTAGAGAAGATGGCAGCGAAACGAGAATGATCCATACGAATTCCCTTTCTGTTTTTAGACGAATGTTCCTCTTCAAAATCTATCCAATCGCGTCTGACGTTCAATCCTCTTCGTCTTCTTTTTCCTTTCTTTGACCGACTTTTTTTTTTTTTTTTTTTTTTAATAGAACACTGGTCAACAAAAACATTTACTGTACAGTATGTACGTATATACTATTTTTAACGAAAATATTATTTTACTCATGTAATAAAAAACCAAATCTAATATCAAATCAAAAACTATTTTTTGTGTATAATTATTATTCACAGAAATAATTTTACAATTGCTTTTTTAGTACTCTTACTAGGCTTTTAACTCGCGCTATATTTATAGAATTTTTTTATATAAAAAAATTAAAACATAATATATAGTTTTAAATATTTTTTAATATAAATCTTATTAGATTAAATCATAGTAATAACATCTTACGAATTATCCAACTTCGACATGCATACGTTTGATTTAGAGAATAATTTTCTTAATAATTTTTTGATGTTTTGTTTTGTGTCCTTAAATTTTTTATAGTTCTTCTTTTTTAAGGTTTATATGTTCAAATATTTAGTTTTTGATTTAATGTCTCGCTGATGTTGTGTACCTGTGAATATATAATATATGACTCATTTTGATTCAGATTTACTTTTTTAAGATGTTACAATAATCATGTAGAGTTGTTTTGCTTCTCAACCAGATCTTCTATGAATTTTAAGTTATATTTTTATTTAGTTTATAAGATCTGTTTTTTTGCAGTCAACTATTTGATTGTTTTTGTTTTAAAACATATAAGATGGTGTGGAGTCTTCACATTATTACTATTTTTATCTTTTGTGTGGTTTATTTATGTTTTGATTTGAATAGTTTATCTAGATATATTCTAATTTGAAGTTGATTCATAACTCCGTCATACTTTATTATCTAAAGGAAAATTTAGAAGATGTTACTCATGTGTTGTTCATGTTGGTTAAGTTATAATTAGTAATTATGTATAAATTAGTTGTTATATTTCGAATGTAAAATTACTTGTGTAATATTTTTTTGTTAGTTTTTAAACCAGACACAGCCAATGTATTAGTCATTATAAATTTAAATAATATATTTGATTTAGAAACTTGTAAAACCTACTGTAACTTTATATGGTTATTTATAATCTATACCAATATTTTAGAAATCATAAATTTTCTAGAAGTAAATTTCAAACTAATTTTCTTCTTAGATTTTATTTTTTGTTATTTTACATATCTTTCGATGGTAATTTTATATTTTATTTTAATTAATCTCTTTTATTATTGATTTTCCAAATATGTAGCATATATCAATTTAATCTCTTTTACAAAAATATGTTTTCTTTGTTAAATTTGTTTTTTATTTTAATTTTTATTTTAATTATAATGTTATTTTGACATGCTGTAACTGTGTATTCTACATTTTATGTAGACTTCTTTCAAAAGCTTATACCACCATTTGCTTTTTAGTTAATTCTTTATGTTGATTTTCAAAAATATTAGCCTAAATATCAATGTAGGTTTTCTTTATACAACTTTTTCCTTTGATAATTGACTTCTCTTGATATTGATTTTTATCTTGCTTTAACATATAATTGTTTTGAAAATATTGATATTTTTGAAGACATTTTTTTGTTTTTCAGTTAGTTAAATATTTTAATATTGATTTCTTAAGTTGTTAGTCAAATATCAAGTCAATTTCGTTTTAGGTGATTTTTTCAAATTTAACATTTTATAAAACTTAATTTTTGTTTTACCTTTCTTTGTTTATTAATTTCTTAATATTGATTGTTTAAATAATTAGCTTAAATATTTATCTTCTTTTTGTTGGTAAAGTTTTTTAGTATTACTTAAGGTTTTTTATTTTCTTACTTATTCTGTTTATATTGATTTTGTTAAATAAAAAATAGCATAGATATAAATTTAATATTCTCTTTTTTGTTCATTTAACTATTTTGATATGAATTTTATTTCAATCGTATTGACATGTTGCAAAAATTAATTTACTTTTCGTTTTTTGTTAGTCAAACTTTTTTGGTTAGCTTAGATTTTTGTGTTGATTTTCTAAATAATTAGGTTAAATATCAAGTTTTAGATAATTTTTTTTGATAGTATTGATAGTTTTAAATAATAATTTTATATGTTTTTATAAAATAATTAAACTTCATTTATCTTCTAAATTAAATACTCATATAAAATATATATGTTAGTTTTTTCTTTTTTTTAATTAAACTTGTTTGTTATTGATTTTCATATTTGTTTTTGTTAGTTTAGCTTTTGTGACAATAGTTTCTATTTTATGTTGACAAATATAGATTTAGATTTTGAAATAATTTTTTTATCTGTTTTATTAGTTAAACTTTTTAGTCTTAATTTTTTATTCACTATGATAATTTTATATTTTTATATGTTTTAATTTATTTAAATTATTAATAATATTTAACATTTTTATGTTTAATAAAAATGCTGATGTGGACTAATCAGCTTGAGTTTCTACGTCATATGTAGACGCTTTCATTGGCATAAGACATCAACATGGACCATAACTTATATATTTTAGGTTAGTAGTTCAGATTTTGATTGTTTGTCCTGATTAAAATTTTGAAATAATTTAATTATGGTATTAAACACGGTTTTTATTTATTTTGTTCAATATATATGATTTTCTTTAATTTTTTTTATAAGTTAAATTTTTTTTGTTAAAAATATTTATATGCTACTTACTTTTTCTGTTAATAGAAAAATAAAATCTACTTAATAAACTTTTTCTTATTAATAACTAACTTAAAATTTGGAAACTTTCCTAATAACAACAAAAACAAAATTAATTAAAATTTAGAAATTTTCCTTATAACAATAAAAATGAATTAATTAATTTTAATTTACAATATATAATTAACTATAAATAATGATGATGTGTACCAATAAAATTGAATCTATTAATCCTATGTGGACACCTTAGAGGTATTTAGCATCAACTTTTATTAGTAATAGATTAAAAAATCACCACCATCTTGGTAATTTTCAAAAATAGTATACCAGCATTTTTCTTAATCAACAATATTAAATGGATCGTTTTTTTTTAACTTTTAATTAATGAATCGTAATTGTTTCCAAATCTTAATTCTAAAAAGGCAAAATACTGTATATATTTTATGCTATCATAAAACATTAAAAACCATAGAAAACATATTTTAAGTTGCAAAATATATAGTCTTAGCAAATTATGTACTCTAAAATCTGGTGGATACATATCAAATTTTTTTAATATATGAAAAATTTTAAATTACAATTAGTATTCCAAAATGAAATCTTTCAGTATTTTAAAAATTAACGTTGCCTCATTTTGAAATGCTGACTTTAATTTTTAAATTTAAAAGATTACATTTTAAAAATATTGAAAGATTCTATTTTCGATATTGAAAGATTACATTTTCATCACATACATCGAAAGATTACATTTTAAAAATATTGAAAGATTCTATTTTCTTAACTATGCTTATTTTCCTTTCTAATGTTTGAGATGATATAAAAAATGCAATCTTCTTAAATACATTAAAAGATTAAAATATGTAAATTGTAGGTAGTTTAGGCATAATTGTAAGTACAAAATTAAAAATGTAAAGATTGAGGAATTATACATACGTTTTTATCTCTCCATTCATATTACAAAACCCTTGAAAGTCGGATCTACTTCAACCCTCTTCCTTCCACCTCTCGCGAGAGTCTCGTCTAAATTCCACCAGCTCCAACTACAAAAAAGTCAAAACATATCTACACTGCACAGTGCACACACACACACACACAAGTCACAACCTCGTTCGTATCGCTTCTCGAACATTTTTTTTTTTGTTTCTTCGAAAAATATATATATTGTTTAGAAATAAAAGAAGACAAAATTCGGTCTTTTTCGTCCTACGCTTCTCTCTCCTCTCGACTGAGTCGATCTCTACGAGGTTCAACTCTCACCGTTGAGCAACCAATTCTCCGTTCGATGGCCACCACCGCCGCAGGGTCGAGGCTCATCTCGTTGAAAGCCGCCGGGAAGCTCGGTTACCGTCAGATCTCTCAGGTCCGCCACCAATGGGCCCCGCTTCAGTCTGCGTTGCCTCATTTCGGAATGCTGCGATGTGGATCGCGTCAGGCGTTTTCAACCTCTGGTATTCGATTCCTTCTCTTCTCCTTCGTCTTCTCTGCGTTTTCCTTTAGATTTTTTTGATTTTTTTTAATCTCTCCATTCTAATAAGAATCTATTATTCTTTATGAAAAAAACCTCAGTTGTGAAAGCTCAAGCGACGGCTGTTGAGGAAACAACAGGAGAAGCTGTTCCGAAAGTGGAATCTCCAGTGGTCGTTGTGACTGGTGCCTCTAGAGGGATTGGTAAAGCAATTGCTCTCTCCTTGGGGAAAGCAGGCTGCAAGGTTAAGGACTATCACCATCTTTGTTAGATTTGATCTGTATACTCCTCAAGCATCTCGCTTTGCACGACAGTGATGCTGATTCGGAAGCAAACATTGTGTTTCTGATGTGCAGGTTTTGGTGAACTACGCTAGGTCAGCAAAGGAGGCCGAAGAAGTTTCTCAACAGGTGAGATTGATCCCCCGAATTAGAGTGCTGCTTAATTTTGTTCCTTGTGTTCTGTTTCGGGGTATCGCTTTAGACCAATGCATCATAGGTGTTATGTATGGATGGATGTTGTTATTGGTAGAGAAGAAAATGTGGCATCTTTCGAATTTTGCAATGAATTCATTAGAACAGTTTTGGTTTCTGGGACAAGAAATGAACTACAGTTTGGTGTTCTAGCTCTGGAAAATGTTTCATTATTTGGTGTCTTGTTGCCATCTGCTTCTAAAATGCGTTTGTTCCATGCTCTCTCTGACATTTTATGTTCTGTGGAACTGTAGATTGAAGCATATGGTGGCGAAGCTATTACTTTTGGAGGTGATGTCTCACAAGAGGCTGATGTGGAAGCCATGATGAAAACCGTAAGTGATTAATTAATTGTGCACTATCTGATAATTCTCCTACATATTCTCAATTTCCTTTTGTATGATTTTTTTTTTGTTGCAGGCTGTTGATAAATGGGGAACCATTGATGTCGTGATTAACAATGCAGGTATATGAAAACCTTGCTTCTCCCATTGGTATTTTTTACTTTGGTATCCTTCTGAGTTCTGACATGGCTACACGATTTCAGGAATTACTCGGGACACCTTGTTAATACGAATGAAGAAAAATCAGTGGGATGAAGTGATCAATTTGAATCTCACTGGAGTATTTCTCTGTACCCAGGTTTGTGTTTTCCTTTGATCCTGGTGAAATTTTTGATACTCAGGAACTCAAACTCATTTACTCTCTTCTGTAGGCAGCATTTAAGATCATGATGAAGAAGAGAAAGGTATGACTTCTCTTTGCCCTTATACATGTTATTTCGACGCGTTGCTCCTTTTTTGCATCATAACGAGAATTGATATATAAACTGCCAAAAATGGGTTTCATTGGAGCTCCTCTATAAGATTAATAAGTGATATAAAGACGAGCATAGCTTATGGTAATAGTTTTCATACGATCTTGCAGGGAAGAATCATCAATATAGCGTCAGTTGTTGGTCTCATTGGTAATATTGGCCAAGCAAACTATGCTGCTGCTAAAGCTGGAGTTATTGGGTTCTCCAAGACTATTGCGAGAGAGGGTGCGAGCAGGAACATTAATGTATGTGACCTATCTCCCTCATCATTCTCCTCTCTCTCTTATTTTTTTAAATTCCTTGGAGTAGACTTTAAACTTGGTCCCTCGACACTACTACAGGTGAATGTGGTTTGCCCTGGATTCATTGCATCTGACATGACTGCCAAGCTTGGAGAAGACATGGAAAAGAAAATCCTGGGAACAATCCCATTAGGTAACGGAGAGAGTTCAACTTTTTAACATTTTTTTTTTTGTTTTTGATAAAATGTATTTGAGACATGAAAATATTCTGATACAAAGCAAACCGGTTTAATTTGCAGGACGGTATGGACAACCGGAAGATGTGGCTGGCTTGGTGGAATTCTTAGCTCTGAGTCCGGCAGCCAGTTACATCACCGGACAGGTTAGCTCACACTCCTATCCAATGAATAATATTTGGTTTGTTAGCATTGGTTTCTCATTCTATTATATGACTAACCATTGTTAACATCATTGTTTTGCAGACATTCACTATTGATGGAGGTATTGCCATCTAGAGGCTTTTTTTTTTCAAGGCAAAACGGTTCGCTTTTTTCGGTTTCTTGGTTTTTTGTTTTGTGCAAAATCATACTGTTTCGGTTCGGATGTTATAAGATTCGGTTTGGTTTGGGATTAAAAAACTGTTACCGATTGAAACGGAAATATGTTGTTAATCGGTTTATTCGGTTCTCTTGACTTTAATGAACCATAGTTGGGCCAATCAAAATTAAAAAAAAAAAGCCCAATGAAATAACCCATAAACTCTCCACCAGTTAGCAAAAGTGTTCGTTTTTTTGAAGAGAACAGAAAAGCCAATCAGTTTAGAAACGCCAAACCAAACTGAACCGACAATCGAAAGTATTTTAAGAAGTCGACGATCGGTTTAATAACATCAAACCAAATCAAAGCCAAGAACTGAAAATATTGGTTCTCGCTTTGGTTCAATTCAGTTCAAACCGCATGCCCATGATATATGGCTTAGTGGAGTTGAATTCTAAATGCAACATTTCTAAGACTACTCTCTCATTTAGTATATACTGTGTACAACAACTATTTATATTCTTCATGGAGCATAACCCATTATAATTAACATTCATATTCAATATACAGACTTTTATTAGTGTATATATATTCAACTAATGCAGTTAGCAATAGCAACGCATGATATATAAACGTATCAAGTACCATAATTGTATGCTTGTTGTAACCATAAAGATTATGTTTTAAGGAAACTAAACGTATTGTCATAATGACCACTGTAACATTGCATCTAGCTAGATGATCTAGTGATCAAATCCCCATATGTCAACGCATAAAAAATAGCAAAAGAACCGGAATGTGGAGTTTAATACAATAATGAGAAACTACATATAGATTACGAGTCTTATCTATACTAAAAAAAAAACGTACAGTCTAGAAAATCGAGACATTCTGTGACTTATTTTCTTAGCCTATTTTTTTTTGTGGTACAACAAGAAATCTAAGAGAAGAACTTGTAGGTATTGGCGTTGATAATGATGGTTCTGAGGCCACCAATGGGGGCTAGGATCGTCAAAATCACTCCTACTACAATGCAGAACTGCAATTTTCATATTCACACAACAACAAACAAAAAAAAAGTATATTAGTGTACAATAAAGCAAGAGCCATAGATCATTTAAGTAAGAGGAACATTACATACCCAGTTAATTGTCCAAGATAGACCAAACCTCTTTGGTTTCTTGAGAATGAGCCAAATAATGCATGGAAGCTGCAATGCCAAAATTAATGTGTCACAACTTTAATTCACAAGAAAATGAACGAAACAAAGGAATGTCTAGTTTGTACTATACGTAGTAAGATGTTGGAGCGAATGCGAATCCTCCAAAAAAACCAAGTAGTCCACCGAAAAACGGGATACATATCCCAACGAACATGGTGAAAGCTGCAAGGTGCAATGTTGAGAGGAAAGATAAGATAACCATATATATATAGATAGAGTAACTCCAACGTAACGAAGCTAAAAATGAAGATGGACTTACCGACGTAGAGGCTGCGAGTGATGAAGCGGAGTTTGAAAGAAGGATCGAATTTCATCTTTTTGACCAAAACGGTTTCCATCATGTCAAACACCGGCATTGCAAAGATCTGCCTCCACAAAAATTAGTTCAAAGAGAAACTTAATATCAGTATTAACCATGGGAATATTCTAAACTAGAATGTGGTAGACCTGATAGCTTCCAATGACGTGGACGACCACGAATATGTTAGCCATTGCGATAAGCCAGACGGGCTTCTCCAAAGTCATGAGAATGTTGTCGTCAACGCTGTTTCCAAAGATCCAATAGCCTAAGAACGCTACAGGGAAGTAACATATAGCGACTACGATGTACGCCACAACGACTCCTCTCCACATAGGAACCTTTGATGGCACCTCCGGAGTCGAAGGGATCGTGGCCTGAATCTCCAACACGACGTTATGACCTGCGTACGCAAAAGCCACGTCTCCCATCGCATTCAAGAAGTTGAATACATTTCCAGCACTTGTCGATGCTCTAGGCGAGTAGTCTACATCGGGTTGAACACCTTTGTGCACCGATGCAGTCCAAGCGATAGTCGAGTAACTGTACATGCATCACACAACAATACCATCAAAAAAAATCACAGTGTTTAAAGAAAACGAATATATGTGTGTGTGTGTGTGTTTTAAGAGGTTTAACGTACGTTAAGGACATGACGGCAGCGGCGAGGGAGATGATAGAGATGGAGTTGAAATTGGGGAGGTGAGAGATAACGAAGTGGACAGAGGCAAAGATCATGATCCAAAACGTAGTTCTGATGTCTTTGCAATCGGAGCAGAGGAGTTGATGGACTTTCTGGAGGGATTTTCCTCCGGTGACCATATAGACGATGTCTACACCGACCTCCACGATGAGCTGCTGAGGCACGACGATCCAAAGGCCAAGCTTCTCTCCGAAAGCTTCTTGGCCTAGCTCGTGATATCTGTCAAGCCTCTTCCCTGGTACCATCTCGTGCATCTCCACCATTTGCCACAGTGTGTACAACGTTATCATCCATGACAATATCATCAACGTCACTCCAGGTCCCCTGTAATATTATCAATAACAATTTTAAAATTGTTTTATTAAAAATCTGTATCATAGCACCTAATAATATTGAGCCAGCCTTTGATTTAATCATGGAGTAAAAAACAAAGACTAATAACGTTTTTTTTTTCTCTCTCTATTTCCGTTCATTTCATGTAGTCTAATTAAATGGTTAACCAAACCTATTTTGCTTGAATTTAAGTTTCGAAAAATGGAAAAAAAAAGTGAAAAATGGATCTAAAAGTACCATCCGAGATTAGACATGGCGTATGGCAAGCTGAGAACACCAGCACCAACCATGGCGGTGACATTGTGAAAAGCGGAGTACCACCACTTGGCTGTTCTTGAAGATGTGACCGGTAACCAATCGTCGACTTTCTTCTGCTTCGCCGCCGCGATCTCGCTAGCTGACATCTCCTTATCCACCATATTGTTCTTGAGAGAGAGAGAGAGAGAGAGAGAGAGAGAGAGAGAGAGAGATTTTATGAGAATGAATATGAGAGTTTGGGGGTATATATTTAAGAGTGGATAGGGGATTCGAGATTCGAGATACTCTAACATTTACGTTTTTTATCTGGTTAGTTATTCAACGATTCATTTGTTATTTTGTAATTTACTTATTTGTAATAAAATTGATTTGAGATTCAATGTATATTATTCGGTCTTTCCCCGTTGTCTAAGGCAACAACAGCTGAGAAACAGTTTCATGCTTCACCCGCGTTTGTACGTACCTAATGACCAATGTACCCCCATTTGTTCTTCTCTATCCCCTCTAATTTCGCACTGTAATTTCCTAGTCTTTTTTCGAAGCTCCATAATTTATTTTATTTAGATAAAGCTGAAATTTCTCTACGTACAGATCACCTGATCTAACAACGAGGGTTTCGCTTTTGAAAATACAAATTGCATTTATTCATGAATATATCTTTTTCTATATATTGCAAATAACTATCTTCAAATATATATATGTAACCACCTTTAGATCAAACTATATCCTGATAAAATCTTGGAGAATGAAGATAACTTTTTCTGTTTTCCTTTTCCTGTTTTTGATATTGTAAAAGATTTCTATTTTTATTAAATCAAGTTTTTCCGATTTGATATGAATATCTTGTTATCAGATTTTATCAAAGTTTATATGTGGTTACAAGTATCAATCACTTGCATGCAATGCAACACACGTGATATTTGTAATTGAAGCATAGTTTTCTTTGAAGTGATCTTATAATATTCGATCTATCTGGCATCACCAAAACAGTGTATTTAATCAGAGCAACCAAATATCATGTCCTTTTGAATTTGAATAAGTTCTGTAATTCTCTGGATTCTTTTTGTGTCAATTCTAATAAAGATATTCTTCTATATCAGTCGAGATATTATTCACTTGCATCCTTAAAATTATTCACTTATCAGCCATATGAGATTACTAACTCAACAGTTCTAAGATTACTCTCTCATTCAGTGTACACATTCATATTCAACCAATTAATTAACAAATTTTTATTAATGTATTATGTATATGTAATGGCATTAAGTTTAATTTAGGACTTCTGTCAATACTTCTCTAACAAATTGATGAGATTAACAAATTACTCTCATTCTCTGTTTCACTCTCACAACGTTTTAAATTATTGGGGGTGCTAATTTTTTTGTTAACCCTTATGTATTGCCAACTCTATCATTTTGTGTAGTGAATTAAAGTAAATATGATATGAACTTAAGTAAGACAAATTTATGTTGTATAGGTTTCTTATTATTAACTTTGTGAATAGTGAATTTAAACCTTGAAAGCTTTTTATGTAAGCCTCAAAACATGATACTGTTAGTAGTTCCTTTGAAATCGACTAAGATTTTGAATCACTTTGAAGAACACTTCGTTTTTGTACTATACATCTACTTATCTAATTAATCTTGTCCGTTGTTTGGTAAGATAGTTGGTCATATAGTTTGTATTGTGGCGGTATACGTAGTTACCAATCGGAATCAGTATAACAAGTCTAATTCATGTTTTTAGAATGTGGAAAAAAAGATCGTACATCAGTTATCTTGTTACAACTTAATTTTATCATTTGGAAATGTTAAGAAAAAATGTCAAATTCAAATGAACAGAGATATTTAGTTTGGGACTTTGGGTTTTACAAAAATCATATGATATTTTCATATATACTCACTACTAACCCGCCATGTTTTACGAGAAGGGTTGTCCTTGTAATTTTATTTGAAAAAGTGATCCTTTGTTCAACCAAGAGGGTTATTGGTGTAAGTTTCTTGGTTTCTTTCATGTCGAATGTTAGTTAAAGGCGAATGAATGATTCTTTGTCCAACCAAAGGGACAACTAAAAACAGAGAGAAACCAAAAATAAGCAACCAAGAAACTTATAGAACATTGTGTCAAGTCAAACCAATAATGTCTAAAATAAGTAAAACAAGATCTTTCTTTCTCCCCCATATTTGTCTCTAAACCATTTTCATTCAACAAAATCTTAAGGAGAGACGAAGATGGATTCGGGGCTATCATGGGCTGATCAATGGGATTACAACTCTGACCCGCCTCCAAATTCAAGTAAAGAAGATGATAAGAAGAAAAAGAAGAAGAACAACAAGGAAGACGGAAACAAAAGCAGTTTCGGGAAGGCCATACTTGGCTTGAAATGGGTGAAGGAACTTCGCAAGAAAACTGATAAGTAATCATCAATAGGTTAATTTATTTAGTTACAAAAGGGCTTTATTGTTGATTCATTTGTTTCTCAGGATTCATGATCAATCCCTTAAGCTATGCTTCTCTCTTTTAACCATTCATCTCATTCTAATTTCCAAATCTTTAAAATTTAGAAAGTTTGTTGGTTGCGGTCTTGTGGATGATTCATGATTGTGTCGAGCCATCGCTTTGGTTCTTTTTTTTTTTTTGGGTGAAATCGGCTTTGGTTCTTTATCAAACAGATGCCTATAGCTACACGAACAATTCAAAATGCAAGAAACTCAAACCATGTACAAATGTGAACAAATCTATATGTACCATAAAAGAGAAAGAGATGTGAAGAAATCATAACGGAAAAAAAAATGAAGAAGGGGTATGAAAAAATGTTTAAAAAAAAAAAAGCAATACTATTCAGTTAAATATGCTCTGTTTCGATCAGTGTAAGGCAAGAGAGTTTACTTTTTATTTGTAAGATGGATTAAGCATTACTTTGTCTAAGTGTTGCCCCCCACAGGAATCTCTAATGTGAACATCTAATAATAATAAATAATTATTAAGTACGATTAAACAAAATTGCTGGTCTTTTGTGATGTAGGAATCTTTAGCTAATCTCACCAAGAATATTTCATTAAAGTGATTTAAGAGCCTTTGCTTGGGGTTACAAGAAACAACATAATTGTTTTTTGTATCTAATAATGGAGATCAAAGTTGAGATCTTATCAAGAGAAATAATCAAGCCGTCTTCTTCAACCTCAAATGATATGAGAATCCTCAATCTCTCTCTTCTTGACATCCTCAGCTCACCGATGTACACAGGGGCACTTCTCTTTTACGCAGCGGATCCTCAGAACCTCCTCGGTTCTTCATCAGAGGAAACATCCTTAAAGCTGAAGAAATCTCTGTCTGGAACATTACCATTCTTCTACCCTCTTGCCGGAAGAATCATGGGAAGTTTCGTCAACTGTAATGATGAAGGAGCTGTGTTTATAGAAGCTCGAGTGGACCATCTTCTCTCGGAGTTTCTCAAGTGCCCTGTTCCTGAATCATTGGAACCACTCCTTCCTCTTGAAGCTAAGTCAAGAGACGCAGTCACGTGGCCTGCGTTGCTAATCCAAGCCAATTTCTTCAGCTGTGGAGGATTAGTTATCACAATCTGTATTTCGCATAAGATCACTGATGCAACATCTTTGGCAATGTTCATCAGAGGATGGAGTGAGTCCTCAAGAGGTTTGGGGATTACGTTGGTTCCAAGTTTCAACGCTTCTGATTTCTTTCCTCTACCTCCTCATCATGAGCTCCTTTTAAAACCGATGGATCACAAAGTCGAGGCTGAAGAGATGAGTTGTGTGACAAGGAGGTTTGTGTTCGATGCTTCAAATATCAAGAAACTCAGAGCCAAAGCTTCAAGCAGCCTTGTCAAGAATCCAACCCGTGTTGAAGCCGTCACAGCTCTTTTCTGGAGATGTGCTACTAAGGCTTCTAGGTCGAGATCTTCAACACCAAGAAGTTCCGTGCTCCAGATACCGGTGAGCTTACGAGGAAAGGTAGATTCTTTGTCTGAGAACACAATTGGGAACATGCTCTCCATCATGATTCTCAAGAAGGAAGAAGCTATGATAAACGGGATTCAAGATTTGGTTGAGGAGTTAAGGCGGGCAAAGGAAATCTTTACCTTGAACTGCAAGGAAATGACTAAATCCTCGTCTAGAATTCTTGAGTTTTTGGAAGAGATTGGGAAAGTATATAGAAGAGAAGATGAGGTGGACTTTTGGATGAGTAATAGCTGGTGTAAGCTAGGCATGTACGAGGCTGATTTCGGATGGGGAAAGCCGGTTTGGGTAACCGGAAGAGGCACTTCCAATTTCAAGAACTTGATGTTGTTGATTGATGCCAAAGATGGTGATGGGATCGAAGCTTGGATCACTCTTACGGAAGAGCACATGTCGCTTTTGGAATGCGATGAAGAGCTTCTTGAATCAGCTTCCTTGAATCCCCCTGTTTTGATTTAGACAAGAACAAAACTGTTTGTATACTTCTTCCAAGAGATTTGTGAGGTTTGGTTCAAAGTTGTGCTGCTTCTTGAATAAGAACTTAGGCTCAGTCTATCTTTCTGTAGCTTCTTTGAAAAGACATACTGTTAGAAGATCATGACTTTCATTAGTGACTTTGTGCATCAATGATTCCTAATCAAAATCTTAAAGTAAATCTAAAGAAATCATGACTTTCATTAGTGATATATAGGATTAGCAAGTGCTAGATTCAACCTAGAGATACATCTAGAGGCATTTTTATGGCAAAGGCATAAAAGAGAGGCATTAATCACAAGAGAATTTATTGATGCACAAAGTTAAAATAAAAACAAACTCAAACTCACTGGAAATGACTTATAGATTACATGTTTCTCAAGATGAAGAGGCATTCACACTTGGGCTTGAAGAGACATAGCGAAGCAATTCCTCATCGGTTTCAAATCTAGACATATCATTCTGATCAAGGTTGATCCAAGCTTCTATGCCATCACGTTCTTTAGTATCCATGAAAGCTACCAGATTTTTGTAACTCATCCTTGCAGAAGCAACCCACGAAGGCTTCCCCCATCCAAAATCTGCTTCATACACCGGAAAGTTGCAGAGGCTCGTAAAGCTGAACGACACAATCTCCCCTTTGACGAAACCTGAAGCTTGTTTGTTAAGAAACTCGAGGTGTCCTCTGCTATCTTCTTGAATCTTCTTCACGTACACGGCATCTATCTTTCTTATCTCCTCTCTCACCTGCTCCACAAGAGAATGCTTTGCTTCATCATCTTCATTGATTACCATCTTAGGGACAGTGACAGAGAATCTCATGATGTTCCCAAACATGTTTTCTGGTATAAACAGATCAGATTGTCTACGCAAGTTCACCGGATGAATCAGTGTATAGATCTTCCTGGTTTTATTATCTTCTTTTGTTGAAGCCATGAAACGGCTCCATATGAATACTGATAAGGCCTCAACACGTGTCGCGCGAATCTCCTTGTTTACGCTGAATCTCTCTCTTAAAGACTCCACAGAGGATTTCAAAAACACGAAGCGTTTGGTGACTATGTTCTCCTTCGTTATACCTGTAGCCATGTTTAAATCTTCTATGTCACATGGAGGAAACATCTTGGCGAGATCGAAAGAAGGAGTAACGATTTCATCAGTGTCTCTGCGAGCCAAAGCTGCCCAGCTTCTGATGAAGATGAGACCTGACAGAGCATCGCAGAGTTTATGGCAGAGTCCTACACCGAGCGCTAAGCCGCCGCAGTTAAAGAAAGTAAGCTGAATCTTCAGAGGCACGTCACTCACTTCGTCAAACTCGAATGGGAGAAACTTGTTGAGTTCATTGGGATTAGGGTTTTCAAGAATCTGTGACATGTTGCAGTCGGCTCTGGCTTCAGCGAAAGACACACCCACCACATCATTGAACACAACAAAACCACCGGAGTTCTTCTTGATGCGTCCTGACAAGGGATAGTAGAGATTCAATATACTAGACAAAGAACTCTTGATCTGATCACTTCGTTCTCTGTCAGAGAGATTGGTCTTGTTGTGGTAAAAGAAAAGAAAAGGCATGAAAATGGGAGGAGCAAGCTGATCAAGGAAAGAGAGATGATGGCAAGGAAGATCATTAAGGCTTAGAGAAGAGGGCTTGACGAGTTCCTGAGAAGCCACCGTGATTTTAAGCTCCATTATTGCTTTTGAGAAGACACAAAGTTCATCGTTAGAATTATATAACTAAGCAAAAGGAATGGAGGAGGCACTCCCTAATTAATATAACAAGTCATGGTGATTAGACATTAGTCACTGTTTTATAATTAGACCCAAGTGAACAAGAAAGTTACAAACTTTAATTAGTTCAAAAATATGGTTTTCAAGACATGAAAGCTGGGTGGTTTTGTCAACATTATGAAACTTGATGTGGGGTGTTATTAATTTAGCCCAGTTTTTTACTAACGTTAGGTGAAGACTAGATCATTTATTTAGAATTGAACATGTGAATTTGCAGCAAGTGAGCTAAGCAGCTTACATGATACCTTTTCCCGCAAGAAACTCTTTTTTGTTTTTCTTATAACACAATCTTCTACACGAAATGGCCTTAGGTAAAAGACAAACAACTTCTAGATCAAATATGTATTCATACAACACATTTCAATCCGAGTAGTAAACATTTATCTTTAAAAGAAGACCTGATCGACCTGAGGATGTAGATTTCTGATAGTGTCGTTTCATGCAGGATGTGAATAACCTCTATGTTCTTTGCCGTCGAAGGGGTTCGTTCAAAACTTTTAAAAAACTAAAAGATATTTTCACATAACATTTTTTAGGTCTATCATATGAAGAAAATTTTTCAACATTCATCTTTCAGCAGGCCGGTTCTAGGCATGGGCCAAGAGTGCTTTTTCACAAAACCCACAAAGTAACACATTGCTTCATATTTTCAAAAATGTCAGTTTTTGTTCTTATATTATAATGGCCCAAAGATATAGAGCACATGGCCCATGATAATAGGAGCAAGTATAGTATTTTGTAATTTTCGTCTGCATTGTGGGAGACGGATGTGTGTAGAATGTGAATCTCAAGTGTTATCATCCTTAACTAAAAAGAGACATTATAGATTTGGTAATTACAATTACGTCCTTAACCAACATCTTTTACATGCATCTTCAATATAGATAAACTTTAGTAACTCCAAATCTTGTTGCAAATATTATTGAAAACGTGCTCGAACGAGAAGTTTTGTGAGGCACCGAACAACTGGTTTTGGTGGGTATATGTGATACTCGGACTAGTTTTGAGTAATGAATGAAGTGATAATCAATTGATATATGTTTTATGTGTGACAGGAGAAACAAACATACAAAAAATAACAAAATTCAAAAATATTATTCAATATATATTAGAGGTTGATGCCAATGGAAACAAATTTCAAAAAATAAAGAAGGAATAGAATATATAAAAGTGGTTTAAGAACTACCAATCAAATCCCAGCATCATCATTAATATAGTTGGGGGTTGGTGATCGATAGTCATGAACATCTTTACGTAAACATTTGACTATTACTTTTAACTATTTTTTTTTGGCTCGTTTATAATTTATGTATTGCGTCTTGTAACGCATAGTTTTATTTGTATGTTTGTGGTCGATAGATTCCTCTTTTCCAAGTCAATGGAAGCATTAGGTAGAAACTTGATTAGTTCCATTCTATTTTTGAATTGAAAATTAGGGTACGAATTATTCCAAATTCTCTTTCTTTAACTACATATATATGTGCTGTTCATCTACTTTGATTTAATTTGATCATTAAGTACGACCAATAACAACTAACCAGAATAATAGTAGTATTCTATATAAACATTTTTTATTGATTATATTGAATTTGACAGTATTCTCAAAACAACTATTACAGAACCAAAAAAAAAAAAAAAAAACTTGGTCTGCTTGACCGTTCATAAAATGTGAGATCATCAAACCATCATCAATTGAAGACAGAACAACCTAACCTTAATATACAAAAAAAAAAAAAAAAAAAAAAAAAAACTGATACTACCTTCTTCTTTTTTGTTGATGAAAGTTATACATTATGGATTTTGTATTAATCAAAACAGGCTTTCATTAGTAAAGTCGATATGATTTTTAGTGGATACATGTTTATAGCAATAGTAAACGTTATTTCGTCATGTTAAGTTGTTAACTTTTGTGGTTGCACAACGAAAAAGTTGTTAACTTATGACAAAGAAAGTTGTTAACATACACTATCTCTCTCCAGTAGAATCTAGAGGATTTAAATTTTACAACTATTAAATTCATCTTGAATTTGAAAGCTGGGAAAGAGATTAATCCTGCTGGAGAGAGATTAGGTTGTTAGTTTCTTGTCCACGCGAACGGTAGTAATCTTTTTTTTGTTTCATGTTTTGAGTTTATAAAAATGAAAACGTAACGTTTTGTTGAGTTACGTATCCCAGTTCCCAACACGATCAACGTCACGTTTCAAAAGCTTACATCTGAATTGATTATTCAAATGGATTAATTAAATATTGGGATTATCCAGTATACTCAATAGAAAACGTACAAACTTCTGAAATGTTAAAAACTAAGGACATTATTATTTTAGTAAATGTTCTTAAGTGCTTGTTACGTTGACTGTGGGTGACTCGTGAAATTTGTCCGTGGGCTTTGGATGAAGTATTCTATTAGTAGTATTGATTTTAGAAAACTTAAAAAACCAAGTAAACAATTAAAATCGAATTCTTGATTAAACGGCTAGTTCTGTTCATGTCGCTAATAGTAATGCTAATATATACGAAAAAGTAAAAGGACCGTAATTTTAAGAAATTGTAAAACAGTACACTATGTTCAATATAATGTGTGTTGAAAGTGTTATTTTGATATTTTTCACATTAGTTAAGAAATAGTATATGTTAAGTAGTTCATTTATTCCTGCAAAACTATGTTGTCTTAGAATCCTTCAAAAATATGGAAAAAAATCAATAATATTTTCAAAAGTCAAAATAAAAAACAGTACCTTAAATGATATTTAACTGAAGCTGAATGAATAAATAAGTTAGCATATATATAATGGATTTTGGAAGAAAATTTTCGTAATTGTTTCTCATATCTGTTCTTTCTATTTGGTCAGCGGATTTGATTGATCATTTGAATCCTAAATAGTAACAGAATAGTGATATTAATACAAATCTTTAAGATATATGTCCCAATGTGTATGCTCATAAATTTGGAATGATGAATCACACTAATCAGATACATGAAATAGTAAACAGATGATTAAAAAAGACTTGATCCAATTGATTCAACAATTTAACATATTAATGCTGGTTCTGACAGGTCAATATTGAAGAAGACTTTGAATACTTAATTAACAAAGCCAATTTGGCAAGGGAGACACGCCAACAGAAAGCATAATGTTTGTAGATAAGGACAAGAGCTATTTCTCGACATGAATAGTTTAAAATACACTCATTATCGCATCATATCCATTCCACATTTCAATTAACTCGTAATTATGATCTCTGTAACAGAATAACAAAAATTAAAGTTTTTTTGGGAGCAGATCAAGATAAGATTTTTACATTTCTATGTTCCTTGGCTTTCACAAAGTCTGTCTCTTTCTCTGGCCGCAAAATATCAATAGCGAAAAGTCGCTTTTTTTTTTTCTTCCAATCTTTTCTTTTTATTTTGTTTTTCTAGAATTTGTAAAGGTGAACTGAAGATATATAATAGACGAGGAGAAAAGCAGACGTATCTCTGTGTCAATTTCGTTTGTTGTCTTTGTTCTAAAAGGATTTGTCTGTTTCAAGAGCCAAACTTTGGGTTCTCCTCTCTTCTCTTCTCTTCCCTTCCTGTTCGTGTTCTTCTCTCGTCCTTTTGCAGCAATCTCTTCAATTCGGAGAGAAGAGAGAAAAGGGTTAAAGGGAACTTAGGAAAGGAGGAGATGTATTATCAGTTGACCAAGTCTTCTTACATGGACTCTTTGAAGATTCTGGAGGCTGACATAGAGCACGCCAATGGACTGTGAGTCATCGGATTCTATCTGGGTTTTTGTTTTCAATTTTAAAGTTTCAGTTTTTGATTTTCTGGGGGTTTTTGACTATCATCAATTGGCGTGATACTTGTTTACCTTGACGCTTCCATGATTGAGGAATCAAGGAATGGAATTTGCCGAAACCCACTTAGGGATTTTGTTTGATGCATATTCACACAAAAACGAACTTGGAACTATTGCAGAAATGGTCCAGAGATTGCAATTTTTTTTTTTTTTTTGTATGTGGTTATCTGAAGAAATTGTTTGTGTGATTGATTTAAATGTTCGAAATTTGATTTCAGGGCTGCTGAGATTCCAATGGGGAAGAGCGGTGTGCGTCTTCAGATGAAACTGGTTTGCAGCAATTTGGCTCCATTCTTCATATTCCTGCTACAATGGATGGATTTCTCATGCCTGCTTCCAAAATATTTTGATTTCTTCCACATACTCATTTACAAGGTTATTACCAAATCTCTCTCTCCCTCTCTCGATCGTGTGTGTGTGTGTGAATTGGTTAGATTCCCTGATTGTTACCCTTTATTCCTCTTGGCTTGTTTGTTTTATAGGTGTCTTCTTTGTCTTGTACAGGTACGTGCTGATGGGAGATGGAATCGATCCCGGTACGGAAGGAAAGCTACAATTAGGGAGTTTTACGGTAAGCGTTTAAGACCTTTTTTTAATGATGTGTTGTTTTCTCTATGGGCTTAATCTGATAGGCTTTGGCTAAGTGCAGGTGTTATATTACCGTCGCTCGAGCGACTTCATATAAACTTTGCTGACATATCCAACGACAGCTTGTGGTATCCAAAACCAAAAGCCATCACCAAGCAGAAGTATGACATGGAAGGCAACAGATTCACGAGCAGCGTCGACTTGGAAAGAGAAGACGAATGCGGGATTTGCTTGGAGCCCTGCACCAAGATGGTGTTGCCTAACTGTTGCCATGCCATGTGCATCAAATGCTACCGGAACTGGAACACAAAGTCGGAGTCATGCCCGTTTTGTCGAGGGAGCATCAAGAGAGTGAACTCTGAGGATCTGTGGGTGCTGACTTGCGACGAAGATGTGGTGGATACAGAGACGGTAACCAAAGAGGATCTTCTTAGGTTCTACCTTCACATCAATAGCCTCCCTAAGGATTATCCGGAAGCTGTCTTCTTAGTCTACAACGAGTACTTGATATGATTTTAATGGAGGTGGGAAACACATCAGCGAGTGTACAAAGGGAGAAAAGATCCCAGACCTTTAACTAAGTGTACATATGAATCTGGTGATCCAAGAGGTTCCTTCGTTTTTAGATTATATGATGTAAGAAGATTGTCATAATGTGTACTTCTCCCTTGTTATACAATATTAAGAGAAAAAAGTTGATCTCGGTTCACATATTTCAAGAATCGAGTCTGGTTTCTTCTTGACATCACAACCAAGATGAGATTCATTGATATTTTGTTTTCCTGAATTATATGTACTGTACATTCAACTAAGATTATTTTATTATACATTTTGAACCTTAGAATTTAGAGATTCTTCTTTTGAGTGTCGACAGAAATGCTTCTTTGTCAAGTTTAAAATATGAAAATATCTTTCAGCTAAATAATACTCCCACACATGTAAAAAGCTAAAAAAAAAAAGCAATGTCATTAACATAGTTTATCATGTACTTTAGTGATACATACATAAAAAAAGCAATATCGCTACAAAAACATAATTTTGTTTTTAAATTGTTATTGTATTTTCGATAAATCCGTGAAGTCTCCGGCGGAAGCAGAGAGCGGTTTTTACAGTCGGTGGTGAAAGAAACAAGGTTTCAACTATGGTGACTCTGACTCATCGTCTCACTCTGCTTCTTCTTGTCACTACCGTCGTCGGGATCTTCTCCTCCTCCTCTTCTCAGGTAGATTTCATTTCCTCTCTTCTTCAAAAACCCTAAACTATTCTTGGTTTTCGTTTTAAAGATCAAACGACGATCCGATTCTTCTTTCTTCGGGTCGTCTCTTGCAGGTTCGCGCAACAAGTGAAACCAATGCCAGGATCGAATCATTCTCCTCGCCGTTCGCCACTGATCTTGCAACACTGCAAACGCAAATTGGGTACGAGCTTACAGTCACTTTTTTGCTGTATTGGATGCTTTGTCTTCGTATCGTTGCTAATTCCTTACTGTGTATTGGATGATTATTTCTTCTGCTGATAGAATTAGGGATATTTGATCATTTGTATTAGATTAGATACTCTCGTGATGCATCTTTGTAATGATCAAGTTGAATCACTGAGCTCTAAGATGATTTGGTTCAAAAATCATATCTGTGATAATCAAGTTGAATCACTGAGCTTTATATGATTACAGTAATCATCTCTGTAATGATCAAGTTGAATCACTGAGCTTTACGATGATTTGGCTAGAAAATCAGATGCAGGAATCTTCACATGATGTGTCATATATCCCTAAATCTATTTATTCTCTTAAAGTTGTCTCCTTTTCTTTTTATGGGGTGTAGCTACAAGTTTACCAACGTCGACCTTCTTCGCCGTGCAATGACTCATGGTTCCTACTCTCAAGAGAACAACAAAGCCCTGAGCATCTTTGGAACCCATATCATTGAAGCCTCGGTCTCTCTTCGTTTCCTGGCTAAAGACATCGACATCTCCTCGAAAGTGTTGACTCATTTGATAGCAGAGGTTTCGAATGTGAATTCCTCATGTGCTCTCGACGGAAACCGGTTGGGTTTGGAGAGGATCATCAGGGTTTCTCGCAAGACGGATGCATCGAACTCGGCCATACTTTGTGCTGGCTTTAGGGCAATCTTTGGAGCTATCGCTACTGATTCTGGATTGGTTGATGACGCGATCAAGACTTTCTGGAAAGTACATGGAGATCGAGCTGGAAAACTAGTGTCCATGTTGTAAAATTAGTGCTTTAAAGTCTGCTTTGTCTTCTTCGGATGCCAAGTTCTAAAGACTCTCTGCTTGTATGGTAATCGCTTGCTTTCTTCTTTTCTGTTTGATGACCAATAACCAAATATATTGGTTGATGATGTTATGAGGATGTAAAGGACCAATTCAATAGGCCCCACTGCAATGAAATGTTTCAACTTTCAACTAAAGAGGCTCAGATTAATTTTTTTTAAAAAAAGTTATGGTTAAGTTTGGTGTTTAGGAGAGACATGGCACGTTTACAAAATCTGAAATTTTGTTGTTATCTCCGTAGAATATGTGTTTAAGTGTTCCAACAATGTGACTTCTGGATCAACAGTTGTAAAGATCTTATGAACAATAGCGACACATTCTATTCTCAGTGCTTACATGTGCGCTGCACTACGCAAGTCATAGGAAATTGGGAATCCTATTATCATCACTTCATCATTATGTATCTACAAAAATGATACATAAGTATAACATAAATTTAGATACTTGCATACATAATTTGTTGAGATATAGAATACAGTAATTTTTGTAATATTAAATTAGTACTACTTGGTTAGAATAATTTATCAGGACTGGGATTCATATTCTAAATTTGTCTTACATTAAATAAACTTTGACTAAAAAATGTCACGTGTAGGGAAGCTTAAACGGAAGAGAACGTTTCTTATTGGACGAAACACATCACCCACTTCAATGTCACGACATAATTATACAAACGAAACAACACTATACATAAATACAAACGAGTATAATAATTAAATAAAACAGGGAAAAAAAAAACAAGCACGATTCGGAGAAAAACAAAACGCACCGCGTTGGTCGTGCTGCAACGCTTCTCTTACCTGTAGCCTCCTCTCCTCTCCTTCTTCCCTCGCTGGTTTTTATTACTTATTTACGGATCTCCGACACAAACCAACAACCAAACACAAAGCCGTTTCACACAGTTCCTACCTCCATCTCTCTCGACTCTCTTCGCAAGTGCTCTCTCTCGTGTTTTAATAACGATTATTTTGCTAATCTCTTCAACGTGTTTCCGAATTCGTGGTTAGATCTGTCTCGAAACTGGGGAAGGGAAGGGGGGTTGGGATCGTATTTAGATAATGCACGAGAATGATGATCTTCCGCGTGATTCGGTTGATTCTATAGCTGATGGAATTGATAATGAGGACGAATCAAATGGGCAAGAGCTTGATCCTGACCAGGTGAGATTTACATGTCTTTTTTTCTTCTCCAAATCGTTTATGTTCATTCGAAAATTCGTATGCTGAAATGGAATTGGTAGTTGCAGGGAACAGCTTTCGTTGATAGTAAGGAAGATATGTTTGTTGATGCCCCTGAAGAGTTGAATTTTGATACACCCAGCAAGGAAGCTCTTTCGACAGATGATGATGACAATGGAGAGCTTCTTAATCAATTCAATGTCTGTGAAATTCTTCTTCTTTTTTATATTTACTTATTTGAATTTTTTTTTCCCCCAAGGATTATCCTTTTGTTCATTTATGTTTGTTTCTACATGCAGAATGAGAAGGAGGACAGGGAGAAGGAACTTGCAGGGTTGAAGGAACAGTTTAAGCTGTTGACTGGTGACAATGATTTGAATGGTGGAGATGGGGACACCGTGGAAATCGTCAGCCGCTTCTCAAAGTTTCTAAAAACTGCTGAGGAAGAGCGGATTCAGCATGAGGATGCACTCAGAAAGCTTCGCGGGATTATCAGTGGGAAGGACGACGAGATTGCTGATCTCACCGCAAAGATCTCAGAGCTTTCTTCGTCGCAGTCTTCAGTTTCCGATGCGGAACATCAGGCACAGAACGCAGAGCAGCTTGAGGCTGCAACAGATAGGATTTTGCTTACTCTTAGTAATGTGTTTGGGCAGGAGCAGCTGCAGTATGGTTCTTCTGTCTCTGAAAAGGTTGCTCATCTGGAGAACGGAGTTGCCTTTTTAAGCGCGAAATACACCGAGTTTTACTACGGCGCCGATGAATTGAGGAAGTGTTTGTCTAGTGATGGTGTGGATCTTCGTTTCCAGGAGGATTTTGGTTCAGCTCTCGGTGCTGCTTGCTCTGAGTTACTTGAGCTCAAGCAGAAGGAAACAGCGTTTTTTGAAAGACTTAGCCATCTGGAAGATGAAAATAGGAAGCTGGTTGAACAAGTGAACAGAGACAGAGAAATGATTGAGTCTATGAGTGAAGAATCTGGAAAAATGAAGGCAGAGCTTGAGCAAGAGAAGACAAGGTGTAGTAACACGAAGGAGAAGCTCAGCATGGCTGTAACAAAAGGGAAGGCGTTAGTTCAGAACCGGGATGCTCTGAAGCACCAAATAGCTGAAAAGACAATGGAGCTTGAGAATAGGTTGACTGAGTTACAGGAGAAGAAGATTGCCCTTGAAGCTTCTGAATTAGTGAAGGGGCAGCTGGAGCAATCGTTAGCTGAAAAGACGGATGAACTTGAGAAATGCTATAATGAATTGCATGATAAGTCTGTAAACCTGGAAGCATATGAGGTAGCAAAACAGGAGTTGGAACAGTCTCTGGCTGAGAAAGCGAAGGAACTTGAAGAGTGTTTGATGAAGCTACAAGAGATGTCAACAGCACTGGATGAATCTGAACTCATCAAAGGCGAGTTAGTAAAATCCGAGGCTTTGGTTGCATCATATCAGGAAATGGTATCGTCAAGGAGCTCTGTCATTGAAAATGTTGAAACCATCTTGTCAAACATAGATCCACCTGACGAAGGCCACTCTCTCGATATCATTGAAAAAGTAAGGTCGCTTGTAGAAGAGAGGATAGAGCTCAAAAATGTTTCCCAGGAGTACAACAGACTGAAAGATTTGGACTTTTCCATTGACTTACCAGAGGAGATTTCCCAATCCAGCCTAGAAACTCGCCTAACTTGGCTTAGGGAATCATTTTTCCAGGCAAAGGATGAAGTTAGTGCCCTGCAAAACCAGATCGAAAGCTTAAGCATGTCTCTTTCAGCAGAAATGGAGGAGAAAAATAACATTAGAAGGGAACTTGATGATTTAACTTTCAGTTTTAAAAAATTAGAGGAAACTGCAGAGCGAAGTTCTTTGGAAAGAGATGAAATTGTGAGGAGACTTGTGGAAACCTCTGGCTTGATGACAGAAGAAGTCGATCATCGTTTACTTGTTGATAGATCCTTCGACCAGATAGAAAAGCAAAGCAGGGACTCTAGTGGCAGTTCTTGCGGCAATGAAGAATTATTTGAGAGATTTCAAAGTCTCCTTTATGTGAGTGATCTAGATTCGTCACTTTGTAAGGAAATACTAGGAGAGGAAATGCTGGCTAGTTTGCAGGTGCGGGATCTCTCAAATGAGCTAAAAAATGTATCTAGTGAACTTGCGGTCGTGAAAGAAGAAAAAACTGCTTTGGAGACAGATCTTGAGCGATCAGAGGAGAAATCTGCTTTGCTCAGAGACAAACTTTCCATGGCGATCAAGAAAGGCAAGGGACTTGTCCAAGATAGGGAAAAGTTAAAAACTCAGCTGGACGAGAAAAACTCTGATATAGAGAAGGTGATGCTCGAGTTGCAGCAGTTGACGGGTGCGGTTGATAGCTATAAGAATCAGATAGATATGTTATCGGGGGACTTAGAGCGCACAAAAGAGCTAGAGGCTGAGCTTATTGCTATTAAAGACGAAAGAGATCAACTTAAGCAATCCTTATCTCTGAATGACACTTTGTTGCAGCAGTTAACTGGTACGGTTGACAGTTACAAGAATCAGATAGATATGTTGTCGGGAGACTTAGAGCGCACAAAAGAGCTAGAGGCTGAGCTTGTTGCTATTAAAGACGAAAGAGATCAACTTAAGCAATCTTTATCTCTGAATGACACTTTGTTGCAGAAAGTGATGAAATCAGTTGAAACTATGAATATCCCTGTGGATTTAGCAACTGAGGATTCTTCAGAAAAGATTGACCGACTTGCTGGGTACTTGAAGGAAGTGCAGCAGGCTAGAGTAGAGGAACAAGAAGAACTGGAAAAAGTAAAAGAAGAAGCCAGTACATTAGCCAGTAAATTAGCAGAAGCCCACACAGCCTTGAAGTTGGTTGAGGATGCCTTGTCTACTGCAGAGGGTAACATCGATCGACTTGCTGAGGAGAATAGGCAAGTCCAAGCTGCTAAGGAAAATGTTGAAATTGAGCTGCAGAAAGCGATTGGAGAGGCCTCCTCTCTGGCTAGCGAACTGGATGAAGCTTGTGCAACCAGGAATACACTTGAAGCTGCACTCATGCAGGCTGAAAGAAATATATCTGATATCATCAGCGAAAAGGAAGAGGCTCAAAGCAGTACTGCTACTGCAGAGATGGAACTAGAGAAGGTGAAAGAAGAACTTTCAGATCAGAATAACAAATTAACAGAAGCGCATAGCACTATAAAATCACTTGAAGAAACGCTTATTCAGACAGAAAGCAACGTGGATTCGCTGTCCAAACAAATTGAAGACGATAAGGTTCTTACTACAAATCTGAAGAATGAGTTAGAGAATGTTCGAAATGAGGTAGAGTTGGAGCGTAGCAAGATGGCGGAGGCTTCCTTGACAATAGGATCCCTTGAGGAGGCACTAATGAAGGCGGAGAATAGTCTTGCTGGCTTACAAGGAGAAATGGTGAAAGCTGAAGTCGAGATATCAACTCTCAGTAGTAAACTTAATGTATGCATGGAAGAGTTAGGTGGATCAAGTGGAAACTCACATAACAAATCTTTGGAGATTATTGCTCATCTTGATAATCTCCAGACGCTACTGAAAGATAGAGGACTAGTTTCCAGGGTGAATGAGTTCCTTGAAAGGAAATTCAGAAGCCTTAGAGACATGGATGTCATTGCTAGAGATATCGTAAGAAATTTTGGTAATAAGGGATTGGCAGGGGAAATGGACAACGTTACAGAGGTAAACAGGATTCTCGAACCTTACCAGATCAATACTTCTTCTGCTTGTTGACTTTTTTTAATATCAGTTTACCTTTTCCCGTCATCATTCTTTTTTGCATATCTGTTGATTTCAAACATGTCTTATCCTATACTGATCTCCAATTTGTTGTTTATCAAGGATGCACACATTTAGTTAGAATCTGTTCAGTGTAGGAGTTGATTAACCGGAGATAAGAAAGATAAATATTGTTGTGTGAAACATTTTTCAATAGTACATACATATATCCAGCATGTGCAATAGTACTGTATGGATCTTCTATTGGCGAAATTTTGATACGGCTGTTCTCTTGACGCTGTTTATATTTCCAGGATGATTCCACTGTGGCAAAATCCTTGTTGAGTGGTCTTGATGATTCAGTGGATACAGAGCTGGAGAATAGCAAAGAGATAGCTGAGGAAGACGAAATATCTTCGTCCCTTAGGAAGATCGCAGAGGGGGTCAAGCTGAGAAACAATATACTCGAGAAAAACTTTGAAGTTTTCTCAACTTCCATTGATACACTCATTGCTGTGCTGATGGAAAACATGACAGCAGCTAGGGCTGATGTTACAAATGCCATGGGTCATAATGAGTCCCTGAAAGAACAGCTGAGGAGTGCAGAAGATGTTGTTCGCGAACAGGAAAACACTATATCTGCATTACAAAAAGATTTGTCATCTTTGATGTCTGTATGTGGCGAGGCTGCAAGCGAGCTGCAGTCTGAAGTGAAAAATGACCTCCTCGAGTTGGTTCAGTTCCAAGAAAATGAGAAGGGTGGTGAAACTGAATCAACTGAGCACCCACAGGAGCTTCATGTCAGTGAATGCGCCCGGAGAGTGAAAGAATTATCTTCTGCCACCGAGAAGGCATGTGCTACTCTTAAGCTCTTTGAGACGACAAGTAATGCAGCTGCTGTTGTAATCCGAGATATGGAGAACAGATTAAAAGAGGCATCTGCGGATCTAGAAAAGGTTGTGTTGGAAAGAGATCTAAACCAAACTAAGGTTTCAAGTTCCGAGGCCAAGGTGGAAGCTACGGAAGCAATTTGCCAAGATCTGCAACTTCAGCTGGAAAAACTCAAAGCCGAAGAAGAGAAATGGCATGAAAAGGAGGTGGAACTTTCTACATTATATGATAAACTGTCGGTGCAAGAGCAAGGTAATTTTTTTTTGTTTTCTCGTCTCACAGTTCTTTAAACTCTTCTTGACGTTGTTTACCACTTTACTGAAATGTCACGTACTGTTTCTTCGAGTTGCAGAAGCAAAGGAAAACCTAATTCCAGCTTCTGATATGCATGCTCTTTTTGACAAGATAAATGGTATTGAGGTGCCTTCAGTAAATCAGGTCAATGAATCAGATCAACAGAGTCCATACGATGTGAAGAAGCTATTCGCGATTGTTGATAGTGTTACTGAGATGCAGCATCAGATAAACCTCTTATCATATGGACAAAAAGAGCTCAGTTCCACCTTGGCAGAAAAGGATCTTGAAATACAAGGTTTGAAGGAGGCGGCTGAAGCAAAGAGTACAACCGAGCTAGAGTTAGTGAAGGCAAATAACGAATTGTCCAAGCTAATATCTGGCTTGGAGAAACTGCTGGGTATACTGGCGGGCAATGATGCTGTTGTAGACCCAAACTTCCCCGAGACACTCTTACAAGCGCTAGAGAGAAAAATAACTTCCCTTCTCCTAGAGTCCGAGAGTTCAAAATCAAGGGCTCAAGAACTTGGTTTAAAGTTAGCCAGCAGCGAAAAACTTGTGGATAAATTATCATTAAAAGTCAAAGAATTTGAGGATAAACTTCAAAGTAAAGCCATCCAGCCTGATGTCGTTCACGAAAGGAGCATCTTCGAAGCACCTTCTACCTCGGAGATATCCGAGATTGAGGACAAGGTAAAATTTTATCTTGTGCTATTTCAGCTTGTTGTTGATCCTTAAAACTATAAAATGTAGCTGCCACTTTGATTATTTTGAAAAGGACTTATTTAGCTTCTCTTGCTGTGTTTTGATCTTTAAACTTGGAACATTTTGTGCTCAGGGGAAAAAGTCAATATCACCTGTGCCTACAGCAGCGCAAGTGAGAACGGTGAGGAAAGGATCAACGGATCATCTTTCAATCAACATAGATTCAGACTCCGAGCATCTGATTAACGACAACGAAACAGCTGAAGATAAAGGTCAGAACCTGAGTCGTCTACAACATATCTATCTCGGTTATTACCAAAGTATGCGCCTCTCAGCTCACTAATCTTAAGACACAAATCTATTTTTTCTTTGGCAGGACATGTTTTCAAGTCTCTCAACATGTCTGGTCTGATTCCAACGCAAGGAAAGATGATAGCAGATCGTGTCGATGGAATATGGTAAACACTCACTAATATCAAAACTGGTTCGAAAGGCCTCTCTCCTAAATTGTTCATCTTATTAAGCGACGGGTTTGATTTCTGCAATGCAGGGTCTCAGGAGGAAGAGTATTAATGAGCCGTCCTCAAGCAAGGCTTGGCGTTATGGTATACAGTCTCTTATTGCATCTGTGGCTCCTAGCTTCCATCTTGTAACAAGACAGGTGATTGATTTCTCTTAGGCCTCTTACATGAAACCACACACAACAGTACACACACAAATCTCTCTCTCTCTCTCTCTCTGATCTCTATTCTTCCCATTCTTTGTCGACCCGTAAGCAGAGAATGATAGGTGTCGTCGTGTATATATATCCTGAATAAATGTCTCGGATAAAGCTTTTTTCCATCTAGTTCTTCAGTTTCGTAGTCCTAGAATGTTCGATTAGGACTCAGTACTTTATTATAGCTGGTTGTTTGTCTTAAACATATGTTCAATCAATTTAAGTTTTGAATAACTGTAAAAGTATTCTTTTTGTAGAACTCTAAAATATAATATTATGATATAACGTGACCAAACATTTTACAGTGGTACTTCGAGAGGAGAGATAGAGACTTGTAGACGCACACCTATCCCCTACTGCTCATTAACTGTTTTCTTTATTCCCGAAAATTGAGCTTTGGAATTGACGTATTTAAACTGTCTCTAACCCAAAAGCGGCAGATGAATTAACTTGTCTCTGTAACCATAAAAGTTTATTTTTGGGAGGGGTTAATTGTTTTTTTACCAGAAAAAGCTCGTCTCTATTCAATAGAGGCGACAGAGAGAAGTACTGTACATATTTTGGTTTCCAAAACTAGAATCGAATTAAATGGATGGAAAACAATATCCTGAAAGAGATTTTGAATTTGAATTGAATGGACAAATGAGATAAACTGGCTGAGTAGTGTAATAACGTGATTAATGTCTAAAATCTGTCATGGAACCAAATCATTAATAAATCTACCAGTTGTGTTTTTGAATTTTGACTACACTGTACAACACTGACTTTTTCTTTTCATTTTAAGGGTATGATGATATTGACTTTAGAGTTATTAAGATTGAGCTAAGGAAAATAATAAATAGATCTCTCTCTCTCTCTCCCAACTCTATTTTCCTATCTACATAAAAGGGGTGCCAAAATCTCATGACCAAACAAATTAGTAAGAAAATAAAAAAAACTAGAAAGGAGAAAGAAAAAAAAAGAAACAGAAAGAAGAACATGCAAAGAACATGGCATCTCCATGTCGTAAGCTTCATAGGCTTTCTCTCTTTCCTTAGAATATTCTTTCCTCTCCTGAAATGGTTCGTCACCAGATTCCTCCTCACAAACCCCAAGCTGCTCAAGCGTTACGGCTCGTGGGCTATGGTTACTGGAGCCACAGACGGAATAGGACGCGCCTTTGCTCACGAGCTGGCCAAACACGGTCTTAACCTCATCCTAGTCAGCAGAAACCCTTTGAAGCTCGCTTCTGTCTCCGATGATTTCCGACAAGAGTTTCCCCACATTAAGATCAAGATCATTCCCTTTGACTTCTCCTCTGGTAAAATACTTAATGCACGATCCTCACTTCACTTGTTGGTCCATTCTGTTGAACTAATCTACACTCTATACATAATAGTCATTGACTTTTTGTGTGTGTGCATATAAATACTACTACATTCTTTTAATTTTGGATAAATATTCTTATTTCGACAAACTAGGGTAAAAATTCAATTACTCAATACGAATAAGAGACTTGCATAATCCATTTTAATATGCGATCCTATAGCCGGAAAGAAAAAAAAAACATAGATGCAGTTCACTAATACTTAAAAATCATTTTGTTAACTTTTTCGAATTTTAATAAAATATGAACACCAACAGGAAATGATAAGTGAAACTCGATCAGTAATTGTAATCAAGAGTTAGTATAGAAATTTTTAAAATATGTGTTTGTGAGCAGATGATGGATTGAACAAAGAAATGTGTAGAAGGGGGATATGGAGCAATCGAGGAGGGGATCAAAGGCGTTGAAGTTGGGATTCTGATAAACAACGTTGGGGTAACTTATCCACGAGCCATGTTCTTCCACGAGGTTGACCAACTCACATGGACCAAAATCGTGAGGGTCAATCTTGAAGCCACCACATGGGTCACACGAGCTCTCATCGGACCAATGCTTCACCGTCACCGAGGAGCCATCATCAATATCAGCTCCGGAGCCGGCGTTGTTGTCCCTTCTCATCCTCTCTACGCCATTTACGCCGCCACCAAAGCGTAATGACTTATCACTCTCACTTTCCATTTAGTTTATTTTCCTGCTTAATGAACATTTTAGAGCTCATCAGAAAAATATTATATGAGTTATTAATCAAGAAAACATCACAAAATATATTAGTCATTGGAGATTAGAAAATTTACATAGAGTATAAGTTTGTTATTAAAAGTGTCTCTAAATAAAATATTTAAAACAAAACGCTGTTAATTGGAGAATGAAATGTATAAAAGTATTTACTTATTTTTTAACAAAAAATATGACTACTTTAATATATATAAGGTGATGCAATGACGCATTAATATAAAACTATAAACTATTAGGTAAAATTCAAAATCATTTATTAGTTGGTTGAAATATTAATTAGAATCCTATATTTTCCGGTTACTAACCAGGAGGAAATAAAATAAAAAAACCCTTACACGGTTAGACCAACTTCTCTTTGGCATGTGTTTTTCTTTTTCTTAACGTTTCTGATAACAGGTTAAAACCATAATTATTTTTTGAGACAACAACAACGCACATGCATACATTAGCTATTCTTTAGACTTTGATTTGACCAAGCATACATTATAATGTATTGCCAAATTTATGAAGGTTTCCATTCCGATCTTTCTATTTCTTGTTAGTAGTTGTATAATAAATATGAAAAAGCGTATTTGTATTTTGTCTGGACCTTGACGATCCTATCCTAACTTGTATAATTGATTCCATTCACGGCTATGTATATCTTCCCCGTCACGTGCATTTTAACCTTTTCAATTTATTAGTTAGATGGGTACTTCAAGTAATCAATATGAAGAATAATCACACGAGAAAACTTCATTTTAAAGTGTTATTTATAGAACTGATCAGAACTAACGTTTTCACTTTGAAAGCAATAGATCGTTCACAAGTTGATGAAGACTTGGAAAAACTTGCATTTTATTAATATGACGTTATTTAATATACAAAATAGTCAATTGTTTTATTGGATTTATGATGTTGTTTTTTCCATAATGTATGTATGATGAATAAACGAACATGTGCATGCAGTTATGTTGATAAACTATCAAGATCTCTACATGTGGAATACAAGCATTTTGGTATCGACGTCCAGTGCCAGGTACTTTTATCTTTTCTATTATATTCTTATGTAATATTTTCGTATTTCCCCAAGGAAAGAAATTTGTTAGACACGTACGTGTGTAAAAATAATGTGGCAGGTACCGTTATACGTGGCAACGAGGATGGTGTCAGAAGTAGCAGCTATCGATAAACCAAGCTTCTTTATACCGTCGCCGGAAGTCTACGCAAAAGCGGCGGTGGAGCGGATCGGAATTGGATCACAATGCTCGCCGTTTTGGGCTCATTCCCTTCAGTGGTTTCTCGCCGGGCTTTTGCCGGATAACCTCCTTGATACTTGGCGTCTCTCTATCGGCCTTCGTAGAAGAAGTTTATCTTAACCGAATCATCATAATTTAAATGTTCTAAAATGTATACTAGAGTGAAGAGCATCCTTAGCCAAAGAGTCTGCCAAAGAATAACTGTTACGAGAAACATAATTAAAAGAGATACTTTCAAATCCAAGAGGATACACCATCATTACTTTGAATCCTTAATAATTACTAATACCCTTCACTAATCACTAGGTATATAGTATTGTTTTACATCCTCAACATTCTTCTTATATGTTCATTTGGCTCCACAAGTTACTCTTTCTTCTTGGGCCATGTGATATATGTTGTATGTTATAATATTTTCTAAATCATTACGTTCATTGCTACAAAGTCCTCTATGTTAGTTAATCAGCAACTGAGCAAAATATCCTCCAAGAATGATAAATGATAATTATATACAAAAATCCAAACGCACACACACCCAATTTATGTTTGTAGGTATGTTTGATTGGGGTTTAGCGGCGTTGCGTGTTAGTTCGATCATTCCAACAACTCACATACGTTTGTGAATGTAATTTGGTTGCATATGTAAAATGCTATTGATATCTTTTTGTTTTTTAAAGAAAGATGGGCCAAGCCCATATAATTCCTCCCAAGTAGCCTCGAACGAAAGCCAGACGTCTCCCTCTCTTGGAAGGGCTTGACACGACATTGAGTATTTCGTATACCAAAACGAAAAAACAAAATATTGCTAGTTGTTACGAGAGGAAAAAGAAACTAATGTTTAGAAAAAAAAAAAAAAAACTACTTCAAAAGTGGAGATGCAAAATTTAGTTGAATAGAGAAAATGTTATCCCACACAAATGGAATGATTAAAAAGAAAAATGAAAATATATAATGTACATCCTCATCTTTTTCTCGAGAAATCCGATTCTCTTCCCCTCGTTTCATAGTAAATCTATTTTTCGAGTCAAGAATGGTCTCGAGACTCCACTGTTAATCAAGTAATATTAAGTATTAACCAACCTCTAGTTTCGGCTTAAGGTTTGACCTGGAATACCCCAAAGTATAATATCAATATGACATTATATCATGCAACTAGAACTCTATGTACGAACGATAAATTTAGAACACTTATCCTATTTTTATATGTTTCGATGCGACATGATAAATAAACAATAAATGTTAAACACGAAAAAAGCAAAAGAAAAATTCAAGACCGGACAACGATTGATGAATCCCTTTTCTTCCTAAAAACGACCTCCGTATCCAACCCGAAGCCGTCGACATTTCGTACATGAACCACCTCCGATCGTCGGAATAGCCTCACCAACGCCTCCACACTATACAGATCATTTGCCGAATACTTATCCGATCGTGTAGAAAGCGCCACGTGTAACACACATAAACCTCCTGGTCTCAGTGTCCGTTCGATCTCTCCAACGAACTTGTCCGGGTAAAGCGCATGATCGAACACGTTGGAGAATTCGAAATCAAAAGTCTCATCATCGAACGGCTGGTGATGAAAGTCTCCTTTGACCACCAACGGTGGATACGGCACCAGATCCATCCCGACCGAGTCGCTTACGCCCACACGTTTCAGCGCCTCCACTTCTTGTCCGACTCGAGCTCCGACGCAGAGACATTTAGAGGCGTTGGATAAGAGGCCTTGACGCTTGAGATCTTGGAAGAATCTTGAGAATACTTTGATCTTACGGTCCCAATCTCGTGTCATCCATAACGTACGGAGTCTAGGGTTAAGCGTCTTGTTGAGCTGTCGTTGGATGTAGTAATCGTAAGACGTGTAGCCGGGTCGGATCTTGATGAGATCCTTTTGGTGGGCGGTGACGATAAGGGAAGGTTTATGTTGTTGAAGAGAGAAGAAGAGAATGAGAGGGAGAGTAAGCAAGATAGAGACAAAGAGATACAAAATCGTCTTTGATTGCTTCATTCTTTTTTTTTCCTCGTCATAGAATTTGCAAACACATAATCTTTCAGTCTCTCTCTCGCTTTCTCTCTATAAGTGCATCGAAAATGGAGGGAGTAATAAGGTGAAGTTGAGGCAATGAGAATATATATGACAGCTTATGTACATAGGACACGTGTTGATCGGTAATGATTGGTTATGTTAAGAATGAAATTTTAGAGGGGTTAGTGAGAGATTGATTTATAAAAGAATTGTGGATTTTAATAATTTAGAGATTTGTTAAAAAAAATTAAAATTTTTATTAGAATTGTAGAAAATTTTGTATATTTAGAAAATTCATCAAAATATTTTATTATAATGAGAACTAAGGGAGGTGTATTGAAAGTAATATTTTAGAGAATTTGAAAAGATTTAAGTTTTAATGAAATTTTAGATGATTTTATGTAGATTAGTTAAGTTGATATGATTTTATACTAAAATTATATGAAATTCCACCTAAAACAATGGAATTTAGTTTTTTATATTTTTAACTAACAAACTCCACCAAATCATTTAAAAGTATTCGATATTTTGTAAAATCCACTATTTAAAATATTTTCAATAACAGTGGATTTGATTTGGATTTTATAAATTCTTGATTGAATAACATGGATGTTGAAGTGATTTTAATTGGTTTTATATAAATTTCATGTTCAATAACATGAACTTTGGTAAGACATTTAGAAATCATTAATTAGTTGAATAACACAGAATTTTTAAATAACCACAGTCTTCTAAAATTTCTGTTTCAATACACCCCCTAAAAGTATTAATAGTAGTTTGAAAATTTTGTTTTCTGTGTTAAATTATTGATAACATATATCTTAATAACATAAGATTTTAATAGAATAATTAAGTAATTAGAAGCAGAATTTTTTGAATAACAATTCAAATCTTTTGGAATTTAAAAAAAAAAAAAAATTAATGAATATGTTAAATTAACCAAACAAAAGCCAGTGATACAAAGAGAAAAGTCTGAAACGTAAAATCAGAAACTACATAACTTTACAAAGGGATTTAGCCTTGGATTAAAAACCATCTCTGCAGACCTTCAGCGTACGTCTGATCTCCTTGTATTTGAATTATTGAGAATCTGTTCCTTAGTTGCTTGCTGATTAGATGAGTCAACTAAGATGAGGATGTTGGGGATTCACCATGTTTCCTGCCGTTCCTTTCACACTAAATTAGATGGATCGCCAATTGAAATACATATCGCAGTATAAACGTTGATATGTGGTCTCGTGTCTCCTCTACCAACAGCTCCAAAATCGAGTTCCAGTTCTCCGTATAATCTCCGAGCAGCAACTTTTGAGTGAGGTTCCTTCCATATTAATGTTGAGTAGCTGCATTCAAAGAACAGATGGTCCCTGGTTTCCACCGAGTGTTGACAGAACACGTATGAAATCCCTGCTCTCACATTCCATGCCTGCAGTCTATCTCCAGTAGAGAGGCGATTGCGGATAGCCAACCATGTGACGAATGAGTATTTCGGAGTTGAGTGCTTAAACCAGACACCTTTATACCACTCGTTGCGTGGCTTTTCCTCCCGAATAAGTATCCATGTATCTTTCGATCTGAATCGCGGTTTGAACTGATCATTTGCTTGAAGCCATAACACTTTATCCTCTTTGTGTTGGTCTGCAGCCTCCCGTAAATTGTCAATTGCATCTTCAATCTGGTTGAGTAGAGTTACCCGATGGTTTCTCCGTCTGTGAGTGGCTAGAACCGAAGCCACCGTTGAGTCAATACCCACTCCTAGGTCTACATATCCGCGGTTTCCAGTGAGCTCGTGTAGGCGGCCCATGGGAACCTATTTATCGTACCAGAACAAAGTGTCTTCTCCGTTCTTCACCTCAACCAAATAACAAGCAAATGTTAGTAAGGGTATAAGAAACTAATAACACTAGAATTTAAAAAAATATCAAGCAAATAACAATAAATGTTAGTAAGGGTATAAGAAACTAATAACACTAGAATCTGAAAATTTTAACAATTTTTAAAAATTTATGTACTAATAACCCCACCTTATACATATATATAATACAATTAACGAATAATGAGGACGTTGAGGGAATTAGAAAGTGCGTATAAAAAAAAAAACAGCTTTCAGTCTCAGCCATCGACTTACATAAGTAGCATGCAGCTATGAAAGTGGGTAGATGATAATTTTTGATTTCATCATTTCAACTGTCATACTACTCTTTTATCGTCTTGATCTTCAGCTTCAAAACTTTATATTCAAGTATGATATTATAACACAATGCTGTATATGTAGTTGTTCAAGTCACTATATATCTAATTCAATCATAAACAAAATGAGAACGTATAGTAGTACAGATCAATAATTAGTATTTGTCAATAATTGTTTCTATCATCGGAACTTCTTAACGTTAACCCCCCATGATGGAACAAGAAAAATAAAGACAACTTATCAACCTTTCTTAGATCATAATATGTATTTTTTTTTTTTTTTGAAGATATGTGAGACATGGAATTGATGGATTAAGGATTACCATTGCGCTTTGGTCCAAATAAAATGTGATCTGTTTTGGTTAAACAATTGAATTATGAAAAATGGAGGCCTATATGCATAGATCATATTATTCATGATCGGTTAAGTAATTGGTTTACTGATTGGTTATAGTCCGTGGTTCATGTATATACCCATCATTAGGACAAACACACAATTTTAGTTCCAGCTATGTTGACAAATAAACTTTAGCCAAACCGTTTATTAAACAAGTTCAAATTGAACTCAAGTATATTAGGTTGACTTTTAAACTTTAATTTATATAGACAGCTTAACGCCGATACTTTTCAAAATAACCAAAAAAAAACATGAAATGTTATTTTACTTGCAACTATTTGTAGTAAAAAAAGCCGAAAAGCTGTCGTACGGATTTCTAAAATCATGATAATATCACTGTCGTACGAATTATTGTAGTTTACTCCCAAAGTAGTTGGTTTAGTCGGAACAACGTCACGTATGATTGATACCTTCAACAACGGACGACCCATATCGAACTTACTGACTAAGTCAACCATTCCATAATTACTTTGAACATTCTTTAACCACTAACAATTGGATTTAGAACCAAAGATCACATTCTTATATTAGCTTTAATTTGGTGTCATCGAATTATTTCATCTTTATTAATGTACATTTTGTGACATTACCTCGATCCACGTTTTGATCATATCAAACATAGATCATGTGTCTTACAAAAAAAACCATAGTGTGTGTATTAAAAATTAAATTCCGTAGAAAAAATGTTTACAACGCCAATAAAGATGTGAAGATGTCATGACTATAAAATATCATATTCAGAATTTAAAGTTATGATTGTCTTCGTCACTAAAGAATGGGTGTTTTAGAACAGTTGGAAAGTCTATGATTTTTCAAATATTTTCGGGAAAATGTAGGGGCTATAGAAGTAAAAGCTTTTACTATCATAGACCCATGCAAGTATATAAATAAGCCCATGAAAATTACATTTTCGTCTCTTGGTGATGGAAGAAGAATCAAGCATGGCTCAAGCTTCTTTTCTTTGCCTTCTCCTCAGTTTTTCAATCATAATCCTTTCTAATGCAGCCGGTTGGTTAACTAACTCAAATATTTATTTGATTTCCTATGTAAGTGGATTAGATTAGACTCAATTTGAGTTTGGTTTCAGATATAAGCATAGACTGTGGATCATCAAGCTCGCACATTGATGCGGACAACAGAACGTGGGTGGGAGACACGGCCTATGTAACCACCGGTTTGACGTCCACATTTAAACCATTAGTCAAAACCGATGATTCTCTAACCACACTCCGGTATTTCCCTACGGGAGAGACCAACTGTTTCTCCAACATTCCGGTAGATAAAGGTGGGAAAGTGTTAGTTAGGACAAGATTCAACTACGGGGACTACGACGGAGAGAGCAAGGCTCCCAAGTTCGATGTCGTGTACGACGGAAAACATCGAGATTCGGTCATCACGACGACATCGATCAGCGGTTCTCGATCGGAGGCGATATTTGTTCCTGAGAGCGGGAATACTAGTGTTTGCTTTTTCCGTACGTTTTTGAACGAAAACCCTTTTGTGTCTACCATTGAAGTACGGAGGTTGGATAACTCCATGTACACCGATCTTGGCCCCAAGGAAGGTTTCATTCTCCAGCAACGCATCGCCTACGGCAGGCTGCAAGAATTAGTAAGGTAAACATATATAAATGGTATATATGAATATCATTGGTTATTATCTAAGTGATATTAACAATTTGTTTAATATGCATAACTAAAATCTATAAAATATATTTGTTTAAAGCCTAACACAAGGTCCTTACCTTCTTGATTAAAAAAAAAAGCAAAATAAATAAAAATGAAGCATATATATGTGTGACAAAATATCATCCTGTTAATTCATAAACTTTGCATATACAGGTCCCCATTTGATCCTTATGATAGAATTTGGGCGCCAACACCACTTTCGACCGTAACTCTAACAAGTGCTGCCACATCTATCAACACAACATGGGCTGACAATCGACCACCGGAGATTGTCCTCCGGACCGGCTGGTCACGGAAGGACATGGCTTTCTATGATATAAACCTACCTTTTTCCGGAGTAACATTTTACATTGTCCTCTATTTCTCCGAACCACTAAGCCTTGCTTCCGACCAAAAGCGGTCTTTCTATGTTTACTATGACAACAAGCAAGTGAGTCCAAGTACAATTATGCCACCTTTCGGTGCTGTGACGCAAGCTGTTTTGAGGGCTGTGGTGACGACTAAGCTTCCCTATCTGACGTTTAAAGCTACACCAGACTCTACTTTGGACCCACTCATCAACGCTCTCGAGCTCTATGTCATTAGTAATAGTGGTGGAAATGGGACGAGTTCAACGGGCACCGGCGGTGGAGGCAGTCCTAGCACTGGCGGTGGTGGAGGCAGTCCTAGCTCTGGCGGTGGTGGTGGCACCCCTAGCACTGGCGGTGGTGGTGGCAGCTCAGGCTCCGATGGTGGTGGAGGCAAATCCGGTACTTAATCTTTTTCATAATCTTACATGGTGTATTCATACGGTTCACTTAAACAATAGTTTTGGTTTCACCACGGGTGTGCCGGGGTGTTCAATCAGGATTTTGGTTCGCTTTCAAATCAATTTTACAGTTCTTTGGTTTATATAGAATCATGTCCAATATATAACTGAATCTTCTAAGGATGGTTTGATAAAATATATGTTCTTGAATGGCCTTTTTTTGTGATATATGTGTATGAAGATTCTTCAGGGGAGAAAAGCAGCAACTTAGGTTTACCTCTTGGAATTTCAATTCCATCGTTTGCTGTTCTTGGAACTGGTGGTTGGTTCGCCTGGAAACTAATCTTCAAACCCAAGCGCCACCCTGAATCAGAAAGTATATATTATCCTCTCTTTTCTTCATGAGTATATGTACATTATCTATTTTCTTTACTAACAAACTCAATAGCTACCGTTTCATTTGAACTTCTAATATAACTTTTTTTACATTGGTATAATTTTTATTGAAATAAAAATATTTTGTTGCAGGGCCACTCGCCCCTACCCATCATCATCATTATATGGGTCCAACGGTCATAGCAGATAAAGTAGAAAGCGTAACACAGATGCAGAGTCCTCCTCCTAAGTGACATCGACGACTTCAATCTTATGTTATTCTTTACCTCTTTCTATTTATTGGTTGTTAGATGTAATTTATTATTTTTTGAACTTAATTTCCATCATATGTTTCACATAATTCGTGAGATTTTTCTTTTTCTTTTGTTGGCAGACTTCAATATTTCACATTAATCAGGCGACATAAAACTCACAAGTTTCATAAATTCCAAAAAAACTGGCCAAGCCATTTCTTGATTTCAATTTGAAAATTTTCAGTTCCTTTACCCGCAAAGCAGACCCTCTCGTTTATGTCTGCATATGATTTTGTGTTTTAATGTTGACTAACGTGATATTAGGTATGTGATTTCTCACAGAAAGCTAAGTTGAGTACACTCAAGAGTGACATATGGGTGTTGACCCGATACAGATACATGTCTTTCATGTCTAGACATCAACTAGAGTGATAAGGGTTTGTTTGTCCCGGCAACAAAGAAGATTCGACTTAATAGTGCCTACGACGGTCTTTCGATGAGTGAGACGATTCGCGATGGTCACGATCCCGAGAAGAGTGATGTCTTGATTTATCCGACGGCCCACCTGAATCCATCAGTCTATCTCTCGACCGATGATGACTTCTATCTTTTAGTTTGTCTCTGTCCCTATCACTCTCCTTGTCAGAATCTCTGCCTCTGTCTCTGTGAGACCTAACCCTGTCCCTCTCTCTACCTCGTTCCTTCTCTCTATCACTCTCTCTTTCCCTCTCTCCTACTTTACTTTCCTTCTCCCTTACGTCTCCTACATTTAGCTGACTGTTCGACTCAGTATCGCTCTTCTTCGAATCCGTAGCCTTTTCATGAGGCGTACTAATCATTCCATCCTTAGACTCGTTATTCGCTGATCCGGGAGTACACTTGGTATCAACAGCATCGCCCACTGCCGCCGGTAACACATCCTGTAACACAGTGGCAACGTATATCAGACCAAGCTCTGATAAAAGCAAAAATAAATGCACTCAGATTCTGCTGAACAGGCAAAATAAAAGTAAAGAACGGCTCTGCTTCAACACTACACAACATGCAATCTGGCAATAGCTATTCCGTTTGCTCTAGTAAGAAATGAACTCAACATGATATGGACAATAACTCGTGCTTTCGCAAAAATCACAAAACCTAGAATCCTAGATAGTGATCAAAACCTCACCTTAGTAGCTTGCGAATTCCCGGATCTACTGGAAAATGTGAATGGCTTCCCATCCTTGCAAACGGAGATATACTGAGCCTTTGGAAGACTGTATAGATGAGCAAGAACTCTACACACTTCGTCGATACTAGATTTATCTGCATCAAATGCTTTCCACCAGGGTGGATTCTCTGGGAGAGGTACTTGAAACCTACGAGCAGCCGCATACACGACCCCACAAGCCACAACCTCACTTCTGAACCTTACACAAAGGGTTGTGCGCAGACTGCATATATATAGACATATCACGTGAGATCAAATAAGAACAAAAACATAAAGGAATGATCAGTTATTGTTATGCCGAGAATCAGCTGAAATATCAGCTCTGAAACCTATTTACACAACGTTGTACAGCTAACTATCGAGTACTCATTTAAATTTTAAAGTTACCTGTCGTTTGCCAAGTTCCAAGCTTCTTGCCTCAGTTCTGGAGGTGTTTCAAGTGTGGCAAGGTAGTTTGATATGAACTTGTGAGGATGTTCAACATGACAAACAAAACCCATCTCTTTCAGTATATGTCTCTCAGTTCTGCTTAAATCAACTTTCAACTCAGAGAACTTCTGCAGAATATAAACAAGTGGGAATAGGATGAGATACAGAAATGATGAGCAAATAGCACTTTCAAAGCTATTCCAATGAGTAAGAAAGGAGATAGCAATGCCTAAACTTTTAGCCTACACGACACAGATAGACATAAAAAATACATTCAATATGACAAATATGCAATTGGTCACATACTTAGATGTAGTGGTGCAGTAGGCATACTAACCTTGGAATACAAATCCAGATGACCTAGCGGTAAGTTCTCCCTGCGGCACTCCATCCTGTGGAATACAATGATGACCTGCCTTGCTTTTTTAGGGTTTTCTTCCAATTTTGATGCAAGCCAGACACAGCTCGCAGCAACAATCTGTAAAAAGTAGTAGACTACTAAAGAACTCTCATACTGAAAAACCAACTGGTATTACAAAGTTAAAGGCCTAAAGAAAACAACACAGCGTACCTTTACATCAAATTTGGCGAGAGACTTCTTGCAATAGAATCGGTGGAAAAGAACCTGACCAGTAGCCATCACTGCCTGGGGTCTAACAATAAAGGTTAAGAAAAATAATAACAGCAATGTAATGTGACATCTGAGCTTTGCAAAATACTGAGACCCAAGAAAAGGATACAGTCTGAGCAAGATTCCACCTTCCTGGATGAGATCGCATCCATAGATTCTAAGTGTGATTTCGGTTGTTTCATCTATCCCATCTTTCCTGGAAGGTGTGCTCTTTATCTGCTCGTCTGGTAGGTAGAAATTGTCTATTGCAGTGTAAATCATCAATTCACTTAACTAAAGGTCCCTGTTACATTCCAGAGAAGACAACGATACAAGTAAACTTAGATTTCCGACGCAGAAAAAATACCTTTGTAGCACATGAGTGAGCAGTTTTTCTATGCAAAGTTAAATGTCAATTTACAAGTGTTGAGAAAGCAGTCAGCACAATAAAGAATCGATGCAAGTCTATTTCCAGCATAAAAAATTCATGATAGTAGCAAAACTGAGAAAGCTCCAGAGCAATAAAGAATTGAGATTCTTTCACAAATTCATATATAGATCATAAAACCATAAGTAATTTCAGAGTTGGATAATTCCTAATTTGATACAACAGACGACACTCAATAAATCGATTAAAAAGAATTGCTTTGAGATGTACCGGAAAGCTGAGAGAGACGGCGGAGAAACAAATCCACGGTGAGGCGATTCTGAGTGACGATGGGAAAGGGACGCAATCGAGAATATCGAGGACGAAGGAGGTCGAAAGAAAAATAAAAATGGAAGACTCGGAAAATATTAACCAAAAAACAAGAAATTGGGCCTACCTTATTGGGCCTATCTTATTGGGCCTTTAGCAACGAAAATGATAATATTGAATTATTTCCTAAAATGGAATTTTTTAAAACATATCGGGAAATACAGAAAACAAAAGTTAGTTTGCTCCACTTCTGGTCGGTCTCGCGCACTGAGACGCGAAGCAAGAACAATACTGCCAAAATCCAAAATCCAAAATCCCGATTTCTTCTGAACCAAAACCCTAAACTCATTCTTCCCGCCGGAGATGGCTTCTTCGATATCCTTAAAGCCGACGAACCTTCTCCTCTCGTCTTTCTCCACAGGCAGATTCCTCCATTTCCGCCCTTCGCGTTTCAGCCACAGACCATCGTCGTCTTCGACTTGTCGTCGGACCCTGGTGGCTCAATTCGGGTTCAGACCAGGGTCGTTCCCGGACCCAGGCTTTTCTCTCGATTTGATCAAGGACCATGTCGAGAGTCTTCTCTACACGATCGCCGATGCCGCCGTTTCGTCCTCCGACACTTTTGAACCTGTCGCTGGCACTACCACCACAAACCAGAACAGTGATTGGTTCTCTGGCATCGCCAATTACATGGAAACTGTTCTCAAGGTAGGCAATTTCTCTCTTTTCCTTTTTTTTAGAGGGAGAATGAATTTATGTTGCTGTGTAATTGAGTTTGGTTGGATGTAAAATTGCAGGTTTTGAAAGATGGGTTATCGACTGTACATGTACCTTATTCATATGGTTTCGCTATCATTCTACTCACCGTGCTTGTTAAGGCCGCTACGTTCCCATTGACCAAAAAGCAGGTTTTTCACTTTGTTTCTATAACTACTAAAGCCACATACTCATTCAATTATCTTCGATTTGTATTGAAATGGTGGTTTATTTCTCTACAGGTCGAATCTGCCATGGCTATGAAATCTTTGCAGCCTCAAATAAAGGCTATTCAAGAACGGTATGCTGGTGATCAGGTAATAAACCATTTCTTCGATATTGCAACATGGATTTTTCTTTGTTTCCTTTCTGTTACTCAAAAGAAAAGCATTTCCTGCTGCCCATACAAAGTCAGAGTTGCATCAATCATTAGTTCATAGTTTTAAGGGAAAAAAAAGTAGGAACAAGTGTGTAGCTGTTGGTTATTATCAATTTGGAGTGGTTCTAATGTATATATATACGAAAGATTATAGCTTTACTTTCTATGAATGTAACCCTTCTAATATTGTTGTTTGTCTTTGCAGGAGAAAATCCAGCTTGAAACTGCCAGATTGTATAAACTTGCTGGAATCAATCCCCTTGCAGGTAGGGTTTGCTGCTTTAGATATTCATTTGAAATAGTAGTCAGGTCAAGAAAGGTTTTTTTTTATTTTTCTTAATTTCTTCCAGCATTTTGCTAAGCTAACTTTTTATTTATCGCTTAGGCTGCCTCCCAACACTAGCCACAATACCAGTTTGGATTGGGCTATATAGAGCCCTCTCAAATGTTGCAGATGAGGTACCTGGCAAAAAAAACACTATATCCTTTTGTTCCTGTGAGCGCCTAGAGAATTTTTTCTGACAAAATGTTGCATGCTCGTTTTAAACTTTAAGGGGCTCTTAACGGAAGGCTTTTTCTGGATTCCTTCTCTTGCTGGTCCAACAACTGTTGCTGCAAGACAGAGTGGCAGTGGAATCTCATGGCTGTTCCCTTTCGTTGTAAGTATCAGTCTTGAGCCTCGATATTTAATTGTGTGAATATTTTGGAATGGAATTCTAGGCTAGACTCTTAGTTCTTGTCAACTCTTATTCACTAATTACTTAAGCATATAAACTAATGGAAGAGGACGTGAGTCGAGCAGTGTCTGGGCCTTATTGCTGATGTCTACAAATTTCAATTTTATGTCTCAGGAAGGACACCCACCTCTCGGATGGTCGGACACATTAGCATATCTTGTCTTACCTCTATTGCTCATCTTCTCTCAGTACCTCTCCATTCAGATTATGCAGTCCTCGCAGTCGCAGGTATAGCATCTTTTGGCATATGTTGTAGTCTTGGTTATGAAAATATGTAAACTGGTGCATGTCCCCTAAGTTCATTCAGCTAACTGAATTCAACCGACTCCTTTATGCAACATTGATATTTATGGTCTACTATTTTTCTTATCATCATTTCATATCTCAGAGTAATGATCCAGCCATGAAGAGCTCACAAGCGGTGACAAAGCTTCTTCCGCTGATGATTGGCTATTTTGCACTATCAGTTCCTTCTGGCTTAAGTCTTTATTGGTGAGAGCAGCAGCAACTGGTTTTGCTTATTTTCGCGAGTCTCAGATTTCCACTTGCTTTTCTTCTCGTTTTGAAGAATGCTTTTGCAGGTTGACCAACAACATCTTGAGCACAGCGCAGCAAGTATGGCTTCAAAAATATGGTGGTGCCAAAAATCCGGTGGAGAAGCTGACTAATATGGTCATGAAGGAAGATAAAACGCAAAAAGTTGAGAAATCTTTATCAGAACCACCGCTAGTTCAGAAGTCTGTTTCAGAACTGAAAGTACCGAAAGAGAAGGGTGGTGAAAAAGTGACCTCAGAAGGGCCTAAGCCTGGTGAAAGGTACTAGATTTTCTGAAATGTGTTATTCGTGACCAGAAGCTATTTGTTGTATTAACACATCATCGATGTAATTCCCAGGTTTAGGCTGCTCAAGGAGCAAGAAGCAAAGAGACGTCAAGAAAAAGAAGAGGCGAAGCGGAAAGCTGAAGCAGCTCTATCAAATCAAAATACAAAATCTGATACAGTTGATGTCGCTGAAGGAGATAATGAGAAAAACGAACTTTCTGCAGTGCAAGAAACAACCGGTGGCTCTGTCCCTGTGAATGGGAAGCCATCTATTCAAAAGGATGAGAGTACGAATGGGAAACTCGGAGTTGGCCATGAAACAGAACAACACCATTCTCATGAAACATAGAAGAGGTCAACACTAAAGGCGAAGCCAAACAAAGAAAGATGATTTGAGATTTGAATAAGATAAGATGAGGGATCTCGGTACTCGAACGTATCCCCTCTGCAACAAAGTTTATAGATCTTAGGAGTGGGGACATTTAGGGAATGGCCAAAATGGGTTTTTATAAGTGGTGTAAACTTGCTTCATGTTCCTTATACTCATGTATAAGTAGAAATACGTTGATAATCATTCACAGGTTTTGCTCTTAACACGACAGTAGTTTACTCTAGACTACGCAACTTGTCTTCATGTGATAATATTGGAAAACAGGAATTGCAAACATCATCAGGAAGACAGGAATTAAGGTCTTTCTCTCTGACAGTAAATTTTGTGATGGATGCAACACAACGATCTTCAACACCGATATTTTGAATGCTGATCGGTTCAGTGCCGGAAAAAAAAGATGGAATAGTATCAAAATCAGGAACACAAATAAGATTGAGGCATGTTCTTAAAATAAAAGCTTGCAAGAGAGAAAAACCTTGTTGAATAGTATCAAAATCTAAAAAGAAAGCAAACACACAAAATGAACACCCAAGACGCCAAAGGGTAATACAAAGGTTGCTGCATTACATCATCAGTATTCAGAGCATTACATCATATCAGTATTCAGCATTAGAGATGACATCATCGATCTTTAGAATCATCTTAACGACTTGAGTTGCAAGTAAAATCTGCTGCTGCTTCCCGATCAATGTTTCAAACACATTTTGGTCCCTCATATCGTTTGTTCCCACGTCATTGCAATCTATCCCGTAGAAAGGAATGTTCTCCTGCTCATCACACATCCCACACATGCCAAGTTTTGTTCAGTCACCGAACAAACAAATCAATGGCAACATAAGATAACCAAGTCACTTACCTTAATTTGCTGAGATTTAACAGCAGAGAGTGTCTCAATCGGCTGTAAGCCACTGTTCTCTGCAAGAGCCATAGGGACAGAGTCCAAAGCTTCTGCAAATGCCCTTATTGCATACTGCAAAGACGGAAGTATTTATATGTAACATGTGTCTTGAGCGTTAAGATTTATGAAATAAATGATTTCACTTCGGACTCAAAGAGGAGAGCAAACGTCTTTTACCTGCTCAACGCCAGGGTATTTATCAGCAGCTGCATCAACCGCAAGTGAGCATGCGATTTCAGCTGCTCCGCCTCCATATACAATGGATTTGTTGCGGATGAGATTCCTCGCCACACACAGAGCATCGTGGATACTACGCTTCGTTTCTTCTATCATCATTTTGTTACCTAAACCACATCCCATAACAAAATATTAATCTTGACCACCAAAAATAAACACCGAATTGTTGTTAAGCAATCAGTTCTACAAAATCTTTGACCACCACATACTTTGAAGCATATTAGACTTAGTACAACAACGTCATCAGCTATTATAAAGCCAGTGTTGTTAACAAATATTAAAGAAAAGCCTATGAGTACCTCCACGGATGAAAATAGTAACAGCCCTTGAGTTCGCACAGTGCTCAATATACAGCATTCGTTCTTTTGTTGTGCCAAATGATTTCTCACGAACCAAGCCAGCCTAAAACACATGAAGTAATGTGAGGATTCAATGGTCTGATTAAAACACATTTAACATTCCACTCATTTTACTGGCGCCACCAACTGAAAATAAATATTACCTTCCCTAACTTCTCTGTGGTCAACTCCTGGAATCTTGGAACAATTCTGCCGCCTACATAAAAGGCAAACCTCCTTATCAGCTCTACATAACTGATTTAAAACACTAGCAAGTAGATACTTGAGAAGTGTCGTACCTGTGGCTATTGCGATAAGTTCTAATTCAACACCCCCGACCCATCTGACAGCAGGCAAATTCCTGTGCATCAATAGATGGTTTGCCTCATCATCGAATCCCCATTGGCAAATAACCAATGTAGCTCCAACATCCTGCAAGTTTAAACTATAAGGATCATGCAGAAACCATATCATAAAATGCATTGCGGTAACTAATCTCAATTTTCAAAAGCCACCGTTCTTCAGTAGTTCATTCAACATCTAAATGACAATGAAAACAGAAAAAATTTAAAAACCTACCTTGCACTTTTTAACCATCTCATCGAAATATTGCTGCTCTTGCTTGCGCAATAACTCAAACTTCTCCACTGTGTCAATGTCCACCTTATGCTTAGTTTTCGGCTTCGGTGGCTCAAAGGGGCAAGTCAAAATGGCAATGTGGGCATCTTCAATTCGCTTTGGCATTTGTGGATGACTCATGTCTTTATCAACCAATATTCCATATATAAGCTCAGTGTCCTCCAGCTTTCCGCCGACTTTGCCTTCTACTTTGATCAAATCTAAGTTAACATCCCTCCTCTCTAAGTCAGCAACAGCAAGAACTGCTTTTACAGCAATCTCAGCTAAGCTGCGCTTGCATCGATTCACACTGTAACAATGAGCAAAAAAACAAAAGGTTAGGACAACATTCCACAAACCATTTAAAAAAAATCAGTAACTTTAAAAGGTAAACCAAATATTAAAAGGGCTATTACATCTTCGAGGAAAGAGTAGTCATGCACGTTTGAACGAGAGGCTCGAAATTATTAATGTCGAATTCAAACTTCTGAGATATACGCTCCAAATGCTCAACTGCAACTCTAGAAGCCATTTCATATCCTTCAGCGATACGGATAGGGTGAATTCCCCTATCTAATTGACGTTCAGCTTGCTCCAGAAGCGCACCAGCCATGACAACAACACCTGTTGTGCCGTCACCAATCTCGTAATCCTGACTCCGTGATAGCTCAACCATAAGTTTCGCAATCTGGTTGTCAACATCCATTTGCTCCAAGATGGTTGCACCATCGTTTGCTGGAAGAACAAAACAAAACAAAAATTGGAAAAGTTATAAACAAAATAGCCAAAAATGAAAACAGATTATGCTTCACCGAAAAAGATGCACGAGTATTATTCATGGTAAAGCAACTGTTACCAATTTACGCATCTTGAAAAACTGCTTAGTGAAATGAGCTCAGTTTCAAGGCAAGAATGAAAACGACTTCACAAAATAGAATCGATTGTGAAAAAAAAAAACCATGTATTGCATATTCGGAAGATGAAAATAGCAAATTTTGTTAGGAGTCTGAGTTCGAATTGAAAGGATTCGTTAGACAAAGTTTACATCACATGACAATTACAGCAATTTTCAATTCAGCGCTACCAAATGAGAAATTCATAAGAAGTTAAGCTGCAGAAGAAACTACTTGAGCTGCTCAGCTAAGCTCACAGACGAAGCGAATCCATTTTCAAAAACTATTCAGCGAAAAGCTAGATAGATCCATTCATCAAACTACTAAATCAACATAACAAACCCTATTTCAAGTAGACAGGAATGAAACTAAAATCCGGAAGCAGATATGAAAACAAAAAAGGAGGAACGAACTGATAGTGACGTCTCCGTCAGGTCCCTGAAGCATCTTGTCCATTCCCTTGGGTCCGAGAGAGGAGCGAAGGATCCGAGCCACCGCTTTGCCAGCTGCAATATTGGCTTTCTGAGCATCGATGCCTCGAAGACGAGTCTTCTGATCCTGCTCCCTCAGTATAATGAACGGACGCCCGTACTCATCGAACGCCAGCGCCATTCTCGTGCCTTAACTTTCCTCGATGCGATCGAAGTACAGATCTCGGTTTTTTCTCTCTCACTGCGCTAAGAAAGAAAAAGGTTGAAATGGGAAGAAAAAAAACGAGAAGAAGAGTGTCTCGAAGATTTGAGAGCGAAAATGGTAGTGTAAAACCCTAACTCGTTGTAGATGGCAGGATCGTAAATTGAAGCTGATTCAAGGGGCTTACCAAATAGTTGGGCTTACAGCTTAAAGCCCGTTTTAATATAGAAACCAATACAGTATTTTTCACTATCATGCAAGTTTAAAGTTCAACAAATATACAATGTATTCTCACATCTCATAATCATGAATTTCTTAGCGATGCATCAAAACCAATTAAAGAATCATGTCAAAATCGGCTTTGCAAATAAAACTATCTTTGTCTTCATTTTCATTTTACTATGTTTTGTTCTTCGTCTTCATTTTCATTTTCTATGTTTTCATTGATATTTACATGCCGATAACATTTTTAAAAAGTATTGTCTTCTACATTTTCTCAGTTTACAATGTTGTTCTACTTGTTTTCTTTGTTTTATCAAATTATAATTTAATTAACACGTCTTTAGAAAACAATTATTTGCATTCGTTTTATTAGGTTCCTTTAACGAATGTGTATATAAACTAAATAGTTATATTTAATACTTTCGGTTCATTTTGTTCATCAGCGCGCGAATGAAACACACACACAGAGAGATAAATTAATCTGAATGAAATGGTTTCCTATTCAATCAACTCATTTGCATGTTATCATTCAATATCTATATCGTAGCAAATCCATTTTTAGGTACTCCAGTAGATCTACATTGGATTGAACGGTAATCCTCTATCATCGTTAAAACGTTTTCTATTTTATTTTATTTCAATCACACAAGACAAGCTATATATACATAATCAAACCCATCTCCTCCAATCATCACAATCTCCAAACCTCAAACCCTAAAATAAATTTAAAGAAGAGCTACGTAGGAACGAGAGAGAGAGAAGAATGGGTCGCCAAAACGCAGTCGTAGTCTTTGGCCTCGTGTTCTTGGCCGTCCTAGGCCTCGCCGCAGCTGCCTCCTCTCCCTCTCCATCAGCGTCTCCCTCCAAAGCTCCCGCTGCCTCCAAAACTGAGGTCGTCCAAGCTCCAGTCACCGATGACCAAATTGGAACCACCGACGACGATGCAGCTGCTTCTCCTGGTGATGGTGACGTGGCAGTGGCTGGTCCTCTAGGAAGTGACTCCTCTTACGGTAGCAGTGGACCTTCAGGCTCTGCCGATTCTGCTGACAGCGGTGCGGCTGCGCTTGGTGTTTCCGCTGTTGTCGTTGGTGTTACATCCATGGCCGGTTCTTTCTTGTTTTTCTGAGGTGTGTATTTATTATTATGAGAAGGTTCTTTTGGAGATAAGAAGAATATTTCTATGTATGGATGATTTGTGATGATCTTGTTGTCTTTTGTTTCTCTGTTGTTATGAGAAACGTTGTATTTGTAATAAAACTGAAAAAGAAAAATGACACTTCCCATCAGCAATGGTACAAAATTACGGATCGAATAGTATATTCCATCCAAATTTTCATGTTTTCGAACGCAAATAAGTTATGTAGATTCATAACCATTTCTATTTGAAATGCTTATATTTGTTTCATATGAAAAAACATATTAACTATGCCACGTTATTAACAATAAAAACAAATTAAATGCTTTCTTGAACACTATAAAGGCTAAAACAAAGGAACATTGGCTTGGATACTACTACCATTATGTTCGTTGGACAATGTATATATATGTCGAGGTAAATATCAAGCAGATAATGTCCTCGCCATAAAGGCGCGATAAAGGCTTATGATTTAGATTCATGTACAATCTAAATCACTGATATAAGATGTTACAAAAAGAAAAAGGCTAAAACAAAGGACCGTATTAGTTTTTCGTATTTTCCAAATACATACCACAAATAACAAAAGTTTCACTAAAATTCAGAAAAACTATATATTTATGAAAATTTCCTAAAAACATACGAACACTACTAGGAAGTCTTCGTATAAATCATTAATACTTTCATGTAAGGAAAAACTTTTACGAGTGGCGCCTTCATCGTTAAAAATTTGGTGCAGACATCTCAATTCCATCATTATTTGATGATACATTTTCCCGCCGTTATTCTGCAACATGTTTGAAATTGGCCATGACAAATTTGAAATAGATTTCTGAAACAACGGACTTTATCTGTCTCCATTTGTCAATAACTTTACATGACGGCGAATTCTAGTTTTGGATGACGAAAATATTGTATTATTTTTGTGCTTTCTTCTACTAAATGTTGCTTATCGAACAGTACTAAATAATAAAAAGTTATTAAAAAAAAAAGAGAAATACGCCAAATTTTTGTTAGGTAGAATGTAAATACATGTCATGTGGTCATTCATCAACGCCAATTCTATACATGTAGTATAACAGGTGCTAGTTCCACTACTTTATGTCTTCACAAAACAAAATTACATTATGGAATTTAAAAGGTATGGTCACACACCAGTTTCTTGGTTGGGTTTGGGGATCTTCCACTTAAGAAACTCAGTGAGGGACCCATCAACGTGTGAAGAAAGAGCCGTACGCGTAGTGCATACGGTCCATAATGGTGTGTTACTCTTTTGGTGCAAATTTTCTACTAATATCTCTCTTCTTTTTACTTTCTCTCGATCTATTTTCTCTCTTTATGATCTCTTTAGCCTTGTTTAAATAAAAAAGAAAATCGACGTATTTGATGTATTCCTATCAAATATCAACCATCTACTAGCATGTCATCTATCATACTTGATAGAGAAAGTTCCACAATTACTAACCGTCCGGATATTCAATATTCGCAAAATCTATTTTCAAAGATCTAAAAGATAGGCTTTCCAAAAAGAGTATGTACAAAATGCCAATTAACAACCAGGTAATGATGATGTTTTTTGATAATTTTTGTAATTTAGAACAAAAGAGCCAAAAAGACCAAAAACTCTTAAGTGTTGACAACTATAGAGAGGAAACGTGTAGCAAGATATTTAATTTCGTAGTGTTGTTCTTCTATGATATTATATTCCTCGTTTTAAGTTAAATAAAGAAAAGAGATAATTACCAGCAGTTTCACTTCAACCATAACTCCGAAGATAAAGAAAGTATAATGAAACAAGAACAATTAAAGTAATTTTTAGGTTTGGTTATAGGTCTTCGAGATTCATCAATCCTTTTGCCGTCTAATCATTTGCATGAGTAATTTGCTATCGATGGCACTGTTATCAACCTAATTAATAATACGATTTTAAGTGCATGTTGAAATCATAGTAGCTATATAAACAAGAAGTTAAAGTTAAGCCGTCATTAAGTTCTCCAAAAACATTTTCAACAACCAACATCCCCGCTCATCTCTAGTACTCATTCTATTCTTGCATATAATTTTATAAACATCTTATCTGAATTTTGGGTTTTGGTTTGATTTTTGGAGAATGATGATGCCAAAAAAAAAACACATATGGATGGCTGTTGCAATTGGTCGACCACTTGTTTTTTTTTTTCCCCGACAAAAGTAATATTTTATATATTAAACGAACTTACATAATTGGAATACATAAAAGTTGTTACCCACGAAGGTAGATACAGTTTTCATGAATAAAATATAGAATTGGGATTGGTCGAGAAGGTGATAATTTAGGCTTTGTGTTAGGACATGTAGAGAGTCTAGATTAGTGATTATTTAGGTTTCAGGTCAGTCGTTCTTTTAAAAGTCTGGATCAAGCTGGTTTCGGATTGGTCAATTTTTTCAACATAATTTTCGTGTTTACTTGTCAACGTCAGCATCAGTTACTCTTTGTTGGTGGTAGTCAAAGTGTTTGATAGTATGATATGTGATATGGCAAAGTCTAAGTGTGTAACTCGTGTAATAGCAAAACTTGGTCAAAATTCAAATCGTAGGTTCTTCGAAACATATATATGAGAAAGACGCAAGAGCCTTCTAAGTTCCTACTAACATTTCACTATTCTTGGCTGGCAATTTCCTCTCATCGCTGCTTACCAGTCCACTCTTTGATTAAGACAGACTTTTCCTCCTACTTGTCTATTTTTATCAAATTTATAATTATTTTATCCATTTGGTTAATACGGCTATTCAATTTGGCTCGGTTCTGACAGTTGACCCCATTCATTTGTGTCTCTCTTTAATTAGCAACTTTCCACTTTCCAGCGACGATGTGACCCAATCCCTTATTATCATTTTCGTGTTTCGTCCGAGTTCCCACTTCTGCACTCACACACCCAATTACTATTTTGATCACAATTATTCAACATACAGAAAGTGCGTCTACATTCTCATAAAACCTCATTGTTTTAGCTTAACTGATAATTAGAATTAGCTCGTAATTTAATTGGGTCCTACTTTCTCCTTGACCCATGCGCTATCTTCCAACCTCATCAATGCTGTAACGCAAACCCAAATATTGTCCTTCTTTTTCCATTAACTTTGATTGATTTCGAGTTCTTGTTTTTACCCCCACAAACACACCATTGTTGGGTTGGGGGGGGGGGGGGTTATTTGACTATTTTCTACGAATTTACTATAATACCCTCGGTTGTCTCGAAGTACAATTGTGTACAGTCAAGTTTAAACACACAAGAAAGTGAAGAATTTAATCGACCCATTTTCGAAAACACCGCCCTGTACTTACCTGCCACGTGGCGAAGTTTCTCTGCACGACGCGCTTCTATAAATATATTTACATTTTCTACATATCTCTTCAGCGTCTTCACCCACAGACACATATAGCTAACTTCTCTGAGTTCTCTCACCAACGGATAGAGAGAAGATAAAGAAACTTGACGAGCATGAGGGTTATATCATGGCTATTCGATTCAGAAGATTCTTCCCGGAGAAGACGAGTACCAAAATCTCCGAACCATTTAGAGTCCGGCGATAGCGCCACGTCATCGTCATTGAGCGAAATCACCGGCTCGAGCAGTCTCCAGAGCAGCCTCTCTCTGCAAACACTCCCTTCCGTCCCTTCCCTTCAGAAAATCCCTACCGACAATCTCGCCGTCACCGTCTCTCACTCCGTTACATCCTCATTCAAACTCCGGGAACGGAGTCTCCCTGTTACCTGCCTCGCCGTCCACGGAGGCTATCTCTTCGCCGTCTCCGGACACGAAGTCAGTATCTACGATCGCGCCATGTGTGCTCATCTCGACACTTTCAACGGCCAGGATTCTTTCTCGGGAAATGTCAAATCGGTAGGTTTCTCCGGCGAGAAAATCTTCACCGCTCATCAGGACGGGAAAATCGGGGTTTGGAAACTAACGGCGAAAAACGGTTACAAACAGCTAACGACGCTTCCCACATTAAACGACCGCTTGCGACGTTTCGCTCTCCCTAAAAACTACGTTCAAGTACGCCGTCACAAGAAGCGTCTCTGGATCGAACACGCTGACGCCGTTACCGCTCTCGCCGTTAATAACGGATTCATTTACTCCGTCTCTTGGGACAAGACCTTGAAGATATGGAGAGCCTCCGATCTTCGTTGCAAGGAATCAATCAAAGCCCACGATGACGCCGTTAACGCCGTCGCCGTCTCTACTAACGGCATCGTGTATACTGGATCCGCCGACAGGCGTATCCGGGTTTGGGCGAAACCCGCCGATTCGAAACGCCACAAGTTAGTAGCGACTTTGGAAAAACACAAATCGGCGGTGAACGCTCTTGCATTAAACGATGACGGATCGGTCTTGTTCTCCGGTTCGTGTGACCGATCAATTTTGGTTTGGGAGAGAGAAGACAGCTCTAATTACATGGCAGTGAGAGGTGCCTTAAGGGGACACGACAAAGCAATACTTAGCTTGTTCACCGTCTCCGATTTGCTCCTAAGTGGATCAGCCGATAGGACGGTCAGGATCTGGCGGCGTGGAGTCGATGGTAGTTACAGCTGCTTGGAGGTACTTTCCGGTCACACGAAGCCTGTTAAGTCGTTAGCTGCCGTTATAGATTCGGAGTTAGACGGTGTCGTTTCGATCGTTAGTGGAAGTCTTGACGGAGAGGTTAAGTGTTGGAAGGTCTCCGTCACCAAACCGGATAAATCGATTTACACGGATCTCGTTTTATGAATATTTTTTTTTTGTTTTCTATTTATTACTTTATTAATATTGTTTGGCGAACAGCATTTGGCGTTTTTTAACCGTCGCTTACAAAATGATTCGAGTATTTGTGTACACACAAGGTAACAAAAATTAATAATGTTATAAGAATAATGAGGTCATAAAATGGGTAGATAAAATGGATTAAAAATTAGTCAAGTGGTCATACCTGCACATGTTCTTCAGGAGTAAAAATGAAGATGCTGAACCTGGAGAAATCTATGGCGGTGATATTTGATGATTTTATGCCTATATTCTGTATTAGATTCCTTATTATATAGGTTTGTGATTGGTTGTCGGACAAATATACTTAATAAATTATGTTTGGACTGTTTAGTAAGATCATTATAATATTCGCAATGCAAAAGTCCATGAACCAAAGTGAGATTTTCAAGACAAATTACGCCAAAACAAGAAGTCAAAACTCCCGTGAGAGTGGATATGATATTATAACTTGCTTACTTTATACTAAAAAAAAAATTATTTGATGCATTTGTTATTACTGAAGTGAGATTGATCAAGACAAAAGGTGCTGTTTTAGTTGCTTCATCTCTACTGTTCAGGTGAGAGAGGTTGAGAAGATAGAGCATCTATTATTATAAATTTGTATACTAAAGATTCTAACCAGACCATAACATATAGCCTAATAATTTGGATTAATTAACGTTATCAATTATCGTGTTATTATCTAAGTTCAAATCTGCATAAGAAATATTATTGACAGAACGACTTCTTCGTTTTTACATAAAACTCAAATTGATTATATTATAAGAAAAATTATACCTACAGTTGATGAATTATATGAACTGGTTTAACTAGTAACTTAAACAAATGGAATCTTCCAGTCGAGGTCGAATGATAAAGGTACTAAACCTAATGCTTTAATTGTGAAATTATTGAATAAACTGTCACTTATACAGACTGTAATCCATTCATTGAGAAAACACAAAGCCAAACTACAATATTTGACAGTGAAACATTTCTCATTCATAGATTTGACAAAAAAATGGAATTATGATTTGTTTTAAGCGTAAAACAAGAAAGTATCAATTTTATTTCCAAAGGAAGAAAAACACTTGGAAAATATTAAAGAAACATACTTGGAAAAGCCGACAAAGAAAACAAGGGAGACTTATAAAAAATGGACAAAGATATATCACATAAAATCCAACTTGTAAATAGTTTAGAGAATTTGCATGATACAATACATTTTATTTACTATTTATGGTCAAACAAGTACAATTTTTATTCGTTATAGCATGTAAACATGTTGCTGACTTATTACCCAAAAATATATACATACACATGTTGGCAACCAATCAATAATGCTCGAGTCCGAGTATACAAGAATGATATTTTTTGACCAAACTATCTTTTACAATCTTTTCATTAGTCTAATTGTCTGCAACAAAGTTTTTTTTCCATAGTATTTCTCTCTATTGGTAGCATATTAAAATCGATCCGTTAGTTTTGGGGACTTTTATTAAAATTTTGAAAATGATAATAATATGACACCTGTATTTAGTATTCTGTAAAATCACTAGCAAAGTTTTTGGGTATAATGAGAACTTGCATGTGTCCAACTCATCAGCTTCACTCGAAAAAAACAAATTATGTCGACTGGTAAAGAACTAAAGGTTCAGCCACCACCACATCACTTAGATTTTCAATGCTTTCATATTCCCCCGCATCTTAACCAAACAAATCTGAGGTCACTCATAAAACAAAATGAGCTGATCACTGCTTCTTAATCCGAGTACGGGAGCACATCCTCACAAAATGCAATATCATGCAATGAGATCACGTTTTGATGCATTCTAAGAACACCTCCATTGATTTAGCTATCCTTTTGAATTCTCAACAAAAAAAATACTACTGTTTTGATGTAGTTTAATTAGATAATTTAATTATATTAGAAAAAATTAAACTAATAGAAAAAAAATAAATGCTAAATAGGATATATAAGAAGTTCTCATTTGAAAATCGATTCTAGACTTCTAGTATCTCTTTTTTTCTTTTCATTATTTAATCCTATAGATACCCTTACTCATACCGTTGATAGAGGTGTTCTAAAGCATAGACACCCGTATCTCATTGTAGCTAGACGCCTCTCCAAAAGGAGCAATTCATAGGTCTTAAGATAATGCAAAAATATCAACGGTTGTATGATCCCATGAGTGTCACTTAAAAAAAAATATTAATAATAATACTACAAAACCTGTTTAAAAAAAAAAACATAATGCAAATCATTTGGTGTGCGACTAAATTTATAATTTATTTGTTGAGTACTTATAAATATATGTATGAATAATTGTCAGAAATAGATATAAATTTCATAAGAAGATATTTTACTTTGTAATTCTACATATAATCCCTTACATCTAAATGTTTTTCTTTTTTAACACATATACATATATAATTTTTTGAAAATATGTCTAAATAGTCGTAGTATATACTTTTACTATTTGTCTACTATCGAGATGTACAATCAGACAAATACATAGACTATGCATCACCCATTTTAGGAAGAAATGGAATGAGAAGACCCATCTTGTGCGACAAAAGTGGACAAACTTGACACATACCTAGCTACGTGTACGTGACCGTGAGAATGAAAAGTAGTCATGCAACTTGGCCAACTTGAGCTCGTCTCATTACAACAAAAAGTCATTTCTCATGATGATATATGCTCCTTTTACTATTCACAAAGAGATATTAATCCTACAATCGGGTGGCCCAAACTTTGGTTTCTTCTATGGTTAGTGGAGAGGATTGCTTTCGGATTACGACCTTAGACCGAAAACTTGAGGATTGGCTACGTTGGAATATAATTGTTGAAGTTCATCTGTTCATGGATCCCTAAAGTCTCATCGTCTCACAGATATGGATTCATATGTGTGTATCTTGATTGTGGCAGATAAGTTAAGTAGAAGATGACAATTATTAATTATGTAAGCGTATATAGATATTATTCATATCTTACGTGCAAAAGTTTAAATGATTTTTTTATATTAGTGAACTGATATTATTATGGATTGACTATCGTGTGCGCTGTCTTGCGATTCACGACCACATACCTCAAGTTTAATAAGTCTACTAGGAGTATAACTATTTAACGAAAAGGAATAATTTATGCATTTCAAGTTTGTTCTCTATCACAATAAAATTAGTTGTAAATAGTTCTCCCAATAATATCTGGATGCCTTTTTTAAGTTTTGATATGAGCGTTGACTGTCAGCAAGTAGGAATATATAATCCAATATCAAATACGTTTAGCAAAAGATAAACTTTATATATATAATGGAATATCTAATGTACATAATTCACATAACCACTCACAGTATAATAAGTCAAATAATATTTTCCACGAATTAATGTGTCAGACATTATGTAAGTCATGTCTATGTTTTACTTAATTAACATGTATTTGATATCACTACAGGAAAATAGTGTGATATTGCAATAGAGAAAAATTGTTGTAATACATGAATATATCGTTGCAAATATGAAGTTGCAATAAAACTGAGCCCACTTAATATAGTTATTCAAAATTATTTCTAAAATTGTTTAGAAAATCGACCATGTTTGAATGCATCATTTATACTTATGATAGATTTGAATTAATCTCGTAAATTGTAAGCAAAGTTGTCTAGGAGTTTTCTCATCTGTTCTTTCTTTATCTTGTTCCACAAGATTGTCCGTCCTTCGTTGATAGAACCGCCGATTCTTCTCTCCCTCCAACCCTTCTTCTACTCTTGTCTGATGGAGTGAAAAAGTTCAAGAATCTGTAGGCATCTCTTCAACACAGGAGGAAATTTTTGTGCGATAAATATAAATATATAGACCGTTACTTTCGTGAAAACAAAGCAAATGACCCAAAAATAAGTTGGTCCAACCTATTGGCAGAGAAAGCCCACTTGGCTTAGCTCATAATGCTAGTTTGTCCTCAAAACTTGGGATAAATCAATTCTTCAAAAAGAGAAAAGAAAATCAGCACTATAATTCGAATGGATTGGATCGTTAAAAACAATTTAAAAATAAACAAAAGATATTGTCCAATAAAGTAAAAGTGGAGCGCTAATCAAATTAACATCTCGGATGAAAGCGAGTGATGGACAGTATGACATAAATCCACGGCGTATTTCCAAAGTAGTTCTACTTGTAGTTGTAAGGAAATTTCTGTAGATAATATGTTGTGTCTATAATTTCGCTTTTTTTTATAAATATATTGTTAACCCATTTGCTGCCAACTTTTCAAAACATTTATGTAAATACGTCCATTTTAAGCCGTTATGTATATCAGTCGCATAAACTGTTCAATACTGCTTATGGTTCTCAATTTTATGCTTGATTCAAATTTCCACACTTAATTCTGTTTTTATTTAAGTGTAGACCAGTCAAGTTGTTGCACACAAAAAAAAAATCAGTCAAGTTCTAAATAGTTAAAAAAAAAAACGAAAATATTAACTGACACATGTGAACTTTAAACATCTAAAGATATTTAAAATTGCTTACCAACTTCAAGTCTTCAACTCATTCAGCAGACCCCACAAAAAAAAGCAACCCATTCGAATCAGATATGTATGCTATATTAAAAAGAACGAGTTAACTAAAATTCAAAGGAAAATTAAGAAAGAAAATAAAAAAGTAAGTAACACTTTCTGGCCTCTGATATTTTAAAAGATAAGTTTGTAATCTTTTCGAAAGCCATTTCTTCGATTCGCATTAATCTCTATAATATCGTAACGTCAGTAATAGATATTTTCCTCACGGGTATTACTCGAATATAACCAGCTTTAATATTCAAACATATATCAGGTATATATTCAAATATCGACCGTCGAGTTCATTTTGGATTTTCACATGACCATTAGGTCGTCATTTCAACCATTCAACCGACTGTTAGATTACCAAGTCGCTGGAAATTACGTCACACTTAAATATCTCATTCTTTACCATTTAAGCAAAATCATCAATGTGTTTTGGGTTCAAAATGCACTAAATTAAGCAAACACACACTTATATGAAAGTAGTAGTCGAGACTTGCGGAAACTAAAGAATTCATATTCAAGATTTTGGACCAAGATTCTCTGATGAAAACTGAAAGTTGCATCTTTGTTGAGTTAATTGAAATTCAAAAGAAAAACTATATACAAAAGAATAGTAACCACTATCTCATATTCTCAAATATATGTCATTATCTGCTACAAAAATTCGATTAAGGTGGACCTGTACTCAGTTCATATCCATTATTCATTATTTTTATATCTTCTTACTCTACAATACCTTAAATTAATGGGGACCATGAATTAATTTAATGTCAAATACCTTCTTAATCGGAACCATAAATTTCACAAGAGTTAAATAATGGGGACCATAATATTGATGTCTAATACCTTCTTAATGCTTTTTTTTCCCTCGTAAACCCTACGAAATTGAATCCTTATTTCCGTTTGCGTCCAAAGTTACATCACTGATGAAATTTTCGCTGAGAAAATAAACGACCCCTAATTTACCATACGCTTTAAGTGGTTGGGAGTTAGAACCTGCCAGATAAAATTCACTTCTAATCAACGGTTTAACAAAAATAAAAAGTAAATAACACTTCCAATAATACTCCAGACTAGTAGTTGATATTAAGGTGTAACGAAGTTGGTGGGATCATTTAATAAAAGTAATATCTCGTAACTCCGTTATTCATTGCCTTATACAATTTCAGTTTCATCCTAAAAAATTCTGAGGTGATGGAGATGAGCATGTTGTTATCCGCGGTCAATTGGGTGTACAGCCATTTGAAGTTATCGGACGTGGCTTTAGCCCTAGTAGGGTTTTTTCTTCTTAGTTACTTGCGCGAGAAGCTAGTGAGCAAAGGCGGGCCAGTGATGTGGCCAGTGTTGGGGATCACACCGATGTTAGTCCTAAACAAAAACGATCTGTTTGGTTGGTGCACCAAATGGGTGGTCAGAGCGGGTGGAACGTTTCATTACAGAGGAGTTTGGTTCGGTGGATTATACGGTATCATGACCGCAGATCCTGCAAACATCGAACACATTCTCAAAACCAATTTCAAAAACTACCCCAAGGGCGAGTTTTATAGAGAGAGGTTTAGTGATCTTCTTGAAGATGGAATCTTTAACGCCGATGATGAACTGTGGAAGGAAGAGAGACGTGTGGCTAAAACGGAGATGCATACTTCTCGTTTCTTGGAACACACGTTTACTACGATTCGAGATTTGGTGGAGCAGAAGCTGGTGAAGCTGATGGAGAATATGACTACTTCGAAAAGAGTCTTTGATCTACAAGATGTGCTCCTGCGTTTCACATTTGACAACATCTGTATCTCTGCCTTTGGGGTTGATCCGGGATCGTTAGAGATCGACTTACCGGAGATTCCTTTCGCTAAGGCTTTTGAAGACGCCACGGAGTACTCACTTGCTAGGTTTCTGTTGCCTCCTTTTGTGTGGAAGCCCATGAGGTTTCTAGGGATTGGGTATGAGAGAAAGCTGAAGAAAGCGATCACAATCGTTCACGCGTTTGCGAATAAGACAGTGAGAGAGAGGAGGAACAAGATGAGGAAGCTCGGGAGCTTGAACGATTCCTCCGATATCTTGTCACGCCTTATGCAGAGAGAGTACGAGAAAGAAGAAGATACCACAAGAGGAAACTACTTTTCAGACAAGTACTTCAGAGAGTTCTGCACAAGTTTCATCATCGCAGGTCGAGACACCACATCGGTGGCCCTCGTGTGGTTCTTCTGGCTAGTTCAGAAACATCCCCAAGTCGAGAAGAGAATCCTAAGCGAAATCAGAGAGATTCGTGGGAAACGTACAAGGCAAGAAACATGTGACTGGTTCGAGGTAGAAGAGCTTAAGGAAATGGTGTATCTGCAAGCTGCTTTGACAGAGTCACTGAGGCTTTACCCTTCGGTGCCAATGGAGATGAAACAAGCTTTGGATGACGACGTGTGGCCCGACGGGACGAGGGTGAAGAAAGGCGCTAGGGTTTACTACTCGGTCTTTTCGATGGGGAGAATAGAATCGATTTGGGGTAAAGATTGTGAAGATTACAAACCAGAGAGATGGATCAAAGAAGGAAGAATTGTGAGTGGAGATCAGTTCAAGTACGTCGTGTTCAATGCAGGTCCGAGACTGTGCGTTGGGAAGAAGTTTGCGTATACTCAGATGAAAATGGTGGCTGCTGCAATCTTGATGAGGTATTCAGTCAAAGTCGTTGAAGGACAGACTATTATTCCAAAGCTCACCACCACATTGTACATGAAGAATGGTATGCGTGTTACCCTCCTGCCCCGCGACTGGTAAGGTAGGACCAGGCCTAATCAGTATTCGGTTTATCTGATGATTAGGTATGAAAAAATTTGGTTTCCTATGTTTATTAAGTTTGGCTATTCTTATACTATAGTTTTAGTACAAATTAAATGTGGTTTAAGTATATATTGAACTAAAAATATTACCTTTTTAATGAATATCGGTTCTGTTTGATTTCTGCATATAAATGTTGTTACTAAAATGCTCATAAGAATAAAGTTTGGTTCCGGTTTTGGGATTGAGAAATTTTGTTTTGAACTTTATGTCCACTGCCTCTAGTCCAAACAATGGACATATATGACAATAGTAATAGCAAAACTTGCATGAAATGTTTTCAAGCTATCATGAAACAACAATCTATTGCTGCAATAAAGCTTACGTTAACAGAAGGAAAAAAAGAATGGCAAAATCAATTGCTGCACTCTCCATTCAATCCGAGACAGTGAGAATGCGAAAAATATAAATAACTATGTACAGAAAGAATAAATGGAAAACCACTAAAATCTTTGTGATCGATGATGTATTGAAATAGAATCACCATTCTTAATAGAGCTTGATACGAACTCCAATAGAGCAGCGGCAAATAGGACAGGTTTGAATGTCTTGTCCACATCCATGACAAGTCTGATGTCCACAGTTAAATGCCATGTTTTTTGTATTAACCATACAGATTGGGCAAACCTGAAAAAAAAAATGATGTGAAATTAAAAAAAATTGATTGGATTAATGCATGGTTTCTTTATGATTAAAGACGTATAAATACAAACCTCGCTCTCGTTACTACCACTTGGCAAATGCGGTGCACTGGCAACACTGCTTGACCAAGATGAAGTTTTCGAGCTGTTTGCTAAAGATCGATTAAGACCACTTATTGGTGGCGGTCGAGCAATCTTGTTCGGACAATTTCCCGTTCTTCGTCTGCATATTTGAAATCAAAGCAAGAACATTTGTTTAATATAGTTGCAGAGGTTATAGAGTGGTACTTTCAATCAAAAGTTTAGAAATTTACCCGAGTAAGCCGAGCTCAAGGGTGGCTTTATACTGAGAAGGGATCTCCATCAAGGCGGAAAGTGCAAATTCTGCTTCTTTTCTTCCAGGATCACTGTTCTTCCACATAATCTCCGTGAAATTCACAAACTGTTCGATTCAAGAAAGGTAGGAAAAGAAAGAAAAAGATGTTAGGTTGTACTGAGAGACAAAGGTATAACTACCGCATTGTGTTTTCAGTGGCATTACCTGGAAATTGTCAAAGGCACGAGCGGGGATGTTGTCATCAAACTGTCTCATTGTATCCCAAGGACCATCTCCAACACCAACAAGAACTATCGATAATGGATATCGACTGTGATTTTTTTTTTGCACCAGAAATAATTTGTTAGGTCACAAGAGGTCATTAATTATTACCATCTAGTTTTGAGTGAACCTAAGCAAGAAACAATTTTACGTACGTACCTTGCTCTAACAATAGCATCAATGGTCTTACGTTCTTGTGAACTGAGGCCACCGTTTTGTGTATCAACGCTTCTTGTCACCTTACAAACATCATAATGAAAAAATTCCATCAACCTCAAAAGGTGATAAAATGTGGGATAGTGACTTGTAACGAAAGAAACAATAATCTTTTTATTTACCTGTCCATCAGCAATGATGAGAAGAACATGGTACTGCCCTCCGCTTTCTTCCACAATCGTCATGGCCCTTTCGATAATGGGTGCAAAAGAAGTCGGCCCTGTGACAGAATCAATAAACCAAAGATGATCATGTAACAGAAGAAACACACAAGTATAAAGAAGAAGTAAAACGTAGCTTCTTAATCTCAACCTGCAAGACAGAGCTGAGGAACGATCTCTCTGTAACGTGTAAGGACGTCTTCAAACCCGTTACAGAATTTGTCATCCGGATAGAAACTGAAGACATCCTGATCATGTGTTGTAGCTGCAAAGAACCAAACATAAAAAAACCACAACATTAATTATCTTGTCTACAAAAGAATAGGACTAATAATATAACAAAGTCTTTAAGCAGACAATACCATCTCCAAAACCATAACAGGGGATCAAGTTATCCTCGTCAAAAGAGGATAAAGTCTTTCCGATGATGGAAATGGCTTGCTCGTAAGGGTTTGGATTTGGTCCGATGTAATGTAAGCTCTTGTTGTTGAGTGATCTCGCTCCTGAAACCAACCAAGTCAGCAACATTTACTTACGCCTTACAAAATTCAAAATACAAAATTTCAAACTTTGTTCACCTGTCCACTCGTTACTTTTTGTGACATCAATACCAACAATCAGATTCGATGACTCCAAACCGGCTTTCGAAAGAGCAGCCGTGACCTATAAGTAACAAGACAATATCAAGAAACAGATCAAAAAAAAAAAAAAAGATCTCTCAAGAATCTCTTCAATATGGTTAAAATTATAGTGATTGGAATTGACCTCATAAATGGAACGATAGTCATCTCCGATCTGTGAATACTTGTTGCCTTGATTCTTCAGTGGCCGTGAAGGAGCAGAAGAATGTTGTGGCGTGTAGTTTTGGTGAGGATTCTGAGAAGAAGAAGAAGAGCTTTGAGAAAACCTCTGACTGTTTCTCCTGCTCGATCGTTTCGAACTGCTACTTCCCATCAGAGAGTAAACAAACAAAAACTCAGAAGTAATGCTGAACCAAAGACGATCGCCTGCAACAATGCAAAAACACTTTATAGATCAATTCTGCTGGAGAATACTCCATCTCAAGTTTTGACATTGTTCCAACTTTCTAATTTGGATCGTATAAAAAAGGGAACAATGGAGAGAGAACAATCAGTACTTCGAATGTGTGGATGATTGTTTTACCTGAAAATCGCTTATCTCTCTGCGTACGCTGAATCTGCTGAAAGAGACTTGTGAAGTGATACGGATACGGTATATATACGACGCTGGATTTCAGATTTTAAGTCCCTTCGTAATTTGGATTTTGATGGAGAAAGCAGAAAGGTACGTAACCAACTTTAAATAAGAATCATTATCTTCTCTTTTTTTTTTTTATATGTTAATATGAAATTTAATTAAGTCAGAGTGAAGACCATTACTATTATCCATCGGTCAACACTATTATCGGCAATGATCTATCACTAAACAAATCTATAATTAAGATCTTACTAGTATTTATTTACTTAATTATTACTATTAACCAAAATAGTAATTAAGTATAATGGAAAGATAGAGAAATACTTTTTGGCATATTTCGTATTTTTGGATAATATCACTGATTTGATATTATCTCTAAATTGGTGTGCATATTTCGTTTTTTTGTTTGTTTATTATTTGAGAAGTTAGAGAAACAAAAATTATTGATGTTTTGTGGCATGAATGAACAGGTTTGAGACCCTTTTCGTTGCTATTCGGAATATTTTTTAAACTAATTTTGAGTTTAGTCATCAATTACACATGTTAGTTATTTGCATTACGAACCTTTGGTATACCTACAACGACTCTTGCAATCTAAGGAAAACTTTAAAATCTAGGATAAAACGGGCCTAATTTTTAATATATTGGGCTTAAACAAGTGATACAAAAGTGGCCCACACTAATTAAGAAATAATAAATTAATTTATATTTGTAAACTGACCCAAACACGAGATTATTTTGTTTCGGTGCGACCCGTCTGTTTCCGTCGAATTTGAAGTTCCTCCGCCGTAGAAGACCGCCTCTTGTTTCATTTAGCCCGACATATCACTGTCGGATATCTCCATCCTCCGGTGGGAGACGCCTGCTTGTGACAAAGGTTGATTCCGATTCCCGATCTTCCATCTTCCTATTTTTGCCTCGTTGGCGAAGCAATATCGTCAATTTCTTGCACGCCACTTTGAAATAAAATCCTAGATCGGAAGAGAAGACTCTTCGTCTTCACTGATCGACGGTGGGAATGTCTAGCGGAGCCGATGAGGACGCCGAAGCTGTCCTCAGCGATGTCGAATCCGATGAACCAGCGCCTGTTGTTTTAAAGGATCCGCCGCGGGAAGAGGTACCGGACGGAAGGCTCACGGAGCTAATCGCGGAGCTCGATCGCGAGAAGAAAGCGAGAGAAGCGGCTGAGAGTTCGAAATCGGAGCTCCAAGTGTCGTTTAATCGGCTGAAGGCCCTTGCTCACGAGGCAATCAGGAAGCGCGACGAGTCCAAGCGAGAGCGCGAAGAAGCCTTGAAGGAGAAGGAGAATCTATCGAAGGAGCTGGAGAATGTAAATAGAGGTAAGGATGAATTGATTAGGCAGCAGGATGAGTTGTCGAAGAAACTTGACGAGGCTCTGAGATCTAGAGATGGTTTGAAAGCGGAGATTGAGAATTCGTCGCACATGTTGGTTTCTGGGATCGAGAAGATATCAGGTAAAGTAAGCAGCTTTAAGAACTTCTCCAATGGAGGTCTCCCCAAGTCTCAGAAATACACCGGCCTGGCTTCTGTAGCCTATGGTGTTATTAAGCGTACACATGAAATCGTGGAGGAGCTCGTTAGGCAGATTGATACGACTGCAAAGTCGAGAAATGAAGCTAGGGAGCAGATGGACCAACGGAACTACGAGATAGCCATTGAAGTTTCTCAGCTGGAATCAACAATCAGTAATTTGCGGTTAGAGGTTGCAGAGAAGGCTTCAACTGTTGATGATTTAGAGAGGGATGTGAGTGAGAAAGACAAGAGGATTGCTGAACTTGAGAAAGATAGTGTAGAGAAGGTAAGTGTGCTAGAAGGTGAAGTTGTGGAGCTGAAACAGTTGGTTGATGAGTATGATGGAAAATTAAAAACTATGGAATCGAAGATGGTAGCTCAGCGTCCTTTGTTGGTGGATCAGCTGAATCTTGTGTCGAGTATCCATGACCAGCTTTACGAGGTCGTGAGGTTAGTCGACGTGAATAGTTCAGAGCAGTCGGATTTGTCCGAGTCTTTCTTTATGCCTCAAGAGACAGATATGGAGGAGAACATTCGAGCGTCTTTAGCAGGTATGGAATCCATCTTCGAACTGACCAAAGTGGTTTCTGGGAAAACACGGAGTTTGGTGGAAGAGAAGAGCCATGAACTGAAGAATCTGAATGAAACCGTGGGTCTATTAGTTAAGGAGAAGGAACATATTGGTACTTTACTGAGGAGCGCTTTGTCCAAAAGAATGATAGCTGAGCAGCCATCCCAAAAAAGCGAATTGTTTCAAGCTGCAGAGAATGGTTTGAGGGATGTTGGTTTGCGGGACTCTCTTGGTGATAATACTGATGATCATAGTACAGAAGAGAATGAAATATATTCCCTGGTGAGTGTTCTTCTTGGCCAGTTATGTTTTATGAGCTTCTTTACTTCGAGAATCTTATATGATATCTCCACATTGGAATGCAGGCAAGCACATTGGAGAATATTGTCAAGGCATCACAGCTCAAGATTGTTGAACTGCAGCATTCGTTGGAGGAATCAAGGCAAGCTCTCTAAAACGGAACTCCTTCTTTATATCTAATAACTTTGATAGAGGACACTCACTAGGAAAGTAAATAGATTTGGTTTTAACCTCAGAGTATCGGGTGGCCTAGGAACCATGGTATCATTATCCGATCAAATCCAAATAGTAGGAATATGTTTCCACACAGCTTTTTATTGGGAACACTAATTCCCACATGTGCTTGCGACATATCACTTGATGTTCAATGAAAGTCCGTGGAAGTTACTATTTGAAATGCATCTATGTGGTTTCTTGTGTAATGCATATGTTTTACATGTGATACTCGTAGTTAGCCTCTGTAGGTTTCAGTCCACAGTGATCCTTTGCTCCTTGTTGGCGCAACTTACGTGGACACTTTTTTTTTTTTTTTTGTATAAATCAACCAGGGAGGAGACTAGTTCTCTGAGGAAACAATTAGACTCTCAGACAAAGGAGCTTAACCAGAGAATGCGCCAAATAGAAGAACTTAAAGAAAAGGAGAGAATAGCGAATGAAAATGTGAGTGAATTTCTGCTTGCCAGAGTTGTGAAGTTGATTGTTTCGTGTGTAATTTGTCAGTGTATGACTATATAACGCTGTCCCGAGAATTTTAGTTTGTTTAAACTTTGGTTCCCTTGGATGCTTAGGTTGAAGGACTTATGACTGACATTGCTGCTGCTGAAGAAGAAATAGCAAGATGGAAAGTAGCAGCGGAGCAGGAGGCGGCTGCTGGTGGAGCTGTTGAACAAGACTTCACGTCACAGGTGCGTAAGTCCTTGTGTTGGTCTAATGCAGGAGCATTGTAATTACCCTAAGTTGCTTGTCGTAGATTATAACAGTCTTCACAGTTCAGCAACTAATAGTTGAGTCGGTTAGCCAGAGAGTTATCAAGTTAAAAGGAAGTTTAGGGGAATGAGTTTGGGGGTATTTAGGATTGTATTGGGTTTGGGATTTGATATTTGGGCTGAGAGTAAAGATCTTCTCATTAGGCAAGGTCTAGTTCCTGGTGAAATGAATAAAGGAGTTTCAATGATTTTGGATCCTAGCAATGTGATCTGTTCTGTTTCCTAGGTACGCGTTACCTGACAACTAACAAATGATGGTCTGAAAACTCGTATTGTCTTTGTTTGCTCAGCTGTATGTGCTGAGAGAGGAACTTGAAGAGGCGAAGCAAGCGATTAGAGAATCAGAGAAGAAACTAAAGTTTAAGGAAGAGACGGCAGCAGCAGCCATGGGTGCAAGGGATGCAGCAGAGAGATCTCTGAGGCTCGCAGACAATAGGGCAACGAAGTTGCGGGAAAGAATACAAGAGCTAAACCGGAAGGTTGAAGAACTAGAGACCCATCGAGATATGAATAGCTCAAACAGAGCTAGGTACGCGTGTTGGCCATGGCAGCTTCTCGGGATTGATTTTGTGGGAGGTCGAAGAGTTGAGTCGGAACAACAGAGTTCTAACGAGATGGAACTCGCTGAACCTCTGCTATGATAAAAGAAGCCGGTACTTTATACAGTTACTCTCTCTGTATTTTGTTTTGATTTTTATGTATATACCAGTTGATAAAAGCTTTAACATGTTTTGTTTCATGTTGTAATGTTTTACTAAAAGGAGTTTAAATTGGCTTGGCGAAGAGTAGTGTGTTGTTCCACACACCCACAGTGATCAATAAATATAAAACTTACCATTGGTTTTTTTTTTTTTTTTGTTCTAAAAATCTCATCCTGTCTTTTTTGGACATTTTCAAGTATTTTGCATCCAAAATTGTAACCAGCCAAAGTCTCATCCTGTCTTAGTCCTTGCAACCTTTATGACTCATATGTGATACTTGTGGACTTTGAAAAAGAGAAGCAAACTTGAGAAGGCTGAGAACAAAGTAAACTTAAAGTTCTATGTTTACCCAAAGAATACTACTTACTTTTTCTCAAATAAGAGAATGACATATGCTTTTGGTGCAATTCTCATTTGTTTATTTTGCAGTTGAACAAGTGACACGAGCAATTAAAAAAAAAAAGGTACAAAAACATGAATAAGCTTGAATCAGACAAATGATAAGGAAACTGATAATTGAGTAGCAAAGTCAAGAATGCAAGAATCAACTAATTAAGGTGGTTAAATCAGAACTAAACATATACATGCAAAAAGCCAAGATCCTTTAGTGATTATAGCTGATAAACAGAAACGAAAACGACGATGATGATTGAGCAGCAAGTTTGGTTTGCAAGAAACGATCCCTAAAGCTAATCTCTTTCTTTCCTTTTGCGCGGGGTTGGTTGGTTGATTTGCACTAAACTTGGGAGATAAGAAGAAGAGCACACCACTGGAGCACGACAATCGTATATGTTCCAGTCATTCGGAAGTTGTCCAAGAAGCACAGAGGTAAAGTATCCGTCGTCGCCAATGATAAAAGCTCTGTGGTACCGAGCGGCTTCCGGGTCGTCGGAGTCAGGTAAGTCTTCGTTGAAAACCACGGCGACTTTGTTCTCCTCGTCAATGAAGAAGCTCACAGGTTGAACGCCATTATACAGCTGAGTGAGGGTTTGCAATTGCAACTCCACTTTCAAAAACTTGCTCCACGACAACGAGCTGTGCTCAATCTTAGTCGTCACCCAAATCCCAAACGTCTCCGGCCAAAACCCCTGAAATAGCACCGCGAGCTGCTCATGCCCAACACAAGAGAAGATCACACTATCGTCGGGATTAGAGTGGAACGGAAGAGGAAGACGCGGTCCGAATCTCTCGCTTGTAAAATCGAAACAGATCAAAAAGTCTTGAGGATCTACCATCTCCAAAAATTCATCGACATGACCAGCTGGTCTTTTCTCGTAAGCGAAAAAGTAGGCGTTTCCCTTCAGAGAAACCCTGTTACGTATGTCCAACTCGGGAGTGACGTCAAGAACCCTCCACGTATCAGAATCAGAGCTCAACTCGTAGATTTCGTACCCCACAAAGCCTTCGTAGTTTTTTTTAAAGCGAAAATTAAAATCCCTCAGGACTTTGTGGTTGCGGCTCTTCTTGTCGTATCCAAGAGCATAACAGGCGTGTATGTGGAAATGTGTCCTGAGGCCGATCCACCTTGTTTGCCCCAAGTAAGGGTTCCACACAAGGAGCCTTGAGCTGTGCTTAGGGACGCATAACAGTAAGCCCTCGCACTGAATGACTCCACGTATATCCAATATATTGAATAAGTCTACCGGCTTTATAGATACACCAACCAGGTCTTGTTCCTTGCTGCGGAGATGGAATCTCAATGAACAAAGCCTGGAGTTCATCGTCAAGAACCCTAGAAACTGCTGCCTTGCTGCTGCTGCTTTACTACCCAAGATCCAATCTCTGGATAAAGCGTTCCATGATTTGCAAGTGGATCGCACTGCTCCCAGAGATGTTATCGGAACCTTGCTGAGTATCTCCTCAGTAACCAGTTCCTGTGTAAGATCGCATACCCTCTTCGTCATTCTTCCCACTTGAAAATTAGGGCTTTGTGTTTTGCTCTTCTCTCTCTCTCTCTCTCTATATATATATATATATATGACAATTATAATACGAACGTTCCGTATCACAAAAACAAAAGCACTTCTTTTTAGCCAATTCTTTTTTTTTTACATAACTTTGGTCGAAATACTCTTTTTCGTCTTCCTATGTGTAAAATATACTCGATGTTATAGTACATGTTATAGTAGTTTTGTCTAAAAACTGAGGAACACAAGTATAAAGACAATGATTTTTATGTGTATACCAGTTGATAAAGTTTTAAAGCTTCTATACTTTTTTGTATCATGTTGTAATGTTTTTACTAAAAGGAGTTTTACACACCCATACCGATCAATAAGTATGACGAAACTTACCATATCTTTTTTTCGGGGGTTCAAAATCTTAAAAAGTGTAATGACATAGAACCGTGTTTACACACAGTTAAAATGAAAAATACAACACACACCCACACAAATATATAGTGATTTTGTTATATATATGCATAGTTGCCAAAAATAATAGTCATAGATCCATAAAATAGTGATTTTGTTTCAAACATTAATTGTAACATATATATAGTTGCCAAAAAAGTGATCTATGACTTTTGAACCGTTCAAACAAGAACTTTAAAGTCATTATTACTTCTTGATCTTCTTCTTTTTTTCTGTTGTGTCTGGGGACTCATTATAACATCTGCTAAATCGGGAAAAATATTTCGCCTATGGGTAAGAACCCCAAGCCATTTAATTGAAAATTTCTCAAATTTTGGAAAAACTCCCGTTTTGGCATCCATGTGCCAAATCACTTAATCATCATATCACAGCAAATCTGAAAATCTCACAAAAGAAAATATCCAATTGGCTGCTTTTTTTTTTTCTCTTTCTCTACTGAAAAACAAAACAGCCTTTCAGTTCTCCTTTGAGACAAAACCAAAACCCACGTCAATACTCAAGGATCTTCAGAAGCTATCACTCATTTGATCGAAACCATTTCTCACCTCAAGTTTTCGGGGGTGTTCTACTGATTTGTAATGTCAAGATTTAATTGTTTCTTTTTGTTGTTTTGGATATAGAAATTATGTGTTTTCTTTGTAACCCGCATGCCGATTGATTCAACATCTCTGATCCAACGCGTGAATATAGCACTTTTTTGTTAATCTAGATGATAAGCAAATTGAGTCTTTGACTAGATCATTCGAATAGATCACATGTTTGATAGTATCGCATGAGAATATTGGCTTATTACATTTTTATTTATCAATTACTAGGAGAAATGGTGCAAATGACAATTGGAGCTTAGAATCAAAAGTTGTAATAAAAACTTAACTATGGGAATCTTGTCACGCAGGTAAAAAGTCCCTTTACTTTGTTTATTTTCTTGTTCTCTCTACAGACGCAGAGAAGCTTTAATGATAATTGTTGTTATTACAGCCCAACTAGTAGTAAGAGATCAGAAGACAATGGCATGAAGCTTCTTGCAACTGCTTTGTTTGCTGTAGCTTTTGGCATTCTCCTTGGACTCTCTTTTCCATCTTTATGGATCGCTAAGGTCTATCTTCTTTCTCTTCAGTCTTTTCTTCTTCTTCTTCTTCTTAGATTCTTTCTCCATCTGTTACCATTTTGTATTGCGTAGGCGAGTCTCCCACAAAACATTCTTCATTCCTTTGCTATCTCACATAGACATTCGGATATTGCAACTCCTTCCAAGGCCATTGATATCTCAATCTCAAAGGCATGTGTTATGTAATTGTTTTTAGACAATATTTTGCACATTTATTTGCATGCTAATTTCAAGAGCAAAACCAAATCTCAAGACATGTTTTTATGTAATTCACATTTTGTTCAGATATGGGTTCCTTCAAATCCTCGAGGCGCTGAGAGATTGCCACCCGGTATTATTGCATCCGAATCAGACTTGTACTTGCGCAGATTATGGGGGAACCCTGAAGAGGTTTGTTCCTCAAAACACAATCTCATCCTTGGATTTTTTTTTCTAGCTTCAATTTTATTTTCTCTCTTTCCTTAGGATTTGAAGAATAAACCGAGATATCTAGCAACATTTACAGTGGGTTATAAGCAAAGATACAATATAGATGCATGTGTTAAGAAGGTTGATTCATGCCCTTATATATTTTCTGATTTTTTTTTGTTGTTGCTTAATAGTAAAGTCATTATGTTTTATCTTCCCAAAAACAGTTTTCAGAAAACTTTACGATTGTACTGTTTCATTACGATGGGAAAACAAGTGAGTGGAATGATGAGTTTGAGTGGTCGAAGAATGCAATACACATCAGTGTCTTGAAGCAGACTAAATGGTATCCATAGCTTTGCTTAAACCTCTCTTTTTTTTTCTTCTCTATAACTACACAACTCTCTTGACTCTAATATATATATATATATATATATATATTGTGAATTTAAGGTGGTATGCAAAAAGATTCTTGCACCCTGACATTGTAGCACGATACGAGTATATATTCATATGGGATGAAGATCTTGGAGTCGAACACTTTGACGCAGAAGAGTGAGTTTCTTTTACACTCACTTCCATTTTCATCTTATTAATCAATTATCTAACCAAGTTTGTTGTTGCAGATACATACACATGGTCAAGAAGCATGGCCTTGAGATTTCACAGCCTGGTTTGGACCCAGAGAGAGGGTTTACATGGCAGATCACTAAAAGAAGAGAACATACTGAAGTCCATAAGTATATATGAATCATATATAACTTAATCTCTTAAATGGATTTTTACGTTACATTACAAAATGTTTTATATATGACTTTGAATCTTATCAGGGAAACAGATGAGAAACTCGAATGGTGCTCTAATCCTCCTCGGCCTCCATGTGCTGCGTATGTTAAAAGATCTCTCTATCAAACTCAATTTTCACATCTCCTCTCATATTCATATAACTTTGTGTATTTGATAACACAACAGATTTGTAGAGATAATGGCTCCTGTGTTCTCAAGAAAGGCATGGCGCTGCGTGTGGCATTTGATCCAGGTTACAATTACTTTATCATCTCTCTTAATCGGCTTCTTCTTCTATTTGTAAAGATACATTTTCCTAATAAACTCTTACTTACACCTTATTATGAACCGGAAACAGAATGATTTAGTTCACGGTTGGGGTCTTGACTTTGCACTCAGAAGATGTGTAGAGGTAAACAAAAGATTATACCAGGTTGCTTAATGTTTATATATAAATGTTCTTGCATGTTTTGATCAAGTAATGAAGGATCTTCCATATATGTATATGTGTAAATGAAGGAGCCTGCATATGAGAAGATAGGAATAGTAGACTCTCAGTGGATTGTTCATCAATTTATCCCTTCCCTTGGCAGCCAGGGAAAAGCAGAAGAAGGGAAATCGGCATGGCAAGTGGTAAGAAAGCTTGGTCTTGTCTGAATAACAAGATTTGTATTGTTTTGAAGACTTTCATAGGCTCTTTAGAACAAAACCTTGACATGCAAGCAACTAGATCATGGGTCGTCCATATGTCTTACATTCGTGTGTGGTTGTTGTTTTTGCAGGTGAGGGATAGATGTAATATGGAGTGGAAAATGTTTGAGAGCAGAGTGGATAAAGCGGAGAAGGATTATTTCAAATCGTTACAAGTTCAAAGCCCATCCAATTCAACAACCTTACAATAGGACCTTACCATGCATTTTAGTTGTAGCCAGGAGATTTTTTTCTTCACATCATATACACATACATCTTTATAGGGCAAGATAGATAATTTGGATACCAAAACTCTTTAGTCAGATTGTCAATAATTCTTCCTGATTTATCAAATCAATTTTGCCAAAACCAAAAGGAAAAAAATTGTAAGTTTTATGAGAAGCAGAAACAGAACAGGTGTGTGGAACCGGAAAGATTTGACCATTTTGTGTGTGTGTGTCCCAGCATGTCCGTACAGATGACGTGGCATGCTTACATTGCAATCGTGAGAGCTGAGTTTCTCCACGTGTCGAATGTGAGTCGACCTCGGGAGAACAAGGAGCTCTCCACAACGCACCATCTGGTTGGCTAATCGCAACACGTGTCAGAGAAACAGCAGACCATAGAAAAACAAAAACATAACAGAGAGAGAGAGACGGACACAGCATAAAAGACGAAACCCAACTTACCAAAGTCACAATCATTGAGAGAGATGATGAGTCTCTAACGATAACCTCTCTCGTGGTGACACGTGTTTAGACCACCGCTGGTTAAAAAAAACCCAATCGCCCATCGGAAATATGAGTGGCGGCTAATCCTTCCTCTCTCTCTATTTCTCTCCTATTGAAGCTTTTCAAAAGTCTCAAACTTTCAGAACAAGGCTTCACAAAAAGTCTCAAACTTTCAGAACAATCTCCAAAATTTCCAAATTTGATCTCTTTTGAATATAAAGAAGCTTTTTTGTAAAAAAATGGGCCTTTCGCAATTTCCGACAGCGTCAGAAGGAGTACTGCCACTTCTGGTGATGAACACGGTTGTTTCAGTCACTCTGTTGAAGAACATGGTGATGTCTGTTTTTCAAATCGTGGGATATGATGCTGAAACATCCATGGAGAGAGAGGAAAACGAGCCTGAAGAGGATTTCGTGAGGAGAAGAAGAAGAAGAATCTCAGTCACTCAGTTCAAGTCTCTGTGTGAGAACAGAGGAGAAGAAGAGAAAGGTGTGGAGTGTTGTGTGTGTCTTTGTGGGTTTAAAGAGGAAGAGGAAGTCAGCGAATTGGTTTCTTGCAAGCATTTTTTCCACAGAGCTTGTCTAGACAACTGGTTTGGTAACAATCACAAGACCTGTCCTCTTTGCAGGTCCATTCTCTAGAGATGGAAGCCTTGTTTAACACCTTCCTTTCTTCCTTTTGTTATGTAATAGGAGATTACCACATTCTACATCCTCTGTTTTGCCCTTTTTTTTTTGCTCCATCCTCTGTTTTACCGTTTGGTTTTTTTATGTTTTCCTCTTTTTGGGTTTGAAAAAAGGGTTTTTCATAATGAATGCTTAAGTTACTGTCAAATGCAAATATCAGATTTCAACTCTTAAGCTCTTTTGTTTAAATAGAATTTAGAATCCGAAAAAATGATATACGAACGGATTAGCATTTAAGTGGGGGAATAAGGATCCTGAAGTCCAGGAAAATAGTAATTATAATCTTTATTTGCATGCACCTTTTTAGCTAAAAGGAAACAAGAACCATTTTGTTACAAAATCCAAAAGTAAAAAAAAAAAAAACAGAAGAAGAACACAAATAGACAAATATCGTTTAATACAATCTATATAGAACATGGTATGTCCTTTATTGTTTATTATGCTTCGTCAATGGGCTATACGCTCTTAGTCATCCACTTACAGAACTTCATATGCTCAAAGTTGATGAATTCCTCTGCTTCCTTGTCAACATCCTCTACTTTTGCAGCCTCTCTCGTACCAATCTTCTCGCTCTTCGTCCTCCTCATATCCGCACGCTCCAAGACCTGAATCGGTTCTTCAACTGCATATGAAACTCGGAACTCCTTCATCGAGTCCCGGTGATGATGATGATGATGATGATGAGATTTGTGACTGGAGGAGTTTTCAAGTACCATTCTTCTTCAAAACTTAAATCCTTTAGCTCTTTTTTTTGTTTACTTAATGTGGATTTGTTACAGATATACCTTTGGAAAACATCAGATGTATCTTTATATAAGAGCTGTAATGTGGTACCTAAAGTCAGCATAAAACGATGAGAGTGAATCCGATTCCCTTTTTTTCTTTATGTCTTTTCTAAGCAAATATAGAAATATATTCAAGGAGACTTTTGCCGATGTTCTATGCGTACATGTCTACAAATTTGGTATAATGATAGATAAGGATCTAATACGATATAGCGTGTAAAATATTAGCTTCAACAACAAGCAAGACTACTGATTCGAGAAGACATTTTAAACCTAGAGCACATCTTTCGAATAACTTCGTATCCTTGAGTTGTGGGCCAACGGTTTCTAATTTTCTAAGGTATATGCCCAAAGTATAAAAGGAAAGGTAAAGGGTAGTTACTGTTGGTTTATTCGTGATAGTTTGAACGAATTAGATGCCTAAATAATGATGTATCTAGTGCGCAAGTATTAGTGGAGATGAACGTAAGAAAAACGTGGGATCTCTTGTCCTGTGTATTTGTCTTTGTTGCTTGGTCAAAAAGTGATGCAGGTTTTCTGCAAACCATGTTGATCCGGCCCATCACGGATTTGACTTTTACACCAAGAAATATGAAAAAAGAAAAACCCAAGAGCCCTAAGGAAGAAGATGTGAGGTTGTTACAGGGCCAGGTCCAATTTGCGATCGTTTGTTATCGGTTTTTTTTTGTAATTTAACCTGATAATTCGGGCCAAAATCCGAGTGATCCGAAACTGGAGTAGTTTGTTGTTGGATACAAATGTTATATATTCGGATCAGTCGAAGTTGACACCTAACTGGCCATAATGGCAGCAAAGTTGTTCCAAACGAGAGTTAAACTGAATGGAGAACGAATTTAGTGTTGTATCAAAATAGTGGTACTGTGCCACTATTATATGTCTACTAGCTAGTAACATCTAAAATAAATCTGATAGTATCATGTGGAACACTTTGAAGGCCAATATATTGAGGTGACAAGTTACGTACCAAAAATCGTTTTCTGGCGGAACTTAAACATTTGAAGTGTTTATATCAAGATTATTGATAAGTAGGAAGAATTCATATATAGATAAGTTTATCAGATATTCGAAGATAGTAAGTTCTTACACACACTTCACGTGACAGAGACCCTTCCACATATAAAGCCAATAAATACAAGACATAGAGAAGAAATGAGAAATAGAAATGCTACTAACCGGGTGGCCACCCAAATTAAGAGATTCGGTACGGATCCGATTTCGAGCACCGGCGATGGAGGTGACTATTTTTATCTAGTTTGGTGTCCGGTCCGAGTAATAGGCCTACGTCAAACAAAAAAATTTGGTTAACAAAAAAGGGAAAAAATGTATATATGAAAATGCTACCTTGTTTGGTCGCTAGCTTAGCATAAGGAAGGATCCATAATGCTCCAAAGAAGAAGAAGTAACACATAAACGAACCTAAGATTCCAGTGACTACTTAGCAGCTTCGTCTCCGGTGCTAGAATCATCTTGCTTAGCAATAGGATCTTGAAGTATGCTTGTAGTCTCAACGCTCTTGGTACGTTGTAGCGAAGGAGTTCGGTGTAGTCTGCACCTGAATGATCCCGGGTGAGTGGTCGGTGAGCAAAGACAGTTGGTCTTAGTGATGCTGGTCTGACGAGACAGCCTGCCAGGGCTTGCTGTCCCACTTGGATCTACGGAAGCTTCGATCTCCGCGATTGCTTTGTCGTTCATGATTTGAGTATGAAAGGGAAGAGGAATCAAAGATGAATAAAGAGGTATGCCTCTTTGTGTGTATATGATCAATTTAAGATTCGAAGAAACTTTTAAGGCTTGACAAATCTTCTTTTTTCGGTCATCACGGGAATGATGATGGAGTCCATCAAGGACCAACTATATCCTTCAACTTTTCATAATGTTTCAACTACTACTATCCCCAAAAGCCACCACGTAAGTCCTTATCTTGTATTTAATGGATGATGGTGATCCATGATTATCACTCCCATCAATTATCAATTATACACTTTTCTAAGTGCACCTTATAAAAGTTTTTTTTTATAGTGGCCTAATTTGTGTGCAGTGGAATTTTTTATTTCTTTTAATAAACATTCCAAACATTTTAGAGTCCTACAAAATCAAATTCAAAAGTAGAATTTCTTTTGTCTAGCAATGTGAGATCTCAATTAGCGTTTTGATTGTTTAGAATTAATCCCAATTACCAATTTACTATCAGTCGGATTCTCAGCGAATGCCTGAATAAGATAACTTTTCTCTCTTTCTATGCCATTAACCTATACGGCTACACCATCATATGTAATGAGTATGTGTTCATATGGATCTTGAGATTTCTTAGAACGCTACATCAAAACATATACACAATATGACAATACACAAACGCCTCCTATTAAGAGAATTAGCGCGTGGGGTCAACTTTTTAAAAAAGAGCTTTACACTATGTTCAAGTCCTAATACTTTACTTTGATAACGGGGCTGTTGACTCCCAAGACTAGTATACAGTACAGACAGTGGAGACTTTAGCTATTTGTCTAAACACGAATGTTTTTTATGCAACAAAAAAAAAAAACTCTCTTTTTAATAAAAATGGTTAAAAAGTTTGAGGCTTTTTTTCTTTATGGAATGTTCCGTATTATATATTTGATAACTTCACAGAAATTAAGCCACATTACTAAACATGCAATGATTCAAATCCAAAAATATATGGTTATGGAGTTTTGATGGAACAAAATACTTAGACGTTTGATCAGTCCTCTAGGATTTGTGACAGTTTGACGACAAAGAAGGGTGTAAGTGTAACGATATTGTAAACTTCAAAATTTGTGCTTCCGATGATATAAGAGGATAATAGAAAAGGCGAAAAAGCAAGAGGACAAAGGCTGTCTTTATTGATTCCGAAGTCAACTTGTTAAAAGAGAAAAATCTAATTTTCTAGAGGTTTCTTTTGTCCTTTTGGTATTGTCTTCAACCCCCACGAGTATTTTATAATTTTTGTCTTTATTAACCATGCTCATACTCGATAGACATCTGTCATATACTCGATATAATTTGGTATACCATTAAATAACTTTTCTCATGCTCAGATAATTTTTCTTTTCTTTGAAGATAAATATTGTCATTGCGAACACAATCTATCTTGATAGATGAATTGATCATACAACTTGACGAAGAAACGAAACACTGAAGTTCATTTCTCGTAGCCGATAGCCCTTAGAAAAACAGTGCAGTGATCAACACGTAAGAACGGCAACAACATTTTTTTTAATAATCATGAAAGCAATACTGATAAAACGTTCCACCATTTCCGTTCTGCTGCATCTTAGCTGAATCAAACCCACTCTCGCCTTGAACCCAACCCAACTCCCCATGATATTTGACCTGGCCGAAACCATTTCCTTCGACGTTGAAGTGATCCGGTATACGAAGATCTGTCTGAAAACCGGTCTCTAGCATTGTTGGAAAAGCACCAACCGATGGCTGGTTGGCCGTTGGAGGTGTAGATTCTTGTTGAGAAAAAGGTTTTGGTAAGAAGCCTTGTACAATTTCTTGAAGAAGGCCAGACCCAGCTGGTTCTGGTTCGAGGATTGAGATCATGCTCTCGTTGTCGATGGTACTTGATCTCTTTGCTTTTGGCGAGTGATCTTCGGAGATATCGGTAACGTTAGTGAAGGACTCATGAACCAGGCCGCTTACGTTAGAGAGATTACAAGGTGGGTAAGCGAAAGGAGAAAGAGGCTGAGAGTTTAATACGTCGCGTAGAAGGAACATGTTCATCGGAGGAGGCGAGAAAAGACGGTGGTGGTAAGAGTCAAGAGAAGGAATTGGGTAGACGAAGTTGGTTCGAGCTTTAAGACCACGCATGGCTCGAGCGGCGCAGTCGTATGCGCAAGCTGCTTCCTCCGCCGTATCAAATGTTCCGAGCCATCGTCTCTCCTTCGACATCGGGTCCCGTATTTCAGCAGCGTACCGACCCCATGGCCTACGCCTCACGCCTCGGTACCTCATAGTGGAGCCACCGGATGCGGCGCCGGAGGCAGATTTCGCTGTGGCTGTACCTCCAGGAGAGCCAGGAGCGGTGGATGAAGTTCTTGATGGCTTTCTCTTCAGAGAATTGTTGTTGGTTTCTCTGTGTTCGGCACCTTCGAGTCGCATGATTGCTTCTTCCATTTTGACAAGGGGGGTTTTCTTTAGCTTTGAAAGTTTTTTTTGTTCAGTGTTTCTCTTAGGGTTTTGAGGCACCTGAATGTGATGGTGGCTGATAACGTATTTATAGAATTAAAAAATCACACATTTTATTTTAAAATAAAAAAAGTTTTACGTCTTTTTGACTTATGACTCTGAGAGAAGCAGAAAGCACAAGTACGTTAAACGAAGTTCATGTCCCACGTTCGGACTCACATGTCTTTATTTTTCTACGGACTTACATAAATTTGGAGTCATAAGTTGCATGTCTTTTTGATAAGTAACAATACCGTAATTATTATATGCTGTTTTATCTTATTGTCAGAGTTTAAAGGTATCTCGATAATGTTAATTGATTCTTTTGTTTTTAGTGAAAGTCACTAATCTTTCAGAAAATTTTATCGAACGAATGCTTAAAAACTGTATTAATGTCTTTCAGAAAATTCTTTTCGAGTTTCTGTTTCCAATTTCAAAGATTACATTTCTCTGTAACATTATTTAAGATCTTTTCGTGAATAGTGTTTTTGAAAAATAAAGAAATAATATTTGATAAGTTATTAGTTAAAAATGATTTAGACAGTGGTTTGTGGATGGGAAAGGAAATAATGATGTTGGGAGTTGAAAGAGGGAGGGTTGAGAATCGTGAAATTATGATTCCGAATTAATAACACTGGCGGCGCTCAGAAATTGTTCCTTCTACATGAGGTTATGTTTTGTCTGTTCTTTTTACGAGATTATGGTCGATTTGCTTATTTAGGGTTTTGCTTTATTTTATTTTAATCTGTAAACCAAAGTCACGTTCACGTGGATTTGTCTCAACTAGGGCTCTTTCTTCATGGCGTGTAGCCTCTTTAGGGCTTTCCTACTGTTGATCGATTGTGACTAATGACCTCTCGCATTTTCAGAAATAATTCCCACCACTAGTTCCATATCTTTTTTTTTGTTAACTTAATTCCACATAATTTTTACATCTAAATCATCCTAATCTCTTTCACCATCTTGATCAATAAATAAGATCACGTCCTCAACTATTCGAACCCTAACACATGGGTTTGCATGCAGTATCGTGCTCTAAACAATTATTTGGAAAGTATAGATACATTATCACGTAAGTTATCACATGTAGAAGTTTGACATGTTTAAGCTAAATTTTTTAATGTCATAGTCAATTTAAGTGGCATAAATGTTAATCTGTTTACAAACATTAAACATTAGTTTGAAGTATCGGCCAATGATTCACTTTGGTTATATAGTTTTGTTTATTGTTGCATGGATCGTGAAAAAATAATTCCCATAACTTTGTAAAAATTAGGATAAAATTTTTAAATCGGAGCATGTGTGAATGTTCCTTTTTGAAAGGCCTATACAGCTTCGAAAACAAAAACACTTTGCTCAACTGTAATTAGTTCTTGTAAGAGTTAATTTATCTAGTATAAGAAACTTTAAAATATCTTATTTATATTGTCATCACTAAAATAATCAAAAGTTCGTTAAAAACAAGAAGTAAATGTGAGCTTGACGGAAACGTAACCGTATAATAGTTTGCTTTACATTTTAGATGAAATTTAATTATAAATAATGTCCTAATTGAAATGTCTGAGAATCGAAAAAGAGGAAGAAATGAAAGGCAAAAATGAAGGGGCAAAGCTAGGAAAGTAGGTTACATGCAACGGTACGACATTAAAGTTGATACCAGAATTGTCTCCTCTCTCCTAAACGCGTGGGTTTTTCTCTGCACAATGCCTTTCTCGCTATGACTATATATATATCATGCATGTGTTTGACTTTTTTTCCTCACACGAACGCGATCATGTTATATAATTTGATATCGATCGCTAATAATTAGAATATCCAAACTACTTTAGATATTGTATGTGGCTCTCAGCTACACAAACTAAGGCATGTCACACTCACACATTTACTATATTCAACAAAAATTACTCATGTTTAGATATATTATGATGAATATTATGTAATGTGTCACACTGATATAGCTCTTAGCAAAAAAAAATTCGTCACATTCATTAACAAGCACAGATGTGTTGCAAATTCATCTATATTAATTCAGATTCTGTCACGACTTTTTTTCTAACCAGAGGACAAAAATCGTTACTTTGGTATAAAAAAAAATCAAGAACATGAAAGCCATATAGATTTATCAGTTGGGAGCTCCCTCCTTAATTGCTACGGAAATTTTGCATTTTTTGGCGAAACAATTAACACCCACTGTTTGAAAACGATAATAGGTAGCTAGTTTTTCACCACCGTCGCATTTCCAATTTTGTCGCCACATTTTGTCTTCCTGTTGCTACAACGTGAATTCGAAATCATATCAAAATGTCATAAGATAAGCAACAGTATTATTTGAGCTCCCTGGTCGTATAGGCCATGTGGTAGCGAGCGACAGAGCTGATGCAAGTGAACTTGTTTGTGTCCATGTCTTGATCGACCTTGATTACATTGGATTCGTTAGATGTTATGACTTATACGATACTATTATATGATTATTCCGATTATACCCTAGAAAGTTTCTAAAGGCTGTAGTTTATGGATATTAAAAGCAAAGATTTGGGTAGATTCTGGTTCCCTCTTAAACATACACCACGTCTGAATTATAACCTAAACCTATACCAAGTTTACGAATTCACGCACGAACGTACGAACGATTCATCACTCGCTTTCACGTGATCCCTCATATCTCTTTACAATGTTTACATCTATATAGTAATTATTATTTTTGGTGGAGATCAGACTCATTAAGAAACAGTTCATGGGCCATTTAAAAGTTTTCAAATGAGCTCCATGATTTTCTTCTTTCCACTACTGATTACTTACCATCATTTGTTTTATTTTGGAGACCGTTTCCGGTTGTACTAAAAATAATATGCAAGCCATTAAATAAGGAAAAATAAAAATTAAGTGTTGAACTGAGAGTTACTTCAGGCCTGTTCTGGACAACTTGTCCCCTATGTTAATAAAGCTACCTTATTAATAACTTTATATCTAGATATATAGTAGATACACACATTTGGAATTTTATTTTTTGTCGTCATTTGGAAATATATTTATACTAACATTATTTCTAGTCAGAGTAATTCTCCTGCAGTAAGAGCAAATAACTTTATATTTTTTAGTTAGAAGTTAAAACCCTTACAAAAACTCGATCAGCATTTCCCTTAACAGTTCGGTTGTCCAGAATCTGACACCCGGTCCTCGTATGTTTGTCGTTAAAGATGTCAAAAAAAAAATATTGACCTTAAACTGACAAGAGAACAAAAAAAAACTGTGAAAAAATATTAGTTTGTTAACTTAAATTGTCAAAAACAAGTAAAATTAAAAGCCAAACCTTTAAACTATGAAATACAAAATAAAAGCAAGGCTTTTCACTTGTATTGCTCTAGAGTTCTTACAATTATTTGTATTAAGAATGATCATTTAGGTGAATTAATGATATACAAATTAGTTAGAATAATTAGTCCACCAGGCATCATAATTATTCATTTCAAATGAGGAAGTGGTGTGATGTAGGTTCGAAACGTGATTCTGTTTTGAAATTAGTAAGATTCCTTAGCTCCAACAAGTGCATCGTATGCAAATTATATATAGTACTCAGGTTGTTGATGCGTAGGGAAATGCGAGATCATATTTGGATTGGGCCTTAATCAAGAGTTTTATTTGCTGCTTTTAAAACAGAAATTCAGTATAGTTTCAGGTTTTGTTTGCATTAAATTCTTTAAAGCAAAAAAAAATCTTACAAAAAATGTTTACCCGAGAACGTTTATGCATGTAAAATATCTAGGCATTGAAGTCATTTCGTCTGTCTTGTAAGAACGATGAAACACAATAACACACAAATGTCGTATTGTTTTAGTTTACCGGTCTAAACGAATCCTCGGTCATAGATGGAAACTGATAAGACCCGCCGCCGTATCTAAGATCGTTTGTTTGACCGTAAATTGAACGGCTACGATTTTTTGCACATCGAAAAAAAAAAACGAAAATCAATCAGAAAGGTACACGTGACCTAGTGGCCTTTTCGGATCATCAATCTGAGTTTGATTGAAGTATGGGTCCCATTGATTAGAAGAAGCGTGGGATTGATCTGAAGGCCAAAGGGATCTGATTTTTTACTTACTTACTTTGGATTTGATGCTCTGTCACTGCTTCGGTCGTTGAAAATTCTATAAACGGTGGATGCGATTTTTATTATCCAACAGTAATTATTGTTTTTACGTTTCTTTCTGTTTTTTTGTTAGAAGGGAAAAAATATCAATTTGATATTATATTATTAGTTATACTCATTCTATAGTTTTAACAAATGTTTATATGTAGAAAAAAGAAAGATGAGAATTCTCTACAACGAGACTACCAATAACATCATGTTCATTTCTTGTAAAATTTTACATTCGTTTATTTTTTTTATAATATTATATAAAAAATGACTATATCCTTCACTTATGTTTGTACTTTGTACTAGTAAATATTTTCAAAATTTAAAATCTTATTAACTTCTTCAAAAGGAAGAAGCCCAATTAGAATCCGCCAAGCGGTTTACGCTAGTCTTCTCCGTCAAACCAACGCAATTCCTAAGGAGAAGTAGTTTTCAAGTCTCTTTCAACTATTCAAACGATAAGATCCTCTTCTCAATTAAAATTTGTTTAGCTTCTAAACTTTGAAACCTCAGGAAAAAGGTGAAACATCTTGAAGAGTCTTGGTCATCGGTTTAAAGAAAAAAAAACGGAAATTGGAAATGCGTACCAGTAATCATCACAATTCACAAGTGTCTTGGTTTTGTTGCTGACACGTAACCACAACTCACCCAACACCGACCCTTTTGTTCATGCTGTTTACAAGGAGAATGATACGACTCTTCTTTCTTTAAAGATTCATTACAATTCTTAAATTATCTTACTACATACTTATTATTATTAACACACAAAGAGAGAGAGATGTGTAAGAGACTAATTTGGCGTTGCCCACCAACCTAACTTCCCTTCTACTTCATCAACAACTCGTGTCCACTTTCTCACACAAACCTCTTTGTTCGAGATTATGATTATAAACACGCCTCCCGCGTGAAAAGAGAATAACGCAACCATCATATTAAAAACATATAAACAGAAATCTTCTGGCTTCACTGTCCGATTTGTGATGGAGGAGAAGAAGGCCAATCATGGTGATGATGGGCATGAGAGTGTTCCTCCTATCCATAGCCAAGTCGTGAAGATCAAGAAAGAGTTTGAGAAGATTCAACACCCGTCGCTGCGACAGCCTGAGATGCCGAGGGTGCTTCGCGAGATCATGGTTCCACGACGTTCCCGTTCTCCCCTCGGGTTAGGAGAGAGAGAGACCCATCTCCGTTGGGAATTGATAACAAAGAGAGAGGGATGGAGATAGGTGATCTCTCTGTTGTATTAGGGTTTCTCTTTTTATCTTTCAATGTAAATATCTTTGGTTAATGTGATGAGTCTCCTGTTTGATATCCTAAAACAACAAATCTTTTGCTTCTCTAGTTCATAGATTCATCTTCACGGAGTTAAACCAGCTAGTTCATAGAGAAACCTCGATCGCTTTATTTTGTTTTTAAATGAACAATCTTCAACAGATTCGCCTTTGAAAACTGAGGTTTGAAAAACAAAACAAAGCCTAGAGAACTTACATGATGATTCTTATGCAGCACTAGGTGTCTCTTTAGACGATAGCGACTTAACCCTTGTCGTGAGCTCTCTCATGACATCTATGATCACTGATTTCTTCTGGATACGGTACTTGATACTCAACTCTGCTGTAGCTGAAACACCTTGTTTCAATATGGCCTCGTCTTCCATTATCTTTGTCGGAAAGTGGCTCAATGCAATAACACAAAGAGCGATCACAGTGCGGAAAACGGCAATCTCGTTTGCAATTCCAAGAGGAGCTATGGCGGAAATAGATTTTAGTGTTTCTAAGTCATGATTCTCTACTGCCACCAATTCGCCACAGAGCAGTATCCTTATGGCTGCCAATAGTCGTCCCTCTACTGGCTCTGGGCCTCCTATGGTTACCTATTTAAAAATTTCAAGAAAAGAATTAGAGAGATGGTTCAGTTTCATTCTTCTTCTCGGAAAATAAAGACTGCTAGTTATTGAGTTAGAGAGATAAGGGTTTTAATTACCTTGAGATTTGGCATTTCGCCAGCTAAATTTAATTGGGAAAGCAACTGGTGTTGCCATGGAGCTGGTGAAGAGAACTTTGGGGAAGAAACACCAGCAGCCATGCTTGCAGCGTCCATGAGCTGTTCATCGTATTTAAGCTCAATGGTGTCGTATGGGTTTGATTCCATCACAAATCCGTAGTCCAAAAGGAAAAAATCGTTGCTAAGGCAACCATAATTGAGAAGCAAAGGATCGTTCTCTTTGACTTCAGTCTCTGCAACAACCTGTGTCCACAAAGGAAAGAGACTGTTCGTTCAATATGCGTTCAGTCAAACAAAAACCACTTTTAAAAAAAAAAAAAAAACAGAGATCCAAGACGCAAACCTTAACAAGAGTATTGGAGTCAGCTCCGTTCTGTTCTTGAATGATCCGGGCGTTTGGCTTAAAGCTGTGGTTGCACATATCTATCAGAGGAAGCATCATGGGAACAGCATCAGAAGATCCACCTTGAAGCTTTTTATCCCCATGTAAACGAAATGCTCTAGCTGAAACAGCTGACATGGTCCACCCAAGGGCCGATGCATTCACATCTTGGCCACTGAAAGGATGATCACTGGCCTTGACATCTTCAAGAACGCCTCTAATCTCTTGCTCAAACTCGAGAAGAAAACGGCATCTTTTATTGACCTGTGCCCAAAGAAAGCCACAAATCTGCATCAGGGGGATGGTAAAGAATGGGACTCATCTCGATCAGGGTTCAGCAGTCTATCTAACCTGGTGGAGAAGAGGTGCGTATTGCAAGTTCTTTATATCTTCTCCGGGAAAGAATATCGGAACGGTATAGGTTTCCGGGAGATTGCTAATGTATGGCCACCAGAAAGAATCTGCATTGGCTCTCTCTTGCAATAGTCTCAACCCCAATTTCATTGCCCACAGTTCTTCTGCCAAATTCGTCACAATCAGTAATTCATAAAACCACTCACATCCTGGAAACTTGATAGTTACAGAATTCTATGAGCTAAGCTTCAGATTTAGAGAGATACCAAAACCAAAATCCCAAGTAGAACTCTCAAAGAGGACTGAATAATCATTTGTTTGATCTAAAATTACCAAATTTCGCTGGGAACACTGAACAAGAGCTAGAAATTAACACTTACCGGGAACTCGGCTGGCCAAAGCAGCGAGGAGAGATGACGACGGCGCGTCATCTGATTCGAAGCGTAAAGGAACGTGAGGAGGGAGAGCGATTAAGTCGGTGCCTTCAGGGATTCGCTCGGTGGAAATGAGACCGATACCAAATGGAGTCTCCTGAGACAGCTTCACGGCTTGGTGAACGAACCCGCCTTCTCTCTTGATCCAACGGACGAGGTCCGGCGGATGAGGCGCCAATCGCGACGGCTGAGACGCCGCCATACATGTGAAGGGGCGAATGTGAGCTGCAAGAGAAGCCATCGCCATTTTCGAAGTGGCCATGTCTTACCAACGACGCCGATCCGGTCCGATGTTGCTCGAGGATGAAAAAAGATCCGGAACGAGGCGAACGGACCGGGTTTAGTTTCTATTCGGGTCGGTTAAGACGGCTGGGTCGATTGTTAATTGGGAAGTTTCAAATTTCGTTTCAACACTAATGGGCTTTTTAACGTTTGCTCATTTTTTTTTATGTTTAACAATAAGTGCATACACCAAATTTGACGTTTGGGTTTGATGTTCAAAAATAATAAATTCTAGGTGTGAAGGCAAACTCAAGAATAATGCAATAAGACGAATGTGAAAGTAATCAAGCCTCTAACAATAAGAATTGAGAATTCTGGTTATTATTTATTCACATAAATTTCACTTTCGAGTATTCAACTCCAAAGCAGAACTGAAGACAAAACAATAAAAAAAGTTGAATTAATTTTTTTTTTAAATCACGTTAGCTTGAAAGCAAACCCAAAGAACACAAAAAAAAGATTGAAACAATAATGGTGGAATAATAAACAATGATGACGAAAGGAGAAGAAGAGTAGGAGGAGGAAGAACGGAAAATCAGTCGGCGTGTTGGCCGTGAAACTCTACCTCATGATGTTATCACGCCTAGATCCCATCGTCATCATAATCTTAAACTCGTCGAAATCGATCGTCCCATCTCCGTCCTTATCCACGCCGCCGATCATCTTCCTACATTCCGCGATCGAGCATTCATCACCGAGACTCCTCAGAACCTCGTGCAGCTCCTCCGCCGAGATCGATCCGTTCCCGTCGATATCATACACCGAGAATGCATCCTTCAGATTCTCCAGCACATCGTTCTGATCCATCCCCTTCGTGTTCAGCTCCACGAACTCCTCGAAGTTTATGTAACCGTCTCCTTTCTGATCGATCTCGGTAATCGCCTTCTGCAATTCCTCCTCGGGAACCTCGTGGCCTAGATTCGCCATTATCGCGCCGAGCTCCTTGGACGAGATCTTACCGTCTCCGTTCACGTCGAATTTTTTAAACACCGCCTCGAGTTCTCGGATCTCCGTTTTCCCTGAGCGTGCCTTTTGAAGGTACGGTGAATCTGCGCCGATTCGAGACGCCGAGCCACCGCCCGGAAGCGAAGAAGACGAACCATCGGAATCCTTTTTTTTGTTGAACATCGTTCCAAATCCCATTCCTGTGAAGAAAAAAAAGAGAGAATCGGGAAATAGAGAAATATCCGTATATGTGTGTGATTGCAGAGGAAGAGGATGAATCCCTGAATCACTAGCTAATTTGGGATCCTCTCGACTAAATCTGGAAAATTTCCTTCCCGGAAAATTCTCAGATTACGTAAATCTATTTAATTTAGTTATTTTGGTTTACATAAATTAACAAATTGATAGTATTTGAAAAAAAAATAGACAAATAGAGATGGGATGCATGTTTTGATAAGAGAGCGTCGAGGTCATGCGTGAGTACTGCTCTTCCAATTCTCTATAACCCCTTCTAGATTATTAACAAGTGGATTTTGGATAAACAGATTTTGATCATTAAACACCATCGTAATCACAAGTTTTGTATTTTTAATTCGAAAGTCAAAATTGTCACTAATATTTATACCTCAATCACTCTACCTCTTCCTTAGGTTTCCCGGGTTTTAATTACCATCGCTGGTTTTGGAATGTATACTTTTCACTCTAGTTGTATAAATTTGCGGTTTTTTTTTTCAGATATGTACTCTTGCTTGAGTAAACTGAATGATTTTAATTTAATGCTTTCGTGTTACCATACATTCATGCAGTACGTGCATGATGTAACATAGTCATTGTCATGGTTCGTAGTGAATATAACGGGAAAGGAAAATTACTCTATGACGGTAAATCGGAAATGATCAAGCTAAAAAAAAAAATATGAAATCAACTACTAGATTTTGTGAAGTAATAAAACTTATTTTGTATTGCATTGAGATAGTTTGCTCAACATAAGGTAGAAAACAAGTTTTTAAAAAAAATTACGATTACAGTTTCACGTATAATTAATGGAAACGATCACCTAATATACTACTACCACAAGTCCACAAAATTAATCAAATACAAAAATAATACTCTTCCAAAAAAGTGTTTCAAAAAATATAATATTTTAGCATGTTCACACAAATTAAGAAATATTTATATTTTAATTATCAATGCATTACTTTTTAATTATGATTACTTTTTAATAATTATTAACCAATAAAAATTTAAGAATTTAAACAATTTTAGTTACTTTTCTTAAAATTTACAAAAAAATACATTTAATACTCTAAAACATCATATTTTGTGAAATAAAAAAAAATACTAAAACATTGTACATTTAGAAACAGAGGGAGAATAAAACAACTAAATACATAATCCATGCGATGATCGAGTGGCCTGGTCACCAATTTTAAACAATCAATAGGGCGTATAAGGACAAAAATAAGATACACTACATGCTGATTTCTTGCATTAATTCATATAACAAAGACATTTTTAATAACACAAAGCAACTTCTTTTGAATGTATCCATCCACATATCTCGGCACAATCACGGTCTATGGACCATTCCATTGACCGTTCCTTCTTTTGGACTTCGGTGTATTATTTTACGAACGAATCATTTCAAAAAATTAATGTAGACACATCAAAGTCTTCATTTGAAGACATAATTCGATTTACATGATAATTAGATGGCTTAAATCGGTTTGTACAATTTGTTAACCGAAGTTTTGGCATGTTTGGCTCTAGCTAGTTATTTACACTTGATGCTTATACTCTCTATAATGATATATAAATACAAACTAAGAAAATAAACATATTATACCACACAACGGTTCTCTGTCTCTCATGAACGAAAAAAAAAACAGAATATCATCAACTCGGAGAAGACTTGGGAATAGTTTCATGAAACTTATTTCATATCTTATAATAAGAACATCAACTATAATATACTTGACGCAAATATATAGTCTGGTGATATATAAACATAATCTAAAAAATTAAGAAACATACTAATTTCATTTTCACACAACGGTTTTAAAACAATCTACTCATCATATAGACTTAAGTCTCTGTCTTTCATGAACGAAACAAGCAGAATAACATCAATTCAGAGAAGACTTGTGAATAGTTTTATGAAAACTCTTTTCATATCTTACTAGAACATCAACTACCATATCCTAGCAAACTTGTTCAACAGAACATCCTCAAACAGTTTCACTTTCTTGATTTTAAATTAGTTGATGAATTAACTAGATCGAGCTCATATGAAATATCAAAATGTATCAAACTTCATATATATAACAACAAAAGTTTTTGCATCAAATTTCTATCATCTGATTCCCACTTATCTTCTGCTATACTTCTAACAATAGAAAAGGAACCACAAGAGATAATGACCTTAGAGTCTCAAGGTAAGATCAGGCTTTGAGCTATTGCTATTATCTACTACACTTCCATTTGCTGCAGCCGAGTTTAGATCAAGACCTGACTCTGTAACAGCCACCACCACGGGAGCTTCAGCTTCCTCTACGACCTGACGAAAGCTCCCGGGCCAGAAGAAATCACTACCATCGTCATAGTCAAAGAACAATGGCACGGTGTTACCAAAGTACCCTTGATGATGAAACCTTGCAAGAGGAGGCTGGGATAAGGTGGGGTGAAGTACACCGGAGTGAGCTTGCATCCCAAGAGAAGAAGATGAGTATGTGTAAGGCCTGTGATGGTGACCAAACATTCTTCCCATGTGCATTGCTCGTTTCGCCATTGTTCGTTCACGCTTGTGAGCGTTCTGGTGACCTCCAAGAGCTTGAGAGCTATAGAACTTGCGCCTACAGTAGTTACAAGAGAAGACTCTAGGACTGGATTCACACTTTGTGCCCTTTGTGTCATCGTTGAAACTATCGTTGAGCTTGAGATCGAGCGAGACAGGGATGCTCGATTCGGGATTAGACAGATCTTGATTTGAGGAGGCTTCTCCTCCTCTGGCTGGTGGTGATTCTCGAGAGGCATCATCAGATTCCGTCATTTAATCGAACTTTTATTGGTCTCAACCTGAAAAAAGATCATATTAAAAGTCAACAAAGCAGATCAAGAAAATGTTGTAGAGTCTTAAAAAGGGGACAATCTACAAAATCTAAGAACTGTATTTAGGTAAAGACTTAAAACAGAGTAACCTCTTCGCTCAAAAGATCAAACGAAGTGCTTGAATTTTCGGATAAGGAATAAGCAGGTTCTAAGCTTAAAGACGACTAATCGAGATGAAGCTTTAACTAAGAGGGAGAGAGAGAATCCAAGACAGCAAAGTAAAGATAATTAACAAGAATCAAAGATCAGATAGAGAGAGAGAGCAGTTTTGGAGGGTACAGTGCATACGAAGATTTGTTGAGATCTGGGGAGAGACAGCCGACAGAAGCTGCTGAACTTGTTGACTTGGAAGCTAAGAGAAGAAGGAAGAAGAATCTAAAGAAAAGTGGTACTCTTTGTGTTTACCAAAAATGGGTCAATCCAGATGTAAGGAAAACAAAAGCCAGAAAGAAGAGATAGGATTGGTGAAAAAAAGCAGAAGAAGATAATGAAGGAGAGAGAGAGAGAGAGTTTATGTTTAAACAAAGATAGAAACGCAAATGTTGGAGAGATGGAGATGGTCTGGTGGAAAGACATGTGGGAATATAAGTGTCTGCCAGTTAGACCTGTGTTTTTCTTTTCAATAGTTCAACGACCTTTCGAATATAGTATTTTTATTCCTAAATTGATCAGGCAACAATATATATATTTTTTTTTTTTAAAAAAAAAGAAAAATCAATTGAAGAAAAGATGTTTTTCACAGTATTCGTAAAGGTGTAGCCGTATAGTATTGTTTATTATGCGTTCATTGTTATGTGTACTTGTAAGTTGTAAGTTGTAACCTATATAGGTAAACTTGTTTGTCTTGAACCTTTAAAAGTTCACAAACATTTGAAGTTTTGAATTGTTTTTAAAACACTGTTTGCTAAATGACAACATTACTTTTGTTCTTGTTTATGGGTGGGTAATCTTGCTACGGTTTGATTTCACTTCAGTTATTATAATTTTTTTTTGTTTCTTTCTGCGATATTCTAAAAAACGAAACCATAAAGCAATTGCAATTTTAATTTGATTAGGTATTTACCTGTGCTATGCTACGGGATGTTATTTTAAATTTTATATATTTTAAAAATAAAAAATTATTTCTTACAATATAAATAAATATTATATTTATTTTTTATTTAGCATAAGTTTTGGATTTAGGTCATATTTATTCTTCCATCTATAGTTCATTTGAATAAAAATAAAAATTTGTTTGTTTTGTGGCAAAATCAAAAAATATTTAGATGAATTATCTAGATGATTTTTTAAGATTTAGATAAATTTATGAGAATTATCCGAATGAACCAAATTTGACCATCTTGATGGAGATGTTTCAGTTCAAAATAACAAATGACTAAAATACTCTTAAATTTAAAAATAATAAAAAACCTAAAATCATATTTTTCGAAAAAACCACAAATTATGCTTTTCTAACGAAATCTGAAAAATTGTATTTTTTTTTTCTAAACTGGTAAAATCAAATTTTCTGGTAAAATCGAAAAATCGTATTTTTCAACCAAAACTAAAAAAAACACATTTTACTATTATAAGTTTACTTATGATCATAAATTTCTCTACTTGCAGGTTATATTCATATTTTTAATTATGGAACTTTTAATGCATGTTTTTCTTACACTAACTAAAATAATTATTTTAACATTAATATTTCTTTAGCATTAAAAAAATATTTAGTAAAAAACCATAAATGAAACAACAATTCACATTAGCTTACATATTTACTATAGCTTAAGTTTATATGTTGATCAGATCGCTACCTTAGCTCTAGAAATTAAAAAAGCTACAAAATATATCGAAAGAAACCAAATAACCATGTCAAATGTTTGAAGCTCGTATTTAATTGACCTCAGATCTTATAACTTTATTTTTCTTCAGTTCTTCTTCTCTCACATATGCTAGAAACAAGTCTAGCAACTACGAAAATGGCTTCACAATGTTGCCATTCCTCCCATTCTCCAAATCATATCAGCGTTTCTTTCATCTATTGAATCATAGTCATTGGTCGAGATTTAGACGGTTGACAATTTTTTCGATCAGATCTCTGATACCTTTAAACATAATATATTTGCTTTCAAAAACTTAATACACTTTCAAATATTCATTCATAAGTATACAATAACTTGATTAAAAAATACTCATTCTTTTGATAATTAATTAAAATTTGGTGCACTCTCTCTTTGTCAAAGTATAAAGAATTATTTAATTTTAATATATAAAAAACATAATTTTCTGGATTTTTTAGTTTTTCTCATATCTTTGCTTTAAACATGTAAACATTAACATTAACATACCTAAACATTAGTCACATTTATATGTATATATCAAACCTTCAAACTTCACACTATATTTATATAGTTTTATTAATAAGCCATAGGACAGATATGATACATGAGTAACACCCAAATACAAAGGTCTAAAACATTAAAGTATTAAACGCAAGCCTAAATACAACTTAAACTACATTTGGTGTTACTGTAATTGGATATCTCATCCGTCTTTAGCATAAGGGACAAAGCTTTACCACTTTAAAGTTTCAACTTTCAGAAAATTCATCATCACAATGCGATTGTAGATATTTTTCAAACTCTTTCGAGAACCATCATATCTCCTGAATAGATACATGGTTAAAAAATCCTTCTTCCCCACAAAGTTGCTACAAAGTTAAAATCTTAGAAGTGAAATCGTAAGTTTGATGAGATAAAAAAATTAATTGATTCATTAGAATTTTAGGTTTGTTTGCCAATAAACGTTATCAATTAGTTAGGTTAATTAGATAATTTCTAGAATAATTGAAGAAGACGGACGAAGAAGATGATGATAGGGAAAAGGAGAAAGAAGATGTCGATAATATACAATGAGCTTCAGTTTGTTCTTTTTAAAAAAATTTTAAAAAAATTTAAAAATTATAAAACAACACGTAGTACATTATTAAAAATGGTGTGTTTTAATTTTTGTCATCGATATAATGAAGGTTAATTTTGTAGTTATCCCAAAATAATAATATTGGGCTCTAATTTTTATGTATTGTCCATATTGGGTCTTATTAATAAAAAATTTTGATGATAAAAGAAAAAAAATTTCCTATGTATTAAATATTGAGATGAAGTGTATTAATGAAATGTTTTAATTAGTTCAGTATTTTGCTGTTGTGTGAGTTTCTAATAACACAAAAAACTGAGTTGTCAACACATAGAGAAACTTATGGTTTATTGTTGTATTGATTTATGTTCACTTTAACCAAATTTACAAATCATATATGTTGCTTAAAATTGACATTTCAAAAACTGAAGGCAAAAAAGATTGGGGTTTCTTAGATGATCTCTTTGCTAAGAAGAGTTTCTCTCGGAAATGAATATAATGTTACGTTTAGGAATCAACTTTTACATCTTACAAAAGAAAAAACAACAAACAAATTGTACTAATGCTTAAGGAAAGGAAGAAAAAAAAAACATTATATTCTTCAATCATTTATCTCATTCGTCAGAGTTCTTCAGAAATATTATAATTTGGATCTTTTCATGAATATTTGATAATTGAACTTGTACACTTTTAGGTACATACAAATATACGAATATATAATAGTTAAAAAAAAAAGGAATTGAGCGCAAGGCATTTGATAATGTCGCATGGAGCCCATACATTCATTCCCCCCGCTTTACCTTTTTCATCTGATGTTGACATTTCTTTGTGTTTTTCTGATATTTCACATGTGATTTTTAAAGTCTCTGCTTTCTCTGTCCCATTTCTATCTAACTTTTATTTTTAATTTAGTAAAGTTGAAACATATTTTCGATACTGTTTGGGTTGTTGTTACCAATCACTCGTGCGGTAAAAAGGTAAGCTGTTTTGTTAGTTGATTTCACTCACTTCTATTTTATTTTTCCTTTTTTTCTACTTTATCTTCTTTCCTTTTCTTGATTTCTCCGGTAAAAATTATGTATCGTCTCCTATTTCTCTTCACCGTACCGGATCGCTAAACATGGAGATTTCAGCGGATACGGCCTTCTTCGTCCCTCCATTTCATAATTAGTTAGTTGAACAAAGAACAAGTCAAATAAAAATAAAAAATGTGAACTGACGTAAAACTTCGCGTTATAAACGTAATTCACAATATATGTATATGTTTACCCCGATTTATGTGTGTTGTAGCAAATCAAGCAAAGGCAAGATCAATATTGGGATCGTGGCAAAACTCAAAGAGATAATGGTGTCTCCTTGTTTGTTTTGTCTTGATGCATTGAGTGATAAGTGATAAACTGTGCCCACTGTTGTTCCATTTCCATCCCAACTTGTCTTTGGGTCTTTGGGGCCACCTCAGATTCATTAGCTTTCACATATTTTCGGCTTTCGTCCACTTGCTTAGTTGCTTTCCAATCACATTTCACAAATGATTGTTCCCATCGTTTCTATGTTGCTGGTAAAAAAAAAAAAAAAAAAAAGTATGGGTCCGACAATGAATTCAACCATAGAATTATAAGATATCATAGAGCATATAAAAATATTTCGAACATTGGTGATGAGTCACCGTCTTAAATCGGAACACACTAAGAACTTTGAGATAGTTTTAAGAGTATTATTCACAAGGCCAAACTACTTTTGAGATTCCAGTGGATCATTTGTACGTGCCCATCAATTTTAAAAGCTCCACTCTTTGAAGAATCTATTACGCATTGCCTAATACTTTGACTGATGTTAAGCTGTGCAACGGTTGCATGAGGTCGATTATATATATGCACGACATTCACATCCACTCATCTTTAGCAAAATTATCTAACAGTAAAAAAAATCATGCTTAGATATAAATATTTCCCATCAGGCAAGCTACCACATAAGAAACTTACAAAAACAATCTTATAGTAATCATATCAGGAGAAATAGCAAGATCCACCCCAAGCCCAAAGTCATCTCAAACCCAAAGTGATTAGACAAGAGACTGTAATAACAATTAGAAAAAGAGGAATGTAAAGCATTAAGTTGTACGTCTAACGAAAAAATATAATTACATATATAATTAATCAATAAAAGAAAAGTTATCTCATTATATAATTAATTCTAAAATGGTTTGATTTAGTAAAAACGAAGTAAAGACGGTTTGATTTAAGGAAAACAAAATTAGATTAACAACTGATTATCATGTAAAAACGAAATGGAGTGGATTGTAGATTTAAAATCAATTTGGTTATAGTTATGATTAAACCGATTGGATTAATTAACGAAGTGTACGTAGTGGATTGTAGACTCTTACACTTAGACTTTTTCTAAAGATAAATTTTGAAATATTTAAAGAGATTTATCTAATAATGAGTTTGAAAATATGGAATAGAAAATATGCTTTTATTTTTTTAAAAACTTTTGAATTTGGATTTAAATTGATTATAGATGTAATTTTTAATTTATGTTGGACAAAATGTCTTACACACATAAAGAGAGTTATTTGAAAGAAATATGAAAAATATAAATTTAAAATTAAAAAAATACAAATAGAATATATTCAATTAAAACATAATAAAAATTAGTTTTAGTCTATCCCAACAATGTTTTTGCATGTTAAAATATGAAATCTCTCTTTTGCTAAATCTATCAAGATAAAAACTAATAGATTTATCTTTCTTTATACATATTTTATTAATATTGAATTCAAACTATTGATTGTATTTTCAAGATAATCAAAGAAAATACCTTCTAAAAACAGGATGGAGCGTGATGATTCTTCTTGTCATTGCCATCAAATTGGTACCCACTGTTGTCAATGACATTGGTGGCAGTCATCCTCCTGTGGTGACAACCATTGGTGCTCTCTCGCCTGGCGTGAATGAGGCTCTTCCGCAAACAAAGGGAGAGACCATAGAACCTTTCGGTGGAGACCTATTTCTATGAGATGATGACAAGTTTGAAAGAACCGAAACGATTACAATTTACATGGACAATATAGGAATCATTGGACTCAAAATTCAGTATGTGATGAATGAGAAATTCTACATTTTATACAAAATCGGTCTAACTATTTTTAGTGATCCAAAGCAAAAAAAAAAAATTATATTTTTTATATTTAAAAATATGAGTTTATTAATATTGTGACCTAATAAATATAATTGTTTTTGAATATATGGTCCATAAATTATTTAAAAAGTTGGTAGCCATAAACCATTACTTAGTCCGCGTGTTCTTTGGGCCGCATGTAATTCTAACACACATAAACTTCTCATCCAAAATAAAACTAAAACTAATTGTTTTAATAATATTTTATCGAATTCTAAACTTGAATACACTGTACATTTAAAATTGTCACTCACCAGTCTTGTAGCCATATTATTGGTTAACCTAAATCAATCAAATTGGTTATAGTTATCACAATCGATTGGATTAACAAAATATAAATATAAATTTACTTTGTTTATATTTACTTTGTTTTTACTTATATTTGGCTCAATTTTGGTTTTTACAATTAATTTGTGTTTTTTTTTTACTTTTCTATAGTTATAGAAATAAAACTACTTTAGATGAATTGTGTTTTCAGAAATACGACACAAATCAGACTGCTAGGATTTTTTACTTTTCTATAGTTATAAAAATAAAACTATTTTAGATGAGATGCGTTCAGTGCCGGTCCAACAATTTTTGATACCGTACACAAATCTAAAAAATATGCTTTTTATATACTATATGTAAAACTACAAAAATATTAATATAAAAAATTACGGTTAAACTTTATAAAATAATATAATTCTGAACAAACAATCCCAATTTATAAACAGTTTATAAGGAAAAAAACAGAAAATACATATTGTTGAAATATATTATTTTTACAGTTACGCCTGTAAAATCATTTCTTAAACTCACTAATCGATAACTTCAAATGTTTATCGTTTTAGTAAAATAATTTTATACAATTTTTTTATTAATTTATCTTATTTTATGAAATATAAATAAAAACAAAAATCAATATTTTTTCATCGAACTTAAATGTTGTCAAAAACTGATAAATTTATAGTTATAATTTTTTTTCTCTCATCAATCCAAAAAATTTAAAAATACCAAAAATCTTAAAAATAAGTCAATAACTCACATATGTGACAATAACAAAACTATGATTATGGTATTGAAAATATAAATAATATTATTGTTAAAAATGCTTGAATCTTTATTTACATGTAAACATATTAAAAAAAAAGTATGCCCCTTTAAGATTTACTGCCCTAATCGGCCGGCCCTGGATGCGTTTTCAGAAATACGACACAAATTAGACTGCTAGGATCGTATATATATCTAAATCTCGAAACGTTGGCTCCAAAATTTAGTTTTATTGATTTTATGTTATTCATTGATGTATCAATATTTGCAATAACTATTATTTTTATACTATTATAATTTATCGAATTCTACAACTTATTGTTTCTTTAACCGATTCTTTATGACATTACTATACCGTGAGAGATTAGCACAAAGGCTTTGTGACAAAGCTATACCAATTTTCTTCTTACAACAAAGTAAAACATCGTGAGATTAATGTCATGATAATCAAAAGTTCATTGTCATGATGTACTACTTTCTGTACATATGGGCTATACCAAAGCCCAAAGATATCTAATAGCCCATAAAAATGGGGATCTAGCTTCAAACTCAACCTAAAAATCAAATCAAATATTTTTATGAACTTTATGAACTAAGTAATTTAAAGTAACCAGTTAGAAATAAAGAATACAATGATGACCAAACGTAAACCAAAATCTGTAGTAAACCAAATTCTAATAACCCCGATAGTGTTTCAAATTTGAGAATTAGACTTCAACTAAACCAAAATCAAAGCATTTTTGGGTTAATACTTGATACAACTAAAACTGTCGCTCACCAGTCCCATAGCCATATTATTGGTTAAACTAAACCAATCAAATTGGTTTTTTTTTTTTTTTGACAGCAACCAATCAAATCGGTTATAGTTATGATAATCAATTGGATTACCAAATTTTTTTTTTTTTTTTCGTTTTTACTTATATTTTGAATTGTTATGGTACTAGCATTGAATGCAGCAACATAGAGCATTACCAGCTTCACTTGGGTTTACATTTTGTTTTCACTATCAATATCTGCCAAAGACAATGTTATGAATTATTCGAAGATGAAGATTGTCATAGTATTCAAGAGGTATGAGGAAGAAACATTGAATATGTCATAGGAAATAAACCCACTGAATTGGAAATCTGCTCCCAGTCTTGAGTCAAAACTTCCGATCCTGAGGCAAGGAAGAGTTGAGACAGACCTAAACTCACAAGTCCAGCAACATAGTGGCAGTACTCATCAACAGTTTCTTCTACTTTCTACCTAAACTATATTTCTTCCAAATGAAACAGAGGCACCAGAACTCAAAAATATATCAAAAATGTTTTTGAATCACAGACCTCGTGGCAGATAAACTTGGCCATTCCTTCACCCATTCCTGTACCTTCATATACCAAGCTACAAGTTAAAGATTAGTGTTGTCAGAAAAGCAGATTAGAGTTTTCGTAAGTTCAGTAAGTCAGTCAATAAAACAGAACAAAATTGCATGTATTAGAACTAACCCTTTTGAAGTTCCAAAATAGCTGCAGCAACATGGTGGAATTGGTTCATAGTGGAGTACTGGAGACAGCTTAGAAAAACAATTAAATTGGAGCAAGCAAAATGGATAGTTGTAACAATTTTGAATTTAACATATGCATACACAGAATCGGTCCTGAAGATATATGAAACTATAAGGTAATTTTTAGAACACTTATTAAAACAGTATCTTTAATTTTCTTTTTTCCTGAAATTCCTTTTTCCAATTACAATGAACAATTTAGCTTTTTGATTATTTTTGTTTCAAACAGAAAATATCTTGCTATATAAGTATTATTACATATAACGAGGAACTAATCTAAAACTTACAAAACCTTATGAAAAGTTATTTTTAATTTCGATTTTTATATAAGTTATATATAATTTTCGATCATTTGACACAAAACTTTATCAGAAAAGTGTAATAAACGAAACAAAACAATTTTGAATTAAGAGAATTCAGAAGATTATCGCCCAAGATGATGATTTCGTTCATGGATCATCTAAAGTGTTAACTTAGCAAATTAAGAAACAAAATATCCGAAATTTCAATAATTTGTTTTGTTTATCACTTGATGTAAAAATACAGAAAGTTTTCAGCCTTTTATTTGAGTCACTGGCTGGCACTTTCCATTTTTTTTTTCACTGGTCATAGAAAAAAGGAAACAAATCTAATTGAATTAAAGCAGGTAGATAGCAATTTCCCTCGCTTAAATAAGTCAAGTTTGGTATTTCCAAAGCAATAAAATCTGCCGTTTCGTTTTCTCTTTCTCATTGAAGAAGAAGAAAATCTCCGCCGCGAAAAAAGCTTCCTTTTCTCTCCCTTTGTGCCGCCTTCAAGGCTTAGAACCCTACTCAGTTAGGGTGTGAATCAGCGCCTCCGTCGCTTGCAACGATAAGATTTTACATATGCAGAAGATGATCACCGCGAGGATTTTGCTCTGTTTCCTCTGTTTCATCGCCTTGGTGCATGGGCAATCGAATGGGCAACAGACGAGTCCTGATACTGCGACCATGACTGCTCTGAAAAGCTCCCTCAAGCTGTCGTCAAAGCTCAACTGGACCGACCCGAGCCCTTGTGCCTGGACAGGTGTAGGATGCGACTCAGGGCTTCGGGTCACCCGGATCCAAATCGGGAACAGCGGACTCTCAGGAACGCTACCTCCCGATCTCAAAAACCTCACGTCTTTGACTATTTTCGAGGTCATGGGTAACAAGCTAACCGGGGAAATCCCGAGCCTTTCCGGGTTGAGTTCGTTAGTGAGGGTTTATCTTCATGACAATGGGTTCACTTCCATCGACCCGGACTTCTTCACCGGTTTGAGTTCCCTTCAGGATGTGAGTATCGGCAACAATCCGTTGGCACCTTGGGAAATCCCTCCGAGTCTAAAGGACGCGACTTCCCTAGCGAACTTCGCCGCCGGAAACTGTGGTTTCTCCGGTAGGATCCCGGATTCTCTTTGGGGCCCAACGTTCCCTAGCTTGAAGGTTCTGGTTCTTTCTGGTAACTCGCTCCAAGGCGAGCTTCCTATGGGCTTCGCCGACTCGCCTGTTCAGATTCTGATGCTCAACGGCCAGCAGGGAAACGAGAAGCTCAACGGATCCATCTCGATTGTGCAGAAGATGACTTCTTTAACTAACATCTCACTTCAGGGAAACGGGTTCTCAGGCCCCATACCGGATCTTTCCGGTCTGGTCTCGCTGAGAAGTTTTAATGCCAGGGAGAATCAGCTCACGGGTATTGTACCGTCCTCTTTAACCGGTTTGTCATCTCTCTCTGATGTGGCTTTGGGGAATAATCTGCTTCAAGGACCAACACCAAGCTTCAAGGCTGCAAAGGCTGATATGGCTGGCCTCAATAGTTTCTGCGTAGATACTCCAGGTACTCCTTGCGATCCACGTGTCGACACTCTGCTATCTATCGTCGAAGCGTTTAGTTACCCGGTGAGGTTTGCGCAGAGCTGGAAAGGTAACGATCCTTGTAACAGCAAGAGCATGTGGGTAGGTATAACTTGTTCCGGAGGTGATATCACAGTTATCAACTTCAAGAACATGGGGCTCAACGGCACTATCTCTCCGAACTTTGCGAACCTCACGTCTCTTCAGGTCATCAACCTCTCTCAGAACAATCTCACCGGTACTATCCCACAAGAGCTCACTAATCTGAGTAGCTTGAAAACCCTAGATGTTTCGGGTAATCAGATTTACGGTGAAGTACCTGATTTCAAGCCGAACGTTGTCAACACGAGCGGGAATCCTGACATAGGTAAGGATGGCCCTGGACCGGCTCCTGGTTCGTCTTCTTGGAATGCTGGAAAAATCGCGGGTTCTGTTATTGGAGCTGTGCTGTGTTCGCTTCTTATAGCGTTTGCCGTTTTCTTCTTTGTCAAGAAAAAGAAGCATTACCATAAGATGCACCCTCAACAACATCCTGGTGACGTCAAGATTACAATAGCGAATCTAGGTGTTGGTGCTGGAAGTAGCGGTAGCGACGCTCATCATATGATGGAAGATAGGAACACTGTGATCTCGATACAGGCTCTGAGGGTTGCTACGGATAACTTCAACGAGAAGAATATACTCGGGAGAGGCGGTTTTGGGATTGTTTACAAGGGGGAGTTGGAAGATGGGACGGAGATTGCGGTCAAGAGAATGGAATCTTCGGTTGTAAGTGGGAAGGGCTTGGATGAGTTTGCGTCAGAGGTTGCTGTTCTGACCAAAGTTCGTCACAGGAATCTAGTGAAGATTCATGGATACTGCTTACAAGGCAACGAGAGGCTTCTGGTTTATCAGTACATGCCTCAAGGAACGCTGAGTAGGCATATTTTCAATTGGAAGGAGGAAGGGTTAAAGCCTCTAGAGTGGTCTAGACGGTTGATTATTGCATCGGATGTGGCTAGAGGAGTTGAGTATTTGCATACTTTGGCGCAGCAGAGTTTCATACACAGGGATCTCAAATCTTCGAATATTCTTCTTGGAGACGATATGCATGCCAAAGTCGCTGATTTTGGATTGGTCCGGCTTGCTCCAGAAGGCAACCAATCGATTGAGACAAAAATTGCTGGAACTTTTGGCTATCTTGCACCAGAATACGCAGGTATGTATATGGTCTTATGCTTAGTAAATATATTTTAATATATGTTTGTTGCTACTTTTGTTCTTTAACTCACTAACATTGATAACTTTATTATGTCAATGCAGTGACCGGAAGAGTTACAACAAAGGTTGATGTTTACAGCTTTGGAGTCATTCTCATGGAGCTACTAACGGGTCGAAAGGCACTCGACGTTAAGAGATCTGAGGAAGATGTTCACCTCGCCACATGGTTTAGGAGAATGTTCATCAACAGAGACACATTCCCAAAGGCCATTGACAAGACGATTGAGGTCAACGAAGAGATACTCGGAAGCATCAACAAAGTAGCTGCGCTTGCTAGTCAATGCTGTGCCAGGGAGCCACAACAGAGACCCAACATGACTCACGTGGTCAGCGTTTTGGTCTCGCTCGTTGATCAGTGGAAACCGGAGGAACGGAGCCGGGACTCTGTAGATGCCTATGGAATCGATTACGACGCACCTCTTTCTCCTTTGGAGATAATAGAGGGAATAAACTCATCTTTCCGTGGAGACAATACTCTGACGAGTATACCGTCGCGACCTCCTGAGCTTGACAACACATTCAATGCAGGACAAGGAAGGTAAGTGTGTTAGAGGATTAGCTGGAAGAAAAAAATTGATGTTTTGTTGTTGGATGGGATCTTGTTTTAGGGTTACGGATTGTGTATATCTCTTGATGGTTACCTTGATTCTCAAGTTGTAGTTTCTTCTTAAATGAACATGTGTTATGGTCCCTTGTAGTAGAGACCAGCTGGATTTTGCACGTCCTAGATATTTTGATCATTTAGGTTTGGGTATTGCCATTGACTCCATATTTTAGTTTTATTGATTGATGTATCATTTCACAAATGCCTATTATTTCGATTTTATGATTTCATCGAACTCGACAACTAACTTCTGGTACGATTGTTAAGACACTATCCATTTTTTACGTATACATAAGTAATTCCATACAAAGAGCATATGATATGCAAAAGTCTTAAAGTCAACTTACAGATTTATAATACATGATGAAATAATTATATGCCATAGTACGTGTACCCTTTCCTAGAGTAAAGAATATCAAAAAGTGTACCCTTTCCTAGAGTAAAGAATATCAAAAAGTATCAAACTTACATCCACAGCACAAGCTAGACTTGACTCCGAAAATCTATGAGATATTTTAATCATTCATACCCCAAACTTTCTGACATACTTTTTAATATCCTCTCGAAGGACCGAAACATGAAGAAGACATATTACATTTTACATTTATAATTTATATTTTCTTTTGCTATATAATGATTTATTGATATTTTATCACGTATAAAATTCATTATTAAATTTGTAATTCATCAAAATATTGACGACTTAAAAATAATCATCTGGCTAACAAAAGTGAAACCCATGAAGCCATGGGCCAGTTCACAGTTTTCACGCCCACTCAAACGACATCGGCGTATGACTAAACCGGATCCGGTTCGTGTGGAAATTGTTAATTGTAACGATATTAAATGATTTTATTTTTTCATCAATTTTTTTGATGAAACAAACAAAAGACGAGAAGAACAAAATTGGGCGCAAGAAGAGTAAAATAGGAAAAGAATAGCCCTCCTCGCAAAACATATATCGTCACCGTCATCGTCTTCAATTTCACTTTGCATCAATCAAATCATCTCTCCAAAACCCTAATTCATCTTTGTCTTCTTTGATCAATTGTTCGTTCCCGTCTGATCATTCGTTATCAGGAATGCTTATTTCTGGTTGCCAATCGGATCCTCCAGCAGTCTAAACCCTATCTACCTTCTTCGTCTTCTAGGGTTTCGAAAAAGGGAGTCGGAGATACACAAGAGAGGGTGGAAATATGTCTCTTCCGCTACTGGAGTGTAAGTACGTGACGGAGGAGTTTGTTCGCGAAGCGAAGAATGGCAACTACGGTTCCAAGCTGCCGAGCTCCGTTCCGATGCTTCGTTTCCTCTACGAGTTCTGTTGGATTTTGGTACACGCACACAAAACCCCTCTTCCTATTCTCCAATCTATGCATAGCTCTATGCATATGTGTTCGAGTTGCTGAAGATGCATCGTAATGGATTATCAGGTTCGTGGCGAATTGCCGATTCAGAGCTGTAAGGCAGTGTTGGAGAAGGTGAATTTCTTGGAAAATCCATCGAAAGAAGAATTAGCTTCCTGTTTTGCGGATGTCGTGACTCAGATAGCTCAAGACGTAGGTCTTTCCAATACTTTCTTCCAGCACCTTACAGTTTTGCCATTTTTTTTAAGCTTTCAAATCATTATACTGAGCGTTCGATTGTTTGCTTTCGTGTTCTCTTTGCTTCGTCTTGCAGCTTACCATGTCGGGGGATCACCGTTCTCGCCTAACAAAATTGGTAAATACTTTTACCTTCTAGAAACTGATTGTGGTGGTTTTGACATTAGTATGAACGAGGTTTCTAATTCTAGCTCTTTGAAAGGTCGTCTTGAGACTAAAGACCACACCTAACAATCAGTTGTTCTTCGTTTGTAGGCGAAATGGCTTGTGGAATCACAGACAGTACCTCAAAGGCTTTTCCAAGAGCGTTGTGAGGTAAAAATTATGTTACATCCAGCCAATGAATAATCAGGAAAATGCTCAATATACATTGTTACTCGAAGAGAAGTTTTATACTGATAGAACTTAGAAAATAAATACAGCTTTGAGTGGTTTCTGAACAGAGTCCTCTCTATTCCTCCTTACAACCCTCGCTCAGTTCTTGATAATTCCCTCATTGATACCCATCATATATATAGGTATAGCATGTGCATCATGGAATCCTACTCCGCATCATACAAACGGTTACAAGAACAAGTCTAGAATTATAGATAGAGACTGCTTACTAATTGTGGTTATTGTAGCTGCTAAGGTAGTTAAGCTCTAGATGTTGACTTTAAGGCTGAAGCGAAAGTAATCCCTTACAATGTAGTGGACCAGCTGATCTCACTAGATAGCCTCTTCTTCTGGCTGTAGGTGTAAAAAATAGGAGGGTGCAGGTTCTTAAATGTATCACATAGTTCCCATTTTGAGTAGTTTGTTGACCAGCTAATCTCTTGATAAGTAAGAAAGTAACTTTTCTGTAGGAGCTGACGATTGATTTCTTTATTTTCTTTTAGGAGGAGTTTCTATGGGAATCTGAAATGGTCAAAATTAAAGCCCAAGATTTGAAGGGGAAAGAGGTGAGGACTGAGGACTGCACACTTCTGTAACTAATTATATTATCTTGAACTCTTGTTTAGTCATAAATCCAGTTGTACTGTAGTCTGACTTACGTCATAGTTACCTTGAGTGAGTTTCTCTTGCAGAAGATTTATATATGAAAGAGTTTCTCCTTTTAACACTGTAATTGGTGTCATTGTTTAGAACTAACTATTCTGGTTGGTGCTACTCAGGTGCGATTAAACACTCGTCTTCTGTACCAGCAGACAAAGTTCAACTTACTCCGTGAAGAAAGCGAGGGATATGCCAAATTGGTTCGTCACAGAAGATCTCCGAATTTTATCTCTGTCTACTTTTTCTGTGCCTATTGTTAGATACATATTGCTCTTTACTTCTTTTCCTCTGAAATCCACCTTCGGAATTCTCATCTTTAATTTTTCGAATGGATGATCTCTTCGACGATGTTGATTTGGCCATTTATTTTCACCTTAGCAAATCTTCTGCGAGTTAAGTTATAGTATAGCTCGCTCGATTCGCAAATAGGTCCGACTCGTAATTAACTTCTGACTCTGTGTTCGATAGCCCGTGTAACCAACATATATCTCAGTAGTGTTTCTGTGGAATTTGGTTGAGTCAGAGTGTACAATACACCAACTTATTGCAGTACTTCTTTTTGTGAAGTGCAGGTCACCCTTTTATGCCGAGGATCTGCAAGTTCTTCGCATAATGCATCAGCAGCAACTATGGGAATTATCAAGGTTTTGATTCTGCCATACATTATGTTTCACATATGGATTCCGTTTGCACTTTCTGAACTGAAATATTTCTTGCAGTCATTAATTGGACATTTTGACCTGGATCCGAATCGTGTTTTCGACATTGTAAGTTTTAGCTGTCTCTTCTGTCATATTTTTGTTTGATATTGCATTGTGCATTGCTCTATCCTTCCTTATTAGTCATGTACCCTTTGTTTCCAATGAATAGGTTTTGGATTGCTTTGAACTTGAACAAGATTACGACACATTTCTCAATCTAATTCCTATCTTTCCCAAGGTTTGGAATGCCTTCCACGTGTTGTCATATTCTACTATTTAGCTTGAGAGACTATTTTTTGCTAAAAGTTCTCTGTGATATGCAGTCTCATGCTTCGCAAATTCTTGGATTTAAGTTTCAATACTATCAGAGATTGGAGGTGAATAGCCCTGTTCCATCCGGGCTCTATAAGCTTACAGCCTTGCTAGTAAAGGAGGAGTTTATCAATCTTGAAAGCATGTGAGTACTGTTTCCTTCAACTTTTTTTCCCCTTTCTTTTGGTTGTTGCCCTTGAACTTTCCTTTCTAATTGGGTACCTTTACATAGTCTTCTTAATGACTATTGCTTTTCTTTTAATTGTGTGACCATAAGTCTACACTGTATCTAGTTTTTGGTACTATGTCTCTTAAGTTCGTTTCATAGGGTGGGTGGGGTTGATTGTCAAAAATCCTTTTGGCTGTTCTAAGTTACTTGCTTCGAGATTGCTCTTTGGGAGGATGCCGTAGTAGAGATAATTTATTATCTTGCAAACAACTCACTGAAAATCGTTAACTTACTTTACCATGCACTGTTTCATGACTGCTACATTTCCTTGTGTCTCTGACAAGTGAAACTATACTAAATCTATAGACCTCATGTTCTTATGTTGTTTTTCCGTACTGTTGTGAACAGATATGCACATCTGCTACCTAGGGACGAAGAAATTTTTGAGGATTATAATGCTTTTTCTGCAAAGCGGTTCGAAGAGGTACAGTTCAAAATATGATCTCTTCCTTACCTGCATGTGTTAGATGTTTTAAGATTGTTGGCCTACTTTAAACCTTTTTTACCCCTTGAGAAAATTAACTTGTTTCCTTTGATCTTACGATGATCACATCTTACCTTTACAAATTTTAATTAATACTTAGATTCTAAGCATTTCTACATATTCCTGGAAGCCAGCTAACTATCTGTTGTTATTGAAACCCTACTTTCACATATATGTACACGAGTTATGTTATATACAAATCCCTCCCTTTCTATAGGCCAATAATATTGGAAAGATAAATCTTGCTGCTACGGGGAAGGATCTTATGGAGGATGAGAAACAAGGAGATGTCACCGTAGATCTCTTTGCTGCTTTAGACTTGGAAACAGAAGCTGTTACTGAGCGATTACCAGAACTTGAAAATAATCAGACTCTGGGCCTCCTCAATGGTTTTCTCTCTGTGGACGACTGGTATGTAAACCAATTCCTCTTCATTTATTGAAAAAAACATTGAACTCTGTTGAAAGCTTAGTTTTACATCCATTTTTTTTTTCTTTTCACTTAACAAAATCGACTCTCGTCAGAACAGTCTGTTTGGTAGTACGTTTCTGGAACCATTGTGATAAGAGTTTTAAGTTAAATTCTTCATGAGCGTGAGATTTCTTCTAGGATTACTGTGTATGTCTGTTAATTTTGTGATAATTGAATCACCTTTTTGTTTAGTAACTTGGAGAACATGTTGGATTACTGTTACTGCTGTCTTCTACAGAATTGACGTCTCAGTTTGATACTATCATATAAACTTTGTTTACATTTTAATTTATCTTGTATATGTGATTTATAGTAAAACCATAGTACTTTACTCTTTCCCTTTCTGCTCAACTGAAGTGAAAGCTCTTTTTTTTGTTTGCGTTAACTCTTTACTTGTCTCAGGTATCATGCCAATATCTTGTTCGAGCGCCTTGCGCCTCTCAATCCAGTGGCTCACAATCATATTTGTGGCGGCTTGTTTAGGTTAGTGAGTGATTCTTTATCTCAGACTATTTTGTCCTCAGATGTATAACTTTTTTCATTGCTTTGCATCTTTAGCTCTATGTATCACCTACGGATTACCGCAGCTCTGGCCACTAAGCTATCATGACAACAATTATTTTTTTGGTCTATGTTTCAGGCTTATAGAGAAGTCAATCACTCATGCTTATCGCATTGCTCGTCAGACACGGTTTAAAAATTCTTCTTCTGCGGGCGCAGAAAAGATTACACACGCTGCTAATACAACAGCCAATAGGACTTGTCTAGATCTTCCGAAAGAAGTGTTTCAGATGCTTGTTACAGTTGGACCCTACTTGTACCGTAATACACAACTGTTGCAGAAGGTGCACTGACCTTCAAAATACTGAATGATACAAAAGATTGACGATTGAAACTGATATATGTTTATTATTGTGGCAGATTTGTAGAGTATTAACGGTTTACTACTCGTCGGCCGTAGATCTTGTTCGTACGTCAAATCAAGAAGGTAGTTCATATGAAAATTCTCGTATTCACCTGAAGGAAGTTAGGTTGAGAGTGGAAGAAGCTCTAGGAGCATGCCTTCTGCCATCGTTACAATTAGTACCTGCAAATCCAGCAGTTGGTAATGAGATTTGGGAAGTGATGCGTCTCCTTCCATATGAGGTTAACTTCTTCTTCTATTTCTTCTTTCAATTTTTTTTTTCTGTTGAACGTGATGGTCAATCCTGCTCTGATTAATTTTGTCTTTAGGCTCGTTATCGCTTATATGGTGAGTGGGAAAAAGACGATGAGCGGAATCCTTTACTGTTGGCAGCAAAGCAAGTGGCAAAGGTATATCATTCAACTTCTTCGACCTGTTATTCTTATATGATATAAATGGAAATATGCATCCTTCAGACCCTCAAGAGCCTATTCTTGTATGTCAGTTGGACACTAGAAGAATTCTGAAACGGCTTGCAAAAGAAAATTTGAAAACGTTAGGAAGGATGGTGGCAAAACTAGCTCATGCCAATCCCATGACGGTGCTTCGGACAATTGTAAATCAGGTGTCAATCTAACGAAAATGTGGTGTTGCTTCTTTATACAGTCATAATTGTTCAGACGGCTAATTGTCAGGCTCTTGTTGCACAGATTGAAGCATACAAAGATATGATTCCTCCTGTTGTAGATGCCTTCAAGTACTTGACACAGGTCAGTGACGCCTGTGCGTCTTTTTGTATGCTATGCTCTTGTTCACCTTATGCCATTACTTACCCAGGTTGTCTTGTTATATAAAGAAAAAGTAACCATGATGAGATAGACGGATGGTTCAGTGCCTTGTTGAGTGCAAAGTAAATCTAGGTTCATTCAAGTGTGTATTAGTTGGCTTTGTAGGTTTTCTACTTATACATTTTAGTCATTCACTCTAGCATTCATTCTGGGCTAGGCTTAAAATAATGGAATGGGGAAATGTTGGTTTGGCTGATTCTAGACATGAACTTCTGAAGAAGGCTATGATGCCGTGGTAAATTGGGATGCAGTCAGATGGATTCTAATATGCTAACATTGTTTTTTTCAAAGATTGTTTCTACTGAACGCTCTAGTACATTGAGGCAGTCTGACATATGTTCCTTTATTCTGGCTTCGTTCTGGCAGCAATCTTTTGTTTGCTAAGTTACCTGGAGTCAGCTTTCCTTTCCAAGTTATGGTTGTTATTGAGATGCTTCTGATGCACGCTCTGATGCTTTCCATTTTTTTTCCTGATACACAGCTCGAGTATGATATCCTGCAATATGTCGTGATTGAGAGGCTAGCACAAAGTGGACGAGATAAACTCAAAGACGACGGGATTAATTTATCAGACTGGCTTCAATCTTTGGCTTCATTTTGGGGTCACCTGTATGTGTTCTTCTCTGGAAGCATTAATACGTGCTAGAAATAGTTTCATTTCGATTTTGGAGAGATAATTGATTGCTATGGATGTTCTATTTTTTGTGATTGCATACACTAGGCATATTTGAACTTGCAATTTTGATTTTTAAAACCCTTTTGGTTACTTGGTGAATTTGGTGGTATCCTTTCCATTTTTGTAGGTTGACTATTAGTGTTCATTCGCTTGAAGACGTGTGTTATAAGATTTTGTTTGATTCATTTGGATTGCCTCTCCACTTTACCCTTTTCCTGTTTGGATAGTCATTTGAATTTTGATGTAACTATTAGTTGCATATGCTATTGATGTAAGTTGATATTTACTCGCTTCAGAAGTTGAGGAGTACCTTATTTGCTGATCTATGCTAGTTTGCCTGATAGGATGGAAGTGCTTTGTTTTAGCTGTTAGTTTTTTCATGTGTTCCTCCTGTTAGTTTTCTTTATATATCTCTTCTCGTGAAGGCTTTATCTTTTTCTGTCTGCCATTAGATTAATGCCATTCCACCAATTTTTAGCAGCAGGATGCACATATGTAGCATTTGTCAGAAAGTAATAAAAGCTATGAAGGCCATCCTTTTGGAGTATTTTCATAAACAATATCTTCTTATCCAGGTGCAAGAAGTACCCATCAATGGAGTTAAGGGGTCTTTTCCAGTATCTCGTGAATCAGTTAAAGAGGGGCCAAGGGATTGAGCTTGTTCTTCTCCAGGTTGGCTTGTTTTCCTCAAGTTCTTATGATCCAACTTATTCAGACTAATGGTAGCTGACTGTAATCTTACAATGATGTGTAGGAACTGATCCAGCAGATGGCAAATGTACAATACACTGAGAACCTTACTGAAGATCAGCTGGATGCTATGGCAGGAAGTGAGACTTTACGTTATCACGCAACATCCTTTGGCATGACACGGAACAACAAGGTTTGTCCTTTTAGATCCTCAGAAATATTTAATACAACTTCTTATTGAATCTTGAGAGGAGCCAAGCTTTGGTATTTACCATAAGTGCATGTAAAATGCTCATTGTTGTTAGCTTAAAAATCAGGTTCTTTATTTTCAATAATCTGAATGAAACATTATTGATTTGGTTATATTCAAGTTTGATCCCTACATCTCCGTTTGTGCGCTTTGTTATGTGTTCGCATGCATACATGTTTCTAATGGCAAAATTATTCATCTGAAATCATTCATTTAGGATGTCTAGTCTTGTAAGGAATGCGTTTCATTCAAAACTTCTTCTGTATATCTATAGATGCTAGGCTCTATAGATAAAAACATATGTGCTTGCCATATTGCATTAGTATTAATAGGTTTTATTTATTTACCTCGAAGATCATTGAGGTATTTTAGTTTTAAGCAATTCTGATTTCTTCCTGGTTTCTGCAGTCACTTGTCAAATCATCCAACCGTCTACGAGAATCGTTACTTTCAAGTGATGAACCAAAGATGGCTCTAGCTATCCCTCTTTTGTTACTTATCGCCCAACACCGTTCTCTGTAAGTTGACAAACCTGATCTCTCGAAATTGTTTGGCATTTAGAAGCGTGCACTATTTGTTTGTATGAAGCATACAAGTCTTTACTGGAGCACGAAGCATAGTTTCTACATCATATACCTGGAAGCATAAATTGACACGGAGAGAAAAAACTGCCTAATTAATCGGTGTCACATTGTAGATTTTATATTTGGTGTGACCATGGACATGTTCCTATCTCTAAATTGAGTATGTGTGATGTACACTTATTCTTTTGTTCAACAAAACATGATGTTCGAGATTTATGTTATTATAATGTAAACTATCTGATATGCAGGGTTGTGGTAAATGCGGATGCACCATATATTAAGATGGTCACTGAACAGTTCGACAGGTGTCATGGAATTCTCCTCCAGTACGTGGACTTCCTTTCTAGTGCTGTTAGTCCCGCTACTGCTTATGCTAAGCTGGTACCTTCGCTTGATGAGCTTGTTCACACATACCATCTTGAGCCAGAGGTCTCTCGATCTTTCTTTCATTCGTTCCTTGTTTCTTACTGCACTCTTTGCAAAATATGGATTCATCACTTTTCACTTATGTGTTTCTGGTCTACTTCGTCAGCTATTATTGCTTTTTTTGTGATTATCTCGCTTCATTTTGTAGCCCGGACTTATGTTCTGAATCCCCCCACCAGGTCGCTTTTTTGGTATTTCGCCCTGTGATGAGGCTCTTCAAGTGTCGACCGAATGGTGATGTTTCTTGGCCTTTGGATAGTGGGGAGTCTATGGATGCAGATACTGATATATCAGAGTCTGAGAGCTCCATGATTCTCGATCTCGGCGGATCGGAAAAACCAGTGAAAGCTATAATGTAATAATTTCAACTCAATCTGTGTAGTATATTTGGCTGCTTCAACAACACTATGGACGTGATGTTGAATTGATTAGACCTAAATGCTGATCTTTTGACTCTCGCATTATTAATATGTTCGCAGGTGGTCTGATGTTCTTGATACAGTAAGAACAATGCTGCCCTCGAAATCTTGGAACAGTCTGTCGCCAGACCTCTATGCTACCTTTTGGGGGCTTAGCCTGTATGATCTCCATGTTCCCAGAAATCGTTATGAGTCTGAGATATCGAAACAGCATGCTGCCCTTAAGACACTCGAAGAGGTTGCTGATAATTCAAGCTCAGCAATCACGAAGAGAAAAAAAGAGAAGGAAAGGATTCAAGAATCTCTTGATCGTCTAACTAGTGAACTAAAAAAGCATGAAGAACATGTTGCTTCTGTCCGTAGAAGGCTTTCCCGTGAAAAGGATAAATGGTTGACCTCCTGTCCTGATACTTTGAAGATCAATATGGAGTTCCTGCAGCGTTGTATTTTCCCTCGTTGCACATTTAGCATGGCGGATTCTGTGTACTGTGCTATGTTTGTACTTATGCTCCACTCTCTTGGAACACCCTTTTTTAACACAGTCAACCACATTGATGTACTAATATGTAGAACACTACAACCAATGATCTGCTGCTGCACTGAATCCGAAGTTGGAAGATTTGGGAGGTTTCTGTTTGAGACCTTAAAGATCGCATACCACTGGAAGGTTACTCTTGTTATTTTATTTTACTTTGACAATGAAAGTATAGAATTGGATTTTTTCTTCCTAACCGAGTATCTAATGCCGATGGTGTCTCTTACATTTTCTCAGAGTGCAGAATCAGTCTATGAAAATGAGTGCGGAAACATGCCAGGGTTTGCTGTTTATTATAGATACCCGAACAGCCCGCGTGTCACATTTGCACAATTTGTGAGGGTAAGAATTTCTGATCCTTGACTTCGATAATTATGTTACTTTTAGAGGTATAAACACTAACTGTCTCAAGTTTGATACATTTTGGAAGTAGAAGTGCATTTTAATACAGTTTGGAAATATTAAGGGCTAACGTGAATATCTTTAAATAGCTGAGAGGTCGTGAATATCTTTAAATAGCTGAGAGGTTATCTCATAGAAACTTTGACAAGATAAAGCGAACAAAAATTGATGGCAGTTTAGGTTGGGATGAAACTAATGGGTTGTTGGGATTAGAATAAGTTCTCTTAAATTCGCACGAGACTGAAGGCTTGCAAGCTCTTTCATATCTTTGTCTTTTCTGGAGTCAGGTTCAAAATGGTCTATGGATTATAACTATTTCTTGTATATTTTTTAGACTCGAATAAACCTTATCATGTAAGGCTCTAGTAAATTTTATACTCTTTGAACTAGGCTGTTCTTATGTGAGCTGGAGGTTCTTACCTTGATTTATTGAGCTCTACGCCTAAAAAAGTAATTAAATGCCTTTGTATCTGATGGAACTGGATTGCTTCTGCTCAGTGATTTTGATATATTCAGTTTCATCTTTGGATATGTTTTCCCTAGGTAGTCTACTATTTAGCTGTCACGTATTCGGTTTTAATTACTCTGTAGCAAAGTCTTGTTTCTATATGTTGTATGCTTGATTCATCTGTTGATGTCCCTAAAAGGTACATTGGAAATGGAGTGGAAAAATCACAAGGCATTTGATCAACTGTCTGGAGTCAAATGAATACATGGAGATTCGTAATGCCCTGATTATGCTAACAAAAATATCTACTGTTTTCCCGGCTACTCGGAAGGCTGGATTTACTCTCGAGAGACGGGTAAGTACCTCCTTACTAGCCAGACTTATGAATATATCTGCTTTAAATTGGTGTGATTTCTGTCTTTTCGTGTGGCTTTTCTTTGTGAAAAGATTAATGTTTCCGTTCTTTGTTGGTCTGGTCTCACAGGTAGCCAAGATTAAAACTGATGAGCGAGAGGACCTTAAGGTCTTGGCAACTGGTGTTGCCGCTGCTCTGTCTGCAAGAAAAGTGAGTGTTAACCATAGCCATTCATGATCAGTATTTTATGCAATTTTCACTGAATGTCGATTATTTGCAGACATCATGGGTTACAGACGATGAATTCAACCTGGGACTCTTTGAAACAAAGGCTCCGCCAGTACATACTCCAAAACATGCTCCTTCACAGAATGGCTTGGTAGGTGGTGTCTCCCAAGGTGAAACATCTGGGGGAAGATCTATTGCTAACCAGCAGCCTGAGTCTGGCGGCAAGGACCAGCTGTCAAAAACTAAACCACCAGATGGAAGAACAGAAAATGTAGCTTCAAAAGTTGATCAAGGAAATCCAAAATCGTTGGGTGGCAATCCATCGGATGCCCAACCATCCATGCCTAAGAAGTCAATGGAACAAAAAGAAACAGATGAACCACCCAGAATATCTGATGAGAATCCTGTCAAAGCTGGTTCAAAATATTCTGAAGCCGAGGTAAGACACTATTCTTCGTTTTTGTTATTTGTCAAGTTAGCAACCTCTGCTTTACTTGTGAACCCCGAATTTGTCACTAGCAGTTCACGGAATTATACTGGAAACTAGTCCTGCCTATTCTATCTTATTTGTTTGGTAGCGCCCATTCTACTTTCTTGACAGCCTCTTCTAAAGTACTGATCTAGGAAAGTGATGATTAGATATTGTATTTTGAATTACTGTGTAGACATATGGACTGTGTTTAACCTATCCCTTCACGTGTGCGCTGGGTTGCTTTGATCCCAAGATAATGCAATATGCTACAATCTATACTCATCGCCTTCACACCAACTTATCCCCACGCTTTTAATGTTGGAAGTTGGTGGCTAAAAAAAGTTTTAGCTAATCAACTTTACAGGAAGATTTTGGGATTAAACTTTGTATCATGTATAACTATTTTTTTGGTTGGCAGTTAAAACCTTCCTCTAAACGGGGTGCATCGATGAACAAACCAACTAAACAAGATGAAGGAAAGTCCGGTAAAGCTGTTGGAAGAACATCCACAGTTGACAAAGATCTTATTTATCTGGAGAGCAGGCAAGCAGGTTTGACCAAAGCTTCTCCCAGCACAGCAGCCAATGGTAGCTTAGCTACTGGTTCGTCCAAAGGTTTGATCTCACCCACAAAATCATTAGATGTTCATGGAAGCTAATGAAAGCTGGATGGACTGGTCAGGTATTCTAACTTTAATCCCTGATGCAGTGAAAGATGATGGTGCTGAAGCTTCAGATACACAAAAGCAATCTTCTCGGACTGTTCATTCCCCTAGGCATGAAATTAACACTTCTTTGAGATCGAGTGATAGGTTACAAAAAAGAGCTAATGCTGTTGAAGATAGTGACAGAATAAGTAAACGCCGTAAAGGAGATGCTGAGCACAAAGAGCATGACAGTGAGGCTCGGCCGAGTGATCGAGACAGATCAGCAGAGGCTCGGCTGGATTTAAACAAAACATCCACTGATGACCAAGGCACACATAGGGATCAAGATAGGTCAAAGGATAAGGGTAATGAAAGACAGGACCGAGACCACAGAGACAGAGTGGAGCGTTCTGATAAAGCTCGCGGAGATGATGTGGAGAAAGTACGAGATAAATCCTTGGAACGTCATGGTAGAGAGCGATCAGTTGAGAAGAGTTTAGATAAAGGAACAACTAGGAATTATGATAAAAACAAGGATGATAGAACCAAACCGCGTCATAGTGAGGCATCACTTGAGAAAAGTCATCCTGATGATCATTTTCATTCTCAAGGTTTACCCCCACCTCCACCTTTACCTCCTAACACCTTCCCACAATCTATGGCCTCGAAAGAAGAACCCGAAAGAAGGGCTGGAAGTACAAGGCATTCTCAGAGGCTTTCCCCGAGGCATGATGAAAGAGAGAGGCGACGCTCTGAAGAGAATTCCTCAGTTGCCGTGGACGATACAAAGCGTAGAAGAGATGATGATTTTCGTGACAGAAAGCGAGATGACCGAGAAACAATTTCTGTGAAGGTAACATGGCTCCCTCTTCACCCCGATTGGTTTTAAATACTTTAGAATATCTGCTGTAGCGTAAATGCATCATCATGGTTTCTTATTGCTTTCTCTTTATATGCTACTGTGTTATGGTAACTCATTTATGATTTTCTGAAGTACGTTATTGTTGTCAGCTTTTTTCCGCAAATGATGTCGCTGTTTGAGGATAGGAGTAAACATCTTATGTCAACTTGATTGCAGGGAGAAGAAAGAGAAAGGGAAAGAGAGAGGGAAAGAGAAAAAAGTATCCCTTTGAAAGATGATTTTGAAGCCTCCAAGAGATGGAAGGTCAAGAGGGATCAACAAGTCTCATCCGCAGAGCCAGGGGAATACTCTCCAATGCCACATCAGTCATCTTTACCAGTCAGTATGGGACCACCATCATCGTACGAAGGCAGAGAGCGAAAGAGCAGTAATATGACTCAATATGGAGGTTATCCTGAAGAGCCAAGCATCAGACTTATGGGTAAAGAAGCTTTCAGCAAGATGGCGCGTCGTGATCCTGACCCGTATCCTTAAAAAAAACAAAGAGCATCTTTACCAAACTTATATTATCTCTCTGCTTGAATTTGCATCATGAAACAGTCCCTTATATCAATGCATCATTGATGGTATCTTGAGAGTTGCAAAATTAAAATCCAAAACAAATAGTAAATTTCCTTGACCTTGGTATAGAATCTATGACCGTGAATGGGAAGACGACAAGAGGCAGAGAGCAGAACGGAAGCGGAGAGATCGGAAGTAGACTGTGATGGTTCGCAGTTCCCTTGGTTTGTTTGTTCTATGAGAGAGAGAGACAGACGCACACACAATATACTGGTTTTGAACTGCTTTTATTGTACACACTATAACCATTCCGTGACCATGCGCCCACATTGTCTCCTCCGAGTTTGATAGTGATATAAGACTTTAGAGATACACATACCATTTGATTAATTCGCAAGTTATTTTTTGAATTTTTTTTTGGAGCCTGTACAATCTATATAGCCAGTCAGTCAAATTGGTCTATTTTTGCTTTTTTTTTCTTGGGAAACTAAATTTTGTTTTAAAGAGTTTCAAGATTCTACGGTATACACCAAAAAGAATGATCATCTACAGTATATAAAAAAAGTAAAAAACTAAAAGACATTTTTTGTTTTTTTAAACATGTTAAAAATACTGTCTGCTTTGATGGTGTTAGTGTCATTCATCTTGGGATGTTTTCATCTGACCAAGAAGCAAGCCTCATATATCAGTGACTTGATATGTTATCACCTTGAAAAACAAATGCTCACGGTTTTTGGCCTTTTAAGTCCCTCACAAAAAAATATCAGTTTTGGTATATGCTGGATAGTTTGTAAATCTCAATTTTTTCCTTCGGCCGAATATACTGTGTTACTTAGGATTGAATTAATTTACTTTAAAACTAGATTCAGTAGATTCCATCCAATTATTAACCTTTCTGGTCTGTTTCGTAACATCAGAGCCTCCATCCCTCTGATACTATATTAGAGGCCGAAAGATTTCACAATAGTCCCCATCCATTTAAAAACACAAAATTAAACCTACAGGCTTACTACAATTTTAGTTCAATGTGGTAAACGGGCAAATGTACTTTAAGGCATTTAATTGATAAATTCTGGTATGGAACGTATAAACTCTCGAATAGTTGATAATATGAGATGGCAAGATTACTGAATTATTGCTTCCTTTAATTGAATAACATATCAAATTTTTATTCGTTTCTCAAATTGTTCTATCGGCTAGTCAATGATAAGAGAGCCATATTAAAAAAAAAAAAAAAAAAAACTCAAAAACAGCTCAAAACAAGGTCATATATTCGACTGGAGTTGCAAAAATAATCACGAATACAAAAGAAATACTTTTTAGATAGCTCTTCAGTTCAGGTCTCCATTTTTTTCAGCACATTAAAATCTCAGGAGAACGAAAGTTTAAGTTTTAACATCATCAGAGCAAACCAAGAACAATAAATACCTTCAAATTAAAATAAAAACTTTGTGTTTTAACAAAACTACGAATAAATTATAAAAACAAAAACAAAAACTAATATAGATGCCTCCACTCAGTTCAGGTCTCCATAAATTTTCCGCATGATGAATCTTGGAAGAACGAAAGTAATGTTTTGATCATCATCGGGGAGGCAATTACTACGATAGAAAATTCAAATAAAAAACGAAAAGAAAAATCACTACTAAGAAAATTCAGTGAAGAAATATGGAGATGATTTACTTACAAGACGAACTCTTCACCACTCAGTTTTTATATATATATGCCATTGGAAGAGGGAGGCAGAGTTGCGTGTAAACCCTAGCTCTGTCTTTGGGTCATATTGGGCTTAGAATGAGCCATTGTTAATGTCCATATACCAGCCCACAATTTTCTCACTAGAGTTATCTTTTCTTTTACCTTTTTTAATAAAATAATTAGAATTTTAGAACCACTACAGAAAACAATGTTTTTACATTGTACAGTATGAATGTGCATTAGGATTTCTTCTTATAGATTTTATTTCTTATTTTTATTCAAAATTATTAACATATAGTTTCTACTTCTTTTACCAAGAGTATTTGACAAAATCTTTTAAAAATGTGTAAAATACTTCCATCATATTAAAATAGATTGATTATTCACAATCATTTTACATTTATCGATACATTATTTTTCATGTTTGATCGTCGAGGGTTGTTGGTTCAACTAAACTAAGAACGCTATGAAACATATATATTCACGAAAATTCTGCATGCTAGTAAGTACAAGGTTTCTTGAGTTTACTAAAGAGATCAAATGAGTACGTAGAAGAAACATAAAATTCCAAAACTTGGTTACTTGGATTTATAAACAGAAAGTAACTATTGATATTGATGCCATAAAATTAAGCAAAAGACTAAAAAAAGAATGTATAAACTTGTTTAAGAAAACGACAAAGGGGGTAAACGTGGTGCCAGCCTTGATGATATCAATCATTTTACCCAGGCCACTAACAATACTATATACTTTTCAGATTCGCTTTAAATAAAGTCACAAAGATATGATAGTAAAATATGTTCATTGGCATTGCAAAGCTTTTCAAGTTGAAAGCATCACGAGTGAAAGAGAGAGCTATGGAGAAACTGCTTCCGCCCAAAGGGATCCTCAAGAGTGAGGCTCTTAAAAAGGTCGTTTAATAATTACTTTAATTTCTCCCTAAATTTTTTGTTGCTCTGCAAAATACAACTTACTTTTGTCATATGAGAAGATGCTCTATCATAAGTAATTTTCCGTGAATCCTACCAACATATATGAAACGGTTGTGGTTATGGATCAAACCTTCTGATATGTGAAACAGTATATCTTTGAAACGACGGCGTATCCAAGAGAGCATGAACAGCTCAAGAAACTACGAGAAGCAACGGTCCAAAAGTATGGCAATTTGTAAGTCTCTGGCTACAACCTCCCTTAGTCCCTTGTCCATGTTCCTATAACCATTAGTTGAGTTGAGCTAATACTTTGCAACGTTAGATCCTTAGATATGTTTATAGCTTGTACATCCACTCGCATAAGTAAACTGATAGTAATTGTATTGTATTTTTATATGTGATTTAGTTTTCACGTGTAGATGAATATATATAGTTGAAGGTTCTTTAGTTTCTTTTGAAAGAAAAAATGTGAACACAAAAACAAACGCAAACAAACAATAACTAATATGTTAATCGAATCAAACTCAATGGATATACTATAAATAACTAATCATTTGTGATTATATGCACAGAAGCGAGATGGAAGTTCCCGTTGATGAGGGGCATTTCCTATCGATGCTTATAAAGATGATGAATGCCAAAAATACGCTTGAGCTCGGTGTTTTCACTGGTTACTCATTGCTCACTACTGCCCTCGCGTTGCCTGAGGATGGCCATGTATGTATACACCACACTCCTCTTTACTTAATTACCTCAAAATCAAATAAGCAAAAAAATGAATAAAAGCTATAACATCTATGGACTCTTAATTTGGATATATAGGTTACTGCTATAGACATTGATAAAGAAGCTTACGAGGTGGGTCTTGAGTTCATCAAGAATGCTGGTGTTGATCACAAAATCAATTTCATCCAATCGGATGGTCTCAAAGCCTTAGACAAGATGTTGACCGTACGTAATCCTTTATCAATATCAGTCATTGTGTTTTGTTCTTTGTTACATTACTACTATTAGCATTTATTATTGTGCTGTTTTTGTCGATGCATGATGACATTGGTTTGATGCATGATGGTGGACAACAGGAGAATCCAAAACCGGAGTTTGATTTCGCATTTGTTGACGCTGACAAACCGAACTATGTCAACGTGCACGAGAGACTACTGAAGCTGGTGAAGGTTGGTGGGATAATAGCGTTTGATAACACATTATGGTTTGGTTTTTTAGCTGAGGAAGAGGAAACTGTGCCAGAGCACCTGAGGGAGAACAGAAAACCCCTCATGGAGTTGAACAAGCGGCTCGCTTCTGATCCTCGCATCGAGCTATCTCAAGTCTCCATCGGTGATGGTGTCACTCTCTGCAGACGCCTTGTGTGATTTAAGAGCCTCACCAAAGTTCTAAATGTCCATGCATGGTTTTCATTTTAATCAAAGCTTTTAGAATCTTCTAATGCTCTCTTGTCCTCTGTTCTTGGCCATTGCGTGTTCTTGGGTTTGTATGTGTTGGGTTATATGAATAAAAGCATTTATATAAATCATATCTCATATATCAGCAAACCCAAAGTACAAACGAATAATCAATCACACAAAGACTGTAGTAGATAATAGAATACAAACAAATAAGGAATCAGAGGTACACAAACTCTCTCTCTCTCTCCAGAGAAGCTAACACAAAGCTCTCTAAACCTATACACCCAAACAAACTAATTTCCGAAAACAGAGACGAAAACGTTAGCCAAAATGTCAACATTTCTTCTCCTCCTCGGCTTTTCTTCTCCTCCCTCTAAACCAGTTTAAACCCGATCTACGTCACAAACTCCTCTCTTTTTTTTACTGGGTTATAGGTGTGAGGATGGGATTATCAGCATGCTAAGTTATATATGGTGATGCAATCAATCACATGAATTAAGAAAACACAAAGTAAAAGCATTATATAAAAGATTAAACCGCTTAATAACATAGAGCCTATCACATTCTCACTGGGTACTCTTCGTTAACCCACTTCTTCCAGCAGCTCTGCGCATATCCCAAACACCAAATCTCAGTTTAAATACTAAACTTTTCTATCAAACAATCTTAACTACATAGGTTCACCATGAACACAGATATACCTTCCCGCAAGAATCTGGGCAGTGTTGGATGAGCTCTTGCTATTTGAAAACCTTTTGGCTCTGATGTCCTGATCTTTCTCCACTCGCATTGCAGCAACTTCTTTCTCCATCGCAGAAACTTCCCTTCTCATCTTCTTCGCTTCCACCTCCATTGCCTTTGTTAATGTTTCCACCTTCTTCGCCAGCATCTGCAAACCTCAAACTATCATACTCCCTTCCGTTTTTTTACAACAAGAACATATTCATATGCGCATTACCAAAAAAGGAAAACATATGTAGAAATTCTACCTCAATGGCATCATCCTTGTCTTTGAGGCTTTGATCTTTTTCATGAGAGGCTTTCCTCAAAGAAACTACTTCTTTCTGTAACAAATCGTACAAAACACCTGGGACACTGTCTTCAGCTGCTGCTGCTGCAGGGCTTTCACTTTCGGCCTTATCCTCTGAATTTTCTTTCCACCCATTAGCCGACTCTGGTTCCTTAGAGTCATCAGAAGTCTTGCCGAAAGAATAATTCCCAGGACCGTTTAAAAGTGCTTTACCTCTGTCCAGAGATCTTGTGCCTCCATCGAATGACTTAGATGTTCCTTTAGCATTCTTCAACACAACAGTGGAATTAACAGATAAGGAATGCCTCATCTGAGAGGCTGAAGGTTTCTTCGAAAAAGAACCGTTTGATGGAAACTTTTGTAAGTTCTCAGCTCCACCAAACGACTGCCTGCGAGAGGGTCCGTTACTCATGCTTCTTGCCTCGGATGTGGTTCTGGTGGTGGTGCTGCTTGGAGTTCCTCTAAGTGTCTCCTCAAGCACTTTAAGCCGCAGTTGAAACTTTTCCTGGTAATTGCACAAAGTAAAAATATCTTACTTCTTGTTGTGTAAAAACAAGATCAACTGAGAAAGATGCTGACTAGTGCATAAGATTCATTACTTTTAACTGTGCTTCGGATTTAGCAGCTCGATCTGTTATGGCAAGCTTATCGCGAAGTTGCTGCATTTCTCCCTGCAAACAGTTGAGAAACAAGAGCTGAGAATGTCTATATGGCTGTGCCTTGCTCACTGTAAAGAACTTGCACCCTACTAATCTAGGAGAGAGGGGCCATCGTATCTAAACAAACCTGTAGAAACCTTCTTTCTTCAAGCCATTGCTTCACAGGCATCACTTTATCGTTACCATCTTTCCACTCATTTGCTACCACCGTGGCAACTCTGTTTGCTGTAACCTTTGCACGTGCAAGCTCCCGGTCAAGAGTTTTCCGTTCTTCCTGAAAAGACACAGCAAGAACAGAATTTCCTTCATCAGTAGGCAGAATCTTATGGCAAGAAACTTTAGCTCTCTTTTTTTTGGCAGTTTTGTGAAGTTTTGTTAATTACATTCATCTCTTGAAATTTCCGTTGGTAATCCCTCACGGCGTTTGCAGCAGCCCCACCCGCAAGAACTGCCTCTTCGAGCTCCCGTACTGTCTGAGTGAGCTTCTCCACTTCAGCAACCTTCTGCCTATGCATTTTGTCTAGAATTTTGTTTTCTTCCTATAACATAAAAGTTAAATATAGTCAGAATTGTTGGCAAAAACGACGTGTGATGAGTAGATCCCATCATAAGCGTGTCTAAGTATAATACAAAGAGTGAGATGATAACTAACACAACCTGACAGATTTCGATTTGTTTCATTAACTCCTGGTTCTTATTTTGAAGATCATCAACCATGGCTGCTTTCGCCAGGGCACCTTCAATGGTCCTCTCAGCATCAAGTAAAGCAGCTTCCTTTGATTTAGTCAGACGATCCAAAGCCCTGTTATCTTCTTGAAGCTTCCCAATCTATGCAGAAACAAGGCAGTTTGATCAGTAACTTTACATTGATCAAGCAAAACAGAGACTTAAAAGGCAATGGAAATACCTCTGATCGTGCGAGCTTAAGCTCAGCTTCTAATGGAGCAAGGATGGCTTCAATTGGAGGCATGTCATCATCCTTTTGAGCAGCATGGACCCTTCTCAAGGTGGCTTCAGCAGCAAACTGTGCAGCCATTGAGGCTTTCTTCTCCTCATTGATTTTCTTGATTTCTAGATTCTGCAACCACAATTGATATCAGTATAAAATAAAAAAATGAAAGGTGAAGAAGAAAATCGAGCTTAAGGAAGGATTATGGAGCAATACTTTGCTTTCGAGAATGGATTCAGTCAACTTGAGCTTCTCATCCAACTTAGCAAGCTCCTCAGTAAGCTAATATTACCCAAAAAAGAAACATAATAAGAAAAGTCAATCCATGAGTAGAAACATGAAAACTCACTTGCTACCACTTAGACCAAGAACTAGAACGGACAAATCTTCTGACAGTTGAAACATAAAAGTCAAGAACAAACACATGATGTAATAATTGATCAAAACTAAAGTGGCAGTAAAATTCTGAATGCTATTGCCTAGAGAAACCCACTGGGATAAATGCACCTGAACCATTCTCATGATGAATGAATTCTTCAACCAACAAAAGTTAAAACTTACAAATTTGTGGTGAAAGGAAGACAAAAAAGTGACCACAACTCAGATGTGAAAATTCAGCAAACCACTATTTGATTACTTAAACCAAAAAAGGAGAATCTACCAAAAAAAAAAAAATTAAGAAATGATTGAACTTTTCTTTAAGAGGTTGCTAAACGTGAAATTTGGGAAAGAAAAAAAAACCAACTAGGTAGAATTTGAAACGAACACAACACAAGACAAAAATAGAAAATCAGAATACAACAACACACCTCTTCAACAGCTTTCTCTCTCTGCCTCTCAGATAACCTTAGCGCTTTGATCTCAGCGTGTGCTTCTCCCAACTCCCGATCCTTATCTAAAAATCCCATTAATGGAAAGAAACTAAATCAGGCAACCCCCAACAAAAATAAGCAAATACTTAGAATCGAATCGACGCATAAACCAAACTATTTTAACCTCTAACTTCGTTCTCTAGTCGATTAAGCTCCACCTTCACTGGATCCGAGCCATGGAGGAGAGTGATGAACTCATTGTCCGCCGCAGCGTCGAAGCTCGGCCTAATTGGCCTTCGCTTAGTGGAGCTTTTGCCTCCGCCGCTCTCTTTGTAAGACGCCGACACCGTCAGTGACGGATACGATGCAGCCTGCTCAGTTACCGTCGCCGACACATCTCCGTCACCGGAAACATCCGACATCTCCGATCTGATCGCTTTGGAAACTGCAGGATCCAAAATGCTACACCTATAACAGATTATGCAGGCCAAAAGAGTATCAGCACTGAGCTGAATAATGCAGATTTTGAGAGAGAGAGAGAGAGAGAGAGAGAGAGAGAAATCACATACAAAGACGAAGCTAGAGAGGTATTGGGATCCAAATGCTCCCTGGTTTTCAGATTAGGAGTCGCACGAGGCGAGAATGATGCTAACCTAGAGAGAGAGAGATTGTAGAGAGAACTCTTTCGTTTTCTTTTTTTTTTCCCTAGTGAGAGAGAAGAAGAGAATGAAATTAGAGAAAAGAGAAAAAGAGATTTAAATGCTGTTACAGTTGTTTCTCTCTCCCTCCCTCTATTTAGATTGACAAGACAGCGAAAGGATGACGCAAGATTAGTATTAATTAATCCGTTTTATCTCTTCTTAAACACTACTTTTCAGTTCAGATTAATCAATATACTAAGTAACAAAAGAGAAATTAGTACGATGTTTTCTACTGTTTTTATGTAGTTAGCTTACAGTGATTTGTGTCGCCGTATCTCTTCCAACGTTTTTAGATTTTTAACTTTTGGTGTTTTAACTAATTAATAGAAAAGTAATTATATTGCATAAATCTGAGTTTTGTTAACAAGAATTATATATATCGACTACGGTATCCAACTTTTTCATTTTAATTATCATATCTTGAAAGTGATAAATTTGTTTGGAGGTTTTATGGGGTTTTTTTGTTTAATCTAATACACAAATCCTCTTTTAAGGTTTTTATTTTTGTTTGTACATTCTTTTTTCTAAAGTTAATAATATACAGAAAAGAGAACACCATTCAACTTTTGTTTTCTACATATATTATAAACAATCGGTATGATATAGTTAGATGTATTTAAATTTTGCTGATTAAATATATAGGTAGATAATCAGTTATTATGTGATTAAAATATGTTGACGTGGTCAATATGTTCAAGTGTCTGATTATTAGTAAGAAAAAGGTGTAATTAGTAGTAGTAATTAGTGAAGATTAGATGCTTTGCGCGTGAAAAGAGGGAAAATGTTCGATGTCCCAAATATATGTTTCACTTTTTCCTTTTTCGAGGGATAATGCTTCTTCTCTTTTTTCTCAAGTAACGTTAGTTGCTTCTATCCCTTTGTAAAAACCAATGGACGACGATAAGAAAAGTATATGAACTGTAACATCTATTTTACTAGTATTATTTAGAATCATATTCTTAGAGATTACTCAAGATTATCAGCCGTAAGTTAGGAATAAAGACATGATCATGTTCGTAAATGTAATAGACGCAGAGGCGTGTTGTTTGACAATTAACCATTTGGTAGAGTTTAAAATTTTAAGACACCCAAAACTGTTGAACCTTAACCTTAAACCAAAAAAAAAAAAAAACTGTTGAACTTATCTTAGTGTACTGGTTATAAATGCAAGTTTTATAGATGGAGAGTGCAATAGTTTAGTTCAATTTCGACATATCATAATATGAAAAACGAAAGTTGCTTTGTGGTAATTTTCAAAATTACAGCGAAAATATTTATTGAAAACAATATTTATACTACTAGTTTGTTGAAAATGAAAAGCTAACACATGGATTTTATTAAGTTTGTTGGAAATGTGTTTGGTTTACATATTAGAAGTATTATAGTATAACTTTAGTCTGCAGAGTACAAAAAGGTACTATATAACCGTAGTCTGTATTATACAAGAAAACGACATAGCATAACTTCAGAACTCAGATGGAACTCAAATGATTAAATTATATAACTCGAAACAGAATTTTATTTTCAACAAAAATGATGGGGGATTTGATTTTAAATAAAATAAACTGACTTCAGCTTCAGGTATATGATTACCTCTTTTCCATGTATAATTTATATTTGCCTCAGAAAAATTTGCGAGTCTCTTTCGACTATTTTATGACATTACATAAAAACAAGATGGAGTTTATATTTTGTTAAAGCAAGATGGGTTTAAATGGTATGTTTGCCAAACGGTCATAAGGGATTAACTTCTTGTATTTGTATTATATTAATAATAAATTCAGTTATAGTATGTTGAAGAAAAACAAACAAATATGGGGTTGATAAATACGAATACATAAAAACAGGATAATGTCTGAAACCGTTCTTTAATCTTACAGAAAGAAGAATAATAATACTTTCGTTCTTTTTTTCCCAGAAGCAAGAAGTGTATATATAAAATCAATATTCTTCAGTTGGAAATTCTGCAATCTTACTTAACGATATTTTTATTTAATTTAGTATTTCGTACTCACATGCTTGCTTCCACTACAACGTGACCTGTCGACAAAATATTGATATGTTTGAAGTAACAAACACAACGGATTAAACTCAGTTGATTTTTCTAAAGATATTGCTGTAGTGCATTGGGTCCTAAACTCAGAATAATGTAATAAATTTTAAAATAAATTTTGAATTTGTTTGGGGCGATTTTCTGAACACTACTAACCCAACCAAATTAACGAAGTACTCGAATTTTCATTAAAAAAAAACATGCAGCGAAACTAAACACCTTAAGTTGCCAAAAAGGAGATTAAAAGTAGCGATAAACGGCTCATCTTTGTAAATATTTTTGGCAGGCAGGCAAACTATATAGTTCAAATTTCAAACCTTACTAAGTTTTGAGATGGTAAAATTGGTAAAACTATAGTATTTAACACTAGTTTTTGGTTAACACTTTTACTATCTTGTTGCTCAAAAAAAAGAAAAAAAAAAACACTTCAAAACTGACGTTGTTTGCTTTTCTTACCGCTAATTTGTAACCATTTTTAGTAATTGCAAAGCTTTAAGGTGGTAGACGTTGAACAGCAACGTCACTAATTGCTTTGACGTCACCGGAATTGTTTGAAAAAAAAGGGAAGGAAGATAAAATAAAGGAGAAAAGGGGAAAAGGGAAGCAAGGAAGAAAGCTGGGTGCACCCATGTGCCAACACTTCTTTGCTCTGCCTTGAAGAATCAAACAATGCGAGTGGAGTCTAGAGACTTTGATCCTAATACCACTCCTTAATTCATGCCCATCCTATCATTATTTCACAACGCATATCTACCAATCTTATAAATTGTTTTCTTACAGGATTATAAAAAGTTTTAATATAACATGCCATTCATTTTCATTTGTGTTCTTATGTTTAACAGTTCATTTCTACTTCTTTTTTTTTATGCCAGAACATAAATTTCTTAATTTGATCATTATCAAACATTTAAAAGTTTCCCTGATAATACTGAATATATTCAACTTTATGTATTTTGAATCTTCTAATATTTCGAATTTTTCTAAAAGCATTGTGGACCAAATATCTAGTAGATGATTTGAAGAAAAATATATAGAAGAAATATGGGGCGTTGTGTTTGCTTATGAGGTGAGAGTAGGAGCGAATCATTTGTTCGTCCTACTGACTTCAACGCTTTTTGTCCCCCCTTTGTAGTAAGGATAGAGATAACCCCTAACAATGGATTCCAATAGCAATACATATCTATATGTTTTAGAAGAAAACTAAAGAAATTTATGAACGGCATAAAAAAAAAAAAAAAAATATATATATATATATATATATATAAAGTCGACGAGGATATCTAAAACGCCCAAATAAGTTGGGTTTAGGCAAGCAGTATAAAGACTTTTAGGACTAGTGCTAGTACGGGTGCGGCCAGGTCAACCTCGGAAAAACCTTAGTCCAAACGATTCTTGTCTGAAAGTCACAATTATTTTTCAGAAATTTGATATCTAAACCCCTAATCCTGTTTCTAAATTGTAATTTTTTCATGCCATTAGTATGTATAATCAGTCCAGATATTGGATTACACATCAGATTATGGTGGAAAGTTACGAGTTGAGAGCAGATAATTTGGTAAGGAAGAGACCATAACTGGTTTTTGTAAAATGTACAGTATTTTTTTGTTCGTATTGATCCTGATCCCGGTTTAGAAGCTTAGTCAAAAATCCGTTTAGGTTTAGTCAACGACACGGTTTAGTCGGTAACACCTCTATTAAACCGATAATCCGTTTAGGTTTAACATAATCGGTTAGCGCAAAACGCAAACCCCACTCGGTTTCCTCATTACTCAATCGGACGTTCGAGTCAATGAGTCTCTCCGGCGCCGTCAAAGCCAAAAACTCTACTCTCGTCTCCTGGCTGCGATTCTCCTCCTTTTCCTCCGCCGCGTCGTCGTCCACAGTCTCCTTGAATCCAGTAAACCTCTCACTCGCGCACCCATATAAATGTATAATATGACTTGATCACTGTCCATTGGAATCATTATGATTGTTTTTTTTCTTCTTCTCTTGGGGGGTTCAATACCAGAGTGGACGATTACAGCAAACTCTCGCGGGATGTGTGGAGTTGAAAGGCAAGTCTCTGCATTCCGGTAAGCTTTCGTCGGTGAAGCTACTCCCGGAGGTCGCCGGAGCTGGGAGGCACTTCGAGTTTCGGTCCAGGTCCATCCCGGCGTCGATTGAGTTCGCTCAGGAATCGCCTCTCTGCACCACGCTGCTGAAAGACGGGCTCAAAATCCGAACCGTTGAACACTTGTTGTCAGCTCTTGAGGCCAAGGGCGTGGATAATTGCAGGATTCAAATCGAGAGCGAGTGTGCCGATGATCGGGAAGTCGAGGTTTGTAACCATTTGCTACTTTCGGATTTGGGATTTGGATGTTATAGATTTGTCAAAGATGATGCTGTGTTTTAGCTTCTTTCTAGTGAAATTTTGCTTTAGAGACTTGGTCAAATGCATGCAGCACTAACCAAGTGACAGGTCCCTATATTCGATGGATCAGCTCAAGAATGGGTTGATGCGATTGAAGAAGTGGGCATGAACGTGGCTCAAAACCGTGTTGGTGAAACTGTGGAGAAGATGGTAGCACGTTTAAACAAGCCTGTGCAAGTTTGCAAGAACGATTCTTTTGTAGCTGCATTTCCGGCTCCAGAGACTCGCATCACTTGTGGCATCGACTTCCCACAGGTTCACTCTAATAGCAGTTTTTAAGAACACAGAAGAAAACAAAACTTCTTTCATGCTTGTGCACAGAGACTGTGGTGTATGATGATTGATGAACCACACACCCTACAGGTCCCTGCTATAGGCTGCCAGTGGTTTTCTTGGAAACATCTGCATGACTCTTCCTTTGCAAAGGATATCGCACCATCGAGAACTTTTTGTGTCTATGAAGAGGTTGTTGTTTTAGGTGCTTTAGAAAATCAGAAACTGGTGTTTCTTTCTATTAAACACCTGTGTCTTCTTGATTGTTGCTTTGCAGGTGGAGAGAATGCGTGAAGCAGGGCTTATTAAAGGAGGTTCTCTGGATAACGCAATCGTTTGTAGGTAAATAAACTTGTATGCGCAAGACTCTTGGGATATATAATATGGTAATAGACAAAACTGAAACCGGATTTAATGTAGTGCTGAGCATGGATGGATGAACCCTCCTCTGCGGTTTGATGATGAAGCATGTCGACATAAGATCCTGGACCTTATTGGTGACCTCTCCCTTGTAGCACGAGGCGGAAATGGAGGGCTCCCTGTGGCTCACATAGTCGCATTTAAGGCAAATGCTCGTTTTAAAACATCTTCTAGTATTCTTGAAATCGAAAGAGGAAACAGTTTTGTGATAAGAATGAGTTTTTGTTCTCTCTCTCAAATGCAGGCGGGTCATGCACTGCACACTGACTTGGCCCGTCATCTCACCATCGACTAAAGAAGAGTCTGCTCGTTGCCAACCACAGTCTGCAGAAATCTTCCTCCTCTTTTTTTTGCTCAAACGAATTTCATTACTCTGAAATCTTAAATACGTTAAACTGTTTTTTAAGCAAGTAGACATTTTAACCAAGCAAACTATCCCAAAACCAAATCTGATCCATTTTGGTTCGCAGGGTTCAGAATTCTTATCAAGGCATATCCAGAATTTCAAGAGAATAAGGCTGAAGATGCTTTTGACATATTATTCTCTTTAAAAAAAAAGGGGAGTCAAAACTGTTCCAAAACCAATTTTTGCTTTTGACATTAATTAAGAAAAATGGATGAATAATATATGATGGAAGCAATGCGAAGATGACAATGACATTTTGCATTGGCAAACTCTTTATTAGGCACCACTAATCGTACACAGCTGATTTTTTTCTGATTGAGGAAAAGGCCTTAAGTCAACTTCTCAGCCTCCTTCTTCTCTACAAGTTTGATGAAGTTGCGGACTATTGTCTTGCCTTCTGTTGTTATAATACTCTCCGGATGAAATTGAACTCCCTGTGAACCATTTTTACCAAGACTTTATAACAGTTCTGTTTTTAATGGTGGAGGCAAGAAGAAACATGAAACACTTGAGACTCTGGTTTTTTTTTTTACCTGTATATGCTTGTGCTTCCTGTGTCGAGCAGCCATAACCAAACCATCCTCAGTCCACGCAGTAACCTCGAGTTCATCACTGGGAAATGTATCTTTCTCGATCACGAGGCTGTGATATCTACCTACAAGGAAAGGGCTGAACAAGATTTGTTTTAGCACCAATTTACTTGACCTGTGGGTTTCGCATAAACACATATAACATAACTCATCGAAAAAGCCTGATTCATACTTAGATAATCCAGAGAATAAACCTTCTTCTCCTTTCTCATCATAGTAAACCATGGAGCTTTTCCCATGCATCACACCATATGGTGACCGCACGATCTTTCCTACAACCAAAGTTCATACAAAACTGCAATTAGAGTTGAGGATCCCTTAAATAAAGAATGTCTACGAACACATATTGTAAACTAAGATGTCTTTTTTTTTTTAATATGCAACTAACCTCCAAACGCTTCTCCTATACACTGCAAACCCATACACACTCCGAATAAAGGAACACGTGGTCCGAGTTCCAAAACAGTTTGTAACGAAATCCCAGAGTCTTGTGGGGTACCTATCAATATCAAGAAAGTTGTTATCTTCTTTTTCTTCGCTACAAGAATCATAAACGATATACACTACAAAGTCAGAGAGACTATAATATTTACCAGGTCCAGGAGAAATCAGCACTCCTCTTGGATTCTTACTGCGAAAAAGGAGAGCACAATAAAGGAATCAACACTCCTCTTGATTAGCCAGATTACGTTTTAAAGAGAGTGCATATTTGGTTTCTTCTCACCTTTTCAGCTCCTCTACTGTGAGTTCATCATTTCGGTAAACTTCAAAATGGCATCCTAGCTCTCCCATATACTAAGAAAAAAAGATTGTTTGTTCATCATGAAATCTAAGAAACCATATCATGAGAACGGTAAAGACAAATTGAATGCATTTCACAGGATTATGTGTGGAGGAGCTAGAAGTGAGAGATGATCAAAATGTGAATTAGGTATTAGATCACTTTTGTCAGATATCAAGAGCAATCAAAATTTCAATACATCTACGAATAACTATTCTACAGTTATAAACTACAGGCAGCAAAGCAGAGTGATGTATTATTTGGCTTTTTTTCTGGATCATGAACGAAAAAACAGGAGCTTTCTACATATAAACGAACAAAACACAATTCTCCAGAAAACTCGAGGCTTTCTACAATAAGATTCAAGGGCGACATAAGTGAGAATCATCTACATTACATGGTTTTGTCTATTTGCATGTCGAACCAAGATTAGATTGTGAAATGATGATAGTCTTAACAATTAACTACGATGCATAGTCGAACAAATTCCTATAAAATTTAGGACCATAATCTAAGGAGACTTGGTTGAGCAAAACCAAAACTTTATAATTCTCCAACTAATCATCACATCAGCTGATTTTTCCCACAAACAGATTCACATAAAAAAATGCGATTTGACATAAGTACGAAATGAAACCTGGCAGAGATTGTAGGTGAAGCTGTCGTAATTATCAATCACGATGATGGGACCATTCTGCTTAGAGGAATTGACAACAACGGAAGGTGTCGAGTTCGATTCCGCCATTTCAATCGAAGCTTTCGCGACGACATCTCTGCGACTCTTACCCAAAACCGAAACTCCTATCACAGCGGAAAAAGAGAGAGAGAGAGAGATGAATAATCGAAACCCTTGATCCGAGTAAAGCCTCTATCTTAGAAACCGAGATCAGCGAGACTCACTGGTCGGATTCGAAAGGGGATTGACGATAGAAGGGTTCATGCGGGTGGTGGAACCGGACTTGGGTTGAAGAAGACAAGACTTGTAGAGTGTAGTAGCCGCCATTGTCGGAAAGCAAAGATTCTTCTCTGATTCTAGAGGAGGGAGATGGGATTTTACTTTATAAAGCTCTGAGAGAGAATGGGGGAATTGACAGGTAAAACGATGCGTTTGTGGAAACATGGGACACGTGCTTAATCAGTAGGTGGTGATTAATTTGATTATATACTGTACATGTGTTTTGGTCAAAGTCTTAACTATATTTATCTAAAATGGCGTTTGGAATCAGTCCATTTGGAGTAGGGTGGGCAAAATATTCGTTATATCCGTTTCGAATCGATATTTGTTTCTATCCGATTCGAAAAATTTGTATATCCGTAAAGCTTTGGAGCAAAGCAAATAGTAAAATATAGTATCCGTACAAAACGGAACAAATCATAAATATGCGTTTAGACAACGTCGGATATCCGATCTGATCAGTACCTTTATAAATTTATTATATATTAGTATATATTATCATATATATATCAATTATATTATAAATTTTTATTAATATACTCTTAATTTTCTTCCTAAATTTTTAATTGTTTCTAAATTTTTTTGATTATATAAAATAAATGACTAAATAACTAATCATAAAAAATAAATAGTATGTTTAAACTTAAAATATGTTAATAAATAATATTTTATTTGATATTAATTAATAAATATCAACAAATATTTTTTAGTAAAGTTTAATATTAAAGTTTCAAATAGTTAATATTATATATATATAAAATATCATTTTTCCTCATCTTAATTTTGTAGGTTTATTTTTATAAGATAAAATATTTTCTTTTAGTTATTTTCATTTAACAGTTTAGATAAAAATAATTTTTTATAATAAAAAATTGATGTACTTTCAGTTTTGCGTATATTAAACGGATCAAACTCAATATTCATAAATATCCATAGATATTCGCAAATATCCACAAATACTTGTAAATTTTTCGGATATTCGAAAATCCGGATATCCGTATATTTCCGGAGCAAATCAAATCACAAAATTAAATATTTATCAAAAATGGAGCAAACCACAAATACTTAAAAATTTCGGATAACCGATCTGCACCCACCCCTAATTCGCAGGATTACATTGTCACGTACGCACATGAATTAAAGTTATCTAAATATATATATATATTTTTTTAAATATCCTAAAATGATCATTTCAATAGCTTCAGAGATATATATTATTATTTTTGGTCAAAAGCTTTAGAAGCATTCTGGATGAACATCAAATTTCCTCTCATATATATACATTTTGTTTCTATCGAATTGTGGATTAGAATCATAGACAATATGTAAATTTTAGTTGCTTCAAGTTGATTTTCTTGTGATTTACAATGAATTATAGTGGGAAATCTAAATCCGTGTATAACATTTTTGATGTGTCCCACTTGTGCAAAATATTGCCGGAGACATCATAAAAGACAATACCCATTTCGGTTCTACTGATCTTAACCGATATGAAACCTTGTCCATCATAGAAATATTTCATATCTTCTGGTGTTGTCCAATTATAGTAGCCTCTCCATGCCTTTGACCCACCACCACTCGTTATAAACTGAATTGGACTGCCAAAAAAAGAAGAAGAGATTCAGTTCCTTTCTTTTTAACTATCCCTTTCATCCGAACAAAACTTAAGTTCCAATATCACAGTCGGTGTTACCTCTGAGATGTGCTGATATGTTGCAAGCAGTGATCATGACCGTTCACATAGAGATCAACGTTATTTGCCTGGAAAATCCAATTAAAAAAAAAAACAAAAGTTTACATGTTATATATATTAGCTATATGTAATGTTTTATGAGAAAAAAATTGTTATAAAAAATTCACATATAAACGTAAACACAATCGCATAATTAGTTAGCTGTCTATTTTTTTTTAATTGAGACATAACTCTAATAAGATTAAGAAGAAAATACCTCAAGAATGGGCAACAGGAGAGATTCAAGCTCTTTTGTATTCCCATGAATGGAAGCACTCTTGATGGCATGATGACCCACCACAATTTTCCACTTTGCTCTTGATTCTCTTAGACTCATCTCCATGTCCTAGACATTATAATTAACACTTGTCAACACCATCAGGGTAATTCCCACAAGCCAGATGTTATATGTGTTTTAAAATACCGTTAAGATGGATTGAAGATAAAAATCCCGCGGTGAAACGCCTCTCCAGTCATAAGTTTGACCTTTTGGATCAAGGAAATAAGCATCTACAAAAGGAGTGGTGTCTACGAAGAAGAGCTCTGCGATCTCTGCCCAAATTTGGAGAAAAAAGTAGAAAAGTCATTATGTAATAAAAAAAACATGTAGAATATGATACGTATTTATATATAGATTGGTAAATGACTAGTATACCAGCGTCTACGACGAAGGATCTCATGCAAATCCAACGGCTGTCCAATGATCTGAGGATAGGACTCAACTGTGCTTCAACATCTCCTCTGTAGTCGTGATTCCCCAATACTGAATGGTCAATGTCATATATATTATCTTTGTTATTCTCTTTTCCTTTTTATTAGCATTAAATTACTTTTAATGAAAATCAATGATTGGGAACACTATAATACCAAGGTACCAAGGCTTTTGCAAGCTAGGAGAAGTGTAGATATCAGTGAAAGAGAGTTGAAAAGCGGGATCGTCGACGCTTTTCATCCCGTTATCGTAGATGTTATCTCCCGTGGAAACCACGAAATCGATGTCCATCTTCTCCCCGATTCTCCCCATCTACGTTTACATCAGAACAGTTTTATAATGTACAACAAAGATGGACGAGTGTGTATACGTATAATGTATGTAGTGTGTAAAAATACCTGGAGGGCGACTTGGGACTGGTTGTAGAGTCCACGTCTTCCCCAATCTCCAATAACCAGAAAACTGATCGAGCCGTCTGAGTTTGGAGAGTGTTCGATCGTTGTGAGCTCGGCCTCAAGTTTCGGAGCCATGGATAATAACAAGAAGCAGAGGAGCAGAATCATTACGATGCTCAAAGAGCCGATTCCATACTTAGAACCCATTCTCTCCTTTTGTTTTAACGAGCTTTTTGTGATAAAAAAAGCAACGTATATATAATTCCTCACTGTGCATGTGAGTCCTAGTGCGTTCTCGCTTGTAAGTCACATACATTTAGATAAATAACTATATAATAGTGTGCACATGGTGGACCGAATACGATTATTGTGACTGATCCTATGCTCTATATTTTGGCTGTCCTTGCTTTCCTCCTGCTTCATTTAGATTAAAAAAAAAAAAAAAAAAAAGAGATTCGGAAATCTTATTATATTTTATACTAGTTTTTTTTAATCACCCTCTCTCATCACTCCAAGGCTCAAGATTCCAGCTCAATAGCCTTGTCATTATTACCAAAATCCTGCTTATTTGGCCTAACCGCCTAATTAATATCATCATACTACTGTTAATCTAGACAATTCATTGAATACACCGTCAAACAAACGACTTTATTGTTTTGCTTTCTCAACACTTCGTATATCACATGTGATTGCATCCACGTAAAACATACAATACCAAAAATCATTGTAGGAAGCATGTGATTGGGTTATTCAAAATGCGGAAAAATTGTTTTATATTTGAGTGGTGAGTGTGTAGATATAAGATTTTTGATAGAAAAAAGGATAAATAGAAGAGGACATAATTAGCCCACACGCAATCAAGTTTGGCTGTCATGTCTCCAAAACAGCTCCACGGAAATGCCATTATGCCAACTGGAACTACTCATATCAGGTCTTTCACGAACCAAACTTTCTACCAAAAGCAAAACAACAAAAACAATTGCATCACCATATCATTTATAATCTTTCTAGTCTATCCGTTATATCCAATAATTGTGTCCAACTGATTTTTTTTTCTCAAATACATTAATATAGCGGAAAAATAACTAGTCACAAAAATATACATAAAGATCAGCTAAAAATAACATCCAAATTCTTTTAGATATATATACACATTAATCTTTTTACAATCTCATTATCATGAATTAACTCTATATATAATAAGATAAAAAGCCATCTGTATATATACTAATCCTACATCTGACACTTAACACAAAATTATTGAGAGTTAGGAAACTGATTTTAGATGTCTAAAGTACTCGGAATAATATATTACGTGATTCTGCATTTCATATTCTATTGAAAATAACAGCAAAATAATAGTTTTCTTTTTTTTTCAGTTTGGTTTTTACTTCACATAAATAGTTTTAATTTTGAATATCAAAACTAAACGTTTAATACTTATCTTCTGTTCTGTTACTGTTAGCCCTGGGCTGCTATAGTTTACACCTTGTTTGTATCGGAAAAATTGGTATCAGTCAATAGAAGGAGACCCTCTAGATTGTCCAGCAGGTTTATCTACTGACACACTACTAACTCAGACAGAGGCTTCTTCGGGCGGTGGAGAGTAGTCGGTGGATCATGGGTGGACTTTTAATTAGTTTACTACCCTAAATCATCATCCTTGGCCTAAAGGATCATCTTTTGTTTTAGTCTGCCAGAAAAAGAAATAAAGGTAAAAATTAGAAATGGATGCGTTGACTTTCGGAATTATTGTCGGAATTATCATTCTCTTCTTCTGCATCGTCTGCTTTATCACCATTGAAGCCACTTGCAAGCGCCGTTCTTCATCTAGATAAGCTGTTCTCTTTTTCTATTTTTTTTATATATATTGAATCGTCTTTTTTAGCTAGTTATCCCTTAATTTAGATTCTAGCATGTCATTACAGTTTTTGATTCGTTGGATTTCCTAATTCGCCAAAATTTGGTAAGTCGAATATCTACTTCTTTGATGATGAGGCGTGTCTGTTTAGAAATTAATTTATTGTAAGTTGATCCAATAATGTTCTCAATCGTAGTAACCGGAAGATATCATATTTTTTTATCTTTAATTTTGGTTCATTTTTACTAATTTCATTTGTTAAAAGCTCTAATGACTCTTTGGATGGATCTTTCCGTAACAGTATGTAAATATTGTCAAATGAATATGCATCATAATCTTGTTTAAATATTCTAGGGTTCTTTGAATCTCTGTTTGAAGCCCAAGATTTGGTGTAGTTATAGCAAACTCGACATGGCTTTAATTTTGTGGTGAGATTAGGCTTCACCGTAACAAACCCCACTCTTCTTCAACACTCGTATACATTGGCAAGTTTTACTGTAACCGTTACTATTTATGATTTATCAGTAAGATTCCAAGACTTGATGAGTACTTCTACAATGTTCCTTACTTCGTTTCTTAATTATAGTATCATCGTAGTTAAGATAATATAGTATATAACAAAGGTAACGAAACCGTGTCCTGAGGCGGACGTGCAAGAAACTAAGCAAAAACGTGTAACGGATCACACGTGACAGCTCTTATGTTTCTATACTTTGTTTTCAATTAAAAATAAACGAGAAACCGGTTACAACGGTCAAAAGCAAAGGTGGCAAAAGAAACAAAACTTAAAATAGAGACATAGGCAAGGCTTGGGTGGTTTTGAGAGAAAGAGAATTAGAGGAAAGGGCGAAGAAGAAGGAGGAGGAGGAGGAGGAGGAGGAGGCTGATGATGAAGCTATGGAAACGAGCTTCCGGTGCTATCAAAGACCGGAAAAGCTTGTTTTCCATAGGTTTCTCCCGGAAAACCTCCTTCCGCAACCCTGACCTTGATTCCGCCATCATCCACGCGACTTCTCACGATGACTCGTCCGTGGATTACCACAATGCTCATCGTGTCTACAAATGGATCCGCTCCTCTCCTTCCAACATCAAGCCGCTTGTCCACGCGCTTTCCTCTCGGGTTAGCCGCACACGAAGCTGGATCGTCGCCTTGAAAGCCCTAATACTCGTCCACGGTGTCCTTTGCTGCAAAGTCTCGTCCCTTCAAGAGATTCGTCGTCTTCCTTTCGACCTCTCGGATTTCTCCGATGGTCATTCCCGTCCAAGCAAGACTTGGGGTTTCAACGCTTTTATCCGCGCCTATTTCTCGTTTCTTGATCAGTACTCTTTCTTTTTGTCCGATCAGATTCGTCGCCGCCACAAAAAACCTCAGCTCGATTCTGTTAACCAAGAGCTCGAAAGGATCGAGAAACTTCAGTCTCTTCTCCACATGCTCCTCCAAATCCGTCCAATGGCTGACAACATGAAGAAGACGCTAGTTCTTGAAGCAATGGACTGCGTAGTGATGGAGATCTTCGACATCTATGGAAGGATCTGCAGCGCTATCGCCAAGCTTCTCATCAAGATCCATCCAGCTGCTGGAAAAGAAGAGGCTATGATGGCTCTTAAGATTGTAAAGAAAGCTACATCTCAAGGAGAAGATCTTGCCCTCTACTTTGAGTTCTGCAAAGAATTTGGGGTCTCAAACGCGCACGAAATCCCTAAGTTCGTAAGAATCCCGGAAGAAGACATTGAAGCAATCGAGAGAGTCATCAAAGGAGTCGAAGAAAAAGAGGAGATAAAGGAGGAGGAGCATGAAGTAGAGGAAGAGAAGAGTATCATATTAGTGGAGAGACCAGAGTTGCAGACAATCATTACCGATAAATGGGAGATTTTCGAAGACGACTTTTGTTTCACATGTAATGAGATTATAGAAACTGATCAACATAGAAATTATAACGTGGATCCAAGTCCGCTGCCTCTTATAGTTATCGACGAGCCAGTTTACTTCACTCACACGTTACCAGATTTGATTACCTTCTAACTGCAACTTGTTCAGGTTCATTTTTTTTTATTCCTTAATTGGTTCTCTTCTGTTTTTTTTTTCCTTCTCTTTTGTTGAATATGTGGATGATAATAAACGTTAGATATTTCAAATTTTCCAAGATTTTTTAGTACACATACTTTTTACATTACTTAGGCATTTGAAAATCTGAGATATTTGCCTACTCAAGTCTATGTTTTAGCGATGTAAAGAGTCGAGCCTGAATACATTCCGCAAGAATTAGACTTAAAGCCTATTCTCAAACACGAGTTCTGACTTCTGATCCAAGAAATTCACAAAACCTTAGAATCCAAGAACCAAAAGAAAGCAAACCATTGTATTACTAATTCATTACCTTCTTGTAAATGAAGAGGACTCTGTTTATATAGAGTTCCCAGCCCTCGTCGTCAAGCCAAAAAGAAGTCACGGAACTATAGATGGTATATTCTATAATCTCTTTTTGACGACAGAGAATTGTTTTTTTTTATTTTGCTAAATACGTCAGATGATATTCTAATTATTATTTTTGTATATACAGTAGTTATCAAATTTGCCTGTCAGATTATTTATATGTGCAGCGCCTCTTTAACAAATTGCATGGTGAATATTTTATTGTCTTTTATTTGGTGATATAAAGTTAATCATTATGAATTGACTTCTTTGATATGAAATGTTTGTAAAATTTGTAGTGAAAGCAATATCGTAGATGACAAATCGCTATCGATCAGAAGAAATGGTATGGCCAAAGCGAAGACTTTAAGAACGGATCATAAATTTTGGAAGTTATTTCTTTCTTGCTAATAATTATAGACCCCAACCAAAATTACTAAAAAATATCAAATTTTTTTTATAGATTGATTAAAATGTTGTACAACTGTTCTGTTTTTTAGAATGATTATATTGTGATTAGACCTAATTGTGATGCAAAAATTCCAAAAACTCAATTTGCGACTCTTTTATTATGAACAAAATGAACAGAAAATAATAACAGATATCCAAAATAAGTCGCAAGTATCTCATAAACTTGGCCTTTAGTCGGCAAAACGACGAATCTTTTCTATAATAAAGTATGTCACATGTTTTTTTTCCCATTAGCCTGCCATGATATCTTTAGTTTGTCAAAAGTGACTAAGTGTACCGAACTTATGCTAAATTTTCTAAAACCTAAACATGCCGAAATATACTAAAAACATGTCTCTTAGAACAACAAGCTTGTTTTTAAGTTAAAACGTCTTATTGTCTTTTTTTGTAATGAATGATAATCTTGTTATTGATCATAATGTTTTTAAATATTATCAATTCAATCAAATATGTGTGGCAAAGTTGTAATTCGTAAGTATGATAAGGAGGAAAATTGAAACTAAAGCTATTTTGGGCAAAATTCTATAATCTTTTGGTTATATGGACAACTTTTCCAAAAGGCCGACATAAAAACTCTGGAAGGCAATGTATTTTCTTATTGTATTTTTTTTGCCTGTTTAAGTTTTATTTACGTTCAAACCAATTTTTTTTTACCTGCACATATAGTATTTTTGAATGGTAAATCGGATTACAAGGCAAACGGACTAATCCGCGTCATTAATATCAAAAGCAGAAACATAGTGATGGAGTGAATAGTTGCTCTCACAAAAAAAAAAAAAACTAGTGAAGGAGTGAATACGGATTTAAGGATAATAGCGTCAAGTAGAGAGTAGGTTAAAGGCTTGCCCGCCCATGTGGGCATGAGTAATGTAATGCTTTCTGTGAAGATTACGATGTAGAGGCAATGTCAGTTTATTATATCTATGTTCTACACTTTTATATTTTGTTACTACTTTATGGGTTGTCAATAAATCTTTTCTCCACCTCCATTGTTACTCGTTGAAAAGCAGAAAACCGATGGGACCAAGTCCCATGTTATCATGACTCCTATTCGTTAAGTATCAAACTAAATTAGGTAACAATGATGCTTATTTTTGTGTACTTCTCTTCTTCTTTTTTAATACAATTTTGTACCTTTCATTTATTAAACCATATCACGAATCACATATGCAATAATTTTATTTTTGCGGTCCATTGTTATATTCTGTTGCAATGTCGACAATTTTGTAGAGACTTGTTTAATAGAAAATTTAGAATTAAATATGTTTTGTGAAATGATGAATTTCTGATGAAAAAGTTATTTATTTTAAAAATATATGTCTAATTATATGACTAATAAACATGCAGTCTCTTAATATTTTCGAATAACATTTTATGTTTCTTAAATTTATAGCTTCTTCATTTTCTTAAAATATCAAGTGACTGTAAAGATATTAAGTCATAAATAAACTTAAGAAAAATACTTTGGTGGAAAACATAGAAAATACTAGCTAACTATATAAGTATAGTTTTAGAAGAACACATATAGCGTTGTACTCCGAAGATACACATAAAATATATAAACTACGTACTTTTGCAGGTTTTAGTTCGACTATATATCCAAATTATTCAACTAGACTGAATTTTAAACTTATATGAAGAATATAATTCTGAAAATGGTGCGTGAATGAGACTATGAGAGGAATAACTTTAGAATCCAAATTCGTACGCAAGGGCTACTCGCATATACATGTGTATGTATATAGTAGTATTAATTATGTATATATACATGGATGTACGAAAATATGTGCAATTATAAAAATAAACATTTATTGTATATAGTCACGTGTCAACCAGTCTATATTAGATATTATGACAAACACTATATACACTGTCATATACATTAGTCTATGATCTCCGTTATGGTATTTTCAATCAAATCAGGATTATATATAGGCTACGAAAAATTCTAAGTTCAGGTATAAATTAAAAACTGAAGACAAATCCACTGATCTTGAGTCTCTTTAGTATATGCATCACCGAAACTGCAGCCAGCCAGCCACACATTACTCAGCACGAAGCCTGTTTATAACTGAGAGATAATGTGAAAGATATGTAATCAGGTCGTATAACAGAAAAACCATTCAGACATTCACAATTCACTGACAGACTTTGCTAACGAATGAATATGTTTTATGGAAAAGTACAACACTAGTTTGTATCTCAGAAGAATTAAATTAGCAATGGCATTTAATGTTGTTTCTTTTCATGATAACATTATTTTTTTTACCAAAATCTTTGATGTGAAAACAATTTACATACACATCTTGAAATCCTCAAGGGTCTTAGAAACAGTCAGATCAACCATACATACATTTGGAAAACATGCAACACACGCTGATCACCTATGAATAAAGAGTATAGAAGAGACAGATTGAAGAAACATGATCTCATCGAAGGGACTGATTGAGTAGTAGTAAACTTCTAACAGAAAAAATAAATAAATAAATTGAAACATGATCTCATGGAAGTTGTGATAAATTATATAAAGCAGTAACGATAATCTCGTTTCAAAACAAATAAAAAGAAACCGATATGAGAAAGAGGCGTATATATTTCAACATAATCGATTTGGATCCGTGTTCCACCTTAGTTAGGTCCGTGTTTCATATGGACCCGGTCTTGATACACTTTAATTTTACAACAATTGGTTCTATCTTGCATCACACTTAAAAAATCAGTCCAAGGGTCTTCACTCCGTCTAGTTACTATACTAATATATACTGTATATGATATGATGGCACCACATTGTATGGATTCTGATTTACGTTCCTCACCCACGCAGAGACGTGAGTTGATTATGTGCACACGACACACGTAATAATAAGTAATGATTTGTCCGACTTCCAAAACAAAATTCTGAAGTCCCTTTTGTATGTATATTTATTGCTAACCGTAATATTTTAAATTTTTTATCATTAGTACTTGTGAGTAATCACGGACTTTGAATCAAAATCAGTCGATAACAAATGGATGAGTAAATATTATTTGTATATGTTCTCTTCTCACTTCTAATATAAAAATTCCTAACACATTCTTTCAAAATGTTTTTCTTTCGTTTATATCAATCGATTCTCTTTTTTTTTTTTTATGGGATCGATTGCCTGTTTAATGTTAGCGAATTTCTATATTAAATATCATAAACTTCTAACTCAGAATTAATTAGTAACACATATCCCTCAAACATTAGTTTAGGTGTCTCTTCACAGTGTTTTATTTATTAACATTTATAATATCCAATTTTTCCACCGGAGCAAGTACTTTAATAGCTTGTATAAGTGCTGCCTCGAGGCATCATAATCCACATTTAGAAAATAGTAAAGAAAAAAAAAAAGAAATATCAGAATTCTCAAGAGTCCTCTACTAATAAGTAGTCTTTTCAAGAAATTTGTGGAGAAGAAGATTCTGTGATATGAAATAATAATGACTTCGATTTGTTTTGTTGTGAAAGGGTATGTTCTTTTGTTTTTTTTCTTCCAAATATCTCTGTGGGCTCTAAGTTTCAACCCCGTTTCCTTAAGGTCACATGTATATGTATGCATGTACATAGAGAGAGAAAAAAAGGAGAAAAGATCAGAAAGAAGATGATGAGTGTATGTAAAGAAGAAGATTAAACAATCAAAGACCATACAATGCCTTCTCCAGGTAAGTTGCGAGGTCAATGAAACAATTAACAAAAAGAAGAAACCTTTATTTGTTTCCAGGAAAATAAGAAAAAGCTAGAGAAGAAAGAAAACTTTTAGGCCTCGGAAAAGAGAGCTGAAACAAAAGTTGATTTCAGAAAGCAAAAGCCTTTGTTTCTCCCTCTTAACTCATCTCCCTTTCTTCCTCTATTAGTAAAAGCTGAGACAGCACTATCCACCAAATAAAAGAAAGAAAGAAATCTCTAATCCCTTCACATGATAAAACAAAAGATTCTTCAGTTTTGTTTTTCTTTTTCAGTAGTCACATAGTAATTGGTACACTTCTTCCAATACCACCATCGTTAAGAAAACTAATAATAAAAAAAGACTAATTGTTATTAATCGCATCCGATGGTAGATTACGAGAAAAACAACAACCATCGGAACTTTCCCTCTTCATCTTCCTCTGATCTTCTTCTTGCCATCAATGGAGCCGCCGCGACCAATAAGAGAAAACGTAGACCCGCAGGGACACCAGGTTCTTTTTTATAATTCAGCCTAAGTTATATTGTCTACTATTAGGTTTTTCAATTATTCAGCTAAAGATTTGATTTTTGGGATTGGGTTTTCGATAACTTCCAAAAAGTGTTGTCCCCAAAGAAATTGTTTTTTTTTTCCAGTAAATTCCCAAATAGTATTTGCTTTTCGGGAAATGAAATTGCTACTCCAAATGGATTATCGATATATATAATCATTAGTAAATCTTGTGTATATCCGTGCAAACAGATCCAGATGCAGAGGTTGTGTCTTTATCACCAAGAACGTTGCTAGAGTCAGATCGGTACGTGTGTGAGATCTGCAACCAAGGGTTTCAGAGAGATCAGAATCTCCAGATGCATAGAAGAAGGCATAAAGTGCCATGGAAGCTTCTTAAGAGAGAGAAGAAAGATGAGGAGGTGAGGAAGAGAGTCTACGTGTGTCCTGAGCCTACTTGTCTCCACCACAACCCGTGCCATGCCCTCGGAGATCTGGTCGGAATCAAAAAACACTTCCGTCGGAAACACAGCGTCCACAAGCAATGGGTTTGCGAGAGATGCTCCAAAGGCTATGCCGTTCAATCTGACTACAAAGCCCATCTCAAAACCTGCGGCTCACGCGGTCACTCCTGCGACTGTGGCCGCGTTTTCTCCAGGTTCTTCATTATCATCGTCATCTCATTATTTTCTTTATTTATAAAAAGAGTGTGGTGGATTTACTTTTGTGGGAAACCCTAAATAATGTTCTCTATGCTGATGATTTAGATTTCTGGTTTTTCCAAAGTTTCTTATTCTCCTTTCTTGATTAATTTTAATTATACAATTTGACTATTTAGTTTATAGGAAAGATTATTGTTGGAAATATGGAATCCTTAAACTAAACCAAAGAATGTTTTCTAGGATGGTGTGTACTGTTGCTACATTACAGGTATATCTATCTATATAGTGCACATAGATTCGTGTTTTTTTTTTCAATGTGCATATGGATTTTGACAAAGCCTACAAATAGAAGCTCAGTGCTTGACTGTTGCCAGATAAGTTTATTTTAAATAATTAATTTAATCATATGTATGTATGTTTTAGTATGTGATCTCACATTGACCCCATTATGGATTTCCCATAACCCACACTTGTTGCATTTTTTTAATACACAAACTAAAAAGTCTCATAATCACATTATCCCTTTCCAAAGGTGCCTAAATCCATAACTCAATTTTATATTATTGCCTTCTTCTTTTGATTACGTACGTTCTTTAAACACATGCATGATTCATTCCATTTAGTTTAGGCCATTTACACTAATTTCCATTTATTTTTCTGTGGTCATAAGAAAATGTTTATGTAATATATATCTACACTAATTAATAAGTACCTCATTGTTGATTCTTCAATTTAATTTTATTTGGGTTTCAGGGTTGAGAGTTTCATAGAGCACCAAGATACTTGCACCATCCGGCAACCTCCACCCACCAACCACCGTCCACAACAGCACACGGCAAGCCCTACCGCTCCATCAAGAACCTTTTCGACCGCAAGCATTGGCCCTTTTTTGCATGGACTTCCTTTGTTAAGGCCACCACCACCCGATAAACATTCACTAGCTTTTGCTTACCCTTTCAATGCTTCATCAGCTCCTTTCGAAAGCCTCGAGCTTCAACTATCCATTGGAATGGCAAGGACATCAGCACAAGAAACGGGGAACGAAAAGGGAGAGACGAGTTTAAGAAAGGAGGGAGCTAATGAGGAAGCGAGAAAGGCGGATCAAATGAGACAAGAAGCGAAGAGGCAGATAGAGATGGCGGAAAGTGATTTTGAGAAGGCTAAGAGGATAAGGAAAGAAGCGAAAGCCGAGCTGGAGAAGGCTCAGGTTGTTAGAGAAGAAGCAATCAAGAGGATTAATGCAACAATGTTGGAGATCACTTGCCATTCTTGCAAGCAACTGTTCCAGCTCCCCGTTATGGCTGATGAGAGTACGTCGTCTCTTGTAATGAGTTATGTTTCCTCTGCGACAACGGAAGGGGAATGCGAGTAATCCAATACTTCTTCACAAATCCCCACAAGAGCAAAAGAAAACAGTTATGGTTTTTAAATGATCATGATGGTATATTAGTTGTTACCATTTTGTGGATCAATTTTATGCATCTTATTTTTCCCTGCAGAAATTCATGTAACGGTTCTAAATTTCAAGAATCATTTTGAATTTTGAATTTTCGATTAAAGATCTTCACGTTATCAAAAACATATAATTTATTTGTTATAATTATTTATTTCTTGGAATTATATTTTATTTGGTTTTTGGTAATTTGACTTAGGATTTTTTTCCAAAAAGAAAAAGACAGACTATATATATATATATATATATATATATATATTGTAGTCAATGATGTGGGGTTGATTGGTTGGTTTAATTTGTAACTTTTGTTTATGGAATTGCTTTAGAAATGTTTTGTTCTCTTAAAATTAATGGAGCAATCTAGACAAAACAAAAATTATTGAATGGAGAGCATTGATTGAGGAGGGGGTAATTTGCATTAAATTCGACAGAAAAATTGTTATTTGTTAGAGGTCAAATTATGTGTATAAGATTCTCAGGTAGAAATGATTGATGTCCACCTAATAAAATATGATCACGAGTCACCTCTTTCTCTTTCCCATCTTTACATTCTCGTAGTTGTAGCTTAGTCTCAATCCGACCAAACAAGAAGTCATCTCTCTCACATACAGACGGAATCTTATAAGATGCCATTTGAAATAATATATTTTAATACTTAAAATATGTCAATAACGAAGACAAATGTCTTAGGCTATTTAGGTTCTTAGCTTATTGCGTACAGTTACAAAAGAAGAAGAAAGTAAAACATGTGTAAAAGAAACGTGGAGCGAGCCGGTCCATCAAGTCATCAAATAGATAAATTATAACAGATCTAGAAATCGACTAAGGTATGTAAACGAATTGTATTTCTTATATCGTGTTTGATACAAATGTGATAAAAATTACGTATTTGAGATGAATCTTCGCAAGATACTTGAGTTGCCACGATATTTACCTACTTTTATAGCATAGTGTAAAACAAACAAAAAAAAAACAAATACCTTGCTAATTTTGAAAAAAAAAAATGGCAAATAAAGTTTCATACACTACGGAAAAAGATTAGGTTAAACGTCAAATGACCATGTGGTAGAAAACTGTTTGCTTCCGTAAAAAATCAAACTCTTTTTTTTTTTTAATGGTATTGTTCCAAATTTCTCCTTTTGGTCAAAATCAAAATAGTAGTATCTCAAAAACTATTGTAACTAAAACAAATGTGTATGTATATGTCTTGGCAAAATTAAAAATATGAGGAATCATATGCTATAAAATGGGAGGAACAAATTCAAAGATGCCCACCCAATCATGAAAAAGCCAAAATCAGTGTCAAAGAGAGAGAGAGAGAGGCAATGATGTAAACACACAGGGAGAGAGATGGAGAGAAGGAGGAGTAAATGCTGTTTTCAGAGCAGAAGTGGTTGTCGTTTCCTTTAGAAGAAAATAAACGACATGAATTTCAGTGCCAAAAGATTGAAATGGTGGTTAGGAGTCAGGCTTCTGTCTCTCTCACCTGACTCTCCCCTCACTTCCATGCTTTCCTTCTTCTCTCTCTCTTTTTCACTTTTCTTACTCTTTCTTTAAATCCCCACAGACACTCTCTCTCTGTCATCTCGTGTCACTTCGTCATCTCCTCACAATTCTCTTTTTAATTTTTTTTTTTTGAACAACTTCTCTTTTTAATTATTATGTTTGTTCATTTGTATATTAAAAAGAAGCAAATTCTAAAGGGTAAATATCTGGATCTGCTTACTATTATGATCTACTTTATCAAACATTTTGTATACAGGACAGGCAAGTCTGAAAACACAATACTAGGCCCAAATATGAAGTAGCAAACCCATATATATATGGTTCCGGATATCTTAAACTGGCTCTGGAGAACGAACTTGTTGTATCACCAAAACCACATTTATAAGCTCACTAACCATCATGACCATATGGTTTCAGATTGCTAGACAATAAGCACAAAATTAACGATTAGTTCAATTTCAGAACCATAGCATTTCAATTTCAGCTCTTAATCACTATTACAGAACCATAGCATTTCAATTTCGACTATCTCTGTATGATATACATATTTTCAAAAAAAAAACACTGTGCGAGTGAATAGCTTACAACAACACTGTGCAAGTGCAATATGTAGTCTCAAGGAAATCGGCATAGCTTTGTGTTAATTTCTCACAGTATTGTACTTTGTTGTAAGAAGAAAATTTCAGCTCGTTTTACTCTTAGATCATGATAGAGTTCTTGTAAGCTTTATATAACACCAAAATGAGTTATATTTTTCTTATATTCTATAGTTTTTTTGGAAAGCTAATAGATCGAGCTAGAACAAAAAAAAACTTAAATGTTTCGTTTGCTCTATAGATTGCATAAAGCAAGCCTACAGCAGTTGCAGTTAGAGTTCATCTTCCATCGAAAGAGCGTCTTGGTCAACAAGTACATGCCTTGGTTATTCACTAGCAGCAGTTTGATGCAATGATGGTTATGTAATAATTAGGCTGAATCAACATAAAGTCTGTTTATAGCAACTTAACCCAAACCGAATGAATAATTACCACCATTAATTTGGCTTTTTTCGCTCAATCTAGAGACATTAGTCCAAATGCAGTGACCAAACGTGATCAACAATACCACTGTTGTAATAACCTATAGTAGTATATAAAAGAGCAACTCTATGAAATGGTACGAGTACTTTTTGGTATGGCCATAAAGAATCGGTACAATAAATAATGGCCACACCGAACCTAAATATGGCAATGCCAAAACTTAATCAAAATATTTAGGACGTGCAAAACCCACTTTCACTGCCACCAACACGTAGATTAATCAATTCCCTATTGTAATCTTGAGCGCATCTTTGTCACCAGAATGTTGTTGAGGATGCATCTTCTTTTTCTTGACAAAGAAGTAAACGACGGACCCGATAAGAAGCGAACCGACCACAGCTCCGGTAACAGAACCCACAATTTTTCCAGCATTATTATTCCGTGGAGAGCTGGCATGCGTTTCTAAGTAAGGATCCCCGAACTTGATCACAACTTTTGGCCGAAAACCTGATACCGTACCGTACAACTGAGGATTTTCCGAAACATCTAGAGTTATCAATTCGGTCAGCTGAGTAAGCTCCTAAGATTATTAGATGCGAGATGGATGCCCTGAAGAGATTTAAGAAGTGCAAAGCTTGGAGAGATAGTGCCGCGGAGTCCCATGAAACCGAAATTTGTAACTACAACCAGTGGCGGATCTATAGCATAAGAAGGTGGGACACGTGCCCCATACTGATTTTAAACAAGTTCGTATACCTTATTATAATTGTTGATTCATTGGTTGAATTGGCCATTGTTTTGTTCTTCAAGTGAAGAGTTCGGTGCCTATAATTTGTCTATTTTATATATTTATATACATGTATTTATCTATTTTTTGTTTTGTTTTTTTGTGTATTCCATTTTTTTAGCCATCTTTTTTTTTTACAATTTGTTATACTTTTTCTTTTGATTAGTTGACATTTTTCTTTCTTTCATATCTTTTATTAAATTTATTTATTGCTTAATTTATTTTCCATACATTATATATTCTAATAAATTAATAAAAATAGATTTGGTTTCAGCTTATAAATTCTAAAACTTTTATATAAAGGTTTTTTATTATAATGTAAATCATTTCTTTTATTTTTTTTTCATATCTTTCATATATGTAGAAAGATTTAGAAATAAATGAAAATGTAAATTTTTAGATAATTCCAGTTTTCCAAAACTCAAAATCAAAATACATTACATCTTTTTTATTTTTTACCTTTTACTTTACTAAGTTTTTATTTATATCCCACATAAAAAAAATGTTTCTGGATCCGCCCCTGACTACAACTACAGATCCTTGACAAGTAATGCCTAGCCACATTCCCATTCTCTTACTGTCACAAGGATCATTTCCTTTCCAGCTCTGCGCATATGCCGCCGGGAAACCACCAAATGATTCAACGATCGAAAGCAGAGCGCTAACACGTGGATCACAAGGAGTACCTGGAGTATCCAAGCAGAAACTGTTGAGGCCAGTCATATCAGCCTTTGCAGTTTTGAACTTTGGGGTTGGTCCCTGAAGTAAATTATTGCCCAAGGCCACATGAGAAAGAGATGACAACTGGGTGAAAGAGTAGGGTACGATACCCGTAAGCTGGTTTTCGCTGACATTGAAAACTTTCAGCAAGCTCAGACCGGAAAGGTCCGGTAAGGGACCTGAGAACCCGTTTCCCTGCAGAAGTACCTCCGTCAAACCAGTCATGTTCTGGAGAACCGAGATTGGCCCATTGAGTTTTTGACCGTCGAGCTTCAGGATTTGGACACGTGATCCACAGAAGCTCCTCGGAAGTACACCAAAGAGCCCATTATCAGACAATTCCAGAACCGTCAGAAGAGGGAACATTCTGTCCCACTGTAAGTCCGGAAATTCCCCGGAGAGACTGCAGTTGACGGCGGAGAAAACTTGTAGAGAAGTCGCGTCCGTTAGACTAATAGGGATTTCCCAGGGACGCAACGGATTGTTGCCAAGATTCACATACTGGAGGGATCTCAGGCCGGTGAAAAAACCCGCATCTATGGAAGTGAAGCCATTGTCGTTAACATAAACCCCCTCCAACGATCTCAACCCTGCGATGCTCGGGATCTTCCCGGTTATCATGTTACCCCTGACGTCGAAAACAGTCAAAGACGTGTGGTTTTTGAGATGTCCGAATTTCGATCCGGGTGACCCGATGGCTACTTGGGTCGCATCTTAAACCTGTCCAGGCGCAAGGGTTCGGGTCGGACCAGTTGAGCTTTGGAGACGTCAGGGACTCTCTCAGCGCAATCATGGTCGCCAGGTCAGGACTCGGGCTCGGGCTCGGACTCGGACTCGGTTGGGCGTGCACCAAGACGATGAAACAGAGGAAACAGAGCAAAACTCTCGACATGATCGTCTTCCTGTATCAAAAGTCTTTGTATTATTCATGCATGGCCTATATGGTCTTTGTAATTCATACACGAAGAGACCTACGGAGAAAAGGAAATACACATGATATGATATGTACAGTTTGCTGTTTACTAAGATATATAGAATCTATCCTTAATATAACTGTAAAATCTTCCAGTTGCAAACGAAGGAGGCGATTTCTTGTAGGTGAACATTTCCATAAGTGAGAAATAGAAAAAGAAATTTAACTTCTTTATATTATCTGGGGACTTTTTTCTTCTCTGTTTTCCATATTCTGACAAATGATAAGAATGGCAATTAAAAGAAGAGTTTACAAATGATGATTGCGAGTGGTGCTGAATAAGCTGAGAGAGTAGAAGTTGTATGGGAAGTTGATAAATCGCTCAAGAACAGAGCTTAACAAGACATCAACGGAGTCGAATGAATCTCAGGTTGACAATACAAAAGGAAGAAGAAGAAAATGCTATTTACATACGAAGTGTAAAATGTCAAAGCCTCTACCTCTACTAGAGACTTCTTTAGCTTCTCTCCTTCTGATTCTAATCAACAAACCACAAAACCATTAGCTCTTCTTCAATTAACCGGTTTACTCCAAAACCTAAAATGAAATCAAATTAAAAACTTGAATTCATATAGAATGTGATGTCGCAAAACCGATTTAAGTGTATCGTGGACTAATTTAATAAAACAAAAATAGTGGAAACTGATGATGCGTAACAAGTCAATTAATCCATAGGAGCTAAATTTTTGTGAAGTTTGCAACATTTTAGTAAAAGTTTCGATAATCAGCCTGAATAACAGGAGAAATAAGCCACAAATTTAAGATTGATGTGTATTTCAGTTAAGAAATGAGAATACTAAAGTAGGGAACTTTTGAAGTAGCAACAAAACTTTGACATAAAGCATCCAAGTGCAAACCACCAAGTAGCCAGTATAATCCAGGTGAATAATACGACATTCAGAAAAACTTATAACAATAACCAAAATCTTTTGTTTTTCTTCAAGAGGTTTCTACGTCTGAGAGATCCAAACCTTCTCGGTAAAGCTCAAAGTCATTAGGGCCCCATCTGCAGACTAAGTTCAGTTTGAAAGTAGCCAACTTGATCCCCAACAGACGCTGCAATTTATCATATAACCAAAACTATCAGCAAAGTTTTCTAATTTTCATTAAGCAAAACTAAAGGGAAAGGCTTTTGGTGTACAGATTCTTATATTTACCAAAATGCGGGAAGATTCTGGCGAAAGAGGTTTTCCTTCTTGACAAACTACAAAGTCGGAGAGTAACTCTACCGTACCTACATAACAAAACCAGCAAAAGAAACAACATTTTGAATCAAGTTTTCTTAAAAACTCTTGGGTAAGAGAGATGAATCAACTACAAATGGTGAGACAACAAACCTTTGTTAAGTCGAACAGGCATACCCTGCTTCCTAAGAAACGGCTCCATCTCATGTGTGAACTGTTCTAGAGGACCTTCCTTTAGTTCAACCTGATCAATTTTTAATTGTATCGTAACAGAATTCTTCAGTAATTAAGATAAGGGGACAAGAAGATTCTCGAAAAACAAAGAGATGCAGATCACATGGATATATACAGAGATGGTAAAAGTTCTATTTCACAAACCGTTTCTACTGCAGTGCTTCCGGTCCTTGAAAAGTCAGAATCTTCATAAGCGTTAAACAAGCTGCAATGAAACCAGAAGAAGCAATTGTGACTATTGACAATTACAACAAAGAGAAATGGATACAACTCAAAGCAAAACAGTGGAAAAAAAGAGGGCTTACCTTTCAACCTCTTCCTTTGGCATATCAGTCACAAGAAGCCCAGCATCACCATGAAGCAGCTGAAAACAACAACACACAACATGTTTAAACATAACTGACAAAAGAAAATAGACAACAACAATCATTGTAAAAAAAAAGCAGAGTACACACACACAACCTTGGAGACTTTGTAGATTCCAGGACGGATTTCATCAGAAGCAGAGCGACCGAGAGCAACCTGCATGACTTTGTTCGAACCGAGGAAGAACCTGGACGAATAAGATCCAAATGATATCACCAAATTGAAAATAAAGACTCACAAATAAGGTCATGTTTCGATGACTATTTATCTCAATTACATTCAAGTAAAACACTAATCTATTATTCATGATTAGAAAAAGCAAAGAAAACTCACTTTCCATTTTGCCTAAACTGCTGTCTGAACTCTTTCAATTTGATGTTTCTCATGTTTTCAAAAGAGAAAACATAGACAGAGGTATACTTCTCCACAGCCTCTCTGATTCCATTTACAATAGTCTCTTTGTGCTCTCTTCCTTTCTTCTTCGTCTTCGACAAAGTAACTGCAATAACAAAAACCATAAGCAACGATTTGGGTTTTTCTTCAAAAGGGTTCCTCTATAAATTCTTAGAAACCCTAAACCCTTGACGGCGGCTACATAACTCGCAGCTTTTCTAGCTCAGTAACGAAGATGCAGTATATTCAGACAATAGAACCATGAAAGAGTGAAGGAAGAAACAGTTCTGACCTTGTCTGTCTCTCTTTGATTTAGGCATATCGAGGTTTTGAGATGTATGACGCTGAAAGTGAGAGAAAAACCAAAGTTAACGGCTTTGCTCCTTTCACTTTTCTTCACCTAACTAAAAGACTGAAACCCTTGTTCCCCTTCTCTGCTTTAATTCCTCTTTTTCTTTGAATTCGGATCCCTAAGTTAACCCGACCCGGATTCGGCTAAGGTCGACCAGATCCGGCCCAATTTCCGAAATCTGGACCGAGAGAAATTTAGTTTGCGGATAATTAATTCGGTTTTAGTCAATTAGCGAAAACACTGTGAAAGAAACTTTTCTTTTATTATTAAGCAGAGATAAAGCCAAACGTTTACATTCCATAAGGGAACATCAAATTTACAGACAACAAACAGTAAGGAAGGTTTGAGTAAAAACTGTAAAATATCATCCATGCAGACAACACTTGGTCTTCAAGGCCTTCTTACTTAATTCAGAAGGATACAGAAGTAAAATATAAACAACATAAATTTGCTAACCCAGAATATTACATGAGAATACATTCTTTATTATTCAAAAAAAAAAAACAACACAATGACGAGTGTATTATATAAACTCAAACCTCCTTCTCCAACCTTCATGCACTTGCAAACAAATTTGAGTAAAATTCCCAAAATTGTTAAACATAGAAAGGGTTTCACAGGTCAAATCACATACCTTTTTCATCTTCTGGAAACTAAATTTTGTACCTTCTACACAACCCAACAGAGAATTTTCTTTTTAAAGAGTATTGTATCATCTAGGATGGTCTGAGTTCTGGTTAGCTTCTCTATCTCTACGTCTCCTACTAACTGATCTTCCCAGGAGAACCCTTCTTTGGCTCCTGATCCGGTTTGCCAACGACATAGCCCCATCCTCCTCCGGTCCAGAGGATTCCACATCGCTCTGGTTGATCACTAACTCATTTGCATCCGATGCTAGCTCATGGGATGTGTCAGATGCAAGACCAGTTGTTGTATCAGAGCGCCTTGTGTTGTTGTTTCCTGATGCCCCAAAAGCCTGCAACAGGAGGAAGACGTTCACTAGGTTCCTACCTATCCCAGCACTTATCCCAGCACTGATTCTATCTTCCTCCTCCCTCTGCTCATCATCAGCAACCTCATCATCATCATCATCATCGGCCTCATCTGAATCTGAACCGTACGCACCTCTCTCTATCACGTAATCCCCAAAAACCGTTGCACCAGGCATCGTCGACCTGATTGTGCTGATCACATCGTTACGCTCCTGCTCAACCTCGAACCTCCTCCATTTCTGCTCAACGTCAGGATCCACTTCACGCGGCTGAGCACAAGGGTGGTCTTTTTTCATGTGTTTCCTCAGCTCCTTGAAGGTTCCAGCAAAAGAGCAAGTCTCCTGCATACAGCTTCTCCTCTTTAGATTCAGATCGTCTCTTGCAGGCTGCACAATTGTCCAACCTTTGACCTGGCCCCTACAAAGCGGGCACTTTAGATTGGAAAGCTCAGACTTACTATCAATCGGTTGCTGATGCGATGGCATGAGTTTAGCCGACGCCTTCTTGTACTGATCTAAGCAATTGGAGTATCGGAAGCTAGTTCCACACATATAAGGACGACAACCCTTATCATGAGATGAACAGAGGAGAAGAACAGCATTGTGAGGACACTCCATACAGACCGAACACACAGCATCCTCCCACTCATTCTTCTCCATCACCTTTGGACAGTTGCTTGCAAACACGCTCCTCCCTAAAACTCGCTTTGACGATGTGAACTTGTATGGCCTTGCTCTGATCCGTCGAGCAGAAACCCTGCGTCTAGCCCTTCTAGCTTTGGCCATTTTTCTTGTAAAAATACACCTGAAGAAGAACAAGTACACACACGCTTAACAAAGGGAGTTCATGAAAGAAAAGCAAGATATGTCTATCTACATATGTATCAAGAACAGACATATGTAAACAAGAAACTGAGAAGACGACGATATTTTACATCCATACAAAAGACTTACCTAGATAACACAATAACTAGATTTCAATCTAACAAACATCAAAGGCCAAAACAGCTACAATTTGTTCACGAACAGAGCAACAGATAGAGTTTAAAGGAGACAAACCAATCAAGCAAGTAACTCCTATCTGCTACAATGTATAAGACTGGAGAGACAGGGTCGTGCCTGATCAATGCAAATGAAGGGGATCACATAAAGTAAAAAAAAAAAAAAAAGGATTGAAGATGTGCTAACACGTTACGTGACACCCTAAAGCAACGTGCTTCACCAAACATTCACGCGACATGGCAGTGAATCAATTAATAAACAAATAAGAAAGAACCATCGTCATGTTCAAGAATCCTTGATTCACATGGAGCGAAACTGATCTGACACATCTCAGATCCAGAACAATTATAATATGTATGTTAAGCAAATTAAAAAAAAAAAAAAAAAACTACAGGAAGCTCCATTAATAACATCAACAAACGTTCTTAATAATCCGATCCTTAAAAAATAGGAAATATGTATCCTGACATATTCTATTCCCAAGCTATTAAACAATTTAAATTAAATCTTCAACGACTCAGGAATCAAATCTGAATCGTATGACCTAAATCAAACCGAAAAGTCATGCTCTTCCTCGAAAAGGAAAAAAACAAGTAATCAAATTTCATCGACTTCCGAAGTTCTACGGCCAAAGTCACAAAATTTGAATCACTCAAATTCCATTTAATTATCTTGGTTATACAAAAAGGAAGGTACCACACGACCGAGATCGCCATAAAAATACGCAGAGAATGGAGATAAGGACGACGAAATCGAAAGGGATTGTAGCCCTACCGGAAGAATACAACCACGCGGCTGAGACTTCAGCTCGAGACTTGAGGTAGCAAAAGGGTAACGACACCGGCGACGGAAAAGCACGCCGGAAAGATAAAAGAGAGAGAGAGAGGGATAGAGGGAAATTACGAAATGCAGAGATTAGAAGCGACTCGACGGTTTCACCAAGCCCCAGATTAGGAATTTCTATGTTCTGACGTCACGTGTAGTGGAAGATAGAGCACTTTTGACACGCGCCTCTCTTGCGCGTACGGTTGACGCCTATGTTCTTTTGAGGCTTTAAGGCCCGTTAAGGGCTAAGGCGATGGACCATGGATATTGGGCCATGGTTGATGTTATGTCAGAACGTAAGTGATGTACTGTATAAATTATTAGATTTGAAGTTAGTCCTAGACTGAAGGTAAAGTGCCCGATACGGCAGTATAAGAGAATTGAATCCACAAGCACTAACTTATCACACATACGAGAATGGAACCTAGATGAAACAGTTTACATAGGTTTTCTCGGGCGAAGTTTTCTCCTGAGTTTGTAAGATTGGTCTCTCATCCCTTGGTCAATTTTGAGAGGACATAGAGTTGTTAGGATATACTAAAAATATATTCATTGTAATTTTGTAGGTTCCTTAACTGTATCACGCTTATGTATAGTTTGAATATACCAAACATATTCATTATTTAGAGTCTTATAATGGCATTTGGTTGGAGATTTAACCCATAAACAATTAACTCGAGATGGTGTGTTAGAAATATTAGAAATAAAAAAAGAAATATTAGAAATATTAATCCATACATTATTTAGAATCCATATTAGAAATTAAAAAGATTTAAATGCTATTTTTGAAAAATATGAATCTATTGAATCGAAAATCCATAAAACTCAGCACAAATCGAAAATCTAGAGTTTGGCCTCTGTGACCATTTCATTCATGTTAGTGGTACGTGTGTCTTTTAATAGTAATTCTTAGCTAGAGCCTACAGGGATTTGGTGCAAAGAAATTTTGGGAAATATTTTAAGAAATATTTCTATTGTTTTTAGGATTTATTCTTGAGCTTAAAATTCCATTTGTCTTTTCTATATGATTTTAGTTTTGGGACAAGAAATTAAAGTCTTAAGTTACTGATATAAAAGTAAGTAAAAATGGTATGAAATAATGGTAATATTTTGTAACAAATTAAATATTTTTGTGTAGTCCTTTTCTACAAAAGAAATTGCTGTCATAAAATCATATTTCAAATCTCTATAGTAGTTCAAACATTGGTTAACTTTTTCAATAATGGTTAGTCTTAAATGTATGTAATGTTGTCTGAATGTTGTACAGAATTGAATGAGAACTGGCCTGGCGAATGCATGCTTTCATAGATAACTCAACACGCTCTTTCCCGACAACGCAGCCGTATAGGGACACTCGTAAGTCTGTAGAGATTTCAAACTCAATACTCACTACGGTTTATCACGATATCTTTTCCATTGCACAATAATAATAAAGACAATTAAAAACCGCAAATTGGTCGGAGACATACACCACCATCACCATGTATATATATTTTTATATAGAGAGCCACATACTCTTTTTATTCATTTCTTCTTTTTGGTTTTAAGATATTCACTTCTTTTTTTTTTGGTTTAAAGATATTTATTTCTTATAGTCACGCAAGCTGTTTTCTGGAGCAATGGCTCAGGCAAATGGGATGACGCCGGTGATACTGATGCTGGTGACTCAGGTAGCTCTCGCCAGCGTCAACATCTTCTTCAAGTTTGCCATAAGTAGCGGCGTGAGCCTACCTGTCCTCATCGCGTACCGCTTCCTCGTCTCCACCGCGGTTATGGTTCCTCTTGCTTTCTTCTTCTGCCGGCAAGTTCTCTCCTATACTAGCAGCCGTTTAAGCTATATATTTGGAGGCCATGTACAAATACTACTTTGGGTCTTCTTTTATTATTTTCTTTTCAATACAGTCTGTATCCCATAGAAAATCGGAAAAGACATATATGAATTCCACTAATAATCTGCTAGCGTATTTCTCTTTTTAAAATTTTCGTATTTATTTTGTCTACTGGAATTTACTTAAATACATGGATCGGATGCTAAGTTTGCTCTATTACTAATTTGTGATTATTTTTTACAGGGATAAAATACCAAAAATGACATGGAAAATTATCTTCCAAGGCTTCCTGTGTGGCTTATTCGGGTAAATAATTTTTGAGAGGTTCCATCTTTTATCAATTTATGCATACCAATATATTCTATGCATGATTTGCTCTTCTTCTTCTTGTTTTTTTGTGGGGAAAGCTTTTTGCCTTACCGTAATTTTTGTCCTGTAGGTTATAAATTTCTGTTACTATATATAGTTGGGTATTTCACTACTTTGTTACGATTTTTTTCCAATGGGTTATAAAAATCATGTTACCACTTACCAGTGCTGGATATTTTGTTTGTCATTTTTGTTTTGTATATAGTTGATCTTTGTAATAGAGAATATACAATTAAACGAACGCCTTCTAAATCAGTTGTAGGGTGATATCTACAATATTGTTATTATCAACGAGGTCGTCTGCCTTATAAACATGTACGAAAGACAAGTTTATGATTTTCATACGTGTATTTAATATAAAATGTACCACACGATCGATATATATATACATATGTAATTGTATTTTGTTGACGTTATCTACTTATCTGTAATTTGTTTTTGAACTATAAAATGATTAGACATATCACATGCTGTTGCAGGGGATCATTAGGGCAGAATCTATTTTTCGAAAGTATGGCACTAACGTCGGCTACATACATTACTGCAGTGCTTAATCTTTTACCCGCCATAACCTTCATCGTTGGTATCTCTGTAAGGTAATATTAATATTCTTTTCGAAAAGTATATATACATGTGTAATATATAACATAACATAGTACTGATCACATGTATCACAGGTTGGAGAGATTAGAGTTTGGAACTGCGGCTGGGAAAGCAAAAGTATTCGGGACAATAATGGGTATGGGTGGGGCGATGCTGTTCACCTTTTACAAAGGCTTTTCCATTGATTTTTTGCAGTCCAACATCCACCTTCTTCCCCGAAACAGCATTCACCTGGCTTTGCCGGCGTCCGATCACCGTGTCTTGGGAGCTTTTTTGGCTCTTGCTGGCTGCTTCTCCTATGCTATATGGATCATTATACAGGTGAACAACATGCATTTCCACTAGGGTTGTTGAGATGCGTCGGCTGGTTCCATTTTTCATTCTTTGAAATCCGATCCGATCTAGGATTACAGTTTAATGGAAATGTAATCCCAGATCTACGTGTTCAATATTTAGTTTGGACTTACGACTTAAATAACAAAAATATGCCAAACTTTTATAGGTCTCGAAGATGAGTTTAGACTTTAGTTCAAGATCCTTTGTTTATAGAAAAAAAAATCATTACAGGCAAAGATGAGCGAAACAGTGCCATGCCATTACACGAGCACGGGATTGATGAGCGTAATGAGTTTCTTTCAGTCGACAATTTATGCTTTGTGCGTGGAAAGAGATTGGTCGCAGTGGAAGCTCGGGTGGAATATTAGGTTATGGACCGCTGCATATTCGGTATGCACTTAATTGTATTTATGATATATTTTTATATAAGTTATCAAACCTCATATTGATATTGAATTATAAATTTATAACTACTAATAAATGAACGTTTGGAACTAAAACATTTAGGGAACAATGGGAGCACTAGTAGTGACACTAATGGCAATTTGTTCGAGACTAAAAGGCCCACTCTTTGTATCGGCCTTCGCCCCTCTCATGCTCATAATTGTCGCCTTAGCTAGTGTTTTGTTCTTAGACGAAAAGCTTTACTTAGGAAGGTAAAACCCAATACATTTTAAGGGATTACAAATATTTATATATGCATATACTCACGATATTTTCAATTTTTTTCAGTTTGCTTGGAGCAATGTTGATTGTATGTGGGCTATATGTTGTGTTATGGGGAAAAAATAAGGAGATGAAGAAAAGGATGAGTGAATTAGTTCTATCGAATGAAATCCAAACATAAAAACCACTCGAGATTGTTTGTTGCGAGTGGTAGCGATGGCAGCTCTCCGGCATAGATGTAAAACTCTAGAAAAATTAATGACTCAAGTGAAAAAAAAAATGAAGAAGAGAGGATCAGTTTTTGTTTATTAACCATAGTGTAACTATATCATTATTTTGAGCAAGTTAGTATGAACAAAATTATTTTCTCAATCTTATATATATGCATAGTTTTTTTTTTATTTTTATAAAAAGGGCATTCATATATATATATGCATAGTTGCTTTTCATTAGTTGGTATGTGGCCTGATTATAAACCATTGGATCTATCATGTATATATAAAACATTATGCATATCACATGAAAGAGAGTAGAAGAATGGCAGAGAATCCAAACCCAAATAAAACTTTGAAATTTGGATATTTACCAAGTGTATACCTTATAACCTTAATGACGTAGGAGTCTTTTTCTCTCTTTTTGGACTTGGTGTGTGTGGATAGCCACGGAAGGGAAGCACAGAGCATGCTTAGCACGTGTCTACATCAACCCAAGATGTTTGCTTTTATTTAGCTGTTGTTTACATTTACAATGATGTTTTACAGATATTAATTGCTACACACCGAACATGTTGATGCATTGCATTTGGGATAAAATAGTAAAACGCATTAGCGTGTTAGCATGAGAGAAAGATGCTTTTGCCTATAAAAAGAAATGAAAAAAAAAAAAGATTCTTTTGCAAATGGTGCAATATTGCAGCAACGCTCTTGAGATGTCCATTCATTAGAAGAGCATTAATGAATTGCTCTCTTTTCTTCTAGTATAACCTCTTCACTTGGTATTTCATTTTCCTCTTTCAACATGAATATGCATTGTGCTACATAATCTCTGGTTTAATACTTTAAAAACTTTGCTACTTTAGTCACTCTTTTTCCATAAACATTTACTTAATTTTCACATCTTCTTACATCACTTAATTTTTTTTCATGGTATCTAAAATTGAAGTGGAGCACAATGAGAAAAAAAGGTACATGGGATAGAAATAAAGACGAAGACACCTTAGCTAGATAAATAAAGCTGATTAAGGGTCAGGAGCAACGGATAGTTAATGGTTTGAGTGGGCGTCAAAGTAAAATATAGAAATTGTGGGGCGAATTGAAGAAATGTGGGAAGAAGTGAAGGGTGTAATTGTAATGCTGGTGGTTCAGTTTATGTACGCAGGAATGTTCGTTTTGTTTAAGTTAACGGCCAAAGACGGTGCAAATCTCAGAGTCCTTGTGGCTTATCGTCTCGTCTTCGCTACGCTTTCCATGCTTCCGCTCGCCCTCATCTTCGAAAGGTTTGTTTCCCTTAATTTTTTATTATTATTTATGTGCATTTGTTAAACATTTATAACCTTATATATGGAAAAGCCGGATTTAAAAATATATGCTGAGACAAGTAATTAATAAAAAAAATACATATATCTTTTTTTAGAAAAATAAAAAGGGCAAAATACATATATCTTCGAATGACCATATGGTCATTTCACCAAGTCATTTGCGTGTGTGTTCAATGTTCATATGTAATAAAAATACTCATATCTTATTATATTTTAATTTAATGTTTTGTTTTTGGATTTCACGTGATCAGGGAGAAGCGGCCAGAATTTACATGGAGGCTGCTCTTATTAGCATTTCTTTCGGGGCTGCTCGGGTACGTAGAACTTGTGAAGTAGTTTCATGAACCTAGAGCACACATGATGACATGAAGCTATATATATTGTTACATGGCGTATAAAATATTAGGTATCTATATATACATGGACGTTCCTGGATTTATGCAATATATGTTTTTGATTACTATACAGAGCGGCGATACCAAATTTTCTCTATTTGCCGGGCCTGGCTCTTACATCAGCTACATTTTCGACTGCGGTCAGTATCCTTGGTCCGTTGATCACCTTGGTACTGTCATTGGTTTTTAGGTAAGGCACATTAATCTCTAAACCATTCCTTCTTGAAATAGTAAGATACATTAATTTGGTTGCAAAAATATATATGTTAAGAGTTTATTTTCGATTTATGAAGGAAAGGCGTTTTCAATGTTTTTTCTTTTATAAAAAGGCGTTTTCAATGTTTGTATATACGATTAGTATTTTTTAGTGTTTTCTAGAGGTTCTTATAAATTCGAAATTACATATACTTCTATCAAATACAATGATACAAACCCAATAACTAAATGTAAAAAAATCTAGAAAATTATCATAGATGGGAAAACAATAGTTCCAGCTGACGATAACGTACATAAGAGGCTAAATCATACTTTTAACTCTTATATAACATCCGTTCGATTTGTCGTTGGACCCACAGGTTGGAAACTCTACGGCTGGGATCGAACGAAGGGAGAGCTAAGCTGGTGGGAACGCTGCTTGGTGCCACTGGGGCCATCGTGTTTGTATTCTACAAAGGTGTTGAGATTCATATCTGGTCAACACACGTTGACTTACTTAAAAGCTTGAACACTCATCAAACAAATAGCCGAGCCACTTCGAACCACCACATCTCAATCCCAGGGGTTCTTATGGTTTTTGGCAGTAACATTTCTTTCTCATTTTGGTTACTATTGCAGGCAAGTGCTACTTTCAATTAAAAATGGTGACAAAAAACTATATCTAACAATCATCTTACATATTAATATTTTTTTGGTATCCTATAAATCTAATACTCCATACTTAAATATGTAGAAGAGAGAATGCAAGACAAAACAGAGCTATTGTTTATTAAATTGGTTAATGTTCTGACTTCTTGGGGTTGATGAGATATTTCAAGAAGCACTAAAAGTGTTTTTTAACAGGCAAAAATAGGCAAGGAACTTGGAGGACATTGTTGGAACATAAGTCTGATGAATGCGATGGGAAGCTTGGTGTGCGTGGTTGTTGCACTCTGTTCGAATCATGACTGGAATCAATGGCGATTAGGATGGAACATTAACCTCCTCACCACGATTTATTCGGTAAAAAAAAAAACAATATATCAATGATTAAGTATCAATGCGTCCAATTGCGCACATATATATACGTTTCTTACTATCTTGTCCGCATTGTGTATAGGGAGTCGTGGTTTCAGGACTGGCCATGCCTCTTGTTGCGTGGTGCGTTAAAACAAAAGGGCCGTTATATGTTACGATGTTTAGCCCTGTAAGGCTGGTGATCGTAGCCCTAGCCGGATCATTTGCTTTAGAGGAAACGCTTCATTTGGGAAGGTACACCAAACTCATGCATGCATGCATGCATGTGTCCATCAAACTAGTCTTTTTTGTGTGTATGATACATGTATGTGAACCTTGTTCTCTTTTTACTTTGCGGAACATACAGTATAATCGGTGCAATGATAATGGTGGGAGGAGTATACCTAGTGGTATGGTGTAAAATGAAGGAAGCCAAGAGTGTCTCTACGACACCGGACCACATTGAAACAAATAAGAATATCAAAGAAGTGAACCTTGGCAATCTCTCAGCAGTTAATAATAGAGATGTCCCGTGAATCTACCATATGGCCGCATCATCAAATAAAGTTTACCGCAGAAATCTAATAGATACAGGAATTATAAAATCCATCTCTGATTAGCTGAATTTGTGTTTAGCCTTTAGAGTTTGGACTACTAAATGGAGAAATTGGACAATATCTTTCATTTTCCCCTGTGACTTCAATATTAAAAAGCACACAATTAACAACTTTAAATTTGTGTTGGAAAAAATAAAGAGAGAAAATCCGAGAATGCTTGGCATAACCATTAATTGGTATTGGCCACCGACGTTTTAAAAATAGTGGAAGAAAGAAAAACTAAACAAAGTATTAGATAACGTAACTAACGTTATGCCGCGTGTACATGGACTAGCGGTCAAACGTGGCGACGGCGACATTTCTATAAATACCCATAAACGCTAGATTTGAAGAGAGAGAGAGGAAAAAAAACAAAAACAAACAAGATCCAAGAAAAAGAAGAAAGAAAAGAAAATAGGAGAGATAGAGGGAGAATGATGAAGAAGCAAGTGACAATAGTGGCGGCTCTTCTGATTCTAGTGGCTTTATCCTCCAACTTGGATATGGTGGCGGAGGCTCAATTAGGCCCCGGAGACTGCTACGACGGTTGCTCCACCGCCTGCGTCCAGCGCGACTGTGAGTACTCTCTTCTTTCTTATTTGTTTGGATTTTGGCTCGGTATCTGATTCTCTGGTTACCAAAAATATTTATATCTTTTTTTTTTTTTTCAGCAAGAAAGATGTCCCGATGCGATCGCAAGTGCTCCATTCGGTGTGGCCCAGGTAACATAATGAAACCGGATCCCTACCGGACCGGTCTGTGATAACATTTATCTGATTAGTAGCCACCCTTAACCGGTTTGGGATAAGTAGAATATCATGCATGTAGTTTAGATCGGAATTTTTGATATATCCGTACTGTATAACCGCGTTGTCTATTAGAATCGGACAATACGTTGTGGGATGAGTTGGTTTTGCAGCTGAATGAAACCAAAAGAGAGGACTTGGAACTAATGAATTTTCTTTTTAATGTAATTGCAGATGCTAAAAAGGCAAGAGAGACTGGTGCTTAAACTTTATATTCACAAAGATCTGTTTGGACTTATTTATGATGTAACCTTCGTTTTATAGTAATAGTTCTATGCAAAAAAAAACATATTCTGTATTGTTTATGTTGTTACTGTAATCAATACCCAATAATAACAGCTGCAATGTTCGATTTAACTACCACTGCCATAATATATTTAACTTTCAAATGTGTATGAAACTGCTTCCCAATACTACTCACCTTCTTGATAAAACAAATCCATTTGTTCCATCTCCTTAACAGTACAACATAAAATTTTCAAAAAAAAAAAAACACATACAACATAACTATACGTATAGATAAAAAGAAAAAGTTCCCATAAAGAATCCTCGCTGATCATCAATCTACAAGATTCGATTTTAGTGATTTGTCTTCCATTTTTGTTTGAAATGATTTGGATCGTTTTAATAAATGGAACTTAATAAATCACATGACAAATATTAAGAACAATATTTTTTTTTTGGGTCAAACATATTAAGAACAATTAAGAACCGTTATAGAGCATCAAAACCACCCAACTATTCAAACAAGTTTGTAGGCCATTCTAAGATTAAGGTATTTAAAGGGTATATGTCACGTTATGTAAAAAAAAAACAAATGCGCGACGTAACTCTGTCTACTGTTAAGTTAAAAAAAAAATCGTCTACTATTCCATAAGTGATCTTTTTAGTCTTATCTTTTAATGTATGTTCATCGTGGGTGTATCTATTGTTGTTAATTAGGTTGATCTAACTAGAAGTGAAAAATTAAAAAAAAACAGTAGATAACTTTGCTGTAAAATTGGATATATATAACACTAGGAGGGAATCACGACACATGTACATGTACTAGCGGTCAAACATGGCAACGGGAACATTTCTTTAAATACCCACAAAGACAAAACAAAAAAAAGAAAGTAAGGAAATTCTTAAAGACAGAAGGATGAAAACGCAAGTGATGATAGTGGCAGTTCTTTTAACTCTGGTGGCTTTATCTTCCAACTTGGATATGGTCGTGGAGGCTCAATTAGGCGCCGGAGACTGCTACGATGGTTGCTCCACCGGCTGCGTCCAGCGGGACTGTGAGTAATTGAGTGCACTATTGTTTCTTATTTTCGCCATTCCATTTATACAAATCCTTTTTTAATATCATGTGTTTTCAGCCAAAAAGATGATTAAATGCGACCGCCAATGTGCCAAACGATGCGGCCGAGGTAAAATATTTAACCCTCTGTCTGATTGTAACCTGTATCTAACCGGTCGGTTAAGGTTGTATGATTCGGTCTGATGATGATGATCTACCATGTAATTATGTAAATGAAACGTTCTTTCGATGAAACTTTATGACGGTGCTTGCCTATTAGAAACGGTTCATAAGTTGTGGGATGAGTTGGTTTTGTAACTGAATGAAACCAAAAGAGACTTGGAATTTACGTTGATGTATATTTTGTAATTGCAGGTGGTAAAAGAGCAAGTGAGACTGGTGCTTAAACTTATTCACTAAGATCCATAACGATATAATTATGTTGTAATCTTATTCCTATAATCGGCTTCCTCTGTAACCTACGTACTATGCAATATTGTAACCAATAAACCAAGTGGATGTAGTCAGAGTGGTGAAGAATCCGTCCTATGGATTGATGTCAAAGTTAGAATTCCACCAACTATAGACCTCCACTGTGCCATCCATTTGTCCTTGTAAACTATTCGAAAACTACTCTAGATTTTAATATATGAGCTATCCCGATAATTAAAAAAGATATTTAAAGAGTATTCCTATCTACATGTACTATGCATGTCAGTTTATGTAAACATCAAAAGAAAAAGAACCTAAACAAATGTCAGTTTATGTAAAATATCAAAACAAAAAAAACAAGACAAATGTTAGTTTCATCTTGAAGCTTCTCCTTCAAATCATTGTCTACTTTATATGGATGGAGCTTAACACTAGGGTTTTAGTTCCTATTTGCCAACTACAAACTTTGATAGACCATACAATGCGTCATTGTCTTCAAGCCTCGGAACGATATTATAATCTTCTTCCATAAATTTATTTTGGTTGAATCTTTCATCCAATTTGAACATTATCTATCTAATTTGGGTTCCATTTGTAAGTAACTCTTTTTCTTGTTTTGGGTTTCAAAACCATTTATAGGTATTTATGTAAAGTTCTTTTGTGTACAATTATATTGTAATGAGTTGTAATTTTTTGGTTTAAATCTTAACATTAAAAACAAAAATAAAAAGTCAGTTTGTGTCAATCTTGTAGATATATAGAACATGATTAGCCTATACTACTATTCCGTAAGTGATTTTTTCTTCTTTTTCTTATATAGGACTTGTTTGTCTATCTTTTTATGATTTTTCTTTATATGTTCTTTGTGGATGTATCCTAGTGTTTGTAGGTTGATGTAACTAGACGTGCGGAAATAAAAAGCACTAGATATAGCTGTAAGATATTTAAATGGACACTAGGAGAGAATCATGACACGTGTACATGTACTATACATATAATCAACGGAGACATTTCTGTAGGGACATAATCAATCACAAAGACGAAAACAAAAACAACAAAGATCTCAGGAAAAGAGAGAGAGAGAATGATGAAGATACAACTGACGATAGTACCGGCTCTTCTGATTCTGGTGGCTTTGTCTTCCAACTTGACTATTTTGGTGGAGGCTCAAGCAGGCACCATAGACTGCTACGATAGTTGCTCCACCGGCTGCGTCAAGCCCGACAGTGAGTACTCTCTCCTATCTTAATCTCCCCGTACCTTACATTTATATAAACCCCCTTTCTAGTTTCTAGCTTCTAATATTGTGTCTCTTTTCCATCATAGCAGACGATCCGATGCGAAAGAAAATGCGCCAAACGGTGCCGCCCAGTTAAAATATCAAACCCTCTAGAAGAATAGTGAAACCGGATCCTTACCGGACCGGTTCGTGATACCTCTGTCACCATAGCCGGTCGGTTTAGGTTGTAGGATGCGGCCTGTTCTATCGGTTTATTGTGCTTGTCTAGTAGAATCGGACCCTAACCTAACTAAGTTGATGTTCTGGTTTTATTACAGAATGAAATCATAACTATGTTGATGTACTATTGTACTTTGTAATTGCAGGTGGTATAAGGGCAAGGGAGACTGGTGCTTGAACTATATATTCACTAATATTTATATAACTTAAATATGTTGTAATGTAATTCTTACAATCGCATCTCCCTAAAACATACTATGCAATAATGTAACTAATAAACCAAGCTAAGTGGTTGTAGTCCATATGGTTTAGAGTGGTGAGGGTTTTGACCTATGATTCAAATCCCACCAACTAAAGACCTCCACTATTCACCAACTATGTATGTATGATCATGGATCAGTTTTGGATTAATCTCAGTAATTAAAAAGGATATATTGCACTCAATAATAACAACTACAATGCTTGATTAAATGCCAGTGCCGAGTAGTAATAACTTTAAAATGTCTTGAGAACCGGATCAACCGGTCTAACTAAAATGTAGTCAATTTGCCACTATAACTTAAAACCCATGTTAGAATCACGTCTTGTCTTGTCTTCTCTTTCATCACTAGATACGTTTCTAAGGTAGGCCAAGCAGAACTAAATGCTCATGGCCCATTTTCAAAAATGTTCTTAACATGGATTATCATACGACCTTAATTTTTTCGTTGAATTTGATATCAAGTTAACCAAGAACGTGTGACCCAATGATTTATTCGATATATAAAAGCCTCCTTAACTGATCCATGCAAGTCGATCCGCCTTATCATAAACTTCATTTTTCGTCTTATTCATGCTTTTTGAGCAAATTGCTTACACGTGCGTGGAACGACACGTAAATCTTGGTGGAAAAAAGAATACAAATGCACCATAATTCAGAGACGCCTAACATGGAAATAAACCATGCAAGCTATAAATTACCAAATGTCTCAAAATGGTCAAAATTGAGTAACATCGGTTGAAGAAGGAACCAGAGGCTAAAAACAATGGGCCTTACCATTACCAACCACCCAAAAATGCGATACCGCTTATTAAGATAACCACGCAGCTTAAAGATTGACTTTAAACTAAGACTATTTTAGGAGTTGATATTATTAAACCGTAAATTTGGTTTTGAGTTTCATATAAAAGATTAGATATTTTGAATAGATAAAGTATATTATTGTCTCCTCAGTCACTTTCTTCACACCTTCCAAATTTTTGTTTTTTTAGTTTTATGATAATTTATATGTAGTGTGAAAGATATATAAACCAAGAAGGGTTTGTAGTTCAGTGATAAGACTGCAAGTTCAACGGTGTTAAATCTCTTTCACTAACAATTTTGGTACAAAAAGGTTTAAGAAAAAAAAAGGGAGAAGAAAGTCAAATTATCGTTGGGTCTTTGCTTGATGCGAGGCGTAGGTCATGCGGCCTCGTGGACAATAATGCTTCACAATGGCCACTTATTTACAAATTCATTCTTTCTCTCTCTTTGAGAAGACAAAATATATAAAAAATTGTCATATAAATTCGATGAAAAAATCCAGAGAAGAAGCACTTTGAGCGAGTATCATTTTAATAAAAATTAAAACTCTTATTATTAATTATTTTCTTGCTGGCTCGTGAACTATATTAAAGAAAAATCAAGAAAAGCTCCTGAGTACTGGAAAAAAAAGCAGAGAGGAAAAAAGCAGAAGACGACTTTATCTTTTTCTGGTTTTTGTTGTTCTTTGACTTTATGGGCTCTTTTGTTTTAGATTTAGGCACTTACGGATCTGCTTAAATCCTTGTGATCTTGTTTCTTAAATTTTCTGTTCACCCGTAATTGCCGGAGGATTCGAGTTTTGAAGCAGACCCAGATTCTGTTCTACTTTTGCTGAGTTTCTGGATTTGGTCGGAGAAGCTTAGGTTAGGTGGATTTGTCTTTGAAGATTCATGTGATTTAAGCTTCCTGCTTGTCTGAAAGGTTCACTCTTTTACCCTTCTTCCTCCTCGGTCTTTGATGTTTTATGCACTGAGATGATATGTTCTAACACGAAAACCCAGGTTTTTAGTATTGAATTTCTTTTTAGTAACAACCCAGTTACAGTTTTGTCTGAATTTAACTAAAATTTCGAGTTTATAGGAAGAAAATCAGATGAATAATTCATTTTGCTGCAAAAATTCCAGATTGAATTTGATGACCTGATTCTTGTGGAAAACGTTTCACATCCTTGATTTGATGTTACATAAGAATCTTTGATTTTCAATTACAGTAGCTGGAAATTTCCAGTGAGTAATGTCCCAACATCAAATTGTCTCCTGATACAAGTTTTGCGATCTCTCATTTCCTGGGGTCATTTGGTGAATTTAGTATAAGATTCTTTTTGATTTAAATTATTGTTATAAAGAGAAGGTTTTTGCTTGATTAAAAGCTAAACTAAATTGGGGACATGACCTAGTTTCTTTATTGGGCATGCGATGCTTGTATATCTCTTTTCTCTCCCAAGCTTTAGCCAACCTTCTTTCTCTTTTAGTCTCTACTTTTCTTTTCCTTTTTTCTTGGCTCTTTTACTTTTTATTTCTTACTTATTAAGAAGGTGACTCAGAAATGCCAATGCTTAATGGCTTTTTTCTTATGTACAGTGAGTGGAATCTCTCTCATCACAACTCTCTTTGTTGGATTTGTGCATTTCTGGCTGTAAAGAAAGAGAAATGTCGTTTAGGAGCATTGTTCAAGATTTGAGAGACGGGTTTGGGAGCTTGTCGAGGAGGAGTTTCGATTTCAGGCTCTCGAGTCTCCACAAAGGGAAATCTCAGGGATCTTCTTTCCGCGAGTATTCGTCTTCACGTGACCTCTTGTCACCTGTGATAGTTCAGACAAGCAGATGGGCTAACCTCCCACCGGAGCTACTCTTCGACGTGATCAAAAGATTAGAAGAGAGCGAGAGTAATTGGCCTGCAAGAAAACATGTCGTGGCCTGTGCTTCTGTTTGTCGGTCTTGGAGAGATATGTGCCAAGAGATCGTCGTATGTCCTGAAATCTGCGGGAAGCTCACTTTCCCTGTTTCCCTCAAACAGGTTCACTCCTCAAAAACAACTTCTCGTGTAAATTTAACGTTGTCTGGATTCAAGAAACTGATAAAAAGAAGTTTTGTTTGTTTACTGTTTGTGAAAATTTCCAGCCAGGGCCTCGTGATGCGATGATTCAGTGTTTCATCAAAAGAGATAAATCAAAGCTAACTTTTCACCTTTTTCTTTGTTTAAGTCCTGGTAAGCTTTCTTAACACTTAAGCTGATTGTTTTAGATTCACTTAGTTTATGGCTATAAACTATTATTATGTTTTTTTTTTTGGTTCAGCTCTTCTCGTGGAGAATGGGAAGTTTCTTCTTTCGGCTAAACGAACTCGTAGAACGACTCGGACCGAGTACATTATCTCCATGGATGCTGATAACATCTCAAGATCCAGCAACTCTTACCTCGGAAAGCTCAGGTTCGTTTTTCTCAATCCTTGATCTCTTATAACTACTTTTGATTCCCATTTATGTGTTCGCTCATTGAGTTTTATTCCCCTCAGATCAAACTTTCTTGGGACAAAGTTCTTGGTGTACGACACACAACCACCACCAAACACATCTTCAAGCGCACTCATCACCGATCGAACAAGCCGAAGCAGATTTCACTCAAGAAGAGTTTCTCCCAAAGTCCCATCGGGAAGCTACAACATCGCTCAAATCACCTACGAGCTCAACGTCTTAGGCACACGCGGGCCACGGAGAATGCACTGCATCATGAACTCCATCCCAACTTCATCTCTCGAACCGGGAGGTTCCGTCCCTAACCAACCGGAGAAACTCCTCCCGCCGCCACCGCGCTCCCTCGACGACTCGTTCCGCAGCAACATCTCCTTCTCCAAATCGTCACTCGACCACCGCTCCATGGACTTCAGCAGCTCTAGATTCTCCGAGATCGGAGTATCATCATGCGAGGACGACCAACAAGAGGAGACGAGTTTCAGACCGTTGATTCTAAAGAACAAGCAGCCGAGGTGGCACGAGCAGCTGCAATGCTGGTGTTTGAATTTCCGCGGACGCGTCACGGTCGCGTCGGTTAAGAATTTCCAGCTCGTGGCGGCGAGACAGCCGCCTCCGACGGCGCAAGGGTCAGGCGGCGCGGCGGCTCCGCCGGCTCACCCGGAGCAAGATAAAGTGATTCTGCAGTTCGGTAAAGTTGGGAAAGATATGTTCACGATGGATTATAGGTATCCATTGTCGGCGTTTCAAGCGTTTGCGATTTGCTTAAGCAGCTTTGACACGAAGCTCGCTTGTGAATAAGATGATCATCATCATCTACTTCTCCTTCAACATTCATGCTAATCTTTATGTCTCTCTATTATATATCTATGCTTTATGGGTTTTTTTCTCTGTTAGGCAAAATCACTTTGTCTCAATACTCAGTTGTTACTGTGAGAGTCAGACGTCTACTATTAACCCTCTTCGCTATTCTAAATCAATTGAGTAACTTTATCACTAACCGATATCATTCAAAAAAAAAATTATGATTTATCGAGAGAATCTTACACTGATTTGAGATGATTATTCTCTGTAATTGACTATTTTTACTATTTACCTTCTTGTTAATTATTTCGGAGTACAAACGAAAGAAAGCGAAAACAAAATGACTAAAGGGTCAAAGCAAAGGTCGGTAGTTCGAAACTAAGAAACGTGAAAGGAGAATGGTATTATTGTCATTATCGCATCAGAATCTCTGGCCGCCGGAATCTGGATCTACGGCGTTTCGAGGTTTCGCAGCCGCCGCATCCGTACACGCTTGCCACCATGTTAGCCGTCACCTCCGCCTTGGCTTCCATCTTCGCTCTTCCCTTCAGGTTCTGCTACACTTTTCTGCTTTTTTTCTCCGGAAATTTGGGGACTTGATTAGAAATTCCGGAATAAAAATACTTTAATTGTTCTTCTTCTGGTGCTTTGTGATCTTCTCTATTGAAATTGTAGTGTAAAGGTTTCAACTTTCAGCAACGGAATTTGAGTAGAGATGATGAATTCCTCTTTCTTGTTGAGTTAAACGACGATCACAGTCCTCGTGATCGAACCCAGAAGCTTAAAATCGATTTCCATGCAAAGAGCTTGAAAAGCTCAAATTAAGAACTTAACCGACAATTCGAGAATTTGGTTGTTCTTGTCATTGTTTAAACCGCAAAAAGCTTTGAAGGTTCATCTCATTTGTTCTTTTGACTATGTGCTTGCTTTACAGAAACTGCAGAAATTTTCTGATGCTGCACGAATGGAGTTCACAAGATACCAAAGAGTCATTCTTCTCAATGGGGCTAGTTTTCTCCAGTCTAGAGTTGATATCCGGTTTTCTCCATCTTCGTCGTCATCCATCTGTTTCTTTAGTGGAGGAGAGAGTAGGATTGGCCCTAGAGGCGAGGAAGGATCATCATCGAACCAGGAGACCTCCAAGAGAAACACATTTAACGGACGGAGATGGACCAATGTCCTCCTTGCCATTAACGTAATGTATGTTTTTAACTCTCTATGACACTTATAAAGATCAAGTCTTTTGGTTTGCTATGTGTGCATTATAGGAATGCTTTAATCAAGCTCGAGGTTTATGAGTTAAAAGGCTTATGGGTTTCATCTTGTGTAAATGATGCCAGAATGTATATTGCACAAGTTGCATCCAGTGGGAAAGTGCTGACATGGGGAGCCAAGGTAACATATACATAGACTTAAATTAAGTATGATACAGTTTGTTTCTTGCTGCAAATTAATATGTGGGTGGATGGACGAACGCAGGTGAACAGCTTAATCGATAGAGGTCAGCTATGGAGACTGGCTACGTGTTCTGTTCTTCATGCGAATCCTATGCATCTCATGGTTCTGTTTTCTAACCAAACCATTCAGCCTTTTGTTGTTTCTAATCAATGCTGCTTGCTTTCTATTGTTGTCTCTCTATGGCTAAGCTGTTTCCTCTTTGTTTTTAGATAAATTGCTACTCTCTGAATTCCATTGGACCAACCGCTGAGAGTTTAGGTGGCCCAAAGAGATTCCTTGCCGTTTACTTGACATCCGCCATTGCAAGTAATTAATGGCTCATAGATTTTCTTTTGATGTAGACGATTATATTTATCTGTTTCGAGTTTCCTGACTCACAAAACCCATCTTAAGAGTTGTAGGTTCAACAATGAGCTACTTGTTCAACAAAGCGCCATCAGTTGGTGCTTCCGGTGCGATTTTCGGATTGGTAAGTCTCCTGGAACCATATAAGCTTTTTGTGTGAGACTGGTCTCATACTAATGAAGTTTGTTAAACAAATGGTCTTTTATTTGGACAGGTTGGCTCGGTTGCTGTATTTGTCATAAGACACAAAAGGATGGTCAGAGGTGGCAATGAAGATCTAAGGCAGATAGCTCAAGTTATAGCACTAAACATGGTAAATGCTAATACAAACAGAACAAGAGAAGTTTAAAAAAAATCTGTATAATTTTCTCTCAAATTCTAATAAGCTTTGACTATATGCAGGCATTGGGTCTAGTGTCCAGAGGCATAGATAACTGGGGACATGTACGTAACTCAATCATGCCTTCAAAAATGTATTAACCAGTTCGGGTTTTTTTTTTTCTCGGATCAGTAGTGGTTTGATAACATTTTTGGTGAATTCAGATTGGTGGGTTGCTTGGTGGAACTGCAATGGCATGGCTTGTAGGACCACAGTGGAAGTATGAGTACACAACAAGAGACGGTCGCAGAGTCTTCATGGACAGTGCTCCTATTCCCCTCCTTTTGCGGTGGAGAAACCAACAGCGACGGCTTTGATTCGAGACCAACGAAGATGATGGACACACACACTCTCTCTCTCTCTCTCTCAAGTCTCAGTGCCGTGTGAATATAGAGATTAAATGTATTTTGAAAGATTTGATTCTTGATTAAAGAAGCAAGTCTCAACTCTTAACATCTCATATTTATTATGATTAACGGTAACTTCCTAAACCATGTTTTCTTGTTATACCGTAACTCACATTACTTAGAGCGTTTTTTCCCCACTATGATTGAAACTTCTCTAAATCGAACACATCTTTCAGTTTGTCCCTTTCTCTTTTCCGTGTTACACTTTCATGCTCTAACCCAAGCTAAGTACAAACAAACCACTACAAATAAAGATTTCCCTTAAAATACAAACATATTCACCAGGTCCTTGGTGGCTACCTCAAAATCGATTAGTTCTTACGAAACTTGAGGCAGCCACCAAGGACCTGGTGAATATGTTTGTATTTTAAGAGAAATACAAACAAAAGCAAGGAAAGACCCCGTGCGTGAAGAGGAAAATAGATGATAACATGATTTTTCATCCAGTAGTTATTATATAATCTTTAGTTATATACTTCTAAATTCCTAACCCTAAGAGTTATCTACACGTACCCTAATACATCTTCTCTTGTTTCACTCAAACAAATTCACATTAGCTACGGTTTTGTTGATATAAAATAAACTATTATGAAAAGAACACATACAGACAGTAGACTTCGAGTTCATTTTCCTTGTAGTTTTTTTAAGCAATCAACACTTTGTAATTAGTAACTCACTCAATTTATCTCGTGCACGTCATTTAATTATAATACTCATATTCACATGTGGACCTAGAAGAGACGCAAAGTTAAAAAAAAAAAAAATTAAGTAGAAAGAAACACATTTTGTAACAAATGCCTAAATGATTCAATCTATCCATATAAATACCCCTTTCCATATGCTTATTTTGCCACACCATTCGATAAAAACAACTCAAGATATATAGAGATGGAGAGATCAAATGTTGTTTATCTCATCTCCATACTTGTCATCATGGCTTCGCACTCTTCACCTTCACACGGCCTGAGAATTTTTGGCTACGAAATAGGCCGTGTAATAATCGAGGGTGTCCTGATTTGTAGTACTAACGGAACCGCTAACCCGGTCTCGGATGCCACTGTTTTCTTAACATGTGGCGGATCAACCATCAATCTCGCTTACGCAGTGACCAATCTCTCCGGTGCGTTTTCCATTGTGCTCAACATCGTAGAAACACTTTTGTTTAACCCTAGTTTCTGCGGTATCGGAGCTAATCTTCCGACGGGAGGTTGTGGTGTTGAGTTTCCTGATGACGTCCTCTATTCCACATTATCACTGGTCAGCATCGCTCGGACGGGTGACACATATACCGCTTTTTACAGGGCAGACCGATTTCGATGATATTATCTGCTGGCTCTGCTGCAAGCGGGACTTTCCATGCATTCTATATAGTAATGGTCTTATGTTATTTTACATTGTGGTGTCGCATAGGGCTGAGCACGGAACGGATATTCGGAATTTTAGTGATATTCGTTATCCGTTCCGTTCCGAGCGGATCAACAATTGTTTGATCCGTATTTGTTCCGTTACTAGTCGGATATCCGGTATTCGGATATTCGTTAAAATCCGGATTTTTGATCGGATATCCGATCCGTTTCAAAAATATTAAATTAATTATAAAATAATTAAAATATTTATAAAATAATTAAAAATATTTATAAAAATAATTAAAAAGTCAAAAATTAACTCATATATTAAATTTTAAATTGTTCTTTTAAAATTTATTAAATTTTTGTATTAAAATAACTAATAAAATAAATATAAATTCACAAAATTTACATATAATTATATTAACTATACATTCTATATGTAATTATTTATATATATATATATATATATATGTATATCGGAGCGGATCGGATATCCAGTTCTTAAAATTTTAATATCTGTGATTTGCTCCGTTTTTAACGGATATCAAAATTTAGTATTTGCTTTGACTATCCGGATTTTTCGAATCGAATCGAAGCAAATAGCGGATCGAATGAAATCTAAACGGATAATTTGCTCAGCCTTAGTAGTTCCCTTCTCTCTTCACTTTCCATGTGGATTAATTTATATTAGTAAGTTATGTTTGGTTACGTAACACTTTTCTCGCGAATTCGCAACACTTTCTCATTTCACCATCTACCTCTTCGGTCCACTGGTCACCAAAAGCAACTCAGCAAGGAATGATCCGGCGCGTGCATGAAGAAGAACATAATCAGAATAAATGAAGCTTCTATAATTCTGTGTGTTTCTCAACTTATGTACATCGTTTAATTATGATATACGACGACGACTTTATATACAATCCTTAGAGATATCCACACGTTACGTACCCTACACATCTTTTCTTCGATCCTTCACTAAAACAAATTCACATTAACTACGATTTTGTAATTATGATAAAAAAACTCTTCTTAAAAGAAGACACATTTCCAGTTCCTTTTCCTTTGAGGGTTTTCTGGGGGACCACGTATCACAATTCACAACGATACAACAATTACTCGTTACCTTCTCCGACAAGTTATGTTGAGATTCATGTGGAGATTTAGACACGCGTGGCCTCTTAACCCGTTTCATCTTTCTTTATCTCCTAGTCTCAGCACTGGTCCCTTTCTCCCTATATGTGTTCTCTCTATCTTCTTCTCTGCTTGTTCTACGCAGCTCACTATGCGCCTCCGAATTGGCCAGCGAGTTCATTATCTCAGTCTAGAATATATATATAGCCTCACAAATTCTTCATTGTTGTTCATTCTTTTGAATAGTAGGTTTAAGTGAAGCTTTTAAATGATGAATCGGAATTTAAAAGAAACTTAAAAGAGAATGCGCATGAAAGTTCAACATCTAAGGTTCACGAAGGCCCTTTTCAAAAAAAAAAAAAAAAAAAAAACATCGAAGGTTCATAGAACCAAGAAATATAATGTATCCATTTTTGAATAACGTAAGTCATAAGGTTGATCAGATAAGATCTTTTGAGTAGAGGAAATGTACACGTACATGATACATAATACAACATTACAAACGTACGAGTCACGATGGCTCTTGGACTCATTTACTCAGAATTCCACTCGAACGCATCAGGATTTCTCTGCGTTTGATGCAAATATTAAAATATTTTTATAGAAAGATCTAATCTAGTGATTTTGGTTTTGATATCTGAATGGTTTAGAGTGAACCTTCCGAGTTGGTATGAGAATTTGGAATACTCTTCGTCCGCGAGAGGTTCCCGATTTAACTAGAAACTTCCCGAACATGAGACACATGTTGAAAAGGATGCAAATAATAATCTATCTATAATAACAAACTGAAAAAAAATACCAAATGCACTTTGAAAAATTGTGTCGTTTCAAAATTTATGGTTGTGTCTTTTCATTACAATCTATCTATAATAACAAACCGAAAAAATACCAAATGCACTTTGAAAAATTGTGTCTTTTCAAAATTTATGATGTGTCTTTTCATTACAAATAGTTACATCTTTTCACTATGAATGGTTGCGTTTTTTCATCAACTATAATTTGTGTCTGTTCAAAAACTATTTATACTGCTCAAAACCACATAAAAAATCATTTGGATTTAACTTTTATTTTCTTACTATAGTGAGTTTTTTTGTCGTAAACTTATTTATTTATCATAACATATTATCAGGATACAAAGTATTTAAAAGTCCTAGAAATTTATATATTCAATTGAGTAAAAAATTCTAGTTGGGGGTCCAAATTTAGCTAAGTATGAGCAGTTTCATTACAAATTGTTTTACATGCATTATATCAGAAAAATAAAATTTATTCAACCAAAATCTAATGATATTTTTATTATAAAGAAATTATATATTTTTTGTTTACTAACATATATACTATGTTATTTAATTTTTTTTGTTAACAATCCGAATAAATGCATTTACATTTTAAAAAGTTGCGTCGTTTCAAAATTTGTGGTTGCGTCTTTTCATTATAAATGGTTGCATCTTTTCATTATAAATGGTTGCGTTTTTTCATCACAACTGTTATTTGTGTCTTTTCAAAACTATTTATATTGCTCAAAACCATAGAATAAAAATCATTTGGGTTTAACTTTTACTTTTTTTTTACTATGATGAGTTTTTTTTTGTCGCAAACAATCTGAATAAATGCAACTTACACTTAAAAAAGTTGTGTCATTTCAAAATTTGTGGTTGTGTCTTTTCATTATAAATGATTGCATCTTTTCATGATAAATAGTTTTGTTTTTTATCACAACTGTAATTTGTGTTTTTTAAAATTACTTATTGCTCATAAAAAATTATTTGGATCTAACTTTTACTTTCTTACTATAATGAGTTTTTTGTCGTAAACTTATTTATTTATCATAACATATTATCAGGATACAAAGTGTTTAAAATTCATAGAGGTTCAGATATTGAATTTGAGTAAAAAATTCTATTTGGAGGTCTAATTTTGGCTAAAATATGATAAGTTTCATTACAAGAATGCTTTACATGCATTACATCAGAAAAATAAATTTTATTTAACCAAAATCTAATGATATTTTTATTATATATGTTTTGTTTACTAATATATATTATGTTATTTATTTTTTTGTTAACACTTTAAAAAGTTGTGTCGTTTCAAAAATTTGTGGTTGCGTCTTTTCATTATAAATGGTTGCATCTTTTCATTATAAATGGTTGTATTTTTTTATCAACTCTTATTTGTATCTTTTTAAAACTTTTTATATTGCTCAAAACCATACAAAAAAATCATTTGAGTCTAACTTTTACTTTCTTACTATGGTGGATTTTTTTTGTCGTAAACATATTTATTTATCATAACATGTTATCATGATACAAAGTGTTTAAAATTTCTGAAGGTTCAGATATTGAATCATAGTAAAAGATTCCATTTGGGGGTTTAGTTTTGGCTAAAATATGAGCAGTTTCATTACAAAATTGTTTTATATGCATTACATCAGAAAAATAAAATTTATTCAATCAAAATCTAATGATATTTTTATTATAAAGAAATTATGTATATTTTGTTTACAAATATATATTATGTTATTTTTTTAATGAAAACATCTATATATTTATATTTAATTGTGTTATTTTCAAATTTTAATATTCTTTGTTAGTTGTTTATAAATTTAAAGTACCTGATATTTGGATTCTTTTTCTAATTTCAGAGAAATATATTTATGTAATGTAAAAAATTCTCATATATTTTTTATATATGTATTTTTATGGTATCAAAGTTTTTTTAATATATTTTAACTATTATATCTGTAATATACTTTTTAATATTCCGAATCTTTTTTAGAAACTATAGTAGTCTTAGAAAATATATTATAAAATCTCGTTACATTATTTTTTATTATATATATTTTCTTTAGTATTTTTTTAAAATATCAAATTTTACCATAATTCTTTGTTTCTAACTTTTCAATAATAAGTGTATAGTTTTATAAACTTTTTTTGAAAGATTGTCTGTATATTTATTTTTTACTTTACACTTTTGCGCGAATACAAATTTTTAATAATTTACAAGTAGAAGATTTCATATTCATATCATATATTTATATTTTATATTTTCATATATAACTTTTTTAACACTCTTAAAAAGTTGTGTATTTTATTATTTTTCAGTTTTTAGTTTATTTTTTCTATTAATAATTAGTAATAATTAATAACAACCCTAGAAAATGTTGTAAAAATTTAAATTTTTTTATCATAATTAGTTTGTACATTTCCATTTAGAACTTATTGTTAATAATTTAAAAAAACATGAAAATATATTTTTTAATAATTATAAGTTATTTTGAATATTTATATTTTTAATATATATATTTTACTTATAATTATTTCAAAAAAAATTGTTTAATTTTTAATAAACCGCAAATTAACCCTGCAAAGCAAGGGTTCTATTCCTAGTACGGATAATAACGAAGAGCTGTCTCTTGTTAGGATTTAGATATTTTTTTTTTGTCAAACTAATAATTTCATTAAACCAAATTAAACCGGTGCAAACCAAAAACTGAACGCACTCTTGGCCAGAACATCAGCCGAAGAATTGGCTAATCTCGATACAAAGGTAAAGGAAACGATTAAAAGCAAGAAAACAAATGCAATTAGGACATCTCCAATCACAACACTATATTTAATGTTAAAATCACACTAAATTTGATGTTTTGGTGTTTTACTTTATTTTTCATCTCCAACCACAACATCAAATTTAACATTAAAAATAATATTCTCTATTATTATATAATTAAATTTAAATATTATATAATTATATTAATATATTTATTATTTTTAAATTTAATTTAAATTGTAGATTTAAAATAATATAATTTACATTTTTGTTAATGTTTTTAATGTTTTAATTAAATTTTAATATATATTTTTAATTTTAATCAATTTTTATTTTAAGTAAAATATTTTATAATTTAAATATTAATAAAATATTTTTATATTATTGAAAATGAAAAATACAAAATTATTAATAGTATATTTATTTTTTAGTCCTAGATGATATTTAACTAATAACTAATAATCAAATTATATTATTTAATAAAAAGAAAAAAATAATATTATATTGTTTAGTGATACAAAAAATTATTTTATCACACATCAAATATAGTGCGACACTGTTCATAAAACACTAAATTTGGTGTTTTGGTGTTGAATATGCAGTTGGGTTGTTGAATGTGATATCAAATTTGGTGTTTTGACGTTGGGTTGGAGATAACCTTTTAGTATTCAGTCCAGTGGTTCGTTCCAACTCCACCGCACTGAAGTGATCTAGTCACATGGGCAGGCAATGGTAAAGACAATAGGTTAAAGATAACAATGAATAAAATAAATTATTGAGAAAATGTTCTAAAATGACAAAATAATTTGAAATAAACACACCGATTAAACTTATATTTTATTTATATTGAACTCAAATTATTGATTGCGTTCTCAGGACAACTAAACTTATAGGTATACTATTATACCATACTCCAATTTTTGTTTGGTCTTTAAACTTATACCTTATACACTATCCAAAACTTATAGGTATACACTATACATCAAAAATTGCACACGAGCACCGAAACTTAATTTACAAAAAAATAAATAGATAAATCATAAATTAAAAAAGAAAGATAAACTTATAACTACAACTCCGAACAAATCTAAGAGAGATGAGGATATATCTTATAAAAAGTATAATCCAAATTGAATGAATCATCACATATTTCCAATACCTTTTCAATAAATTATTATTAATAACAAGAAAAAATAAACAAAAATAAGCAAAAGAGAGACAAAACAAACAAATGCAAAGAATAAGCAAACAATATGCAAAAAATAAGGAAAAAATGAGCAAAAATATTATAAATAGTAATAGATTAATATAATGTCCCATCATTAATTGGTCTTATGCAAATTAAAGACGAATTCATTTTAGTAATTCCAGTAACCTAACTCAACAATGAGAAGTTAACTCTTCATTAATTAATACTCGAGCAATTAGAGAGTATTAAGGTGAGTTAAAAAAATTGCACACCACGAAACTTAATTAACAATGATAAATAAATCATTATTAAAAAGAAATAAAGATAAACTTATAAACTCCGAACAAAACTAAGAGAGAGGATACATATCTTATGAAAAGTATAATCCAAATTGAAATAAGAAAGTGCAAACCCTAAATCCCTTCACAAACAAATCTATCGCCAAAACTCTGCTCTCCAAGTTTTTGAGGGTGTCCTATTGATTTTTACACACTTGTTCAGCTCTCTCAATTCAAACTTAAAAAGCACGCTCGTAATTAAACTTTGCTTTGTGAATCTCCGATTCAATATTGTGTTAATTATTTCTGCCGCCATCATGGAACTGCAAGCTCCGTCATTGTTAAATCCAAAGCTACGCTTGCTCTGTAGCTATGGTGGCCGAATAATGCCCCTCCCACCCTCAAAATCCCTGCAATACATCGGCGGCGAGACGCGCATCATCGCCGTTCCACGTGGCATCTCTTTTCCAGCCTTCTTTGAGCTTCTCTCGAGGAAGCTTCTCCATGGCCGCTCCTTCTCCCTCAAGTACAGGCTCCCTGGCTGCGACCTTGACTCTCTCATCACCGTCGATAGCAACGATGATCTACAGAACATGATCGCCGAGTGTGATTCAACTTCTTTCCGGCGTATTCGTCTCTTTCTCTTCCCGTTAAATCACCCTGAGCCGAGTCACGCCGAGTCCACTCGATGTTCTGTGTCGGTTAACCGGTTGCTAGGTCTGGAAGCGTCGATCCAGAAAATCTCCTTCACCTCCTCGTCTTCCGTTCTTCCAATCCCGATTTTCCCGCCAAGTAATGGTACGGCGGCGCAGCGTGTCGATCTTGAGAAGCTCGATGCAACTGCTACGGAGGAGAATCGGGTGAAGGACGAGGCTCCTCCTACAAGCTCCACCTCTTTGTTTTCGCCGGAAAACGCCACCGCCGCTGATGCCGGAGGAATTTCAGATAAAGAAACAGAGAAAGTAGAGATTCAAGATCAACCACAGCAAGTTGTTCAAGAGCCTTCGCCACAGCAGCAGCACCGATTGTTACCGGTAGTCTACTATGTACCAGTCTGGCCGATGCCGCCACAAATGGTTACTCATCAAGTGAGTTCTTACGCATTGTCTCCGGCGACGGAATATTCTTCTGAGTTAGATCCGGTGCCGGGAAATAAGGAAAACGGGACCTGATTGGAGTTTTCTTTCACGTCAAGGTATTCCCAATCCGTTTTTTGAGTTTGGGGATCAACTTTTGTTGTATAGCGTGTGGAGCACGTGAGTCTCTTTTAGACTGCTATCGTTTGTATCGTGACGTGATAATTTGGATTTTGATAGCTCTGTTAAATATATACATATTCGGTGATTTTAATTAGTTGATGTAGATTTTATAAACAGTTAGAATATATATAAACATCTTCTTTAGGTATTCAGTTATAATACTTTCAAGATCAATGACTCTACGTATGTGCAAGGTCTGCCTGAGGTTATACGGGCTTGAAAAATAAAATGCGGGTCAAATTTTTTTATCGTAAAACTTTAATAAAAATGGTTTTTAATATAAAAAATGCTAAACTTTTACTAAAATACAAGTTTGTTTTTTAAACAAACAATAAAATTATTTCCTTTTATGATGTAAAAATTAATCCTTAATATGATTTCAACTACAAATTAAATATTAGTCTTAATGATCACTAAAAATATTGGTCTTTTTTTTTACAATAGTGTAAACAAATGTAGTTGTTATTTTTAATCATTCATCTTCATAAAATTAAACAGAACAGTGCTAATATCATACATAAATTAAACAAAACTCTTAACATTAAATAAAAAGCATACAATACAATATATTACAATAAATAACAAACGAAGAAGGAACACTTGAGAGAGTGAAAAGAACTAATTAACAGAAACTTTGAGAGAGTGAAAAAAACGTTTCGATTGCAGAAAATCACATACGAAACGGCACCAGCGTTTGTAACTTCGTAGACAGACTCCAGTAACACACTATTCAGGTGGAATTTCTCAACACTGCAAATGAAGAGAGACGACTAAAAACCAGAAATATAATTTTTGAATGAACAAATTAGAATGAGGACGGCCATTGAGATTTCTTACCTGTAAGAAAAACTGCAAACCGCAAGATGTTCGTGTACTCGATAACACTATCAAGGATGCTGATGATATCCGTCTTGCGAATTCATACGAAAAATAGAAAAAAAAACAATGAAGAAAACTAGACAGTTCCAAATTACAAAATAAAAATCTATTTATGAGGCAGAAGTTGAGAACCTTTGGGCAATTGGGTGTCATTTGGATCAGTGTCTCTAGTTTGCTTCTTATAAGATCCTGCCGTTTCTTCTAATTGTATTCAAAGAAGAAAAGAGGAAATGAAGGGTTTCTTGAAGTACCACGTATCACAATTCACAACAATACAGCAATATTCGTTACCTTCTCCGACAAGTTATGATGAGATCTATGTGGAGATTTAGACACGCATGGTCTCTTAACCCGTTTCATCTGGTCTCTTGCTCCCTATGTTCTCTCTATCTTCTTCTCTGCTTGTGCTACGCAGCTCACTATGCGCCTCCGAATTGGTTGAGATTTTGAGTTTTATGTAGTCATTTCAAAGGTATTTATAATATAGAGAGGAGGGCATAGACGTAAGTACTCATGAAGAGCAGCAACAATGCTTGCCGCACAAAAGCTTTCTCTTCATCGCTAAGTTACAGATTCTATTGATAGAATGGTTTTTAGTTTTTTCCTTTATATCGTTTCGTTTTTGTACTGTTTATAAAATATTGTTGTACGAACTTATTATCCATAATGTTATTATTGTTTATTGGTAGTTCCTTTCTTGACTTCCTAGTTTAGTTCAAAGGAGGTCATATTTATTAGCAAATATAAACTTTTGTTGGACTATTTATGAACTAGCTAAACATTCTGATAAACTTCCGTAAAAAAAAGCCAAAAAATGTAATTTAGTGATTTATAATAGTATTGTCGTTACGCTACTAATTGTATTCAAATTTGATAGAGTGCATGTTGTTAGGGAAAAAGAAACTACTTTTATATTTCAATTTATGTTCTATGACCAAAGAAACTACATTTATGTTCTATGACCGAAGATTTCGAAACTACATTTATATTTCAATTTAAAAGAAACTAAAAAGAGAACGCGCATGAAGGTTCAACATCTAAGGTTCAACGTGTCCGTTTTGAATAACTTAAGCTATAAGGTTGATCAAAGAAACTAGATATTTTGGAGTATAGTAAACGTGCACACACATAAGATGTATGACATTACAAACTTACGAGTCACGAGTCTCTTGGACTCATTTAGTCAGAATTCCACTAGACCGCATCAGGATTTCTCTGCGTTTGATGCAAATATTAAAATATTTTATAGAACTGACATCTAGTGATTTTGGTCCAGTTATTTGAATAGTTTTAGAGTAAACCTTCCGAGTTGGTAAGAGAATTTGGAATACTCTTCGTCCGCGGGAGGTTCCCGATTTAACTAGAAACTTTCCCGAATATGAGAGACACATGTTGAAAAGGATGTAAATAACAATACGGATAATAACGAGGAGCTGTCTCTTGTTAGGATTTGGAGATATCAAATCTGACGTTCATAAAATTATTAAAAGCAAGAAAACAAATGCAAACGAGGTTCATAGTATTCAGTCCAATGGTCGGGTTAAACAGCGAATCCAAGAGATTTGACTCTAAAACTCGACAATCTCCCTAGAGACTGACTAAATACGATAAATATGTTTCTTGGTGTGCTATGTTTTATATGGTTCCGCCACTCAGCTAGCAGATTCTCTAGACTTGGATATATCCTGAGAACTTTCTCAACATGTATATATCGTTGAAATTACACTTCTTATTAATCATCCAATTAATTACTAATTAAGATTCACATCAGCGAGAACATATTTTTTAAAATTAACAGTTTCTAAAGTCGTTAACAACTTTGTGATCATGATAATTTTAATTTTGTATCGTTTGTTTTCGTATGAATGTAATTAGATAAGTGAGAACAAACACAGAACATGGATTATTTTCACATATTAGTACCAGATATTTAGGCTTTTTTCTAAAAATAAAAAAAACTTTGTTATTATTATTATCAAACTAAACATGTTTTCAAGGATAAATGTTGAAAAAAGTTGATGGTAAGAGGAAATAGATACAACGGAACTCGAAATTAGGGGGCTTCACGTCTAAAGCAATAGCTACGGATAAAATTTTCTAAATTTGTTTCGAAAATGGATTAAAAAAAAATTAATAAAGAGCAATTGTGGCAAGTGAGACCATAATGTTGCGTAATGAATTTTATGAAACGCGTAGTTTGATTAATTATGGTAGATGATGTTCTAGGCAACGGCTAACTTCTCCCCCACACACGCTCCTGTTTTCGGACGTGCTAAATTCGGAGCCTGTGGTTGTCTTTTTCTATTTTACTGATCAGGTTTTGCTGCTCCATATACATCTTTCTCTTTTACTGGGACACACTATAAAGTGCTTTTACTGATAAACAAATGATATTTTAAACATGCTACGTTCTTATAGTATTTTATTATTCTTTTGGGCAATTGAACTTATAAAGATTTGGAATATTAATTATTGTGTGAATAAATATATATATATATATATATATCATACATTGTTGCTGGTATGGATGATTGATATGATAAGAAAGCAAAGCATATAAAACAGGTCCAGGCATGTCTGTTCATTGTATGATGTCTCCTTTAGCAACACTTTTAGTTCGGTTCGATTAGAATTGTAATGACTTTTTTTTGGTGTCATTCATGTGATTGATTGTATGAACAAAGTTAGCTGTTAACTGAAATAAGTTTGCAATAGATCTATTGGTAAAACCTAAAAAATGAAATCCTTGTTATTTAGAATCAGCATCCATTAAATCATGTAATATATATCACCATAACAATGATTTTATATCTCGTATTTTTGTTTATTAATGTGTGAAAGACCTTTCTTTAATCTAAAGTTCTAAACTATTGTTAAAGACATCTCCATACACTTATAGAATTATGTTTGTTATTATCCTGAAGATATCTTTTATCTACACATTCACACACATGACTATCAAATAATTTTAAAGTCTGGCCTTTAAACATCATTAGTTGTGATATACGTTCGGAGTAGCTAGACAACTATAGACATAGTGATTCACACTTTTCTGTGAATTGATTACTTGAGAATACATATGTGTGTGTTAACGGCTGGAAAAATACAAAGAGGGACATCATAGTTCATAAAGGTGTTCCCTTTATAGTTATACAGAGAATGTGGGATAATCATGGAGCCGTACTAATCACTCTATTGTTCATAAAGCTTATTTAATTAGAAGCTTTCTCTTTTGCATCTTATACTCCTGTCTACTGGAACTACTATTATTAATTCCAAAGAACCGTTAAGGATAATTATTTTTTAGTTGATAATCAACATTAACTATACTCATGAACTTCAAAAGTTTATGTTTTCTTATTATGAGTTAATTACTTAAGTCATTTCAGAAAATACGAAAATAGTAGATAATAGAAATATCTTATTTATCTAATAAAAAAAATAAAAGTTCTATATTGACTAATAAGATTATGCATCAAGGGCCATGAACACAAATTTTTATGGGATAAAGAGGTGGATAGCAATGTTTGGAGATTTTATTAAGAAAATAACAAGAAACTTATGTGCTATAAGGAATTGGCTAAAAGATACTAAAAAAAAATTTGCTTCAATTAATTATATATTGTGCCATTAAACGCGTGTGGTTGTTGCAATGAATGAAGTAAATGTGGACAAATATATAAAGTAAAGTGAACTGATATAATTGTTGATTTTGATTTTAATGATGGAGTTGTTGCTGCTGACCATATTGGTGGAGACCTTCTCTGATACTAAATTCCCAGGGGTTGAGGTGGATGTTGATGGAAAATCCAATTCTTGTTTGTGAGGAATCCAGTACTTGATGACTCAGAGAATGGAGATATACATTAAATACATGACAAATATATGCATATATTATATTATAGCGTGTTATTTGAACTGATGGCTGTTTATGTTCATAAATAAGTGTACTATATGTAATGGTAGTTTATAATAATAATGATATAAAAATCAATGAGATCCTTAAAGTGGTAATACATAACATCTAGAAACTCAAATTATTGAGATTTCTGGTAATTTGAAACATGTCAAAGAATTCCAAACCTAAAATTTCAAATCTGAAGAATTGGTGTTATGTGATAGGTAATGGATGAAGAAAAAAAGAGAATTACTTCCAAAAAAAGCAATATGTGATATACTCTAATATTAATAAACAATTACTATTAAAAGACAGAAACAAAATAAATAATTGTTGTATTCAATTAATACTCAGTGTATTTTTTAATTGAGAATAAGTAAAATAATTGAACAAGAGTATGTGTATAATGAACTAGATGGATGGTTAAATATTTACATGTTGACACTTAAATACCTCTTGCCATTTTCTGAATTGACTACAAGTCTTATACTATATAGTGATATATCTCAATTTCTAATCTAATGTTATTAAAATTAAACTTTTATCTTGAAAACGTATATAAAAAAATGGCCATAATTTCTCCGCAAGACCTTCTCTTTTGTACATTTGTCATCATCATTCTCAAGTTTTGTTTTTCCCATAGTTCTCTTAAACTAATTCAGCATTGATTTTTAATTTACTTTACCGAGAAATAAAAAACATTTTAAATAAAAGAAAAAAATAGAATAATGGGGATATTAATAGACCAAAGTCCAAAGGACCAAGTGAACAAGCCGAATCTCACATTTTCAACGTCTCTACACTCTCCTTTTCCATGCTTTCACACTCTCACTTCTCTCTCTCTTTCCCAGCTCGCTCTCAATCAATCTCCGCAAACTGTTCTCTCCTTGATTTCTGCCTCTGAAAAGTAAATCCTTGTCGAAATTCGGCTATTTTTTATATTACCGATTCCTCGGAAATGTCGGTGGGATCGCTTTTACTCTTGGTTCTTCTTATCTGCAACTTCAATGTCGAATTGAATGCTCTGAACGACGAAGGGTATGCACTACTGACTCTGAAGCAGTCCATTTCCAGAGATCCAGATGGTTCTTTAAGCAATTGGAACTCCGAGAATCAAAACCCTTGCTCTTGGAACGGAGTCACTTGTGATGATCAGAAGGTTGTCGTTTCTCTTAGCATCCCCAAGAAGAAACTTGTAGGTCATCTTCCTTCCTCTCTGGGTTTACTCTCTAATCTCCGCCATTTGAATCTAAGAAGCAATGAGCTTAGTGGGAGCTTACCCGTTGAGCTCTTTCAAGCTCAACGGCTTCAAAGTTTGGTTCTTTATGGGAATTCCTTATCTGGGTCGATTCCAAACGAGGTTGGGGAGCTAAAGCTCCTGCAAATTTTGGATTTTTCGCATAATTCTCTAAATGGGTGGATCCCAGAATCGATTCTGCGGTGTAAGAGGCTTAGGAGCTTCGATTTGAGCCAGAATAACCTCACTGGTTCTGTCCCTAATGGATTTGGTCATGCTTTGAGTTCTTTACAAAAGCTTGACCTTTCTTACAACAATCTCAATGGTCTAATTCCTGATGATTTGGGTAATCTGACTAGATTGCAAGGAACTCTTGATTTGTCTCACAATTCGTTTAGCGGCTCGATTCCAGCTAGCTTGGGGAATCTTCCTGAGAAAGTGTATGTTGATTTAGCTCACAACAATTTGAGTGGACCAATCCCACAAACCGGTGCTCTGGTTAACAGAGGACCAACTGCGTTCTTGGGGAACCCGAGGCTGTGTGGCCCTCCATTGAAGGATCCTTGTCTGCCAAATACAGATACTTCTCCAACATCTCACCCTTTTGTACCGGAGAACCACGACAATGGTGAAGGAAGGTCCAAGAAAGGAGGAGGTCTAAGCAAATCCGCCGTTGTTGCAATCGTGGTCTGTGACGCCATTGGAATCTGCATTGTTGGGTTTCTCTTCTCTTGTTGCTACTTGAAGCTCTGCTCGCGCCGTAACAGCGTGGATGAGGAAGGCTATGTGCTGGAGAAAGAAGGGAAAGAAAAGAAACCTTCTTTCTGTTTTGGGAAAGACGGATCAGAGAGCCCTTCTTCAGAGAATCTTGAGCCGCAACAGCAGGATCTTGTCCTGTTGGATAAACACATGGCTTTGGATTTAGATGAGCTGCTCAAGGCTTCGGCTTTCGTTCTTGGGAAAGGCGGGAACGGGATTGTGTACAAAGTCGTCCTCGAAGATGGTTTAACCGTAGCTGTTAGGAGATTGGGAGAAGGAGGGTCCCAAAGGTGCAAGGAGTTTCAGACAGAAGTCGAAGCAATCGGGAGGCTAAGGCATCCGAACATCGTCAGTCTCAAAGCTTATTATTGGTCAGTGGAAGAGAAGCTTCTCATCTACGACTACATTACTAATGGAAGCCTTGCAAATGCACTCCACGGTAGTTACATACGCCTTTATGAATGATTGTTTCTCTCTGATTAAAAAAAAAAAAACTCAATCTTTCATTCTGTCGATTGTTAGGTAATCCCGGTATGGTGTCATTCAAGCCGCTGTCTTGGGAAGTTCGGTTAAAGATAATGAGAGGAGCCGCAAGAGGGTTGGTGTATCTTCACGAGTTTAGCCCCAAGAAGTATGTTCATGGATCTCTGAAACTCAGCAATATACTTCTCGGGCAGAACATGGAGCCTCATATCTCGAATTTCGGACTCATGCACCTCTCTAGCATCGCCGGATCATTAGAATCAACCACAAACGACCGACCATCCAACAAGAAGGCCTCATCGATTGGTTCAACTACAAACTTGAGCTCGTTTTATCAGGCTCCTGAAGCCATGAAAGCGACAGTGAAGCCATCACAGAAATGGGATGTGTACTCGTTTGGGGTTATCTTGCTAGAGATGATAACGGGGAGGTTACCGATTGTTTATGTTGGTAAATCGGAGATGGAGATAGTGAAGTGGATACAGATGTGTATCGATGAGAAAAAAGAGATGTCAGACATTTTGGATCCGTATTTGGTGCCTGAGGACACAGAGATTGAAGAAGAGGTCATCGCTGTGCTAAAGGTTGCAATGGCCTGTGTTAGTGTTATCCCCGAGAAACGTCCATCGATGAAGCATGTCGCTGATGCTTTGAACCAGATTTGTCTTCAGTGAGCAGAACAAAATACTGTAGTTGGAAGTTGAAAGTGTGAGTATGTGTTTGAAAGGAAAAGTCTTTATTGCTGTGCCTCTCCCTTGTAATATCAAAATCATATGCATGTTATTTTAATATAGAGTTTTTTTGGCACATAACTTTATCATCAAGTTACACAGTCTTACACACTTATAGGTTATACAATTATGATAAACATTTAAAGAGTTTAATTATAGGAGAAGAGAACAGTTTCTCTGATGATTTTCTTAAGAACCAAAGGGAAATGTTGAACTGAAATTAGGAGGCTGTGTTCCAACACTTTCTCTTATGATCCTTTCCATCTCTTCAGCACTATACATATTCCATCCCTGTTATAACAATTATTAGAAATACAAATCCATGAAAACATTTATATATAATTTAATCATGTTCATATGTGATCATTAGTTAATTACCTGAGACATATACGTTGGTTCAATATCCAAAGAATTGAGGTCGTAGTAGGCACTGGCCGCTGAGAGTTTCATGGACAAAAACTGCAGCGAAAAGGCCATAGCAGAAAACCATTTAATTATTGAATACTAATCACTGGTTTATTTAAAAGCGATTGGAACTTCTGAAGAGTGAAATGGATTAATTATTTGGCCTAACCTCGATTTGATTCTGCAGTGATCGAACATAATCTATGATGACTTCAAGCATCACTGCCATTCCCATTGTCTGCATCATGTTTGAATTTGAGTAAAGAAAATAAACCCATTTTGATCAATTAGATTATCATGAGACAATTTCTTTGTTATGGACCTTATGGTTAAGTAAGATTGTCTAAAACAGTCTGTTTATTTACAAACGCGACGCTGCCATACCCTCTGTAATATGAATTGTGGTGTTCCGTATTAGAAAACGGACCGTGAAACTAATTATTTGTCTACTTATATTAAATCATATGAATCCTGTTCTGTTTCTTAATTCACAAGTTCAACGATATATAGCATAAACAGTTTTAATCCCTAGAAGATTAAAGATGAGATCACTTCAAAGTATCATCAAAATAGGTGAAGCTCAGAAATTTCTCACGTATTTCTATTTTTAGTAGTGGTGAACATTTTTTAAAAAATAACACCATAAAATGGGACTTTGTAGAATTTCTCCAAAACTATTTCGTTTTAGCTTTGTTGATTTTTTTTATTTTTAGTAAACAAAAATTAGGGCTTTTGTGGGAAATTCAGTTACCTTGTAACAGCCGGGAACGAGGCTTTGTAAGCTTTTCAGCCTTTCATTTATCTTCTCTCTTCGTACCTTTATACATTCCAAAAAAAGAATCCAAAAACATGCCAACTTTTTCGTATAACCTTTTTTTTCAATTTAGAATGTTGTATAAGTAAATTGTTTTTTGAATTACCCTTTCAGCCAAACTGTGGCTATCAGTAGCTTGGCCTCTCTTAGCTCGGACATGAACTACATCTCTTGGCTTCTGAATATCATCTTCATTCACGGATTCTTCCTCCTCCGACCTCTTTCTTTTTCTCTTTGACCCAATCTCTTCTCTTTTGCCTTTTCTTCCCAAATCACCTGCCATTTTTGTATAGCTTCATCAACTTTAAGAACAAATTTATGAATAGGGAGGAATTCCCACTAAAAAGAAGATAGTAAATGAAGAAGAAATTCTTCACCGTGTAGTAAATTTGAGGAGAAGTGAGAATTATTATGATGGGCATCAACTATAGCTCCATTGGAGAAAAGCATGAAACTGGAAGGAGGAGTATAAACTGGTGAGTCCAGACTTATTAGCTCTGGATTTTGGTTAACTTGTGCTAACAAAGGGTTAAGACCAATGTTATAATTATATGGTTCGAAACGTGCCATTAGAAACACTACAAACTAACTTATAAATAATAAAAAAAAAGTTCTTGTGAGCTTTGTTTTTCTTTCTCTAAGAAAATTATAAAACTTGCAAATGAGTTGTGATTGTTTATATAGATAATTTTTAAGATGGGATAAATAATGTGTGTGATTAGTTTTTTTTTTTTTATATATATAAAATGATTGGTTATTTGCTCGTGTATTGTGTGTGACTTTGTGAAAATGAGAAAGAAGCGTGTGAGACCAACGAGACACTTGTAGCTAGGTTTCCATTTACAACTGTGCAGTAGATTTTGTGGGATCCATGTTCAATGTTAGATATATCTAACCTGCCGGGACCTTTTGAGAATCCCTTTTAATGTAACAAGTATGGCGCTAAATTGAAACAGAAGAAATTGCATTAATGATCGACGAGTGATCATCACAAGTTTTTGCATTATTAGGCTATCAGACAAAACTTAAGTACAATGACTTAACATTATACGGCTAACTCGGTTCGTTACCGGAAAAAAAAACTTATTTTTTTGTGGGTCACTTGGACTATATCGTCAAAAGATAAGTTTGGTATAACTCCAAAATAAGTCTATATTTTCTCAAAATAAGTTTATATAAGTTTGAACAGATAGGAATATAGAAAGACGAATATGAAAACTGTTGAACAGAAAAAAGAACCAAAGGCACAGAAACGCGATATTGATTGTCATGCGAGACTTGGAACCATGTTTTTGTTTAAAGTCCTTCATTTGATAAGTTTTATAGATTCTAGTTTGTTTAGTTGTTTTGGAAGTAGCTAAACACAGCAACTGTTTTTAAAACTCGAGACGCGTTAGTCGGACAATAGAGTAGCGACTAAATTTAACTCCTTACACGGTAAAGCATATATAAACATATCGATAAATATAATTGTTATAGTTTATTCTGTGTAGTTCTAATGTATGATCAAGTAGCATATTGGTTAAAGTTGGTTTTTGTATCTTAACAATAACTAGTCACGTATTAAATCCCCAAAAACCCTAATTCTCATTATGTTCCTTGAGTACGTCCCAGCATGGTTCAACGAGTATATTTTTGTCACGCCTATTATAATTTGCTACACTAATATATTGTTTTCCATGTATATATTTCAAATATTTAATACTATATAACTTAGACATATGATCTTTTTGCATTGCGGGTGGCTCTTAATAGACAACCGAAAATAATTGAGGCCTAGGCGGTCGCAAAAGCCGACTTACATAGACAGTAACTGGGCTAGTTGCAAAATAAAAACTATATATATAGACATTAACTATGCTTAGCTACATCTAAAACAATAATATTTAAGATTAACGTCACAAATTCTGATTGAATTGCCAGTAACTGTTTGTTTTAGACTTTTAGTTACTGTAATAAAAATTGCGAAACTTGACTTTGATGCATGACAACGATGTGAGGAGGCAGAAAAATCCAAGCCCATCTCTATCGTTGCGATTGGCTTCATAACTTTCCATTTTCTTACATCAATAATTGTAATAGCCTTTTAAATCCGGAAATATCTCGCTTTCACAATTGTTTCGTTTTTTCTATTTTCATTTTACATTACCGTAAAAGCCTTTTAAATCCGGAAATAAGTAAATGGTTTGTTGAAAAATATGTTTTACTAAGAACAGACGCAAATTAGATATTCCGATACTTAGTAGTGGTCATGAAAAGATTGAATCATCATCTCTTTAATAATTTCCTATGCCTAATTTGTATTACTAAAAAAAGAAAAAAAAATCACGAAATTGACTTTCAAAAACTATTTACAGTACATAATGTTTTGAAATTTCATGCTAAATATGTTTTTCTTCTTTTGCAAGTTTTCATTGGTAAATTTACAGATCGATCAAATAAGTTGTTGCTAACAAATAAATCCCATTCTAAATACTTTAACAAAGTTCACCAACTTGCAATAATTATTTCAAAAATTTACACAAGTTTCTTTTAATAACTGATATAATTTTATTTTTAAAATCAACAATAATAAATTAAAATATGAAATTGAATTTGTACGTTTCAGTACATATTTTCTACTCTTTTATTCGCAGAATATCTTATCTTATAAATATGCATCGACCATAAAATTTGCTATGGATGGTCGCTATGATTTTAAGCAGAGAATATTGTTGTAGTTTTGTTCTTCTACTTATCGGCTTTTAAGCTGTTTGGTGATCTGAATTCGAGAAATTGGACTTTTTCCAACAAAAGTATTTGATAGATTACTATATGACTGGACCGACCAAAATTCAGTTTGAAACGGACTCAAAATATAATTATATCAGATTTGTTTGATATGAACTTTTTGTTTAAGCTTGTTCCAATCAAACCGTGGCAAACAAGCATCTTATATCTCCGGTATCATCAGCGGCGAAGTAACTGTCGTCGTCAGTCCAATTGCTTTTGTAACTTTTAGTTTCTTGGCATGGAATCTGCTAAGCTATGTCCTTCTATTTGTAGCTTGGTCTACGTTATTCTTTGGCTGTACGTAAAACGCCAATGGAGCCTTCCGTATGGTGTACGGAACTAGCATTTTGTGCACTTACCTTGGTTTTGGTGCTTAGATGGATTTTCTTTCATTCATTTGAACAGATGAACATTAGTATCCAAAATAAAGGTATTTTCTGAATTCTTGGACTATTGAGAACTGGTTTGTACATAGCTGAAGGAAGCAGAGTTAGAGTAAAACGCTTCTTGAATCACTTTTAACAAAAGACTTCACCGACCCATATCATCCTGCTCAAGTTTTCTTTTGTATTCTCCATATGATTGTTTTTTACTGAGTATGAGCTTGTCTCTGAATTTGTTGGTTTCTTGCGGTCGACAAATATATAACTGAACGATAAAGAACGTGTAGCAGCGGATCTAAACCCATATTAGTATTGGATTAGGTGTGTTCCAGTTGAGAAATTAACAATGTAGCAGTATGCACGCAATATATTACATAAAGCATTGACATTTCACTTTACTAACTCATAATCAAATTCGATTTTTTTCATTATTTGTGGTTGTGATAATATGGTTTTCATGAGTATATCGAATCAAGTGGGCTAAAATAAGTGGGCATTATATAACACCATTGTAAGTCCAACTTTAGATATATCATTTAAATCACAACCAATGTGTTTCCAGAAAAAGAAACTGATGGGCACAATTTACCACTAATAACTTTCTAAATTTGAAACCATAAATTGTATTTCTCCATCCTTGTTGTTCCTTTCTTCATTCCATGTGTTTCTTCTATCTTTTCACTTTTGTTCTGCCCCACTAAACTTATCTTGAAACAGAGGCTGTGTTATTGAGTTTCTTTTTTCTTTTGATAAACGAATTATCCAGAATTTGAGAAGGAATAGTTCCAAGAATGACATGTGTTTCTTTGGAGCATCTTAATACGAGATGGTGACTTCGCATAGAGTTCCTCTGGTGTCAAGATTTGATTGATTATACGTACGTCGAACTTAAATGCCTGAACCCTTTACAAGTTGCAAAGCCTGTTCTTTGTTTTTTGTTTGTCGCCAAGCCTTTTCTTTTACTTCGTTATTAATTTTAATAATTGCTGTAGTGTAGAAAATTCCAAACATTTGGTTTATAGTTTTTCTCTTGATCCGGATCAACCCGGAACAGTTTTGGTAAGATATATTTTTTTCTAATTTAAACTGCAGGAAAACTAAATTTTATATAGGTGGTGTTCTTGGGCATTACCATTTTTTGGTTTAGCTCCTAAGAAGTACAAGAGATTAGGTAGGAGTTTAATGAAACTTCTAACAAAAGTAAAGATCGGGCGTGATAATATTTGATATGCAGCAGTGTAATATTACCACAACGGTGACAATATTACCACTACCACAAGTCTTAATCATCCATCATTTTGTGATTGATTCACAAGTCAAAAACATCCATCATTAAATGTAGCACAACGAATTCGAATTTGAATCTGTAAAACTATAACAATACATTTTCTAGAACTGTATTTCTGGTTTTTGTTTTTTAAATATTAGATCGCCTCGCTAATAATTGTTTACTCTCTTAATTTAGGTTGTAATACTTCTTTCGAAACCCATAAACTCTATTTGTGTTCGATTTTGAAATTATATATTCAAAATATATAAAAAAAAAAAATCAAACATCCAAATTAAAACTTATCTTAACCTACATATTGTAGAACTGTAGAATTTTGCAATATTCTTACGGAAAAAGATATACAAAAGTATTTGACACTAAAGTATTGTAATTTTACAAACATAAACCTAGAAAACTAAATTCAAGGTTAGATTTACTACTGACTAGTCTCTACTCTACACGTCGTCTTCCTGGCTTTGACTAATACTGTACATGGAAAATATTACAAATTATATAAGGAGAGAATTCCTTACCCGTAAAATGTAACTACTAAATTTTTTTTTTTTTTTGAACATTTACTAAATTATTATATTGGAATGCATAAAAAAGAAATTATGCCATGCTAATATATAACATTTCCAAATGTGCCAACGCTTTAGCAATCTAGTGGTTGAATAATCAATGATTTTAAGAATCTTCATGGTTCAACTTCGGTGGCATCTATGTGTAAAAGAAAGTACGAACATTATCCAAATATTACGAGTCTATAAATTCCTCACAACCATTGAATTCATTACCACTTCTCAAATCACAAAAGTCTCTCTCTCTCTCTCTCTCTCTCTTAGTCTTTTTTTTTTGCTACACTCTCTTGCTTTCTCTTAGTCTTTTCTCTCATTTATCTCTCTCTCTCATATAAAGCCTAGGACCTGATATATAATATTTTTCACAAAGGGGAACACAAAAATGTCAAATATACTGAAGAAGAGGTGTGATGGAAATGAAGATGGACCAGAGCAGAGAAAAGGGCCTTGGACGCTTGAGGAAGACACTCTTCTCACCAATTACATTGCCAACAACGGTGAAGGCCGATGGAACCTGCTCGCTAAATCTTCTGGTACTAATCCTTTATTCTTTTACATTTGTTTTCCAATAAAATGCAATACACTTGATGAACACGGCACTAAAAGCGAAATTTTATTAATTAGTTGAGCTGATATCAATTATTACCATTATTAAAGCACTTCATAGAATCATTAATCAATTAACGTTAAATCTTTTTCTTGTAAAAAAACAGGGCTAAAGAGAAAAGGAAAAAGTTGCAGATTGCGATGGTTGAATTACCTGAAACCTGATATAAAGCGCGGGAATCTCACTCCTCGAGAACAACTCTTAATCCTCGAGCTCCACTCTAAATGGGGTAATAGGTATGTTACCCTAATTTATTCACTTTTTGGTTAAAAATACGAAAATAAACAAAAAATTAATTTAAATATCAGACTAAAAACATTTAAGAAACAATAAATGACAATACATAATACAAATAGTCACTTTTGTGTTAAAATAAAATAAAACATATAAAGTACCTTATACACATTAGTAGCATATAAAAATAATGTATAATCTAACATGTGACATATTGTTTCTTATAGGTGGTCAAAAATTGCTCAGTATTTACCCGGAAGAACAGACAACGAGATCAAAAACTACTGGAGAACTAGGGTTCAGAAACAAGCACGCCAGCTCAACATCGATTCCAACAGCCACAAATTCTTGGAAGTTGTGCGTAGCTTCTGGGTGCCAAGATTGATCCACAAGATGAAAGATCACATGGACACCAACACTAAATTAGCTCCTCCTCCTGGTTTACTTAAACCCGTTTTACGAGACAACAATAACTTCTCTCACGAATTGGGTCTCAGCAGCAGCATGGATTGTTCCACCACCATGTCTCAAGATCTCAAGAAATTTTCACAATACATGGATGTGTGTGATCTTGAGACCTCAGGCTCTTCAATGTACTTGGACGGATCACGAGGGAGTGGTAGTCAGTGTGCCAGTGAAGATTTTAGCTCTTTCCCTTGCCTAGAAGATGAGTCGTACATGGTGGCCACCATGGGCAATTCAGACATTTTACCATTGCAGGATTGTCACTTAGCAGATTCGAGTTACGAGGAGGATGTGACGCAAGATCCAATGTGGAACATGGATGATATTTGGCAGTTTAAGGAGTACACACACTTATATTAGGTTGTGGAGCCCCTGGACATGGATGCTCTTACAACCTTAAAGGAGTTTTTTTTTTAATATTCTAGTATTTTATTTCTTGTTGGCTTATAGTTAAGCTCTGAATTAATTGAAATAAAGTTCAAAGAGTGCTAATGTAAACTGTAAGGTAACATTAGTTTTCTATACGAAAGTGTTTAACGTAAAAGTATTACTTCGAGTAATTTAAATTTCCCTTTAAAATTTTGACTTAGTTTTGAGGAAGTGAATACTAAAATAATATATAGCGCTGCTCATCTACCGGAAGAAAAGCCCAATCTTTGAATATGAAATAGTTCTCTTTTTCGTTAGTTTGGATCTTCTGAAGGAAAACAATTCTAATCTCACCTCTGCATGTGAAAGAATCCAAAATCTAGTATATATTAAATCCAAGAATATGACGGTGAGATAGTGAAAGTTCTAGAAAATAATTGATGAATTGTCTCTTCGGAAAATTAGACGTGTGCATGGTAAATAAGTCGACGGAAAGTCTGTACGTTACTTTGGCATTATATGATTAGTTTGTTTTTAAAGAACTTTTGTTGTTTAAGATTAATTATGTGCTATAAATCTTTAATAGTTGAACTCGACAATCTTCTTCAAGAAATATTTGGTCTTTTTCTTCTTTTTTTTTCTCCATGAAACATTAGAATCTAAAATAATATACACAACTGATTTAAAATCTTTGGGCATATGTACATAGGAACCATATAAGTGTTACATTATATAGACTTTTTTTTTTCTTTTTAAAAAGTTATACTATAGATTCAAACCAGAGTGACAATCCTGTTTAGTTTACGTGTGGAAAAAATGGGAATATGAATAAGATTGATTAAACATCTTTCAATATGATATGATACAGATAAATTCATTGTACTTAGCCATTTACATTTAAGAGGAGCTTGTCCACACTACCGATTGATAATCCTGTATGTGGCTTCAAAAATGATAATAAATACAAAATTATAGTTGAAGATGCATAGTCCCACGAGAGCGATCAACTTGACTTAGAAAGGTGGTCTTAATTTTTCACGTATGAATGTGTAATCTTTTTTTGGTATTAATGAATGTGTAAACTTGAATCACTTGGAGGTAAGTTCCTCTTTTATTACTTCCAACTAAAAAAAGTTTCAAGCAATGATTTGAACCCGAAAGGCATTATAAAGTTGCGATAAACATATAAAAAAAAAAAAAAATTCAGAGGTCATGAAGGCAATAGTACACACATTAACTTCATTACTTTTATTGGAGATGAAAGTCTTTGCATGCTTTGTCTCCTTCTCATCTCCAATAATTCAAGTTTTCTATGGATCACATTTGTATATCAGATAAATAGGTGTTTTTTAAGAAATATATTTTCGTTGTGGGTGATTTAAGCTATATGTATAATAAAAAAAACGTGTTATAAAAAACTATCTAGACGGCGTTTACTCCCATAACATTTTTAATTTCTTCGTCTTCACCCATTGTAGTCTACTACAAAATCACGACCGTATATTTCGGGGAACCCAACAAAAATGGAAACATTGGCCATAAACTGTTAAATGGTCAAAGTTGTTCATGGATGTTAGTGGAGAGTCGTGTGCTTTTGTTGGAATAGTAATCAGTCAAACTTATTGACAAGTGACCGACGTTGTAATTATCAACATAAGAAGAATCACCTAACTCAAATCAATTATAAGCTGTGGTTCGTGAAACAGTAACTTGTTTTTTTTTCAATCACACATCGAGTAAAAACCCATAATCACGGAACCTTGGACTATCCAAGATTAACAAATGTAGTTTCGTTTGTTAATAATACAATTTACTGCATACATTAACAATCATGTAAACCTGTCTCTGTTTAACGCTGGAAATGTAAGACGTAATAACAAGAGAATTAGTTATGTGTGAGTTACAACTTATATTTCTAACTTTGTATGTTTTTTTTTCAAATCCAAAGAGTTTTGTTTAATTTTCATTCTTTTTGCTAGACGTTTTAAGTCATTCCTTTTGTAGTGTCTAATTAGAAAATTCTAAAACAATTTGTTTTTTTTTTTCCGACTCGTTTTTCAAGAAAGCAAATCTATCTCCGAAACATATATGATATATAGAACATAATACTCTGCACTATCACATGCTTCCTAAAGTTGGATCAGTATAGTCCTTATCGTGAAAGTACCTGATTCCTTAATCGTTAATATTCCTATCGCCTTCCTTTTTTATTCTGTGTGAAATATTCAAATGCAGTTAAAATTTGTGCTTCCGTATGAATGTGGTGAAGAGGATAGTGAAATTGAATGATGTGCAGGAGGAGAGAAACATCGCACGTTAAAACCTATCACAGTTCCATCAACGCAGTGCTTTTTCGATTTTCTGCAAATCAAAATCACATGCGTAAAGGACACTAAATTCTCTCTACGTTCCTTCCATCTGGCAGACAGATTTGGGCATCTTTTTGCGCTAGTAATATCAACTTATCTTATCTAAAGGTAAAAAACCTTTCTGTTCTTCTTTTGAAAAATGAAAACTCACAAAACATTTTTTGACCATTCACTTAGAAACAAGTTGAACAACCCAAATTCTAACTGTTGCACAATGTGCGTATCAACCAAAGTTTTCATTTACTGTTATAAAAAGTGTAAACATGGGTCGACTGTTTTACTTCCCACCTTTCCCGTAGCTGTCTCTGAGTGTGACGGTACGGTTAAACACAAGCTTTCCTGGCTCAGAGTCCTTGTCCACCGCAAAATAACCTAATTAATGCGTCACAACTTATGGTTAGAATAGCTTCTTTCTCATCTAGAATTGTAAGCAATTTTTATGATCATGAATATACCTAGCCTCTCGAATTGGAATCTGTCCCCGACCGCAGCATCTTTAAGGACTGATACAGCATAGGCACCAGAAACCACCACTTTGGAGTTTGGATTAATGTCAGTGAGCCAATCATCATTGAGTTCAGCCGGGTTCTGTTATGATTTAAGTACAATTTAGCTTTAGGGAAAATCTTTGTAACTACAACAAAAGCTAGAGATTAATGTAATACCTCGGAGTTGAAGAGTTTCTCAAATAACCGGACTTCAACCTTTACGGGCTCTTTTCCTGGAGATGATTCAGCGACCCAGTGTAGAACACCCTGCAAATAAAAAAAAAAGGACCGGTGAATAAGAGCCACAGGTATTGCAGAAATTAACCTTTGGTTAAGGAAACTAACCTTTGGCTTTGTCTTTTTCTCAAGGTCATACTCTGCATGAATCTCACGAATGGTTTCATTGTCATCAGCAAAGACAACGTTGGTGCACGTGATTGGGAAAGCGTATCTGCAAAACAGAAGGAAGCACATTTAGTGACAGCTGAATCAGATTTCAATGCCAAAGTAGTAAAAAGTAATGATTAAAAGCGTAAGCGTCCGTTTCTATACCTTAGCAAGACTGATTTACCAGGGGCGAGCCCATAGTAATCTTTTGAATCCTTCATTCGGAAGTCAGACTGCTCAATATACACAACTCTAGAGAACGGAACCTACATCCACAACCCCCACAAAAAGAAAGATCAGGAAAGCAGAAAAATGTTTTTTTTCTGTGTAGAAAAGTAGTATATGTGAAACACAGTTCACCTTGTAGAATGCAGAGGGATCATCGTTCTGAGCATCAGGCCACCTTTTGGCATCAAGCTCCATATCTGATTCCATATTTGTGATGACCACCTTAAGAGGATTAAGCACCACCATAGTGCGGGGAGCCGTTTTATTCAACTCTTCTCTGATATGATGCTCAAGACGACTCACATGTATCATGCTACCATCACTTCAATATACAACCATAGGCAGCAGATTCAATGAATGTGATTAAGATAGGCACAATCTTATGATGAACTTGAGATACAGATGAATAGCAAACCTTCTGGTAATTCCCATTCCTCGTACAAAAGCATTGATCGCAGTAGGGGTCACTCCCCTCCTTCTCAAACCAGCAAGTGTCAAAAGACGTGGATCATCCCACCCATCAACATACTTGTTCGTCACAATGTAATTCAACTGCAGCAAAAGAAAAGAAAAATGATACAAGTATACAACCATATGATTCTCTGCAGAAATTGTTCAAGTGTTCACTAGCAAGTCAAGTAATTTACCAACCTTACGCTTGGACATTACAGTGTTTGTGACATTCAACCGTGAATATTCCCACACATACGGCATGTAGAGATCCAGGGAATGTAATAACCAGTAATAAGAAGCACGCCGGGTCTCAAATTCAAGAGTACAGAGCTACATTTTATGAGATAAAAATGAAAATTAGAATAACAGAAAAGATTGTATAACAACAGAGATACAGATACATAATATACTTTTATTATATTGGATCACAAAATGCAGAATTTAATGCTGCAAAAAGACAAAAGACAGAGAAAGGGACAAACCGAATGCGTTATATTCTCCAGCGAATCAACGGTACAGTGGGCATAATCGTAGCTCGGATAGATGCACCATTTGTCACCAGCATGAGGATGAGGTGTGAACTGCAAATCATACAAACAAATCAGATACCCAAAGAATGCGGAGAACGGAGAACATATTTTTATATGCAACCAGAGATGACATTTGTTTCACTTGCCTTTATACGATAGGCAATAAGGTCATACATGTTGAAATTATCATTCTGCATATCCTGCTTCATTCTCAGTGTTGCCTTCCCTTCCTCGATCATTCCACGTCTCATTTCGTCAAAAAGCCTAAGAGATTCTTGAATTGGCCTGTCCCTCCAGGGGCTATTCATCTTCTTCTCTCTATACTCTTTTATCTCGTCCGCAGTCTGCAATCAATAACGCGAGAGAATAAGTTCTGTGTAGCTTAGACTAACGCATGACAATTGATTGAAAAAGGTAATATATATCCATAGCTTTGAAGGTTTAAACTGAATCAACCTGATGATCAACATAAGCATGACCTCTCCGAATCAACTCGACTGCCAAATCATACAATTCTTGGAAATAATCACTAGTGTACGTAATCTAGAAGAAAACAATGGAAAGAATTAGATACATTTAAACATACAACAATAATTGAAAAAAGGTTATTCGTGCTTTAGTCTACCTTGAAGGGTTCCCAACCCATCCAGTTAACAATTTCTTCAATGTGATTAATGTACTCTTTCTTTTCTGCTTCGGGATTTGTATCGTCATACCTGAAAAATCAGATGTTTATAAGAATCCTCAACTATGTCGTTATAGGAGCAACAATGATTGATTTAGAGACATAAAAGCAAATAAGTATTCTTACCTTAGATAACAGCATCCCCCTCGCTCCTTTGCAAGACCAAAATCGACAAACATAGCCTGAAAGAACAAACAGTGGAAATGACCAAAATAAGGTAGGTCATCGGTCTTCCTAATCAGACACCATAATGCAAAGTATCTGACGACCACATTTTATGTGAATTTTACCTTAGCATGTCCAATATGTAGATAACCATTTGGTTCAGGGGGAAACCGGGTATAAACTTTCCCTCCAGTCACCTTGAGATGTTTATCGAGCACTTCCTTCTTATTGCTACATTTGAGCACAGAGCCATTGCTGTAAAACACTTCTGTATGAACCTGAGAACATATATAAAAGGAAACTTACATGATTACATGAACTTTGCTGCCAACGAATCTCTATGAGTGTATGCTAGCAATAAATTCACCCATGAAAAAAAACGAGAATAATGCATCAAACATATTGGCATCATCCTCTTGAAAAGATTTATTATTCCCAACATTCTAGTTTCACAAAAGCTATTGATGCCGTTTACAACATTGTATAAGAAGTTTGTTCCAGACCACCACAATAAATAGGCGCAAGCAATACAGATCAAATCTATTGTTATTAACTAAAATGAGCACCTAGAAGTACGCTTATAAATGAAAATGGATTCAAAAGTACTGAACGTGAACTTTAAAATCTTAATAAAACAATATCATCAGAAACAAACAAAAAGCAATGCTATACCATCAAATTTTGCTCTGGCTGAGGGAATATAGAATATGGATTAAGCTCCTCTTCCGAGGGCTCTGGGGTAGCTTCCTCAGCGGCTTTCTTTTCCTACAGATAATCCACGGAATGAAGAATTCAAGACACAACATACAACAATAGAGAAAACACATTTATTGAAAACACTCAAATCACCTCGGCTTTGGCAGGTTTCTCCTTCTTTTCCTTCTTTTTTGTAGGTTTTTCATTATCAGCAGCAGTTTTCTCACCAAGCAGTTCATACATTTTTTCTTCTATGAGTTTCTATTGCAGACATAAAGACTTGATAAGAAAACTGAGATTTCATTTGTGACTAGCAAAGAAGATAGGCTGCTAAAAGCCTAAAACTCTTAACTCACCCTTACAATCTTCGGATCTGCCCATGGCAAACTTTTCCGGACATGTCCAAGTAATTGACCCTCTACACCACATAAATACATCATGTTCAACCAAGAAACAGAATAAGCTGGTGACGTAATAAAAAAAAATGAAACTTTAGACAGTGATGTAGAGAGAAAAGACTAACCATTAGTTCGATAGCGCTGCTCCAATATTATCTTCTTCTTCTCTTCAAACATTTCTTCAACTGCTTTCTCAATATCTTCTAGGGAAACTTCAACCCCTGTTCCAAAAACGATAATGAAGATATAACCTCCAAGCATTGTGTTAACAAATAAAAACAGAAAACCTATACATGCTAGCATCAATGAGTAAATATAATTAAATACACGAAAGCTCTTACCAACACCACATGCCTCCTCAAATTCATTTAGCTTGAAGTCCTCAGGAGCGGTCTTGTCCAAAAACGAAATCGCAGCTTCCAATTGGGCTGGAGTTTTGATCTGCAGGTTCATTATACAAAGAGAATCAAAATAACATTCGCCAGTTTTCCATCAACAATACAGAACCAAACCCCCACGAAAGGTAAGTTCAGACAGATAACATTCAAGGTACTATAGGCCAACCTTAGAGGAGACAATGTACTCGAACAATGTAGGACGATGCAAAAGAGCATTTGAATGGTACTTAGTAGCGACCTGTTGCACATAATTACAAGGAGAACACAACCTCGATAAGTTTCTGTAGCTAACTTAAAACAAAAACTGGGATTAGGTTAATAAGAATATATCTCACCGTGTACAAGAGATTTCCAGTAGTTCGATCGCACCCATCAGCGACACCAGCCTGTACACAAGACAAGCCTCATGAAGAACGAGTTTTTATATAATCTAAATTGAGCATGCAGGTGATCAAATTACAACAGATGCATACATGCAAAGAAGTCCAAATCATTCAAACTAAGAATTTCAAATTGAAAAAAATTGGGAGATTGCATAAAAATTGGTTTAGTCAACAGAATCACAGAAAGCAAGACTTTTCTCAAAGGAAACTGAAAACTTAGTTCTCTTCTATCTAATTTCATCTGAATACAATAAGACCCGATAACACATAGCAAACATCAGTAGAGAGAGTATAAGGAGGAAGAGGAGAGAGTCGAGAGGACACCTCGTTGATAACGGCGGTGAGATTGGTGGTGACCTTGGCGTTGTTGACGGTGTTGCTGGCGGTTTTCTCGTCCAAACCAATGCTGAGGAAGAGCTTTATAGATTTCTCGGAGCTATCGTCTTTGGGAGCCATGGCGCTGAAACAAACAAATTAACAGAAATGAAAGGAGACGACGACCTCTAGGGTTTAATGGAGTGGACGAGACGTTGATTTCTTCTCCGGTTATTTACCAAATGGACGGATCTCTAAACCGAAGTGGTTGGACTCTTTGGTTTACTTTAAACCAACGATGGCTATTAGAACAGAAAAGGAGATATTGGTACAGTTTGAAAAATCGAACCGAACCACAAAGATGAAATGCAACCGAATCCAGAACTTGTCCGGGCCATAGCCAATAGCTACGCCGCGCATCTCCGCCTCTGTTTGCCGCTCCGACGAACGTCTCTGAAACTCGCGCGAGCCATCCATGCCAATATCATTACTTTCGGTTTCCAACCACGTGCCCACATCCTCAACCGTTTGATCGATGTCTACTGTAAATCGTCAGAGCTCCGATATGCACGCCAACTGTTCGAGGAAACCTCTGAACCAGATAAAATCGCCAGAACCACCATGGTCTCCGGGTACTGTGCTTCCGGAGACATCAACCTCGCTCGACGTGTTTTCGAGGAAACCCCAGTGAGTACGCGAGATACTATAATCTACAACGCCATGATCACTGGCTTCACGCACAATCACGACGGGTGCTCTGCTATTAACATGTTTTGTACGATGAAGCGCGAAGGATTCAAACCCGATAACTTCACTTTCGCGAGCGTTCTCGCGGGTTTGGCGCTCGTTGTCGAAGATGAGAGAGACTGTGTGCAGTTTCATGCCGCAGCTCTGAAATCGGGCGCTGGTTACATCACTTCCGTTTTGAACGCTCTTGTGTCTGCGTATTCGAAATGTGCTCTGTCTACTTCATCCTCTCCGTTACATTCAGCGAGAAAAGTGTTTGATGAGATCCCTGAGAAAGATGAGAGGTCGTGGACGACGATGATCACGGGTTATGTAAAGAATGGTTGTTTTGACTCAGGGAAAGAGTTGCTTGAGGGGATGGACGAGAATATGAAGCTAGTTGCTTATAACGCTATGATCTCTGGCTATGTTCATCGCGGGATGTATCAGGAGGCGCTGGAGATGGTTAGAAAGATGGTTTCGTCTGGAATTGAGCTCGACGAGTTTACATATCCTAGCGTTATAAGGGCGTGTGCCACTGCAGGATTGCTTCAGCTGGGAAAGCAAGTCCATGGTTATGCGTTAAGGAGGGAGAATTTCTCGTTTCATCTCGACAACTCTTTGGTCTCGTTATATTACAAATGCGGTAGATTTGTCGAGGCAAGGGCCATTTTCGATAAAATGGCGGCAAAGGACTTGGTTTCTTGGAACGCTTTGTTATCAGGGTATGTTAGCTCAGGGCACATAGGTGAGGCGAAGTTGCTTTTCAAAGAGATGAAAGAGAAGAACATCTTGACGTGGATGATAATGATATCGGGGTTAGCCGATAACGGGTTTGGAGAAGAAGGCTTGAGGCTGTTTTCTTGTATGAGGAAAGAAGGTTTCGAGCCTTGCGATTACGCATTCTCAGGGGCGATCAAGTCATGTGCTGTCCTGGGAGCTTATGGCAACGGACAACAGTTCCATGCTCAACTGGTTAAAATAGGGTTTGACTCGAGCCTCTCCGCGGGAAACGCTCTCATTACAATGTATGCGAAATGTGGGGTTGTGGAGGAAGCTCGACAGGTGTTTCAAACCATGCCTTGTCGTGACTCGGTTTCTTGGAATGCTCTGATCGCTGCATTGGGACAGCATGGCCATGGTGCTGAAGCGGTGGATGTGTATGAGGAGATGTTGAAGGAAGGGATAAGACCTGATCGGATTACGTTGCTTACAGTTTTGACAGCGTGTAGCCACGCAGGTTTAGTGGAACAGGGACGGAGATACTTTGATGAGATGGGAACGGTTTACGGTATACCTCCAGATGCAGATCATTACGCAAGGCTGATCGATTTGCTCTGTCGATCTGGGAGATTCTCTGAAGCGGAAAGTGTAATCAAGTGGCTACCTTTTGAGCCTACTGCACAAATCTGGGAGGCTCTTCTTTCGGCTTGCAGAGTCTATGGAAACATGGAGCTAGGGATCATCGCTGCTGACAAACTCTTTGAGCTCATACCGGAACACGATGGGACATACATGCTCTTATCGAACATGTACGCAGCTACTGGCAAGTGGGAGGAAGCGGCAAAGGTACGTAAGCTAATGCGGGATCGAGGTGTGAAAAAAGAACTGGCTTGTAGTTGGATTGAAGTGGAGACACAAGTGCATACATTCGTGGTGGATGATACGTGGCATACAGAGGCACAGGCTGTTTACAACTATCTTCAAGAGCTGTGTGAAGAGATGAGGAGATCCGGTTATGTGCCAGACACGAGTTTTGTGCTGCACGACGTGGAGTCTGATGGTCACAAGGAAGATATGCTAACTACCCATAGCGAGAAGCTCGCGGTTGCGTTTGGGCTAATGAAACTTCCTCCGGGAACAGCTATTAGGGTTTTCAAGAACTTGAGGACTTGTGGAGACTGTCATAATTTCTTCAGGTTCTTGTCGCGAGTGGTGCGGCGAGACATTATCTTGAGAGACAGGAAGAGGTTTCATCATTTCCGGGATGGTGAATGTTCTTGTGGTAACTTCTGGTAGGCGAGGCTTCAATATTGGTGGCAATACATTTAGACGCCATTCTTACAATTTTTTGTCTGTCATTATTAGGCAGACACTTGACGAACTTTCTCTATAGCTACATTTTAAAATCTGAAGAAATTTAGGTAGAACTGATGTTGACTCCAGCTATAATAGTCTCTAGACAGTTCCATCTAACGAATACCTAAACCCTAATCATAACTCTTGCTTCCCAAGGTAACTAACCTTGGAGCTTTCAACGTTAGTACGTAGTTCCTTATCATTCAAATTCAACCAGATTTAAGAGCTAAGAGTTCAGGTTAGTCCTTTGTTTCTTTTCTCGTTAAAGAGACGAGTATTATTTTTATTTTCTTTTAAAATAAAAAAGTTGAAAATATTTTAGTTTCTATATACTGTACACTAAACCCAAAATCAAATAAAAAGAGGGAAAATTCGCAAACTTTATGTTTCTAGTGCATTTAATTTAAATTAAAACGGATCGTGGTAATTAAAAAATATGCATAGTTCAATCAATACTTACACATAAATAAATGCCAACAATTCAAGTGTGTATTTCTCTCTAAAATTCTTAAAAGATCTGAGTTTCAGATTGTATATATCGCTCGGAGCTTTAGATTATTATTATACACTTAAAAGTTTTAAAGTCAAAACTATATAATAATTAATTTGGTTTTTTTTTGGCCATATTCATCATAGTGATACGGTGAGCGAACTAGAGCCCACTTTCGAAGAGTCAAGTCAAGCACGGCGATTTTTGAACCAGAATTTCATCTGGTTGACCTAAACCGGGAGGAAGTTAACCGGGAAAGAACGAGTCAAAGGACTCAAAACTCCGGAAAAGCGGAAACGAAGCCGACGCGGGAAAAAGAAGTCCCCACACAAACCCAATTTGTCTCAGCTTTTTCGTAGGAATCTTGAAGTACTTGCAGCCTTACAAGTTTACCAACCTGTGTTTCATCTGATCATAGAAGCGCTAGGAACAGAGTCAATCTCAAAGGACACAGAGCCAAAAAAACCTCTCTTTTTTCGAACATCCCCTGTTCCTTGATCTCTTACTTCATTCTAATGCAGAAGTAGATGAGAAACAAAAGACAAAGCCTTTTGTTTAAGTAATTTCACAAACTAAAAATTTGGTTTTTCCCCTGTCGGTGCATCAATCAGAAGATGCGCTAAGCAATAGATGAAGCTGAGATCTATAAAGAAGGCTTAAACTACAAAGAGAACAAATTTCTCGCAGTAGTTATAAAAGACCTCTGAAACTATTGTTCTTGGTCTAATTTTGCAAGTGTGATGATCATTCTGAAAGAAAGAAGAACGCTTTTTCTTAGGTGAAATGAAACATTATTATGTATTAATCAACCGGAACCTACATGTGTCCTCTCCATAGCTTTTTGTACATTTTTATTCAGAACAATTTGGGGAGAAAGAATAATTTAAGAAAACGAAAAAAAACTAGCAGAGCAGGAACTGGAAGGAGCTTCAAGACTTGACCCAATTCAAATATTGACAATTCTTTGAAACTTCAACGGCAACTGGAAAATTACACAATCATCATCTCTGCATATTCGTAAAAGCAGGAGAGAATCAAAACTTTTCAAATTATAAAGGTTGATGATTTCAAGATAACAACAGATCCGAGATGATGATGATGATGATGATTATACCTTCGTCTCCTCTGGGACCTTATATGCGTCAAGCGTCACTTCAGTCAGATAAAACCCAGGAAACAAGTTCTGTTAATCAAAGAGAAAGAAATCAAATTTTCAGTCAAATCAGATCAATCAAGAAAAAAGGGAACGAATTTTTTTCATCGAATTTGCAAATCCGAAAACATTAAACTCACATGGAGTTTCTTCTGAACGGTCCTTGGCCGCTTCTTCGGCCGGCGCGGTGGTCGGTGACCTAGAACCGCCATGAAATCCTCTTCGATTTCCTTCTTCGACAGCTTCCCGGAGAATTTGGGCCGTACCACCTCCTTCGCCGTCTCGGCTTCGACCACTCCGCCTCTCTCCTTAGCCCTCGCCGAATCGTTTCTCGACGGCGATTGGTTCACTGCCTTGTCCTCAATTGCAACAAACCCGTTTTTGATTTGATTCAAACTGTTGGAAACCGGTTCCTTGCACGCTGCTCTCCTTTTCCTCAGATTCCATGGCTTCACCGGAGAAATCTCCCCCTCTTTTTCCTTCTCTTGGCCGGACTCGTCGGTTTTCCGTTCTTCGTCTTGCTCCTCAACAGCCTCTTTCCTGAGCATCGATTGTGTGATCTTATCCCTCACCGTCTTCAGATCCGACATAATCTTCACCCTGAACTCCTCGATCCCTTCTTCCTCGCCGCCGTTTTCCACCGATTTGAACGACCCGTGATGTTGGTCGATGCTGCTGCTCCGGTTTTCAGCGCCGAATCGAAACGGGATCGAAACAGAGGAAGCAGCGAATTTCAGAGGCGGAGATCGGCGTCGTAGTCGGTGATCGCCGGAACCGCCGCCGCTTCCGCTCCCGCTGCTCAAAGAGTCGATCTTCATGCACTTGAGATGTCGCTGACTCCCCCACTTCAAGTTCGGGAGCGTGAAATTGTGGAGAGTCTTCGATCGCTCAGGTCTCGTCGTCGTCGTCATCTCGCCGCGCAACACCATTGATCGGTGCACTCCTTCTTCTTCTTCTCTTCTATATCGATCCAGAAACCCCAAACCGAATCAATCTCTTCTACTCCCGCCGAAACTAAGAGATTTTCTCGAGAAAGAATCGCTCTTTCAGGATCGACGGAAAATTTTAACCGGCGGTGATGTTTTTTTTTTTTTTTCCTCGGCTTGGTTTTTGTTATGATACCGCCAGGGAAGGGCCAAAGCTTGTGTTTATATATATGGCGAACGATGGCAAAGAATTCAAGAGAGTTTTTTCGTAAAATCGATGGTGGACCGGAGGGTAGTTTCGGAAATGTATGAAAAGAATTCGCTAAAATGCGCATGTGCTCGGGGGTTTACATTTTCCCGGGTTCAGAACATTTCCATTTTAAGTGAGTGATGACTTAAGAGCCGTCGGATTGTTTTCTCTGTCTTTTCATCGTGACTGTTTATCTTAACCCACCGCACAATTTCAGTCGGAGCCTTCTCCTTCCTTTTTTTTTTACAAATCGTAATCCGGTATTCCAACATTTTACTAGGTCAATTTCAAAATTTAATTTCATATCCATTGGAAAAAAAATATATTACGAAATTTAATTGCTTCTAGGATTATAATTTGCCTACTCTAAAAATTTAGGTTTTTAATAACCACACTAAAATAATTAATTTCTTCTACAAAAAATTATTATTTTTAGTTAAGTTAATTTTTTTCATAAAATTGATCTTCAAATAGAATGAATTTTACATATATCGTAGTTAATCTATCAATTACAGAAAATAAATTTTATTAAGAAACAGAATATAGTTGTTAGGAAATAAATATATACATAATTCTCAACACGTGTATACATTCTTAAATATATAATTATAAATTTAGTAATATTACAAAAATGTTATAACCAATATTCTAAAATACGCTAGATGCTACACTACCATACAGTGTATAAATGTATATGTGGACATACAGAATATATAAAGAGAAGTAGATGTTTATAGTATTATTACTATTAACATAAAACTAAAATAGTTAAATTAAAAAAAATAGTTTTAACTCAAATTTTGACACATTGTAGTAAAAAATTGTTCCAAGTAACAAATAATAGTTATATGAATAATATAAATGTACCGTATCATATTTATATTTTGTTTTAAATTGATTAAGATTAAATTGGAAAACAGTAAATGATACAAATTAAACATATATAAATTTGGTTTTGAAGTATGACTTTTCGTGTATATAGATTTTGAATTTTCATTCGGTGTGTAAACATATTTAAATTATCTATTTGATGTAGAAATAGATTAAAGCCTAAAGTTTGTATAGATATTGTGTAATCGATTTGTATTAGGGTCAATTTTAAAATTTAGTTATACTCATTGTCTGCCCAAAAAATAAAACTACTTGGAAAAAAACAAATTACCAAATTTAATTGCTTTTAGAATTTTAGAATTTATTTTTTGTTGAATTATTTGTTTCATAAGATTTATTTCTAAATCAAATAAATTTTACATATTTTGTAGTTAATCTATCAATTACAGAAAATAAATTCTATTTAGAAACTGAATATAGTTCTTAAGAAATAGATATATGCATAATTTGAATTGATATATATTCTCAAAAACGTGTATTCACTTTTACGTATATAATAATGTATTTAGTAACATTATAAAAATATTATCAATAATATTCTAAAATACGCTAGATGCTAATCAGGTGATATACTACTATAAATGTATAAATATATACATGAAGATACGGAATATATAAAATATATATAATAATATTACTATTAACATAAAAGCCTAAAACAATACTGTAGCTTTAACTCAAATATTGATATAACATAATTAAAAAATTGTTCCAAGTAACAAATAATAATTATATGAATTATTATTATAAAGTTTTCGTATCAATATAAATTATGGTTCGTGTATAATTTGGTTTTGAAGTATGACTTTATATATATATATATAGTTTTGAATTTATATTTGGTGTGTAAACATATATAAAAATTTTAATTCGAGGGAGAAAATAGAAATAGAACGAAACCTAAAGTTTGTGTATATGGGGTTAAATGAATGTTTTTTTTTTTGAACATAAGTGTTAATGAATGTTTTGAGGGGAAAATTGAACATAACGTAAACTTATTGCATTTTGACCTCAGTTCTTATGTTATGCGTGGATGAGTTTGTACTCGCTTTTCTCAAAGAATCTTAAGAAAAATGGTTCAGTTTAGTGTATCATCTATAGGTTTTACTAAGCTTGGGACATGTCTTGGTCGAGAAACAAATCTCAAATCACTTGAATGTAATATTTGACGAGACTCATAAATGCCAACTAAAAAGGTGCACAAAAAAAAGTAAACGAAAAATATATTTTAATATAAGAAATTGAAAAGTTTCCATAATTATCCAAAAGTCAGTTTAGAATATTTAACAATTAGAGAGAACAGGTTAAACCGTTAAGGTCAACTTTCCATTTTCTTGGAGTGTTTGTATTACCAAAACCACTAACTTCTCAGGAACACAAAGTTGAACTTGTAGATCTTACAAGGCCAAAGGAACAACACATTGATAAATAAAATCTGTAAATCACTGGGTTTTCACTATCCTCTTCTACTGTGACTCACAGTCATTAAGATTCAATAGTGTTCTTCCTTTTGGCTACGTACAGAAGAAAATATCCAGCTCCTGCAGCTATCAGTGACATAATAAAACCTGACTTATTGATCTTCAATGGAATCCGGCTGCTGATACAACTCGCTGTCCACCGTACCACGAAACGCCATCCGCAGCTTGCTTTGAACTTCTGGATTGAGAATCCCTGCATCAAATCAACATCAGAAGCAGTAGTAGTGAAGATTCTCTTTCTCTATACATTTTCCTTAAGGATATGCATATTTTGTATTACCTCTGGTAATTTGTTTTCTACAGCCAGATTGTCGATATGCAGCCTTACGTTTGACGATGCAGCCAACCAGAAACTGCGATCCACCTTTGAGTACACATTAGACACTATGTCAAACAAAGTCTGAGCTCCTTCCTCAGCGGCCTTTCGAATGGATTCTTCTCTGCTTCTACGGTTCCTGGGAAACAAAACCAGTCATTTTTAATGTGTCGGTATCTTATTAAGTTTCCTGTTTCTGTCGGATTCAACAGGCTTTCAAAATTCTTGTTCATACTTGAGATATCCACAAAGCATGTGTCTCGGCCACAAATTGACCCTTCCGTGCATGGGAATCACCACATGTGGTGAAAGCTCCAGGAACTTATATGTCGTTTCAAAGTATTCCTGCAAAGGAAGAGGAACTTATGGTACTTACATTGATGAATGACTAAACCAAATTCTTATATAATACTGAGCAAATTTGGATACAAAACGCTACTAGGAAACAACTCCCAACCTATTAAACGCACTAACTTCTGCATTGAAGTATTCGATATAGAGAACAGGCTTGAGCATACTGTACTAAGATTCCAAAGGCTACTTGGTACTTACTGTCATGTTCCCACCTGACCTGATGTCCAAGAAAGCACTTCCTTGACTGAAACAATCCAAATTGAAGTTGACATTTGTTCACTGGCTTGAATTTGCCTATAGCAATAGATATTTATTGAAGTTGCTCGTCTTACCCAACACAATGATCACCAACAATCAGAGAACGAGTGGAGTTATGAAGTAGTGCCATATGGCCATCTGTGTGTCCCTGTGAGTATTTTTATTGGTCATCAGAGCAGAGAATCTGAGATGTTATCCAAGGATTTTAAAATAGCTGGATAGGTACCGGAGCAAAAATGACAGTCAATTTCTGACCATTGACATACATGTTTTCTCCGCCAGAAACTTGGGTATAGTTACCAGACCAACCATCTTGAATCACACAGAATATTCAAACATAAGTTAGAATTTCAAGATTAAAAAAGCAATATCGAAGAATGATACCATTATACCAATGCGATGCTTAGTTTTGACATGTGCCACTAGAATAGCATCAGGATTGCTTTCTTGTATAGCAGAAAGACCTGAAAACAGGGATGAAGAGGAAAGATCATAGACATATAGAAGATTTTTAAGAGAGCGAGTAGGAAGAGATACAACAGAAGCCACGAAACTAGGACGGAGAAAACAACAGATCCCTACCACCAATGTGATCACGATGGTGATGCGTAACGAAGACAATCAGCTTCCTAGGTAAAGCCTCAACGATTTTCTTGAGCTGGTCAAGGCAAAGCAATGCAGTTATGAGCACCGAATCTTCGAAGATGGTGAGAAGATTTTTCGTATACGAGTAGAGAAAAGTACACTACACATAGCTAGTGACAAACCTCAACGTGGAGTTTGTGGAGGCATCCAGGATCCATTATCAACGCATCTCCATAGGCTACAAAATCAGTCCCTTGATGGTCCCCTGAACCATTTTCTGGAGCAAATACAACCAAATTTGTTGTCTTGAAAGGTTTCAGTGTCCTGCTACGCATTGGCACAACCATAACACCAGGTGGATACTCCTAAGACAAACAAACAAAAATTGAAAGCAGGATTCCAATTAGAAAAGGACCAAACCACTTTGATGAAGAAGACATATAGCTAGTCTGGCAACAACAGACCTGGACAGGCAGAGAAGGTGACAGTTTCTGCTTCATGGTACCATCCCCAAGTCCGAGTAGTACTAATGGTCCAACACGATCACTTCCCGGTTTCACATCTGTAAGACAGTCAAAGCATGCTTCCATGGACATCCACTTATGGTTGTCTGCACTACAAGACAACAAACGAGTGAGATTACATTTGTTAGAGAAACCCAAAGTATCCCTTCAACCAAAAACACTAAAGATTGTGTATACTATCAGATAAAAGAGCGACCTTGAAAACTTCGATCTGTATCCAACAGCTTCCCGGCGAGGAAACAAGTACAGACGCAGGAGTCAGGTCCAAACTCAGGCTCCTCTACATACCTGACGAATCTCCGCTCTCCTATCTCGCTAAACTCAATCCCTAAATTTGCCAACAGCTGCATTGACTCGGAAGCATTAATTCCGCAGAAACAGCAAGAGAACGCGATACAAGAGGAGTGTGTAACAACAAAGTCCGAGACTTACCCGATTCAGGGTGGATTCTAAATCGAAATTCTTCAAATCGATCTCTTCGGAGCATGATTCAGCTACAGAGACAGCAAAACCGGACCTGATTTCGCCTTCTAGAGGCGGTAAATCTGTTGATGGCAAGTCCCAGAGATCGGAATCGACGAAGGAATCGTACGCTTCGTCCCCGAATCCCGCCGGCCGCTTTTGCTTCTCGAGCAGGAACTCGGCGTCGTCTCTAGGGTTCCTGATGATCACCGCAAGATTCAGATTGCCCATTTCTGCAGAAACTCAAATCCAAAAGTGTCAAGCTTTTAAAACAATCCACAGGAGTTAGGCGGAGGTAATATGTAAATGATGACCGTGTTTAGACCTCACTGGTGAGTGTTGACCGTTCTTTGATTTTGTGAGGTTTTGCCCAAGTGTCATAAAGTCTTTAGCCTAAGGAGAAGGTTCTCAGCTGAACAAGGAGAAAGGAAGCACGGAGAGCTCACGTGTCTTTGATATCACAACTCTAAAGGATATGAGGTGTAATTAACCTCAGCCGAAAGCAAAGTCGCGTTTGTCTTCTTCCTCTGTAATTAAACAGAGTATGGATGGAAAGAGAGGAGAAAGAGTAGCATAGAGAGTTATATATAAGTAGGTGTTAGCTGAGACATTAGGTCAATAAGAGAGAGTGCAAGAGAGGCAGCTGTGAGTTTACAGTTTATTCTCTAAAGGTTTGTAAAACCAAGAAAGCTTTCTAGTGGATTTCCGAGCATAGTCTCGGCCAGACGTAGCGATTCCGGTTTGGATCGTGAACTGGTTAAATCTGTGTGTGTCAATTACTTTACAGTTCATATACACACGAGTGATAAAACAAAGAGTTAACGTGAGAGATTCCGCATAACTACAAGCTTATATCTCAACAAATTGGTATCAAAGCGACAGGTTGTCGTCTCAGGTTGAAGAAAGTTTATATCTTTACAAAGGTTGAAGCTTTGGTGCAGAAGCGGGTCCAAACTTTGTAAAGGTCGAAGCTTTGGAGATAAAATTGAATTTTTGAAGTTTATTGGCGATAAAGCTTCAAACTTTCTCACGAATCATGGCTTCTGGGCGTTCAGAAGTGGAAAAGTTTGATGGAGAAGGAGACTATATACTCTGGAAGGAAAAGCTACTCGCTCATATGGAGTTGTTGGGGTTATTGGACGGGTTAGACGAAGAAGAGGAAGAAGTCGCAGAAGATTCTTCTGCAGAAACAGATTCAACGTCGGGAGCAGTAACTCCTCTAAAACCATCAGTGTCTAAAATCTTAAAGGAGAAAAGAGAAAAGGCCAGATCCACAGTAATCTTAAGCCTAGGAGACCATGTTCTAAGGAAGGTGATAAAGCTGAAAACAGCTTCAGGTATGATCAAGATGCTAGACAAGTTATTCATGGCTAAATCTCTACCAAATCGCATATACTTAAAGCAAAGGCTTTATGGGTATAAGATGAGTGACAACATGACAGTAGAAGAAAACGTAAATGATTTCTTCAAGCTAATATCTGATCTGGAGAATGTTAAAGTCACTGTGCCAGATGAAGACCAAGCCATTGTTCTGCTTATGTCACTACCTAAGCAGTTTGACCAGCTAAAGGAGATGCTGACATACTGTAAGACTACTCTAGCTCTTGATGAAATCACAGGAGCTATCAGGTCTAAGATACTAGAGCTCAGAGCAAGTGGAAAGTTACTCAAGAACAGCTCTGATGCTTTGTATGTTCAAGACATGGGAAGATCTGAGAAGCGTGACAAGAGTTCAGATAGAAACAAGAGTCACAGTAGATCAAAGTCAAAGGAGTCAAGAGACAAGAAAGGGTCTGTGGCAAGGAAGGGCACTATAAGAAGCAGTGCCATGTCTGGAAGGAAAGGAACAAGAAGGGGAACGGATCTGACAGAGGGGAAAACGCAAATGTCATAGGACAAGCTAATGACTCTGCAGTTCTAAACGTTGAAGAAGAGTCAAACGCAGTGACTGATGGGAGTGAAGATGATTGGATAATGGATACAGGGTGTTCATTTCATATGACATCAAGAAAGGACTGGTTCGTTGACCTAGACGAGTCCAAGACAGGAAGTGTGAGGACCCGACCGTCTATCACTAGACCAGCCCGAACCTCACCGAGTCTTCTCTCGGCCAGAATACAAAAACATGCATATTTTAAAAACTTTTCTTAAACTTAAACAAGTTCGATTCATCAAAAGACATTCATTCTCATTGCATAATTATTCCAGAAACACTTAACAGAATTCGGATTCAATAACAAACTAACTTATCAGATTCGGTTCAACTCATAAGGCACTAACACAAGTACTTAAATAGAAACTCAAACTCAGAATATAAATCCCAAAACCCAGTCCTAATCCACCCCTTTCCTTCACTGCCTTCCAGTCCACCTTCAGAGCTACTCGCCATGGACTTTATCCTTACCTGCACACTTAAAAAGAGAGGCATAAGTATTTGATAAATACTTAGTGAATACGGTCATCTCGTAACACCTTAGCCAGTACCAGAAAACGCATCATACTATCAGTTATACAATTCACATTATCACTTAGCAAGCAAGCACAGAAAACAGTACGGTCCTATGATCATCTCAACTACTTGTGAAGCCTCACAAGACATCAGTACTGCTCCAAGCGAGAATCACACATCCCCTTGAGCTAGTAACTCGATCCGGACATTCACACAGCTAGTTAGACATCACGTATTGACCACGGTTCACACTTAACCATTCACAATCACAGAAACATTGACCTTGCTAAGCAGAAACCACTAACTTACACAAGCAATCAATGAAAATTAGATAACCTAGCAATCCAACGATTCTAGATACAGACTACAGTCACGCACTCACCTTAGACACAGAAACAAACGTTTCAGTCGATAGAATCTCGGTAATTTCTCGATCAGAACTGAGATACTCGGATACACTTGCGATTTCTCGGCTATCGCTCAGACTGGTCCGGCTAAAACTCCACACCTCTCGGCTGTCTCTCAACCCGGTCACTTTTTCTCGGGCAAGAAGCTGTATTTCCTCGGAAACAGTATAATTCAGATCGATCAGTCCAAAGTTACTCGACAGAAACTCAACAGAAATCAGAATAGCCGAACACTTACAAGATTCACTCGGACGAATCGAAGTGCTCTCGGATATCACACGATCTGCTCAGAAATCCTCGGATAAACTCTGTTATTCCCTCGACAAACCCTCAAATCAGGACGAATGGTCGAAACAGATCCACAGAAACTCGGACAGACCGCTCGATCTCTCGGTGATAATCAGAATCGCCGGCGAAACCTCGATCTCTCTCGGCCAACTCTCGGGATAATCAGAAAATATGGGACTTCTCTCGACCAATCTCTCTCTCACGCGATATTTCTCTCAAATAATGCTGCTGTCTCGAGAAAAAGTTTCAAAATCCCTTTTATATGCTCGCAAAACCTAGTTAACCCGGTTATAGCCGGTGTCTCCCGGTTCCAGTCAGATTTATCCCGGTCAGCTTTGATTTCTCTCGGATATCGCCTAAACCGCTCGACCATCCCCACGAGAAATTAGTTTTTATCCGACCAAACTTTCAGCCCACGGGCCCAGCCCATTTTTACTCGGCTAAAACCACAAAGCCTCGGCTATTTTCCTTTTTTCCCTCGGACATGATCCATTTCTCTCAGACATAATCCATTTCCTCTCTGACATAATCCATTTCTTCTCGGACATAATCCACTTTCTCCCGGACATAATCCACTTTCTTTCGGACATAACCATTTTCTCCCGGATATGGTCCGTCCTGCTCGGCCAGCCCGGCCATCCTTCGACTATTTCCCAGTCATCCATCGACTATAGTCTGAACCTCCCATCCATACGGATTTTTCCCTTGACTGAACTCACATTCCTTCGGACAACCTCCTGTCCGGCTCGATCATTCCAGATTTTCTTGGATACGGATGCTACAACTCTCCCCCACTTGGTTTGGATTCGCCCTCGAATCCGGTTCTTCTTCCTGAAGTTTCTCAAACCATTTCGGGAACCTTGTACTCATCTTGGACTCTACTTTCCAAGTAGTTTGCTCATCCCCATTACAGTCCCAGACAACTTGGATCATTTTGACCCTCTTACCACGCCTAAGCTTTTTTTTCCTGTCAACCACTCGGATCGGTCTACCTTCCACAGTCAGATTCTCTTGCAATTCCGAAGGTGGTTCAGATATCACAGTCTCACGTTCGGTTATGTGCTTTCTCAGCTGCGACACGTGAAACACATTGTGGTAACCACTCATTTCCGGCGGTAAGTCCAACTTATATGCCACTGGTCCAATCCTTTCCAGAATCCGATACGGTCCCATGTACCTTGGACTCAACTTAGCATCAAACGTTGCTCGGCTTTTCCCCTTGTAAGTCACAGCCTTAAGATAAACCAGATCGCCCACACTGAACTTTAAGTCCTTACGGCACTTATCAGCATAACTCTTTTGTCGGTCTTGAGCCTCTTTCAGTTTAACCTTCAAAAACCTGATCTTTTCAGTAGTCTCTTCGACTATAGCAGGTTCTAACTCACTCCGCTCCCCCACTTGGGTCCAACATAGCGGTGTTCTACATGGCCTTCTGTACAACACCTCATACGGAGACATCTCAATGCTCATATGGTAACTGTTGTTATACGCAAACTCAGCCAACGGTAGATAACTTTCCCAGTTACCACCCCAGTCCAGTACACATGCTCCCAGCATGTCCTCTAACGTCTTGATGGTCCTCTCAGACTGACCATCCGTTTGCGGATGATATGCAGTACTCATATGCACCTTCGTCCCAAACTCTTTCTGAATCTCTTTCCAGAATCGTGAAGTAAACTTTGGGTCATGGTCTGACACAATGGTCGCAGGCACTCCATGAAGCTTGACGATCTCATCGACATACAACTCCACCAGTCTAGCCACTTCATCTGTTTTCCTTATAGGCAAGAAGTGAGCAGACTTGGTCAGCCTATCAACAATGACCCAAATCGCGTCATGCTTCTTCAGAGACCTCGGTAAACCCAACATAAAATCCATTGTGATCATATCCCATTTCCATTCCGGTATTGGTAATGTTTGCAACAACCCACTTGGAACCTGATTCTCAGCCTTAACCAGCTGGCATGTCGGACAGCTAGCCACCCACTTGGCTACGTCCCGCTTCATCCCGACCCAATGATAGTACCTCTTCAGATCCTGGTACATCTTGGTCATTCCCGGATGCACAGAAAACCTCGACTGATGTG